TTAGCTTGTTTCGTCAGCGCTGCGTTTAGAGATCATAAAAGATTCAGTCTTTGATGATACAGGGGAGATAAAAGCAGCAAAACCTTAAATTGGAGGAACCAGAACCTCACAAATAGTTTGCATTTTTTATGTGATAAGGTACTTCAAAAAGAGTCATCAATTATTGAAACTGTTGAATAATTTTTTAGCACTTTTGTACCTCGAAAACATGAACAATGGGTTAAAAAGACAGAATCCATACAGTCCTTTTCCTCTGCGTCTCTATCTACGTCACATATGTAATCCTTACAATGATTGACACTAGTCTCCAACAATAGATCCTCCTCCTACACAAGCTACGCTCTCAGCTGTCTAAGCCCCTAATTAAGCCCTCGCTTAACGGGCATCTCGGTGATCCTCCTCCCAGATAAGCAGACACTGACGGGCACGGAGAATGTCTATTAAATCAGTAATTAAGTCGGAGCGAAAGAGTCAATCAGAGAGGTAAAAACGAGGAGAATCCCAGGGCAAAAACGTGATTAAGTCCTTGACGTGTAATTGCTCGAGGGAATCGGGGCGCCATTGGGCGTCAGAGGGATTTCTAAGAGTGAATTGCTGGAGGGAGGGGATGGGAAACGACTGCATGCTCTCGGTTCAGCTCGGGGAGGAAGGAAGGCGGTAAAAGCCAACAATGCTGGAGTTCAGAGAAAAGCACGAGGGCTGAGCGGAGGAGTGGAGTGCTGGCTGTTGATAAAGAGACCCATCTGTTGTTTATGCTCCGCCGTTACCTCATGGGCATCCTCTGTGGAGAAAAGGAGACGAACACGAGGGAGACGGTATATCCATTTAAATTACAAACAACATCTTTCTTCTTTTATTGTTCCCAGATGAGCTCTTAGTTACCTTTTCAACCTCACTTTGCAGTTTTTATCAACTTCTCACTTTTGCTTTTTTTTACAGCAGACATATCGACGGAGTGAGACGCCCCGCGGCATAAAAATGAAAGCAGTTCGAGGATGTTTGGCCATCTGCCCCGCTCATAAAAAAGGCCTTTGTGGGGATATATGTGGCTCAGAGTTTGCTGCAGAAAGACGAGTTTAAAATTACTCCAGTCGGACTCCAGTCCTGTTCTGGAGGACTTGAAGCAGTGATGGCTCAGACTAGGACACGGATGATGAAGGTCCTTAAGTGGAGAAAGGTCTTGCACATGCATATATTGTCTTGATGCTATGAGTCGAGTCAACCTGCATGATGGACGCTGTCAAAATGTAAACAAAGTACTTTGACAAACCCAGCAGTCCTCAGCGGTTTCCACCTCCACGTGCACAGACTCACTAATTCACCTGTCATTACTCACACCTGCGCTCCGAAGGAACCGCATGAAACAGAGTTGATTTATCTCCTCCTCATCTGTGTGCTGACTTTACTCGCTCAGTGTGGCGTTTGTTTTCTCCTTTTTCAGTTTGTTTGACTTGTTGGGTCACACCTGGATCAAGACGAGAGTAAAAACACAAAGACATTCAAACTTGAACTGAAGCTTAAAGGGATATTCTGGCGTAAAATTAAGTTAGGGTCAAACACACCATAACACCGAGTTAGACACCTCTCGAGAGATGAATGTTGCCGACTGCTTGCTTCTCTAGTTATACCAACCTTAGTAACGACTGCACAATAGCAATACGAAGAGTCACGATCATTTCTTTATCATTTCCTTGAAATAATAATGACCATATTAATCATTTTGCACTGCAGACACAGTAGTTCTTCTGCCTTAGTGTCTCGGTCTGATTGCATTTCCATGAAAAAATGATCATAAATGTTCTTCCTTGAGCTGTGAAACTCCACTGCAGTCGATGGACTCGCCCGGAGGTCTCAGTACAAACTAACGGCTGCTGAAAGAGAGTAGGTGAGTTGTGTTTAGTCTCTTTGCTAAAGAAATTAGTCAAAGTTGAAAAGATGTTTGGTGTCTAGTACTATGGCTGTGACCCTATATGTCCTGTTGATGAAGTTAGGTGCTGTTCTGATCATTATCTGTGGCTATAGAGTGGCATTTTGGTTGCAAGCGGTCGGCAACATCCATCTCTCGACGGGGTGTCTAACTCAGTGTTACTGCGTGTTTGACCCTAACTTAATTTTACGCCAGAATATCCCTTTAATGTGAGTTTAAAGTGACAGTGACACCAAAATGTAGTTTCTATTTAACAAGAAGCTGCAGTTCCTCTAACGGCCACTTGAGGCTGCCCCAAAAGTGAGTCTGTCTCCTGTAGGATCCATGCAAATGCAGTTTGCGATTTTATTGAAACTTGAAGGAACCCACCCAGCAAAAAGACGTTGAAAAGACGTCTTCACCATTCGTCTAAATAACGTCTAGATTCTGACCTTCTAAATGAAGCCCAGATGTCAACATCTTTTTTGGGGCTAAATTACGGCCATGACAGGCCGACGTAATTTAGCCTGAAAAAGATGTCTAAATGAAATCGGGTGTTTGTTGGGAATATTTCAGTACTTTTTTTAACATGGAGTTGTACAAGTTACATGGCACTGGTAAGGTAGGAAAGCTAGGCTACAGTTTTCTGCAGGTTGCTCTGAGTCTGCTGTAAAGATAAATACCCAAGGTGTAAGGTATTATCTCTATAAACTGCTAGTAAATCCCTCTTTCTTTCTTTCTCTCAGTAATGTCAGTTATCTTTTTGAGTCTGTCACAGCGCCACAGTCTTTCCTGCACAGAACATTAACTCAATTTTCCCAACAGCAGAATAAAATACCTGAAGGAGTAATTTAGAGACATGCAAGGTCAACTCTTCCCACACAACCAAAACAAAAACAGAAAATAAAATCCTCTAAAACTTCCTTTTTATCTTCATTTTCTTTGACTAAGAATTTGTGGAGCAGAGAAAATGAAAAAGTGACAAAGTGTAACCAAGCTGAGAAATTCTCCAGCAGCTCGTTTGAGTAAAAAAAGTCCAAAAGTTACGGCTTTGATTCGAGTTTCTTTTCAGCTCCAGTGTCTCTGGTACTTTGTGCAACTTGTTGACATGCATAAATTATAAGTGAGAGCAACTTTTCCTTTTACAAACTGATGTTTCAACTCAGAAGACAAGATTTTAACTCATGATATGCTTTTGAAGATCTTAGTCTCAGCTTCACTGCTACTTATTCACATCAGTATTTAAATCTCAAAGTCAGAAATTCCTGCTCTCTCTCCCTGAAATGGGATTAAACATCAGGAACTATTCTTTTGTGTCGGTAGTTTTCTGCTCTCGAGGATGTCTCATGAATTCTTGGCCTAATCTTTGGAGGACCGTCGTCTGTTTAAGCCCTGCAGCAGATGAGACTCCTTTTCATCTGGCTGGAAAAAATGTTATAGTTCCTATTTGTAGGAGGCGGTGTTGGGTGACAGTGTGCAACAGAGTGAGTAAAAGCAATATCAGTTTTTCAGAGCAGTCCTACAGTGTGTCAGGCAGCTGGAAGTGACATTTTTGGCAGGATTAGAGGACAAAGTTCTTTGTTGACTATGAAAGTTACAGATTTGTCTAAAAATGGAAAGAAAAGAGTAAAGTTGGTTAAACTAAAGGTGGGCTGAACTGGGATCGCAACTTAGATCACAGGGTTTGGGTTTTTTTGTAAAGTAACGCTCACTTGTTTATGGCAAACACAGATCTGACCCTGCACGCTGCGCCAAAATGTGGTGAAAATTCCTGTTTATAAAGAGTTAAGTCTGAGTTTCTCCAATGTCACTGTGTATCCTTTAACCCCAGATTCCATCGCATGCGGAACAGCATTGCTGCGGAACGGTGGCGATTTTTGCCATCCGCCAAATCCTACCAGATGTGTTTGTGAGGCAAATTTCGTGGCGAATTTCAGACAGCAGGAATCGCAAGGACTCAGAAGAACCCGCAAATTCACACGCAATCGCAGGATAACGAATTGTCTATATAAAGACAGCCTCATAACCATATGAGCAGTAGATTGTGTCCTTCCAGAGAAGAAAATCCACTCTGTCAAGACCAGTATCTCCTCATCCATGGTGTCAACGGGGCGAAATGATGTCTGAAACCTTTGACTTCCTACATGTGTAGTGTTTTATTTTGAAAAGAAGCCGGATGTTTTATTTTGTGTCTGGGCCAGACTTCCTCTCCAGCACGGGTTAATCTGTGCTGAATTTATGCGGCATACTGTGGCGTCCGGAAAAGAATAGAACCCTGGCGATTGGCTACGAAACCCACTGAGTCGCAACGGGCCGGAAAGAGGCCGGTGGAATTTGACACATGAACTTGAATGGAAACGATCAGCGGGGATCAGCGCAGACGGCCTTTCCAACGCCGTTCCGCATGCGGTGGAATTTGGGGGTTAATCTACATAAGGTACATGCTTGAGTACTAGCTTGAGTACAAGTGACTCGGACCAAAGAGAGGCAAAACCTCTTCAAGAACCTCTAATGAGTCCAGTCGCCCCGAGTCCAGTATGGAGCTCCTGGAAAAAACAACAAATGAAGGATTCATGTTGAAGGTGGAAAGCACGGCGTCTACACTGCTCTTGAATCTTGAATCCTGCAGTCATTAAAGTAAAAGAGCGGTCAATAAGCAGGTAGAGCCGGCTGGTCCAGACTGTGCAGTCCATGATGAGTGTGCTGGTCATCATTAGCGGCTGCCTGGGAGGAATAGAGGTGTTTTACTGCAGCAGAGTCAGGCTGCAATTGGTCCCTGGGGAGTGTTAATTACCTCCTGCACACTATATCAATAAATATTTGAGGCGAAAAGAGGTTCCTGAGGGTAAACAGAGAGAGCCTGCTTTCCACCAAGTCCACTCGACCGTGAAGTATCTGACTTTGATGAATAGAGCTGAGAGAAATACGCTTTTGTATCTCATCAGTGAGGACTTTTCTTCAAGAGGGATACACATTTAAAGGCTAATCTGTGTTTTTCAAGCGGTAAGCGTCGAGGTCTATTTGTCTGGAGAGCTGAAAACATCCATAAACAGCTGAATAAAACGGTTAATAACAAAAGCAGCTGGAGTCCTGGTTGGAATTCAGAGCATTTTCTTTATTATTTCACAAAAAAAAAAAAGAAAAGAAAAAAAAAAGAAACAGCAGCTGCTCGCATCATCAGCCGCCGCCGTCGACCTGACACAAACAGGAAACTACAACAGGAACTTCACGGCATTTTTACAAACACACAGGCACAAACATGACAAACCTCCTCTCTACGCTTCTACTGTCGTCTCTCTATAAGTCTCTGTGGAAAAACGCTGAACAGGGCGGTGAAAGCGCTCTTCAATCAAGATCAATTGGCAACTTTCATTTGTTAATATTTAATTTAGCAGGGAAGTAGAAGAATAAAAATGTCTGGTCTACATCTGCTTATTCTCGGTTTTATGCATGGCAACATTTGACAGTGTTTGCTTCCAAATAACGCTGGGATTTCACCGCCTTCAGATCAATAATCCAATAAATCAGCATTCAACAGACACTTTAAAGGCGGGATAATGACCAAAACCCTTATTAAATCACGTACAGTCCCTTGTTTATGATGGATCGGCAGAATCAAAAGCATAGAGACGTGGTCATTAATCATGAGTATGTGGAAAAACACATGAAGAGCATGTTAGAGCTGGTTTCAGTCAATCTATTCATCCTCACTCAGTTTGACTTAACTGGCAACCCTGTGACTCTATAGTGATATAAAATGGTTCAACATCAGAGTAAAAGGGTTGCCAGTTCAGACCCTATCTATCATGAAAATTTGGTTATTTTAGTTGGTGAATTTGAACTGGCAACCAAATAACAGCAATCACCCTTTCATTATTTAGTGGGTTAAAATGAATGTGATTGGGTTGCCAGTTAAGATCCTGTCCTTTGTGGGGGAAAAGGGGGACTTGAAAATGGGCTCCAACTGGCAACCCAGTTAGATTCATTTTTACCAGGCCTTTGACCTAATCTGGCAACCCATTCACTCTGCCATTCAAGTTGGGTTTCAATATGGTGATTGGGTTGCCAGTTAAACTAGATAGTGGGCCAAACCTGGCAACCCAGTCACACTATTTTTAACCTATTTTTCCACAATAGACAGTTCATCTAAACTGGCAACCCAGTCAGTTAAAATAACATAAATGTGGACTGTAAAAAGTAGAGCTGAAAGTTGTGACTGCTACAGAGCCAACTTTGACCTCCAGTGCTGAGAAATTTGCAAGTTTTTATTATCCAAAGGCCAAAGATCTCCGAGTACCCGGAGCCAAAAACAAGATTCAAACTTTTACCGAGAGGAGATCACGCCTTCGTTCGGTCTCATGGCAACTGGAGGAGCTGCAAACAGCAGCCAGCTGGTCCCTCATGGAGCGGTTCAGCTGAACTTCAGTCTGCTCTTTCACTGAATTTGCAAATCAAATCGTTGAATTCTCTTAAAACACAATGTTCCTCTCCAGGGTGTTCTGGGTCTGACTCGTGTTTTTATTTACTTTATTTCCAGGTTCCAAAATATTCCTGTTGAAAACAAATAAGCAGTGAATAATGCTGAGAGGTTATGCAAACTACAGAAGCTGTATACTTTGGTTCAAGGCTGTAAAATGAATGAATATATATTTAAACGCTGTATAACACATGGTACGGTATATTCCTTTTTATATATGAAGTACTGAAGCAGTACCAATCCACCGGTGTGTCATGCCCACTCCAAGTGTACTGAACATGTTTCACCCACTGTAATCTCAAGCCAGACTTCTTTACCACCAAAATAAAACATGTAAACAACAAAAACCATCAGAAAAGACGAGAAAATTACAATCATCCTGTACACGAGGAGACGGCTGTACAAAAGAGTTCACCCTGTTTGTGTGTGCTGTACACTCCAGTGCGTCAACGATACAGTGAACAGACGGATGCTCTGCCTCCACATAGAAAAGTGAAAATAAGAGAAACATCCATCTGTGTGGACCGTGAGAGATATTTAAAAGCAGATTAATTGATACAGTCGTCATGAACAGGGACCCCGCCTACTCCTGACCCACTCCTGACCCATTACTCACACACACATAAAACACACACCGCCGCACTGTTGAGCCCAGAGCCACCAGGCTGGACGAGGGTCGATAAAGTGTGTGCCGCGGGGTAAAGCTGGAGAGGTTTATTTAGAGGACAATGGTGGTCTGAGGGTCAGGAACAAGGAGGTTCAGATACTGAGCCAATCGATTGAAGGAAGCAAGGAGAGCATTGATTAAAAACAAAGGGGTGAAGCAAAAGCAAGAGATTTACTTGAATTTAACATTTTCAACCTTTTTCATTCAAATTAAGTCTGAAACGGTGGCGTTTATGCTTCCTCCAAAAACGGAGAGACGAGTCTTCCAGCAGAGCAAGAGCTTAGCGTCAAGACTGGAAGCAGGGAGAGTCAGCTAGCCTCGCTAATTTTATGTGTTTTATGTATACAAGCAGAGCTACACATGCTTTTTAAAATCCAATCAAAAAGTTTGAGTTTTATTGGTAATTATGTGACTGAACTAGCGTAGCATGGAGCTCCTAGCATGTAGCACAACGTTACATTTTCATTTGAGTTGAGATCAATCTGAATAAATTTAACATATCAATAAGAGGGCTTTAGAGATGCTAATACGGAGAAAGTCTTTGGCGGAGGAAAGCTGTATTTTTTTTTGTTGGATGGTTAGGGAAAGTCCCGCCTCCTTCCCCTCTGATTGGCTGGAAACGTCATCGCACGCTCAAGCCAAACAGTCGGCTGTCGGCTCTGTACATTGAACAGAACATTACAGAACATTATCGCACTTCTGAATCTCCTAACCCTAACCCGACAGACGATAACGTTTCACATTCATAAGGAATAACCAATCGGAGTTTAGCACTTACAGCCAATCAGAGGCGAAGGAGGGCGGGACCTTCCCTTACCATCCCACAAAAAAAAATGTCGCTGGAGGAAATGGGGCTCGCTAACTTATTCCCACTTCAATCTTATGCTAGCTAACTTTGCTGTGTGAATCTCTGTTTGCTTCAGATCTGAAACGTAATCATTAATACTACAGCGGCTCCAACTATTCAAAGGTTCGCCAGTTACTGTATTTTTACGAACTTTGTCTTTTAGACTTGTTGGTTTTACGCTCTAAATACTGAACTGTTTAAGTTCTTAGTTTTTATGATAGTTTACACAAACAAGCATCTCTATATTCAAATTTGGCACCAACAGTGATCATTTTGGATGAAAATAGATCTTTTTTGACTGACATGTCCCACGTACTAGAAAGAAAGGCTAGCATTTCCCCCCCTGCTTACATGCTAGCTAAGTTAGCATCCGCCAAGACTGGTTCTTCTAACTGTTGGAGAGAAATGTAAATATGATTCAGAAATATTGGTTACTTCTTTTATGTTTTAATGTCACCAAGTTTTAGATATTAGTTCATCATTTTCAGCAAAATATCGGCGAGCATCGAACAACAAATATTCCCAAAAAGTGCCGAAAAAAGTGATAATTTTAGATACTGGTATATCTAACTTATTTGATGAGTCATAGATGATTTAGTTAAGAAAACGTAGTTATTTGTGGCAGTTAGGGCACAGATAATGTGAATGTACAATGATGCGTAACAGAGGAAAAACAGAAACGCTCGGGCTGAACTGGCTGAAAATGAAAAAAGTTCGTCTTTTTTGCTCTATGACCGATCTCTCTGCTTTTTATTATTTCAGTGCTCTTCTCAATTTTCAAACAAGCACCTGAGTTCTACTTCGATGTTGAGTTTTGGCCTCTATGCCAGCACGGATGAACAACACAAGCCACCTTTTGTCTCTTTTTTTTGACACATCTGTTCACAACATGGAGCCATCATCAGAAAAATTTGTTCTGAACGGGAACAGGCTGCGTTAAGGAAAGAAAAAAAATTAAAACTGTGTTGGTTTTAAGTTTCCCAGATGATGCAAACGAGGCCAGACGTGGATCCTGCACAGTTAATTCCTGCAGCATCAGAGAACAGGGAGCAGCCAAGTCCAAACTCTTTGTAGTGCTGCACCAGCTGGAGACACCGACAGACACCCGGCTAAACGAAGCTACGATAACTGATGTACTTCTACCAACCACGGACTAAACAGGCAATCCAAAAGGCTGTGAGTGTGAGTGAGCGTCCGAATCAGCCAGCCAAAAACATTTCTGGATATTTCCCAAAGTTTCTTCAAAGAAAATCGAAGGACACGGAGAAGGTGGGAGACTGAAGTAAAGTTTCCAAACTCTATTTCCGTTTTAATTTGAGTCCCAAAAATAAAAAGTAGGACACAAAGGCAGACTTTAGTGGACCTCCGCCCTGCCCTGTTCCTTATCTGTTCTCACTACAGCGCTCTGTTGTTTCCTCACAGTGTGAGTTAAGTCCTCTCTCCTCAGTAGAGTCCCACCTTGAGGAGAGGCAGGGCTTTTTGGCGAGGTCCAGGGGGGGTCCGTGGCAGTCTGTGCGGCCTGCTCCCCATCCTCAGCCGCAAGAAATGACAGTAAAGCGTTTGGAGATGCAGGACATGTTGTGCAACACAATACCCAGGAGGAAAAGCAGCACACACGCCACGAGTATCACTGTGCACACGCCGGACCACGTGGAGCCCTTCCCTCCAGCTCCCACTGGGTGACTAACTCTCCGTTCGTTCTCGGCTCCATCCAGACCCACCCCCATGCCCTCCAGACCCATACCCAGACCCAGAGGCTGCTGCTCGGGCATTGTCACCACTGTCACCCCCTTCTGCTGGCTGCCAGGCAGAAAGCGACATCCAAGCTCCCCCGGCAGACCCAGCGCCCTCTCTTTGGCGATTGGCAGCGGCAGCATGTAGCAACCATTGCTGGGGAGTCGGATGAAGACGGGTGTGTGCTCCGAGGCGTGCGGAATGGCGATGACAGTGATGATGTCCGGATCATCGGGGAGTTGGGAGACAGACAGGCCCGGCGGGAGCTTTGTGACGCCGCGGCACCAGGGACAACGAATCTCCTTCTGGCTGCTGCGCATCTGGGTCAAACACACCGAGCAGCATGTGTGTCTGCAGTCCAAGAGCTTGGGCCGCCGACGAGGACTGTAGTAGTTAAAGCAGATCTGGCACTCCAGAATTGAATCCTGGGAAAGAGTCTCCATTTTTAAAATGATCGGTAAGTTGTCCTCTTGTATTCACTTACAGAAAACAGACGTTTCTTGAGAGAAGAGAGGTCCAAAAAAAGCTCGAATGGTCCAGTTCTCAGTCAACCTAAGTCCACGAATCTTCGGTTATGTCACAGGAATGTGGTGGCCACATGGTCGACCATCTAAAAACAGAAGAGAAACACTAATGAGACGATGGAGGCAACAGTAAAATAGCTGTAAGAAATTAGGTTAAGTGTGAGCACATCTGATGTCAATAAGTTGTCTTTAACGGACCACAAAAACCTTTCCAAAACCCAAAAAATATTGTCGTACAGGGTGACTATTTCCCTGCATATCCCACCGACAACATTCGCCACTTCCTGCATATTTACAGATATATAGCTCAGGTTTTCAATGATACAAGGTTACCAATCAGAGGAACTAATAAGCATGACTAAATGTCTACTTTTGAGTTTGAGCTTCCAGTGTGGCCTTTTAGATTTGGTGTTTATATGAAACCAAGCTAGACTTCAGAACCAGATCCAAATATTGTAGTCCCACAAGCAGAAACTAAGTCAAAGAAAGAAAGACTTCTAGACACAAATACCAGCTGATTAAACCAAACTAAACTCGCTGCATCTCATATTACAGTTCAACCAATATGCCAGTTCAAATGCAGAGAGAGGTTTTCAGTTGCATCATGGTGAACCAGTGTTGTTTTCATTGATGGTGACGAAAATATTTCATCAACATCATCGTCAACGAAAACAACACGGCAGAATATATGTTTAGCGTATGACTGACAAAATGCTCATGAACCGCTAACGTTTTCGTCTTGTCTTGTCAACGTAAACGCACATTCCTCTCATCACATTTTAGTCATCTAAGACTTATGTTTAGCTCGTCAACGTCAAGTCTTCGTCGTAGAAAAAAAAGGGCGTTGACGAAATATTTTCGTCAACGTCATTGTCAACGAAAACAACACTGTGGTGAACCAACCAACATGGTGTCATAATATGGCTAAAGCTTCACTTTTGGACATGCACCACTATGACCGCCAATGCGAACACTTCCTGCTCCGTGAACAGCTCAACTATCTCACCCAAACTCGAACTACACAGCTGCACGAAAACTTTACATTGTTAATTTTGCAGAATGCAATAAAAACAGGGATTAGTTGTTGCGGCTCCGAACCATAATGGTACCTTTAGGACATGCTGGGTTGCTAGGTTACAAGCAGAGCAACTAGATAGCCCTTTGCTTTTGTCCTTGAATTCAGTTTGAATGGCGCCCATAAGTGGCCATTTCCTTTTTGACTTCAATTTCCCACTAAGATAAAGGTTCGTGTGACTCCCAGTTTCCTGTTTATGATAAATGACGGATATAGTGGAAACCTCAAAGTGCTTGTTAACTAGACTGCTGCCAATGCTCTTTAAAAACCGACCATCTCCAAGTTACACAAGTAATAATTCCAAAAGACTATTCCCGTATCTGTATGTGAACATGTTGGAATAACTTGTAGACATGTTTTTAATAATGAATATCTAAAGGAAACAGTTTTTTTTCAAACCTCAAAAGCTTTGTCTCGTATTCCACTTGTGTTCCAGATTTTATTGTATGTATTATTTATGTGGACCTCCATCAGTCGCTGACAAGGAAGCGGGATATTAAATCTAAAAGACCTCCGATTTGATGCCAGTCCAAATTCATGTCATATTTTTCAAACATAATTATTTCGTGACATGCATGATGGTAAAGACGTGTGTTTCTGAACATATTAATACACATGAGTGGACTTGTGTGGTTGAATGCTTCTAATCTTCACAGCCTCTTTTGTTTTAAACTATTCCAGAGAAATGAGAAGAATTCCCGATTTGCATCACAGACGAATGTTTTTACTGTTTGAAGCCAAAGTTCAGCCCTGATTTCTGGATAAGCATTTGTCAAACAATGCATCAAATTGAGATGAATAATTCATACCAGATGACCTAATGAGAGTCATTGTTATGCACCGCACTCAGCCTACATTTCTGCAGCCTGCAGTTGTGGCAACTTTATGAGACCCTTTGCCTCGGTATCTGTGTTAAGTACGTTTAACCGTCTCCTTCGGGCCTCAGACTCCATAAACAATTTCTTCCTCCTCCTACTCCTCTTGCATAATCACTTCTACCGTGTTAATCCATGCGGAAGCAGTGATGGTCGGCTCTTACAGATGATTAAACCCTGTCAAAATAGCACAGAGGAAACAATGAATACCAAACAGGGCCCTGCTGATTTTTTATTATATTTTCTTCGCCCAAATTGTCAAGTGTGAAAAGTGCTGAGGACCAGCGACGGCTGGATTTTCTCTCCCTTTCACCCTCTGGGGGATACGTGGGTAGACAATAAGGGTGAGACCGATAGAGGATGGAGAGACGGAGAGAAAAGAGGTGATAACAACAGGGAAAGGTGACCACTGATTGCCCCGCAACACCATACATCTCGGTCCTTTATCAAAAACAAGATCTCAGGCAATTAAAGTGCTCATGGCGCCCTGTGGGGAGACAGATGCGGCAATGACAGATAAGAGTGTGCTCACGCCGGGCAGCCTCCGAGCCGTTTATTCAGGCTGGAGCCCCTTTAGTTCGGTTCATCTGGAGGAGAGAGGAGGATCAGGTTCATCCTCAGGTGGTGATAACTTCAGCAAGATGAGGTTTGAAATCTGATCACTTTATCAAAGTGATAAAGCTTATCACGGCTGAATCCTTATGAAAACATGATGGATTGATCTGCCGCTTATCTACAGCAAGGCAAGGACGAAGACACACCCACAACACACCGAAGGGTTATTTTACAAGGTCAGTTGTTTTATCCAGACATTTTTCTTTGGAGTGTACCATCGCTATGAAGTCACTAAGCTGACTCCTTTCCTTGACCACTAGCCTCCTCCTCCTCCTCAGCACCTGGGTTTGAACATGGTGAGCTGTGCTTTTGAGCGGTCCTATTTCCCATTGTTATACTCTTAAGATATTGTGAGATGAGTCTGTGTCTGAACTAAGATGCTCCTGATCTGAAAAGATTGGCGTAGAGTAGGAGATGTGGTTTCAGCACCATGGACAGCGCTGTTCCTGCATCCTGCCTCTCAAACCTACGATATTTAGTTTTGTCATGATATCAATGCGCCATGTGCACGAAAATCTTCTGATCATGCAGCTTCTTTATGAGTTATGAGCCCTAACAGCGCCCTCTCATTATGTATGACTCTCAGACGAGGGTCTTGTATATCCAGGACCCTTCTGTGGTTATTTTTGAGCCATTCATACCACCCAACACCTCTCAGAAGTAAAGAAAAGGCCCGTCAAGGTAGCATGTTAAGTGACCTGAAAGCAGAGTCTAAGGGACAGTGTTGACCGGTAGACATTTTGCTCTACCGTTTACACCAGAGAGAGAGAGCAGATGTCTGCCACCTCTCTCTGAGTCACTGTTGTCTGCGCTCGCTACCAGGAAAACCAGAATGCATTGGTTTGGGTGCTTTTCCCTATATTTACCAGCATGTCCAGCAGACTGCTTGTCATAGTTTCAACGAAGAAAAAACGCTTCACTGGTGGTGGACATGGCGGATGTGGAGATTAGTGGCAGTACCGAGCAAACGGAGGCATCCCGACCCACCGAACACGAGGAAGAGGAGGAGGAACTCATCCTGAAAAAGGGCGCAAGTCGTGACATCGGTTGTCTGGAGATTCTTTGGATTTAGAAAATTCGACAACGATCAAAAACAACACTATGTCAAGAGTGTCGTGTGGCTGTCGTTGCTGGAGGTGGAAACACCAGCAACCTCTTCCACCATCTAAAGATAAAACACGCCAAGCTCCATTATTAGAGCCAAACGATTCGTAACACACCCGCTGCACCAAAAACTAAAGTTGCAGCAGCTCCTCTCATATAAAAAAGCTTGGCAGGGTTTAAATAAAAAGGAAAATGAAAAAATGCGTCAGTATGGTTATTTTTGAGCCATTCATACCACCCAACACCTCTCAGAAGTAAACAAAAGGCCCGTCAAGGTAACATGTTAAGTGACCTGAAAGCAGAGTCTAAGGGACAGATGGTTGAAGTCTCCGACAGAACCTGACTGAATCCTCATCAGTCAAATCGTACCATAAGTGCCGCCAACCTTCCCCTGCCCTCAGCAGCTTCACATGCCCTTCCCTCGGGGTAAAACACTCCCTCCCTCTTGACTGTCAGGTCCCGAGGCCAGACCCCGCACTCTCCTCCCGCCTCCTCTGCTCTGCTCTCTAAGCTGACCTAGTTTCTCCACACCGCCACCGAGTCAAAGTCGAGGAAACGCAGAGAGGAACCCTGACAGTTTCATAGAGAAGAGAGGAGAGAGGGATATGAGCACAGGAAGACAGGAGCAGAGAAAGAAACCTGCCCTTGAGGGAGCGAGACAGCTCTGGGTTTTACTGAATCCTTCTCCCAAAGATAAGGATTAGCTTTGATCTGACATAAATGCTTTGTGGCTCAATATTCCCATACACGCAGCTTCTCTCCCTCTCCCTCCTGACTCAGAGCTTTTCCTCTCCTACTTTACATCAATTCCTCATATTTTACACCGGGTTATTTCTCTCTGAGTCCTCCCCTGTCCACATCGACCATTATACTCATTTTCTACATGTCAAGGACCAGAATGAACCTGCAGGATTAATACGATAAAAATGAAGAAGCATCAATATTAGCCGGTGCAATTACCAAACCGCATAAGGCAGCAATATCCAACGCATGGAGAGTCGTTTCCAAAGGGTTTGACGGGTTTATTCTGAGATTTATCAAATCCAGCCTCACTTTAGTTATCCAGTTAAACAAACCAAATACTGTCAAAGACCAGGACGTAGTGTCAGTAACACTTTCTGAAGTTAAGGTCTGAGGCAAGGGCTGGGCGATATGGCCTCAAATCAATATCATGATATATTGATCAGTTCACCTTGGTGACAAAAAATGGACGATAACTACTCCACAAACTGCTCACCCCCTCCCACATTAACTTCGTCTACTTCGGCCGCTACAACTCTTGAACCGTCCTCCATCTCCTCACCTGTCTTTCCCTCTTTGTTACGGACTGGATGGGGTGGAGTCACATCTCTGACGTAGGACAGCGTCTTAAAGAGACATGAGACCATAGCCTACCTACACACATCCAAAACCAACTTTGATTTATTTATTTATTTATTTGACACCGAATATACCGATATGAGCAAAATGAGGTTGGTTACTTTCGTAAATTTCGGTACTGGTAAATTGTCAGTTTTTCCCTCAGCCCTATCTGAGGCCTAGATATAATATTTCTGATGGATATTATACATGTATACATGTATTCACTATGAACAACTTGGCTCCGCCTCTCTTCATTTTATTGTGCACATTCGGTGGAAGAGCTGCCAAGAGTCATTGTGATAAACAAAGAGCGTATCCCCCGGGTGAGCTACGCAATCTTCATACGCCCATAGGCTGTATCGGGTGTCAATCATAGAAAACATGAACCCTCTAATAACTTTTGAAAACAGAGCTGTACAGAAAAAAGAGGACTTGAGCACAAACCAGTCTGACAATAACTACATGTCAACATCACAAGCAGGGGGGAGAAAAATGTGTATTATGTGTAATTCATTTCTAAAGTTTGTCCACAGCTCCATAGGAATTGTTGGGAGGGATTTATGACCTATACTGCAGCTCACCACCAGAGGGTGCTGTCCATTCTATATATAGTCTTTAGTATTATATAGGAGAATCCCGATACAACTTTTTGACTTCCAGTATGAAACCAATATTGTAGCCTTCAATATTGACTGATACCAATACTGATCTGATATTGGCCCAAAATTGTACATGACGAGTTTTGCACTCAGTTGCAATTTCTTTTTCAGACTTAAACACTCTTACTCCCTGCTACGTTGTCAGTACCTCAGTACACACTGTTGTTGTGATCATGTGGGCTCAACATGCTGGATCTGGGTGCTGCTAGATGGAGGTGCCAGAGTGGAGTCTGGAATGGACTGCTTGTATCACAGCGCTGATATCAGAGATTTTAGATGCAGGCTAATATAATCCGATATTTGTTTTTTGGCTAATATCGGACCGATATCAATAGTATTATAACACCGGTCTATACCAGCTGACAGCTCAACCAATGAGCTTCAACTTGTCCAGTTGTTCTTGCTGCTTCCTCCACAGTCTGATCTTGCCAGTCATGTTCAAAAATTGATTTATTATGTAAATCCAGCTGAACCTGGACTCTTAAAAATGAGAGTTTGTGTTCTGCATGAGTTTGCATGTTCAGAGCTTTTAAGTTGCTGGTTTTTGTCATTGTTCGTTGATTCTTCATAGCACAGCTGGAGTAAAACAACCAGAAAATAACCTGTTTTTTTCCTGCATCATCCTCGCTCCTGTCATTTCCTCTCTGCGTTGGTTGAAAATATATTGGCGTTCTTTTAAACAAAGCGCCAGCACTTTTTGATGCTATTGAACATAAAAACATCAGGGATTGAGCGAATAACAGCAAATCAATGACGAATACGAGCACTTTTAGTAATTGGAGCAATCTCACAACAGCTGGCTGAAGCTGTTTCTGAATTTTTAAAGCCCCAAAAATACAAAGAATATGGGGCCCAGGTGTCCAAAAACCACCTGCTTCCAAGTGTTAAACTTGAGGGTGTCATCCAGAGATTATCAGTGTTCGGTTAAACGTCTTCTATCGGAGGACATGATGCTCACTCGTGATTGTTTGACAGAACAATAAAACGATGTCAAGCTGTTTCATTTTTCTCTGAATCGGAAGAAAACGCTGGAAGGTCAGGAAACAACAACTGGAGGAGCAACCTCGGCTGCAGCTTAACAACGTGATTTATCTGTTCGGCCCAGCTGTAACCAGGCCAACCTGCATAAAAGTGACCCATTTTTTTAGCCACACCTCCACAGAAAGAAGGTCCAGGGACAGGTTTGGATGTTGTTATCCAGAGACGGTCTGATTTAAATGGTATCTCTTAAAAATGAGCCGTATCTAAACAATAGAAAAGGATCATTTGAAGGAAATTTTGAGTATTATTGAGTCTGATCTGTTTCTGTCGATGCATGACTCTTCATAAATCTACCAGAGTGGTTATGTAGAGTCATCCCGGGTTCAGGGAAGGACATATGATTAAGTAATGATACAGACTGACCCAGTGTTGGCACCCAACAAGCCCGGGGTCCTCTGAGAGTTACCAAACAGAAAATACACACACACCAAGAGGACAAAACAGTAACACACACACACACACTCCCCAGGGACATCCATGTAAAATCAGCTAAGGCCCGGGTTCACCCGTCCTCGCAGACAGACGTTAAAAATAACCGCCACAGACAAAGGGACAATCACACACACATGGAAACACACAATCTGACACACACTCTGTCTGAGGAAAACCAGTTCATCTGCAAACATGAGCTCATGAGAGGAAGTGAAATGTCACTAAAGGGACAATGTGATGTAACTGTTCTTATTATTTACATGTGCAAACTACAGTAAGGATGAGACGGTTGATGTGACGAAATGACCAAATGACCAAATGATGAAATGACGTGACCAGATGCGACGCAACGATGAGAGGCAGTCAACGGAAATGACAAACAAGGAGTCAAGGAAGGAATTGTGGCTCAAAGGCAAGAACAGGATTGGTCCAAACTACTGTCATGTGCAACATAATAACTGTTGTGTTGAGAATAGCAGCTCTACAAATTCGACAAGCGACACGCTATCTTTCTGTAAAATCCACTCGCTCCGTGAGACCGGCAGCTTTCTGACAATGAAGTCAGAGTGTTTCTGAAACATCTAGAGACTTTTCCTTCGATCAAAATAGTCAGTATAAGATTTGGCTGTAAAGGAGCAGCCCTGCAAAAAAACAGGGCTCAGTTTTGCCAAACCCTAACCTCTCAATTCCATTTTTGATACTTTGGGACACAACTGGATTGGATATGAGTTTGATATTTATCTGTTTAATTGGATATTAATAAGGTAACAGTTGTAGGTGACAGAAATTCTCATATCTTTCACTGTTATTTCAAGTGAAGTCCAGAATATTATGAAGGATGGTGCATTGTCCGCTGTTAATGCTTTTGAATGCGTCAAACATAACCGGATTAAAAAGCGCATATGAAGATCTATCCGACTGTTTGTGGGTTCAATATTCTAATGAACTCCATTATCCTCCCCACATTCATTTACTTTAGATGGCAGATAAATGTGTTGCGCCGTGATGGAGGTGTTGCATGTGTTGGTATTAAGCTAATTGCATGTCACTTCTGTAATAGAGGGTATGAAATTAATCTCATTATCTTTCTTCTGTCTTTTCTTTGTCCATCAGCGAATTAAAGCGAACGTTGGAACAAAACTATGTGACTCCTGATGTGGGATATTTACGGCAGCAGTAATGTTCCAGCACAAACAAACATGTCTCATCTATTGTCTCTCCTCGTAGTTTGATCCGCGGGCACTGTGCTGAGCCAGCATTTGCATATTAGTTGGTGTTCTTACTTCTTCACCCACACATCAAATATCTGGACGGGATTCAACACCAGAGCCAGAGCACATTTGGAGGCTCTGCAGCCTGAGACTAAAGGGCACAGCAGCTCCTTCCTGTGAGTGCGAGCCAATCCTGGACTCATCAATTAACTTAAACTGCAGCTCATTTTTCATATACGTTTAATGGTAACTGCTCAGGCGAGGAGGGCAGGGAGCCGTTTGTCCTTGACTGAGGTTGTTCTGTAAAGTATGGATATATATGTGTCGATGTGCTGATCCTCATTTCTTTAAATAGGCTGTTTGGATGAAGTCTGGTTTCAGGGTCAAGTTCAGTCTGGGTTCAGGACAGACATTTAGGATTTAATGGGAGGTTATGGTGTAAAGATATGATTGTGGTTTTTCATCAGTGGATGCAGGGACAGACGATAAATTTTGGAGGTGATTTTGAGACCATGCAGTGACTTCCACTACAGAGTCATGTCTGTTTTGTCATGTTTGTAAGAGACATTGAAAAAGACGCTTTATGAACTATCGACTACTTTTAAATTCTTTTAAGCCTTAAAGAAACAGAGTTTTATTCAGGAAGTAAAAGGCCAATAACTACCATATAAGGAAGTGTGGACATGTGCTTCTTGAAAGAGAAAAAGAAACTTTTCAGATGCAGATTTACGTTATTTTGGGTGAAGTGGATTTAAAAAATAATAAGTTTAATCGGTGTGACACTCCCTTTGGTACGTTCTGTAACAGTCCCAGTCCCTGCGAGGGCTTCATTATAAACCAGCTCTTATTAAAGGGATATTCCAGCGAAAAAGGAGGTAACACTGTAACACTGAGTTAGACATCGCATGGAAATACAATCAGACCGAGATGTTAGGCAAAAGAACTACCATGTCTGCAGTACAAATGATAAATATGATCATTATTACTTCAAGGAAATGATAAAGAAATGATCATAAATGTTCTTCCTTGAGATGCGGCACCCAGCTGCAGTCGATGGACTCGCCCAGAGGTCTCCGTACAAACAAGCGGCTGCTGGAAGAGAGTAGGTGAGTTGTGTTTAGTCTCTTTGCTAAAGAAATTAGTCAAAGTTAAAAAGATGTTTGGTGTCTAGTACTATGACTGTGACCCTATATGTCCTGCTGATGAAGTTAGGTGCTGTTCTGAGCATTATTTGTGGCTATAGAGTGGTGTTTTGGTTGAGCGCGTAGCTCTCTGTTCTGCTATCCTGCGGTCGTCACTAAAGTTGGTATAACTAGAGAAGCAAGCAGTCGGCAACATTCATCTCTGGAGGGGGTGTCTTACTCGGTGTTAGCGTCTGTTTGACCCTTACTTAATTTTACGCCGGAATATCCCTTTAAACACATGTACAGGTCGAGTTAAAATATGTGCAAATCCACAAGAAGGATATTTGCAAATGTAAAAAGTCAGTGATGGTGTCTGAAAAAACTGAGTGTTATTTTCTGTATGTTGTTGTAATTGAGTTTGCTTGTATATTCAGCTCTGCAGAGTCTGACAAATGATGCATTGTTTTTGTGTATATTTGTGTGTATAAGTGTGTGTGTTTGTGTGTTCCCAGCACAGATGGAGCCCCTGATACAGGCCTGTGCAGCCGACCACTGCAGGACACATTATGGCAATTTTCAGCCCGAGGAGCCTGCGAGCGTCAGAGCTGGCGGGGCTGCAGGATGAGTTCGACCCCACACACACACCCATCCGAGCGTGACACAAACGCCTGCACCGCTGGGACGCCGTCCAAACCTGAGAAGAAGAGGTGAGCGGAGGATGGCGGTGTTCATCCAGTACAGCTCTCCAGGTACTTGGTTTCATTCGCTAAAGCCAATATTTGACTAGAGGAGACCTTTTCCTGACTTAACAGCAAATCCACGAGGGGAAATAGAAAAGAAAGGTGGCGCTGATTGAATTTCCTGTCCGGTCAGAGTGTTCGCTTACACACATAAGAAACTTCCTGTACCTACAGACCTTATTTAGACCATATCATTGAATATGTTTAAGGTGGTATTAGGAGGCTGACCCTCAGAGAGTACTTCATAGTTCAAGTTCTGTAGATAATCAAGTTACTAAAACATCAAAAATACTAAAAGTAGTAACAGTTTCTGATAAATCTGTTAAACTGTAAAAAACACCTCAAAAGTTACTCATAGTTGGAATGTTTTCAGACGTTCAAACTCGGTCCTACATTTCTGAATTTTCATTAATGTGTCCAGATGCTTCGTGTACATGTTTTCCTGCAAATTCAAGGTATATTGCTGCGTTTGAGTTACCTCCGAAGTCAGATGTCGGAGCTGAAAATTACGTCACACCCGAGTTAGCTGTGCAAGTCGGAAAAAAGCAAAGTCAGAGGCAGAAACAAGATGGCTACATCTACGAAAGTTATTTTAGCGCTTGCCTTGTCCAAATATAACAAGCACAATGCAAGCATAAAAATATTTTTCGTAAATGTAGCCATCTTGTTTACGCCACCGATTAAGTTTTTTTTTCCAACTTGTGCAGCTATCTCGGGTGTGACGTCATTTTTAACTCCGACATCTGACTTCGGGGGTAACTCGAACGCAGCATAAAGCTATCAAATTTGCTCTGTAAGTTGCACTTTTCATACTTTTTATCTTTAAAAAGTGAGCTGCATTGAACTCTCTGGGCCAACCAATATACCAACCCAAACGTTACTTATTTTACCCTGAAGATGGCGCCAAAGTTCTGCATTACAAGTGAATGATTTCATGTAGTATGCTTTCAGAGCATTCTTGCAGACATCCTAATCTATTTCAGCTAGTTTGCAACAGAAGTGCATATAAAACAGACACAAAGGAGGCCGAGTCTGAAAGAGGTTTGCACTTTTGTGAGAGACTGCGAGGGCACACAGTTCAACTTTAATATGAGCGTTCAACTGATATCAGCTTTTGAACAAGAAATACAGACACTAATAATGAGCAGGTCAGCTGATGGCTGATATATAACATAATAAAATAGAGAAACACCAACCAATCCTTTCCCTGCATCCATACATGTTGTTCAGGGGTGCCACTTATCTTTGGTATCTTTAGTTTTTTTGTCTGATATCAACAGTGAAAGAGTTAAAAATCCTCTGCAGCAAAATCCAGAGTCACAAAAAAGGTTCAGCGAGATGAAAATGCTAAAATATTGATTTAGGACGCATCAGAATAAAAAACTAATTTCAAGAACCCGTACGAATATACAGCTAAAGGGATTATCTGAGAAAAGAGTTTGCCTTTAATCCTATGCAAGTCTGTCGCATCTATAATTCAAACACCAATCCCATAAAGATTCAAATCACATCCGTCAGCTTTTGATTTGTTTATGAAGCTCCTTCATGAAAATTGGAGGATAAAGATTGAATATACAGAACGAAGAATGCATTTGAGATTTTCTTTGCAGGTCTGAATATAAAATCATGCCCTTCAAAACTAAAGCAATGGTCAAACGCTGCATTTACGGCCTTTCTAATCAACTATGAGGCATTTAGATGAAAGTGGTAAAAGCAATATGCAGCATCAGACATACTGGGTCCAATTATGCAAAGCCTGGATGTTTTCCAAGTTAAGATAAATAATTATAAGAGTAGTTTATGCGTGCAGACTCACATACCTGCATGCATGTGAGGGATTTATTGCTGTTGCTCGCACATTAGCCCATCAATCCTGGGCGAGGTCACACAGAGTGCAAAAACTCTCATCAGCAAAACAAATCACCGTCCCCCCCCTCCGCTCTTTGATGAAAGGCGTCTCCGCACGGAGAAAATGTACGATTTTTACAGCAGATGAAAGAGGTGAACGCTGTGATTTCTGCCGCCGGAGGCCTGATCTGCATCTACTGATTCAAAGGAAGATCCTGGAGACCTGAGATAAAGTAGAAACACGGCAGCTCGGCCCCAAAACTTCAAACAGCACTGACACTTTTAATTACGCTAATCTGCAAACTATGGAAATGAAGACTATTTAAAAACCGGCGGTAGAGGTGTCGACAGTTTGTGTCCGTTTGCAGCTGCACAGATCGCAAAACAACGAGGAGAAGTGAAAGCGGTCTTTAGATGAGTCACAACTTTAACTGGAGGCAGTAATGTGCTTTTTCCTCCTCACGCCAGAAATCATTTCAGGTCCCATTCCTTAAAACGGAGTATCTCTCTCTGCAGAGCGACTCACTTATTAAATAAGAGAGTTCGCTGAGAGAGAGGGTGATAAAATTGACTGCTAAGGACAGGCCTCCAGGTTCTGTTTCTGCAGACGTGTCACCTCTGAAAAACCTGATTTTAAACGTCATTTTTAGGCGTGAGAGTTTGAGCGTTTGAAGTCTGATTGAAGGAGGTAAATAAAAACCACTCTCAGTGAAAAGACAGGTTTCAGTCATGTGTATCTTTCTGCAGCTGCTTGAGTATCCGACGCAGCAGGTAGAGAACGCACCCTGACCTCGCATTGACGAGCGGCGCAGCGGGAGAGTTTGAGCGCATGAATGCTGATTTGTATCGTGGAAACACTAAGACGAGTCAGAAGAGGATTCAGCTCGAGTTTGAAGAAGCTCAGCGGGTAAACATTCAGGGAAAAGCGGTACAAAACACTCCACCAGATGCTCCAAAACAGACGATTACACATTCAGCACATGCACCATCCTCTGTTCAACCTTCACCTCCACTCACAGCTACGCCTCGAGCGAACACTCAGAGACGCTCCCACTCAGCTTGAACCACAGGCGGGAGGTTTTGGATGTAGCTCGGAGACACGCGTTGTCACACACAGGGACTGTTTTGTCACGACTTCGCTCGCAGCTTCTCCGGGAAAAAAGGACCGGAGGAGAAAAGAGTGAGAGGTTCATTTTTAGACGTGCCCTCCAACTGTTTGGTGTCACCCCGTCACCGTTAACACCTCTGCGTCTTCAGATGACACTTTGACAACTTAATTACGGGCAATCCCGAATAAAAGAGTCAGGCGACAACGTCAGCTTCACAAAGCAATCTCCCCCTCGCACACACACTCTTCAACACACATAAACAAACAATTTCAGGAGGCAAACTAAGATGTCAGGCGAGGAGAATCAGAAACAAGCCTGAGGTAAACATGGATAAGCCGCCTAAAGGAAGAGGTTTTTAATGAACTGTCTGTTTTGGAGTCTTTTAACACTTCCTGACAACTCAATTTTACTCAAAGTCAGATTTTCTCTGTGTGAGGAGATTTTCTATTGGTTAAAATAGTTGCACAAGCATTTATTGCAGCACTAAACCGCTTTACAGGAGAAATATGTTTCATGTGCAGTAAATAAATAGTTTTAAAGTGGCTAAATTCAAAACTAGAGCAAAGATTTTTTAAAATTTAACTTGGTATAAAGTCTTAGATTCACAAGATCAGAAACATCGAGAAGATTGAGGAGTTTGGCGATAAAAATTGAATTATCTGCTGGGGCTGGGACGATACGCTTTCCCCCCCGATGTGATTCTTCTATGATTTTTTGGATGACAATTGGATTTAAATTGCGACTCTATGATATTGTCAATTTTTAGTCTGCATTTTTAAGTGAAACAGTCGAATGATCATGATTGTCTTCTGACTACTCCAGGAGCCATATTTCCCCAAAAATACACATCACATGTAAGTCAGTTTTTAAGATTTATTCTTAAATCTGAATTAAAAAGTGATTTTTGGACAAAAAAAATCAATTAAAAAAATTGTAAAACAAAAAATTGCGAAAAATTATCGATTTTTTCTCCCACCCCTATCATCTGCACAGAAAGCAACAGGTCGAGATCCCAAAGTCTTTAAAAACTACTTACTAGAAACTTTACATTTTTTATTCTACTAACTATCAAATTAACTGATCAGCAAATACTGCAGAGAAACGCCAGTTTAAAGTAACTCAAGTAAGAAAATCTGAATGTAACTCACCCGGATCAAAGCAAACTCAGTCAGGCTCGGTCTGTTCAGGACAGCGGTGTCCGTGTCTGTGGAAGGAAAACAACAGGAAACATGTTAACAACCACTGTGGACACATCCCACAGCTGAAGGAGGCCGGAGGCAGACCTGAACCGACTCGTCTGAGAGGAATTTGAAGAATTTAAGACACAGATGGTTTTCTTTCTTTGTGCAGCTCAGAAAACGTAAATGTTCCTCTGCTCAAGTCAGTGCTAAAGAATAAAAACCTGGACATCACATACCATCAGCTTCAAACAGCATGACCTGATCTGAATATCTGAACTTTGAAAAAGAGCCTCAGGATGTGATACAACAGACGGATAAAATGAAGGTATAAGAGTCAGATTTCATATTAATAAATACAGCTCTCAATTATCAGAATAATACTCTGCTGGTTTTATTCAAATGAAGCTTTTAAATTCATGCATTCATAATTCCTCTCCACAAAAAGTCATAATTCAGCAGCAGCAGGTTAATTTCCTCTTGGACTGATCCTCCCACATTAACTCGGATCATGTTGAAACCACACCGAACCCGTGTAACAGCTTTCTCCCATCTAATGCAATTAAGTCTGGAGATGCTAATTAAACACAGAAATATAAAAAGACTCGAGGAGGTTCAAGCACCGCCACAAAGCTGATGCTGTTGCCAGGCGATAGCGAGCAGAGGAATCACACCTTTGGAAATGTGCAGCATCCTGCATCAGTGACAGGGATCCACAGAGACAGTTAACTGGCTTACTATCAGATCTGAGATCAGCCGTATTAGGAGGACGTAAGCTCTTTCTCTCTACCTCTGCACACCGGACGAGCACAATGGGTGATTAATACGTCCAAGGTGAACAATAGACGCTCCATCTGAGGTCGTAAAGGAGCTTTTATGAGGCTGTTAACGTCAGTTCATAATTCAATTTGGTTTATGGGGAAAGAATTCAGTCGAAAGCTGAGTGGAACAGCATCAATTCTTCACATTTAAGGATTTTGTCATAAAAAAGTGACTTTTTTAAACTTTTATCATCTCTGTAAACATAACTGCTAAATGTTACACATCTAGTTTTTGCATCTCTGTGATTTTCCTCCTCATCGATATAAAAGTTTTCCTGAATATGCCCCCCATGCTTGATTAAAGGAAAAATAATAACTAGATGCAAAAATTTTATGTTTATGTACTTTGGAAATGTTGCCTTTGCATTATTAACATTATTGATGTTGGAACTTGCTGTCTCCACATACCGAGTGTGAGTAAAATCATTCGCACAAATGAATTCAGTCAATGCAAAGATGCAATTAGACGCTCGTACTACTCTGGCAGCGCGAATGACATCCATTGGACGGGAGCTGAATATGTCTCAACTTCAGAGGATATTTGCATCGCAATAACCAATCAGCACTAATGTCGCTAGGTGATGTATGAAAACAGACGGTTCTTCACTGGTTTCTAAAATGCTTTTGTTGTCCAACTTTGATTCACGATAAATACGTGGAATATTACTGAGTTTAATGTTACTGAGAAGTGTTTGAAAGGCTCAAAAGCAGCCATTTGTTAAAAAAAAAAGAAGTAAATATGTAGATATATTACTTAAATTATCAAAATTTTAAACTTCATAAAATATTTTAAAAAATCGGCCGATTAATCGGTAATCTGCATTTTTTCCTCCCTAATAATCGGTATCTGCATCGGCCTCAAAATATCCATATCGGTCGGGCCCTAGTAAATACTGTTCATTCACATGTTTAGATCCGTGCGAATTAAGTGAGTGGATGATTTTTTTTGCGCTTGGTGTGAGCGGTCGAAGAGAATGAAATCCACTCACTCTGTGAGACCGGCAGCTTCCAGAGCGTGAACCAAAAGTGTGTTTCTGCAACATCCAGGAACTTTTTTATCCCACAAAGGCGATCAGTGGACCGTCTGATCCAATCCTTCGAAAGAAAAATAATCTGTGCTGATTTATTTATCAATCAGAGGTTGTATAAAGTTATAAAACTCAAAATTAAATTGTGTCTACACTGTTTGCTCCAGTTTCATGTCTTTGGAGTTTTTCAAATAATCCTTTTTTCACAAGTTTTTAAAAGAGCCCTAAATCCATTTAAAGTACAAACCCACTAACACTGTTTAATCCCTTTTGGTTTTTTTCTTTAGTGCAAATTAAACCCTAAAAACAAGGACGACAGCCGCGCACAGAGATAGAAGAAATCATTGGTAACAGCTGTAGAGTCCTTCAGAGGAGAAAGAAGCTGCTCTGGTTGTAAAATTCTCATTAAAAGGACGTTAAATGGAGCGATTGAAGGACTAAAGTGCAGTTTTAATAATGGAGACAGTGAATTAAAGGAAAGTAAGCAGCAGGATTTAGTGTTCCTCCTGTAAACTGAAGAGCAAAGTGAGGTTTTTCAGGCTAACAGCACACCTGCTCCTCCGCTCCTGATTGCGAAATGGCCGTGAAGTCTTTCATCGGCTATTTTCACACTCTTCCTCCTCCTCCTCCTCCTCCCCCTCTGCTCATCTCTTTTAGTGAGACAGACAGCTCTGAGGGTGAGGACACGTTTGACGCTCAGCCAAGGAGAGGAATATTTCACTGGGACCGATGTCAGCGTGGACGCCCCCGGCTGGAGACGAAAAAACACAAACGGGTCGATACTGTGATTGGCATGTCGCTGTCGAGTCACGGGTCAGGTCCTCCTCCCGCAGACTGAGACAGATCCATTAGGACAGACCACATACTGAGACTACAGGTCCTGATTTACATTTCTTCTACAGGAGTAACCTCAGAGTGACTCTCCTGACAGCTGGAGGAGGAAAAACTGACTGAAAATCAGAAACATCAGTCACAGATGAAGACTCCCTCGTCTTCCTCTCCTTCTCCTGACAATAATCAAATGTCATCATGTCTAAACTTGCAGCTTTTTTTTTTTGGCTCATTGTGGCATTTTTTGATATTTGCATCCATTCCTGCACTTGATTCAGACTTCTGCAAGTTTTTTTTGGATGTGCATCGTTACAAAATCTGACGATGAAGATCTTCTGGGATGGTGGAGATGAGTTACTCTTGTTAACGACCACTTCAACAAACGCTTATCTTGATGGCGCACTTTTTATACAACAAACCAGCTAGCGGTACAAAAAATCCAGTCCCTGGATTTCTGCCGGTTTTTCAAAACCTTATTAATACAGATCAAACCAACCCAGCAAGAAGTGGTTGAAAAGACGTCTTCACCGTACGTCTAAACAACGTCTAGATTCGGACCGTCGAGATAAAGCCCAGTTTTCAACGTCTTTTTTTGGGTTAATTTACGGTCATGACAGGCCGACGTGATTTAGCCTGAAAAAAGACGTCTAAATGACGTTGGGTGTTTGGTAGGAATGTTGCAGTTCCACCAGGAATAACGGGGGCAGTGTTGAGCAAGTTAAGCAGCCAACAGTTCAAGCCTCTGTAGATGTAAAACAGAGTTCCTCATGGAAACAGTAATCAGACGAGGAGTCGAGTGAAATGTGGTTTCTCGTGTCGATCACAATCACGAGTTTTATTGGTCGTTTACGAGACTGATCAGTGATATTTGGAGCCAATATGTGCCAAAATTTAGAACAAAGTCAGAATCGACAGGAGCTGCGTTCAAGTTACATGGTCCTTTGACATCTAGCCAATCAGATTGTGTTGTGGGCGGGACATTAAGTGAGATGGAGTGATGCAAGAAAATAAACCGTAAGTGAAAAACATCCTCATTCAGCCGAGATCAATAATCAGTCGCAATCTCCAACCAACCTGGACTTTAAACCCAGGCTGCATTTGCTGAACTTAACCTTTAAAAATAACGAGAGTTAAATGTAGAAGCAGTTTAATTCTTATTTTGTGTCGTAGTTTTGTAGCAAACACCAGAAATCAACTCTTTTTCCCATTTCATGTGAAAACAGAGCTGTAGCTGTAAACGCCTGATTATTCCCTCAGTATGTTTCATGAGTTTCTGCACAAACGAAACCAAAAACACGGCGACAGATCGGTTAATTAAAGCTCGGCTCTCTAAAAGACAAACAAAGCGAGTCCTCTGTGATGTCTGCAGACTTTATAAACAACTTTCAACTCGCTCTGGATGAACCTTGGCTTCATTATTCTCACATTTTTGCACCACCTATGACAGATTTGTAGAAAAACCTTCCTCCACAAATGTCCCCGCGTTTTGCCAAATAAACACTCTTTGATTTCCCCACATGCTGATCCCGGAGCTGGCACGCTCACGCTCTTTAAAAGCGCAGTGGCGTTGGTGCTGTGACAGCTGAGCGGGACTCTGTGATCGCTGTAAAAACATGAGAGATGACAACAGAGGCGGCGACATCAAAGACGCACACACGCGCACACGCTTACACGCACGTTCACACATGAGGAAATCAGCAGCAGATTACTGAGGCTGGTTATTCATCAGCACTTACAGGAGCGGGGTTAAGAGTCATGCGCATGCATAGTGCCGCATTGTAATGACTCGCAGAGATCATTCGTACATGAGGAAGAAAAAGAAAGCAACTCTGAGCGTCCTATCGACACTCACTTAAGATAATGGGCCTGCAGGGAGGATATAGATTGGAGGATGAATCTGGGAGCTTGTGTTTGCAGCTGAATGGGCAGACACAGCAGATAAAGGGCTTTAGAAAGGGACACTACAGGACCCACGGAGGCAATTTGTCAGGATTAAAGCTGTACAGTGTCTGTCGATGTGTGTGTGTGTGTGTGTGTGTGTGGCCGCAGAGTCAGGTGTTGTTCATTAAATCCAGGTTGTCAGGGAATCAAAGCGCCAACCTGAGAGCACCCAAAGGTCATCTGAGGCTGAGCGTCTACCGTCGATTCGACACGACTCCACGGTCCAATCTGACTGCAGGTTCTCTTCAATTATAGACATTTAGAGGCGCCATGGTTTCGCTTTAACATTCAGACTGTAAGATATGTTAAAAAAAATGACATTCAAAAGTACTGGGGTGTTAGGAAGCAGGAGGATGCTGCAGGGACTTAACTACAGTGTGCAAACAGGGACAAAAAGCCCATGGGCTCAAGCTAATAGGTATGGCACAATAAAACTTTGCAGTAGAAATCACCAAATTATTTATTCCATGAATAGGTTTAGGTTAAGCCTAAAGCTTCTGGTCGAGGTTCGTTTCCAGCCTGTAGCGTCTTCCATTAATATCACAGTCCTCTCCTTCCCTCTGTTGTCCTTCTCTGTCTCCAGTCCTGTCCTCTCCAGTAAAGACAAAAAGCCTGTACCGAGCAGAAGCAAACTTCATTTTAACCTAATCCAGAAATGCAAGCCACCATCTACATGTCCATGGCGAGAGTTTTACTGCAGTGTGATTTATACAAGTTTAGAAGCAACATCTGCTGCCATCAAGACGAGGAAGACCTTCATACTTCAGCAAGACTATGAGAAACCACATTCTGACAACAGGGATTACAACAGCATGGCTCTGTAGTAGAAGAGTCCTGCATTTAAACTGCTCTGATGCAGTCCTGACTTGACTTCTTTTGGAGACATTTGGCATTGAAAACACGACAAAAGAGACCCTGAACCGTCGGACAGACTTTTAAAAAACTCCAGAAACTGGTCTCTTTGGGCCCCAAACATGTTCAGAATCAGAATTTGACTTGTTGTTTTAGCACTATTTATGATTAAATGTAGTTTAAAGGATTTGCAAACCATCAAGTTTAATTTTTGGTGAGATTTTGCATCAGTATGTTGATTTAATGCCGCGGTCCAGTTGTTCTCGGAAGTCGGGATTTCCAAGCTCAGAGTCGGATATTCATCTGGAACGCCCCCCTGAAGACAGATTTCCGAATTGGAAAGTTGAACGATCCTCGCCAACCCTGAGTTGACGATGACGTTATTATCCAAGATGGCAGCACAGTGTACCAACAGTAAAGAGTAACAGTGAAAGCTCTCGTTATTATTATATTATTATTAGCACTTCTGTTTTGTTTTAGTGAAATTAAATAAGTGGATTATGTTGTACTGTCCAACGTCTAACTGTGAACACAGTGCTGTGGTGTTTGTAAGAGGAAAATACTGTGTTATGCGTTGTTTACGACTGGTATAGCTAACAACAGCTGACAATTGTAAACAACAGCTAACAGTAGGCGTCTCTCTTGGTTTTCCGAATTTTTTACTGGAACGCCGTCAACTCAGGTGTAGCATAATTCCCAGCTCCAACATACGACTTCCGAGGTAACTGGAACGCAGCATAAATACAGGAGACTCGTTGTGTGCTTTTTTGTTTTGTGCAATCAAATATTTTTGCACCTAAAAGGGTTGAAAAATAAAAGCGAACCTGCAGAAACTTCGATATTTACGACAGTAGTGTTCAGTACAAAGAGGATTTGTGGGAGTGTGCGTGTGTGTGTGTGTGTGTGTGTGTGCGTGTGTGTGTGTGTGTGTGTGTGTGTGACTCTGCTGCTGCGAGTGTCTTTGTTTCCACATGAAGCCCTTCAGCCTGCACAGACTTCAATCAGATACCATCACCAACAAACCCCTGATTACCTCCCTCTACATCTCCTGCTCTCTCCTGTAGCATCATCTGCTGCTTTGAACCTCCACACACACACACACACACACACACACACACACACACACACACACACACACACACACACACACACACACTGCCTCAGATAAGAGCCCTGCAGCAGAATCAGAACCAGACAAATGTCAAACAGAAAACACACACACTGTACACACACTCAGCACACACGCCTGACCTTCAGCAGCGCCTCCTGAGGCCCAACATGTGAGAGGCTACCTGTGTTCAAGCAGAGATCCCTGACGGCCTCCTGCACATGCTTTCAACCTCCCTCCTAATGAAATTGGTTCGGCTTCACAATGCTCTCTTTCTGCGCTGATCCTGACGCTTGAAAAGCTGCAGGAAGGAAAAAAAGAAAAGAAAGCAATCTGTTTGCACACAGCCGTCAGACCTGCAGCTGACACTGAGGGCTTTTATTGTGGCGGTCCACGACATTAAAGAAACATCTAAACCCCAACACGCTGTCCTCCATCTGCAGAGGTTAGAAAACAATGTTGATATTATGCAAATAGAGCGAGCTTAATCCAGCACTTCCACCTCCACACTCTGACACAGAGCTATTGTGTCAGATGAATTCATTACAGGAGCTGTCAGAGCAAATCTCATTACAGACCAAACAGCAATCAACACATCAGAGTGTTTAAGACGGCGGCAAAGCTGCGAGACTCTCACATTAAACCGAGGAGTCCGCTTAAAGCTCTTAAAGCGAGATTTATTTATTTAACATCAACATCCTGTTTCTTCTTTTCTGCATTTTTATCTGCGTTAAAACTGATCAATTCAAAGGTTTGCTCATTTGCATGTTGTGACTCTAAAGAAAGAGACATCAGGATCAGGATCGGGTTTATGTCCAGGTAGGTTTAGACACAGACAGAGAGAATCTGTCTCTGTGTTTCGTTGCTACGAAACTGAACGCAGAATAACTGTTTACACTGAAATCAGGGTTGATAAGAGTTTATTGATCCTGCTCATTGATCCAGATCTTCACTGTACAGATTTTTAAAAGTCACCTACATATAGCTACACCTAGCTTAAACAGCTTGCATATAACTTTATCTCCCTGAGCATTTTTTCAGTGTCTGCCTAAAATCTGAAGAATTTCCAAACGGAGCTTCTAAAGTTCGTTGGAGTCTGAATATTCCGCCATTTTTATAAAATACTCAAGTATATATTCAAATGTAGAATATTCTTCAACACCCCTACTGCTCTGCTGAAACCAGACATCTTGTGATCGGACCTTCACAGGCCTTGCTGATCGTGGATACAGCCTCTGATTGGTCAACAGACCTAAACAACATAAATAAGACTCTTTCCCTAAAATTCACTCAAAGATCACTTTGGTTTTTGAAGGTTTGGATCTGCTCCGTCTCACTTTTGGTTCGTACCCTGAAAGCCGCCGGTCTCACAGAGTGAGTGGATTTTATTTTAAGTCTTTACATTGTTTTGTTCTTTTTCTACAGCTGATCTTGAAAACAAAACAATATCATGTCAAGAGCTACCAGATCAACCCTTTAAAGAACCAAACTCTTCATAAAGGATCTATTTTAAAGAGAAAAAGTCTTATATTTGTTCGGTATCTTGACATATCCTACATTTTTAGACTTAAAGCAGTTTTTCAGCTCCTTTGTACAGGATGAATTTCACTTTTCTCTTTATAGAAAGCTGATAAAAACTGTTTCACTTCAGTCCTCGTGGATATTTTTCTGCAAAGCCTCAAAAAAAGAAAGACTGACTGACTATAAAGCCGTTTGGTTTGCAGGTAAACAAACCTCTCACAGTGTTTTGGTTTCGCTGCATCTTTCCATCACATTTACACATCACACTCTGTCCTCTGACAGCAGCGCAGGTGTGCACAGACGCCGACGAGCGAAATGAGCTGCGGTAACACCTGGTGGAGTATTTTGCACGGTAACCCTAAATGTTAATGACTGGAGCAGTTGGTGGGCAAATTGACGGGATAACAAGCTCTGATGAGGCCCGCAGAGTTAATCAATGATGGTGACATCCGAGGAGATGATGGTGGAAAAAAAAACTCAGAGCAGCAGTCAATGAGAGGGAACAAGGACCCGGAGCACAGTCAATGAAGAGCACAATGCAAACTCAGCAAGAGAAGCAGAACAGCCTCGAGCGCTGAGGGGAAAAATGCACCGTCGCAGGGTTAAAATCGAGTGAAATGCACCGACTCCCCCGTGGACGGACATCTAGGACCCCTCAAATAGAAGCAGAGGGAGAGAGGACGGGTGAGTGCGCTTCAGAGGTCATAAATCAGACGCGCAGCATCGTGTGTCTTCGGTCCGGCGGCGGCGGCGTCGGCACGTTTCAATCACCGCAACAACAGACAAGCTGACAGCAGAAAAACCCCGAGGCAGAGAAAGACCAGCAGCAGCAGCTCCAGTGAGATATGAGACACCTGAGAGAGTGACATCTATCAACCTTTACAAAGAGACAGGTCCATCAGCGGGGAGTGCATCCTGACTCCCAGACCGAACAATCCTGCAGCTGCTTTTTTTGGACTTGTAAGACAAAATAGGAGAGGTGGGCTCGACAGGAGAGTCAGAGTCAGACTTTGATAATAAAGTGAGGAGGTATGTACAATAGAGAGATAAACCCCCGAATGATGGTGTGCAAAGTCACCAGTGAGACACCTGTAACTATCTCAACTGAATTACACGTTAAGTCAAAGCAAAGACGCGATTAGACGCTCGTACTACTCTGGCGGCGCAAATGACGCAAATTGAGCATGAGCTGAAAATGTCTCGACCTGAGCAGATAATCGCATCACGATAACTCATCAGCATGAAGGTTGCCAGGTAACATATAAAAACAAATGGTTGTTCATCTAAAATGGAGGACAAACTGATCGTGTCGGTGTGGTGGTGTCCCGAATTATATGATACCTTTTCTTTCAATTACCGATATTGAAATAAAAAGGAGCTCACCTGGAGGAACGTGAGTGAAGAGATCGGATTACCTGGTAAATTGTAAAAAACTTTGTCTATCTATTGATCCCATTGGCAGGGATTACCACTGACGCACAAACGAAGCGAGTAAATACTATTCATTTAAGCGAGTAGATGATTTTACACGCACTTGATGTGAGCGCTCCATTAAAAGGAGGTTGTACTTGCTGTGTATGTCATGAACTCTGTTGGCTGCAGATAATCTGATAATCTATTTCACCGTCTGTAATCTCCCTCCGCCTTTGCATCCATCCCTGAGCTTCCCTCACTGCTCACACCTGAGAACCCAAAACCAACCTCGGCGCCTGAATAACACCCAAAAACATCCAGAGAAAATAAGAACATACGACAGATGAAGTCTGGATTCATGAAGGTTTGATTTTATCTGCAGCACAGACACGAATAAGTTTTAACGCCGACCTTTAGTCTCCGCCTTTCTCTCAGGATTACCGGCTCCATCCAGGAGCTCTGCCCTCTCTCTGTCTAAACTTCACCGCCACAAAAGCCGCTTTGTTCGAGCGCTCATGTCTGATCAAAGCAGGAAGAATGGAAAATGGAAAATTTCCCTGAAACCTTGAGTAAAGCAGAGAAATCATCATTTATTGTCAAAGATGAAAGCTTTGTCCGGACCTTGGAAACACTTGTTGAATCCGCAAATGTCTCCACTTAGAGCTGTCTGAACATTGGCTTTGAAAATCCATTTGTAAATCTTTTTCTGTGTGGATCAGAAGTCGAAAGGAGAATAAAAACGACCCTGTGATAAAACAGAACGTCCTAAAAATGTACTTTAAAGTAAAAAACAGGATAAATTTGCTCTTAGAGCGAAAGGATGAAGTACAAAAAGGAGGTTAATGATGCTTTTCTGGCTCTACTCTGAGATCTCCCTGCACTTCTTCGCGCTGACATGAAATGCTAAAGGCTGAGGCGGGGAGAGCAGCAGCAAAGACCTCCTTTTTTTTCCCTTGGCATGCAGAACTCTTGCGAAAGTTCGTCTGGGCCAAAAAGAGGGAAATGCTCTGACGCAAAGCTGTGATAACGTCAGTCTCTGGAGGGATGGGGTGCATATGTCTTTCAGACCAAACAAACTGATGGTCTAATAGTGGATTTATCCTGCTTTTCATACTCAAACACTATTTCTCTGTGGCTGAAAACCAACAAATCTACAAAAATCCATCTCTGTTCGTTAAGACCCGGACCGTCTCTTCCTCTCTGCAGTCCTCGTTTTGGATTTAGTTTGATCAAATGGGTATAATTATACATGAAAAGCCTGTCTAGTCTGGAATTAAGTAAATACAGCCGCAGGAGATGCAAACACTCATTTCAAGGCCAAGTGCGGACATCCTCAGAAGCAATCCCAGAAAATCCTGCCTGAGACACTAAAGAAGACGAGTGCAGCCAAAAAAAACAGCAAAAACTCTCCATGTCACTCTCTGATTCTGTGACCTGCAGCGTGCTAAATGAAAACTCCACCTGTCCTCGGCTAACCGCTGTTTCCACCTGCGTTCTTTTGGCGACAAAGCTGGAAATATTATTTATTTTTTGGGGGGAAGCAGGGAGGGTTTGTTTGATCTGACAGCCAGCTCGTACCACCCGAGGAGTGGACAGATTACCATCAGCTGTCTGAGGGGGAGCAGAGCGGCAGGATGGGTCCCTAACCCGCCGAGGTCAGGCCTCTGGATGCAGATAAAGCCCTTCCTTTTCATCAAACACCTCGTGGAGAAAAGCAGTCCCAGAAACCTGCAGAGTGACGCTGCAGAACTGCCGACTTCACGCTGCAAAGTGGGTCGATTACGGCGAGTAAGAGCAGCGGCTTCAGAGGGCACCTTGGAAAAATAAGCTTTTTCAGGAATAATCAAAATGCCCCAAAGCTTGAGAAATAGTCTGGTTATAATCCCAGATTCACTCAACGGCTTTATGAAGATTGCTTTCCCTTTTATAAAGACAAATAGGTGACTGTTAAAGAAGGGGAAATCAGGATTTGAAATCCTGCAAGGTGACTTCAGGTAAAAGCAAACGCAGCACACGCTCGTCTTTGTCCCTCTTGAGTCTTTAAACCGAGAGGAAAAACGCCCCAGGAAGCGCAGAGGGAACACAAATCCAGCTTTCTCTGGAAGGACATCTTTCTCACAGCTCCGTAAATCCAATTCATCCTTCCTGCGAGCGAGGATGTGTTCGCCAGAATTTGATTTGGGGGAGATCCATGTTGACTCAGTTAGTGGAAATGAATAAGACCACCGCGGCGCTGAGAGGCAGATAAACCGGCTGTATTTTCTTATTAAACTCTCTCTAGTGCTCCTTTAAAGAGTGGATTTGAATTTCCGCCAACAGGTACTCTCGAGCATTATCATCAGATTTGCATTTTAAAGTGCGGGGATCGTTTGTCTCATCACACCTGCGACATTTCTCAGACTCAGATATAAAATATACCTAAAAATAAACTTCCTTTGACTCCTGGAACCTCCTGGGTTTGGTCGCTCGGTTTGATTTCTCTGTGAGATGGGAGTGGATGTCTCTTTAATGAGGCTAAGTATCGGCTTTTTCTTGGCGCCATCTCAGGTGAACTTCCTCTTCAGCACCTGGAGCAAAGCCCTCAGTAAATCCAGCCTGTGGAGACAGCGGCTAACTCGACAAAGAAACCAATATGTGCACCTGTGGGCCTCCTGTTGCCATGAACACCATCAGCAGCAGCAGCAGCAGCAGCAGAGTCAGTGTAGCGTAATCGTCACCAGCAGCCGGCGGGGACTCAGCGCTTCCTAAACAAATTAGCCCTGAGAAAACTGCTGAGGCCCGAACCTTTAATTACATCAACCTGAAACCGAATTATAGGCCGACTCTGCTGCGTGTAATAACTAATGCACATCAAACAAGCCTCCTCCTCCTCCTCCTCCTGTCCCGCTCCGTCTCCAGTTTGGAACATTTATATCGAGGTTTTCATTCCCGGGAGAGACAGAGAGAAATGTCAAGACAAGAGAGACGTGGCTTATCCTCCCTCCCTGGCCTTTCAGCTTCTCTTTCTTTCGCTCCCTCCATTCTTCTCCCTCCTCGCTCCACTTTCCTCATTCATTCTCCCCCGCTCTGTCTCTCCTTTCTCTTTTTATCCTGTCATCTACATTGTGAGGAGCGTCTGCGGCTCCTCTGAGCCTCCGCTGTGTAAGCAGAGCAGGCGAGGTGGAAGCAGAGGTGCTGCGCGCAGAATAGTGAAACACAAACGCTGCTGGATGGGATTTCAATCTGCCGGCTGAGGGATAAAATGAGATATATCTGGAGTTAACCATCTTTTCTACTCCTTGAACAGGTTGATGGTGTTCACATATGGAAAGATATTATTCGTATCTAGTAAATTTAGGTCTATGGTCCTTTTAAAACAGAGTCTACTGGGTTTCTTTGTCCTTTAAATGAACATAAACCTTGAAAACTTGATTCTTTAATGGAGGGGAAGTTTAAGGATGGACCAGTGGATCAGGTTTTACTCTTTTTAAAGTTGTACAAACTAGGGCTGTGCAAGAAACCGGAAATCTACCAATTCCAAAGTTGAATAATTTTAATTCATATTATACAGATTTGCACATGGAGTGAGTCACTGGCGCTGCCGGTGTTGTGCCGAGAAACACGTGTCCGCCGAGAGTTTCTTTCGGAACGTTACCCGTCACCGTTTAGCCCTGCAAGTAAGAATTGTATCTGTTGCCACAAAGAGAGATAACAAGTCCCAGCAAAATAGAAGCAAGCCAAAAATATCTCTAAGACAGACAGAAGCCATTCTACTAACATTCCCAAAAAGAGGTAAGATTAATTAATTTGTTACCTCTTTTCAACAAGGCTAATGTCAAACCTGATGTCTTTACTCACAGGGCAAGGTATACAGTCCATTCATTCAACAGTAGTATTAGATCGTATCGGATATCGGCAGATACACTCAGCCCAGATATCAGTTTTGGATTGGATCGGAAAAAAATGGATCCGTGCATCTCTAAAAAAATGAATAAATAAAAGTTGGTTTTGGAAGCAAAAAAAGAAGACTTTAGCGTTCTTTATAGTAACGAGAAATGGTGAGGAGAGGAGAGCAGGGAGAGGAGGAGGCAGATGGAGAAAGGCTCTTCTCTCCTCTCTGCAGCGGTCCATTAATCTTGTTGTTCAATAGTTCTTTATAAGGAGCTATAGGCCATTAAACAACATGTAGATAGAGTCAATGAAAAGGGTCAAAGGTCAACAGTTTGAGGACTAATAGACTGATCGATGGACAGAAAATCAACTCTTGTTTGGTCACTAATTACTCCTTCTTCTTTGGGCGATTTTTCAGGAACATGTCGATCAGTTATAATAAACTCTGACTTTTATAATTGGCTTTGATAAGACAGTGTTTTCTGACTTTATTATGTAAATGATCCGATTCTGGAGGATTTGATGGACATGCTAAGACATTTAAAAATGTGACTTTTGGCTGCGAGGAGCTTGTCATGGGCGGTCTGACATTTTATGGACAGAATTAATTATTAATCGCCCTAAAAACATCCTTTGGTTAGAAAAATAATGATCGGCTGCAGCCTTTGAGTTCTCCCTGCTCTTAATTATTTATTGTTACGTCGAGGCAACGTTTCCCCCAGCGCTAATGACTGAAAAGCGGTTTTGAGGAACATGCTCGGATGCATACTCTCTTGTCGTCCATTATGAAAACATGACTGTTTGTCCTCACGCTTACCTTTACAGAGTTCAGCAGCCCTGTGAAGTCACATTGGTTATCTTCAAACCATTACAGCCTCGTCCAGGCACTAAGGCAATTAATTACTGAATTATAGCATGCCAGTGCACAATGAATGCAACAGGCCCTGGAGGCTTTTTTCTCATTACCAGGTACACAGTGTCCTACACAGGCGAGGCAGGGGAGGCTTTTAATAACGTTTAGTATTCAGATTAAACCGTCGTATGCAGCCAGCACTCCAGCTTCCAGGGTTTGGGCTCCAAAGTGGGATCAATTTACAATCCAATTAATTCAAATTATGTGGAAACATGCTCACAAGGAGGGAAACAATCAGCTGTCCCATTAAGGTGAAGACAAACGGGGTCTGAGGTGGAAAATATGAAGGAAAAGGGGGCCTCTGAAGGTTTGACATGGCCAGTGTAACCAGCTAAAAAATAACCGGGACTATCACAGGGATTTACTGGAGATAGGAGAGCTGTGGGCTGTGAGCTGAGCTGCTCTTACAGAGTCTTTACCAGGTCTGAAAATGAACCTGGTACTCACAACCAGTCAAAATACTGATTTAAAAAGTTTACAAAAGAATTCAGAGGTCTTTGGAGGGGCTGTAGGGGCTGTGAGCTGAGCTGCTCCTGCACTGACTCTGTTCATCCTCACCAAATTTCTTACCAGGAACCAGATTATCATCAAAGGCCTTGTCTTCTCCTACATATAAAACCAGGTCTTTAAAAACCAGGCTCATTTGGATGTCAGGAGGGGTCTGTGAACCGAGCTGCTGGTTGCTTCTCTATAGATACTTAAACCTCCAAAATATTACACTGTGAATAAACAATAGAACAGGCTCTCTGTAAATTTACTCTTGCCAACTTTCAGATACAGGGGGCTGCAAGCTGAGCTGGTAACCAGGTTTACTGATTACAGAGTCTTTACCAGGTCTCAAAATGAACCTGGTAGACACAACCATTTAAAATACTGATTTAAAAAGTTGACATATGTATTGAGCGGTCTTCGGAAGGGCTGTGGACTGAGCTGCTGCTCACTTTTTTTATGTCCTTAAACCTCAAAAATATAACACACTGAACAAACAACAAAATAGGCTCTCTGTAAATTTACTCTTTCCAACTTCTAGATACAGGGGCTGCAAAACGTAGTGGTCTTTGAGGGACTGTGGGGGCTGAGAGCTGAGTTGCTGCTTGCTTCTTTTTAGGTACTTAAACTTGTAATGAACCTGGTTCTCAAAATCAGTCAAAACACTGATTTAAAAAGTTTACATATGAATTCAGATGTCTTTGGAGGGGCTGCGAGCTGAGCTGCTACAAACTTTAGTTTACCATGTGGTTTAATTCCTTCCTCTGGGAAAACGACCCAGTTAAAACAAACTTTGATCACAAATGAAGGTGTCATTTCAAGATGTTTTATAGCCCAGATTCGGAAAAGCTTCAACAGACAGGAAACCTGAGAGTTGTGCAGACGGAAACTGGAGTTTTGAACAAAGTTTCTCTTGAGCAACACGTGACCATCAACTTCTCAGAGCTAAGTGAAACCACGGGGACGTGCACACAACACGACACTTAATGTAGCACAAGAAGGAGGCTGGCTGTCCCAGTTTGTCATCGTGTTTGTGAACAGATTTAGACTCAGAAACAGGTGAAGAAAGAGAAAAGACGGGTAGGTAGGGGGGAGGTAAAGTCAGTGAAGCATCCTCTGCAGCAGTGAAGACACATTAGAGGCCCAGCAGAGGATTTGTGATGGATGAAGGAAATGGGATGCTGCTGCAGACTCCCCGGTGACCAGGACGATATGAGGATGAATTTTGTTTTAGTTATCTTCAGAGGAGCAGACAGAATATTAAAGAAAACCTTTTTTTAAGTCTATGAATGTCAAAAAAAGCTGCAAACACATGTGACTTCTCGTTTCCAAAAAACCTGACGCTTAAAGGAAATGAATATCGTCCCTCTCCCTGCTATCGAGCGCCACCCATGAGTTGTTTTTTTATGCCCAGCAATAATCTGCACAGCAGCTGCCAAACTCGTAAATTTGGCAACAACATCAGGATCATTGGCAGAGCTGAGCGGAGCGAGTGGTGGTGAATCCAAACTCACTGCGTTTCTATCGCAGTTTCACAGGAGAGACGGAGAGATTTTGGATAGAGCGAAGAAGAGGGAAAATATCAGGGTTTTAAAAACGATCGCCGTCATTTTTAGAGGGGGAAGAGTCAGAGTTTAACTTCATCCCAGGCGCAGAGATACTCTCTCCTTCTGTCTCCTCATCTTCCTCCTCATTGCCAAGGCTCCATCACGCCATTTCCCTTCAGGGCTCGTGTCCTTGTGCGCCAAAAAAAATTTCAATCACGGTACGAGAGCTTGTGTTGTGGCTGTTTTTCGCCTGCAGACACAACACAGCGTGCGGCCTTTTCCACACAGTCCCCAAACAAGCTGCGCCTGGTTCAAGAGGGGAGGTCACCCTGACTAAAGGAAATCAAATTCACTCAGACCTCTGCCTCTAAGGAGAACAACCACATTAACTACCCTCCTCGTGGGGCCGCAACACTCGCCAGACCCTGACGGCAAAAAAATGAAAATTTAAAAAAAAACCTGACCCGTCCGTGGAGTCGCCACCGCACGCTGATTCTTCCCCAGCTTTCAAATTCAATCCCCACATCCAATCTGCAAGTTTAATTAGACGCCAAGGGCTGAGAGGTGTTAGAAAAAAGGGGAAATATTAGCAGAAGTGTACGACAAGAAGAGGTCAGAGGCTGGGAATGAGTTTAAAATAATAACTCCAGTGGATTCATGATTTATGGCCTCAGGGCAGCCGTGGAGTGACCGTATGCTGCCGGTGTTCGTTTCCTCGTCTCACGACGCTTTCATGAAGAGCGTCTCAGATTGTGTCATGTCGCTGTGTTGAATAATAAAAGCTCGCGCAGACAGCCGCAGATGTCGGAGTGGAAAGGAAAGTGGGACACGTGTCTGGATGAAGCGAAGAAGAGAGGATTTCAAAGAGCGAACAGACGGAGGAGCCAGACTCAGATTTAACCTCTGAAATCTGACGGTTTATGACACGAGGTGGGGTCTTTGGTCCGGTTAGGGGGCGTGTCCAGTCCATCATGTGACCCTGTCAGCTGTTATTCAAGGTTACTTTAATTATAATCAAGTAAAACATACAGAACTGTTCTGCACGTTTTGACCCGCAGCTCCATATAAGAGCACAGGCTGTAAATTCAGAGCACGGTGAGTCCACAGTGATGAAGTCCATCATCTGTTTGGCTAAAGGGTCAAAGGTCAGGTGCAGAGTTGGTTGTAAAAAGACTCCCAGGGGTCTCGTCCATCTCTGTCCATACATCATTCCCTCTGCCGAAGGAGGGAGGTCGTCCCGTGGACCTTCACAGCTCAGTGATGTCACACGAGCTCATTCATCAAAAAGCACCGCGCATCCATCAACCTCCATATCTGACCCGCGCGTGTGACCCCCCCCGGCAGCCACACCTCCGGCGTCGCATCGGCAGCTGATCAGAAGTGACACACAAGCGTCAACAAAAGAGTGGGAGGAGAGAGAATACACTCACCGAGCATATCCACCGTGTCTATGACGGGCGGCTTCCTCTCCTGCGGTAAATCGAGCATGAACGGTGAAGCTCGTCAATCATATCTGGGTCATTTGACGAATCAAGAGCATGCCGTCGTCAAACTACAGCTCCTTATCATGGCTAATAACGCCAAATTAAAAAAGCAAGGACAAAAAGACTCTTGACCTTCCACGACACGTTTTCCTCAGTATCTTTGAGTCTCTCTCTACATTATCTGGACTCCTGCTTTTCTTACCCAGCATCAGTTCTCTAAATATTTTATAAACACTGCAGACATCAATTATTGTGTCAATATCCAAGAATTTTCCTACATGAAAAACAGAAAAAAAATCATGCAAAGTTCACTCTGAGGGATTTTCTGCATTAGGAAACTGTTTATGAACGCTGGTTAATGATTAAAAGGAGGTTAAAACTTAACAACAGTGAGAGATCAGTAAAGGGTTAATTGCATGAGGACTTTCACCAAATGTGATAAAGTTCAGAGACAAAAAGCAGCAGGTAGAACTCGCTTAAAGTGGACTTGACTTGCAAAATAAGCACAATGGTGACTGAAATCCTCACGACTAGACACGAGTATCATTAAAAAATACCAAATGATCTAAAAACCCTGTTGGAAACAAACACATTTTGTTCAATTGTCTTTAATTTCTTTCTTTTGCATCCAAGCAAATCACACGTTTCGTGGCAGGGACATGGTCCAAAATTTTGCTGACGATCCAGGCTCTACAAAATTTTTTGATATTTTATAGATTGCTCCATAATGCCCCAAAAGAAATCTTCAACTTACAATCTGCGTGTAGGAACAATGGTAGGCACATGTGAAAAAGTCTCATATCCTTGTGGTGACATCCTGACAGAGAGTCTGCAAATTTGGGGATATAAGCGCATATCAGGTTTCATCAAATCAACTCCAAATTTGGGTCACTGTGTTATAGATGCTGTGAAAATTCACATCTTTTTAAAAAGACAGGTGTAGTAGATCTTCAATCTACTCCGGATTTCGTAGACATGATAAAGGTCCGCCCCTAAACACATCTATACTCTTTTTCTTCAACTACAGTATCGTCATAAAGTCATGCTATGGGAGGACATTAAACAAACTATTAGGGCTGAAACGATTCCTCAAATACCTCGATTACAAATAATGATCGAGGAATTTTGCCTCGAGTTCTTGTTTATAAGCTCAAATCTTCACTGTTTTGCACAGATTCTTTTGAAGGTGACACAATGCGCTCACGTCACCACGGTAGAAGGAGGAGTAAGCACCGTTTAGGTTTTGCGGAGTGAAAAATAAATGATGAGACGGGCTTTTCTTGGAGTGTTGCCGACCTAGAGACTCTGCACTCTTCTCTTCACGTTAGCTTGTAGCCTAACATTCCTGGTGTAGTAGCAGAAGCAGGTAACATAGGAGTTATTCAGCTCTCGGACACTAATGTCTTCAGGGACATGATTAAAGTCAGTATCATAATTAGCTTTCTTACGAGCATTGCAATCCGCTAACGCACACGCTTGTTCCGCGATTGTCCTCCATTTCTCCGAGTCTGGCCTTCATTGCGGGGCTACAGGAAATCTAACTTTATGTGAGTCTGCCGTTTGGGTCCAATTACTCGAGTAATCGGTAGAATATTCAGTAGAATTCTCGATGACTAAAATATTCGATAGCTGTGCCTCTACAAACTATCACACATAATACCCGACATGTATCACAGGTTTGATTACAGACCAAATCAACATCAAACTACTCACTTTGTTCACAGTCATAATCATAACACCACCTACTGGCCTGAGCGGATCTACATATAAAGTACATTAAGTTCATAGTGAGCCATGTTAAATCCACTGTTGGTGTTTTTCTAGTTTTTGAAAGACAAGACCGCCGAGCATTTTAACTGGGGAACTGTTGGCCAAAGAGCGGGGTTTCAGTGCACATCCACACCTCAGATGTTGAACGCCTCTGCAGACCTGTAGGTTTTTAAACCGTAAAATCAACAACTCACTGTAAGTCACTGCCATGCTACAACTTCATCGTTCTATGAAACGCTGATTGCTTGAAATGCTATCAAGGTCAGACTTTACACAGGGTCAGAAAAACACAGAGCAGATGACGTGATATCACACCACAAACACAGACACAGGCTCCATTTCTGCTTCATTTGCATTTTACAGATCCATCCATCCACACATGAGCGTTCAGAGTCTCTGTGACAGAGCTGGATGGATTTTCAGGTGTATAGACGGAGCGCTAAAACACATCATAAAACCCGGGGTAGTGAGGTGTGATGGCACCTCGCAGGAGTGTGCAATGACGTGTGTCTGACACCAGACTGTGGGTGTCCCGGAGGAGCAGAGACCTTCATCCCGGAGGCTGAAACACTTGTCTGCACATGTGCACAAAACATCCACACCCACTGAGGTGCACATTTACCACACGTGGATCTGAACCGTTGAGAGCTGCTGCATAAAAACACGGAGCGCTCCAGCGATAAAGACACTCTGATAATCTTTGCTGTCTTGCTGATCTGAGCACATTCATGATAAAGGGTCAAAATTATCCCCTTTTGTCTGCGGTGTTGTTTCCCTTCGCAGCTGCGTTTTCAACGGCGCACAATGATGTAATCAGCCGTCGCTTCATGCAGCTGGCACGTCCGCAGACCACACTGATTTCAAGAGGCCTGCAGCAAGGTCTCTTTTACGTAATTGCTCACTCATGCAATACACGCCGGAGCCTTTCCTCTGTTTGTTTCATGTAATTGCACATCAAACTATTTCCGTTTCAGTGTTTAAACCGCAGTGAAGGAACAAAACAAACCAGGAAGAAGGCTCGCTTTCAGCAGAGGGGAGGCAGGAAATTTACTCTTGCATTTCCTTATCTGATTATAAGATTTAATATAACATGTTTAGACTCTGGTTTGATGCATGCAGACTGGCGCTTTTATATAAAACTCATTTACACATTTGTTTGCTATGTGACTTTATTTATAACAATACCTATTCCTATTTGTACAAACAAGCTCAGAGAGTCACTTTGCACTTTCTGAAACAAACAAGGATCTTTTTATCAACAGTTTGTTTCAACACTGTACAAGTCAAGAAAAGTATTGAATTCCAAGGCCTTGAATTTGATCTACAACTTATTGATTGTTCCCTGTATATCTTACTGTGTGGAACTGTGGGGACCCACCTTTAAAACCACTATAAATTTAATAATAAAACTGAAAAAATGAGCTATATGTGTTATCAATAAGACTGATTATTATGATCACACAGACTGTTTTTCTAAATTCTCATGTTATGAAATTTTATGATAAAATAAAGCAAATTATGTTCAGAGCAAAATCAAAAATGCTCGCTGACTCAGTACGGAGGTTCTTTTCAATCCAGGACAGTCTGTATAATCTCAGAGGTGCTTCCAGATTGACTGTACTAAAGCTAAAATGAAAAGGAGATGTGTCTCCATTACTAGTTAAATTCAGGAATGATGCCAACATGAGTCTAAAAACGTCATTCTTTTTTGGTTTTTAAGAAAATGGTTTGTAAAGCTTTTTTTGAAGTTTATAAGTTCGATTAATTATCTGTTGTTGTGGTTTCTTTGCTTCTCTGGAGGTCGGTCGACTAAAAAGTTGACAATACAGTATCAGCTTTGATAAGCACTCTGTTAGTTTGTTAGTTTGTTAGTTAGTTAGTTAGTTAGTTAGTTAGTTAGTTAGTTAGTTTACTCTGCTTCTGCCTTTTCAGTCAATATTTTAACACGTGATTCTTGATTTAGTGATTCGGTGATTTAGTGTAAAATGTCAATATTGTGTTCAATATTTGGTGTTGTCATGACTGATTAAACAGCAACTACTTCTACTACTACTGCATTTATCAAACCATTTCAGCATAATGAGTACAATCCTCGTTCCTGTGACTTACTTTCACTCGCTCTCTGCATGTTTTATTAACGCCACACTTCATTATTTGTGGATTTTGCAGATTTTTTCAACAAAAAAAAGCTGAATGGTGCATTAAAGTGATCCGCCTTTGACCTGTGAATGATGGCAGGTTAATCTGCTAACACGACTCCTCTTTTGGACCAGTTTCAACAGACTTGGCCGGCTGAACTTTCTGCCTCTGTGGCAGCGTTTAATGTACATCACAGCACATGTTTTAAGGCGAAACTGCAGAGTCTACACTTTTCATCCAGCCTCTGTTTTGTCTGCGTCACGTGGCGTCTGCATATCCAAGTGTTTTCGTCTTTTAGGTCAATTTAATGGATGTTTAAAGGCACGGTAAATTATCTCCTCTGACAACACAAAACGCGTTCGCCGTCGCTATTCATCACCGTTTACGAAAATACCAACATCTATCATCAGAGGAGACAACTGCAAAACAACAGGAGCGCCACAAAGAGCGTGATTGATTCAAACAGAGTCCTTTTCAGGAATCCTGGAGCCAGAAGCCACCGGTTCGTGGCTTTGCAAACCAAAAGCATTAAATCCTGTCGTTAAGGATGGATGATAGAGTCAGGCGAGGTTTAAATACGCCTGTATGAATGAATACAAGCTTCATTTGAGATAGAGCGTCCAAACAAATGAGGTGCCAGGCAGCAGGAAGGAGGAACACGGAGGTATCAGCTTTAAAACCTCCCGCAGACAATCAAAACGTTGATATCAGGAAACTTTAAAGTGGTAAACATTAAATAATGCGCTTTCTAATCCTCTCAAGAGTCTCAATTTGGAGGATAACCTTGGAGGTCCAACAACACGGCGAGATACTTGTATCATCTTCCTTCAATTGCCACTTAAAACCTCATCCTCGGCTCAAATCTCAGACTTCCTTTTTTATCATTGCGGCAAATTGAATTTAGCCGAGCGACGCAGGCGTGTGTTTCAGCCTGTCAGTTGATTCAGCCTCTCCTCCCGCTGAGGAGGAACCCCCGCCGGCACACGCACAGACCTAAACTCATTACAGAAGGTCAACGCCGGCGCCCCGTCAACTGTCAGGAAGCTCTTGAAAAGAAAAGGAAATTGATCAATCATCTACAGGTCTCTGAGGCGGGATCACATGAGAGGGAATTATGGGTAAAAATTCACAGGTGAGGCATGAGGATGATGAGGAGGAGGAGGAAGAGAAGGACAGGTGAAGGCTGCATAGGAAATCATACGGTAACCGATCTTTTGTGTTTCATGTAAATCCATGACAGACTGAAATCATTCAAGTTACACCTTTAAAAAACAGACATTTACTGAAGTGTTTTTCATGTTTTATCATCTAAAAAAAAACATTTTCAAGAAATACAAAACCCACGAAACACCTGCTTTTCATGAAAGTTATGCGAAGTTTACATCAAATGAGTGTTGGGCGTTTTTTTCCTCGTGTAAATTCAATTAATAGCTTAAAAATAATCATACTGTCGCATTTGTTCATTTTCCTTTTATTTTTAAACTCAGAATTGTAAACAAATGCAAACAAAACGTCAGAAAACCTTTTTTCTCATATGGCGTACCTTTGGCGAAAGACTCTGTCAAGCTCTTTTGTATCAGAGGAGCCGCTGCAACTTTATTTCTTTGTGCAGCAGGTGCGTCACGCATCTTGTGGCTCTAATAATAGAGTTTGGCGTGTTTCATCTTTAGGTGGTAGAAGAGGTTGCTGGTGTTTCCTCCTCCTCCAACGACAGCCACACGACACTCATTGCATAGTTTTGTTTTTTGGTCATTGTTAGATTTTCTAAATCCAAAGAATCTCCAGAAAACCGATGTCGTGACTTGCGCCCTTTTTCTGAACAAGTTCCTCCTCCTCTTCCTCATGTTGGGTGGGTCGGGCTGCCTCCGTTTGTTCGGTACTGCCGCTAATCTCCACGTCCGCCATGACCAACACCAATGACGCTGTTTCTTCTTCGTCGAGGTTATGCCAAGCAATCTGCTGGACACGCCGGCACCCAAACCTGACCAATCAAATGGAGCGAACAAACTCTGCACAACGCGCTGGTGAATACGGAAACGCACCCAAACGGACACACTCCGGCTTTCCTGTTAGCGAGCACAGACAACTACACACTGACTCAGAGAGACGCAGCAGACGTCTGCTCTCTCTCTCCGGTATAAACGGTAGAGCAAAATTTCTACTGGTAGACACTTTTATACCGTCACATGGTGTATATCGTCATACCGCCCAACACTACTTCAAATTAACGTCAACCTCACAGTGTGAGGTAAATCTGAGCAAAAATAAGACAATAGCGATGTTGGACATTAGATGTACTGATGCTTTATCTCATAGTGAAATATAAGAAACTATTTCATAAAAGAAAATGTGGTTATTCGCATTTTTAAAACACCCAAATACCAGGAAGCGTTATCACTCAGAATTAAGTTTATGTAGGAATTACAAAATCAGTCTACTCTCCTCAGAGCCTGAACGCCGTCTTCTCTCTGAGTTGAGACTGTGAGTGAAATAGCGGCGGTTAAAGTCCTGAAGGAGACACAACAGTCTCTTAGTCCTGGTCCGACGCAGCGCTCTGCTGATTATTGTTTATTTCAGGTAGAATAGATGTAGAAAGACTCTGTGGTTTTGGGGGGTCTCACGCTTCTCTCTCTGTTTCCTGTAACTTCCTGTTTTGGCTGCTGGTAGAATTCGCCACTTCCTCCTTAAACGCTTATCTCCTCTACATAACCCAAACACATGCTGCAGATTAAAACCTCAGATTAAGCAGCAGGAAGTTCAGACTGTTTCTTTACCACGAGAACATTAACAAAAAAACACAACAGTGGTTAAAATGTACAGGAGGAAGAAAATGTTCCCATCATGCAGTTTTGTCCATGTTCTTACCTTTAGATAACAGCATGTTTACCTCAACAGGCACTGAGCGCTGCCCCAAGGCTGTATGTACAGGGAAGAATAAATAAAGCTCTGACTGCAGCTACTGTTACAATTAGAGGAACAGTGGAGAGAAACTGAGGGAGACCGAGAGACTTTCTAAAACAGCCGAAAAACTCAATAAGGCACACAGAATAAAAAACACAAATTTTAGTTTTATTTATTTATTGTCTCATATTATGTATAAAAAAATTAAGTCTTGGTTTATGCCTGACAAATCCAGGAAATTGTCAAATTTAAGGCGATTTCATAACAAAAATAAAAATGAAATTGCTTGACTTAAATTTTTCCCCCCAGTTTTGTCATTTTCTTATTAAAGAAATAAACTTTGATTTAAAAATATTAAAAATATTAGAAATTTTATTGTCTTAAGTTGGGCATGTAGTACCTTGAAATGGGTAATTTTCTGGATTTGTCAGGTGAACAAGGTTTAAAAAAAGCTCTATACAGCACATTTTTTACTAGACATAAGATTTGTTTTTTTGTTTTTTTTTAAATCTCATATCATGTATAAAAACATTATAAAGAAGTCTTGTCAGTCTTGATTTATACCTGACAAATCCGGGCAATTGTCCAACTTAAGGTGATTTCACAACAAAAATAAAAGTGAAATTGCTTGAGTTAAAAAATTATGTATTTTTCCAGCTTTTGTTTGTGTCATTGTTTTAATTAAAGAAATTAAGTCTGATCTTAAATATAAGAAATTTAAATGAAATGGGTAATTTTCTGGATTTGTCAGGCAAAGGAGGTTTAAATTAAGCTCTATGCGGCACTTTTTGCACTAGACATAAGATTAGTTGTTTTGTTTTTTTAATCTAATATCCTGTATAAAAAAAATTATTAAAAGTCTTGATTCATACCAGGCATATTTAAGGTGATTTCACCACATCAATACGGATAAAATTGCTTGAGTTAAAAAAAAAATCTAATTTTTGTCATTTTCTTATTCAAGAAATTGTCTTTGATTTACAATATTAGAAATTTAATGGCTTTATGTTGGACATGTCATACCTTGAAATGGGTAATTTTCTGGATTTGTCAGGCGAAGGAGGTTTAAATTAAGCTCTATACAGCACTTTTCTACTAGACGTAAGATTTTTTTTTTTTAATTTGACATGATTTAAGATTTTTGCAGTATTTCTTTCGGAAAACTTTGCAATTGCCTACTTCACCTGAAATATAGGAAGGGAACCATCTGTTTATTCTTTGCTAGCATAAAGTTTTTCCTCCAGTGAAAAAAATCCCCAGAGAAGTTTGAGCCTCATTTTCACGAGGGAGGGCAGAATCTGAAAAACACCGTCTGCATCAACAGCCTGAGAAAGTCTGTAAAGGTAAAAAAACTAAATCAATACCGTAAAACTCCCGACACAAATTACCCAAGATCCCATAAAGGCCGCTTTCTCCCAGCAGATGGGAACCAATTAGCCACCTGACTCCCAGAAAACACTTGAGCAGCCGTGTGGAGCCGAAATGCAAATGAAGCAGAGGGTAAGGTGGATGCGGACCCACCGGTGTCGTGGGAGAGGAGAAATTAATGAAGAAGACAGCGGAGGAGCAGATTTGGAAATGGGAAAGGGAATAAAGTGGGAAATGATATATGGAGGGCGCGCGGAGCCGGACTGAAGGTCCCTGAAGGGGTGATGGGAACGACGAGCGGAGGGTGAAACGTATCTGTTGATGGAGAATATCATAAAATCCTCCAGGCTGAGGATCCTCAATCAGCTGACATCAACATCAGCTCGACACATTCAATTTGAGGCGAACAAGAAACCATTGATCTTGTTAATGAACATCTTGTCTTGTTAGTTTAACTGGCGCTTGATTGGTTGATTAAATTCAGGAGGGCTGTTGCATCTGTGTCCAACTTCCTGTGGAGTTTAAGGCTGTAACAAAGCAATGAAGAGAGTAGATAAAAAATCATGCAAGCACTTAAAAAATCAGAAATCCGAATCACTCATGAGGAGCAGGGTTCAGCTTTTACAGCTCTAAGTGCAGAAACGACTCCTGAACCTCTCAAATACTTTCTTGCACAATTACGAATAACCGCTAAACCTGAAAAATATCTCCATCAGAAGAGCTTAAAACCAAACCATTGAACTTTTTGCACACCGTACAAATCACCAAAATTACAAAGCCGAGGTTTTCTCAGTCACAGAATTCAAAGGATAATCTGAAACCTGCGAGGGATTTAAAAAAAACAAGCTGCCTTTTTCAATTTGACACAGAATAAAAGCTGCAACCTTTTTGGAACCGCACTCTTGGCATCGCATTTCAAATCTCTCACATCCCTTCAAAGTAAGTGAGACTAAAAAAAAAGGGCTGGAATAAGATGCCAGGACAAGTTACGCTCTTGAGGACAAATTCAAAGCTTCGAACGTGTCTAAAAGCTCGGCGCCTTGGCAAACTCAGAAGCTGTGTTTACCTTCATTCCCCCTGACTGCTCCCACAAGGCGTGAGGCAGCTGTTAGATAAAGCCGAGTAAATATTGGTAAGTGTAGGTGATATAAGGCGACGTATCACCCGAGAGACTTAGCCGCACAGGCAGCAACAGCTGAATTCGTGACATCTGCATAATGAGGTGTTCCTCATAAATCTGCATAAAAGTGATGTACAGTTGTTTGAAAACACAAGCTGAGGTGGAGAATGAGACTGCGACTGAAGGTATGTTTATCATTATCTTGACTTTATCAAACTATTCTCCATCCATTCCCAGAAAATGCTTATCAACGTGCCGCTAATGGCCTCTTTGGTTCCTATTCTGAGCTTTTAACCAGATTGTATGCAGTCAGGGCCTTGTAGAGGTCAAACGCTGATGTTCGGTGATAAGGTCTGGCTCCATTTTTGGCCTAACATTTTATCCCAGAGACTGGGCTGGAGGTCGGAGCTGTGTGCCAGTCAGTCAGCTTCCCCCACATCAAACTGGGGGAATCGGCGAGGGACTGTCACGCCAGAAGACAAACAGACGATGAAAGAACATAACGATCATTAACATAATTGTACAATGTGGCATGAACGGCCCTCGGTGACAAGTGACCCTGAACGGGTGCGGAAAAATCTCAATGGGGGATCAACTGTGGACATTTTAGCTTCATATGGAGTGAAAACTAAACGATAGCGAGCAAGTCTGCAATCATCAGCATGTGCAAATTTCTGATCAACTGCTTTCTTATTTTGTATTTCAATAAAAATGGTTTAAGACATCTGCAAAAGCATGACACACCAGTAGATGGCGATAATGTGCAGCATGTGAAACACCAAAGACAAACATCTTAGCTCATGCACAACACTTTTATCTCAAATTTGCATCCGGAATGGCTACGAAAAGGCCATATCCGCCAATAGTAGCTGATCGTAATCTTTCAAGTTGATGTGTCAAATTCCAACGGCTTCTTGCAAGAGTTCTATTGTTTCCGGACCTGTGCTGGAAAGGAAGTCGGCACAGACTCAAAATAAAACATCCGTCTTCTTTTCAAAATAAAACACTCCACACACCATGCAAACGGGCGGAGACAGACAAGCGAAAGGTTTATAGACAGCATTTAGTCCAGCAATTACACGTGAATCTGCGGGCTCTTGTGTTTTTTCACGATTCCTGCTGCCTGTAATCCGCCACGAAACTCGCCCCCTCAGGAAGTAGTATACGGAGAAAATCGTCGCCGTTCCTGATGCGGTGAAAATTGGGGGTTAGACAGATAACGTCATGCATGAGTTGAGATAATCAAGTCAGCTTTTCCAAAAACCCTCCTTTCCATTTTGCCATCAACAGGAATTTTCGTCAGCAGCTCAGCTCGCAGCTCTTGCAAAACTGTTGCTTTTGGCGTTTTGGAGGTTTGAACAACAGGAGTCTTTTGTTTTGAAGAGGAAGACAACTCTTGAAATAGTTCAGCTCGGTGTTGAAACCATGTGAAAGAGGATAAGCCGTGGCCAAATGAAGTTAATGTGGCGGCTGGCAGCTCAGCTCACAGCCCAGGAGCTTCAGAGAAACACTAATGAAGAGGGGTTACTTTTAAAAAACATGTGCAAAGAGAAACTCTGGAGCCTTTTTCTTTCTAATCTCTTCATTTTGGTGGATTTGAGGGAATCTGAGCATATTTAAGCAGCTGGAAGTCCAAAATATCTTCATAAAGGAGAATTTAATCTGCATCCAGCCTTCAATCTTCATTCAGTTTGTTGCAGAGGCTCGTCCTTGGACTTCACACATTTCTACAGGCATTCATGACCCGACTGAATACCTCTGTGAGTTACCCTCATACGAATGAAAGTGCTCCGCAATTCTGCACTAGTGAAGTTCCTTCTCTTGATCCGACAACTCGAGCAAATTAAACTCACTGATGCGTTTGAATAACTCAGATAACTGTTTTCTTTGCAGCGCTGGACCTGAACTCACACTGCTCTACATTTCTCAGAGAAGAAACACCACAATGTCTCAGCAGCTTTTAAATCACAGTCAGTCAATAATGAAAGGAGTCATTTTGTGTTATTTATCCAGCGATTCGCACTAAAGCGGTTTTCTCCTTCCAAGAATGGGAGGTTTTACAGTTACGATCCAGCTCCTTTTTATGTTTTATTGGTTTTTCTTATTAACAGAAGTAAAACTCATTTTCCTGGAGCGACTCTTCAATTTAAGTGAACTGTTTGTCCTCTTTGTCCTTGCTGTTGCTGTTGTTGTTGTTGTTGTTGTTCCTGTAACATGTGGAGCACTTTGTTCTTGTTCCCACATCCTCCCCTCATGAGTCACCAATTTGGTCCCTGCTGAGTTACTACACTACAAAAACATGCAAAATCAACATTAGGTTCCCAGAGCAGTAATGTTATGTTAGTCTGAATAAAAACGGTCATAATCAGGCAGAAATGACAGTTTCTCTGCAGACAAACAGCTTTTGTTAGACCCCTGTGATTCATGCTAATGGTTCTTTCTCTGCTTGTTTCCATGGCGCACTGGGTAAGGATCGATTCACTGATAAAAGAATGTCCACCTCCGCTACACTAGGTGGCGATACCTTTTTGTTTAGCTCATCATGATTGGATTGGTTGACTTTTAGCTCATGAACCAAAACAATCGACACACACGTTACAACATCTTTTTCTTTTAAGCCTCTTTCATTTCTTCTGTCAAGGTTTTGAGACATATTCATGCTATTAAACAGTATCAGAAATGTGAACCATTAGAGCAGCCCAGTCACTGAGGCCAGTTTGAGTTTAATTGAGTCATATACATGCAAACGAAAATCAACCGCCAACGATCTCAGCCACTTTTTAATCAGCTAGTAATATCCGCCATCTGTAAAATAAAAGGCCAATACAGAAAATTAGGAATTACCAATACCAGCCCTAATAACTGGCCAAGGTTGGTACCTGACTGGGTTAAACTGAGTTACAACGGACCAACTTGTTGATTTGAGGCAACAACAACAACACCAGAGTTTATACAGCATGTCCAAAAAGAAATATGCCACAGTTAAAGTGAAAGTTGACTGAGCCAAAGTCCACGAAACTCTCTGCTTATCTAATGAAATAAACATGTCAGAATAAACATATCTAAAAAAACACCCAGATGAAATAATCAGATTAAGTGTTAATCTGGTTATTAGGATCTAATAGTTTCCTGCTGAATGGATTATCTTCAGTTTACACCAACCCCTCTCAGCCCTCCTAATAATCCCCTCTGAATGGGCCAGTCACCTCTAAATAGGTGGACTGCTCATTAGGCTGCTTACTAAGCAGGTTTTTAGGGAAAAAGGTTGATATCTGCATCTCCACATGGTGGCAGTATCACAATAAAAGGCATATCAGACTGTAAACATGAACATGTCGCACATTTCATTGAGTGAAAAGCAATGCCTCAGCCCAAACATGTCCACTACCAATGACAACAGTGAGTCATCTTCCTGTGCACGTAAACAGAACCAGCTGAGGGACGATTTTGTCCACTCTGATGTCCAACACGCTCGCAAAAGATACAAAACGGAAGACTTCAAATCCCACAAATCATGCTCCCAGTGAATGTAACCCTTTCACCAGTAAGCTCTGAAATCCTCAAGTAGGGATGGGCGATATGGGCTGAAAAAAACTTCATCACGATAAGATTTGCCATTCTGGCGATCACGATAAAAGTCCTGATCAAAAATATAATTCCAATCTATATTTTTGACTCGTTTTGTCTTGAGAACACCAGTTGGAGTAGTCAAATAAGATACTTAACCACAAGTTTAATTGGTAGGTTATGGAGAAAACTAATGACATCAAACAAGTCTCAATGTGAAAACATTTTCAACATTAGTTTAAAACTCTTACTGCACAGAGTGAAGAGCAGCAGATCCACGATCCAATGTCAGGCATACCTGATTGCACTCGTCTAAACCCCAATCTTGAAGGAAAATGCGAGTGCGGAGCCTCGTTCAGTGCCGGGTTGCTTAGAAACGTCTTCTTCATAACCTTCGGCCATGTTTGTTTGTTATTCTTCTCTGTGAGGGCTACGGCTCACGCTTATGTCATCAACTTGCATTTATGATATTTATCATCAGATGGCAAATATTTATCAAGGAGGATTTTTCAGGCGATAGATCGTGAATGATAATTTATCGCCCATCCCTATCCTCTAGTGACAAACTCTTCCAGTCCAGTGTTTTACTCTTAAGGTTTCATTTTGTGCCTGTACTTTGTAAATTCCTCATGTTTGTGTTCGAGGAAAAACCACAAATTTGAAGCCAAAAGGAGTCCGATGTTTCTCAGCAGCAAGACACGATCATGCAAAAATAAAGTGGAGAAAAACAAAGACCATGTTGCAACCCTCTCAGCCTTGAGACCTCCTGAGCAGGTTTGTCTGACCACAATCACAATCTTCAAATTCCTTGTTTTGTCCAAACACAACACACCAAAGCCCAAAGCTTTTCAGTCAATAACAAAACAGACCAGAAGAACTGAAAACAGCCAATATCTGAGGGATAAATCTGGACACGCTTGCATTGTTATCCCCCGTAGATAAATCTACAGTAGGCACCATGCTTCAGGCTGCTGCAGTGAGATTTTACAAGCAACGTAGCAGACAATGAGAGATAAGTTGCGATCTATAGAGCTGTACAGACAATACCCAGAAATAACCTGCCTGAACAGCAGAGTGATTTTACAGACAGTAGGAAATCGCTCACAGAGCCGTAAAGGTTTACCGCTGGCAGAAGAAGAAATCAAACTGACACAGACTCGCTCGAACACGGAAATCCTACAGGCCATGTAGTTATCTGAGATTTAAGGAAGAGTTGACACATCTTTAATGTTGGATGAAGACCAGTCGCAGTAATTCAGGCTTTTAAATAAATAAAAAAAAAGCAGGGGGATTATGGGGGTTTGTCAAATTCATGAGGAAGGGAAAAGACCTGAATGCAAATCAGAGATGAAATATGCGCCATCCACCAAACTTTGGATTTAAAGTTTAATCAAAAAAAGCCAATTTTCCTGCACAAATCCTCTTTATTTGACCCATTTTTGCATTTCACAGACTGCCACCAACTTTGCATATAAAAGGACACCGCAGAGAGTAAAAAAACACACCTAGCATTGCATTACAGCCTTGAATTTTCACTCAGAGTGGTTTAAGGTAAAAGATCCCAGCTTTTTACAAAACACAATTAGAGGATAATGGAAGGAGGTAGCAGGAAAGTGCACTTAAAGTGGCACTGACGCACAAAGGAACTTGTTTTTCATCATAAAAATGCAGATGCTGTCTTTTCTGGCATTTTCAGCACATTTATTTTCAATGTAACAACGGGTGACAATGACATTAGAGCAGCAGGCAGGAACCCCCCACTGTAAGCTGTTTAGCAAGGCTGCAGGAATTAAGATAACACAAAGGAGGTCTGATAGGGAGTCAGCCAATATAGCACATGATCAGATAAGGCAAAGAAATATTGTCTGTGAGGCAATAAGTAGGTGAGAAATAATAGGTTTCAACTTCATTAAACCTCCAAACAGCTGGAAATATCAGTGAAATGAGGCTGAAATTGTCCCAATTCCAGTTGTTGCTCCTAAATTAAAGGTTAAGAGGCTGTGCAAATGCAAACCTCCTGAAACAAACCCCCCAAAAGACAGATGCTGCCTCACCTTCCACGACAAAACAAAGCAATCCACATCTCAGACACAACTTTGCAGCGTTTCCTGCACACTCCGCAGCCCTCCAGCCAGACTCCCTTCAATAATCACTCATTTTAAGACAAAGAGGCTGATCTGCAGCTTACCTTTTGTTACTTCCCGTGTAGCAGCCGTCCTGTCTGTGTCTGTGCGTGTCTGCTCTCCTCCGGCTCCTCCGTGGATTTAATCGGGTCACAGCAGCAGCGGCGGTGTTGTTGGTTAGAGCTGGTTGCGAAATTGTTGACGCGCGCTTCGCCTTGTTTAGTGGGCGGCGTGGCTGCTCGCTGTTTTCTTCCTGCAATTCAGACCAGCGAAAAAACACACAAAAAAATCCCTCCCACTCCTCGCTGTGTCCTGCCCAGCTCTCTCTCTCTCTCTCTCTCTCTGACAGCGGTTACGCCCTCTCCGTCACTATAAGCAGGAAAATGTTATTCACACATAACCGGCTTCAGCGTGGGGAGAAAGCCGTGTCACCACCACCACCACCACCGGCTGGGCTGGATGATGAGATGTGATGTCTGGCCGGCTGTGAGCAGCCCGAGCAGGCAGACAGGAGTCCTGCTGCACCGCTGCGCTCCGCTGGATTTGGTGGCTGTGGCTGCACTGTAAAAAATGTCCACCCAGAGCTGAGTTTGTGGTCTGTGACACAGTTTTACAGCCAGGACAGAGGGGGGCACAGCTTGGTGTTTTGTCCTTGCTGTTATTTGCATGAGACTCGCCTTGAAATAGAGCGGACACCATCCTTTTAACACGACATAATGTCCCCAGAGTACTCCAGAAAGTTCCTGTTACCTCAGAGTGTTCCTGTTTCTCGTCAAATAAGTGACGAAGAGACTCGATTTTGCAGAAGTTTTGTAGATGCAGAATTATTTTGTGTTCAGGTGAGGTTTGTTTATGGCTCCTCAGACTGCTGTGTATTGCTATCCTGCGGTCGTTACTTAAGTTGGTATAAATAGAGAAACAAGCGGTCAGCAACATTCATCTCTCAACGGGGTGTCTAACTCTGTGTTACGGTGAGTTTGACCCTAAATTAATTTTATGTCAGAATATTCCTTTAAATCACAAGCCAGAGGTCACTCAGGCCTATGTAATGCATCTGCAGAGCCAGAATCTTTAGTTTTAGGACCACCATTCTAGGACTGAATCTCTAGGATATCTGTGTTGTTGTTAGTAGAGCTGGGGATAAGGGTTATGGTTAGGCAATACTAAAGTGGACTTTGGTGATCCACTGTTACCTGGTGCTGAGAATGTGTTCTTGAATCTGCAGCCTCTATTCTGCAAGAAAAGCAGAATCTGTTCACACAGGACTAGATTTTAGTAGAGGAGGTGGTCTGTCTTTGTCATAGTAGTATCATCCCCCAGAGACTTTGTGAGCTATTTAGGGAAGCAGGTCAAGTGGAGACTTGAAGATCCGCCATGGGGCAACCCTGGGAAGCATTTGCAGGCAAGTAAAGACTATGAAGCATCCTCAAATGTCTGCGAAATGACACCTATGTAAAGTTATGGCCAGCAATGCTTTCTATGTAGTCTTTTAAGCACCTGCAGTTCCCAGAGTGTCCACTAGAGGGGGTGGAATTTTTCAAAACGTATGCTTTAATTATATCGATGCTAAGAGTTACGCAGGAATTCAGGGTTTGGGGCGCTGTACTTCTAAAATACCCCATATTTTTCTCTTATTTGAGTTGGTGCTTGAGTTGCATATTGAACTTAAACCCCCAATTTCCACTGCATCCAAAACGGCTACGAATTTCACACCATGCAAACAGGTGGGGACAAACAAGTGAAAGGTTTTTAGACGTCATTTCACCCTGATGACACCATGGATGAGGAGATGTTGATTCTAGAAGTCTAGAAGTAGATTTCCTCCTCTGGAAGGACACAATCTACTGCTTACATGGTTAGCCTATGTGGCTAAAGACAACTTGTTATCGCGTGATTGCACATACATCCACGGGCTCTTGTGAGTTCTCACGATTCCTGCTGTCCGTAATCCACCACGAAATTTGCCTCACAAATGGATCCAGTAGGAATTGGCAGACGGCGAAAATTGCTGCCGTTCTGGATCGGAGCCGTTCCGGATGCGGTGAAAAATGGGAGTAACCCTCCTTAATCTGGTTTGCACTACCTAAGTATGAAAGCGAAATTAGCCAGCTTCTGCCAGTGTGGGAAATGTTTAACACCAGTTGATGCCTCAGAGACTGTTATTTGTAACTGAAAGAGACTCGGAAAACCGTCTTTGCTCAAAAATGAGTCTCACTGTAGCTCAGCTGACCTCTCCATATTGATATTTTTTGCAGTGTGTCTCTGCGTAAACAGCTCTCTGAGGAAATGTGAAAGTATTTCTTCAGTCGTAAGTCAACTTAGGACAGATTTGCCTTATTTGGGCTGATTATCTCTCAACCATATACAAGCTCCTTTTTTTTTTTTAAAGTCCTGAGGAGTATAAAGCCCTTACTCTGGGACATAACACTCAAGGATGCAATTTAGTATAATAGACTAAACCAGAGCAGAATATTGCCATATCCCCAAATCCTCAAAGGAGATGAAAAAAATAACAGAAATTATGACAAAGTCTGTGTCAGTTCCCTCCTGAGCTCAGCAGACACCTCCTCACTGCTCCCCTGAGAGTATTTCAGGAGTCTTATAAAGATCTCCTGCCGGCGAAGATTTCCGATTTCCTCTAAAAATGAATTCATCGCCACCAGAGCGAGCGGTATAATTAAATGTGGTGACCAGAGTATAATTAAAAGTAGTGGCAATTAAATTTTGCAGGAATATGTCTGCCATGTCTCCCAGTTTTGGGTTGAATTATTAATGGGAACCCTGAGGATGCGTTTAACAAGATGCTATATTTATCTTTGTGTGTGCGAGTGTGTGTGTGTTTGAATATATTAAAAGCCACCTGGGCTGCAGGCCCGAGCCACGGTCCCCCCGGAGCCCACTGACAGTATCGCTGCAGCGTTAGTGCTCTTTGATATATTTGCTTTAATTATGGAGGATAATGAATTTAGATTTGTGATGCATCAAGGCGCTGAAATGGCAACTCACCCCGGGAGCCCGTAAATGTCTGAAACTGCTCCAGGCTCCTCCAGGGGGAGTTTGGGAATCTTACACAAGATTGAGATGATTAAAATAGATTAGCTTCTGAAATGCTAATGTTGACTTTTGCCGCAGAAACCTGGCTGCAGCCCAAAGGATGCACAATCAAATACAGCAAGGGAGACTCTCTGCAGAGGGGCTGCAACTGTAAAGAGCCGTGAGCAGGTTTTAGGGGGAAGCACCGCGTAACAGCCGCCATGAATGAAACAGAAACAAAGAGCGGGACTTTTTGCGGTTTTTCAAAAAGAACAAGTATGAAGAAAAATGAACACCTGTTGCAGAAATTGAGCTCTGGAAACTTTGGACCTGCTGACTCTTATGTTGAAAACTAAGCAGATGTTTTAACGTTGATTCGGAGTCTGAATTCCTGCCTTGACTTGATTGATGCATCAGACATGTCGCTACCTGGTCCGTCCCGGAAACCCGATTTGTACTGCGCATTTGCGAAATGTAAGTCACTTCCTTTACTACTTTTCCCCTCACGGTTTGCGACAGCTTCGACGCTTGTTCGGCAGCTTCAGCATCAGCGAGCTCGCTACAGTTAAAAAGAAGGCTTCAGTTTATCTCCAGCCACACGCTTTTTCTCTTGAACAGAGTGCGTACGCCAACTGAAGCATAGCGCCTGAAAGTCAGTAGAATGGCGCCCAGTTTTACGATTAAAGGTTCCTACGACAGCTTAATTGTAAAATTGCAACATAGTTATAAAAGGCTTAAACGACCCCCGCCCCCCTTGATACTTTGAAAAGTCAGAGAACCATATTTTTGACCGGGTTGTGGCGATCTTCGTGCCCCAAAAGGTCTCACCGTGCTGGGCAGGAGCTCTGACGAATGCCTCCACATTAGTTCTGGAGCCTCCTGCTAGCTGGCCTGTCACATCGCCAACTTGTTTCTAAATCGAGTAGTTTAAATCGAGTTTTTTTTTAAGGTGAAGTAAATTTGCACTTGTGCAGTACGGATTGTGACGGTAGCGACTCACTGCCGTAAAATACACTGAAATGCAAGAGAGGAAGTGACGTACGTTTTTGCACATGTGCAGTACAAATCAGGTTTCCGGGACAGGTAAGGTAGTAACTGTACAAAAATAGGAGTCGTGTTTATCTGCTGAAATGAGCTGAGAGTATTGTTTCGTCCAAGAAAAAAGTCTACGTTTGTTTAACACAAATATACTCCATAGTTGTTTGGTACTATTCCCAAAGACAGATGACAGAGAATACTTATAATCTGCATCTATAATTTACATACTTTTGAGAGTAAACAGCAGGTTCTGCATATTTAATCCATGTCTGAGCTGCATTATTCTGTATGTAGTGTCTCAGACTCAAACTCAGGACGGAAATACGAATTTCCTCTGCGAAATAACCTGACAAAATAAGACCACATCGTGTCTGAAGCCTTCAGAAATTTGCTGGCACACCGTCTTTACATGTGAAAGGAGATCAGCGTCGATGTCAGTGTGTGTTTGTTCAGACTCCTTCGAGGACAGTAACTCTAACCTGCAGCTATGGCTTAGATAAATCCTGAGCTTTCACTCTAATTGGACCTTTTGTCTCATAAATAAAATGATCTGAAGACGCGCTCTCCATCGACATCCATATTTGCTCCGATCGTCCACGTGACTTTGAGCCGCCGGCAATTAATTAAAGCCAGGACAGGCAGGGTTCAGCTGGTTTGTCAGACCTGCCAGTCATCAGAGTGGCGTGACAATGATCTGACCATCACCGGCTTAATTGGCATTCGGAGGACGTGCTCGTCTCACTGTAGGCTAAATAAACACACAGGATGCAGCCTTCACTCCTCGTTTCTCTTGATCAATAACCCTCGAACCACCTCTGTCAGCCAGGAAACAGGAGCGGGAGGAGCTTTTATCTCCTCTGGAGCAGGTTTGTATTTTCACACGTGTACAAAATTAATATAAAACTCTGATAAAGGACTGCCACTGGCTATGTCTCAAGACGTTTAAGACTGTTATTTGACATCTCGCTCTCTGCACCACACGGGCTGAAAGGTGCTCATGTATTAAACAAAATAGCTTTGAGATATTCGCAGACGTGTTTCGTCAAACTGTGTTGTTAGTTACTGCGGCTGTAGTACGTCGGACACGGTGCATTACCTAAAATTCAGACTGTGTTGGAATAAACGTTGAGTCTGTATCTGACCACCTGCTGCAGTTCGCCACCATCTCTCTCTCTCTTCTTAGAGCTTTTTTAACGTACCATGTCCCCAAGTGACGTGACCTCAGACGACACAGCAGGTCAGTTAAATCTGAGGTGGACTGCAAAATTCTTGTGGAGGTTCAATCCTTAAAGATCTATAAAGCTGCAAGGAACCGAAAAGTGTAACTACGATTTAAAGGGATATTCCGGGGTAAAATTAATTGAGGGTCAAACACACCCTAACACCGAGTTAGACATCCCCTCGAGAGATGAATGTTGCCGACCGCTTGTTTCTCTAGGTATACCAACGACGGCACGATAGCAATACAGAAAGCCACACGCTCAACCAAAACAAATAATGCTCAGAACAGCACCTAACTTCATCAACAGGACATATAGGGTCACAGACATAGTACTAGACACCAAACATCTTTTTAACTTTGCCAAAAAAAATTTTAGCAGAGACTAAACACAACTCACCTACTCTCTTCCAGCAGCCGCTTGTTTGTACGAAGACCTCCAGGCGAGTCCATCGACTACAGTGGGGTGATGCAGCTCAAGGAAGAATATTTATGATCATTTTTTTTTATCATTTCCTTGAAGTAATAATCACCATATTAATCATTTAGCACTGCAGACACGGTAGTTCTTCTGCCTTAGCGTCTCGGTCTGATTGTATTTCCATGAAGAAATGATTATAAATGTTCTTCCTTGAGCTGCATCACCCTGCTGTAGTACGTAATGGACTGGCCCCAGGTCTCGCTACAAACAAGCGGCTGCTGGAAGAGAGTAGGTGAGTTGTGTTTAGTCTCTTTGCTAAAGAAATCAGTCAAAGCTAAAAAGATGTTTGGTGACTAGTGCTATGGCTGTGACCCTATATGTCCTGTTGATGAAGTTAGGTGCTGTTCTGAGCATTATTTGTGGCTATAGAGTTGCGTTTTGGTTGAGCACGTGGCTCTTTGTATTGCTTTGTGAGGTCGTTACTAAAGTTGGTATAACTAGAGGAGCAAGCGGTCGGCAACATTCACCTCTTGACGGGGTGTCTAACTCCGGAATATCCCTTTAAATGTCTTGTTGAATCCTCAAATATCTGAAATTTGCAGCCAGTTCTTGATACCCAAACCTTACTATCGTTCGTCTCCTGTCCCTCTGAGGGCTAGTTAGGGATTCAGAAATCCTCCATAAGTATAATCGAAAGCCGACCTGGATATTGATCAGTTTCAATGAACGCAGAAGTTTTGGAAACAGTCCGGTTGTCAGGATCGAGGTGAGGTTTCCCTTCTCCTCCACAGAGAGTGTGACTGTTTCATAATTTTCTCCATTTAGACTCTTAAAAACAGCGTGAACAGAGGCTCCGACAGTTCTGCATGAAATAACACCAACTGTACGTGAGCGGATTCTCAATCAAACAATCCCTGAAACCTCCTCCGCTCCCTCCTCATCTGACAAAAACACTTTTTTTTTTAACTTTGGCTTTTCCCTCCTCTTCCTCTCATTTGCACCTTCTCTCTCTCTGTCTCCCTGCTCTGAGTATGAATGAACTCCGCACACACCTCACTACAGTTCCTGGAAAATTAGGTCAGTTGTTGAACAGAGCGAAGCCTCCATGTGGGACATAAAAGCTGGCGCACTTCTGTGGAAAATTTCACAGCTCCTGTCATCTATTTTCCATCACAACACATCCAGCACCTGGTACCACTCCAGGCTGTAAAGAGAGCGATCGGGGAAGGAAAGGGGGAAGGAGGGGGAGTCGTCTTTCTCTGCTGAATCTGAAGCGTCGTCTCAGAGTGTGTGACTTTTGCGTAATTGTGCTCATGAGCAGAGACGGCACAAAGACAAATTCCTCAAGTGTGCTGTGTTTTCCGCAAACAAGCAAAGGTGATTGTGATTGTTTTTCCCCACCTTACCCCTTTCCTCCCCTCTCTCTCCCCCTCCACTGTATTCACTGTGTTTCCTCTGCCTCCACGGGAGCCTCTAATTGCCTATTGTGCTGGCTGCTCAGCTGTCTGGGTGATGTGCAGAGACAAGCAGCATCCTCAAAATAAATTGATGTGTTCTCCTGAGGTTCTCCGAGAAAAGCTTTCACATGATTTCCACCCCACACCAGTCTCTCACCCCTCTCCCCCCTCTCTCCCTCACCACATCATGTCTCTCTCGTAATGTAAAAGCGTATGTATGTCAAGTGGAAGCGTAATGTATGTCGAGTGGAAAGCGAGCGTGCAAAGCCTTATTCCCCGGCAACGGCGCGAAAAGAGTTGAGCGATTTGTCAGTGTTTGCTTGCTGCAAAAGTTTGTTCAAAGTTGATCTCAGAACAGCAGCTGTGAGACGTTTTTCTGTTTCCACTCAGATGAGTGGAAAAGTCAGAGAGGGAGAGACAAAAGAGTGAGTGGGAGAAGCTTGTTATTATCTCTGTGAAAGGATGTCAGCGATACACTCCGCTCGGGGATGGAAAAGCAAAAAATTGAGGTTGTTGAGGAGGGAGTTTCTCAGAAATCAATGTAGCTCGCTGTGAAAAAAAAAGAGTGAAATTCCAATAATTTGTCAGCAAGAAGCAAAAACAGGACAGAAACGTTTTATCGTGGTGTTTATTCTCCTTCACGTGTGCGAATAAAACGATTAAAAACAATAACATAAGTTAATTTAACATCATAGTCTGGAAATTGAGATAGAGCTGAGCCGTAAGGTGAGACTCTCGGTTTACCGGTCGATCTACGTGCCGATCCTCACCTATTGCCATGAACTTTGGGTAATGACCGAAAGAACAAGATTGCAGATACAGGCGGCTGAAATGGGTTTCCTTCACAGGGTGGCTCAGCCTTAGAGATAGGGTAAGGAGCTCGGACACTCAGGAGGAGCTCAGAGTAGAACCGCTGCTCCTCCACGTTGAGAGGAGTCAGTGGAGGTGGCTCGGGCATCTGGTCAGGACGCCTTCTGGACGCCTCCCATTAGAGGTGTTCAGACATTTCCCACCGGGAGGAGACCTCGCGGCCGGCCCAGGACCAGGTGAAGGGATTATATCTCTCACCTGGCCTGGGAGCGCCTGGGAATCCCCCCTGGAGGAGCTTGTGGAAGTGGCCGGGATGAGGGCCGTCTGGTCTTCCCTCCTGAAGCTGCTGCCCCTGCGACCCGGACTCAGATGAAGCGGAAGAAAATGACGACGAGCCTGGAAATTAAACCCACTGCAGAAGTGCCTTGAAATTGCATTACAACAATCTGCCATTAGGGGGCGACTCAGTATGTACGTTTAGTACGTTTGCATGCACAGTTAAGCTGCTGCTTGACCCAAACCATGGAGCATGCTCAGAATGCTTAAGCCGGTTCGATGCATATGTTATATGTTTTATACATGCGAAAGAAAACAAAGTGTTCTGTGTGTACGTAAATCCAAACTAAAGCAGCTGGATTTTCAGTCAGACTAACGAGGTTACATGTGTTTCACTCAGACTAATACAATAAATGATTAATTAGCGTAATGTATTAGAAAGGCATCCTGTTCCTATGACGATTTAAGATCTAAATAAACATCTTTTTAAAGTTTTGTGGATTGAGTCACTAGTTTTAAGCATTAATTGATACTGAATGATGTTTATTTTGTAAATTATGGCAACAGGCCTGATGCCAATAAGGGCCTGTGTCGATTACACACGTTTTTGTTCTCAGAGTCTGAATTCCACTTAAACTAATGCAGTTCATCTGTTATTTGTAGAGAAAACAAACTTATAGTCTTTGGATTCTGTTCAGGTTTTTGTCACTTTGTCCTCTCAGTGAAGATCCTGTTCTGGTCCCAGGGGTTTAAAGGTAAAATCTTCTGGTAAAAGTCGTCAGATTTGGTCGAATCTGGAACAGAGTTTTAAAAAATAAAGATTAGATTAGATTAAAAAAAACACAATCTTAGGTTTGATTCAGATAAAGTCTTGTGAGCTGAAGTATCATGTCATATTAAATCAAAGCAGCTGCAAAGATTCTCGGTTAAAGCTGTGCAGGTTTGGCGCCTCCTGTGGCCAAAATATGAAACACAAAGTGCAAATTAAAGGGTTTAGCAATCTTAATGAGCTACGGTTTGGAAAAGGTTAACAATTTGACAGATGAGCTGATTATGAATAAGAAAAAAATGGATTGGATGGAGAGATCAGCTGTGCTTCGAGAACAACCAGAGAGAGGATAGAGAGGTAATGTCGGTGACCTGATTCCTGAATTTAACTGATCTGTTAAACGAGCGCAATCAGTGAATTTCAGCAGCAGCTCATCAGAGGATCTGCTCGGCCCCCCATCTGCTCCCTGCCAGCTCCGCTCTGCACCACCCAGCCTGCAGACTGATCGGGCCCCGCAGGCCTGGCACCGGGTTCAGCCTCTATGATGGGGACATTTACATTTTAAGCATTTGGCTGATGCTCGTATGGAGAGTGATTTACAGTCAGCGGGACCTGAGGGTAGACGATGACCTTGAGCGAATCACCGAACGTCTTTGTTTTATGATCGGAGCTGCTGCAGCGAGTTCACGTTCGTGTTATCATCAGACATTAGGAGACGAGCCGCGGTTCTCCCACAAACTTCATGCATTTTAGAGGCTGAGGATCTCTGAGATGAGCAAATCAGGCAGAGTCAGTCAGTCAGCGAGGCCTGACTAATGAACAAGCATATTAGATCAGCGTGCTAACTGTTATTCACCGGGTTCATGGTGTGCAAAGGATAAACACTCCTGTGAACTGGGTTTACTGGTTCGTAAACAAGAGTTTCCAAGTCGTACTTTCACTCCAGGGATGAGCGCATTCTAAATAACCGCTTTAGTAACCAGTCAGCTATCCTCCTATTGTTGTTAATGAGTTTTTATGTGAGCTGTTTAACCAACTAGGTTTTAGTTTTGCTAGATTTCCACAAATCCCGTCATTGAGCCTCTTTTAACTGTTTATTCTCATTCAGAAATATCCAGATAGAGGGTCAGTGAGGGCTCTTTTTTCTTTTATTTCTAACCTGGGATAAACCCAATCTAACGCCGTCAGAGTGTATCCAATTATACAGCCCGGCCTGCCTCATTCAGAAGGAGGTCACCTTAGCTGCTATCTCCTCTTCATCGGGCGGAGATTGAAAAACGGGGCTTGATTGTGTGATAGTGGTTTAGGCCCAAGGTGGAGGCGGGTATATCAGCTAAATACCAATCAGCGCCCCTTTACCCTTTTCTTTGGATAAAAACAAGTTCTTCAAAGGAGATAAAAGCGAGGAGAGCGGCGTGGGTTTTAGTGTGAAGTAAAGGGTGAGTCCGCAGGTTTGTTCTCGCTTCTGAGACTCGTTTTTCTGCCTCTGTGTTGGTGGTTACTGAAGGGTTTTATATAAAGATGGATGACGTGTCTTAATCTCCTCCTGTTGCACGAAAGCGACGCCAACATACTCTCACATTCGGAGGATGGCATCTTGGAGTGGTTATGTTCATGAAGCTGCCGTCTGGAGGTTTTGGTTATGATGTTTGAGGCGGTGACCTCCACTCCAGAGTCACGTCAGATCTTAACACCTGAGCGCCCAAAGATCACATCCACCCACCTCCACCCTTTTGTAGAGAAATGTAGACGACAAATTCCTGTCAAATTATTGACCTGATTACTCACGAGGTCTAACCTTTTTTTGCCTTTTTTATACCCGGTTATTTAACTAAGCTGGGAAATGTTCCTGCGGCTGTTTTTTAGCCTCAAACTGTTGGCTGGCGATGTCATTTGTACCAACAGTCGATCAAAATTAGGATTTAAATGATCAGAAAACCGTCAAAATTTGATTTTTATCAGTATTCGACACACAACCCCAACTTTTCTAAATTTTTCAGCTGGATGGTTATCCATAAAGTTGATGATTGGATGGATTCGATAATTTGAAAGTGTTGTAGGTTGTAGGTTGAAAGTGTCCTCAGAAAAAGTCAAAAATAAAGTAAATTAACTCATTCCTGAATCTCTTGGATTACGGGGAATTACAGATAAAACAACCTCTCCTTGTTGGATTATTACTCAGCATATAAAATGATCCCTTTAAGTGAGTCCTGATGGACTCTTAAATCCGGTGTAACATGCTCTCTGATGCTGTTTAAATCTGCACGGTGGCCCACATTTCCTTTGTCTTTGAAGCCAAGCTGAAATAAATGTTGGAAAAAGAGGTCAGATCAAACACAGGCCGCCTCTCTGAAGGAGGCAAGGTGCAAATTAATAACCAAGTCTCTTTTAAGTCGGAATATTTAGCCTCTTTCCACATTAAAATAACAGATGAATAAAATATTTCTCATACATTAAAAATCTGTGTCAGTCTGCAGAGCAGAGTTTCTCCAAAGTTGAAGTCTGGAAGTTTGAAGTTTTTGGACAGCCAAGTTCAATGACAGCAGCTCAGATACTGCGATTTCTACACGTTTTAGCGCTTTTTTGACATGTTCGCTCTGTGACAAACTTTTGTTCATTAAAAAAAATTCTTTCCTCTGCCTGTTTATTCATAGGAGATTTTAATTTTCCTGATAAATTTGAATGAAAAGTGACGACAGAGTCTAATCTGATGAACATATGAAGCATGTCAGGTGTGTTTGATACGGAGGCCCTGAGGTGCAAAACACAACAGCAAATCAGAAAACACAACAACAAATCAGAAAACACGATGGCAAAAGAGAAAACACAACAGCAATAACCAAACCGGAAAACATAGGTACCCTCTTTTTGTCTTGTGTTTTCTCTTTTTGTGTTGTGTTTTGTGATTTGCCGTTGTGTTTTGCACCTCAGGGCCACCGCAGTACGGACATCATTGGGTCACCTAAAATCAAAGGCTACCCCCTAATCATAAATATTCCTCATTGTCAATTAGTAAGACCCTGATCATGATCATGATTCCACTGCAGGATCCAGATACAGTTATTTATCCTAATTAGTCAGCATGTTAATGAAAACTAACAAATTTGTGATGCTCGTGCAGAGTTAGTAACAGTCGTCAAGTGGTTGTCAAGAGGTTTTGACCATAGACTGTATATACCATGGAAAACTTGGCTCCGCCTTCCGTCATTATACGAATTTGAAGCCAAATTGTTAAAATCTCGGTATTTCTGGGATTTTCTCCACTTTCTGGAACCACCACTTGCGCAGTAGTGTTGTACACATTCGGCGGAAGAGTCGCTGTGATGACGCTCGGCTCAAACAGCATATCCCTCAATCTTCGTACGCCCATAGGCTGTATCAGGTGTCAATCATAGAAAATATGAACCCCCTAATAACTTTTAAAAATGGAGCTGTACAGAAAAAAGAGGACTTGAACACAAACTAGTCTTACTGTAACTACATGTCAACATCGCAAAATTTATAATCTGTGTAATAAATTTCTAAAGTTTGTCCACAGCTCCATCAGGATTGCTGGAGGAGGCGGGATTTATGACCTATACTTCAGCCTGTCACCAGAGGGTGCTGTTCTCGCTGTGGCTTCACCCAGACAGCGTCCATTCTATATAGAGTCTATGGTTTTGACCAATCAGAATCAAGTATTTAACACAGCTGGGTGATCAGTCGGAAAGCAGGTAATGGGATTGATTTATATTTATGGGGTCAGAGCCTCCCATGGCCCCCCAATCTGGACACACCCCTGCTCCAAACACTGACAGTTAACTTTGATATTTAAAACTCGAAGCTTTGTATGGCGGAAACTCATCCTGACTAATCCTTTATGTCGAACCTCCATCCTCTCTACCACATGACTGCAGGATGTCTGTGAATGTGTGTATTAGTGCTCTCCCCTGTCTGCATGTACTACAGGATGATAAAAAGACACCGTGCAGCGATTGTGTCTAACTCAGTGTGCAGTCTGACATGTCTCCGAGCTGTTATCACGACATCTAACATCTCTTCTACAAGACATGGGCCGTGCGTTTGCAGGTCTCTGTTTAAAACTCGTTCATGCTTTTTTCCTGCCGGTGAAGATAACACGATCCTGAGCTGCTCACTAAATGAAAACCTCAGAGGACAACAGCAGGAGTCTTTAAAAAGCTGTAAATCCTCATGGAGTCTGTCTGTGAGCAGCCGTCTGTATCTCACTCTGCAGACACACACTTCCTCCACACTTCATTTCTCTCTTTCTGCCTCACTTTGTGTCTTCTTCTTCCCTCTCTTCCTTCTTCAGTTTTCCCACTTTTGCATACCCCTGTATTTCTAAATAATCCTTGCGTAACTCTCAGGCTGTGGCTGATCAGTGATGCCTCTTATTTATTTAGCCGTGCAGGTTTGGATGCTATCTTGCAGAGCTGGCGGTGGTTACATGTCAGCAGGCGCCTGTGTGCGGCGTATGAAATGAACCTGCCTCCCAGTATACATATTAACATCTCCGCTGCAGCCTCGAAATGAAGCACAAATTGAATTTTGAGGCCGACCGCTTCTTATTTCAGAAGGCTGACCTTCAATTCTAATACTAAGTGGAGATGGATGAATATATTAAAGGGTGTGTGTGCAGAAAAAGCCCAAACACACACTCACACACTCACTCACTCATTGTCACACTCGTCCACTTTACTCTGCAGAGGTTTTTGGACATTTCTGCACAGCGTTCAGAGGTCTAATGACCTTCTTATGAGTCCATCTCCAGCGAGGAAATTTCATGCATTTTCAGATGATCCTAACCATGACAGTAAATGTGTGCTCTTTCACACCTGGATGGTCCCTCTGCCCATCGGCTCTATCTCCTCTGATCCCGATTCAGCTCCGCTAATCCATGATGGAGGCGCAGCGGGGCTCCAGGAATCATCGGCTGGGTCAGATATTTCCTCTCCACGAGGGATTATCTGAGGGAAAGTCGGGAGACGGGGAAAACTCCATATCTTGTGTTAACAGGCCCCAAAAAAGCAAGCGGGAGATCAAGTTTTTCCACGCCGTCGAGGTTTATTCTTCGCACTTAGAGGGATAAGCTAATTTAAAGGGAGAGGCGTGAAATTCGGAGAGGTTACCTTGACAATCAGCTTTGAAAGGCCTTACATCAGAGCAGAAGCCTCAGAGAGATAAATCACTCCGGGTCTGAGGATCACAGATTTAATTAGGTGGTGAAAGTGTTTTTGGACGTTTCGATGTTGGCTCGATTATCCACAGCGGGGGTCTTTCAGAAAACGAGAATGAGGAGTACAGTGGAAGTCTGGGAAGAGTTTTCTGTTGGGTTTTCTGACAGATCACACGGTCCAGGCTTTCACGCCATCTGTGCCTCAGATTCATCGTCTTTAGTTGGGATGTATCACAGAACTGGAGAGAGGACAGTGTGGAGATTTACAGTCTGATATCAGACAGTAAAGGATTGGATGTTAAAGGGACAAATTTAAGTTATGGTCAAACACACCGTAACACCAAATTAGACACCCCTCAAGAGATGAATGTTGCCGACTGCTTGCTTCTCTAGATCCACTAACTACAGCACCATCGCACGATAGCAAAACACAGCGGTCTATGTCTCCACGGGCAAATCTAATCCAAAATGCCACTTTATAGCCACAAATAATGCTCAGAACAGCACCTAACTTCATCAACAGGACAAATATGGTCCCAGCCATAGTACTAGACACCAAACATCGTTTTAACTTCTTATTCTTAAATGGACAAAATGGTTAATTGGGTTCAAATAGGACTTTCTCTGAACACTGCAAAGCCTCTTAAGTGGAAGCAAACTGGGAGTACTTGAAGACCCACCATGAAAAGTGGAGAGAGGATCATAGAGAGAGGAGGGAAGTCAGAGGAGCCTTCATGAAGAAAGTTCAAGTTTAAGAGAGCAGTCTGGTGTTGCATTTGAATAGAGGTCTACAAATGAACGTTTTTCAGTCAAATTTCAGTCAAGATGGTCAAAAGTATCTGCAGCCTCGTAGATGTATGAACACTTTACTCCTTACATCACCAGGATTAGCTTATTTCTTCATCCTGCCTGTTATTGTTTACAGACTCTCCCTGTCCTGTAATACCTCTCTGTAGATGCACGCCACCTTAAGCCTTAAACATACAGGATCCAAATACGCATTCTGTATGCAATAGACAGCGCTGCTCTACAAAGCAGATACGCGACGCTGATGGAACGCGCTCAATACGTATCCTGTATGTTTTCGGCTTTAGCCTCTGTCTGCCACATCTGGAAGTCGTTTCTGGCAATTAGGCCGACAGGGGGAACACAACATTCCTTGGTGCCCGCCGAGGCCTCCTGCTACATGTGTTTGCAATTGCTCTCTCTCTCTCTCTCTCTCTTTCTCACTCACTCCCTGAATTTGTTTCCCTGGTGTTCCCCCTGCAGTGTTTGTTTGGAGAAAAACACCCCGTGCACGACCTGCCCCAGGAAAAAAAAACTCAGAGTGAAATGCCCTGAATGCAGCGCTGATTACCTCGAGGTGGGTCAGCAGCACCGCCTGAGGCTTGTGCATGAGTGCATTTTTAAGCCTTTTGAGTCGCTCTGTAAACAAGTAAATATTGTGACAGTAATCGTGTGGATGATTATTTTCACTGCTAGGAGGCTGAGATGCATTTTTCAGCAGCTGAATGTGTCTCATTATTTGTGGGCAGACAGTTTTCTCTCCATGACAGAATGTTTTATTCTGTTTGAGTTGACTTTGGCGCCCCCTGTGGACAAAGCATTCCCTCTTATCCTTGACTGTAAAATTTATATACTTTGCTTCCTCCCTGTCCTGTGCACTGGCTTGCTTTTCATCAAATAATAGTTTTGCAGGACTTTCTGCACATACTGCTCAACATAAAATCTCAAAAGTGTGTTTTTCTGTAAGTAAGATGTCACTGTCGTCTTTGCAGCTTGTTTATTTCCACCTGCCTCTTCTTATTCAAGGAATTTAAAGTCACTAGAATTTTCCCGTTATGCAGGAAGAGTGTGACTCTCTGCACACTGTTCAAGCAGTCATGAATGATGTTAAAACTGTGTGCCGAGTAGTTTCTCTGGAGTAAACATGAGTTCTGCCAGGAGCAGCTTCACTTTAGGTTTGTAAAATCATCTGAGCATGCGGTCGGTTTTTGGCGGCAAAAATACTTTGGTAAAGGTTACAAAAGTTCACGGATGTGGTAGAAAATGAAAAGAAAATGTCACGTCTTGTTGACATTTACCCTGAACCACCTCATCTCTCTGACCTTCACGAGGAACGAGGAGTTTCCTAAAGAGTACAAGAGGAGACATGAGTCATGTTTCTGCTAATGATGAGCAAAATGTAAATTTAGGAAGTTTGGTGGACTCACTTCTCCTCTGAAGGAAATTACAAACTGCAATATGTTGATTTTATTTGCTGTATCCAAGCCAGAAGAGTTTGAGACAGTGCATTTTAATTCTGGTGGTATATTTGAATAAAATGTACTCGTGTAAGCATCCAACTTATTGCTTTGACAACATATTTACCCGATAGAAAACTCGTGCCATCAATAGTGGAGAAAATGCATGATGTAAAGTCCTTAAATAAACTAAAAAGATTGAGATACTGGCCTCTACGTCTCCTCTCTGGTTAACAAAAACCCCAACAGAGGAGCTACAGGACCCAGAACTTTGTAAAGTGACTTACCGGTGGAGAAAATGCTGAGGGGGTTGAGCTCCAGTGGAGAAAACTTGATGGAGATCTTTTGCTCTACTGAGGTGAAAACACGTCCTGCTCCTCTCGTGGTCAAAAAGTGATGAAGCGTCCTGAAACGCAGCAGAGAAAACATGAAACATGGAGGTGAAATTTGATTCAGTTGAAGAAAACACAACTTTATTATTGCTGTAGAGAGAACTTATGAAATTCTCCTCAAGTGGAGAAACCTTCTAAGGTGTCCTGGAAGATGAAGACCCCTAAAAGGTTCTTCAGCATGTCCTGGACCACAAGTCGAACGTCTGTAGGGAAAAAAAAGTCTGTGTTATTGTGATCGTGAGTGGAGAAAGATGAATCTTTGTAGAACGCTCTTACCTTTGAAGTGTTGTCCCTATTTGGTTGGTTTCCCATTGGAGAAAAGACTTTTTGTTCGGATATGCTTTCAGCTGAGAAATGTGAGCAGTCCCTCTGAGAAACTGTGAAGCAGAACCCTTTAGGACGCCTTCGCCTGAGGAAAAGTGAGGTTGTGCCCTCTGAGCGGCTCTTCCATTTAAGAGAAAATGATGCAAAGTTTGCGAGGTCGCCCTCCGAGTTAAGGACAGGAATTCATCGGCCCTCAATCGTGATGAAGAACTAAATTGGTTCACCTTTTAAGTATCTCCACTTTCATATAATTCCACAAATTACCTTGTTATACTTAGAGTCACATAATGAAACAGTTAACTCTAAACTTTATAGCTGCTTTTTTTGGCTGCAGCCCTCAGCATCACCCTCCGGTGTAACCCCGCTCCATTAAATCCTCTTCTTCTCAGAGTGGTTTCCTTCTCTTTCTGTAAAACCTGGACCAGACTCTCAGGGTTCACTGCCACTGGCTGCTCTACAAGTCGAGAGGCCTGCGAGGTGCACTTTGTAAACACGGGTCATTTGTCAAGTGGAGACTTTAAAGTGTAAAAGCCCCAGGTATTAAGACCGCCGAGCAGGGTCTGATCTATCTGGCATCACCTCAGTTAGTGGAGAAATGCTGAGCCTGCAGACAGGGTTGCTGAGGCTCGCTCTCTCTGCCTCGGCTGCGTGATGGACCTGTTTTACAGCTCCGCTCTCCGTGCAGCTAACAAGTGGACGAGCTGAACTTTGCTGCTTCTGTTTCCCTCTGGGCTCAGCCATTACAGTACGCTGCCGCTGCCCGGGGACCTTACACCGTATTCATTTTCACAGTCCACTGACTCAATATCCAGTAAGGCCGCGCTCACGCTTCGTTTTCATGTTGCAGGGGGGCGAGCAGACAGGATTTCTCAGAGTTGTTGTTGTTGTGGTTGTTTCTCTGATGTTCTGGTGTCTGAGCTGGGGCTGAGAGGGCAGTACTCCTCAGGCGAAGAGCTGCATGATAAGGTGAATCATCCCAAAGAGGGGGAAAAACAGAAACCTGCACCCCTGACATTTACATGAGGAGCTGGTGTGCAGCAGAGCATCACCGGCTTTCACTCTGACCTTCTTAATAATAAGCACTGTGAATATTTTAAATTAATAATGGTACGGTTTTGATTTAAGCATGACTTTAGGGGAAACAGTCAGTACGTTTACATGACGCTTGAGAAAACTGAATTATTGCCTTACTCTGAGTAAGACCGGACAGCTGAAGTCCATGTAAACACTTTAGTCCGACAATAATCGGAGTTTGAGAAATCCGATTAAGACACCCAAATAATGTGATTAAAATTCAATTTTCTCTACCATGTGACCAGCGTAATCGGAGTATGATCGGACAATGCATGTGCAGGAAGGTCCCGCCCTCCTTCGCCTCTGATTGGCTGGAAGTGCTGGGCTCCAATTGGTTATTCCTCATGACTGTGAAACGTCATCGTCTGTCGGGTTAGGGTTAGAGTTAGAAGATTCATAATTATGATAATGTTCCGTAACGTTCTGTTCAATGTACAGAGCCGACAGCCCGCGTTTGGCGTGTGATGACGTTTCCAGCTTTTCTAGCCAATCAGAGGTGATGGAGGCGGGACTTTCCCCTATGCGTAACCCCAGTACAAAAATACCAGAGAAGAGGAGTAGTGTGCATCTCATCTCTAGAAACGAATTATGAGCTTCGTCCGATTAACCCTCCTCCTGTGTTAGGGTCTGCACTGACCTGTTTTTGATTTTAAAAGAACCACTTAAATTTGTTTTTTTGCATCAAGACTTTTTGACTTTTTTAGGAACCTCTATTTCAACAAAATAAAAATAGAAAATCAAATTGACTAAATTATAAAATGCTCTTATTAAAATCATGGCACTTGTAGTCTTAAATTCGCTGTTGACCCGGTTAGATCAATATCTAATAATTAGAGCAAAAACTAAAATCATATGTGCACTGACACTCAGATCCTCTTCCAATCATGTGAGATTTAGGTAATTCTAATTTTTCCATGTTTTTCCCTTCACAAAAAGACAACGTCCAGCATGTCCAGACATGTGAGATCAATTCATTATAGATGTCTGTATGAGGGGTATACTGACAAAGAAAGGCCCTGAGGCCCACAACAAACCAAATTGGATGATAGAGAATTGTTTTTAGTGTAATTTACAGCTGATTTAAGACACGGGTCAAAACCGACCCTTAATATGAAGGGTGCGTAGCAAAAGCTAACACAGGAGGAAGGTTAAGCTGTGCATGTAAACGCACTTAATGTCTGAGACGTAAAGCAGTAGAGGGACACATCTATGTGGGTGTTTGATTTTAGGACCAAATTCTGGAGCTACTCTTGGTGGAAAACATGTTCCTTCTGCGTGTGTTGTTTTCAGGAAACACTCAGAAAAATGTCCAAAGATATCTCCAACAAAAGTTCTGCATCAGGACTTTTTCTTTCAGTTGCCAGCGCTCTGACCTTTACCTGATCCAGCACCTTTGGGAAGACCTGAAACAGGAGCCGGGAGCAAAAGCTTGTTGCATCATTGCTGGGAGTGTTGGAGCAGAGGGTCCACATGAGGAGCTGCAGCTCTGAGTTATGTATGCACCGAGCACATTTGGATGTATATTTCATCAGTCCACAAACTTCTAGCCATGCCGAATAAAACTTTGAATAATTTTTTAGTTGGAAAAATGTCACAAATGGTTTCAGTCCTCATACATCCTTTACAATAAGAGCGTAATAAAGCTGCAGTGGGAGCGCGGTCAGTGTGGTGTGAAGGAAGTAACACAGTGAAGGTCGTGTTTCACTGCGGCCGCTGCCTGATCTACATTTCCTCCAGCTGCAGCTCTCTGCACAGCCGACTGTGACCTTGCTGTGTGTCGCTGTTTAATTGAGTGGGTACACCTGAGCGAGGAGAGGGGACCAAAACCCCAGAGCCAACTCCCTGCTGAGAAAATAACTTAAGTAAGAAAAGACGATCTCATCTGATGGACACCCTTAAAACAAATCTATAAACACTCGATAAAAAAGAGATACCGCCACAGAAGCGTGACAAATAACTCAGCCTCCATGTTGACCTCAGCGAGCAGAGTTTGTCTCTGTATCAGATGACCAATGGAGTAAAGTGCCAAAAAGTCCGTGTGGTCGGTCGGCTGAGTGACTGATGCTGCTCTCCCACCTCTCGGCGCAGAGAGGCCAGCCGGAGCGAGCCTCTAATTGGGCGTCTGGATGACAGAAGGGATCCTTCAAAGAAGCATCCATCATGTCCTTCAGGAGGAGGCGAGGAGAGCAGACGGCGCCGTCAGGACGCCGACCGGGTGTTTATCTTCGGTTGAAGGAGAAGTGAGGAGCTGGTAAGGCAGAGAGACAGGTGTTAGAAAGAGAGAGAGAGAACTTCACAGGTTTCGTCTTTTTCTGACAGGACTCATAAATGTATAAACACCGACCACCTGGAGGATTTTCCTGCTTAAACAAGGTTCCTCTTCGCATTTGTTGGAGTGATTTTGAGCCCATGCGGGGACTTCCACTACAGAGTCTGTTTCTAATGTGGTGCTGCTTGAAGGTTAAAAAATCATCCATCATAGGTTCAGTCTTTCAATCATCAAATCCACTCATTTTCTGCAAGTTTAGGAGCATTTTCTGTAATTGTTGATCTATCAGCTCACGCAGTCTCGACTTCTGAGAGTCTCAGCCTCTCTGAATGTCCCCGTCTGTTAAAAATGAGCATTTATCTCTTACAAAATTAACATATTATACAGATTTCATGATTTAATCTGGGCTCCAAATGTTCTGCAAACCCTCAATTCCAGTTTTTATCAACTTTTTATACAGTCTGGACTCCTTTGGGGTTGGAATCGCTCAGAGTCAGCGTTTTAAAACATCAGTAAGACTCAGACTTTTTTTGTTTAGCACTTTTCATACAATAAAATGTAGCAATAAAAACTTTGAATAAACAGAAAATGAATAGAAACATTTAAAATCCTACTTTGTGTGGATGTCCGACTCAAAAATACAGAAAAAAATGAAATAAATGAGTGATTAAGTCAAATAAAAAAGTAAATAAAGTGACTTTGTATTATAAAACTCAGCTTGAAACAAAGCTCTTCAGTTTGCTTGAAAAAACAGGTGTTACCTTTTCAAAATAAAAGCCCTGCTCTTTATAATATTACTTGTAAACCTTAAAATCAAATGTAATAATCCTGAAACAAATCATTGAATTCATTGCACTTCAGTTATACGTTGATAATGCAGATAAATAATGTCCGTTTGTCGTTACAGAGGTTAAGTTAAGTCAGTGTCGGTGTCTCACTGTCGTTTTTCTCTCCTGCTTCTTTTACCAGTTCAGTAAACTCTGCCTGACATTTCACCTCTCAGTTATTTTTATTCCTCGAGTATAAGGAGAGCCTTTGAGGAAACTTGTCAAAGTATCTTTGTGCGGTGATACCTCTTAGAAACCTCAGAGTCGTCTGTTCATGATGAGAACACTTCGCTCGCTGCAGAAGAAGAAGAAGAAGAAGAAGAAGGAAAAAAACACCCTGACAGCTTGACAGAATCACGGCGAACAGTTAAGGAGGAGGATAGATTCTCTTAACCTCCCACTGCTCTTAAAAGCATCTTCACACACCCACACAGTCTCTAAACACACTGACATTAACACACACACACACACACACACACACACACACACACACGCTGTTGATACACACTCAGAGAAGTGGAAGGAACTGTTCGAGAGACACTTGAGTCTTTGTGCGTCTGTGGAAACACACACAAGTGACACACAAATGCAGTATTACCCTGAGTGTGCTCCTCTGGATCAATGCTGCAGATGTTCGGCTGCTGTGGACCTCACCCTCTATAAACCCAGGCAGATGGCTGTCCAACACGAGTCTGGTCCTGTTCCAGGAACTTTCTCCTTTCTACTTAAAGGGATATTCCAGAGTAATAGCAATACACAGCGGTCTGAGGAGCCATGAACAAACCTCAACCAAAACGCCACTCTATAGCCATAGATAAAGCTCAGAACAGCACCTAACTTCATCAACAGGACATATAGGGTCCCAGCCATAGTACTAGCCACCAAACATCTTTATACTATTCCTAATTTCTTTAACAAAGAGACTAAACACAACTCACCCACTCTCTTCTGAGTTTAACCCTTAATTAATTTAACGCTGGAATATCCCTTTAAACTTGTTTAATGCTGCAAAGTCCTACATTCATGCGACCCCCCAATGATCATAAAACCGAGATATTGTACAACCTGCTCTGCTGCCCCCTTTCTTTCTCCGTCAGCTCATTTCTAACCCCAGAGACCCCTGACTCTTTCTGTCCATTTGTATGAAATATACGTGTATCCCGCAGACAAACTCCTACTCCAAACCCCCTCAGGAGCCAATCACAGCCAAGCCTTTCCCATTTTCTGGTAACGCAGGCGTCATGAAGATGGAACAGCAACACAGAGAAGTAGTCGCCCAGATATGAGCTCTGAGACCGTCCAAACCGGGGTGTCCATCTCCGCCCTGAATCTGACAGATCTGAGGGGAAATCATGTGTTGCGCTCCATCGCTGCAACTTCTCTCCCCCGTCCCATCTGGCCTCCTTCTCTCTCTCTCCCTCCCTCCACACTCTGTTAGCTTCAAAGAGCCTCTCCCAGAAATCACTTAAGAGGGTAGTTTCAACTTGCAGAAGCTTTTCCACTTTCAAACAATGCACAAAAGCGGGCCTTTCTTCCCTTTGAAGACGGCTCATTGTGTGGGCTTTCTGCACTCATCTCCATGGAGGACGAACAGAAGAAAGCGAAGCAGTCTGAGGAGAAGGAGGCAATTTTTGAGGGACACAGACACTGCCTTCGGAAAGTGAGAAACCAGCGCAGAGAAATTGAGTGATCTAATGGTGCAAATAAGCAAAATCAAGCATGTTGAAAATAACAAATGAGGCTTACCTGTGCTCAGTCTGGACAAACAGCAGCACATCTAGTGAGACCAGGTTTAGCGTTTGGAGGCAGCCTGAGTCTTCCTCACCCTGACCCCGGAAACAAACCTCGCCACTAATAAGTTGAGGTGATGTGATACAACTGCCCCTCCTTTGTCGACCTGCACTGAACAGAAAAAGTGTGAAAACGTAAAAAGAGATAAAATTAAAAGTCATTGTCTCTTTGCCTTTTTATTTCTTCCGTTCTTGATCTTATTGCCCTTAAATCTCCCTCTTTTCTCTTGTTTTCATGTTAACATCTTTAAAATAGCTGTAAAAACGAAAATCAAACTCTAACTCTCGCCTAAAGCAAGTGACAGAAAAACACACTCTGCATCCTCTTATTTACCTCCCCTGCAGCCAGAAAAGCTATTACTGCTGCTCATGCTATTACATGTTTCATTTGGAGCGACGTCAGTGTGATTGGTTTCATTACCTGGTCTTAAAAGGCCTGCTGAACACCACATAAACTCTAATGGTCTGCTCCAACACACTTCATTATTTATTCAATACATTTATGTATTTTTTTACCCCCTGGGGAGCGACATTATTGGCCAATAATGGGGTTCACGGTCCACTTCAAGCTTGACAAGTGTACCACCAGTCCAATAATGTTATTTTTACTATTTATTCAATATCATATGGGAACTTTTTCTTCTTTTCTACCCAGTTTGGATTTATTTGACCACGCTTTGGTTGACGTAATGAGCGATCTCTGAGACACAGCTGCTCTTTTAGCACATTATACTTTTAAAATAAAGTGTCAGCAGGTTATTTTTCAGGCTGTTAGACATAAAGTTTGAGCACAGCGGTCACTCTGGTGTCAGAAAACATTCAGTGGAAATAAACCACATGAGAAACAGCTGGTTAAAGTACAAAAAATGAGAGGGTTGCACAGATCCAAAATTCTTGCAGCACACGGTGAACCTCAAGCAAACTTCTGCAGCGTCATTAAATGAAATAATTCACGTTCATCTGCACCTAAATCACCTGCCAGTTGAGTCTCCAAAGTTTCATTTCCTAAACTTTAAAACACACCCAGAACTTCATTTGTCACATCTTCACTTAGAGGGCGATAAAAATCACACTCAGGACATATTACGGAAAAGTTAGACTGTGCAATGTGTGCAGTTTTGCGAAACTCGAACAGCATGAAGAGATGAAACCCTTGAAATGTTGCAAATCCACTAAGTTTGGTGTTAAATATCAAACTTTTCGTCTTTCTGCATTTGATATTTCTAGAAACAAATTGTGCACGACTGAAATATTTTCATTATCATCACAGTGACCCCATCACTAGCTGTCAAGGCCAAAAGAACTCTTGGTCATCAAACAGTCACAGGTTTGATCCCTAATAACCACCTGAACATGAAAATAAACTCGTTCCCTTGAAGTCCAGCATCAGGTAGGACCATCAGTTTAAAGGTCGTCTGCAAATATTCGATCAAAGCTGCAGCTTTAATGACTGGTGTGGACACCGGAGATGAAACTGTCACACTCTGACTTCAAACTGGTCTGTCAGGCTGATGAAAAATTAAAAATGAAGCTGCAGAGTCCAGCTGAGGAAGTAATCTGTCAGACTGCAGGAGGTTTCATTTCCATCCCTGCAGAGCCGCCGTCCAATGAAAAGTGCAAAGTACATTTTAATCCAGTTACACGTAGAAATGTTCAGATTTTTAATTTCGATCATGTATTATTTATGTGATCTTCTATTAATCTGATAAAATAAACCCACAGCCACTGGGCTATTACTGAGTGAGCCGCTAAGTGAATGCAGAAATGGCCCCATCTCGTGGAGGAATTGAGTTACTACATCTGCTCTACAGCAAAGAAATAAGGAGTATGAGAAATCTGTGTTTATTTTAAATGTCAATAAATAGTGAACATTGTGAATTTCTGTACAACACATATAAGTGGAAATAATTTAAATAAAGTGTATGTAACATTTTAAAAAGTGTGTTTCACTTGGTTAAATCGTGCTCTCGTGAAAATCAACATCTCGTGTCTTTTCTTCGAATTTCTGTAAAAGAAAGAAAGAAAGAAATCAGGTCATTTTTTCACCAAACATTCAAGATACGATGATTTTTCATATCTAGGAGGTTAAATTTTCTCTTAACTTTTAATTCTGGATTAAAAGTTGGGTAGACAAAGACAACATCAAAGATGACATACCTGTTTGAGCAGATTTTGCAAATTTGGATCAAATTAGTCAGAGCAACTGTACGCTCACATATAGCAGCACATATTTGGAGACATTTCTGCTGCAAATTTTTGCCTCGATGTTGCACATGCATATCTTTTTATCATTATTTATTGTTTACCAGACACTCAGATTTGCAAATGTGTGCAAATGCAGACCTTGCGCTGCAGGATTGTAGCAGAAGTCACTTATTAACAGGCAGTTAGGGGTCCAATGCAAAAAGAGACTTGTATGTATTTTAGCTCTGGGGGCAAAATCTCGATCAATTCAGTCAGTACTGGCTCTGTATTTCTTTACAGACTAACGTACATTCTTTAATTCTTTAAATTTTTCTTTTTGCATTTCTCGCTGCTGTAAATTTGGATTTCCCCTTGTGGGACGAATAAAGGAGTCTCTTATCTTTTCTTACACATTTGCAGATCTGCAGTGCATTTGAGGGTATGTGCACAAATCTGTGCAGACATTAGTGAAACAATTTGTAGCAATATTTGCTCCATAAATATAGATTATATTGACTAATTAATTCATATTTTGACCAGAAGTAAGAATGAGCTTTTGCAGTGTCAAGCCTACATTGGTAGATTCATCACATCTTTTTTTATAAACCTGTCTTTGCAAAGATCCCATAAAGCTGTTTTAGGTGCACTCAAATTGATTATCATGAACTAACCTTGTGATCGTGGTTGTGATTTCTTGTGTTTATTCAGGTGTTGTGACCTGACGTCATTCTTCGAGCCGTTGACGTCAGCGTACGGCGTCGCTCCTTTCCACGACTTCTCTGTTGGGTGTAAAAACAAAAGGAGACTTCAGGAGTGATAAAGCGTGTCACATAAAGGGTTAATTTTCTGATCTCAAAGTGAAACCGTGTGCTCACCAGTGTGCCACCTGTGTGTCAGGTAAGTCTGATTCATGCTCCTCCATTTGTGCTGGGGGGAAAACGGCGCGGAGCAGTTCTCATCCATCTCTCGGATGGTGTTGCCGTGTGGACAGTGTCTCAGATGCTCCCATGAAGATGCCTGATGCTGCGGCTCATTACACACACAATTCTTCTCCCTCGGCTTCGGGCACATCACTGCTGGATATTTCTCCAGGTTTTGCTTGGACGTGAGCGGCCTCTTAAGATCACTTAGCTTCCCAGGGTCATCAGCTGGCCTCCATTTTGAGCCTGCACGACTCAGGCTGTTCTCAGAGGAATCTCCCTCGGTGTCGTGTCCATAAGGGCCGCAGAGTTTGTGATTGGACCCTCCTCTGATCAGCTGGTTCTTGGAGTGAGCTTTACAGGCTTCACATGTCGGTAGAGGTGCGTTGTTCCACGGCTGGAAAGGTGTGGCTTTTCTTTTCAAGGTCCGACCATCGAGTCCTGAGGTTACGGACATGCAGATTTGGCGCTTTGACAGACATCTGGAGCAAAGCCGCTCCCTCTTGGATGCATACGGAGTGAATGCGTTCTCGTTGAAGTTTCTGCTGAGGCAGCACTCATGATCAGAGAGGCTGCGTCGGTCCACCTTGCCTTTGGGTTTGTACCTTTCTTTTGGTTTGCGAGTCATCGGCTGTTCCTTGTACTCCAGATCTAGTTTTCTCCTCCTTGAAGGCACGTCCAAACTGTGGTTGCTCAAAGGTTTGATTTGCTTCTTTGGAGTCGGTGGCATCTTACTGCAATAGTAGACGCTATCAAAGTCAGCAAGCCAGCTGGTTGACGGAAGGTACGCCGGCAAAGATTCGAATGAAGTATCCTGGTGATCTTGGATGTTCGTTTCTCGTCTGTGTTGGCTTCTCTCAGCCTGCGGAGAAGATTTATCTAACAGCAGCAAATAAGGGACATGAGCCACCTCTTCTTTGAGCATGACAGGAGCTTCCTCTGCGACAGGAACCTCCATACGAGGGTACATATCAGGGTCCGGCACCAACACATCCCCAGGACCTTCCACGGTTAGGACCATGTCCTCAAGATCGTCATGTGCCAGAGAGCGCATCTCAATCATGGGTACAACCTCCTCTGCATCCTCCTCTCTGAACTTCAGGACATCTGCAGAGGGAACTTCAGCAATCAGGGATTCATTTCGAGACTCTTTTAGACTGTTTTGGATCACTGACTCAGGTGAGGCAATCAAGGTGTCCTCCAAAGACCAGACAGTGGATTCCATCTTCCGGAGTTCATCCAGGTACTTTGAGTCAAACGGCAGGTGAACCACTTTGAACTGAAAGTTCTTGGATGTCACATGATCTTCCCCTTTACAGCGAACCTCCAACGGTGAACCAAACTCAGGAACTGCAGCAGGACTTGTCTCCTCCAGTGTGGGGATCTTCTCATTGCTACTGGACTTCCCCACTAATAGGATATCAGGACAGGCTTGAAGTCCCTGGTCCAACTGGTCTGCAGGATGGCGTGGCGCTTTGTCCTGCAGAACCCGGTTCTGCACGACGGAGCTGCGCTGGACCACATCTTGAGAAAAGCTGTGGGACACCTCTGCAGTCTCACGGGAGTGCAGGAGTTGAAGTCCTGCGGGTGTCGTGCAACATTCGATCCTCACTTCTTCTGTCTGGATCACAAAGCTGCCGTTCGGCGGAGTCCTGGTGGTGGACAAAGCCATGGTGTCCTTTTGCTCTGGAGGGGGATCCACTCTCTGAACAGCCAGTGATGGTGAGGTCTGCTGTCTGACAGGGTCTCTGTTGTGAGTTCTCGGGATAGAGATGCTACTGGAGGCCTCTGTGCTGCTTGAACCTGGTGTGCTCGTCCTCTGAGTGGTGGACAGGGGCTCAGTTTGGACCTCAGAGCTGGTTGTCTCTCTGGTCTGGCTGTTGTGTTGGTACCTGAACCTGCGGGAGTGGTAGGCCATGGTCTGGTAGTACTGTGGGTTGAGGATTCTCCTGTAGTCCACCAAATGGAGGTTGGTGTGTGGTACGACGAAGCTAGGAGGCTCCATGTATGGGTTTGGCTGATAGTGAGGCATCATTGGCATCCCGTAACCTTTAAGGAAAGGGGGCAAACAGTCCTGAGTTTTTAAGAGCCGTCTCTTTAGTCTTCCACAGTCAAAACCACATCTTGAAGAACCCAGAGAGCGTTTTTAACAACACTTGTTCAACATCAGCCTGAAGACATTGATCATCACAAAACAAAGCAAAGAAAACTGAAAGAAACTTTTGAGGTTTTTTTATCTAGTATTTCCAGCCAATATTGTACCCAAGATGACAAGCTGAACCAACTGACACAGAAGGGTTTTTTGGACTCACCTAAACCTGGGTAGCCGTAGTACGGGTTGTAGGACACAGGCATGGGCATGTGCAAAGGCCACTGCAGACTCTGCACAGGCAGGAACGGCTGCGATGGCTGAACGTAGAAGAAAGGCTTGTGGTGTGGCTGCTGGTGCTCCTCAGGACGTGGAGCTGCTGTGGGCCCTGACTGCTGAGGACCCTGAGTCCGCTGAGCTCCATGTGGAGGGTTTGAACCCTGAGGACCAAAACTAAACGGTTGCTGTAGAAAAGAAGCCGCTGCCTCCATGTTTGACAAAGAGGCTGAAAGGATTAAACTGTTTTCTGAAAGTTCTCTTTTCTTTTTTAACTTCTAAACACTTTCTGAAGTGAGCGAGCTGCACCACCTTCAAAGCATGTTGTCAGTTTAAAGTCAGGGATCATGGAAAAGAATTAGTTTGAGGAGAGCTGCACTGATTGGCTTGATTTGAGGGTCCAGCTGAAATCTAATGAACTTCCAGTAGAGCCAATGAAATGCTCCTCAGGGGCTCCTCCCACTTTTGTGCATCAGCTCACCTGAGGAAAGCTCAGAGACGGCTGAAAAAGGAGAGAATCTACCTGACTGTGGCTCAAAGTGGTGCATCTTCTCTTATTTTTAAATCTGTGACACTCCAGGCTTAACTTCTTCAGCTCTGTCTCATTTGCATGCAGGCAGAGCAAAAACCAAGTGTCTCTTTAATGCTAAGCACATTTCCACAGGCCCAGTATAAGATGTAGATTTGACCCCTGTAGAGCCAATTATGAGGTTAGATGAGATCTTGTTTGGTAGCCTGGAGCAGGATTTATTGACTGTATAATCCATGATAAATAAGGATGCTCTCTTGGAACATGCTTGGAGTCTGGTTAATTTACTTACAGGGCAAAGCATCCATTAAAAAAGGGTTTTAGTCGTCTTAATTTCAATTTAAAGCACCAGGAACAGTAATATCTACAGGTATAGTTTCCAGGAAAGCTCATTTTGCAGGTGTTGACTTGTCTCTCAAGTATCATCTATTAATACGGTGGGAAAAAAATGGGAATGAAGAGCGCTGCAGCTAATAACTGCCAGTGTAGTTCAACACGGTGTCGAAGAGCACCTCAAAAACAACACATTTAACATTTATTGTGTGCCAAGTTTGATATTTCGAGCCTCTCGTGTTGAAGATTTGATGATTTTGGCTTGAAGCTCACAGATCAGGAATCCCTTAGACCAAAATATACCGCAAATCAATCAAAAATGGATTTTAGATACAGAAATTTTCAACTCCTGACAAGTAAATAACTTGATTGGGTGCAGCTATGCTCTGCTGGCCTTCAGGTGGTCTGTATTTATGGGTGGAGAGTTTACCTTTCTCATAACAATACCTCATAGATTCCTGTATCACACTCTGGCCTATCAACCACTGAAGCATCATGGTACCCAAACCATTTGGTAAAAGTTTTGGCTGTCCCTGTGGACAGGTGCAAAGTCCTGCTGGAGACGTGGCATCTCCATGAAGCCTGAAGGTCTCTAAAATCTCCTGGTGGAGTTGATAAAACAACGTGGACGAACACCAGCACAGGCTGTGGAAACTTCTCCAAACACGGTGGATCCTGGGCCTCCAAAAGTCGGGTGAAGGGGTGAAGCAGCTTGAAGCTATAATGACCGTTTTTGCTCATTCTGATGTAAAATCATTCAACACAAATGTTAAATAATGACACACTTTATTGGACTGGCCCCACAGTGGCTCACCCTCCTCTTCAACACAACCTCGTAGACCCTTTTTCTGTCTGTGAAATTCATAACTCATTCATAGTGAGCAGCAGAGTCGCTGCAGGAACTTTATACATTTTTTTTTTACTTTTACCCAAAAATAAAGAGTTTCTCTGTGAGGTGCATTTCACCCAGTGCTCTAAATACATGAAAAATACATGAAAAATACACCTTTAGGGGACCTGAGGAGGACAGAAAACATGTGATTAGACTGATTTTCTCTGAGATGTTTGTTTGATTCATGATGCTGCAGCGTGGACTTCACTTACAGTTCAACACATTTGGTTTATAAGTCAATCCTGGGACTTCAACATCTTGGTTCTCCTCTCATGGTGGAGCCTGAGAAACAGATATGAAAGGTGTCACAGTCAGTACTCGAGTTGAGGGGGAATGGCATGAAAATGGTCAAAATCATCCCCCTTCAACTTTCCATTCCTTGAGCCATTTTTGTCCATGAATGTGGAAATGTTACTTCTATTTTAACATTAGGAATATATGAAGGAGCCGTGTCCTCACTGACCGCGGGGAGCGCATAGACACACACCCACAGACGCGCCAAACATTTCCCTGCCCGCCAGCGTCGCTAATTACGCGCCAAACAGCGATACTTCTTCCTTCTCTGTTGGATTGGGTAACCAATGTTGCACACTTTGAGCGCTATCAGTTCACTTAAACATACATTCACATAGATATTCATCCCTCCACTTACTTGCAGGGCGTCCATTCACGTCATCATGCCGGATCATGTTTCCAAAGGAGGAAACAGAGGGAATGATTTCCGGGTGTGAAATAGGTGGGTATGGAGGGTCAAAGTGGTCACATGATGCAAGAAAAATCAATTCCTTTGTTGTTTGCCATAAATCCCTAAAAGTTTATGCTCTATTGATTTGTGTAAAAACTTAGTTAAACTGGCAAAAATTAACAGAAAAGATCTTAAGTGAATAAATGAGTTTTTTTTAAACTTAAGTAATTAATAACGTCCACTAAGAGGGGCTAGAGGGGGGTTTAACAGAGGGCTTCCTGGGCCTTTCTTTGAGATTGGAGTTCGTTGCATGACCAGTAACTGCCAAACTGACTTTTGTAGTGCTGCTGTGTTTTTAGTTTTAGAGTTATAGTGGAGCTTCTGCCTTGTTGGTATTTTCTTTTTTGCCTTTTACATATTGTAAATAGTATTCGACTATTTTTTTTTTTTTTTCATTTTTGTGAATATTTTTGCACTGCACCTTGGAAGGCCAGCTGTAAATAAATATCACCATCATCATGTTTTCCACTACGTCTGTGTTTTTCCACAATATTTTGATTGTTTGCATGAGAACCCCGCGACAGGGGGCTTTGTGCATATTTAGTAAAATACTCTGGGTGAGGCAGCATCTGTGAAAATCACATTTTTTTCCCTCTTTTTCAGAAAAATGATATCAGTGGGCAGCGCTGGTGATGCTGTTGTAATTTCAGTATCAGTATCAAGTGACATGGACGGCTCAATCTGAGGGATAATGTAATATAATAGTTATTTTTGTGCTTTAGTAAGAATAAAATGGGTACACAGTTGGTTTCCCACTATGTGCACTGTCATCAGAACAAAATATCCATCCCAAACAATAAAATCCACCACCACCCCTGATTTTTTTCACAACTCAACCACTGATCACATTAATAGAAAACTCAGAGTTCAAAGTTGAGTGACAGAAGATCAGATTTTAACCTCTGTCCCAGTGTGAAGGAGGCGGCTCGTCATCGTCGTTGTCCTCGTCTCGTGGCCTGTGGTACATCACTTTCCTCTGAGAGCCCATTTCTGTGAAGAGGAGCAAAGAGAAAACATTGAGATGGTTTTAATCACGTGTTGCTTCTTAGTCATTGTGTCTGTCACTGATCTTGATCATGAAATAACAACAAACTTGATGGTTTAGCGTAACCTTGTCGCTGCAGGAGTGCAGTTTGTCTCCTCCTGGGGATCACGTCGCCGTCCCCCCTCCTGCCCTGGTCTGACGTGCTCAGGTCTTCTCTGCAGACTCTGTCTGCAAACACAGTTCATACTCAGAGCAGGTTTAAACATGAGCTGCTGAAGTGGACTGAAGACTTACCCTGACATGTCCTGCACTGCAGCTCAGCAGCAGCCGCCTCCGTCAGCTCACCATCAGCTGCATCCTGCTTGCACACATCGTGTTCGTCCTCCTGATTTAAGAGGTCAGACGGGTCTTTGTACTGGTGTCTTTTGTACCACGGTTTTGCAGCATGTCTCAGAGGGACTGGGTGGGTCTTCCTGGGTGCTGAATGCTTCCTCACAACCACTCTGACGGGCTGCTCACACCCTCTCCCGTACCGGCCCTCCTCCTCAGAGTCTCCAGCTTCATCCCTGTACGTCTTTGCTCCGTGCACTTTGCTCCTACTCGCTCCTTTCGCCAGACTTTTCCCACAGCAGGTGCACAAGACCTTCTTTGAGCCCTGCAACCACGCCTCCTCCACGTCCCCTGCAGCACGGGGAGACCCGCTGACCACCTCTGTGAGTCTCCTGCCTGTGTACACGTGTTTGGGGAAGAGATCTGCATCATCCAGATCTGTGGAGAACATCTCATCCCTGGAGGAGAGCTCATCCAGAGAGGGGCTGAGGACGCTCATGCGCTCGTGGGTGTTGTGCATGGAGAGGTAGTTGTAATAATAGGGAGCAGCTGGGGAGGGAAGGTGAGAGGCTGCTGCTGCTTCTCCAGAGTCCAGGGTGCCTTCAAAAGGAAGCCTCAGGATCTTGAAGCTTGGATCTGCTTTCTTGTGACCTGTCCTCGTGGATTTGTCAAAACTTTTCACATCTTTGGAAGCAGAAGGAGACAACAATGTGGGTTTTGGATCCACTTTGGCCTTCTGGAGCTCTTTGCAGCCATATTTCTGAGCACTCGGATCGCTCACTGAGATATCTGACTGGATATCTGTGATCTCCTCCCTCTTAAAGGGAAAAAAGTGCTCATCTGGTGCAGCCTGCTCCAGATCAGGACTGTTCTCATGGACTGAAGAGCTATCAAGAGGATCTTCCAGACCTCCAGACCAGCATGCATGAGGACTCAGACCTTCTAGGCTTCTCTGGCTAGAATCTCCATCGTACACAGCTGCTGTCGAGTCACTGAAAGTCACAGCTGGAGACACTAAATGACTAATTTCAGCTGCTGAGGGCAGCACATGACCCTGCTCCTCACCTTTCTTCTCCTCTGCAGGAGAAAACATCCCCGAGGACTGCGAGGCAACACCTGAGTCCAGCTCCCTCTCAGCGCCCTGCAGCTCGCCGGCTCGGATTTTGTCCAGGCACTCTATGAGTTTGGTGATGGCGTCGCTCGGGTCGGTTTGAGCCTCCGAACAGGCCGTCTCTCTGCGCCCCTGAGGCTGCAGGTGATGCTGCTGGCGGGGGACATCACTCCAGGTCGGAGGGGCGTGGTAGCGAGGTTCGAACATGCGTCTGTAGTCCGTGGGATAAACAGGAGCGTGTGGGAAAACAAACCCAGGATACTGCATGTACTGGTACGGGTTCAAGCAGGGACGATTAAAGTTAAAACCTGAGGAGCAGAAACACAAACAGTGAGATCTCAGGTGATTCATTTACAACCAGTACCCAACTTGGAGAGGATACAACAGGATGGTAAACAAGCCCTATCACAACTTTTATAAGCATGTTGCTGAAATCAAATCTAAAATGAGCATATTTCAAGGTTCAACAACTGTCTCTGCACTTTTTTCAGCCACATATGGAGTTGAAATAAACTATATTTCAAGTTGTAGTTTAGTTTTCTACCTCCAGGTAAACCATAGTGACTGTATGGGTTGCTCATCTGCCAATGCTGGTAGAGGTAGTAAGGTTGAGATGGCGGCTGGACGTAGAAAAAAGGCCTGGGGTGGTGGGCTCTCTGTTGTCCACCCCCAAATGTGTGTGGCTGTTTGCTTCCATCTACAAAAAAAACACAGTGCAAGAAAAAATGATAGAGTACGTCAATTTAAGAGTCTGTGATAATCCAGATATTTAAAGATTAAACTGTTTAAGGTAGGGAGAGGAGAGAGGAGAACCTCACCGTCCATTTTCCTTCATGTGCTGCCTCAACCTGTCAGAAATAAAACACTTATGGAGGATTAAAACAACCAAATAAACGTCCTCCTGATTCAAAATAATCACTAAAGATATTTTACAGTCACTTATTGGATAAATAAACAGAAGCAGAGTCACATTTCTCTCACACCCTCATGACTCTCCACTAACAAAAGCAGAAGCTTCTCTGCTCGTTAGTCATATAGGAAACACCTGCTGCTGCTGATCGGCATGAGGGTTCAAAGATTTCAGGTTCATCAGATCACAGCTTGGACACAGGATCAATGGACAGACTCCTCTATCTTTATATGAATGATTATTAAATTGAACAAACATTTAGATGTAATACTGGCCCTAAACATTATTTTCATGGATTTCATGATGGTAAAAAACAACAACATTTTAGTGTATGCAAACAAACCACATTGAAATGTGTGAAATTGTCTGAGGGCCTTTTTATTTTCAGCAGTGGCGGTTCTCGACCACCGTAGCAAACATCCTTTTCGCAAGGTCAAATGTACAAAAATCGCCTCTGAGGACTTCTCTGTATATTTCCTGGGCTGTCATGTCTCTCTCTGTCCAGCAGGTGTCGCTGTTTCTCATTTTAGCAGGGCCGGGCCTGCTGATATGAGCGCATGCGCAGTATCCTGATTTGGCCTGTAGTCTTTCAGGCGCTTATGATGCGCTGAAAGGTTGTCCGCTGCTCAGCGCTTCAACACAACACTTTAATATCTAATTTCGGCTTCTGGCGCTTACTCGGCACTCCTTGCTGACGGATAGAGCCATCACGACGGTTCAGTGTGTGGAGTCTGCGAACAGTTACAGTAAGGAAGCATGAATTTAATGGGTTTGGGGTGTAAACTTGTAAACTCTTGTTACGTTTATTTAGCTTAGTTAGCCTAGCGCTAGCAGCATGACCGCTCTGTATTTCGCCTGCTGCAAAGGTTTGTACCTCTAAAGTCATTAATTTTTACCGCTCCAGACTCTAAATGGAGGAAGGAGACACTTTTTAAACATTAATAAAACTGTCTTACAGTCTTATTTTCTAACTGTTAGGTTAGCCCGGAACTGTGGGGCTAAAGTTGCTAACTAGCTGAAGTGTCTCCAGTTGAGTTAGCGATGCAACATGAAGGCTAACTGATCGGATGTATTGATCCGCCCATCAAAAGGATGATAGCCACTTTTTCCTAAAGTCCTCTTTAAGATAAACCAGATTGGATGATGTTTGTTGTTTTCCTGTGGAGCTAACTTGAGTATTGTTGGTGTTTAGCAGCAGGCCTGCGTGTTTGGGGTTCTGGACAGAGGTGCTACACGGCAACGATGTCACTCTGTTATTACTGCAAACTGGAGGAGAGCAGCATCACTTATTCCTGTTTATCTTCATTATTAGTGCATGCAAATGTATGTGGAAGTAGCATAAAAGCCGGGTAGGAGCTTGTAGAGTGGGATTCTCCACGCAGATTGTAGACAGACTCCTAATTTCAGTCCGATTAGGTCTTTATTTTGGCAGCAGAGCATCCTTACACACCTGTCTGCACTAACAGTACACCCGCGATCAAATACACCTCAATACAGAACATCTACCTTTACATCTATCTTGACTAGGACTGGGCGATTTGGCAACAAAAACAAAAAAAGATCATGATATATTTAGTCATATCATCCGTTCTCGATTAATATCACGATTTTTTTATTTTGATTCATTCTTTAAACCTTCCATTTTAAAGCATCTGTATGAAAAACTAGAGAAATTAGAAATTAGTTCAACATTTTATTAACATAAAAGTCAATAACAAAGCAGATTGTATGCTTTTTTCATGCGTTTCAATGTTTCATTTGGTTAGGCCAAACTTCACATCGACTCAGGTGCTTTCCACTAACTTCTTTGTTCGTTTTCTGTGCCTAGATCGTAAAACACCGAAATATATAGATGTAAATTTGTCATATTGTCCGATCTCGATTGAGTACTGTACTAAAAACTAGAGATGTTAGATGTCATGGCTGACATCTATTTTACTGCCCTCAGCTCCACGTTTAGTCATTCTGTTTACTTTTCCGGCGATGTACAGAAGTGAGCAGGAAAAGCTACACTCTAATTGGCTGTTGTCACGCTTATTTCCGCCACGTTTGATCGAGTAAATATGCTCACCGCTGCTCACCGTGATCGAACTGAAATTTATCACGACCATATGATCGCCCAGTCCTGGTTGAACGTTTTTCTGTTTTTATAAACCTCTAACCCGCTCCTTTTGTTTCTCTCCTCTCTTTCAGACAAGCACTGATGTAGCAGTGTTGGGACAGCCATCGAGCTCTCCCTCTACCTCCACTCCCCCAGTGCCTCACTGCATGACCTTAGACAGAACCACAAGGGGACTCAGCCTTTCCTCACCCAGGACCCCCTTCATCAGGACTCCTGACTGTGACGCTCAGTAGCCACAAACACCCAAATCTTCTCTCCTCTTCTCTTCTCTTCTCGTCGGTCAGTTCATTTCAAGAAGGACCAGAGGAAATTATTCCACAGTGGAGTTGAAAACACCTCCACTTAGACCAGTGGAGGTGTTGAAGATCGGTCACGCCCTCACCCCCTCTCAATCTTTTAAAGAATATAATTTTTCTTCTGGTTGGTTGGAGCCCGGTTCTGCCGGCCGTGTGACTTTTCAAAACTGGGGCGCGATTCATGGGATGCAACCATGTCGGATCTCAGTGAGCGCAGGCCGGTCAACACGGACTACGCTGTCTCCCTGCTGGAGCAGCTCAAGTTCTTTTACGAACAGAAATTACTGACTGACGTCGTGCTGCTGGTGGAGGACACAGAGTTCCCGTGTCACAAGATGGTCCTGGCCACATGTAGCTCCTATTTCAGGTGAGTGTGACGTTGCGGTTGTCGGATTTGGAAGAACTCACCAAGTTGTGAGCTGTGTATGACAGAGGTTGAGGCTCTGAGTGCTTGTCAAGATTGAATCCATGATGTAGAGGCTGAAGTGACGACTAACCCCGTTACTTTCGATGTGACAGATAACCCTGACACCACAGGAAACATCTCAAACTCTTCAGGTTGAAAGTTATCGAGGAATTTGGCTGTAAAGGTATCTGAGTGCCAAAGCCGGACTTTTTAAGGTAGTTCCAAAACTTGGAAAATACAGAAATGTAAAAACATCAAACTTCCAAAATGACCTCAGCTTAGAGAGGCTTTAACTGATCAAGATTTAACCTCTTTAAGATGCAGAAAGTCTCTAACTAACTGAGCAGCCCTGTGTATAATCATAACACATCATTTATAAATATTAAGGCTTTAGATTTTATAGTGCTTTATCAGAGACCCTCAAAGCGCTTTACATCGGATACATCATTCACTTACTCGCACAGTAACACCCTGGTGGCCTCTCCAATCACCACCACACAACACTCACATTCACACACCAGTGGAGGACACACACTGGGGGCAAGGTGGGTGAAGTGTCTCGCCCAAGGACACAACAGACAGACTAAGGATAGGGGGGAATCGAACCGCCAACCTTCCGATTACTGGCCGACCTCTTCACTTCCTGAGCTACAAGTCATAACATCATAAGTTAACATGGGTTTCTGTACTGTTAAGTCATAACACATAATTTCTGACTTGAATTCGTCAAAGACACAAAAAACACATGAAATCAGCTAAAATTTACCAACATCTCCATCCAGATATGTCTTTAAAAAATCAGCTTACAGGACTGGAGCTTTTTTAGCTCAATAGCACCAAAACAGAGTTAGGAGCACCATCCAAAATCTACACTCAGATTTGTTCGAAACAACGTTCAGGAGCGCAGAGAAGTTGAACAAACGTTCATGTAGCTACAGGCGGAGAGAGGAGAGCAGGGAGAGGAGTGGACGACTCAGTGAATAAACCCTGTATTCTTGATTCTGGTCTTTTTTCTGCTGCATTTATTCATTTTATTTGAAAAAAGCAACAAAGATAGAGAACAAAGATGACAGGCAGGCTTTAGTTTACACCTTTCCTTCGAAGAGACCAAAATGTTTTCAGTTTTTACCCCCCGTGTCTGAAGAGTCCAGCTTCAGATTCTCCGAGGAGAAAGAGCGGCAAAACTTGAGCGACTTTTTCCCAGTTTAGGCGGTAAGGAAAGTTACTGTAAAGTCTCAGTTTAACTAAAATAGTCCTAAAAAATGAAGAACACATAATCAAGTCGATGCTGCCGACGTAGCTCCAGTTTGTCAAATATCCACACTCACTCACTGGAGTGTTTTGCATTTATACAATGAAAATAAAGTTGTCCTAGTCTGTTTGGGATTTGTGTCGAACAACTTCCGTCTTTGTGCGGTACAGATCCCCTGAGTTTCTCTCCTACAGTTTCACTGAATAATGCAGCGTACAGCCGCGGCCTTTTGTGTTTAAAGACGTCAATTATTCCCCCCGGTCTGATTGTGTCAGGCCGTAGGTGTAGGTGCGCTGTTGTTATGAATGTAAGTGCTCACCTTCTACAGTTACCATAAATAATGCACCATGTTGTAGAAAGAGAGAGAGAGAGACCCGCTCTATATATGGAGGAAAAACACACACAGGGATGCGGTTTCCTTGAAAGCCGGGGCTTGAATCATCCTCCGCACCGTCTCGGATACACAACACGGAATAAATGAAGCAACCTCTAACCTGCAGTCGTACAGACAGATCCCTCAAGGCCCTTGGGAGGCCTCATTCGTACGCACAACATTGCATAATGAAGTGTGTGTGCACTGCGGTGAAGATGACAGAGCAGCAGCCTCGACTCTGGGAAGAGTCCATCTGTACATGACAGGAGCTCATGCTGCATTTGAACACCCTGTCTCCCCCCTCCCTCCCTCCTTCCTCCCTCCCTCCCCTCGCTGACTGCACACACGCATTCCAAGAAAAGGTCCCGACAACTTGATGCCGCTCTCACACAAACCGCCCCGCGTTCTTCCCCTCCGTTTCCCACGCACTCGTTATCTGGTGCGAACATGCAAAGCATTTCCCCCGCAGGTTTTCAGAGGTGTCGCAGCGCTTCCCTCTAAAGTGCTACTCCTTCCTTCCTCCCTTCCTTCCTTCCTTCTGTCCTCTCCTCTCTTTCTCTGTCTGCTGCCTCTCCTCGCACGCCTGGCTTCAGGGGGAGGGTGCGAGACTCTGGAGGGAGCTTGTGTGTGGAGGGGAAAGTCTGGTCACGTAGGTTTGGTGAGAGATGAAGAGAAAGGGGAAGAAAGAGAGGGAAAAGAGGAAGGGAGGGGGTGAAAGGGTTTGCCTGCAGGGTTGCGTAATTCAGCCGGGCAGGTTTAGCCCCTGCTGAGCGACGCACAGACACACAAAACCCCCAAACGGGAGGGCAGAGCTGGGCTGCAGACAGAAAATTTGCAACTGGTAGGGCTGCGTGTGACGGTGATCTAAAACATAAAATAAGGGAAAGGAGTCCAGAGCTGTGTGTGTCTGGAAAAGATGCGAACAAAATGTGTGTCAGTCCCCAAACTAACAATTTTTATCCGTCCAACCTATTGATGGAATAAACCGCAGGATAAAAAAGCACTATTAACATCTACAGTGTTATTGTCAGAAACCCAAACATCAAGAAACAGTCTCTGAAGCGTCTGACGAGTGATTTCTGACAGTAACGAACACGTGGACCCTGAAGGCATCGCGCTAATAAATGCAAATCACCGGTATGAGTCCGTCGCAGCTCTGTGGATGTAAACAATGTGAGAAATGTAGCTGTCAGAGAGGTGAAGAGGCTCTGAGTCACTCTGACGACTAAAGACGGAGAGGTGTAGGCGCTACGGCGAGCAGAGACAACAGAGAGAGGAGCTCACCTGGAGCTGAACCGTGCTGTTAGCCCACCAGACAGGTGCTCAGTGACGTTTCTTTGTTATTCAAGAGCAGGAACGAAATCTAGGTGGGTGGGCTTGTATCAATCCACTCTAGAAACAACATATTTCTGAATTAAGCTGCTTTAGTTTGCAATAATGTGACCGTATCAAAAAAAGATGAACATTTCTTTGATTCTGTCCTACTTGGTGTTCCTTTTTGATGAGTTCTGATGATTTTTTTGACCGAATGCACACCAGAGTTTGCTCTTCTGGAGGAGAAATGTATCCCTGCAGCAGCCGACTGCAGCTACTCTGAATGTTGATGGTAACTTTGTCTGTTTTTGCAGCCATGCTGGCAAAAGTCCAGCTGTCATTAAGGGGGCTCTGTTTGGGAAAGAAAACACGCTGGACGGCAAACGCTGAACAAGACCGATTTTGGGGATTTATCACTCAGTGTGCATTTAAAGGGATATTCCAGCATGTATTGCCATTGTAACGACCACACAACAACAATACACAGCGGTCTGAGGAGCCATAAACAAACCTCAACCAAAACGCCACTCTATAGCCACAAATAATGCTCAGAACAGCACCTAACTTCATCAACAGGACATATAGGGTCCCAGTCAAAGCACTAACCACCAAACATCTTTTTAACTTTGCCTGATTTCTTCAGTAAAGAGAATAAACACAACTCACCTACTCTCTTCCAGCAGCTGCTTGTTTGTAGCAAGACCTCAGGCCAGTCCATTACGGACTGCAGTGGGGTGCCGCAGCTCAAGGAAGAACATTTATGATCATTTCTTCATCATTTCCTTGAAGTAATAATCACCATATTAATCATTTTGCGCTGCAGACACGATAGTTCTTCTGTTTTAGCGTCTTGGTCTGATTGTATTTCTTTTCCGTGGGCTGCGAAACTTCACAACAGTTCATAATGGACCGGCCTGAGGTCTCGCTACAAACAAGCAGCTGTTGGAAGAGAGTGGGTGAAAGATGTTTGGTGTCTAGTACTATGGCTGGGACCCTGTATGTCCTGTTGATGAAGTTAGGTGCTGTTCTGAGCATTATTTGTGGCTATAGAGTGGCGTTTTGGTTGAGGTTTGTTTATGGCTCCTCAGACCGCTGTGTATTGCAATCGTACGGTCGTTACTAAAGTTGATATAACTAGAGAAGCAAGTGGTCGGCAACATTCATCTCTCATCGGGGTGTCTAACTCTGTGTTACGGTGTGTTTGACCCTAAATTAATTTTACACCGGAATATCCCTTGTTGACATTTTGGTGTTTATTATAAGGGAGGTATGAAGGAAAGGGTGATATCGGTATTAAAGGGGCGGGGTTTATTGGTCTGTTTTGATACTTTATGATGAAGACTTTAATCGTGATCGAACTGAGTCTGTTAAGATCTTTAACCAATGACTTGTCTCTCCTTCTGCAGGGCGATGTTCATGAGCGGTCTCAGCGAGAGCAAGCAGACCCACGTCCACCTGAGGAACGTGGACCCGGCCACGCTGCAGATCATCATCACCTACGCCTACACGGGGAACCTGGCTATCAGCGACAGCACGGTGGAGCCGCTCTACGAGACCGCCTGCTTCCTACAGGTCAGTCTGATGAATCTGGCGTCTGTCTTGTATGGGACCAGATTTTTAAACGAACTCTGCGTCCTTCAAGATCCGTGAATATCTGACTGTCTGCTCTCTGTCCTGTTCAGGTGGAGGATGTGTTGCTGCAGTGCAGAGACTATCTGGTGAAGAAGATAAACGCTGAGAACTGCGTCCGCATGCTGAGCATCGGCGACCTGTTCAGTTGTAGCGAGCTCAAGCAGAGCGCCAAGCGGATGGTGGAGCACAAGTTCCCGGTGGTGTACCGGCAGGAGGCGTTCCTGCAGCTCTCGCACGAGCTGCTGATCGACGTTCTGAGCAGCGACAACCTCAACGTGGAGAAGGAGGAGACGGTGCGGGAGGCGGCCATGCTGTGGTTAGAGTACAACATGGAGGCGCGCTCTCAGCACCTGTCCTCGGTGTTGAGTCAGATCCGCATCGACGCCCTGTCCGAGGTGACGCAGCGTGCCTGGTTTCAAGGTCTGCCCCCTAATGACAAGTCTGTGGTGGTGCAGGGTCTCTACAAGTCCATGCCCAAGTTCTTCAAACCGAGGTTAGGCATGACGAAGGAGGAGATGCTGATCTTCATGGAGGCCATGTCTGAAACGCAGGGCGAGGGTTACGTCATGGCCGGGTCCCTGCCCACCACGGTAGTCTGTTACAGCCCGCAGGCGGAGAAAGTCTACAAGCTCAGTAACCCCCCAGGAGACCTGCAGAAGGTGGGGACCCTTGTTACACCAGACAACGATGTTTTCATCGCCGGAGGTCAGATCCCTCTGAAAAACTCGATCACCAACCACGGCAAGAGCGGGAAGTTACAGGCCATGTTCCGCTCGGTCGATAGCTTCTTCTGGTTCGACGCGCAGCAGAACGCCTGGGTGCCTAAAACCCCCATGCTGTGCGCCCGAATCAAGCCCTCGCTGGTCTACTGCGAAGGGTACATCTATGCAATCGGGGGCGATAACGTGGGGGGCGAGCTGAACAAGCGCACGGTGGAGCGCTACGACTGCGAGAAGGACGAGTGGAGCATGATGAGCCCGCTGCCTTTTGCCTGGAACTGGAGCACGTCGGTGGTGGCGCACGACTGCATCTATGTCATGACCCACGACCTGATGTACTGCTACTTCCCCCGCGCCGACACCTGGGTGGAGATGGCCATGCGCAAAACCAGCCGCTGCTTCGCCTCCGCGGCCGCCTTCGGTGACCTCATCTTCTACATCGGCGGCCTCCACGTGGTCAGCAACTCCGGCATCCGCCTTCCCACCAGCACCATCGACGGCTCTTCTGTTACTGTGGAGATCTATGATGTCAACAAGAACGAGTGGCGCCTTGCCGCCAACATCCCCGCTAAGCGTTACTCGGACCCGTGCGTGCGGGCGGTGGTGCTCCTGAACTCGCTCTGTATTTTTATGCGTGAAACACACATGAACGAGCGCGCCAAGTACGCCATCTATCAGTACGACCTGGAGCTGGACCGCTGGTACCTGCGGCAGCCCGTCTCCGAGCGCGTGCTCTGGGATCTGGGGAAAGACTTCCGCTGTGCTGTGGGGAAGCTGTACCCTTCCTGTTTAGAGGAGTCTCCATGGAAACCCCCGACGTACCTCTTCTCCCCCGACGGAGCGGAGGAGTTCGAGGTGGACGGGGAGCTGGTGACCCTCCCTCACGTATAGCTCTTACCCCCCCCTCCCTTTCCTCGCTGACTGAAGCCGAGGGTTGAACATGACGGGGGGGCGGATCGGATCTCTGTAAGGGTTTGTGGCGGACTCAGAGTTTCGGTCTCTGGACTTCGGAGGCCTGCGCTCGCTGATGCAGCCGGAAAAAAAACAAACAAAAGGAGCTTGGAGAGAAAAAAAGATGCGCCTCAATAATTCTAGTAATCTGAGAAAAATCCTGTTCTTGTTCTTTTTCTCTCTTTCTTTGGTGACATCTGTTCGATATGATTACAGTCTGTCATACTGTTTCTACAATGTGAGAATCCAAACGTCAGCTGATCATGATGATGAGGATGATGATGAGGGTGATGATGCACTTCACTGGTCAACCTTCTAGGAATGACAATAGCAACTGTACCAAAATCTTCCCCACTCCAATCATGGCTCCCCTCTCTCCCACTGTCTCTGTTTTAAAGGAGCATTCCGCTGAAACCCCGTCTACATGAATATCTGTGTATTCAGAGAGTTCAGTTCAGTGTTCATATTTATCTCACAAAGGTGTTTTAATTCCCTCGAGACAGATTTTTAGCGGACTGCTCCTTTAAAAACAAACAGAATCCTCCTTTTTCTCCATAAGTCCTTCAGACGATCTGAAACCGAGGCCGTGGTTTTTTCAGGAGGGGCGTGAGGGACGAGAGGAAACGGGTGAGAGAGGGGGAGAGGGTCAAGAAAGAGGGTGACTGCAGGTCCGGTCACCTGTCACCTCTCCCCCCTCACCACTCTGTCCCTCAGCCTGACTCCACCACAGCCTCACCCACTCACCCACCCACCCGTCTGTCTGTCAGTCTGTTTGCACACAGGTCTTCCACACAGCCGCCTACAGTCTCACCTCACTCCATCCAGCATCGTCACATGATCGCCACACCTTTATTTTCCACCAATCACACACTACTCCACTCTCAGTCCAAACACAGGTTAACTTTCAGGCTCATGCATTTTTTATTTCCAAGCTGCTGAAATATATATATAAAATATATATTTTTCATAACTGTTTTAGCGTGGGAAAATAACCAGGTCTATTTTGTATTAGTGTCTTTTTTTAATTTAATATCAGACATTACTGTAGTGTGATTGTGGCTAGATTTCCATTCTCCTACAAGATTTATTTCTACTCGAGTGAACTTTGAGGAATCTTGCTGCTGATTGGTTGCGAGAGGAGAAGAGGGCTGGCCCACAGGCTGTTACCATGGAAATCGTCCTGGCAACCGCCAGCAGTAGTGGAATAGAGGGAGGAGGAGGAGAAGTGGGTGGGGGACAGGTGAGGGGAGGGAGGGAGGGATGGGGTCTTCCTCCTACCTTAAAGACATGAGCACAGGTGCTTCATGACAAACCTTACTAGCATGTTTGGCTGCATCATATTCCTTTGGCACTGTATTTTGAATGAACGTTAATTTATTAAAAAACATACCAAAAACGTTCCTGAAAACGGCTCCTGCTCACCTTTTCTTTCTGCTGCAAAATATAAGTATTAATGTGGATTATTCATAAAGGTCTCTGATCTTTTCAGGTAAACAAAGTGTATCCTTACATTCTGAACTTAAAGTAAAAGTTTACCATGAACAGATTTGGCCTCTTGAGAAAAAAGGAAATAAAAGTTTATATTAGTAAAATAACATGAAGACTGTTTCAAATTAAGGTGTGCAAAACAGTGCGTCTTTAACAGAGATTAGAGTATGAAATGTAATATAACTTTATTTAAATTCTCTAGTAATGGTTTTATTTATAAAGTTTGATAGTTGATGGACTTCAGTTAAATATTTTTTTAACAGAGAAAAAGAAGCACAGGGATGAAATTATGGAGGCCCTGAAGGTCAACTGCACAAATATTTCAGTGCCCAATAAAAATATGTTTTATGAAATGCAGAAGATTTAAATTCTATCAAACTTTGTAAAACAAATATCTGTAAAATCATTTGATTCTCTTATTAAAAAAATCTAAAGTGATTTTTTTAAAAGCAGAAAATTAAAAAAGTTAAAGCAACCATTTTACCTTTGACAAAAATATTTTGTATTAAGTTGTCTTTTTTTCAACTTCATGACATTTTCAGGTCTACAGATATTTTTGACTTATGGGTTTATATTTAGTGTTTATATTTTTCAGACTTGAAATATTTGCATGTAGCTCTTTATTGCCTTTTGTGATACTTCTATCAAATCAATATAATCTCATATTACTAAAAAAAAAACACCCTAATACAGTCTGATAAATGATAAAAATGTCCTTTTGTGGTTTATCAGTTTCCCAAAACATCTAATGTTTCAAACAAGATAAATAAGTATATTTGTTATATTTTAAGGATATTTTTAATTATTTTGGTTTACTGTAGTAAGTGAGATAAACATTTCAGCTCCAAAAAAAATTGAATTTTCTGGCCATAATTTGTGGTTTCAGGCATTAAAGGGTTAAGTGCCGCCGTACAGAGCAGCATTTTAGGAAGGATTTAATTTTGTTTGCATGGACTGAACAGCTTCAACATTTATAAAGTTAAGACTGTTAAACATGTAAATTATAATATCTAAATATTTTTTCATGTGTTTCATGGTATTCACATTTGACTTTCTGAGACACTCAAAGTGTTTTGGTTTTTAACAGGATTTTTGTCACCCATAAATGACCACAGATTGAAAACAAACTACCTCACATGCTGCGGCTTTAAAAGGGGAAAAACACAGAAAAAGCAGTAATATTCCCAAACCAGAACATGAACATTTTAGATTGAAGCGCCCACAGAAAACTGATCGTTTTCCTGATTAGAGTGTCTTAAAATTGCGTAAACTTCAGGTCTGAGCTACTGATGACGTGAGCAACATTAAATAACTAATGATAAACCTGTTTGTGGATTTGTGATGAAAACAGTCTGCTGTCTCTGTTAGTCCGGGATCAGCGGGTGTGAATTCCTACTGAATGAGGTCTTTGGGTTCGTGTGTCGCTGTGATGTTGCTGAATTGTTGTCGGACAGCACATGGGTGTGTTTTTGTCCGGCCACGTGCGCACGCCACAACAACAACCTCATCAACAACAACTGTGTTTGGCTGACCTACATCTGTACTCCGTCTCAAACCCGGAGGATAGAAAAGAAAAAAAAAAACTCAAGTCTGCTCTGATTTTTAATTATCTTTTAATACAGCAATAAAACGTAGGATCACTTCTTCTTCTTTTCCAAATACGATAAAAGCATCTGTCAAGAAAATATACAGTGAATTCTGGATTCACAATACATTCATATATTTTAAATACAAAAAAAAGAAAATATATCATTAGAGGATAAAAAAATGAGCAAATAAACTCAGCTGATATTTTTTAAACATAATCAAGAAGAAAAAGAAAGTTAAAAAGCATGACAAAATGAAGATTTAAAGACAGAGAGATGAGACCCGTTACAGCTGAAAACTGGACTGGACAAAGCATGCTGACTGGACCACTTTTTTAATCCAACTGTGGTTGAATATCTGGAGGGAGAAAAACATCCTGTAAGCACCTCAGAATTACACTTACACAAGATAAAGATCCACAGAGAGAGAGAGAGAGAGTATAACGGCTGCTTTGTGCAAAAACACACAGTGGTCCACAGATCAGGACTTGTTCCAGTGTCGTCGTGACAAAACATGGAAATCTATGAGCGTACACGTCTATACACAACAAATAAATAAGAGATCTGACGTCAAACTAGCTTCAGATTTACTAAATATACTTCTTACAATAATATATATATATGTTCTGACAGCAACGTAGAAAAAGGCCTGGGCGAGGGGCGGGGACACCCTGTCACACACACACACACAATCACACACTCTCAAACACTCTCACACACTCTCACACGCAGCAGGGTGCAGGTTTCCTTCATGTTAAGGGCACAAATCAGGCATCAGGTACACGAGGATTCAAGTATTAACATTGTGGTTAATTAACAGCATCTAATCAGTGTGAGTGTGGGAGCTTAGATTTCAATAACTGTTCAATAACTCGACTTATTGATTCTGATTCATATTGACAGAGTTATATTTCTAATTACGTCTCAGATAAAGTAACTGGAACTGTTAGCTTCATCAAACTGGAGCTTTTTACGTCACCAGTTTTGCGCGCTCGCTCTGTTGCTCATCCCGGTGTCATTATTGTTTCGATTTGATCAATTTTTTTACTCCTCTGTTGGATTTTTACGGTGGCCGAGAACCACCACTACTGCAAATAAAGAGAATGCAAAAATTGGAAGTTACCGATGCAAAGAAAAAACACAAAAAAACGAAGCCCGCTGCAAATTAAAAAAAAGAAACCCTGTAGATCAAAAAAAAAAAGCCACAACGGAAGTTTGCATCTTTTAATTTTCGCAATCAGTAACTTTTTTTTCCATCGTCACTTTTTTTTGCGTCAGTAATTTCGGTTCTCGGCCACCGTCGATTATTTTGGCTCCATAACGAACATCAACTCTAAAAACTGAGGAGCGAATCATGACGAAAACTATTTGCTGCAAACTTTTTGAGTCACCCGACTTGTATAATTACAGAGGAGTGAATGCAGCTACCTTAAAGGGACATTCCAGCATAAAGTTTTAAAATTTGACACAGGAATATCCCTTTAACAACCACAAAGTTAATACAGACTTATCACGGCACGAGAGCTGGACTGGTTTTAAAATCGGGACCGTTAAAATCTTCAGAGGTATCACAGCTCATGCTTCTTCGTCAGATCCTGTGACACATATTTCTTTCTTTCTTTGACATAATAACGCAGTAAAATATTTTGATAGACAAGCTCTGGAAATATGCAGCAAAGAGCGAACCCCTTAAACCCGACAACATCGTCTCGTAGTGTCTGACAGGAAAGCGTCCCGCGGTAAAACCTGCAGCGTGGACACACAGGCGGTCGGCCTGTAGAAACCTCTGGTTTTGATCAGTATTCTTGGCAGTCTCTGCCTCACAGTGGATCTGGACTGTACAGTCCGTATAACGGCGCTGCTGCTCTCTGTCCTGAGTGGGGGGGTCCCAGGTTTTACTTTTCCAACTCCGTGATTCTGAGAATGACCTTCATAAAAGCAGCTCTCGCTCCACTGAGTCTCAGGCCTCGCAGCAAGAGCGGCCGGAGGATCAGAGGGCGAGGAGGAAGTCGGGGTGAGGAGACAGGGGCTTGTGGGGATTTGGTTTTCAGGGCTTGGCCTCCATGGCGGGCTCTGGAGGGGTCACAGCTGCAGGCTGGGACAGAGTGGAGAACCAGGAGGACATGGCCGACTTGGCGCTGGTTAACGCTCCACCCACGGACTGACCTGAGAAAGACAGTTGGACCACATTAGATCTTTAAATGTGAGGATTTTCCTGATGAGACAGGGTGTCTGGGGTTAAAGTGGGTCGATGGGGGTCAAGACTTCAGGTGAAACACTTCAGAGTATCAGGCTCCATCCTGATTCACATAAACTGATAGTTTATCACAGTCTTGGTCAAACTTTGCGTCTTATTTCCAGAGATTTCTCACCCACTACTTTCCCCGTCTGCACAACGCTGCGACTGGTGGTCATCATGGCGTTCCCAATCTTCTTCCCTCTCTCACTGTTCTGCACTGAGCTGCAAAAGACAAGAAGAAGAAGAGGAAGAAGAGATTAAACACATGGTAAACAAACCCTGCATGCATGTGACCCCCTCACCTCTCTGCTCCCGGTATGACATTGTCGAATTTCTTCCTCCTTTCCAGGAAACAAACCTCACAAAAGTGGCGCTGCTGAATGTTGAGCTGACCTGTGAGAGGATTACGTAAGAGCGGCGAGCTGAGCAGCAGCCACAGGTGGACTATCTGATGATCTGAGCCGACCTGAGAGCGGAAACAAGCGGGCTACGTTTCACAACAAATGTTTGGGCTAAATGCGGCCCCGCCTGGCTTTATCCGAACAGCAGTCTGGTGTGAATCCAACCCGCAACCTTTCGCATGGATCCCCACTGACCTGACATTCAGGAGGAAGCTCTCTCTCTCCTGCTCGGTGTGGGCAAACAGCAGCAGGATTAAGGAGATGATGTGGGGACGTGTCTGCAACTGACGCTCGGTGCTTTCACACCTGCTAATGAGCCAATTATTCCCCCTGAAAATAAACCCTGAACGCTGCAGCTGCACAGAGGAGCCGAGAACCGCCGAGGGAACCAAAGGGGGACCGATCTTATGAAACGGGCTTTAAACGTGCGCCCGGATAATGAAATTAGTTTATGATCTAGTGTCACATAAAGGACCTTTTTCTCTCCACCTCATCGTCTTTAATGATTTTTTTTAATTGGCTTAGTTTAGCGCATATGGGCACCATTTTTGTTCTAGTTTTGCGCCGTTTTAAAGCTCCTGTAGGGATTTTATTAAAGGGATATTCCGGCGTAAAATTAATTTACGGTTAAACACGCCGTAACACCGAGTTAGACACCCCATCGAGAGATGAATGTTGCAGACCGCTTGCTTTTCTAGTTATTCCAACTTTAGTAGCGCCCGCAGAATAGCGATACACAGCGGTCTGAGGAGCCATAAACAAACCTCAACCAAAACGCCACTCTATAGCCACAAATAATTATCAGAACAGCACTATTTTCCTTTACCATTAATGAATCTTTATCTTGAAATCTCACCTTGACAAAAATCTCATCCCAACAACTTGTTCATATTCAACATATAAAACCAGAGCTTTAAAGGACAAGATAAGCCGGTTTTGTCCACAGGGGGCGCCAGAAACGACACAAACAAAAAGTTCCTCACAGGAGTTTTAATGAGAGCTTTCAATGATGGTGATTTAAAATCGAATCATGATTATAAAATGTGAAAACTCCAGCATGGACAGACTGAAGAGCTGTTGATGGTAAATTTGGGTCCTTCTGGAAACACTCGGATAAATGATCACATTAAAAGTTCTTGCAGTCAGCTCTGAGTCTCATAAAAAGCTTCCCCTCCTCTCATAGTAACAGAGAGAAGTGTTTCCCCTGAGCCTCTCTGCACACTGTTAACTCAGAGACGAGCCTGGCGGACACACGGACTCTCCATCTCCCTGTCTGACCCAGATAAACAGCTCCTTACGCCGCACAGCGTGTTAACAACACTGACAATAAAAAGAAAGATCCTCTAACAGAGAACATCCGCCTGCAGCCGTGCAGAGCGTCACATGACTCCTGTTTTCTGAGAACTTCTCTGCCACCGGCCGCTCTTTGTCCAACTCTGATGACAACATGAAAAAAGGTCGGCCGTGTTCGCCCCCCAGTGCTTCCATAATACACATGCAACACAGCACATTACCAAGGAAGTCATGCGTGGAGACGAGTTTTTGGTTTTTCCAGGGGAGTAAAAATAGAGAGGCAGGGAGTGATGAGCAGGAGGGATTCAGCTTTTACTTTCTCATCCTGCAGCAGCAGCATCAGACCAGCCAGCGTCTGTCCCACTAACCCAAGATTCCCCCCATCATCCAGACTGGAGACACAGAGAAGAGCGCTGTACTTACAAGATAACAAAAGGAGTTTTCTTTTGTCTCGGACAGCTCAGAAGGAGAAAAACAAAGCTCCAGGGTAAAAAAAAAAAAGGGATGGATGTAAACAGGGAGGGAAAAAAAACTGTAAACAAACATGCAGATAGTAGAGCTTCAAACCCCTGAGAGGAGTTTTAACTGGTTATAAAACAAGCTGAAAGAAACACGGATGACTCACAAAAACAAACCAGACCGTCAGAAACAAGACTGATTATTCTAATGGTGTTTTTTTAAAGAGTGTAACTGCTGCCAAGAGACGATTAGACACAAAGTATGCATAAAAAAACAACCTCTTAAGAGCTGAATATTCAGTTTGACTGTTAAAAAGGAATCAGACAGAGAGTTAGGACGATAAAACCAACCTTTACATGTACAAGACAAGAGAGTTCGACAAATAGAGGAGACTCAAAAGTGTTTTACTCTGTACTATTTACAAGTTACTTTTCTATTTGACTGAAGTTACATTCTTACATTTCTATTCTATTCTAACTTATTCAGTTATATTCTATTTCATTCCAGTTTTAAGTTGATTTTAATCCATTTCATGTTTTTACAGCCCACCATTCAATTCCAGTCTATTTCGATCAATGCCCAGGTTGTATTATCTTGTTTTTGACACTTTTAAATTTGATTGTATTTCACTGGCTTCAACTCTTATTCTGTTTCATTCTACTATGTTGGATTTAATTTGATGGAGTTCTATTCTATTGCATTTCTATTTTTACTATTCATTTCTAATTCAAACCCTTTACTCTCATACCAACACATTCTATTCTACTACATCCTATTGTATTCAGCTTATGTCCATTTTATTCTACTCCATTCCATCCTGCTCTAATCTGTTACATGTCATTCTTTTCCATTCTGACAGTTAGGTAGAAGTCAGTCAATTCCACTTCGCTGTAATTCTATTCAATATAGTTGGATTTACCTTTAATGATATTTGATTTTGTTCTAGTTAACTCCTTTCTATCCAATCCTAGTTCACACCTCTGTTTATTCCATTTCACTTTAATCCGCTTAACTAAATTCAAATGTATCCTCTTTGACTCTATTCCTTTCATCCTATCCTATAGTTAATATATTATCATTACAGTCTATTCAGTTCCATTCTATTACACTCTATTCCAAACCACTCTTTTCTTTTCTATTCTAAATTATTATATTCTTATCATTACAGTCTAATCTATTCATTCTATTCCACTCTATTCTATTCCAATCTGTTACATCTTATTGCATTCAATTCAATTCTATTCTATTCTATTTTTATTTAATATATTATCATTACAGTCTATTCAGTTCCATTCTATTCCACTCTATTCCAAACCAGTCTATTCTTTTCCATTCTATTCTATTCTAGGTTATTATATTCTTATCATTACAGTCTATTCTATTCCACTTTATTCTATTCAATTCTATTCCAATCCTTTACATCTTATTGCATTACATTCTATTCTATTTGACACTATTCCATTCTATTCTTTTGTTACATTCTATTCTAGTCCACTCTATTCTATTCCAATCCGTTACATCTTGTTACATTACATTATAATCTATTCTGTTCTACTGTATTCCAATTTGTTACATTTTATTGCCTTACATTCTATTCTATTTGACACTATTCCATTCCATTCTATTCCATTGTTACATTCTATTCTCGTCTATTCTATTCTATTCCAATCTGTTACATCTTGTTACATTACATTCTATTCTATTCCAGCTCTCATTTAAGTCTTCTTTGAGATCAATGTCTGAAAGTTGAGCCAGATTTTTAATGTTGAGTATTATTTATCTAAAATCTTTGAAATTGTTTGTCTGTAGTTTTTGATCTGTTGTAAAATCTGATATTTAAACTCTTTAATTTTTTCAAAATAAAGAAATAATTTGTAGATTTTTTCCATGTTAAGAGGATCTGGACTCTCCAAGGCTGAAGTCTACAGTCAGTCAGTCAGTCAGTCCACTCTCGTCTTGACTCGTTGGAGTAAAGACTGAGCTGTTTATCTGCCGCCCCGCACGCACATTTCTGCTCAGCCAACACGTGTAGGAAAACCTTACACACACACACACACAGACACACACACAGACACACACAAACACACACACAGATCACAGAAACACCCACACAGAGTCCAGGCGACCGGCTGAATCCCCTCCTGTTTTAGAGCCGGTGACACAAAGCTGAGGCAGGAAATGAGATGAGTTTATTCCCGAGAAGCTCCGATGGACAAGAGCCAAACTTCCTGCCTGCACCCGACCCCACAGCCCCCTCTCATTACACACTCACACACACTCTCACACACACACACACCATGTCGGTTATATCCAGAGTTTTATAGTGCAGAGAGGAGAGCGGAGAGCCGCCGTGCCCCCTGCTGCTCCATGAACTCCATGAACTGTATCAGCCCCATAAAGCGCAAATATCCAGTCTCAATCAGCGGAGATCACTCTCTAAAAGTGACATCTTTGAATTCTTCTTTTTTGTGTTTGTTCAACAAAGTGACAAGAAACAAAATTATACTCTTGCAGAAATCACAAAAAAACCTGCAAATTACAGTAAGAGTCGTCATTTTTGGAGGAATTTTGCTTCATAAGAAGCATCAATTATTTAGTGAGTTTTTAACTCTGCATGTGCTGGCTTATAGGTGGAAATAAGTGTTCAAACAGTGATGAAAACGACTTATTATACAGTACTAGAAGTATAACATGAAGTGAAATATGAAGACATCTCCAAAGCTCCACATAATTACACCAACTTTTTGGTCTAATCCTAGTTTTTGGATGTCAGCTTTAAGAAAAGTCAAATCGAGTCGTTTTTAACGAAAACAGTAAATAATTGAAGTTTTAGTTACAAAGAAATGAACTGAAATCAGGTGAAGAAGCAGTAAAATGCCAAAAACTCGACAGTATTCTCCTGCTGTGTAACCAGACTCTCTCTGAGACACTTCACCATGATTGAGTTTCTGCAGCTCGTCGTCCTCTGTGCACTTTAAGCTGTGAATACTTTATGAAGAGCGTGTGCGACACGGAGCAGCAGGCCGTGTTTGACCCCCTGCTGTGTTTGTGGGAGGATACAGCGGCTCTCTGGACTCAGGTTAAAGGTGGGGGAGGAGGAGGTGGGTGTGAGGGGTCTCATATCGTCGCGAGTCATTAATTATGAGTAAGTTTCATTCTCAAAAACAGAGCTGGAGACTTCTCCGGCCTCAGATCAGGTTTCATTCCAGGAAACGTGGATGAAAGGCGACTCGGCGCACAGCTGGAGCGCGGAGTCTATGGTTACACGTTTGATAAATGCCTCCAACACACACACACATTTACACATCTACACATCTACACACACGCCGAGCAGAGCAGAGCAGAGCAGTGCGTGTCCTCGTCCCTAACTTAGCTTTACGGTGAGGACGCGGCAGATCTCTTGGCTGTGATACTCGCAGCTCTCGCTTTACCTCCAGGTGTTCGGTGACATGACCGCTGTGAACTTTGTCGTAAATCGTCCGTAAACAAACACACGCAGAAACAAACTGAGGAGGAACCTTAAACCGAGTGTAGTTGACTTCATCTGCTGAAGTATTTGAACCAAATATGAGAAGAAAACTGCATCAGGTGACAAAATATGGTCAAAAAATCCTCAGGGAAAGGAAGAATATAGTAAAGTTAGATCTCCAAAGTTAAGAATAAAGTCTGGAAACTTGTCATTTTGGCTTCAATAAAGCAGACCGAACTAAGAAGCTGATACTTGGGGTAATTTTTGCAATAGGTCCATCCATAAAAATCTTAAAAAGTCTGAAGAAAAGGGAGCCAAGAAATCTGACTAAATGTTGTGTACACATACAAAGAAAATATCCCTAAAGTGTTTTAATAACAAAATAAACCTGCATTTATATATAATCATAAATAATCTATGACTATTAAATACATGGAGGCAGGTTAAGCTCCAGCTCAGCTCCATGACTGTGAATACACCGTCATGTCTCAGAGAGTGAAAGACTGAGCAGGAGTTTAAAATCTTTATATACAGGCTATAAATGTTCCTTACGCTGTTTTTTTAAAGGGAAAAGACACTAAAATAAGTGAAGAAAACTCTGTTTCCCTGCTGAACCTGTTCGTCTGTCCGCCACAAGAGGGCAGCAGCCGCACGCATGAGCAGGACCTGCAGTAGACCCAACATCACTCCTCTCATGTTTAATAGTTTGTTTCTCATTTTGTGCATCTTGTAGCTGCAGGTTTTGTGAACTCCTGAAGAAGTATAATGAACATTTAAACCTTAATATCCATTTGAGGATGGAGCTCCAGAGGATACTCACTGTGAGAGTCGGAGTTTCACGTCAGCAACACTGTACTGACCCTGAAACGGGTGTCTGCAACACAGAGGAGAGGCAAGAGTCACTCACAAATAAAACACTTTTATTACTCTCCTAAGAATATGTAGTTCATTAATATCTTGTACAAACACTCTCCTGTGTTTATACATTGAGATGATACCGTTCAATATGATACTATTAGCTTTAAATGACCTCATATTGCTGTGTAATGATAATAATAATAAAGATGATGACTTGTTGGTGTATCACTTTTAGTACGGCTTCACAAAAGGTAATAAAATCAAACACATACGGAAGGAAATTAGAGATAAAACATCAAATCAAATGTGCAGCTCTTATCTGAACTGACTGGAAACACATATAAGGACACAGGGGCCGTTTTCTTCATTAAATCAGGGTCTAATCTGGTGTGTTTTGAGGTCTGCAGATTATTTCAGCTGGAATTAAAAAGGCTGGAAAAGTTGCTGTTTCACCTTTTAGTCATTTAGGCACAGAAATGTAAATAAACTGCATGTAATGTGTCTCAACTTTAAAAACTTTAAAATCAGCGTTTCTCTCCCTCCACCTACCCCGGTGTGATGGTGGCCATGGCCGGGTGTTTGTTGCTGTACCAAACTCTGTAGTTGTGTGAGATCTTCCACGCCGAGATGAACGGAGCTCCGTAGTCCGCCAAGAGTCTCTCATTATCTGGAAAAGAAAGGTGAAGCTTCAGGTTAAATATCCAGAATAACTCCTCCAGACAGACTTTCTACTACTCTGTTTACACGACTCATGAATATTAAAACGAAGCTTTTACCGACTGCTGATGGCGTCTGAGAAAAATGTCCCAGGTACAAAATCTTAAACTATATGAAGGTATAAAAGGGAAGTAAAAAGAAGACAAGTTACCTTCCTGTAGTGCAGAGGACAGTAAAGAGTGAAGGTAGAGGGTGAACTGAGCTCTGATCCACTCGTCTCCGCCCTCCCAGCCCGTCCCGTCCAGGAAAACATCATCTCTGTTCTCCGTCACGTGTTTGACCAGATAGTCTGCAAAGCGAAGGTCTGCCGTCGTCAGACTCAGCATCCTTCTGAGCTCGGGGTCCTGGATCTGGATGCTCCCTTCTTCAACCTTAAAAAAATCACACAGAGTTTTAAAGTTTGTGTCAACGCTGATAAATCGAGGTTTCTGCAGGTGTTAGCATGTGTCTCAAACACGTACGTCAACAACAGCATCACTGAGGTGCCTCTGCTGTCGGAAAAGGATGTTCGTCGCCCCCGCTACGAAGCCGCGCACCGTCACGTCTGACAGGAGGTGGTGCTGCTGCAGGGCCATGTAGGGCAGACAGAGGTAACCCTGGAAACACAAGGGCAAAGGTCACCTGAGGACAGGTTTCTATCTCACTGTTTGAGCTGATCTGCTTCAGTGAAGTCTGAGTGAAAAACACACACGGGTCAATATTTGGATTTCTGTACCTTGGTGAAGATGGGGAGAGGCAGGCCGTACTGATCCTCCTCCAGACCTGATATCAGACCCTGAATGATCCCTCCAGACTGCGGCTGCATAGTGATGGGCGTCCCCGGCTTCGAGTCGAAGGCGTCTTTCAGCTCTGACTCCGCCTCCTTCCCCTCTGCTGCCTCTTTAGGGGCTCCCTCTTCTAACACGCTGGGGTCCAGGGTCTCCCAGTCGCTCTCTGAGGACTCCGGGGAGGTGCGAGACGGGGGTTTGAGGAGGTGATTGTCCCCCTCTGTGCCGTTACCAGATGAGAGTGACTCAGGCTGGCCTGTCCCCTCCCCCTCGCCCTCCAGCGTGATGTCAGTGACGGACACTGAGACGAACTCTTCGGCTCCGGAGACGCTCTCCACCATGCTCAGGTCCTCTGACACGCTGCTCTTTGGCCTGTAGTGAGACGAGTCGACCAGGCCGTGCTCGATCATACCTGGACAATCGGATTTAAATACTTGTTATTGAACATGCGATAAGTTGGACATTTTCTGATTTGTTCAGACCTGAAAAAAAACTTTAAAAGGTCTGAACAAAATCTGGCATCCACCGCTATTGAAGGAGAGTAACTTTCTTTTCAAGCTCTTCAAACCAGGACAAACATGTCAGTTATTCACACACTTTTAAGGCCTTATTGTGTCTGCGGTAGAGCTGTGAATTTCTCCTTATCGAGACAACACAATCTGATCTGATTCAACCCTCCAACAGGGTCGCATTTCCTCATGCTGTATTCATGAAAATAAAAGTCAAAAGGACTGGAACACACAGATCTTACGTTATTTTCGGTAACTGCTTCAGAGCGGTTACATTTAAAGCCTCTAATTTATTTATATTTTACTTTTTTAAATAGTTTTGAGTGCAGACACATTAACAAAAGTCTACTTTAATGCACCTAAGGGTCGGCAGATGTATGAAAGAGACTTTTCTTTCGGACTTACTGACCTGGAAACAGCGATAAAACCGTCATCAGAGCCCCGACTAATCTGTTTACAGGAGACACATAAAACAGAACCTGCAGACATGAGAAACAAAACATGAGAAAGAGACTTTGAGAGTTATTTTACTGTAAACGATCGAGTCTTAAAGAGGGCAAAGACTTTCACTTATCGGACCTTCTTCTCCAGCAGGATGAGCTTAAAGAGGATGAGGACCTGTGCAGATAAAACCAAAGGAAAGTGGAGATATTTCAAATAAACCTGAAATCCACAAGGACCTGAAAATTTAAATATTAATGCTGTCTTCAAATCTGCTCTTTTCTACCTTGTGTCTGAAGTGAAGTATTAAATCTCTCGGTGATAACCCTGAGGAGAGGAAACAAACAGAGTGAGGAAAGAGGTGCACGCACATTTTCAGGGTGAGATATCTTTGGATTTACAGAGGTGCTTTAAAATGATTTTACACAAGAATGACCGACAGAGTTTGACCCACCGAGGTAAACCTGCGACCCCTCCAGAGCGGAGCCCCTCAGAGAGCCGTTCATGTGTTCGTACAGCTCCTGCAGAGACGGAGGAGGAAGCAGGAGGTGAGAGGAGGCCGTAGCATGGAGGTAAAACATAAACAGACAGTCAGAATCCAAACCTTTAGGATGGAGATCTGTGAGAAGTCTTTCTCCTCAAAGTAGGCGTGTGTGATGAGCTGCAGCTTCGCTTGAAGGAGACCGTAGAGAGGCTGGAAGGAAAAACAAAAACACGCTGTGATTTGAAACTGTCCGGATGTAAGCGGGATTGTCATATTTTTAGGACTGTTTGGAGCCATAATCAAAATTGAAACCTGATTATTTTTGGTTCATTACATCAAAGCTCATTCTCAGGTAAAACCTCCCATGACCCGTCTAACCCTGGATGTTATAAAATCTGTGAAGACTCTGACTTCATACTGACTGTTTCTCTTTAAATTTAAGACATAAAGATAGAAATGATGGCGTCTAATATTCCTAATGTCTCATTATGTGTCGTTTCAGGGGCTGAAGTCTCGTCTTCTATCTTCTTCCAGTATTAAAAAGTCATCTTTGAGTCGTTGAAATCCTCGCAGAGACTGATAGAAGATTATTTCACTCCTGAGACGGATTGTGTTGATTCTTTTATCGCTTCAGAAGAGAGGAGACGGACACTTTAGAGACTCTCAGACTTATTCTTCAACACTGGAGGAAAAAGATAAGAAGCTGCTGAGGAAACCGAATCTTTATCTGGGCCTGAACTCTCTCACATGACCCTGGTATGTTTGTTAGCGCTGGTATTTCACTGACCCTGAAATCTGTAACCCTCCAGCAGTGAAATCCAGATTTCTTCTGTTATCTGACAACAACATCGTGGTCTGAATGACTCACCACTCGGCTGAGGACGCACACGCTCTTCTGCACCGTCTCTCTGGTGACGTCGGCCTGTCGGACCTTCAGGGCCTGAGGAGGGATCGAGAACATTTTACAAATATATTAATATATAAACATGAGGCTGCAGGGCAAACAGTGAGGTCATCCTGTGACTAACCGCCCGGCAACAGAGCTCATGAGGAGCTGGTACTGATGTCACCGGAGACTAAAATAGAGCGAGGGATGCTGTCATTTTATTTCCTCTTTTTATATTTAATTCAATCAAGAACACAAGAGGAGGAGGAGGAGGAGGAGGAGGATATTATCTTGCAAAATGCACCCCTTAACCTCAGCTTTCATCCACCCTCGTATATCCCACTCTTCCCTGCATTCCCACATCAACATCCAAATTCTTGTGGGGATTTTACAAGGAAAAAGTCCAGGTAAAGTCGGGGCTGAAATGTTTGACAATCCTTCTGTAAAGTTCAGAAGATTTTAGGAGTTTTTTTTTGCACATGTGAACGCAGAAAGAAGATAGAAGAAGCAAATGAAGAAGAAGAGGAGGAATCTCAGGATGTTCAGGTTTCAGAGAAGAAGGTTGAACTGAAACACTTGATAGATACTTGATTTTTTTGCGATTCATTCTGTTCCAAGTCTAACTTTCCTGCTGTATCTTGAGCTGACTGATAAACTCACTTTATTCATTCATCCACATTTGTGTTTTTCCAACATCTGAAACAGAGGAATGCAGCCGAGTGGGAGAAATGTGTCTCACTTTGACATGCACAGCTCACAAACACATCCTGCACAGCTGCCAACATGAGAGCGACCATTTCTGATTGAATTATAGAGCGTGACCACAAAGGTACACGGTGGACAGCCTGGTACAGAAAAGTACAGCCTGACTTTATCTAGATCTGTGCTACCAGCTGTTTGTATTTTTGATAAAGGAGCTGCCCTTCCTCCGTTTCACCGCTGCATCCATGAAAAGATCACCAGAGAGCTGGAGGGGATGTGGTTTTCTTCCACTACAACAGACATAATGTGCAGTGAAGTCCAACCGTGCCACCTTACAACGACTGAGGGCTGTGCAGTATCGGGACAGTTCTTTGTCAGTTGTAGTTTTTTATTTTTGCAAAGAAGTACAAGAAAAAATAATGAAAACAGTAAATCAAGTTTGGTGTGAAAAATCAGATATTGTCTCCTAAAAGTTTAACCCCACCTCAACGAAAACAAAAACAACTTCCACTCTGAGAATCTCTTTTTTTTTCATCTCTTTCACAAAATCTGGAGGGACGTCATGAAAAGTCTGACCTTTGCTTCTATTTGGCGATAACAGGACACTCCGTAGACACACTTCATATCCTCACTGAGCGGCGGCAGGTGGAAATATACAGTATCTGCAAAAACAGCGAGATAAGTCACATTAAAATACAGCGACAGTCTTTCTTCTGGAGGGAGTGTCTGCAGAAGAGCGATCTCTCTTTCACTCAGAGGAGCAAATACACAAGATAAAGAAACAGGATTTGGTAAGAAAAGATGCACATTGAATGTGTGCAGGATTGAAACTGTTCCCACACTGCAGGCTCATCTCCAGCTGCTGCATCACTGTGTGCACCTGACAGAGGGAAAGAAAAGGAGGGTTACGTAAGAGAGGAGACACAAAGGAGAGAGTGGAAGTCAAAGACAGAAGAGCTGAGGAGACGTTCAGGAGATGATGATTATTCACCGCTAAACTGGTTCAACTGGACTGGATGTAAAAACTCCTCAAACCTGCTCATTCCCTCTTCAGCATCACTACAGCTGTTCAGCATGTTTAGCTAAAAAAGAGGTGAGACTAATGAGACTAAGAGGATTTAATTAATTACTGCATTTTAGAGAAAATAAGAGGTTTTTGAGTTTTTGCATGATTTAAGCTGAGTCTGAGAAGCAGAACTGAAGTAGATGAAATCACCGATCACTTGTGAGACGAGGACAAACAACAAGCAGAAACTGTCAGCCTCGATTCCTCTGAAAAACACAACATTTTATAACAAGATCTCTCAAAGGTTAGGCTGTGGACGTCAGAGATTAAACAGAGTCTGGTGGAAAGGCTTGGTGTGTGTTTCTGTGTGTGTTTCTGTGTACTTGGGGGGTTCAGACTTGGCAGCTAAAAGAGCATCTGGACTGAAGCCTCGGCTACAAAATGCCAACATACAGCCTTCAACTCTCCGCTTTAAAAGGCTGAAACGAAGATCACATGATCGTTTTGAGCAGCAAAAACCTCCAGTCTGCTTCTTCTGAACACTTCAGGGGGGATTTCTCTGAGGACAGACTGGGGCACACATGAATTTAGCATCATCTGCCTTCACAATCTCAAAGTCTGATCATAAAGAACATCAGGCAGGTGATATTCAAGAGCAAACACACCTAAAAAGTGGAGCAGTATCGTTTAGTTTGCTCTTGTTTTGGGTCTGATTGTTAAAGTGAGCAGTGAGCATCTTCACAGTCAGAGCTTCACTCTCATCCTAACAGAGGTCTGATGAAAACATGAAAACAAGTCACCTTTTTCTGTCGTGCATTGTGAGATATATCTATTTTCACGGGAGTTTAAATGAAGGCTCAAATGTCAGATTCAATCATGACTTGAATTTGCCTCTTTGTTTTGATTCTGTTCTTCCCTCCACACTGACATCTCTCCTCTCTTTACACACACACAGCAGTTCCAGTTTCTGTTTGCTTCATGCAAACATTTGATTTGTACGGTGGCCGAAAACTGCAAATAAAAAAGTATGCAAAAAAAAAAAAGAAGCCACAGCGGAAGTTACCGCTGCTAAAAAAAAAAGAAATGAAGTCTGCTGCAAATTTTTAAAAAAACGGTGCAGATTAAAAAAAAAAAAGGCACAACAGAAGTTAACGACGCAAAATAAGTGGCAACACAAAAAAAAAGTTACTTACTGCGAAAATAAAAGGATGCAAATAAAAAAAGGAATTGAGCTGCCGGGGACCAATAATGATGATGCACTGGTGTTTTACGATTTAGGCGCAGAAGATGACAGCGAGAAGACGAGCAAAGAAGTAATTTGAAAGGTTTTTGTTTAATTTTTCAGTGTGTCATTTGGTCAGCCCATGTAGCGCAGGTGTAGTATATAAGTTCAGTTAAACTTCATATCGACTCAGGCGCTACATGACCTAACCAAATGACACATTGAAAAGTTTACTAAGCGAAATTAAACAATAACCTTTCAAATTACTTCTTTGCTCGTCTTTTGGCCGTTGTCTTCTCTGCCTTAATTGTAAAACACCGGTGCATCGTCATTATTGGTCCCCGGCAGCTCACCTTCGTTGCAGCTTTATTTATTTGCACTACTTCTTTTTTTATTTGCAGCAGGCTTCGGTTTCTTCTTTTTGCATTGGTAACTTCCGTTGCAACTTCTTTTTTTATTTGCAGCAGTGGCGGTTCTCGACCACAGTAGATTTGCATTTTGAAACCTTTCACTGAACATTTCTAGATCACAACAAATGATACAAGTCTGGATGAGGCTTGTTAACGAAGATGCATTTCACAACAAAGCAGGACTGAAATGAGTCGCAGAATGACCTCAGTCATTAAATGCATTAACAGTAAGAGGATGTGATGATGAAGCAGCTTTCTGTCTTCATCATCGCCTGCAGAGCATGTGTCCAAAGATAGTCCGGTTTGTCGTTCGCCTGAAATGAACCTCTTCATGTGTGGGAAACATCAGTCGGGTTGAGAGCTCTTATAATGATTCTGTTAATGTTTAGTTTTAACAACAGCAGCTCTACTGTACACCTCTGTAGCAAACACTGAGTCATATCAGTGTGACTGCTGCTGTCATGAGCCGCAGTGCAGAGGGAGTCGGTCACATCCCTGCTTTTTAATCAGCTGAAAGTCTGCAACACGCCTCTGGAGCAGCACAAACAAAGGATACAAAAGATTTAGAAACGCTCTCCGGGGACTGATTCAACGCTTTAGATAGATTTCAGAGTCTGGGGATGAAAAAAGGACACAAAAGCCGTCTGCAAAATTGTGTTACATTTCCTCCTGCATGGATAAAACATCTGCTCTGTGATGATTTTAGTTCAGCTCACACTATTTAAAGTTTGAGAGTTAATGGCTGCAGTTTCAGCATAAAACTCTCCAAGTGAACTTTGCCTCAGTTCCTCCCTGTTTGCTTTCCCAGGACGGTCTGAACAGCAGCAGCGGTGAACCACGCCATCACATGACTGCAGACACAACACAACCCTGCAGGATGGTCTGACAGGAAGCTGGCTGTCACTGCAGAGCCAGAGCAGCCCTGCTCTGCCTGAACCCAGCCTGGATAATGTTCTTGTATTCAAATCTGACACCTGCTTATGAACAACAGAGGCCAAGTTTAGCTGTTTAACTCACCCTCTGCACTCATTCATGTTTATTTAAGGACATAATCGACACTCAAATACACATGAAGTATTTCTAGTTTTACACTCCTTAAATTCCTTCTTTTTCTATAAAACTTAACCTGCATCCTTGAAACTGTAAACTAGAGATACGTCGTACCTTCCTGGTAGTTATGTGCCCCATCTGGCAGGGCGAGGAAGGGGAGGTACTTCCACTCCTCTGGCAGCAGGTTGCTGTCATGACCCTCATCGGGCATCAACGGCGGATACGAGAACTCCACCTGAAGAGAGAGAAAAGAGTTAATCAGCAAGTTTATCCTGAACTGGAAAGAAGTAAAAAAAGACGAATCCTTCTTAATGCAACAAACTACACTGAACAAAAATATAAATGCAGCACCGTTGTTTTTGCTGAACTCTAAGAACTTTTTCTATGTACACAAAAGACCGATTTCTCTCAAATGTTACACTAAAGAGGCTCATTTGGCCTGTTGATGATACATTTATAAAACCGTTCGTCTATACAGGCCAGAACCGTTTTATAAAATCTCTCAAATATTGTTGACAAATTTGTCTAAATCTGTGTTTGTGAACACTTCTCCTTTGCTGTGATAATCCAGCCACCTCACAGGTGTGGCAAATCAAGATGCTGATTGGACAGCATGATTATTGCACACAGGTGTGCCTCAGACTGACCACAATAAAGGGCCTCTCTTTACTCAGCTGTCCACTATTTCTACACCACTTTCCATCTAACTGCGTCTTTCTTTCCTCGATTACATCATTTCTTTTTCAACCTTCAGCTGGTTAAAAGCTTTTCTTTCAATTTAACAGTTCAATCCTCCATGATCCCAGAAGCTGTCACTCAGTTTAAACACCCATGTGTGTCTGATGTTGAAATTTATTCAACCTTCAATCACAGATTAAAGTTACTCGACCTGTTCCGCCTGACTCTGAAGCCTGATGTGAGCTCAGTCTTTTCTCGTCTTCCGTCAATGATGAACTCTATTTTCAGCTCCTCTTTGACCTCGTTCTGTTTCTTCTGATCTCAAATAGGAGCCATCACTGTCGCTCTGACACATGGCCCAACCTGACACAAGATTAACCTGAAACCTGCTGGTCCTGAACGCCACACACACACACACACACACACACACATTAACACACAAACAAACGAACACGCCTGGCTACAGTGATTCACGCTTTCAGGCTGAACTCGTGCAGGGTTAACTCCCTCAGGGCCTGAAACAATCCCAGGTCATAAATGTGAATTAAACCAATGATACCAATACAGATGTTTTCACTGGGACTGTACTGACCTAAATACAGGAGTTTTTTACTCACCTGTAAAAATTCCTCTAGAAAAAGTTAAAAAACGCTTATTCGAGTAACTGCACGCTCTCTGGGCGCTTAAGTGCTTTATTTACAATTGTGAAAACTTTTATTTTAATCAATTCTGACAGTTTCTTTGAAAAATAATGGGCCTGTTTTTTTATTCAAAGGTAGGTTTTAGTTTTTTATCTTTTTAGTCACATCAAAATGTGGCGCAATTCAGAATATAAAGCACGTCGATATGTGGCGCAACTCTGAGCCTCTGCGCGTCTCTTCTCTAAAAAAAACTCCTGATGGGGAAACAGACGGACGGCAGCAGCAGGTGAATTTCAAACAGGCGAGGGGTTTGAAAGAGATGCCGAATTAAAGAGCCAGGAAGCCAATCTGATACCCAGCAGGAGATCTCTGACCCGGATCAGGTAACCTCCTCCTACAGTAGAGGCAACAGTCCATTAAGTGAAACAAAGAGAGACCTCTGTCTGCTCTGAGTCTCAATTTTACATCAAAACAAGCTTCTTCTTTTTCTTGGATCTGTCTCTGCATGAAACAGCTGCCGAGTCCGAATAAAAGACAGCGCCTTCATTCTTTCATCAGCAGAGACAGATGGAGAGCAGCCACCACAGGCAGCAGCAGCTCTGTTTATGTTTTTACAGCCTCCAGCTCCGCCTGCAAATTTAATGGAGTTTGGAGAAGAGCAGGGTAATTGGAAGATGTATGAGGAGCACTTACACTTGATGCCTCACACACACTCTCACTGATGAGCAGGTGTTAAAGCTGCTTTTGTCATGCAGGAGACAGAAACCTGATGTGAGAGGCGGGTTTTGGTGTTAATCTTTGAGAAACAGGTTCAAATTAACAATAAGAGCAACATGTTTCTGTGAGAGTTAGTAAAAATACGAACAAAACTGAAGCCTTTTGATTATTATTGAGGAGAAAAAAATCTTTGGAACCATCTTAAAACCAAAAATATCTCTAGACTTGTTTAATGTGAGAAAAATGCCGTTATGACTTCAATCACGTCATCTGCTCTCTAATAATCTTAGCCTGTATGAGGGGGAAGAATCAGTGTTTGAACTTGTAGACAGTTGCGTCACGTGACCATGAGAAATCCTGTTTGCTTTGAGATGCACTGAGCCAAAAAGGTTGGGAAAGATGGAGTTGCTCAGCATGTTAGTTCAGCTCAATAAGATAAAGAAAAGTCCTTTGAAATCTGTGTTCCAAGAGAGACTAAAACAACTTCACATTACAAAAAACCAAACAACCCAAACTGTCTGCGTATTTTGAACAGGCAGGCCAGTTTAGCAGCAGGACTCTTCTCCTACAGAGCCATGCTGTTGTCATCCCTGCAGAATGTGGTTTGTCATTGTCTTACTGAGATATGAAGGTCTGCACTGAAAAAGTCATTGTCTGGATGGCAGCAGATGTTGATCTTAAACCTGGAGATATTGTTCAGTATTGACGGAGTCTTCACAGAAGTACAGTCTTGGTTTTATTTTTTATCCCTTTCTTTATAATTTCCTTGAAGTAATAATCATCATATTAATCATTTTCCACTGCAGACGCGGTAATTCTTCTGCCTTAGCATCTTGTCTGATTACATTTCCATGAAAAAAATGATCATAAATGTTCTTCCTTGAGCTGCGTCACCCCACAGCAGTCTGTAATGGACTGGCCCGAGGTCTCGCTACAAACGAACAGCTGCTGGAAGAGAGTAGGTGAGTTGTGTTTAGTCTCTTTGCTAAAGAAAGTAGTCAAAGTTCAAAAGATGTTTGGTGGCTAGTGCTATGCCTGGGACTGTTGATGAAGTTAGGTGCTGTTCTGAGCATTATTTGTGGCTATAGAGTGGCGTTTTGGTTGAGGTTTGTATATGGCTCCCCAGACCGCTGTGTATTGCTATCCTGCGGTCGTTACTAAAGTTGGTATATCTAGAGAAGCAAGCGGTCAGCAACATTCATCTCTCGAGAGGGTTACAGTGTCTGTTACCAGAGAAAAATTTCCCTCATTTCCCCTCCCACCACCTAAGAATCCTTTAGATGCAATCCTAGGGCGAGATCCTTATGAGAAGAAACGTGTATCTGTGATTTACAATATAATAAGAGACTTGAAACCAGTATCATGGGATAAAACCAAAATGGCATGGAAAAAAGATTTAGAAGATCTTTTGTACCACAACCATCAGACTTTATAATTCTTATGTAAATAATAGATAACTCTTATAGACATATTATATGCGACAACAGACAATTGAATGTCCCTTCGGGGATCAATAAAGTTCTTCTTATTCTTATTCTTATCTGACTATTTTTGTATTTTTGTTTTCGTATTTTTCTGTTTAATTTCTTTTTGGTTCAAGAGCCTTGGGGGAGGGGGGTTATGTTTGGAAGCTGTATGTCAAAACCAGAGTGACCTCTTCATGGTGACATCCAGGTGCTTTCAACCTTAACCTCCCTTTCTAACAGATGGATCAATGACTGGTAAATACTGTTACCAGGAAGTGTTGGGACAAGCTGGAGCCTGTAATAAAAAGAATAAAAAAACACAGTCCTGCTGGATAAACTGAGGGGTGAAGATGTCCAAGTCAGCAGCAGCAGAGCACATGTTACATAACCATGTGAGCCCAGAGCCAACAGCTGATGAGAACTCGAACCTCTCCTCTCTGCATGGAGACAGTTTTCAGCTCCACTGCAGGGTCAACATGAGCACAAATACAGCCGAGGAACTAGATTTTAATAAGTCCACATAAACAGGAAACCATACAAGTAATAAAGTGTGACTAAGCACTTACTATCGGTCAATAAGAAGGCATTACATAGCAGTTAGCCGCATTAGCATGAAGCAGCCTGGTGAACATACCTGACAGCCCTTTTTATGGTGAAATCCAACAACCACAATATGAAGCACCGGCCCCTTCACTTCGTCTCTGCCGTGAGACTCCATCCCCGTCTGTATAGTGTTTGAAAACTCCTCTGAGTGGTGTAAACTCCGGGATTACAATGTAAACACGGCAATCAGGGTCGATTTTTAGCCCCTGAATCGATGCCGTCCACAGTAGACAACCAGGCAGGAGCACAACACAACACAGCAGAGCGGAGCGCAGCGGGGACGGTTTTCTCTTCCGCTTCGTCCCACCGCGGCGCCAAAGATGAAAACACGACAAGAGAGTTCACTGCACTTTCACTGGAGCATGCGCACTGAACGGTACCAGACTTTTGACCGTTAACGTATTCTCGAAAGACATTAAATCATATTCGCTTAGTCATTTACATTTAACGATGGAATAATTTAGCTCTATGGACACATTATAGGTGAAGAACACATAACTGTCTTGATAATATAGCATGCCAAAACAAAGTGGACCAATCTCCACTTCAGCCCTCCCTCACCTTCTCGCTCCCTAAATAACAGTCACTTCTTCAAATTCATGTCTATTTTTTATCTGTTAAACTCCATCCAACTGGTACAATAATTATTTTTATTATGATTGCATAGAACTGCTAAAAAGCTGCATTTTATATACAGTCTATGGGCCTGACCGATTAAAATTTGACATCCTTTTTGGAAATTATGAACAGTGTTCTATTCTGCAAAGGGGGATTTCTTAATCGTCAAACTTACTCTATCAAAAAAAAAACACTTGAAATGTGTAAAATATGTATATTTACTTAAAGAATTTAGGAAACTGCTTGAACGAAGTCGTAAAAGAACAGAAAAACGGCGGCGGATTAGTATCTTGACTTATCCTCTCTGTTACATTCGAAGGTTGACGTCATTAACGGACTCAAACAAAAAACAAGCGCCATCTTGTGGAAGAGAACTGAATCGCATAAATAAACATTGGAGCCTGTAAATTACTGAGTAGGAAGAGTCTTTGTAAATATTATAAAGTCTGACTAATCTCCCAAGTTTATTCGTTCGTTTTGTGTAAACATTATTCATGTACGAGAAACTGTACACGATGGACTGAATCACTCATGTTTGATTGCTTTAGCCTGGTTACTGTATTTCTTTCTGTCGATTGCTTCTGCCTGGACCCATCATTGAATGAAGATGGCGGCTACACAAGCTACAAACCCTTCGCAGTTGCTGCCACTCGGTGTGTAAAATTCTTCTTTTTATTGAGTTTCTGTTTTGAATAAGTCATTATGAAACATCGTGTGCACTGGTTAGAGTCTTAAAACCGTAGTGAAGATATTATTTATGCGTGTTTTGAGCTCGGTAAGGCTGTGTGGATGATGTCAGGTGCACACGCATGTTGGTAAAATCACAATATAGATTCGTTTTGAGATTATCCTTTAAATTTGAGTTAATTTATTTAGTAACTTATGTGTTTTCCTCTTTTCAGAGCTTGTAGACAAATGTATCGGCTCCAGAATTCACATCGTCATGAAGACAGACAAAGAAATCGTCGGCACCTTGTTGGGGTTTGATGACTTTGTCAGTATCCTTTCAGGTTAAAAAAAACAAAAAACACTTCAAGTGTAAATCCATGTGTTTACTGTGAGATTTATAGTTTGATCTGAATCCTGTCCAAGTTTTCTCCTTTACTCAAAGTTTCAGACATGGTCCTGGAGGATGTGACAGAGTTGTAAGTGAAAATTTCAACTGAATATTTCATCTTTTTACTGGATGAACTCAGTGTGTATGTTTGTGTTTCAGTGAAATCACTCCAGAGGGGAGGAGGATTACTAAACTGGACCAGATCCTCCTCAATGGAAACAACATCACCATGGTGTGTGAATACCCTGCCAGTCCCCTGCCTCCTTAAAGGGATATTTCAGCGTAAAATTAATTTAGGGTCAAACACATTCATCTCTCAAGGGGGTGTCTAACTCTGTGTTATGGTGTGTTTGACCCTAAATTAATCTTAGGCCGGAATATCCCTTTAAGTTCACTGTAGTCTAGAAAAAAAAACCATTTTTGACACTTTTTTAAAAAACCCATGCACTCTGCTGAAAGTCTGTTTATGTAAATCTCTGTTTGTTACTAAAGTGGTCGTATTTACATTGTTTTTTGCAGCTCATACCTGGAGGAGAAGGTCCTGAAGTATGAGAACCGTCCCTGAAAGAAGACAAACCTCTGTGTTGTGGATACCAGCCTTTTCCTTCTGCGCTCCTTAGTTTAAATGTTTTGTTTTTCTGGATCATTCCTTCTTATTGTTGAGGGAGGAGAATATTTTTGTATCCTGATTCCTAATTGAATATCTCTCTGTAAAAAGATCAATACGACTCACATCAAATGATTGTGCTTTTTTTTTTTAAATAAATGAGTCACACAGTTTGGGAAAACAGCTTTTTATATTTTTATTTGGTTTTTGAACACATAATTTTACAGCTTAGTGCAAATATTGGTAAAAAATCTAAGTGCCATGAAATTCCGGCAGTGTTAAACAATCTTTACCTTTTTTTTTTCTGAGGGTAAATCGTAATTGGAATCTGTTTCAGGCATTTATGGAGACTTTACTGAACAAAGAGAGATGAATGGTAGTGAACCTAAACCATTAAAAAAAAAAAAAAAAAAACACCAGGTGCCTGTCGAAGCCGCAGCCTCCTTCTTGCTTCAGTACATGGACGGCTTCTCCTCTCCTTTGGGATTGGTCACCTTTTCCAGATTCTTGGTAACAATGTCGTAGAGCTCGGCCTGAAGCAGTTAGGTAGATAAAGAAGTTTAGGTTCTCAGTTTGACTGAATTATAGTCATAATTCCCAGTCTGATCTGACTTACATAGAAGCCGCGAATGTCGAAAAGGGTCAGTCTGAGCTCGGCGTAGATGCTCTCATCTTTCTCATGGACAAGTGAGCGGTAGTCCATCTGAAATCAGGGAAAACTCAGTTGAAACAGTTTCCAATAACTTAACCAAGGCTGCTACATTTAGGCTATCAGGGCCTGTGTCCACCCACAGCAGTTTTTAAAGTGACTTCAATTTCAGTTTTAAAGACTGATGTTTGCACTTGCTAAGTTAATTTGGTTGTCATGTTGTGCATCTGCTTTTCTCAGTAGGGACAGATGAGTTTTATTAAATGCTTTAATTTAAGGGTACAAGAAAAAACAGAAACAAGGGAAAGAAATTAAAAGTCACTCTATCCTGGAAATTAAGTTTATCGTCTTCCATGTTATTAACAAAGCTGATACCAGAGTCCTACCTTTCTTATTTCTGTAAAGGAGAAACAGATTTTACAGAGTTGTACAGTTCTTGGGAAAGTGGAAAAAACTACAGTTTTTCCAGTGTCCACTGGGGATCGTCTATAAAAGCCAAGGAACCCATTTAAAGCCTATATTAAAATTTTGATTTGAGCAACAGATTAAAAAATGTTTACAGCCTAGAACAAGATTAAACAAAGAATAAACAATATCCTGCTTAATCTGAAATGAGCTAGATGTTATTCAAAGGCAATATTTCCAATCTGGTGCCCAAAGACTTAGGGCTTCAAAATGAACACCAATGGTTTATGCCTTTGAGACTATACATAGATTAAGTTGACATTGATTAAATGACACTAAAAAAATCTAGAAAATAACCAAAACCAGAGATTTAAAATCAATAAACACAGCAAACACCCACCACATGAGTGTCCTTTGAAGCTTTTGCAACAGCGTCTCCCCTCTCTGTGAAGTACCTGGAAAACAAGAGTCGAAATGATCAATAGAAATAAACGTGGATAAAAAAGTTCAACATTCTCATAAGATAAAACTTTTGAGTGTTGTGTGCCCAAACAGTAGTCAGAGTCTATGGTTTTGATTTCCACTTACTTGTTGAGGTTAGTCAGAAGAGTATCGACTTTGGTCCTCACTGCTACGATTCTCTCCAAGATTTTCTCCTGTAATAAAACCCCCGACATTGCTTCATGATCATCAAATGCTGACATGAATTAAATCCTTTTTGTGGACATAGAAATGTACCTGGACTGCGACCCCAAAGTCATTTCCATCTTCTATTTTCGGAATGAGGTGCTGAATCCAGCAGGAGACCTTGAGGAGATTAATCCAGATTATTGTAACTTAATTTCAAGTTTTTCCAGAAAAGAAGTAGTTAAAGAATTTTCCTGAAAGTGAGGATAATTCACTTACAGTAATGATGGTCTCTCTGAAAGCCACAATCTCTGGTTTCACCACATCCACTAAAGCCATGATCTTCTCATTCCCCTTGATGAAGCCACACTTTGGAGCTGAAGGACAGACAGCAGGATTCAGGCTCTTTTACGATAAGTATTAACCGACACAGGCTACCTGTTACTCTGAAAGATTATTAGAAAATGAGATTTACCTTCCTTCTTTTTCTTCTCGTCCTCCTTTTTATCTGTCTCCATTTTCTTTACAATCAGAAGTGGAAAACAGTCATATTATAAACCAAGAGATTACATATTATGAGATTAGAGGCTTGAGACTTGGACTAGCAAAATGTGACTTTTTCCCTTATCTGGTTGTACGTAAAAGCATTTGTAAAGATGGATCTTTTTGCTGGTAAAAACTTGGCACATGGAGGACCACACTTTTCTTATTCACAGGAGCTACTTGTCCTTAAAGGCCACCGTACTTCCACAACAGAAGGGGTGAGTAAAGGGGCATTTTAATCCAGAACCCAGCTGATATATATAACAAAATAACCCATTTCTATACACTGTACCTCGATACTTGGTTGTATAAATTAAAGGATAGTGAGTGCTTGAAACTGGTCTGACTTGTTTGGCGAGGTATTTAATGTATGTAATTACTGCCTGATTAAACAAACGCTCACCTCATCCTCCGGGGAGGGAGGGTCAGGTATGGGGATGTCGAGAGGAGCCCTGAGGGAGGACAAATCTTCGATATTGAAGCTTTTGTCCTAAAAAAAAAATGGAGAGTAGAAACTGCAGATTATGAGCAAAGTCAGATAATCACATTGTTGTAAAAGGCAAAGTTTTTGAATCCTCCTTCAGTCTGCTTAAAATAATCATTTGTTAACATGGAGCACTTTGGATCCTTAATTAATTTAAAAATATACATTAATGAGTCATAACTTAGTAAATTTGCTGACCTTGATCAGAGCATCCAGCTTGCCAATCTTCTGCGGAATGAAATTGGAAAACAGATTCCCGGCCTGCAAAATAAGAGGAGGACAAAACAAGTTCTGCATAAAAATACTTACTTTTTTAACCATGCATGTACCTTTGAATGAATAAAAACTGAAATTGATTTAGTGTATGTCAACAAACCTCCTGATACAGGGACTGTTGGAAGTTTTTCACCTAAAACAACAAAGAAAAGGGTAAAATGTGACTGTTTTAACTGCTGACTCATGTTAGAAAAGTCTGTTGGATTTACTTTCGTTTTCCTCTCATGGGGGATTTTCCGCCTCTCTAAGTCATATTCACGAACTTCTTCTGCACATTTGAACTTTAAACACCAGAAACACTCTGCAGGACGGTTTTCAGCTCCGTCTGTAAACATGTACCTGACATATCCGGATTTATCACGAAACTCGGTACTCCGAGTTTGGACTCACCTGGAGAGCGCTCTCACGGCTGATTTTCAGAGAGGTCGCCTTCGACATGATTTGACGAAAATTTCACAGCAAGTGCAAATAAATTAGACCGTTTAATGTCTTCAGGTGATCTCGACGTCTGTATGTGCGAGTGAGAACAACACGTCTTGAGACGGACTTTTTTATTTCCTCATTCACTTTACTTTCTCTTCTCAGTGTCAAATAAAATGATGCAGTTAAACTTCCCCTCCCACTCTGTCCCTCCTCTTCTTATGCTGGTACGGTGGCCCCGATGGATCAAGTGAATCTTATTTTTCTTTTTTTTACTTTATCATTAAATACCGACGGAGTATTAGGGCCACATTCAGAAAAAAAATAGGACTTAGAAAAAAAATTAAGACTTTGAGATTAAAGTCATTAATTTACGAGACTAAGTCATACTAAAATCATTTCTTACAGGAAAAAGTCGTAATAAAGTAAAAACTTATGAGAATAAAGTCATAGTAAAATTATAACTTACGATAATAAAGTAAAAACTTGTGAGAATAAAGTCGTAGTAAAATCATCACTTATAATAAAGTTGTAATAAAATCATTAGTTAAAACCCTTCTGATTCAGATCCTGAGTTACGATAATAAAGTCGTAGTAAAATCAATATTTTTAGAAAAGTCATAAAGTAATAACTTACGAGAATTAAGTCGTAGTAAAATCATTACTGATGAGAATAAAGTCATAAAGTAATAACTCACGAGAATAAAGTCGCAATAAACTACTACAACTATACTATGTACTAGTAATTACTTTATTACGAATTTATTCTCGATAGTAATTACTGTATTACGACTATATTCTCGTAATTACTTTATGACTTTATTCTCGTAAGTAATGATTTTATGCTTGTGAATTAGTGACTTTAATCTCGAAGTCTTAATTTTTTTTTCTTAATGTGGCCTTAATACTCTAGTGTATCAAATACTATAAACAAGTGAAAAAGGAACAAAAAAACAGAGCGACAGAACAAGAGAAAGGCATACATTGAAATAATATAAGGACAAATGAAACCAAATTATATATACATAGGCAAAATTTAAATGGCAGACAACTTCACTGAATATAATTTGAATAGAATTCAATAGCTGATCAGAATTTTTTATTAGATAAAACATATGACAGAGATTTGAAAAAAAAAAAAAAAATTGGACACTTATCTAGTACATTTGACAATTAACTCTTGTAAAGCAAAGTGTCGGGTTAATTGTTTGAAAAGTAGGGCCTAGAACTGAACCTTGTGGAATTTTCCCATTTGAGTGGAAAAATCTTCAAACACTGACGAGTTAGAGTAATGTAGTCATTGTATAGTCAGGGAGATGTCTCCACATGGCCACCCGTTTCTGCTTTTTTGCCATGTAAGAATAGTGTTTTTGGTGTTTGACTCATGAGATACTTATTTTTTGTGTTTTATCAGTTAATTTGGGGTTTCATGTGATATTTAAGTTATGGATTACGCTTTTGGCACACAGTAAAAGGTCTGTGCATTTGGCCTACAGGGCCCCCAGTATTTCGGCTGTTCAAGCTGCATACTCAAAATAACCAAGTTTGGGATTTTGTTAAACTTTTACTCTGTGCTAAAAAAGCAGTTAACTTCTTTTTAAATCCATCGAGACCATATAAAGACCAGCTTTCAATCTGTGACCACAACAACTAGACTTTACAGGACAAATTAACCTCTTTTAGAGAGTGTTGTGACTTCTTAAAACAGAGTTAAGATTTTTAAAGTCTTCATTTCATGAAAATGTAGTTGACAAAAGTAGGCTATATCAACACACCAGCTGCTTTCATAAAAAAGGTACTGTACAACACACTTTTTTTTTTATAAACGGCTTTTTCAGCAGCTGTGACACATTCACTTGAATAATGTGAAAACATCTGAGAGGGCACACAGGTTTTTACTTAATATCTTTATGTGGTAACTCAAGGGGTGAGATAGAAAAGATTTTCAGTTTGGTGTAAGATATAAATTGTTTGAGTTGATTTTGAAGCCAACAACGCCACCTAGGGAATTTCACACAAGGAATTAGAGATTTTAAAGCACTCAGGTTTGTTCTACCTTTGAAAGAAGCAGGAGATGTGGTTTCAAGTTTTAAAAATAAAAGACAAATCATTTATTTAAAAAAACAACCTATTTAAAAAATCTCACACCCACACCTTTTTCAGGAGCCAAGTCTTACCACGGTGCTTTGAGTCAAAAGGAAAAGTGAGGGGGATCCCAGGGAAGGAGGACACCAAATAATGTAACAATCACACCAAAATTCACACAGTGCAACAACTAAAGACCAGGGATACACAGCACAAGATAAAAGGGGAAAACCACCACCAGGACATCAGGGACCACCACCGTTGGCTCTCAGCAACTGAAAAAAGGACACAAAAAAAAGGGGGATTATTAGGCTCAAAACAAAAATAACAAACCAAAAATAAAGTTAGCCTATAACTAAAACAACAAAATGACAATAACCAAATAACTTTAACCAACTGGGACATATGCTGTCAAAACAATCAAACCTAAACAACAAAACAGAATGACCCTGAACTCATAATTTAGAAAAAAAGATGTTCTGAACTAACTGAGCAAATAAGGATTTTAAGCAAAAACAAATAATTGACTAAATACTAAAGAAATTAAGATTCAATGGCAATTTATGGAAACAAAACTTAACCAATAGATGTTCCCCATGAATTCAAACCAAAATAAATAAAGTACAAACACAAATTAAAGAGGTACAGGCTTGTTATATCATAGACTGTATGTGCTATATGTATGCTATGTAATATACGTATGTTCTATATACAGTCTATGTGTCATATAGTCAGAAGGTATACATACCGAACAGGCTCACGTCGTCGTGAGAGTTGGCAACCATTAACACTGCATCTAAACAAGTAAAATCACAGACAAATCAGCACGATAACTGACTATTTAGCATTTTTAACAGCCACTGATAACTTACCTGCACCGGTGGAGAGGGGCTAAGCAACCCGGAAGTGAAGGGAAAGCCCAGAGCAAGAGAAAGGGCGGAAGGTTGCCACTACTCCTTTTTATAGAGTGCCCCCGTGAGTTAATTGACTGACAGGAGCCCCAAGACAGCAGATAAATACAACTCTTCTTAAAGCGAGAATGAGATATTTCATTTTATATTTTCATTAGTTTTGGTCCTCTGCTTCACTTTTGTCGTGCTATCCTCCCAACAGATGACGAATAAATCAATCGAGATTGTGGAAACTACCTTTTTTTATTTTGAAGGCGGTGTTGTATCGAAAAGCGCTACCCCACACAAATGAGCTATCAAGCGGCTGTGCGCATGTCAGTGAAAACGTCAACTGGACTTCCGTGTTAGAAGCTAACGTCAGATCCACAGTCAGAAGTGCCTCAGTGTTGATGTGCTGCGACAACCACAATGGACTTAAAAGACATATTTTTAACCTAATTTTAAAACAAAGACTTTACTAAGGCTCACAAAAGGACGGATTAAAGGTCGAGGCTTGTTGAGACGGTGACTTTTTCCAGCAGGTACGTAGCTGTTGTGTTAAACGCAGTTTTTCAATAACAGAAAGTTTCGGTTTCACTGTTTTTGTCAGAGTTTGTCTTTTAAAACTTTAACCTTACTCACCTGAATTCTTATAAACAACGTTTTAATTTGAAGAAACACACCACGCTTTACTGTATTACTCTGTAATATCCAGCTGTCCTGTTGTTGACAGGCTGTTATGATTAGACAGTGAAGACAGTTTTAGCAGTGAGGACTTTCCAGTCATGAGGTGAACGAAAAGTGAAAATATTCAAGAGTCCTCACCTCCTTCTCTTCCTCCTAAAGATATATTCTTTAATAATTTTAACTATTCCGACAATTGAAGTGAAGCTGACTTTCTCAGTGTAGAGTTTGAGGGAAAATGAATTAAAAAAACAAACAAAGATGTTTTTCATTCTCACTGATTTTAACCTATTTAAATCGCCAAATCACAAACAGAGGGTTCATGTTTGCTGGATCGCGATATCATTTTAGATTTATAAAATAGTTTTGTGTTTTTTTAAATAAATTAATTAATTCCAATCCAATTCAATCCGCTTTATTTATAGCACATTTAAAAAAACATTCAAGTCTACCAAAGTGCTGCACAATAAAATTAAAAGAACAGACAATGCTGAAAACATCAAGATAAAGTAAATAAAAGCAGGTAAAAAAAACGTTTTAAATGAAATAAAATAAAAGAAATAAGACCCAAAAGCATAAAAGAAAAAAGGCGATAAAAGGTCCGTGAAAGACATGAAAGGACATAGATCACACAACTCTCATGCTGAGGTAAAAGCCAGGGAATAAAAATGAGTTTTAAGACGTGAAAACTACCAAAAATTGCCAGAAACTTTAGTTTTTTTATGCGCCCTATGTTTTCTTGATAGCTTGTTTCAATAGTTTCTGCTAAAGTGTAATCTGGTTTTGATATCATTAATCGATCCCTCATGAATCTTGTCTTTTTGATCACCTTGTGGTCTGGTTTCAGGCATTAAAATATTATTTAGATGAATCAGTCTTCTCCGTTATGAACTGTTTTGCTTGATCTTCAGTCTGTTTCATGGCTTGATACAACTCACAGGAGCTTGAAATAATCAACCAAAACAAGTCTAAATAAAAAAGATGTTCAATGATATGAAAGAGAAACATTAACAGTAATTGAACTTGTTATTTTTCCTCCACATTACACACATTTTGTTGCAGCAATGAGCAGCGGCTCAACCTCAGAGCAGCTGGAGGAGGTGAGGAAGAGAGCAGAGTCGATCCTCGCCTCCTCGGGTTCAGCTCAGGATGTGAAGACGGAGGTTCAGACCATGGCCAGCGCCGCCTTGTCTCTGACGGACAAGTACCGCCACTTTGGAGCCGAGGTCATGATGAGGGAAAACACGGGAGACCGCAGCAGACAAGAGGTACAGAGTTATTTGATTAAACACATGAAATTTGAGCTTTATTCTATTTTGAGTTTCAGATTAACAACTTTTTTTGCAGATTGAAAGTCTTTATAATTTAACAAGAGTGAAACGATTCAAACAGAACGGATCAAATCTGATTGATAGATTTATTTCAGTGTTTTAGGGGATAAAACCTCCAGTGGAGCTGAAAATGTAAGAATATAAGAAATATGTGTTTTTCAGATATATAAATCGTCACTAAAAAGGATTAGCAGATGTATTTTAGTCTTTATATGAGATGTTTCTCAGTGTGAAGCAGCTTTACTAGAACTGTAAACAGATCACACTGGTTTTGTCTCCACTTCAGGTCCAGGAGTCTTTGGCTCGACTGGTCAAGGCCTTGAGTGTCCTGGAGAAGTACGGCTGTAACCTCACAAACCCCACCAGGCCCAAGTACTGGAGAAACGTCAAGCACAACAACCCCACCTTCAAGAGGACAGTGGATTCGATCAAGGTGACACATCAGAAAATCCCTCAGGGTGGATTTGGCAGAGCTTTAAACCGACTCTGAGATGATTTAAAAACTAAAATGTTAATCAAAGTCTCCCCTCTTTAGGGCGGTCGAAGAGTTTTGTACCTGTACGGTTACACCAACCAGCAGTTCGACGGCCTCAGTTTCCCGGATGAGGTCGCTGAACCAGACTCTGAAAAAGTAGCTGCGCTGACGTTTGAGGTCATGACCTTACGCGCTGAGGTGGACATGCTCCTGCAGGTACTTAACGAGTAATGTAATTACCTGAAACATCGAGTGTAAGTCAAAGTCTTGATAGAAACTTGTACATGTCTTTGTTTTAGGGCACCCATCCTCATCCAGAGCACTTCAAAGATATCACCCCATCCATCATGCAGAAGGTGTGTACATTTTTACAAACTGTTCGACTGAAAACTTGAAACAGACCAGAGTGGCCGTCATGGGTTTTCTCTCTCTCTCTAAATGATGGTGTCCTGAAGTGTTGGCTGTGATTCTGGTTTGTTTAGGACACGCTGGTCGCTGACGCTGTGCCCATCCTGTCTGAAGAGGATCTCCCAAAGAGAGACATCCCACAGGTTCTGACGCCCTCACCCACCCAGAGCACCGGAGGTCAACAACCTCAGACACCACCAGCAGGTCCTACAGCCCCTCCTGCTCCTCTGAGTCTTGTCTAATAACCTTTCCCGCTGTCTGAAGTAGCTCTGACTGATGCACAGGCCACTGTCTTTATTCCCTGCAGGCTCTCTTACTGTGGGGGAGTGTAACTTGTGTGGTGGACCGTCATCCCTGGTTTGCCCGTCTTGTGACAAAAAGCCTTTTTGTGATGCGTGCGATGACTTCTTTCACCGCCATCCTGCAAGAGCCAATCACAAGAGAGACAAACTACAGAAAACCAAACAAGGTACGACACATTAAAACACAGTTACACTTCTTTTTTCAGACCTGGTTCTCAGACAGTTTGATTGACTCTATGAGCCGAGGATTGAAATTTTCATGGACTTGTTTTCCCGCAGAGACCTGCAGCATCTGTGGGATTTCTCCCGTGTATGCTCAGTGCTTCACCTGTGCTCAGGGGCTGTGTCTTAACTGTGACAAACTTTTCCACTCCCACCCCGACCGCAAAGATCACAACAGGAACATCATCACAGCGGCTAAAACGTCCAGGTGAGGAGAAACAGGAACTCAGAAACGAATCACTGTCAGTTATTTCATGTGGGTCAACAACAGAGAGGAAGGAGAAGGTCAAAGGGTGACTGAGTTTTCATCAAATTGATTAAATTTCTAGTCTTATATCGTGAATTTCAACTCTTATGTGGTTTGTATTCAGACTTTGTGAAGCACTTTAAGCTGTATCTTTCGTCTGAAGTAACATGCAATGATGATTTTTGTGTAATTACAAAGATTTTAAATATTTTTTGCTGCACGAAGATTCTCTGAAACCTAATTTCTTTCACATATTTTACAATTTTTGGTCTTAAAATACAGTTTTTAAGTCGAATACATTTGCTGCAAAAAGTGAAAATTAAATTAGACTTTAGTTCAACTTTTCTTTTATTTTTATGTCCCATTCTTTCTGAAATGTAGTCTTTTTTAATTTAGATTTGTCTCACTGCTTTCCATCGTTCTTGGTTCACAAAGGGCCAAAGCAAATAAACTGAACTGTTGTCAGTGGAGTAAATGTTCTGCTCTTCTGTTCCTGTCAGTCCGTCTCTGTCCCCCTGGGAGTGCGCTCACTGCACCACGGTCAACGAGATGCGAGCCGTCCTCTGCACAACCTGTGAACGACCTCGACTCGCCACGGCTGCCTCCAACGTTCAGGAGAGCCTCGTTTCAGTTTCTACATCACCCAACACAGGTTAGACTCCAGTTTAACTTTGGATTGATAGAGATTAACTCACTTTGAGCAGCACCTTTTGAAACAAAGAAGTAAAAAGTACAAGGGTAAAAAGTGATAATTGAGCAAATCAAACCGATAAAACCTGGAAAAAAAATCACGTTTTTTAACAAATATGCAGGAATTTTGATTTTCTTTCATTTTATCTGACAGCAACGAGCCTCATATGTCTGCTTTTGAGAATGAAGAAGTGATTTGTCTTTCAAGTGTCTGAATATCTGTGTTTGATCCCTCAGAGTGGCAGTGTAAGAGCTGCACTGTGGTAAATCAAGGCAGCAGCATCCTCTGTGAGGTGTGTGAGCGCCCTCGTCTGGCCACCCGCCCGCCTGCTGCATCGCTCCTGTCCAGTCTGGGATCTCTGTCTGAGTCTGGAACAAAGGTCTGTCTCACTGCTGCAGATAAATCTCTCGATTTGAAGTTATTTCAGGCTATAACGAGGATATTTAGTGTCCTGTTTCTTTCAAATTAAAAAGCTGAATCTGATTTTCATGTTTTCTTACAGTAGCTACTTGGTTCACAGCTTTTTTAAAGCGGGAAAAATCTTTAAAACTCTGAATTAAGCTCTCAGGAAACTGCAGAGGTATAAATCAGAGCACTGAGCTTCTTAAGCGTCAGATGTTTCCTCAAGGACTTGGTGCAGACTGAAAACAGAGCTACAAGAGTGATTTTTTCCTATGAGTCTTCACAGCATGACTCAAGAATTTTCCGTGAACTTCCGTCTTCTTTCTTTACTAAAATGTGTAAATTTGCCTTTTTTTCCTCTTGGTAGTGGATGTGTCAGTTCTGCACCTTCGAGAACACAAAGCCCGCTCTGGTCTGTGAGATGTGTAACCAGCCGTGCAGAGACAGCGCTGGAGTTTCTCTGCCCCAGTCGCTGCAGCAGACCCCGACACCCAGCATTAAAGATCAGCCTCAGCCGAGGATCAAACCCCAACCGAAACCCAGAGTCAACCTGGAGATGAAGAGACAGAAGATGATGAGGGATGAAGGCCTGAATCTCATCGGCCAGATCAGAGTAGGTCATGTCTGAAAAAGTCTGAGGTCTAATTCCAGAGACTGTTGGACCAACACGTCACAAAAATATTAAAACTATAAGTACACGACCAAAAAGCCTCAAATCTCGATGTCAGGTTTGATAAGTTTAGTTCACCTCGACCTGGAAGAGAACTTGTAAAAAACTCATCCTGTATCTCCTCACAGGAAGCAGAAAAACGCGGCGTCAGTCCCGAGGAGGTGTACGCCGCCATCTGCATGTGCGGCGGCAGCAACCCTTGTGATTGGCTGACCTCGGAGCTGCCTCACCTGCTGGATGAAATCTGCGCCATGGCGGCCTCTGTCCAGCTGAACTACAAAGCAGGGGGTTCTGGGATACAACCCGAGGTGGAGAAAGACGGAGGGGAAGCTGAGCGAGGCACACTGTACCTCACAGGTGGAGGTGAGAAGCTGTCGAGAGCCGAGGCCAAACTGGCGTGGTTAGCCGCTGGAGGAGACACGGAGAGAGCCGTGAGGCAGCTGCTGAGGGACAGACAGCTGAAGGTAAGAACAAGGAAGAGAGAAGAGCTGAAACCCGACCCTGAAACACATTTTCCTGCCAAACAAAGTTCGTTCTCATCAGACACACAGAAATTCATGGTCTATTTGCTCCCCTGAGTGACGTTTAAAGTGATACCAATAAACTCCTGCAGCTTCCTACAGACGCTAAGAGATCAGGGAGTCACGCTCATACCTCCTGTTTTTCTGACCTTGAAAGATAACTCAGAACAAAGAGGGTCTGTGAGGGAAACGTAGGAGTGTCATTTGACCCTTTTGACCCGGTTTATGAGTTTGATTTAGAAACTACAGCGAGAGAACAAAGAAACTGAACGGTGGGTAAAAGATAAGTCTCCTAGAAGATCTGGTACTCAGTTGCTGCAGGTGTCCTCTTAGAGGATTCATTGAGTTTACACCACATCTGACACCAGGGTCCATCCAGGTGGATTGATGTCTGCAGTAGGTTAGGAGGAAAGTCAGGATAACTGACTTTGATCCATGTGGTAACATCTTGAAGAGAGAGAGAGAGGGAAAGCCGGGACAGGATGGTTTCTGCTGGAGTCTGACGTGTGATCCTTCTCCAGGGGTCAGGGTTGGCAGGAGGAATTTGACTCCAAACAAAACTCCTTTTATGAGTTCCAGTCATTGTCTAGTGTCATAAACAGATAACTCTGTGTGTGTCATGTGTGTGTGTGTGTCCAGATGAAGGAGCTGCATTCTCTGGGCTTCAGAGACGTGCTGCAGTGCGAGGAGGCCCTGCGTCAGAGCGGAGGAGAGGTGAGGGGAGCTCTGTCTCTGCTGCAGCGCCCCCTCCTGGAGCAATTCCACCAGCGGATCTGGGCTGACCAGCAGGAGCCGCCGATCGATCCCAAACACCCGGACAAACAGGTTAGATCTCACCTGAGATCACATCGAGGCTGTTTGTGTTTGCTCAGTTGTGGTGTTTTGATAACAGGTGTGTAACTCTTCATGTGCTCTGTCACAGAGGATGTGCAGACGGCTGCTGGCGCTGTACGACCTGCCCAGCTGGGGGCGCTGTGAGCTTGTCCTTGCACTGCTTCAGGAGCCGGATGTCTCATACTCTCTGGAGGATGTGGTGCAAGCTGTGAAAGAGTCTCCGGACAAAGATTTCATCAGACGTCTGCTCAACAATGAGTGTCCCTGCTGCCTGTCCATATTCCCCCGCAGCAAGGTGGGTCAGAGAGGGGGGCCTTTAAAGCCTTGTGTGGGTGTCACACAAGTATTTGACATCATTACAACAAAGTGCCTTCAGATTTATCCGCCTTTCTTCTTCATTTCTTCTTCTTCTTCTTGTTTTTAGATGCAGTCTCTGACTTCCTGTCAGTGCTCCGTGTGTCACGAATGCTTCAGGCAGCACTTCACCATCGCAGTGAGAGACAAACACATCAGGGACATGGTGTGTCCCGTCTGCAGCGGGCCGGACATCAACGACCCGGAACTGATGGACAGCTACTTCTCCACACTGGACATACAGGTATCAATAAAGACATGATGTACTGAGAGTAAATATGGATGATGAGTTGGAATAAGTAATATGTCAAATATATTTTTCTGCAGCTGCGGATCTGCCTGGAGTCTGACGTGTATGACCTGTTTCATAAGAAGCTGACAGAGCAGGCTCTAATGAAGGACCCAAAGTTCCTCTGGTGTTATCATGTGAGTGCTTCTCAGCGTCATAAAACTGTCGACCAGATTGCTCCGTCTCCCTTTATCAGCTCTCATAAATCTGAATTCTTCATCTGAAGCGTAAGAGTGTAACGCAGTTCTTGCAATAATGACACGACATGCCACATACGCAAACCCTCAGGGGAAAAAAACATGATTCAAATATTTTTGCAAAACGTTTCCAATAAATCTAAACATTTATTAGCGCAATTATTCACAAAGTCTGTTTAAATGAGGCCCTTTTTCTGTTTTGACATTCCATTAACTGTCCTTTTGTACTTTTAAATATTATATAATCTGTGAAAGGAGATTAATGTGACCATAATCCTGTTAATTAGTCTCTCCTGGTAACACCCTTATTAACAACAATGATGATGACGATATTTGCGGACGGGGCAGGGCGGCTTTGTTTGTACATACCACACTCTCAGGTAATTAGGGGTGCTTTACAGAGTAATTAAAGAAGATTAAAAAAAAGAACACACACAAAAGAAGAGCAGAAAAATAGATTTATACTTAAATAACTCATAATGGCAAAACTAATACCTTTATTTGTATGGCAAATTAAGATTATTTATAGTTTAGCAGTTGGAAAAAAGGTTAAAATGATCATTAAAAGGCAATAATAAGAGCAAAAGCGATGAAAAAGCCAGATAATAGACCGAACCCTAACTCATTCCTTTACATTCCTGTTAGCTAACATCAGAACACAGCTAACATTAGCATTTAGCCGCTTTCTGTTAAACATTAGTGTTTAAAAATCTCAGATACGACAAGGTAAGAGAAACGTTTGAACCATCACATTGATAATTTGATGGTTAAGTACTTTGAAAGTGTTCATATTTATGTTGGCATCTGTGTTTAAATTACGTCTGCTAGTCAACAATACTAGGGTGGTCTTATTCTGAATCCCAAACAAGAAGACACACGAAGCGGAGCGGAAGTCGCATGAAAAATTTTGAGGGTTTTCCGGGTTGGTTAGAGTGTTTTTTACGTGCTTCTAACTCAGTAAGTCCACAATCCACAAACTCAAAACTTGCATACAAAACCCACACATATGAAGGATTTTATAAACTCCTCTTGGACAGGCCAGACAGACCCTAAAAAGAGGACATGTCCTGGTATAAGAGGACGTATGGTCACCCTATTTAATGACTTGTGTAGTTGTGATGTTATTTCCTCATCGAGTTTAAATGTTAGAGCTTCACTCACAGTAACTTTAATGTTTTAAGGTGTTCATAGTGTACTCAGCACAGAAATACTCATTCATACAGTGCCAGCATAACACTGTACTACTGCAGTAAACTTGTACAAAATCAGGACTTAGTCATATTTCATGTTTTCTTTATTTGCTTTATCAGCAGAAGAGTCCTCATTGTTTTTGCTTCTCCACATCAATTTTATTCTCAGACACCAGAGCAGGTTACAATTCCCTGTGGAGTCAGAAGGAATGAGAGCATTATTCATTTTGTCTTTCAGTAATTTTTTTTTAATCATATTTAATGTAGAGATATGTTAAAAGAACTCTTCTAAACAAACAGTGTGTAGGTTGGAAATCCAAAATGACAAAATAAAGCAGCCCTGAATACCCAGGAGTTGATTTTTGTTGCATTTAAAAAAAACAGAATTGACATAATTTTCTTTTCACTAGAATAATATTCAAGTTCAAAGTCTGTTTTGTAAAACCTTACATGGACATATGAACAGAATAGGAGCTGCCTGTAATGACACTAAGTATGTTTGAGGGGATTGACCTATACTGCAGCCAGCCAGTAGAGGGAGTGCTAGATGTTTTTGCTTCCCTTTGCTGGAGCTTGTCTGCTTTTATACAGTCTGCTGTTGTAACACAAATGACAAACCATGTTGATGGACTGATTCAGACATGATTGACTGCCCAGGTAGGGTATGACAGAGTAACTAATGTGGTTACAAGAGAGGCTGATAGACTGATTCTTACCTTCTGTATTTGCTGTTCCATCCACCGTGAGTCAGAGTGAATACAGAACCATCTTCCACCCTCAGCCTTAACCCTGGAAGCAGACAGAAAGGATAAAACATCTTTGTTCATTGATCCTTGATAGGCTCACTCCTGAAGATCAGTTTTCTTCTGTTGATGGTTTCAAAGAGTTTTAATCACATATGAACTGTGTCACATAGATCACCTGTTATCAGATTGGAGTCAGAAGCAATTAGGGATTCAGCTGAAGAGTGTACTCGCTTTACTTAGTGTTTAGTCAGTAAAACATTTACTTCTGTGAGGGATAAAACCCCCAAAATCTTTGATCAGGTTTCAATGAAGGACAGACTTGTTGGACATGTGAAACCTGGTTATAGACTCCTTAAGGGTCGTTATTCTGCTTTGATTAGGGCCGTTTGCTCAAGAAAAACACCTTCATGGTCAGATTCAGTGTATTTTGTACATTTTACTAAAGAAGTTATTGTCCTCCCACATTGAACATGATTTTAAAATTGGCTATAAGCAATGTCTTTAATTCCTGTAATTAGATATGAGTCGTTAGTTTGTGTTTGAGCAGATCAAATGACTTTGACTTGACTTTGATTAACGTGGGTAAAGCATGCTGTACTTACAGATAGTGATTTGAGTTGCAATGCCCCGTGGGTCTCTGTTTGATGCACTCTGTAATCCTGCTTGGTGCAATATAGCCAGCTTGGAAACAGCATGGATCTGTATAGTGACAAACACACAGAGGCAGTGATGTTACAACATTTTTACAAATGCAGCAGCTGCTGCTAAAGGAGATCAAAACATGATTGACTTTTTCCAAACCTTGAGAGTAAAACTCAGATATGATTCAGTGACATCAGTAAGCTTCTAAATATCTCCAAATGTTTGCTGCTGAAGGACCAACATACTGCCATATTTTTAAAGAACTGCTTCCTACAAGGTGTTCATGTCAGGTGGAATGGTCACTGAGGTTCTGGACTTTATTTTATTCATTTTAAGTGTTGTCCTCATGTGAATAAGACAGATCAGCCTAAACCTCTCATGGGAGATCAAATCCAGGGCAGATATATGTCCCTAGATAATAATAATAATAATAATAATAATAATACAGTAAAGACATCAAAAAGTGATGAAATTTCAGTTCCTGTTTTTCATTCTTTTAAATAAAGGAAAATAACTCCTCTTTATTTATCTTTATTAGATTTTAGCAGATGATACCACGAGAAATAGTCATTTCAAAACCTCTGAGGTGATGTTAGCTAAAACGGTGACACTGTCCCAAAGTTTAGGGATAAAAATCTTACGACAAAAGTTTGTGAACAAGCTCAATGAAATCTGCAGTAATCATGTAATGCGGTTGAATCCATTGTTATATGTTGTGGGTATAATTTTGTACTTACCTGGCACGGATATGTCCTGTACAGAGGACCAGATAAACACAGAGAAGAGGAGGGCAGAGATGGTCAGAATCCTTACAGACATTTTGACCAACAGGCAGGCTGGTGGATAATAAACTGATCAGACTGAAAACTAGGACTGCTATGATAAGCCGATGTTATCAGTTAAATCAGGTGACCTTATTCTGAATCCCCAAAAGGAGGACACTGATACGGGGCGGAGTTGTGCGCAAAATTTTGAGGGTTTTTCAGGTTGGGTCGAGTGTTTTTTTTTACACGCTTCTAACTCAACAAGTCCACACTACACAAACCCAAAACTTTCATAAAAACCCCGGACATTTGAAGGATTTTATAAACTCCCCCCCGATAGGCCAGACAACCCCCCCAAAAAAAGACATGTCCGGGTAGAAGAGGACGCATGGTCACCCTAACAATAGGATGTTAAGAAGCGCACAGGTGGACAGTGTTACGGTTGAATATGTGACCCTGTAAACTGGGGATATCGTAATTCAGCAGGAAGTCGCCAGTATGCTGGATCACCGTTTACATCGTAACACTAGTAGTCTAACCGTCATCATGAGCCTGTGCGCATTAGAGCTTGTAAATAAGGAGAAAAAACGTTATGTATACAGTAAATCAGAGACAAAAATGGCTTGAAATTAATCTACAGGTCTGACTTGAAAAACTAATGATGGAGTTTTCTTCCTCAGTGCACCTATGGCTTTATCAATGAAGGAGACCAGCTGAAAGTCACCTGTCTGTCCTGTCAGAAGAGTTTCTGTGCTCAGTGTAAGAAACCCGTGAGTATAAAGACCCATTTTCATCTATTTCACCCTCCTTTACATGCTGTAGGATTTACTGAATCTCAAGAATTCAGCCTTGAAGTTCTATCTCCTCCCTGAGAGGGAGTTTGCGTCCTATAATCCTCCCTTCCTCTCCTCCTTCCTGTCAGTGGGAACCTCAGCACCAGGATCTGTCCTGTGAGCAGTTCCAGCAGTGGAAGAGGGAGAACGACCCAGAGTACCAGAGGCAGGGTTTGGCCGGATACCTCAGAGACAACGGCATCAGTGAGGACTAAAACTTCACTCCCTCACTACTAAAATGAATAAATTAAATTAAACTAGCTTTGCTTTACTTTCTAATGTCAACACTCCAACAACAACAACACATTTAGTCATCTCCCATTTCACAGTTTTGTAATCAGCTGATTCACAAGGCCTCAAAAACAATCTTGAAAACACACGTCTATTAAAATTAAGGCCTCGTTTATTTTCTTGCAACAAATAAATGTATTCAAGATGTTTGTGTCTGAAGTGAGTAGATTTCTCAGTTTGTGTTGTGGTCTCGCAGCCTGTCCTCACTGCCGGTTCCAGTACGCTCTGACTAAAGGAGGCTGCATGCACTTCAGCTGTTCTCAGTGCAGGTACCAGTTCTGCAGCGGCTGCAACAACCCCTACCACAAGGTGAGAGACTTACTTATACATATGACAGGAAGAAGGGCACAGTGTGTTTTTTCTAAATGACCAAATTGCATGATTTTATGTGGCATACAAAAAAGCACACAGTTTTTCTAGAGTCAAATGGAAAAATGATCAGGATGCAGAAAAAAATATCCCCTGTTGATGCTAAGTTTTATCTACAACAACTAACTTTACTAACTTTTGGTTAAGTTTGACCACCAGCTGCCCCTTGCTGTTATTTTATCTCTTTGTTTTGTGTTTTTTGCAGACTGTTTGTAAGACGCCTCAGTGTAAATTTATGGGTTTGCACGCTCATCACCCCAGAGACTGTCTCTTCTACCTCAGAGACTGGGAGCCGGCCAGGCTGCAGGCCCTGCTGCAGGTAAAGACACTCTCATGTGAAGCATTAGAGCCTGTGTGTTGTAACAGGACGTGCCCCTCACGGGACTAGGGTACCAATATTAATAATATTACCTGATGAGCTCTTTGTTAGAAGCTTAAATTAAACAGGGATTTAAACTAAAATCATATTTTTATTTATGGGTTATCTGTCTGTCTTCTCAGAGGAGCGGCGTGGAGTTCAACACAGATCCATCAGACGGAGCTCAAACAGGTAAAACTGACTCTCATCTATCAGCTGATACTCCTCATCTACCTCTGTTTTTATTACGTTCAGGGAGCAAAGAAACTGTTTGACCACATTCATATTCATACCTGTATTTTGTTTTGTCAAGGCTCAAGGATGTCCTTGAAATCCTGGAACAGCTTGAATACAAAACATAAGTTAGATTCAATTTTATAAACTGGTTTAAAAAAGTTTTGTGAGCCTCTTTTCTGGGAAACTTTAAACATATCTAACCTCCATTCCTTCAGTTCCTAAAGGCCTGTTTTTCATTAATTCAGCGATAAAAAAAGAAGATACAAGCTGAATTTCTGTCTTTGTTTCCTGCTCTGTGACTCAGACGCTTGCTGTGTGATGGAACAGAAAGACGAAGCGGGTCAGCAGATTGATTCACCTTGTGGGATCCAAACACAGCCGGGACAGGCGGGACTCTGCGAGTGAGTGTTTGTCTGTTTTTGACCGGGAACTCTTGAGCCATTGACCCACTTTTAGAGATCTGATGAAATATAAAAACCAGGTGATTTGTTTTGAAGTTGGCAAAATTAGGTCCTCCTTATCTCTCACGCTGTGTCGTGCACATTGAAGAGTTTACTGAATTAAAACAAGCCTTACACATTAGAGTTTGCCTGAAATGATGTGAGTCTGTTGAAAAAGGACTAGACCTCTTAAACAAGATCCAGAATTATAAAGAACACAACACTCAAAATAAATAAAAAGTGTCTCAAGACTTTTTTACAGGGGAAAAGTGCTTTAACTTTGGCATCAAAACCAAACTGCTCACTTTTATCCAAACAGTTCCCAGGTAAGAAAAAGAGCTGTCTTTTTTTTTAAGTCCTGCTGTGAGAACTTTTTTGTATTTCAAAGTTACCAAGCTTTTATTGACCAGAATCCAAACTATCATGTCTCGACTTCACAGAATAATTGTAGTGAAACAGCTGAACTTTATTTACCCGGGAGACTTTTTTTCAGCCTGTTTGGACAGTAAAGTCTGTGTGCTGAATGAATCAGAGTCTACAAACCACCAAAATAAATCAATAAAAACTCTGCGGTTTGATGATTTTGAAGCAGAAAAGGAAGGAGAGCCCTCTCTCCTGAGGGTCCTAAACTTTTCCCCTCTGCCTGCAGAGTCATTTTCTCTCTGAGGGGGGTCTGGAGTCGGCCATGCCTCTGGAAAAAACAACACATTTTTTCTCTGTTAGGTCATCTGAGGAGCATCTGAGGACAATCTGTGTGTGGGATTTGGGTCACAGCTCTTTTTCTGTTAGCTGTTTAGGAGACAGAGTGAAGAAGACACATTTTATTGAAGTATCTTCAATTTCTTAACATTTTTGAATGACCTTAAGTCTAATGTAAGACGACCTGCAGATTCAAAAACAAAGAACATCCAGGAAAAACATCTTAGTAATCCTCCTTTTAGCTTTTAGCGTTAGCAGCTGGGAATGACTCAGTGTGGGTGGACTTTGGTGCCCCCTGTGGCCAAAGTGTAAAGTATCTCATGTAGGGGACAGCTGGTCCTTAAAAGCCGGTATCTTGATCAGGTAAGGCCTACATTCCTTACGTCTTTGACAAAAACCTGTTTGTTTCTGCAGGAAGCACTACAAAGAGTACCTGGTCAGCCTGATAAACACTCACTCCTTGGACCCGGCGCTGCTCTACGACCCGCCGGAGCTGACCGTAGTCTGTGATCGATACCAGGTGGACAAGCAGAGAGGAGAGAACGAGGACGATAACGCTTACCATGCAAGACTACTGAAGGTGAGATACGGCAGGATCTTAAGATACAGTGTCAGATCAGTTTGCATACACTGAAATTTTCTCCTCGGGAACGGACTTTTCTGTTTACATAAACTGGTGGGAATATCTGAGAGTTTAACCAACGTAAATTTCTCTTCTATAGAAACTGATGGAGATCCCTCTTGGAGAAAAAGTTCCTCGAAACAACTAAACATCCCAGAATCTGAAACAGAAGCCTGAAGAACAATCACCAAGCGTTGCACCTCTTCATCAGGAATGTTTGAAGGATGAAACCGATTAAATGATAATAAAAATAATGATAATAGACGTGCCTATTTTCCTCCTTCTGACTTTCATTTTCTTGTTCATGATTTTAACAAACTGTCGGTCTGAACACGTCCGTCTGCTACTGTTTGATTGACTGTTTCTTTGTCTTCAGCTCACACTTAAACTCTCTAAAGAAGGTTATATTTATCTATGGAGATGAAATGAACAAATATAATGAATATTTTTTTGCATTTAAAAGCAGAAATGTCTGTTTGAATGGCGTCTCTTTCAGGGTCTCTGTTTGGAGAAAATACAAACACGATATAAAAATTAGATCGTTCATGAGGGTTTGATTTCTCATATTTTATCAAAGATTGAGGAGGTTTGCTTATGTCTAAATTTTTGATTGTTTATGGTTTATATAAAATGTCTGAATCAACCTCAATAAAAAATATTAAAACTTGAAATATGGATTTTTTTACTCTCAATAGTCATTTTAAAAATTCTTTAGTTTCTAGAAGGAACATTAGGCACTTTTGATTTAACGTTTACATTTTATGCTGCTTTTACACCTTACTGTTGTTCATTTTTCTTCTGGAATTTCTTGTAAAGTTATCAATTAAACTGACCTTCCTTTGTATGACATCAACTGTGTACTTTGCAGAGTGGATATTAACATACCTGCACAGTTTATATTAGCCTCACCTTTCTCCATAAATTCTTTAGGAAACTTTCAATCAGCAGGTTTAACTGGGAGTTGCATCATCCCTCTCCCTAACAGAAAATTCAGTCGAGGCGTTATTAATCAAACTGGTTTAGAAACCAAATTTACTTATGCTCTGTGGGTTAAGAGAGAAAAATATAATGAGCCAAGCAAACAAATCAGAACATTATATTATCAATATCAGCCTCTTTATCTCTGATCTATCAAAATAGGATGATTAAGATTAAAATTTAAAGAAATGAGCCCGAACCAGCTGCAGTTATACAATAAAATCAAATAGTACACTGAAATTAAATCAATTCCTTCCACATAGTATGGAAGATTTAAAAGTAAATCAAGTCCTATGTGTTCAAACTAACGTTTTTGGTCGTTTAGTAAGACTATTTTAGTCATTTTAGTAATATTAGTAAGCTGATTAATATTGAGATTTAAAGAAATTAGCCTGAACCATTGGCATTTGAACAATAAAATAAGTAAAATCAAATAGTACATTGTCTTTACATTCAATTTCCTTCCACAAAGTATTGAAGATTTAATAGTAAACCAAGTCCTATGTGTTGAAACTAATGTTTTTGGTCGATTAGGAAGAAAAAGATTTATAAAATTAAATTCTGAGTATATCTAGACCGAGAATTTTGCGAAATAAGAGGTTTAATTCCTTCATATTTCAACCAAAACCCTTTTTAGAGGCCATATCCGTATTTTTTTCGACATGTTTGTGCTAAATTGTACCTAATTTTACTCGACGAGTAACACTTCGACATACATCGACCGCTGACAGTTAGTACCAAAACATATGAAATAAAGCTCCATTGTGGGTCATATTTTTGGTTATTTCTTTGTGTTTAAACTGCTTTTCGGTTAATGTTTAAAAAGTAACGATAGAAAGAGAAAATAGCTCGAGAAAGAGAGTAAGGTTTGGTTGTACAGATATTGTCACCGTCCGCTGTCGCCCCCTGCCGGTCAGCGCCGACAGCGTTTCTCTAAAGTCACGTGATTTCGGGGAAAAGGAGCGTCTGCCTGTGAAGCTGCTCCGTCCGCCTCCGCTGAGACAAACACAAGCTGTAGAGTCTGCAGGCAGTACGGAGGAAACGCAACCGAGGTAAACGAAACTTAAATCCGCTTCCTATTTTAACACCTTTAACTTCTATTTTTAATGTTTCCATAAATATCAGAACAGGTGAGAGCGAGAGGAGCTTCTGTTTTTTGTGTTTGTAAACCAAACTCCATTTAGAAAAGTGTCGATTTAAGAAACGATGGTTTGATTTCGGTGCTGCTACAGCTTAAACTTCCTAAACGAGTCTTTAAACAACACATGCATCAAAATACATTCATTTCTAAGATTTAAACTGTACTCATTGTCCAACTTTTGTTGTTTTTTAATCGGTTTTTACCGTAAATTAAGTGTAAAAGAGTTTGTAAAGGAAATGATGTCCTCAGAGAATATCTAATGGTTTTTGTTTTGTTGTTTAATTTGTGTGTCAGTCCGTGTCTGTGTTGTGTTTTTAGCAGAATCAAGAGTCATGGCTGGAGGGAGAATGCGCTCCACACGCAAACTGTGCGCCTGGATCGTCGCGCAGGTGCGTGTGTTTCAACAGTGTGTGTGTGTGTGTGTGTGTGTGTGTGTGTGTGTGTGTGTGTGTGTGTGTGTGTGTGTGTTAGAGAGAGAGAGAGAGGGAGAGGGAAAGGGAAGGGAGGGGGGAGAAGGAAAGGGAAAGAGCTGTAATGACCAGATCAAATTATTGTTTTCTCACTGTGTTGTTTCAGATTACCAACACAACACAGTGAGAAAAACATGTCTCTGCATTATTGGTATTCAAAGATCAAAAAAACACGGAAGTAAAAAGAGGTCAAATCAGCTCTAGGTGTCAATAAATAGAAAAAATATTATCTTTGCATGGTCTCTTTGTTGGAGTATTGTCAATGGGGCCCTAAGCAAAATTTAATTTTGGGGCCCTCTATCTCTGCCAATAATATTGATTGTTGATCATTTACACATCTACTACAGTATCAATTTAATGCACCTGACATGTCTTTACACATTTAAGGGGGTGGCCTAGGTAATAACATAAATAATACCAATACAACCATACAAATAATACCATTAATGACTGATGGATGATGTTCAGGGTGCCACATATGGATTTTAATCTCAAAATGTAAGGCACATAACGGCAGTAAGAATCATAGGCCTATATCAGCAGCAGCTCTAAAATGTTTTTATTTTATTTTATTTTATTTTTACAATAATATATATTTGATCATACAGAGAGCATCACTCATACATGCACCTGTACTGCGTTATCTTTCTCCCAAACAACTGGCAAAAAAAAAAACAAGGCAAGACTGGTTCAGTTTTGGTATTCTTTTTTTTTTTCAGTTTAGGCAAATTTTACTGGAAAGGAAAGAATAAGGCTGTGTCCGAAATGGATCCCTAACCCCTATATAGGCGACTATATGGTAGCCTGGCTGGGCCATCCAGTTGCGTGAATCACTTCCTAAGTGATTCACGCAACTGGATGGCCCAGCCAGGCTAATTATATGGGGGTTAGCGCCATTTGGAGGGGTGTCCAAAACCTGAGTGATCAATTCCAATGCTCCATATAGGCGACTCAAAGTTCCCGTCCTGCATTGCGTCTTGCCATGTTGTGTCCGAAACCTCCGGTAGTTGAGTTCACTACAAAGTCAACTATAGAGTGAATCCCCATATGGGGGTTAGGGGTTAGGGATTCATTTTGGACATAGACTAAGAGAAACAAAGTTGCTTGTGCAAACATGTCTGTCACAGTGGGAGACTTTACCAATGATTATTTTTGCTGCTGCAGGTCAACAGTGGAAAATATCCAGGGTTGATGTGGGACGACGAGGCGAAAACCATGTTCCGCATCCCGTGGAAACACGCAGGAAAACAAGACTTCCGAAAAGACGAGGACGCCGCCATCTTTAAGGTGAGTAAAGCAGCTCCCGTAAGAATTCAAATCCAGAAAGAAATTGTGTAAAATAACCTTCTTAGCAATCCTCCCTGTGTTCCTCAGGCATGGGCAGAGTTTAAAGGTAAACTGGCAGAAGCAAACCCAGCAGCCTGGAAGACACGCCTCCGGTGCGCCCTCAACAAGAGTCCAGAGTTCGAGGAGGTGAACGAACGAGCCCAACTGGACATCTCAGAACCGTACAAGGTGTACCGCCTGGTCCCTATCACCGAGCAAGGTGAGAAAGGAGCAAAGAGGCACTGAGAAATGTAAGAGTCAGGGAGGAAATGTTTTGTTGGAGTTATGAGGTAGGGTTGGTGGACAGGAAAAGCGGGGTATCATCTGCATAGAAAGAAAATTTAGTAAATGTTTATGGAACATAAGGCAAAGTGGAAGTGTGTATTTGAGAGAACTATCTCATGTGCAGTTAAACACAAAAAGTTTGTATTGTTTCACAAGTATTGTTTAATGTTTTTTAATTAAATTAAGATTGGAACATTGAAGGTGTGTGTTGTATGAAGGTGTATATCGGCCAATATCGGTATTGGCAGGTCAGACTTTTTAAAGATCTGTGATCGGCCAGAAAATTGTGATCAGTGTGATAAAACTCAGATGCCGTCTCAGTCTGATGAAGAATTTATTTTGTTTATTTCACGGCAGCTCGTCCCTTTGGGGGGTTAAAAGCTCCTGGTGAGATTATTTAGATGAGTCTACAGTCCTTTACAAACACTGTGGTCTGTGTTTGGAGCAGTCATTATGAGGAGGGGGTGTTATAACCTTTTTCTACAGAGTGTAAACCTGAGCTCTCAGATGGTTTACTCGGTGGTCTCTGGATGAGTTGTTGAGATTCACACTTCTGTAGATGTGTGAGGTGAATATTTACACCTGAGTTATTCTCCTGTCGGCTTTGTTTAGATATTTGTTGAGTTTCAAACATAAATTATTGGCCTATTTTATGGAGTCTACGATTAATCATCTGAAAAATGACTTCCTCTTATTTTATTCATTTTATCTGTCAGTGTGCGGCAGTAAACCCGCTGAAGTGTCCTGATAACTCTTATCTACAACAACAAGCTGGATGAAAATTCAACAGTCAGGCCAAAAAATTAGTTGATTCGTCTTCTTCAGTTCGATAACACGAGTCAGTTTTACAGAGAGTGCTAGAATTACAGTCGTCCACTGTCTGTGGAGCTTTAACCGCCCTTGTATTGTGTTTGCAGGATTTACATAAGTCACTTTACGCTGCTTTTGTGTGTAAAGCTGCTACACAAATAACTCAGCCATACTGTACAAAGTGACACAGAGAGAAAAGACCAAAGTGCAGGTGCTCACTGTGCTGTTTGATCCATATGCCGATGATGATCCTGAAGTTTTATCTCTTTAAATAAATCAGCTGTTCTGGATTAAAGTCAGTTTTATGAAGAGCAACACCGATTTAACAAAAAAAGAGTAAATCTGTGGTACTCTTTAAAAACTGTTGCTTTTGGCTTCATGAAAGTTATCGTCTCTGTTGCTGTTTCTATCAGCTGAGTCTGCAGGGAAGTGAGCTGATACAGGAGGTGGAAAGTTCAGCCAACATCAACCTTATAACTGGAGCGAGGAGATGAAAGCAGCTCTGTGACAGCACCTTCATATCAAATCAGACTGTATTTAAGCTCCTGTTTGTCCTTCAGTTTAGTCTAAATGATCTAAAGTTTGAATACGTCCTGTTTGTATGTTTAGGTGTTGTTGTTCCTGTAAAGAAACACAAAGTAAAAAAAGTTAAAGCCCCCAAGAGGTTGAAGGGGCCGTGGAGCAGCAGCAGCAGCAGCAGTGATTCAGAGAGCAAAGACGACACTCCGGTCAAGAAGATCAAGATAGAGGAGGTCAACCCACAGCCGGTGAGTCAACTACAGCTGAAAACATCAAGTCTAAACCAAGCAGCAAACTCTGGGTTAATGCAGATTTGAAATAGGCTGCAGTACCTTCAGTGTCCACTAGAGGATAGCTGCAGAAACCAAAGGAATCCCCATTTAGTCCCATAATAAGATGTTTAGTTTGGCCGAAGTTTTTAACAGTCTGGTACAAACAAACAAACAAACAAACAAAAAAGTTTTGGTAAGCAGCTCATTCAGTCATTCACACACACTTATAAAGGTGGAGCCAAATATGTGGAGCTCCCTCTGCTGGCTGACTGCAGTATATGTTATAAAGTCTGCCTCCTGGGTCATGGTCGTCAGACTTTAAAACCGAAACAAACGTCAGTCAAGTTTTTCTCTCACATGTTTTCTGTCATTACAGCTTTTTTTCATCATGCTGAGTTATGTCCAAGTGTTTTATTTTGTCAAGAATAATCTTAGTTTGTTAGTTTTTGCTAAGTTGGAGTTACCTCAAAAGTCAGATGTCGGAGCTGAAAATGTAGTCACACCCGAGTTCCCAGAGATCCAAAAATTGGAGGCCTGAAACAAGATGGCTACATCTACGAAAGTTATTTTAGAACTTTCCTCATCTGAATACAAGCAAGGTCAGGGCAAGAGCTAAATGACGTCATTTTCAACTCGGACTGAGGTGACTCAAACGCAGCATAAGTCTAAAAAAAAGGCAGTAAAGTCATGTTTTTTGATATCGCTCTCCTCTATCAGAATTATTTCTTCATAGTCAAAGCTAAATGGGTTGTTAAGTTAAATTCTCATGTTTTTTTTTATTTGGTCAGAGTTTTAAACTTTAAACTCTCTGATCCTCAGTTTGTGGACCAGCCTCTGCCACAGAGCCAGAGCCCAGACCTGACAGACCAACCATCTGAGAACACAGTGATCACCTTAGAGACAAAAGGTGAGTTTATCCAGAGTGTGGATGATGGATCTGTACTTATACTCACAAAAGCTCTTAACTGAGTTTCAAAACTTCCTTTTTTCTAAAATGTGTGTATTGTAGTGTGACAGTGTTTCTTAGTTTCGTCTTAAATATCTCTGCAGAAAGCTCACAAGATCATGAGTAAAACTCGCATTTCTTCGGTTTCCAAATATCTTGTGATCACTTCCCCTTCCCCTCTGGTGATCTTTGGTTGTGATGAAAGAACAATCACGATCTCTGCAGGATGAACAATCTCACTCGTTTCTCCTAATTCACCAACTTTTACCTCCTCTAAAAGTTTTGATCTCAGGACCCCTCTGAAGACTGACTTTTATCTGAGCTTCCACAGTTTGAGACCCAGACCCTTAATGTGGTCTTTCATTCTTACTCATGAATATAAGGTCTCATTTCTCATCACAGCATTTGCAAAGGAGGGTTTTTATCGAGGGAGGCAGCGCTTTAAAAACAGAGATCATGATGCAACATTATCATCCGTGACTCTGAACTTTCCACCAGACAACCAGCAAATCATGACTGAATAAGGTCAGAGGTGGGATCAGAAGTTCAGACGATCGCCACAGTTAATGTAACAAAACCAGCTGTGAGGTTTGAGGTGACTGTGGAAAGAGAACCGACCCTGACCGATAACCACACCGCACTGTGGATTCATCAGATCCTGTTTCTCCTTCTGTCTCTGCAGTGGTCAATGAGATCAGGCTGGACGTGAGGATCGAGGAGAGCGTTCCTAATCCAGCAGAAGGTAAAAACAAACACAAACATGTCAAATTAAGCAGTTTGTCTTTATGAATGTGCTTTAAAAGGTCATGAAGTCACTTGATTTATTTTCATTTTTGGCTCGAGCTGCACAGTTCCTTTATTTGTCAGCGTGTTTTTAGAAATAACTCAAATTTAACTCAATTGCTGTTTCACTTAGAGGGTTTATTGTCTCTGGAGTGGAAATCCCTGAGGACCTAGAATACGATATGACTGCTGTACGGGTTTTTTGCAGTTTTACATATTTGGTTATTCGCGGAAAATACCGAGTGTTTGTGTGAAATCACGTCACTCCACAGAGTCGATCCTGGATCCTGTCTGAGCTCATCCCCGTTTAGTTTCACGATGAACAGACACCGGCTCATGAGGCCGCTGAGTGGACATCGGGACGCACTTAGACATCATCCCTCATCCCTAATGCAATCCCAGCTTCTCCAGTTGCTCGTTAGAAAGACTGATGTCCTCTTTACTAACTGCAGTCCACTCTGGAAGCTGGCGGTAATGCACAAGAGTGAGCAAAACCTGATCTCATTCATGTGCACAAGTCTGGGTTTTGGGAAATGGTCGACACAGCGGGCATAAGAGGCAGGAAACAGTCCATTTTGGTTCTGTTTGAACCCTTTTACTCCCATCCTGGAACCGTTTAACTGTTGGTGTAAAAATAAAGTTCGTGTTAAAGTTAAAGCACAGATACAGAGGTCATGGCCTGGAGTCCTTTATGGCAAACTTCTGGCTCCATTTGAAGGATTTCTGCAGCTCTCAGAGACTTTGTTGTGGTCGGACGTCGGCCAAATTGCTCCTGTGATAGGCATCTGTTGTTTGACTGTTTTCCTGTGTTTCTCTGTCTCCAGTCCAGGACTCCTTCAACGTGGTGGTTCATTATTTAGGACAGGAGGTTCTCAAGCGTCAGATTCAAGGCACAGATGTCCGGATTTTGTATCAGCCTCCCTCTCCTGCTCCTCCGACGCCGCTCGTCAAGAAAAGCATGTTCCCTCGCATCCCGCTGCCGGAGCCGCCCTCCTCGCTGCAAACAGGCCCCGAGCTGCAGGCGCTGTTCACCCTGCTGCCCTTCATGGAGAAAGGGGTGTTGCTAACATCCACGCCGCAAGGAGTTTACGGCAAACGCTTCTGCCAGGGGCGGGTCTTCTGGAGGGGGCCGCACACGACCGCGCCGGGGTTGAACAAGATGGAGAGGAACACGGATCCGGTGCTGCTCTTCAGTAAAGACGAGTTCAAACAGCGTGAGTGTGAACAAAGACACAAGGTTTTCTGTTCCTCTAAACAATAGAGAGAGAGTGAAAAAAGAGCTTTAATTTAACCCTCTAATGCTCTCTAAAGTTCACTTGATCGTTCTCAGTGATAGTTTTAGGAAAAGATGAGATTTGCACACTAAGAGGCTGAAAATAATGGTGATTAAAGGAGGGATCAGACATGCAAAACACTCAAAACAACAATTAAAAAAACATCATTCAAATTTAACCAAAGAGAAAATTCAAATTTAGAAAAAAAGCTTTACAGGAGCAGAAGTTTGTCTTAGACTGGCATTATGTGTTTTTAAAGCTTTAAATATTCCAGTTTGCATTGAAATATATTCAGTTTTGCTCTTTAAAGCTTAAATAATTATCCTACAATGCTGTTACTCAATGCATGATGCTGTAAGTAACTTAATACACCTGTTAAATCTTATTTGATGTGCCTTTACCAACATATTTTTACTTCAAATATACTGAAAAAATCATGTTAGGTTAAATATAATGAGTTGGTCAGTATTTATAATTATTTAAACCAGTTTTAAATAAAGTAATAAGTCAAAAATCTGTTTTAATCTAACTTGATGTGCTTATACCAACATATTTTTACTTAAAATGTAATTTTAAAAATGACGTTAGGTTATATATAATGAGTTGGTCATTATATGTAATTATATAAACCAGTTTAAAATGAAGAAATACATCAAGATATGCGAAAATGTCATCACAAATTCAAATGTGGGTCACAGAAACTGGTTTTTTTTGCCCCCTAGTGGATCATCAGTGTATTGCATGTGTCTCTGTTATATCTATGACTTCACTCTGAACGTCTTTATGTTTGACCCAACAGTTTATTACTTCCACAGGGTTATTTATTTCCTACATCTCATCTGTTGTGTGTGTATTTAACTTCCTCTCATCGTCTTTCTTTTATAATCAGAGCTTGACCACTTTCGTTTAAACGGCGGCGAGCCTCCTCAGTGCGGCGTCACTCTGTGTTTCGGAGAGGAGCTGAGTGACAGTGAAGACCCGGCCAGAAAACTCATCATTGTCCAGGTGAAGGTGCTGCAAAACACTTTTACGATTTTACTTTTTCATGATCTACTCCTCTGGGATCAGCCGTCCTCCCCGTGTTTCCACTGTAGTCAGAGTTAGACCTCCAGACTAGACTCAGTTTGGTCAAAGATGAAGCATCTTCTCTCCTGTCCTCTGCAGATCGCCTTCCCCTAGACGGAGCCCATGTTTCCACTGTAGTTAGAGTTAGACCTCCAGACTGGACTCAGGACTCAGTTTGATCCTCTCTCCTGTCCTCTGCAGATCACGTTCCCCTGGGCGGAGCAGCAGGTGCAGACCTCCCCGTCCATCTTTGACTCCATCAGCTTCCTCCAGTCCTTGGCCAGTCAGTCCCCGCTGGGAGAAATAACTCTAAACCTGGTCCCCCTCATCGACAGCTGAGACCGTCACCTGTGGGTCCGTCTGAGCACTTAGTCCAGCAGGCAGGTTTCTGTCACCATAAAAGACTTTTCCACCACACCTCCAAACCCATCCGTACTAAATTAGACGATCAATGTGATATTTGGATTTTCACGTTCCAGATATTCTGTTTACATCAAATCAAACTAAAACAGTCAAATTTGAACCACTTTATAAGACGACTAAAGCACTTATATTATTGATTAATGATTAATCTGTGTCCTGAAACACTAAAACACTGAATGTAGAACTAATTATGCAGCTCTCTGCTGCTGCGAGTTTTTCAAATGTGATTTCTGCCCGTTCAGAGTAAAATGAGAATTTAATGCCATTTTTTTACAGTTTTTCTAACATTTTATAAACTCTGAAAGGGTTTGATTTAGAAAATAATGATGATCAGCAGCTGTAGCTTCTGTCCTTTTGGGTTTTCTGGGAAAACTGATGTTCGTCTATGGCTGCTTGTCTGTTGGCCAGTATGTGTGGTTCCCAAAATGTGAGTCCAGACCCTGTTTAAGGCCGCGAGTTTTTGTTTAAAAGGGACAAAAATGTATAAAGTATTCAGAGGTTTGTAGAGAAAATGAAAAAAAAAAGAAAAAAAACAGTTTGGTTGAACTGGTTTCAATCGAAACACCTGAAACAAGAAAAAAAGGTCCGATTTGAAATACGGGGAACCACACACTTTTGCACTGATGGTCATTTCTCCTGTTGGATATTAAATAAACACATAGCAGAAGTTAACGCTGCAAGAATAACACACAACTCCTAGAATAGATGAATCTTGTTAATCAAACTTTAGTATCCTGATATTTTTCTTTCATTGCTGATATTAAAAATGTGACTGCTTCGATTTCAGACTTCAGGAGTTTAGTTAGTTTAGTTAAACTTACACCACACTCTGACACTTCTCTTGACACATATTTAACCGTTAAACTTTTAGTTTTAAGGTGTTAAGGGTGAACTCAAGAGCAAACGTCTCACATTTCAGTATAAAAATGCGGCAGTAAAATCAATCTGTTGGAGCTTAACGTGTTCAGTTTTGTTGAGGCTTTCCCCGACGCTTGTTAGCAGGATTTATGGAGCTTCCATTGGTGATATTCACACAAAATGAGAGCTGTGATTTAACAGGCAACAGACAGCTGAGAGGTGCAAGAACAGCCTCTATTTTTGGATGTTCACTGAAGAAGTTTTACTGTGAAGAAATAAAAACAAAAACTTGGTGACACTTCACAACAACCAAAACTAATAAATGATAAATAGATGATTTATAAATGGTATGCAGATAGTTTATTAATGTTTAATCATCGAAGAGGGTAACTAAAAAATGTTTAAATTCTTGGAAATCTTAAGATCTAAGATTGACTTTCATTTCAGAATTTTGAGATTAAAATCAGAATTTGGATTTTAATCTCAGGATTCAGAGCTGCTCTTCTTCTATTCTTTTTTTGTTGGTCATAGTTCTGTGAAATTAAATGCAGCCTTTTGACTTTTAATGAATTTTAAGGGTAAAAAAAATCTTAATTTTTATTTAGAACTCAGAAAAACGTTCTTGACCTCAAAAGTATTGCTTGTGCGGACTTAATTTGTTTTTCTTTTATCGAAACATTTGTGTAAAAACGCTAAATAGAGAGAATGTGAAACAAACTTCCTGTTCATTACCAATGCATCAAATTTTATTTTATTTTTCCAACTACTAAGCTATTGTGTCGACATGATGTGAGCCAAAAAAAACACCTTAAACTCCAACAGGCTGTTTTCACTGCGGGACTTTTGTATTCGAAGGTGCTTCTGCTCTTGAGTTCACTGTCTGGATTTTTTTTTTACGTACACATAAATAACAAAAACACAACAATAAAATAGGAAAACACAGGACCAGAGATTCCATGGGTGCGTTGTAATAATAGTGTTATATTGAAATGAACGGGGTGTCGGGCTGAGCCACAAGGCACACTCAGAGGAAGGGGGAGGGAGGGAAGACTGCAGAGTCAAACAAACTGTAAATATTGAGTTATTTATGCATGTCCTGTGTTATGTCCATGTTCTGTTGAAAAATGCATTAAAGTGACGTTACTCCTAACTCTGTGTGGAGCTCTGTGTGTGTGTGAGGTTATAAAAATGATTATTCTACATGATAACGATGATGTCGGGTCAGGACATAAATAAATCTAGAGTCTAGTACAAACTGATGCTACTTCTGGGTCTACATGCTCCCGTTAGCCGGCGAGGCTAGCTCAGCTATCTTGTTATTTAGTTTCTGATTGGTCCAGTCCTTTGTTATGTCGTCCAAGTGGCTGTCAAAATCCACCAATAGCGAGTGATCTCCAGACTCCAGCATCTGCCCGGCGATGTCCCGAGTCTCCTCCCACTGTCGCAGCATTATCCTGAACAATGAGAGGAAACAACAGAATATTGATGCTGATGTTTAGAGGCTGTTAAATATACTTCAGGATGTTTCTGTTTTTAAGTCGACTCTCACGTGTGTTTGTCTTTGAGTGTCCATCTTGAGTCTTTGCGCTCGTACATCACGATAGGAGGAACACGATAATCCGGAGACATTTTACTGCCATCGAGCTGCGGAGGGAAGCGAATAAAAACACAATCAATCAGCTTGTTGGACTGAAAATATTTAAAAAAATTAGAGTTTCAATCCTTACCATTAACAAAACTGCATTGTCGAACTGCTCAGCAATCTTATCGGCTATCTTCATTGCACACGGTGTCGGGCTGTGGAGGTCAGAAGATGAAGAAAGTTTAACCAAACGTCCAAAAGTTTTTATTTCCTTCAATAAAACCTCTTCAAACTCTTCCTTAAAAAAGGTCTGATCAGCTGTTTCTGATCACGGCTCACCTACTGTCTGATGCACAGGCGTTTGCCTGATAATATCCCACTATCCTCTGCTGAGTCTGTGAACACCAAACATCCACCTGAAACAACAGGACAGAACATCGCTGTACAATAACTTCAAACACACAAAAGGGATTCAACCCTGGAGGGGGCAAAAAAAAAAAACAACCTCCAAACAAACATCAGGCACACAGCACTGTGTTAAAGTCTCTTATAATTTGCAGGTAATCTAGAGTAGGAGTGAAGGAGAAACCCTTTAATGACTGACACCACAAATTGTGGCCAGAAAATTCAATTTTTTTTTGAGCTGAAATGTTTATTTCACTTACTACTAAAAAACGGAAAAAAAACTAATATATTTTTTTATCTCGTTTGATATATTAGATGTTTTTTTCAGTAATTTGTTGATCATATTGATTTGATAGAAGTATCATAAAAGTATGTATCAAATATGATACAAAAGGCAATAAAGGGTTAAGGCTAAATTATGGATGGATAGAGGTTAGTATTTCAGACATTAAAATAAAGGAAAGATTTGTCTGTTTAGAAGTAATTCAGCTGTGAACTGTTGAAATTTCTAAAGAACATTAACACGAGAAGATGTCAGACGTGGGACTCTTAACCATAATTTTTTAAACAAACAGGTTTACTTCAATAGTGGTTTAAAACTCGTTAAGGTTAAATATTCACGTTAAAAATCCACCCTCTTATCTGCTGACATGTACTCATTTACTACAATCTATCCTTAGAGGAAGATTAAATCCAAACCTAACCCACAGGTTACTTCAATCCTTTAAAAGCTGTGTCTGGCTCAGGTTGTCTGTGATCCGTCTTCCTACACCAGAGCAGAATTTAAAGAGTCAGGACACCTGTCTTTGTCCCCTGAGGTCTTACCTGTGTGAGTGCCAGCTGAGTGATGGGAGCCAGGGACAGGTGGGAGTGCAGCAGAGGTACACAGTCCGTCACACACACAGCGCCCCCTGTGGACGCAGACGACAACAGCAGCCCGTTGATGCTGCACCTCGGGAACAGACAGGAGTGAAGGTACATCTTCACATAAGCCCGACAGGACAGCTCCACCTCCCCCATGACGACCACTGCAGGGTACAGGGGGACAAAGACAATGAAAACTGACAATAAACTGAAGAGAAAATCTAATTTATTTCTGTTTTTAACCGGATACAGCAGACTGTTACTCCTGCTGCACACACTCTGTTAGCATTAGCATGCTCCAAAACCATGACGGATAAAATCAAATCCTACCTTACGAATGTCAAAATTCGGCAAACGAAGCTTCAGAAAACAAATACGCGGTTTAAACTCCTCAAATGTATCGATTCATTTGGATTTGAAACTGTTTTTCAGGTTTTTAAAAGGGCTGAAAGAGCTCAGTGTTTCATCTGACAGCTCTGATAAAAGGACTAAACTGCTGCTCCAAGCCCCGCCCAGAAGAGGTAGATGTAACGATCTGATTGGCCGAGACATCCAGTAGTTGTAATCCTATTGGCGGAACAAGAAGCCGTCCTCCCCCCCCCCCCCCCCCCCACTCTTCTTTAGATGCTTAATAAACCAACAGGCTACAACAGAGCTCCCTCTAGCGGCAGTGCTCGTGTCAAACTAAAAATTGCTCATGCACTCGAAGAAAAGGAATAAAACTAGGATGCAAGTTTTAAAAGACTTACCATCAATTTGAAATGTACCTTTCCATTTGATTGATTAAAACAGTTACAAAAGATAACAACCCTACAAACAAGACTAGCTTTTTTTCAACTAGTTTGAAAGGATTGCATAAGTCAAACTAACAAGGCCCGAGTTTAACACATTGTTCTTCAAGTTTAATGCTCATGTATTCACTCCAAGTATGAAAAATAGTTCCCAGCGATCTAATCCCAAAAGCTGTTTTTGTAAAAGATACCCCTCAAAATTGAACTTAACCACAGCAGATACCTCTGTTTAAAGAAAATAAGACCAAGACGTGAATATAAGGTTGTTTCAATTTTATTCCTCAATTTAGAAAAATGGCTCAGTTGAAAGCAGTTTTTGAAGCATCTGTGGTGCCTGAAAAAGGAAAAAAAAAAAAAAAAAAGTGTAAGTGAAATAGTATTGAAACTTGATTTTTAAAAAGGCTGCATTTTATTTACATACCATGCCCAGTGTTTCTCCATTCTCAAAAGGAACCATGAACTCAGGACCTGAAATTCAAAGTCAAATTGTCATATTTATACCAGTAAGAAAATAAAAGTTTAAAATGTGCAAGATCAGTGCTTACCCAACTGAATCCATTCAGGAGCTAATATCTTGGGCAAAAGATGGATAATTACTGTATTGTGGCTCCTGGTAAAACTGCCTTGGTGAAAACTTGGGCTCCTGTGAAAACTTAGGCCTTCGCCTGGGTGCAAACCTTGATCTCTGTGGAAAACGTGGCCTTTGCCTGGGACGATACATCTGCCGCTGAGGCACCTGCCTGGACTGGTGTACAGGCATCTGAGGAAGGTGCTTTTGCACATGCTGAGCCTGATAGATGGGCATCTGAGGTGCCTGGAAGACTGGCTGTTGGACTTGCTGCTGTGGGACCTGCTTGGCCTGGAAAACTGGCTGCTGGGGCACCTGCTTGGCCTGGAAAACTGGCTGTTGGACCTGTTGCTGAGGTACCTGCTTGGCCTGGTAGACTGGCTGTTGGACCTGCTGCTGGGGCACCTGCTTGGCCTGGTAGACTGGCTGCTGGACCTGTTGCTGAGGCACCTGCTTGGCCTGGTAGACTGGCTGTTGGACCTGCTGCTGGGGCACCTGCTTGGCCTGGTAGACTGGCTGCTGGACCTGTTGCTGAGGCACCTGCTTGGCCTGGTAGACTGGCTGTTGGACCTGCTGCTGGGGCACCTGCTTGGCCTGGTAGACTGGCTGTTGGACCTGCTGCTGAGGCACCTGCTTAGCCAGGAAAACTGGCCGTTGTACTTGCTGCTGAAGCACCTGCTTAGCCTGGTAGACTGGCATCTGGACCTGCTGCTTGGGCACCTGCTTGGCCTGGTAGACTGGCTGCTGGGGCACCTGCTTGGCCTGGTAGACTGGCTGCTGGGGCACCTGTTTGGCCTGGTAGACTGGCTGTTGAACCTGCTGCTGAGGCACCTGCTTGGCCTGGTAGACTGGCTGTTGGACCTGCTGCTGGGGCACCTGCTTGGCCTGGAAAACTGGCTGCTGGACCTGTTGCTGGGGCACCTGCTTGGCCTGGTAGACTGGCTGTTGGACCTGCTGCTGAGGCACCTGCTTGGCCTGGTAGACTGGCTGCTGGGGCACCTGTTTGGCCTGAAAGACTGGCTGCTGGACCTGCTGCTGAGGCACCTGCTTGGCCTGGTAGACTGGCTGCTGGGGCACCTGCTTGGCCTGGTAGACTGGCTGTTGAACCTGCTGCTGAGGCACCTGCTTAGCCTGGAAAACTTGCCGTTGTACTTGCTGCTGGGGCACCTGCTTGGCCTGGAAAACTGGCTGTTGGACCTGCTGCTGAGGCACCTGCTTGGGCTGGAAATCGGGCTGCTGTACATGCTGGGGCACCTGCTTAGCCTGGAAAAATTGCCGTTGTTCTTGCTGCTGAGGCACCTGCTTGGCCTGGTAGGCTGGCTGCTGGGGCACCTGCTTGGCCTGGTAGGCTGGCTGTTGAACCTGCTGCTGAGGCACCTGCTTGGCCTGGTAGACTGGCTGTTGAACCTGCTGCTGAGGCACCTGCTTAGCCTGGAAAACTTGCTGTTGTACTTGCTGCTGGGGCACCTGCTTGGCCTGGAAGACTGGCATCTGGGGCACCTGCTTGGCCTGGAAAATTGGCTGTTGGACCTGCTGCTGAGGCACCTGCTTGGGCTGGAAATCAGGCTGCTGTACATGCTGGGGCACCTGCTTAGCCTGGAATAATTGCCGTTGTTCTTGCTGCTGAGGCACCTGCTTGGCCTGGAAGACTGGCATCTGGGGGACCTGCTTTGCCTGGAAAACTGGCTGCTGGGGCACCTGCTTAGCCTGGAAAACTGGCTGCTGGGGCACCTGCTTAGCCTGGAAAACTGGCTGCTGGACCCGTTGCTGAGGCACCTGCTTGTCCTGGAAGACTGGCTGCTGGGGCACCTGTTTGGCCTGGTAGACTGGCTGTTGAACCTGCTGCTGAGGCACCTGCTTGGCCTGGTAGACTGGCTGCTGGACCTGCTGCTGTGGCACCTGCTTGGCCTGAAAAACTGGCTGCTGTACATGCTGCGGCACCTGCTTATCCTGGAAGACTGGCATCTGGGGCACCTGCTTGGCCTGGAAGACTGGCTGTTGGACCTGCTGCTGAGTCACCTGCTTGGCTTGGAAGACTGGCTGTTGGACCTGCTGCTGAGGCACCTGCTTGGCCTGAAAGACTGGCATCTGGGGCACCTGCTTAGTCTGGAAAACTGGCTGCTGGACCTGTTGCTGAGGCATCTGCTTGGCCTGATAAACTTGTTGCTGGGGTACCTGCTTTTCCTGGAAAACTGGCCGTTGTACTTGCTGCTGAGGCACCTGTTTAGCCTGGAAGACTTGCTGTTGGACCTGCTGCTGAGGCACCTGCTTGGCCTGGAAGAATGGCATCTGGGGGACCTGCTTTGCTTGGAAAAATGGCTGCTGAGGCATCTGCTTGGCCTGATATACTTGTTGCTGGGGTACCTGCTTAGCCTGAAAAACTGGCTGCTGTACATGCTGGGGCACCTGCTTAGCCTGGAAAACTGGCTGCTGTACATGCTGGGGCACCTGCTTAGCCTGGAAAACTGGCTGCTGTACTTGCTGCTGAGGCACCTGCTTATCCTGAAAAACTCTATGTTGGACCTGTTGCTGAGGCACCTGCTCAGCCTGGAAGACTGGCTGTTGGACCTGCTGCTGAGGCACCTCCTCAGCCTGGAAAAATGGCAACTGGAATTTCTGCTGAGGCACCTGCTCAGCCTGGAAAAATGGCAACTGGACTTTCTGCTGCTGGACCTGCTCAGCCTGGAAAACTGGCAACTGGACTTGCTGCTGAGGCACCTCCTCAGCCTGGAAAACTGGCAACTGGACTTGCTGCTGAGGCACCTCCTCAGCCTGGAAAACTGGCAACTGAACTTGCTGCTGAGGCACCTCCTCAGCCTGGAAAACTGGCAACTGAACTTGCTGCTGAGGCACCTCCTCAGCCTGGAAAACTGGCAACTGGACTTGCTGCTGAGGCACCTCCTCAGCCTGGAAAACTGGCTGCTGTACTAGCTGAGGCTGCTGCTTAGCCTGGAAGACTGGCTGTTGGACCTGTTGCTGAGGAATCTCATTGGCCTGGAAAACCTGATCCTGTGGCACCTGCTGTGGAATCAAAGTAAGCTGCTGGGGCACTTGTGGCACCCCCTGGGGTAGGAAGCTTCGCTGTTGGGGCACTTCTGGAACCAGCTCTGATTCTTCAATTTCTGGTAGGTCTGCCTCCTTGTAGCTTGGTTCTTGAAGAAGATCATGCTGATTGTCTGGCTGTGCCTCCTGTTGTGACACAGTAAATTTAGTTAAGTCTCATTTTCTCCTTTTTAGGTTAAAGTGTCTTTTATTTTTGAAATAATGTTAAATCCACTTGCTTCTGTTGTGGTTGAATCATTGCCACCGAGTGCCTCAATGCTCCATGAGAGACCATCTCCAGTTTTAAAGCTTTCCAAATCTGCTTTAAAGCTAGCAAGTGCAACATCACTGTCCCCACTCTCCTCAGCAGATCCAGCGCTGGAAGCTAGTGAAAAGAAAATTACTTGGAAAATGTTCAACTAACCAAATTGTTTTACCTATTGACTGAACTCACCATGTGTTCGATGGCATCCCACAGCAAGCAAGAAAAACAGCAACCATCTGGAAAAGACACCCCTATGTTACAACATGCTTTGTCAGTTGGCTAAATGATGACAAGACAAATTAAATCAAAGTTACCCTAATGGAAACCCCATGGTTCCACCTGCAGTCATAGGCCAGTGAAGCCGCAAACTCAGTCACGATTGTCAGTGCCTACTAACCCACACAACTGAACCAATGTGAGAACTAAGTGTGGCCCAAATCCCTCTGGAGCTGCTTATAAGTCCTCTCCACTCACCTTGCTCGTTAACTTGACACAGGTGTGAGTAGTTGGAGGCAGGTGTGGCTAATTACCCACCAGGCCATGTCCACTGCACTATACCATCCACTTCATTGAACACAATAGATTTTGGCCCACTTTGTCAGACATTTAATGCATCTAACAGAGAATACATAAGTAAACATGGGACTTTTGAAAGGTACATTTTGAAGGCAAACAGTAAACTTGCATTAAAATCAAAGCCAGATAAAAAAAGCATACGCCTTCATTAAACCCAAGAAGAAATTCATGAGATACAAATGAAGAAAGTTTGAAAATGAATATTTTCACTGAGCAGACATTAAAATTATGTTTAAAAGTTAAAAACCACAGTTGTGACAAGCAGTCAAGAGAAACTTATATGAAAATAAAACACGATATTACAAACCAAAGGCTATAACATTTCACACAGAACACAATTTTCTTGGGATATTAGATTAAGTTAAAGCAGTTAGAATATTTTTGGTAGCATAAGTACAATTGCCCTTGTACAATTTAAAATTACCCTCAAACAAAGCAAAGTGTTTCAGTTTCATAAAAGGCCTTTTAAACAATAATTTAATGAAAACTTAAGAAACGTTGGTCAAAATAGTATGGAGATCCAAAATGGACAAGCATCCTTACATTTTGTTTACTGAATTTATGGGCAATAATGGGATGTTTTCTTATAGTTACATATAAATAAAAACACTTGGTTTGACCCTAGTTCTTTTATGGTAAAAGCATAATTTTTTAGGTGATTGAAGTAACAAAATAATAATTATGTGGTTTTGCTCCTCTGATTATACAAACTATTAAAAAGGAGCAGCCAAAAACTTCACACATGGGGTTTTGTATATGTAAATGAAATTATTTAAAGTTTATTTAAATAATTTTCTCAAACACAGCATCTTCAAAAAAACAAAAACTGTGTCGTAAAGACTTTTTTCACGTGAAATGTTGCCTAAAATATATTTTTTGTGGTACCATTTAAAAAACTACATTTCCCATCAGCAACGTCATTACGCAATCCTTTCTCTACTTCCTTAAGATAAGTTTCAAAATAAGAGCATGTCCGTGTGTCGTTCGCCATGATATCGCTTTAAAACCCTAAAGTCGGCTTTTATTTTGAAGTCAAGGTCAATCCTCCGTGTTTCGACGATCTCTGGCGGAGCGTCAACTCCCATAGACCGGGGGAGGGTAACAACCGTGTTACCGGCCGAGTCCAGGCAGGTACATTCCGCCGCCATGAGGCTCCGTTTGGCCGGGGCCGTGCTGCTGGCGGCGGCCGCATACTACGTCTACCTGCCGCTACCGAAGGGTGTCTGCGAGCCGTGGAAGCTGATGCTGCTGGACGCGCTGTTCCGGAGCTTCATGAAGGCGGTGAGAGGTGGAGGATGCACAGAGAGGAGGAGGAGGAAGAGGAGGAAGAGGAGGACAGGTTGATGAAAAAATACAGGAGCTGTCAGGGGCAGAAAAGGGGAGAAAATACCTGCAACGACTAAAGAAGAGAGTCAGACAGTGTTTACATTAAGTATACTTTAAAAAAATTAACAAAAATGCCTTAAAACGGGTTAAAATACCTTTACTGTACATAGAGATTATCTCATTATTTGTGCAGAGAGGTTGAAAAAGGATAAAAATGATAGTACGAACAAGACACACCTCAAGACTCTGCATTTTTTACACTTTAAAGTTACTGAAATTAGTGTAAAAAAAGGATAATAGTATAAAAAAACCTGTGAGAATTAAAATAAAGATGAATAAAAGATAATTTGAATGAAACCATCTTTAGAGAAACTAAAAAATATTGAATTTTAAAGCTTAATGAGTCAGACTGTTAAACAGATTAGAGTATGATCATTAGAAAAGGATGAGAGTAAACAAAAACGTAAAACTGAACAGAAAATACTCAAATTCTTACCAAACTATATCATACCACGGTTCACTTAAGTACAAAAGTATAGACAGCTTTCAGACAACATTGTGCTATAATGGATTAAAGTAGGATAAAGGAGATTAGGCTTGAGCAGATTATCACAAACTATACCACTCTTTATCAAACTTTGGCACAGTTAAACTGAATAAAATAGAGCAGAACGGATTAGAAAGAATAACCACAGACATAACAAAGCTGGGATCCTGTGTGAATGTTGATGAAAGCAGAAATTTATGGTGTAAATGATCATTTTCACTCTTTCCACATGTTGAAACTGAAAGGGCTCATTTTAAATCTGATGGAAGGTGTTTTAAAAAGTCAGGACAGGAGAATGATAACTTTAAGAAACTTATGAGAACACTATCAGGAGTTCGTAAAGACTGTGTTGTCTTATTTTTGCCTGATTGAGGATTTCAGCTGCTCAACAGTTCAGGGTCTCCTTTGCTCCACTGGGTTATGTGGCATCAAGTTAAACCTGTTGTTAACTTTTTGTTATTTTCTACAGTTAAGTTCTCTTAAGGGTCGGGTTTACACTCTTGGATCAGGAGAATGTTCTTTCCTTGAAAGCAAAAGTAGACGATTTACAAAGAAATCGTGATTATCCAAGAAATGCTTAATCCAAGTTTTTCTAAGCTTTTGGCGAGACCCTGATGGAGTCAGACCGGGACACAGACCTGCAGATTACAAGTTGGCACCGCAGAAATGACAGTAAACAGGGATTTTGATGATGCAAAAAGCAGGGCAGATGATTTAAAGGTAGATGCATGACTGGTGATGCAATATTTGACCCTGCTGCCCTGTAACCTGCACCTGTTTGATACAGTGCTGGCCTTGTTGTGTGCACGTGACTGCAGCTGCTGTAACTCTATTACTGTAAGCTCCTGATCAGCTCACAATGGCAGTTCACACACCCGAATCTTACAAACTGCGTCACTGCGGTGCAACGAGTTTTTCACGCACACTCACACACTCCCTGCATGAGACAGGTTTTTCACGCCTGAGATTTCTCCTCCTCAGAGCTTCACTGTTATTTCAGTCAGCAGAGACAGAGCAGCTCTGATTTACAGACAGGTTTTTCTGCTCTGACTGTCCACCGTGAAGACCTCCCCTCTCTCTGCTACAATAACTCTGTTTGTATTTCAGAGCGATGTGGCTCACTCTATGGGCATGTGTCATCGGCTCCACCTGTTGAACCAGGTGGTGTCCTGGTTGGAGGTGATCGATGCTCGGTCCAGCCCCACCTTGCACGTGACGGACTTCGCTCTGGGCGGCGTTCCCACCCGGGTCTTCCAGCCTAAAGGGGGGGAGAAGCCAAAAAGAGGGGTCATTTATTTCCACGGGGGAGGATGGGCGCTCGGCAGCGGACGTGAGTGTTGAATATTAAAATCTGAAAACCGACTTTAATTATTTATTTTTACCATTTTGTTCAAATTTTATTGAAATAGCAGAAGAATCAAAGTTAGAGGAACAGGTCCTGGGAGCAGGATCTTATTTTTTGTAGGATGGTAGGAGGAGGGCCCCCTTTGCCTCTGATTGGCCAGAAGTGCTGGGCTCCGATTGGTTATTCCTTACGGCTGTGAAACGTCATCGTGTGTCGAGTTAGAGTTAGGAGATTCAGAAGTGCGATAATGTTCTGTTTGATGTACGGAACATTACACCGCCTCCTTCGCCAATCAGAGGCGAAGGAGGCGGGACCTTCCCCGACCATCCAACGAAAAAAAAAATTCATCCTGTGAGGTTCTGTCGTTTTTGGCGCCCCCCTGTGGACAAAGATGTACGCCTTGTCTCTCTGCTGATCTTATCCTGCACATATCGAGTTAAATTTCTGTTATAGCTAACTAACCATCAGTAGTATGGTTTATATAACATGAGTTTTAACTGACCTGCATGGCTGCTTCTGATATATATGTGTTCATCTTCTTCACAGGGATGAGATCGTACGACCTTCTCTGTCGGAAAATGGCAGAAGACCTGGATGCCGTGGTCATGTCTGTCGAGTAAGTTTATAGTTTTCATAGTTATCACGCAAAGATTGATGAGAATTAAGAAAGTCCAGAAGGTCCTAAAAAAGACGTGATGTCTCCGTTTTCTTTTGTTTCTTCAAAAACAGAAACTACAACAACACGGACTGTCTTTACAAGAATTTTAACCCTGAAACAAATTCAATATTTACACTAACCAGTTCATAAAACAGCGTGTTGATAATGTTTCCTCTGGACTCTTAAAATAGTTAAAAGTTAGTGCCTTCAAGCTCAGAGAAACTGAAGCTTTTAATCTGTTAGGGTTGAAGTTTAGGGGGAAAAGTTTTTTAGAAAATGCTAAAAGCTCCTTTGTGCAAAAGAAGTCTGCAGATCTCTAGACAGTGATTTCCCTGTTAAAAAATGGGTAAAAATGTAGCTTATAATGGACTTTACAGAAGTCAGAGTCCAGATCTTTTTATTCCTGGGTTTTTTTTTAAAGAGTGTTGATGAAATAAAGCTGCAGGAATAAAGTTATTTATCAAACCTGAAGGTAAAAAATGGTGAATATAAGAGTAAACGGTTTTTGTTTTTGAGTTCTACCCCCACACCGTCTGGCTTTTGTTTCACAGCTTTATGTAAGAACCAGAATCATTCTGTCTCCTCATGATGTCCTGTTGCCATAGTTACCGTCTTGCTCCAGAGGCAGTGTTCCCGGATCAGTACCACGATGCGTTAGCGGCGTCACGAGCCTTCCTGTCCTCGGAGGTTTTGGAGCGTTACGGTATCGACCCGCAGAGGGTGTGTGTGTCAGGTGACAGCGCCGGGGGGAATCTGGCGGCTGCTGTGGCACAAGAGGTACACACTCACACACACACATATATATATATATATATATATATATATAACACACACATGAAGCTTTATACACAAAATTCTGATCATGTTATAAAGCGGCCTCATCCTGTCAGGAAGCACGAGACAGTGACAAAGACTCACACAGAAATCCTCGATCTGGATCAGTCTCGCCTGAATCAGCTGGCTCTGCAGCTAAGAGCGAACTGAGGACGCCGTAAACGCGGTGTGACACGAGCTGGTGCCAGAAACACATCAGCACGCACAAATCTGTCCTTCTTTGTGTTCCTGGTCAGAGTTTCAGCGAGAAATTAAACCCTGAAGGCAAAAGAGCCGAAGATGACTCAGAATTTTGGAATTTTTTTTTTCTCGTTTTGAGTTCAGCTTCAGTTTCTCTTTCTGACAACAGCAGTCTCACTAAACACACTTTATCTCCATTTTCTAGATCAGCATTACTTACAAACTGTGCCACAGTTAAACCAGTTAGCTGCTGTGGTGTGAACGACAGATCTGCAGTACCACAGGTGTCCACTAGGGGCTGTTTGTGAAAGTTGATGGATCCCCATTTACCCCCATTCAGGGAAATTAAACATATTTACACCCTGGTATAAACACAGTTCATGTGTTCATTCATCAACTCTGTTTTCTCTTTAAAGAATGACCATCTATATTTTATCCCTCGACCTTTAACCTTTGCCCTCCTGCGCCCACAGCTCAGCTCAGACGACACTCTGGCGGTAAAGTTTAAAGCCCAGGCGTTGGTCTACCCCGTGCTTCAGGCGCTGGACTTCTACACCCCGTCCTACCAGCAGAACCACGCCGTGCCCATCCTCTACCGGCCTTACATGGCTCGCTTCTGGCTGGAGTACCTCGGCGCCGACCGCTCGCTTGAGCCCCTCCTGCTCGCCAACAACCACAGCTCCCTAGACCAACCGGCCATCGGCGCCAGCACCCGATCAAAACTGGACTGGACGGCTTTACTCCCGTCTGAGCGCAGGAAGCACTTTAGACCGGTTTTAAAGGAAACAGGGTCGCCGGGGGTGATGGGTGTGGTACCAGGACTGGTGGACGTGAGGGCGGCGCCACTGCTGGCAGAGCAGGAGGTTCTGGGTAGGACGCCTAAAGCGTACGTGATGACCTGTGAGTTTGACGTGCTGAGAGACGACGGGTTGATGTACGTGACACGCCTGCAGGACGCCGGCGTCTCGGTGACCAGCGATCACTACGAGGACGGCTTTCACGGCTGCATGGTGTTCGCCTTCCTGCCGATGATGTCTCATGTGGGACAGAGGAGCATGGACAACTACATCCGCTGGCTGGACCAGAACCTGTAGACAATCAGAGCGATCTGCAGATCCTCAACGATCTGCAGGGAAAGTGTGTGTGGCACCAAAGAAGTCCTGGAGCAGAAAGTCTGGCACTTCAGAGAGCTCCGCAGCGGATCTGCAGAGAGGAAAAAAAATGTCTGCGGAAATTACGAAATTTGATAAATATGGAGAGGTTGTTTAAGAATGAGGCAGTGATATTAGAGGAAGACCGTTTTCTCAGGGCTGTGGGTGATCTGCCGTCTTCAACCAACAAATCGAAACACATTTTACACTTACTTTGAAGCCACAAATACATGAACCACAGGTCGAACCGGGAGGATTTGAGTTTATCTCCACTAGGGGGCAAACAGGACCAAATCATGCAGAAGATCTCCCTCAGAGAAATTCAGATTCATCTGAAATTCTGCTGCAGCAAAAATCAGGCGTCTTAAATGATAACGCAGATCCAACAGAACAAAAGCTTTCTCACTAAAAACCAAAAAGTTACCAAAGAAAACGAAGCTGAACCAATCCGACGAATCCTGGAGGCTCATTATCTCTCAGAGGAACAAACTCCAGCAGCTCAAAGATTTTAAGAGTAAATTTAACAAATGAAACACAAACAGCTAATTCACCAACTTTAATGTCTGTCAATGAGATATTCTTCCAGACTGTTGGGGTAATGTGGCTTTTTAAAGATGTTTTTACTCTAAGTAAGAAAAAAACAAGCTCGGTTTTGAGTTTTTAATCCGGTTGATGGTTCATTGAACAAGATTTGAGGTCCAAATGTTTGGCTTCATTTCCCCTCAGCAGGAATATGAAGAGAGGGGTTGACCGAGCACTCCAGGTACACAGGCTTTTGTCCCCTAGAGAGCAGATCACATCACCTCCAACTCTGTAAATAAAGCCAGAAGAGACCCCCAAAAAGATATGCAATTTATGTCGCTAAATAACTTCCTGCAAAACGGGAATTAAAAACTCTGAATGAAACAAAGCAGCTGTGGTAAACGATCCCAAACTTTGAGACCTGTTAGTTAAAGCTCCTGTGAGAAACTTGAGCGTACAGACCCCTTCACTGCATCTACAGCTGTCATCCTGAAACTGTCCCACCTTTAAAACCCCGTCCTTTACTCCAGCTAAAGTCAAGGTTCAATATTGGATTCACTTCAGTTTAAATGTAAATGTTAGTGACAGGAAAGCTGTGACCTAAATCTGAAATTACGTGAGGAAACGTTGTGCAACCCAGCCAAGTAAATAATGAGCCTTCAGGACTCGGCCTGCCTGAATCCCAATCAGACGAGTCCTTGAGGTCAAAGTCACTCTGCTGCATTTATTGTTTTATGATGCACCAAGACACTGGAGCACACACACACACACACACACACACACTAACACACACACTCAACAAGCAAGTCAAGGTCGGTGTGTGTGTAGAAAAGTATGCCAGAGTTCACATCTGTGTATATTCACTTGATTGTGCAATATTATGTGTTTGACAGCATCCCTCACTCTCTGTAACTTTACCGTCTGATGACCACTGCACATGCACGGCCAATGCAAAGACGATGACGACAGCTGTGAAATACACGTGAGACTTACTGTATCACAGGAGAAGACGTCCCAAACGGACTCTCCTGTTCCCCTCCAGACCGCAGCCGGCCAAAAAACGAACACAGCAGACTCTAACGACAGCGAGCGGCCGACACAGACTCGAGTTTTGGCTTCCAGCCCTGAAGTGGCAGCGAGCCAGAGAGAGTTTCAGAAACACTGAGCTTGAACTGAGTGTGGTCACTCACTCCACAGTAAAACACTGGTTATCAGGAGGTTTTCTCTTCCCCTCAGGAGGAAATTATTCCAGACCTTTTCCTCCCAATGAGTCGAGATAATGTGAGCAATGCAAAGTCTGTACGCACACGTTTTTGTAAGCTTTCTAAAAAAAGGTTTGCACATGTTGTTTAAATCATTTCTAAATGAGAAAATAAGGACTTCAGGATTAGATATGGACTACAGAGAGAGATTTTTAAATGTCCCTTAGCTTTAAATTTATGTGAAATGATGCATTAAATAGTTTTATATTGTTTAAGTACGGTTTTAATATACGTCGGGTTATGCAAGAGCGTGTTCCAGCCAAGAAACAAACAAACTCAGGCCCAGATGTGCAGATCCTGCAGCGCCAATAAGGCCTGAAGTAGCTGTTTGTCTTGGCTCCTGGGACAGCTCTTGTGGTATGTTGGGAGCTGGGTTACAATACTTCTGCTTTTCTTTATGTCAATTTTTTTTCTTCCTCATGCAAAGTTTGAGATTGACCATGTGGGTGAGTGTGAATGTGTAACCTTTTTAGACAGTGGCGAGGAGAAGAGGCGCTGCAGACAGACGAGCTGCAGCACCTGCAGACAGACGCTGCGTTTCAGGGTTTGACTGAGAGAGGAAGAGAGTTTCTCTGGTGAGGGGTCTGTGAAGAAATTTAAGCTAATGTCTGTTTTGTAAGAGAGGGAAACCTCCACAGCTCATGTTTTAGTGGTAATAATCGAAATGTACGTTTCTGATGTGGTTATATTTGTAAAAATACACGATTAAAAACAATGTAAACATCTCTTTCTTGACAAGTGGACTTTTTAATGACAGAAAATAAACGCTTCAATCGAGCTGTCAGACAATCAGGTTTAAAATTCTTTATAAGTCTCATTCGCTGCACCTGTACGCTTGGTTTTTACCTCCAGGTTCTTAAAAAAGTAACATTAAAATAGTTTTAGATTATTAGTCAAATTAAAGTGATTTATAGATATGAGAGTTCAGCTGGTGCACTCTTGGTCAGACAAGGAAAATATGTTTTCAGATGACACTTGGATGGAGGAATTTTTCTAATAAAGTTTTCCTCGGACACATGGTGGGTTTATAAGGCTGTGTCCTTCACTGGGAAAATGATGAATTGAAAAAATAATCATTTTAATAACTCTTCTGGATTTTACGATCAACAAATATGACCATTCTCACCACGGGAGGTTTTTGATTTTCCTGATTTAGATTTATTTTTTTTTTGTCTAAAGACGGTTTTCATTCTGTACAGATTCTTTCACGCTAATAAAACCACAATATGGAGGAGAGAGTGGACTCCAGAGACTCACATCTCAGTCCAGATATCATCAGACATTTACATTAAAGTCATATCAGTGACGTTAATTGAATTTATCACTTCATATCTGTTCAACACATGATAATTCAATATGAAATACTGTGAATTTAAAGAATAAGGGGATTGTACGTTTATTTTTGTACTCCTCCCTCTAATGTTTGCATTGCGTTGTCATGTAACGTACAAACTTACATCCAGTCCGGTTCAGTCGGTTCAACAGATGACCCCCAAAACGGCTCCAGATGTCTTTGTTTCTTGATTCAAGGCGCAGCTGCAAAAAAAAAAAACACAGAAACTTCATATATCAAAGTGAAACTGTATTTCACCACCACGGCAGAATCAGAATCTGAAAAGATCTTGAATCAGATCAGTCTTTTGAATAAAAAAGGTCAGGTTATCTTAGTGAGAAAGTGTTGGTGCCGAGTGTTAATTAAGAGTCTGACACAGAAGATGGCGCCAAATCCTTCCATCTGGGCACCGACCTCGGTTTATTAAATCAGACTCTACAAATCAACACGACCCACCAGTCTGTTCTTCCTTTTCTTTTTTATGAGGGTCGTAAAACTTGAAGGTTTCATGAAGGAGGGATTTTCACCCAGATTCTTTTTTAATCACTGGATTTAGAGTCTGAGCCCCAACTTTTGACTCATGTCTGTGATCCTGTGTCCTGGGAAATATGAGAGAGGAATAAAAAGACAGCTTGAAGACCTCTGCCAAATGTCCTCCATCTGTCATCGTGATAAAGAACTGGTTTCCTCTCTGCTTGGTTTCTCCACCTCTGACTGGGTATCAAAGACGCCGCTCTTCTCTTTGTCCTCAGTTCACTTCTCTCTGGTCCTGACACAAACACTCGAGTCCTTCAAGTCAAAGCCTGCAGAGAAACAGAAACCAGTCAGATGTTTGCGTGACAGAGAGAAACATGCCTGTCAGGTCATGTGATCACAGGTGAGTAGCTCTCTCCTGACAGACAGGTCTCTGGTTGTTTATCTGTTTATTTGCGGACGATCAGAAACCAAAACCTGCAGGATTAAGACAGTGTCGGAAAATCTGTGTTTGTGTTTGTGAGGGTGTGGATATGGGTGAAGCAGAGTTCCTTCTGAGAGAGTCACCCAGATATTACTGTCAATTACGTCCATAACCTCCTTCTTTTGAGTCACAACACACTGGGGTGTTTTTCCAGGCACGCAAACACACCAAAGATCAGGACCAGTTTTTCTACAGAGCCGTCTTCATGACTAAAACGCTGTAATGAGAAGTTTTTATGTATAATGTTGCTGTATTTTCATCATCTCTTTAAATTATTCATCAGTGTTTCTGGACTCAGGAAATCTCCACCTGCACATGTCCTTATATGGTGTTCATGGGCGGAGTTTTATGCTGATTGGTGGCTTATGAGAGTATGCTGTCACTGTATATCGGCATTCGTAAACTTTAACCAACTTACACGATCAAATCAGGGTTTTATACGGCGTTAATGAGTCTTGAGTGTTTTTTAGGTGCCAGAGACGTTTTTGCACATAAATTGGAAACATTTTGTGAATGAGGAAAACCAGCGTTAGCAACAGAACGGCCTCATGTGTTATTTATTATCCACAACTTAACTTTAGCTCATAAATTGGTGTTTGAATATTGGTTTAAGTGTACTAAAATACCCAGGAATGGCAGATTGTACACAAAGAAATGCATTATCGTCTCTTTACATGAAGGAACTGCTCACAGCTGCAGGAAATTAAAGTGAACTGAGGACTTTCCACGACAGGAAGATCCAGGAAACCAGAAATAAGAAGCTTCTTAGTATTCAGGCGGAAACGTCTCTCTGTTCCTATTAGGAGGAAGTAAAAAGAAAAGCATGTTTTGTATTATTTCCATGACTAAGAGTTCGAATAAAAGAAGTAATTACTCACACAAATTTAAAAATAGAGCTGCAGGTTTTACAGAAACAGCAGAGAGGTCACAGAACAAGTATCATTAAAAAATGACCCCGAAGAAATCAAAGTATTTAGGTCAAAATTAGCTGAACTCATAAAAATGGGTTGAATGGATAATTTTACATGAAGTTTAGTTTCAAAGCACAAAACCGTTCCAGGCAGTACTTCAGTATATAGAGATATAACCTTCATTCGGTCAAAAAACAGACAAAATCTGACTCTTTATATCCACAGGGCTCAGGACTTAAAGGTGGGGTAGTCAGGATCTGAGGAAGTGCCAGTTTTGGGGAGAAATCATGAATGTAAACTCTACTCCTCCCAACCAGTTTTCCCCTCAGCTCCTCCTCTCCCCTCCCTCTCTGCTCCAGCAAGCCCCGCCCACAAACAGACGCTTCTGCTCGCTCGTATCGTTTCAATTAAATTCAGATATAATGCAGATAAATACTTCAGATCATTACAAATGGGGCCCAGTCAAGGTGAAAGTAAACAGCACTGGTGCTACTGTAGATGCCAACAGACGACCAGCAAACACAATGTTTGCAGGACTTCTACAACTAGGATAAAGTGACATAGTCCAGGACCCGAGGTCAACAGATTAGCGATGGCGCTACAACACGCTACAGCAGGTCCGTTTGACAAGAAACACTTCTGTTACAGACACTTGTCTTACTTTGTTAAAGCGGTTTACCTGTCCAGCAGAAAGGTTACAGGGTCCAGGAGATCCCAAAGCGTCCCCCATCGTTTATGTTGACCCGGTTTCTTAGCTCTTGTCCGGTCTACCTCTTTTTTAAGCGCCCGTTATTCCTCCAGAGTCTCCGGTATTTACTTCGTTTTTGTCCCTGTGTTGGCAGTCGTGGCCAAAGGAGGATTCAGACAATTTTCCGAACTTTCTGGTTGGTTTCTACTGTCCGATATTGTAGCACGCTAACTTTGTTTGAGCTCCTGAATGACACAGAAGAGCAGCGTCTGCCTCACAACCAATCAGGTTGGGGGAGGCGGAGAACGGTTTTGTTTACAGTCAGAAAGAGCGGGCCGCTCAAATAATTTAAAATGTTGACTACACAGACATAACAAAACAGCAATATTGTGATATTCCCAAACGTCATCAATAACTAAAAGCTATTGACTAATATTGAACGTTTTTTTGTATTTACACCACAAAAAAGATGCTTCTTTAACGGATTCCTGGCTACCCCACCTCTAAGGAGAAGTCATTTACTCTAGATCTGTAATCTGCAGAAAACTTGCACATTATTTCTTCAACAGTGAGGCGTGAGGGTGGATTTATTCTCCTTAAAGAAAGAAGGAGGAGTAAACACCGGGAACATGCACTTCTGGAAACAAGACAAGAACAAGGAGAGTTTCAGCAGCTGATAAAGAAGGTGTGAGCTCATCCTGATCGCTTACAGGTGGATTTGAGGGTCAGGGGTAAAGTTTGATTCACTTCGAGCAAAATTAGACTCCCACATTCAAAACAAGTCCATCAGTATCCGCTGTGTGGTTTGGATTTCAAAGCTGTATCAGTATCAGGAACGTTTAAACATGCTTGTAACAATCTTTTCAGAGTTTATGGATGCCTGTTATTTCACCTCGGCCTCTGCAACGAACCAAACTGGGAAAAAATTTCTATGCATTACACAAACCAAACCAAAAGGAGGTCCTGGCCCTTAAAGTTCAGCCCTGAAGGTTCTTCTCCCGGCCCTGATTGTCACGGTCCTCCAAAGCACAAAATACCGTTTCTCTTCTACGCCACATGGAGGAAATAAAAGAGGTAATTTTGGATCAAACAATTTGTTTCAGATGCAGAGAAAACAGCTGATTTAACCTCACAGCATTTTTGTTACAAAGTCTTAACTTTGCTCAGAGAGTACCAGAAATAAAATCTTCATGGTGTGAAAAGCAGAAAGACGTTTTCACTGAACTTAATAAACTATATATTTAGTGGAGACAGGTTAAGGGTCCATAACTCATATTTGCCCGCAGGCCCCATTTCAGCAAAATCCATCCCTGCCCGTGGGCCTCATTTACAGATATTCAGACCCAGAAGGGAATTTGCAAAAACATAAGTCTTCTCTCTGCTCAGACGGATCAAAATCAACACCAGGTTTGACTGTAAGACTGGTGAGAAGATAAAAACAGCGATGAGACACCTTCTGCTGCGGCGTGAACATATATTTAGTCCATGTATGAGTGTGTGTGACCCCACAGAGGCCTGACACTTCCTCTCCTGGCCCCTGGTGCTGCTCGTTAATCACAGGGTGCCAAGATGATCATTTCTAAGAAAAACAGAGGCGCCAGGAGCGAAAACAAACCGGTGAGAACGTGAAAGGAAAGCCGGGGCGGCGGGGAATTCATGAGGGAGAATGTTATCGCTGCGACTAAAGGTCATATTGTTCACTTCTTCCTGACAGGCACAGAGAGAGAGAAAAGGGAGTGTGAGGCAATTTGGGAAGAGTGAAGGGAAAGAAGGGAGGGTGAGACTGCAAAATGGCAAAAAAAGAGAGGGAGAGGGAGGACAGAGAAAGATTGGAGGGGAGGCAGACAAAACCACAGCGCGGGCCTCAGAGTGAACAAGGACAAACTCTGCACCAAACAGACACACAAACACTTCGGCATGGACACACAACCACACACACCGAGGCTGCCGAGCCAAAAGTATGTAAAAAATCAGAGCCTCGAACTTAGAGACGCCAGATTCAACAACAACCAGGCTCATTATTGTCCTCAATTTAGGGATGAGAATAAAACCAGGGCAGAGCTGCAGTTCCTCTTAAGGCCACTTGGGGCTGCCTCCATCAGTGAGCCAACCCTCAAAGAGTCCTACAGAAAAATGTTTACAGCTGAATTAAAATGTTTGTGGTCTTTAATTTCTGTTTTTATAACTGTTCTAGGATTGATGACTCAATTAATAAAATCCGTACATTAATAAATATAGAGCTAAAATCTTCAAAATCTATGAATATCTTGTTTTAGCGCTAAGAATGACTTGATTTTTGGACCAATGTTTGTCCGCCTCCACGACAGACGGTGTAAACACGCCGCCTATTTAGTTTGTTACTACTTTGCTGTCCCCCAGGTGGCGAATTATGACACTAACCAAAACAATGGACGAACGTGTTAGCAAGACGCTAACCCCCAATTACCACCACATCTGGAACAGCTACAAAAAGGCTGTATCCGACGATTGTAGCTTATTGTAACCATTCATGTCAATGTTTTAATTTCCGTTCCACCGAACTCCGCAGCTGATCGCAAGAGTTCTATTTTTCCGGGCGCCGGAGCATGCCGGATAAATTCAGCACAGATTAACCTGTGCTGGAAAGAAAGTCGGGCACAGACACAAAATAAAACACTCCATGTTTCAGGTGGATCATCTTTCACACCATGCAAATGGGTGGGGACGAACAAGTGAAAGGTCTATAGACGTCATTTCACCCCGAAGTCTAGAAGTAGATTTCCTCCTCTGGAAGGACACAATCTACTGCTTATATGGTTAGCCTATGTAGCTAAAGACAACTTGTTATTGTGCGATTATTGCGCAAAATCCCATGAATGAAATCCTGGGTAATGCATTGCATGTCAATGGATTAAAACAGACAACTTCCCAGCTCTTCACGATATGATTTAATGGTGCATCTGTTTTTGCCCTTTCTAATTCTGTCTAAGTTTTGTTCCTTTTAACGCATTTATGTCATTCAACTTCACGTTAAAGCCCTTCGTGAAAACTCTTGAGCATGTGCAGAACACATAATCCAAATTTAAGTCCTACTGAGGCAAATAAATGGAGAGGAAATTAAACCCAAATGTCCTATCGGTGTTTAAGTCAGACTTTTAGGAATTTAATTTTGTGCCATTTCAGTTAAACTAACGTGTTTACGTACATTTTTACAGTCTAGTTTCAGTCAGACTGATGGGATAGATCATTTGTGAATGTACTGGATGTCTTTGCCATATTCCCATGTGTAAATGAGGGTGTTGTTTTCCTATAAAATGTGTTAATTTGCATGTGCTCATAACTTTGTATAGTAGAGAGTGCTGCCAAAAAAAGAACATCTAGACTTCTCAAACTGGTCTCCTTCGGTCCAAAATTTCAAACTTGAGGCCACCATCACCAACCAGCTAACCAACAGCCCCGTCTTCGTTGTGTCGTCATCTCTTGGTTCAGTTTTCAGTCTTGCGCTCTGCTGTAAGCGCCTCCATCCTCCTGATTTGAATCAGATGTAGACTCTGGCTGCAGAGATCTGCTCCCATTCAGATGCGAAGGCTTCGGTGAGGTCCAGCGCTGATGCTGGATGATTAAGTGCTGTTCACAGTCTTGTTTTGGACAGGATTGTGGTACAGGCTCACTAAAGCTCCTCCGTGGTAAAAATTTTAAAACCGTTTAGTCATGCTGCGACAAAGAGAGCAAAACACAAACTGATTTCAAAGTCGATCATCATTACATAATGTAGGACGAGGCGTAGCCCCCCATTACTGTCCAGTCCCATGATTCAATATTGTTTTACATATTCTGCGTCTTCTTTTCTGGCGGAGAGCAGCAGGCGCCTTTGGCACGGCACTCTCACTCATCTGGAAGTTTCAGCAGAAAACATTTATGCAGCTTTCCAGAACCCTGAAGCCGAGTTTTTATGAACTAGATGACATCTGCAATACCATCAAAGTTTGTTTTACTGGAAAAACACTCCTATAAATCCAACATGAAAGGCATTACCAACACGATCTGTGTTTAACAGCCAAAACCCACAGGTGGTAAGTGAGAACCTTAGACCAGATTATATAAAAGTGTAACAAATCCCACAAATCCAGAGTGTGCTGAGGATCATTTCCTCTTAAGACCAAAAGTCTGTGTTACAATCAGTTTTTAAACTTTTAAGTGTAATTTTTAAGACGCTTCAGACCAACAGGCTTCTCAATCATGAACAAAACTCAATACAATCCTTTATGCATGATTATAAATTACTCAGGGCTTGACTTATTTGTCTGACAGGAGGCACTATGAAGACCCTCCAAAGACTGAGGAGTTTCTAACTCTGAGTATCTGCTAATTTGACAGAGAGATGGAGCTCAGGTCACAGTCGAGCCATCCCAGAGAGAAAAACTTCAGCAACAGGCTGTTTCTGTGCACATATGTAAATCAGTCCGACAACTCCACATCCATCAGTTCAGCTAAGCGTACAATGGCGCTGACCCGCTGCTTGAACCTGTTCATCAAAACTTGTGCTGATAGTATCCTGCTGCTTCCTTTAAATTTATGATTGCAGGAGCCAAATTACTTCCTGCGTCTCATCCTTAAGTGTTCGAGTGTTACGAGACCGACACACATGCATAAGAGCCTCCACTCATCAACCACTATGACACCAAGGACATCATGCTGTGAGAAACCTGATGGATGATCTTAAACCAACCATAAACCACTTTGTGAATGATGCTCTGTGAAAGAATAAGAGCTTAGTGGAAACTTAGAAAGATCCCAAAACAGCGATTAAAACTTGATGAGGAGGAAAAGCCTGAAAATGAGGTGATACTTGCATTTGTGAGCAGTAACTTGTTTCCCAAAACACCATTTTGACTCAATACACTATATATTTACACACAATATCCCAACATATAAAAGCTGTCCCGAGAGTTCACGCTGGTATATCGGTCACAACGGTGTACAGCCATTATGTGCAAACCCACCCCCATGTAAACACGGCGCAGCTTCTGTTTGAAAACCCTGATGTTCGCTAAGCGCCGCTTTTGTACCAGTCTGTGAACACGTTCTAATATGCTTTAAAAACATCTGTTGTTATATGGGCTCTAATGGGCTATCTTTGCTGTTTGAGTCAGGCCCCAAGTGGCCACTAAAGGAACTGCATATTTTGCACTCTTGCAGGTTGCAGGATGGGACATAATGTTTTCCATCCTGCAAACAGCATCCAATTCAGAGAGCTCAGAGGAATAGTTTGTTATTAACTATCTTGACGACAAAATTTTGACCGTGTAGCAAAGAAGAGGGGAAAAAAAGCACTATTAGACCTTAACATAAATAAACACACACTCTTACAAAAACACTTGACTGCAAGCACATCAGACAAGGGAAAACACACACATGCAGGTTTTAGTAACTGTATCTGGAGGGGGTCCCTCTCGCTTACTCCCTCTCTGTCAGAAGTGGTTACCCCCTTGATCGCCCGCTTCTCTTCTTACCCCGATTCCTGAAATGAAATGAAGCAGTAAGCGAGTAGCCTCAACCAAAACACCTCCACACACACACATGAGAATGAGGGGGGCCTTCATATCAACAGACGATAACCTATCACACACTCACACACACATATCAACTGACAAAAAACAAGCAGGAGCCAAAAACAGTTTGGATATTTGGAAAGTCCCCAAAATGTTCCTTCTTTCCTTCTTTCCTTATTTGTCAGGTCTTTGTTTTTTTGATTTTCCATTGGCCGGTTCAGTTGTCCCGCCTCCCCCTTCCTGAGGTGTTTGTGTGTGACATATTTTGATGATAAAGCTCAGCTCTGGGTCCTCTTTCTAATGGGAGCGATAAAACTAATACAAGCCTTGTGTGTGTTGGCGGTGTGTTTACTTTGGCAGCGTCTCTGCTGAGTTGTAGAGGACAGAGAGATTTAAATCATGTTATTTTTCACTTCTAATTCTAATAGGCAATGGGTCTGTTTTTGTTAATAATGTTTTATTTCCACACACATTAAATTATGCGGACTGTTTACTGTTCACATACATACTCCAACCTTACATAACCTCCCAAAAACCAAACATTTAATGGCTTACCTTGTATGGACCTGAGTCCCCATTATTTCGCCCTTAAAAGCACATTTGTGTTCGAGACATGATTAATGCACATATAAAAACACACTCCTATCTGTGCTAAGCTTGGTGAGCTTCATATTTATTGCCTCATTAGTTTCGGAGGTTTGGCAGAGTTGGCATGGAGTGAAATGACTCGAGCTCAGTCGAAGGTAGAAAAATTAGACGTGAAAAAGTCAACCTCACAAACTGATCATTTAATGAGGTTGTAAATGCAGCAGGAAGTAAACAATGAAAGATAAGTGAAAAATAGTCCATTAAAATAATAAAAGTACTTATGATTCATGTCTCATTGCATGTCTTAAAAAATACAAAATTACTGATCCAAGTTTAGTGTCTGTAAGCAATTAGCAGAAATACACGAACATGAGACAATATCGTCATCACTCTATGTCGTATATTTTAATGGACTGAACATTTATTCAAAGTTTATTTTTATTGGCACTGTAGACTTCAAAGTAATCCAACAACTTGTCAGAAATTTATTTAGTAGGATAAGCTCCTTAAGAGAAATCCTCTTGTTTTCGAGGGGGTCCTAAACACTTGATTAAGTGTCTGTTTTAAGGTGCCCTGCAGTTTCTGTTTTTTGCGCATCTTTCTTTTTAAGATAGTATAAGAAACACTTCTGTTTTAGACACTTGGCTTACTTTGTTAAAGCGGTTTACCTGTCCAGCAGAAAGGTTACAGAGTCACCAAGATCCCAAAGTGTCCCCCATCACTGTTGACCCGGCTTTTTAGCTCTTGTCGGGTCTACCTGTTTTTTTAAGCGTCCGTTATTCCGCCAGAGTCTCCGGTATTTACTTTGTTTTCTTGCTTGTGTCGGCAGTCGTGGTCAAAGGAGGATTCAGACAATTTTCCGAACTTTCTGGTTGGTTTCTACTGTCCGATATTGTAGCAGGCTAACTTTGTTTGGGGAACAGCGACTGCCTCACAACCAATCAGGTTGGAGGAGGTGGAGAATGGCTTTGTTTACAGTCAGAAAGAGCGGGCCGTTCAAAAATCTTAAAATGTTGACTACACAGACATAACAAAACACAGCGATATCGTTATATTACCAAATGTCATTAATAACTAATAGCTATTGACTGAAATTAAAGCTAAAAAAAGATGCTTCTTTAACCGATTCCTGCCTACCCCACCTTCAAAGGGTCTCCCTCTTGGTACCCTCATAAGCGTCCCTATTATTCAGTCTCCAAACACGCTCTTTCTAACGTTCCCTTCCTCCCACTTCTGTTTCGAAGTGTCTGAGGTTTATAATTAGAGAAACCCTCAAACTTTGGGGTAGTGCTCATGTCAGGCCACCAGCTTTGGTTCATTACTGTCATTTTTAGAGATCTTTTAAGACTCATGCTTCGAGGAAATCATTGATAACTTGATAAATCTTCCACAGTACCCCTGGGAGTTTTGTTTTTGTTTGGAGGTACCCTTTTGTGACTGTTTCAAGTAATTTTCTCACATGATTTTGATATTTAACAGCAAACTTTGTTACACATGGTAAAGTTTAGGAAAGTAATAACTCCAAACTGATCTTTGTTTCCATGTGATTCAAACTCCGGCCTGATGAAAGTCCTGCATTTGACCCTTTTGTAAGTATGTACTAATGTGAGATGAAAAGCAGACGATTTTTATCCTGATTGTGTGGGTTTTGTTTAGATTTAGTGTTCCTTTTGCAGAAGCACAGCAAATGAAAAGAGCCTGGTATATGTGCAGCATTTGGTATAAATAGAAAAGAGGTGAGGGATATAATAAAACACAGACAGATAGTTACATGTGGCATGAAATTCACGGTTAAGAACTGACAGAGAGAAACAAAAGAGAGGCTGACAGACACAAAGAGCGTGGGGGAGGAAGAATGAGGCAGTGGGGAGTGGAAGACAAAGTTTGGAAAGCGACTGAGTAGGGAGGGAGTCGACTTTGCGGGGGAGTCGGTCAGTTTTTCTCCTAGTATCCCTGTCAGAAGTTGGCCCCCGTTCAGAAACACACTCAGAGTGTGTGTCTGAGCTTGTATTAATCACAACGTGGGACTACAATCCATTCACATTCTGGGATCCTTTCCTGACAAAGAGCTAGTCCACAGGAGATTTATTCGAGGGTTGGAGACGGGTTTCTCAGGTTCAGGTTTGGGGGAGTAACATGACTCAATGAAGAGTCCCGGCTGAGTGACACAACCAAGTCTGAGAGTGTGTTCTGTCTCTCTCCAGCTGGTACTAAAGATGCTCTCATGGCAGATCAGGACCCTAACATAGTCTCTGCGCTCTCCATTGCGTTCATACACACTCATACAGTCGTACAGTGTGTTACCCCCAGCAGCCCCTGCAGGCGTGCAGCGTTGGAGAACACTGAAACCTAAGCAGAGAGCATCTCCCATGGGGGCGGCCAGGCGTAGGAGCCAGATTGAGGCCAGATGTTGCAGATGCAGAATGAGCACACAGGACCAGGATCCATTTATAGGTTCAGCCGTCCTAATGCACAGTTCTACACCGATGGAAACCAAAGCTGTTCAGAGCGGCAACTTTGCTGCTTTACTGGTCTGTTTGTGTCAGACTAAACTGTCATTTGGCTTTAGGATGTGATCTAAAACTGTTGTGCTGATGGTGTTGAGGTCTCTCTGTGGAGCGGCAGCTAAATCAGGACAAATTAGGAGCACTCTGGGGGTAAAAATGCCATAAATACTTGGACATTTGTGCAAAATAAAAAACAATATTAGAGATATCACAATAGGAGTGCCACAAGGATCTTTACTGGGGCTTAAATCCTTTTCCGGATCTATGTAACACATCAAATATTCTTAAGTACAAAGCTTTGGTTCACATGACTATATATGAAATCTTACTTTCTCAAACTTCGGTAACCACTTTTGTGCAGCTTTACTAAACGAAATAAACAAACAAATATATGAAAAATTCATGATACCACCGAGAATCTTTACGGACTTTAAGTGCAAAATACTTCTCATTTTAACCCAATGAATGAATGAGAAGTAAATGCTATTGGATGCTTTAAATTTCTACCTTTCTTGTAGGAGCTGTTTTGGTTTATATTGCAGACTGAGGACATAAATTATGAGCGTTTCCATTTAAACATCCCCATCCCTGACTGATACAGTATGACAGAGAGCCAAACTGCTGACTCTGCTGTTCCAAACATGACGAGTCAGAGGGGTCGTTTCCTGGGAAAAACCCTGTGGCAAACAGAGGTGATGTGTTATTGTGTGTCTGGTTTGTCATAAACAGAAGAAGACTCGGGGAGTATAAATTAAAGCTGATACAGCAGCTAAACAGACAGAAACAAAAATGAAACTAAGGATCTGAAATGATAATTTGCCCTTTAAACTCGAACTAAAGCCAAGTTTCGCTCTCTCGATTATAACAGTCAAAATTTGAAACAACAGCGAGAAACCAAAGTCCTAAACTCACGAGTTTGTTGTTTTTTTTGGACGGTATTAATCCTCATTTCAGTAGAAGCGACTTCAAGAGCCAAACAGTCAGAGGAACGAGTAATGCCGGTTCCTAAATGCCATTCAAACTCGTTCGTTATGTAAGGAGGTAGATTACCGGAAAAATTTGATTGAAGATGTTAGATTCTGTCGTTCACTTCTGCTTCTGGGACATAAGACAACAGTGAAGGAGGCTGCAGCTCCACCAGATCCAAGACTGTTATGACCAACACTAAGCAGATATTTTTCTACTTTGTTCAGCGGCCAGAGGTTAACTATGGGGAATTAAAGCAGAAAACAAAACTTCAGTAACTTTTGTTTAACTTCTCTTCTCTTTCCAGCCCACTTCATCTGTCAGCTGGTGACACCAACTCTGAGTGAAATAGAACATCCTGTCTCTGTTATAAAGCCTAATAAAGACAAGAGAGCCATCAGCTTCCAAACATCTCATCATTCAAACATCTTCTCCTCAGATATCTGCCAAGAGAGATAAAAACAGACTTCAGCAACAGTAAATATGACTTATGAACGCACAGGTTCTTGCATTCTGTATCTTTTGGACATTTTCCTCACATACCTCAGCGTGATAGCTGTATGGTAGAAGATGGGAGCTGCTCTCTGGATGTGATTGCACTTTGTTTTTTTTTACCATCTGAAAATATTTTGTTTCAACAGCCTGACTTTTTTTTCTGCTACATGTGGTCTGAGTCAGCGAACAGGAGCAAACAAGATCTTCAGTTCAAGGACAAAATTCTCTGAGTTTCTGCTTGTTTTTGCACCTGAATCAGTCTTCTGCTGTTCAGTGGGAGTTCGGATTTCAGTTTTTCTCGAGGAGACCCTTAAAAAGTGAGTCCAATCCAGATTTGCCTCATCAGGAGTTGTATGAATGTCAAACTATAGCTGTTGTGCCACTCTGTGCAGGTTTTCCAGCCTCATATCTGATCATATTGTGATGTAAAACGTGTTTTTCTCACGGTAAAGCTCCGTGCAGAGATCTCCGGCGCAGATACCCTCGTTAACAATAACCTAAAAGGCTATCTGTGTTTTTGCAGCGCAGAAATGAAACAATCATCTCTGCAGGAGAAATTCAAAGAGGGAAAAAGCTCTTGTTCTGGAGGCCGGCCCCGCCTCCTCCGCCTCCTCCTGCCCGCACAGGACGGGGAGGGTAGAAGTGAAGGAGTCAGCTCTCTGCCATTGTTCTTGGTCTGGAGGTCTGCAAACGGAGCAGGACGGGACGGCGCTGGTCGGGTACCGGACGGCGGGTCTGTCGTTATGACGGGCTCCGGTCCGAAGCTCGGGGTGCTGCTGTTAGTGGCGGTCCTGCTGCAGACTGTGGTCGTCACCATCACCGTGCTGCACTTCACCACGGCTCTCAACTCGGTAAGCAACAAGTAGAAAGTTTGGACTGGGGAGCTGGAGACGCGCGGGGGACTTTACGCATCACCGCACGGTGCGTAACGCGAGACTGAACGCAGTTATCAGCAAACTGAACTTTTGGTTAACTTTAGAGACTTGTCTTTAAGTTTTTAGAGACTTCTGTCGCTTAAAGTTTGTTCTGGGAACTTTCTGAACTCGATTGGGTGTCCTCTGGTTCTGCTGCTGCGCTCCATGGCACACGTCTAATCTTGTCTTTTTCTGCACAGTGCACTGCAGGCAAGAGAAAAGTGATTCTGCACAATCCAGCTTCATGCACTGACACACTTTCACATGCTGGAAAAAAAAGAGGACAAGGAAGTATTGGCCTCCTGTAACAGAGGTGGACTGCAGCTATTTTTATGATTAGCTGTGATTATCAGGACCAGTTTTCACTGAGCTGCCTGAGTGTGTGTGTGAGTGTGTGTGTGTGTGTGTGTGTGTGTGTTGGACTCGCTCTGCTTGTTTTAGTGAAGCCAGAGTCCCTTGGTTACCTGGATCCAGTCCAGCTCAGCTCTCAGTGTGTGTTTACAGGAGTTAATCATTAAAGCTGCAGCAATATATGGGAAGATGAAACCTAAACAAGGAGAGGGATGCATGCCAGGGAATAATGTTGACTCAGGAGTCTGTAATCGAGATAGTGTTAAAGATAAATACTGACGTTCATGTGAGAAGTTATTGTCAAGGATAAAAATTAAGTTTCGTCCAGGTGGAAACAGAAAGTCAAAGCCGTGAATACCTCCTCAGGGTGTGATTGAGGAGAAATGAAAAGAGATGTTTCCTCTAATCGTGTAATTTTTCTTTGCAGATGAAGGAGACGTTTGCGAGAAGCAGCGTTTCTTGTCTGACGGGTTCTGACCTGCAGAGCATCACGGCTGTCCGAGGAGATCCGTGCTGGCAGGTCACCCAGCAGCTCCACCTGCTCATAGAAAAGGTATCAAGCAACCCCAAACACTGACCTCCATAACCACAACATTGAGGCTGTATCCAACATTACATCACCGTCACACAGCTCAAAACGACCTCCTCCTATCAGGATTTGTCCATCAGTATTAATGACTCATTGATTATTTGGCCAGCTGCTCAGATTTTTGGCGTTCACAACACGATTTTCTTCTCCCCGGCCTGCTGTGGATCAAAAACTCCCCACCCACTGCAGTTTGGAGACATTACTAATCCCTCACACTTCATCTGCAAAAGGCCAAACGAAGCTTTCTTCATATTCAAGGGTCTCTTGTTATCAGATCTTTTACAGTGGGGAGTTTTACAGTAAGTTCAGAGTCAGTTTCCCTCCCTGGATGACAGTTCTATTCAAGATACTCAAAGCTGTTTAGGAGATCATTCACAAATCAAATAGTTCATGTGGAGGTGCAGCGAACAAATCTGCCTCATGCTATTACAAAAGACGGGGTTTAAAATTTCTGATTTTCTTGAACGCATCAGAAATGATCGACTCTTACACTGTAAAGTTGTTTTCTTCTCTTCTTGAGGGAAGACCTGACAAAGTCTGACTTTTACCTTTTACAAAAGTTCCACCATGATGTTATTTCAGGAGTTTAAGACGCGTTTAGTACAAAAAAATAAAATAAAAACAGTTTTTTGGGGGGGTTTATGCTGTGTAATGACTTGCTGGGTTGTCGTATTAACTTTTTAGGGTGCAGTGTGAGTACAAAGACAAATTTTGTGATTTTTTAAGTTATAGTTTTTGGCTTTGTCACATAGGACAACTGAAGAAAGACAGAGCATATATGGGGAGTAGAGAGCAGTGGGAGATATGCAGCTAGTTGTGGCTTGGAGTTGAACCAACAACCTCTGCAATATGTACTACGGCTCCTCTATGTGGGGCTCTTGAGCCACAAAGCCTCGAAATAAAGGGTTAATCTGTAATCTTGTCCTGAAGCTGTGAAAGTCTTTAGATTTTGGATTTTAAAGGTGTCATTTTAGGGTCAGTCATCAATTTCAGGTTAATTAAAAATGACTCAGAACTTACAGGTAACAACAGTGGTATCATAACTGTGACAAGACAACACCCAAACTTTTTCATTTCCAACCAACTGACCTCAAAAAACGCTTTCAAAATGAAATTGTTGTATTAGTAAAAAACTTCCGGGTCTCGAATTAAATAAAAGTAAAAGATATCAGAGATTATGAAGGACATGAAGTATTCATAAAGACGTTACTGTGAGGAAATCTCACAGTCATTATTGGTATTATCATCATGAGGAGATTCCTGAGCTCTGAACATGAGCAGTCTGCAGAAAAATACTGAAATGATCCTCATCAGTGTCTGCAGACGCACAATGAGCTCCTTCATAGCTGGAGATGAGATGTGATCCGGAGGTTTAATCAGAGCAGGAATGTGTTCACCTGCTCGGCTCTCAGATTCACACACACACTTAGAGGAAAGTTTTCCTCCTCTACTCGGAGTTTCCTTGTTGCTTTAGGTCCTCCCCCTCCTCTCCAACTCGGCCGCTCTCTCTAACAACACAGGCCGGTATTTTCTGACTCAGCTGTGTGATTAAATTTAGTTCAGAACACAAACATGAAGCTGGCAGAGTTTGACCCACAACATGGTTCTGTTTTCTTGACCCGGCGCGCAGGATGCTGCTCAGTTTACGGTCTCATGGAGCTCACGTTGGCTTTAGTCATGATTGTTCTTCTTTTATTAGGAGCATGACGGCTCTGTTTCGGCTACAACGATCCAATTTTGTGGACGTATCATATCCAACAAGAGAGGCATATCATCCAATCGCTGTCTTCTGTATGGGAAAAAGATGTGACTATATTATTTCTCTGCTTTTGTGGTCTTAATTGACAGATGGGAGGCAGTGGGTAAAGTAGAAAATAGGGGAGAGAGCGGGTAATGACATGCAGGAAAGACGCCACAGGGGGGAATTGAACCCCGGCCGCTTGAACACATTGGGTGGGCGTAAACCTATCCGTGCCCCAGAGTGCATTACTCTCTAATTTACCAGCCTTTCCTTTTGAAATATGCTCAGTTCTTCATTCAGTTTGACATATTTGCTGCTAAAAGTTTGATTGTTTGCAAATGCAGCAACATCAGGGCCAAGCTAACAGTGGTGCTACATCAAAAACTGTGAATCACTGTCAGTCCCACCATCTGGAAACACTGAATGTTTTTGTGAAAATTGATGACAGTGTGGGGTAATTTAGACATAACTCAGTCTGGACTGAAGTTTCGGACTGTTGAGTTGAGTTCTGCTTCAGTTTCAGGTCACAGGAATCATCTCAAGAGACATTTTTTAACATAATTCTGCATCTTAATCCATTTTTCACAGTCTAATTTCAGCTTTGTTGTTGTTAAAGCCGTGAATTGTTTTCAAAGATAACTCATTTAACTCTCTTTCCTCCTCTTACAAATTAGATTTATTCAAGTATCGACTGCTGTGGGAAAACATCCCTTTCCACTTATGCTGTTTTCGTTGCTCACTGATGCTCGAAGAATGTCCGTTTTTCATATTTTTTCAATTTATTATAACTTTCAGTCATGAATCTACTCCAGCGTTGAAAATTGTTTTCATCAGTTTGGCAGCTTTTGCATCTTCTGGGGTCGAGATATTGAGCAAAGGAGCGTAAAACAAGAGGAAGGGAGAGGAGAGGAAAGGGTTTGATTACCAGGAAAAAGATCTATTACCAACCTGAACATGAAGGCGACGACACTTCCTGATCCTGCAGTCACAGGACCTCAGGGTCAAAGTCTGGCCTTAGGAACCAGCTGAAGGCTCTTCTGTGAAGAAAGTGTTTATTTGTTGTTCAGTCGGTTTATTAGATCATCATGATTTCAGTTATTCTTTTATTGGGAGTGGATTTTGTTGTTGTCTCATGGGTCCCGTTTCTCTCTGAAAACATCATCCTGACTTGAACCCACTTCATGAAGATATTATATAATGAGTATCACTGCTGATAGGTTACAAAATACACTGTAAATACTTCTTAAAGCTCCTGTGGGGGATTTTCATTCAGAATAATGTTTCTCACTGTGATTGTAAATGCTACAGCCTGTCTCTCCTAAAGCTCATTCTGTCCCTTGGCTTTTCAGTCACACACAGACAAAAATACCTGCCTCCTCCTCCTGCTCTCCTCTCTCCTCTTGTGGCTGCTTGATAGTCTGCAATGCTACACCCATGTTCTGCTGTTCAGGAATAGAGAGGGAGAGTGGTCTTCAATAAACATATACCCACTGAGCCTTGGACGTCTGTTAGACATCTCATCTTAGTTAAGACAGAAATTGGCCCATTTATAATCGGTCCATAGTTTAGCCAGAATCTAGATGATAGAATTTAATCCATCAATTATTAAATATTAAATAAAAATCAACTGTGAGTTGTATAAATGATGGCCAAAAGTTGCATTAGAACCTTTTTAACAGTAATTGATCGATGTACCATGTAGTTTAGTCTATTAGTCGGCTAAAAAAAACATTCATTTTTAGACTGATTTAACTCAGATGTCTAAGGACCATTAGACGTCTATTAAATGTCTTTTAGATTGAAAAATGCTCGGTGGGTAAAACACAGTTGAGCAACAGCAGACACATTATTAGAGTTCTTGACCGTTTGGAGCCATTATTTGTTTCTGAAACTAAAATCCAGTTTATTGCCCAACATGATCCTCTTTAAATGTTTCCCACAGCAAAGGAACAAACCCAAAGTTACTCACAGTCGTTTGAATAAACATTTTTTTGTCTCTCCTGCAGTCGCTGTCTCAGCGTTACCAGAGGCAGATTTCATCAGCAGTAAGAGGTAAGAGACCACATACAGAATTCCTCATACTTTTTCTTTAGCATAAATTAAGTAAATAAGATTTATACAACTTTAATTCCAAAGTCAGACTACATGTGATAAGCAGGATTACGGCCCAATCCAGGACTGTAAACTCCATCTATCAGCTCCACGCTGTACCAAACCGAGCTGCTCGGCTTTGACCCCAAACAAAGAAACATGAAACCGTAGCTGCTGTTTTTGCTAATTTACAGTTCCTCTTGGTTTGTTTTAGAAAAGACTTCCATGTTTTTTCTGATAAATCTCTTTGGCGGCCGACTAAAGGGGACAGAGTTTGAATTCAGGGCGCCGAGGGTCTGAAACAATCTGCTCGAGGAAAGCAGGGCAGCAGAGTCAGTGATCTCCTCTAAATCCTCCATAAAACAAACTTTGAGCTTAAGAGGTTTTTCTCCTCAGTGGATTTTTTCCAACTGTATATTACTTTTGTCTTTTGTGTCTCTGAACTCCGCATCAGTATCTGTTTCCTTTTAAACCCTGATAATTTTAGGATTTGTCTCTTTTGTTTTGCTCTCTTTGAAGGACACTTTACGATATAAAACTGAAGTGCTCCATAAATAAAGAAAATGATTTCAACCACAAGATTTTAGGAGTGGGGTGCAGATGCAGGATGTTAACGTTTTGGTTGTGTCTTTTTTCTTTTTTATGTAAGATGAAGTGTCGCGTGTGCTGCCCTCAATTGTGATGGTTGACAAGGCTTCACCTCGCCCAAAAGTCGCCGCCCATGTCACCGGCAGCTTCGTGCCCAAACTGGGGCAAGACGGAGGAGGTGAGTCCTGAAATGAATTACTTTCACAACCTCTGAGTCAAACATCTGAAACACAAAGATTAATTTTAACTATTTCTTAAGAACTAAACAGTGCAACTGAAACTGAGAGACAAACAGTTCAGCAGAGGAATCTCTTAACTTTGGGGCTCCGCAATGGCAGAATGGAGAAATCATTGGGCTCCATGCACAGAGGTCCATGTCCTCGCAGGCTTGGCCCTTTTCCTGATAATTCTCCTCTCTTTTCTTTGGGTTTCCCCCCTTTCTACAGTCTGTCTCTAAAGAGGCATAAAAACTCTAAATTAAGAGTATTAGTTTTGGCAAACGCGGCTTGTTTTTGTTTTGGTACCTTCGTCAGTTTTTAATGAACATGTCCTTGTTTCAATCTTTCATTAGGTCTTACTGTACGGAACATTCATCCTTTTATTCGTTCTGTCTCGGTGGAAATACTCACCTCCCATGTTGTTGTTTATTTTGAATCTAATTGTGCGTCTGTTGTTGTGTTTGGCTCAGCTTCGGTCTTCGCTGGGCGTCGGGTCCAGGGCCAGAAGATTTCGTGGTGGGAGGGCCAGAAGGGGCTGGCCTTCCTGCAGGATGTCCAGCTGGTGGATGGGGAGCTGGTGGTGCCACAGCCGGGCCTCTACTACGTCTACGCTCAGACCTACTTTAGACACACCCACTCCCTGGAGGAGGAGGGTGAGGACGGTGAGGAGGCGGAGGACAGAGGGAAACCTCTGCTGCAGTACGTCTACAAAAAGGTAAAGATGGCAGCAGAGTTGACAAATCTCTTTGTCCTTTCTCAGGGTCTCATGTTGTGGTTTTTTCTTGTTTCATACTGTTTTATGGTGCTTTATGTGAGGGTTGGATTTGTTTTATTGCACTCACCTCTACTGTGGCATCCCTGGAGGACCTCTCATCACGATGAAATCCAAAACAAACATCCCTAATGGGAAAATAGAAAGCAGAAAATGTATTGATCAATTTGCTTCTTTGATTCACAATTATTCCCTAAATGTCACCTTTATAGACATCAACTCTACATCACTAAGTTTACATCTACAGTAATGATGTTAAAGGAGCAGCACATTGTGTGGTGTAGATATAGTTACACAGAACAAGAAAACAAATTTGTATTGAAGTGTGTAATAGAGAGACAACCAGGGAACATGTGGAGACAATAAGAGGACGTGCTCAAACCCGGCCCAAATGAAAAGAGGACATGTTTAAATGGTTTTCTTCTCGCTAATAGCTTACATCTACAGATCTAAAATATTGTTTTCCAGTTATGTGTTTTGGGTGTTTGAGAGGCTGTTAATTAGTTTGGACATCATGTTTCTGTTCAAGATCCAGATCCTGAGTTTTGGATCGTCACAGATGGGTCACAGATGTTTGCTTTCAAAGACTTATAGAGAGATACCCTCATGTTTATTCTGTCTCTCAAAGGCAAACTGAAGGCGCGGGTAGCTATTTGGATTTTGATGTCTAATAACGCTGTTTTCATCTAGCAGTGTTGGGTCTTCAGCCTGACCCTCGATCAGTAACCCCACCTGCATGATTTCAGTCAAAGACGGACGCCTCCTGAGTAACTTCACACTAAATATCTCTGCAGTTGCAAAAGAAAGTTGTGTTTACGAAACAAAAACTGGTGCTTATTTTCTAAATTATGGTCTTCATAACACACGGACAATCATTACTTCATCTGAGCTGTGGTTCTTATTAAAATGAACAATATGAAACATTTGTATTGTGAATATTGGACTTTCACAGCCAATAAAACAGAGAACATTTGGCTACAGACCCTTTTTTTTGTAAAATGAAAAATCCCAACCATCCCTGTAGTTTTTCAGTTTCATATTTTCGGTTTTATGTGGTCCAAATCGGTGTAAATTTGTTGCTGTGAGTGAGAACATGAAACTCTGACATTGTAAACGTCCAAACATTTCACACCTGAGCGCTGTAACACTCACCTCTTCTCCTTCTTCCTCTAGGTGAGCTCCTACCCAGTCCCCATCCTGCTGATGAAGACGAGCCGAACCTCCTGCTGGTCCCGGGGCTCCCAGTTCTCTCTGCATTCCGCCCACCAGGGGGGGTTGTTCCCGCTGAGCACCGGCGACCGCCTGTTCGTCACTGTGACCAACGCCTCTGCTGTGGACATGGACGAGAAAAGCAGCTTCTTTGGGGCGTTTCTCATCAGTTAGATGATCGTAGATTCTGCCATTGGATCATCGAACCTTTCACCTTTCTATTTTCATGACAGATGATCTGTTCGGTGAAATATCGAGACTCCTCCTGAGGATGAACCCAAAATAATGAAAACTGTGTCTCAATTGGAAGACGGACTTTCTTGTCTTTGGGATTGCAGAATGAAAAACACTGGTCTCATAGGTGGAGTCGAGCTCATTCTGTCTGTTTTCAGGGGATCAAAGTTGGCAGAGACGAACAAAAGAGATCTGGGTTTTGTCATGCAAACGTTTGTATCAGACAATTTCAGACATTCAAGAGTTAAAATTGAAGAAAAATTTCCAAACTTCACTTTAAACATAAGAAAACTTTGGTTTGGACCCTGTTTAATTTGGCCACTGTAAAGGTTCGCCAACCTTGAGGCAATGTTTGGTCGTTACAAGCTCAGACTGTGAATAAGGAGAGGATGTTATTTTTGTGGGTCTGACGTTTAATATTTTACTCTTCTAAATCTTTAGAGCCAGATGTGACCATATTTGGAAAAGAGGGAGGGGCTAATACAGAGGGGGTGTTTGCAAAAATGTTGTAGTTAGCAAAACGTGTTGACTTACGATGATTAGTGGCAAGTGTGACAACTGGAATATAAGAAAAAAAACGTTTCATACTTCACGTCTCGTTTCCAATCAAGTTTGCTCATTGTTTCAGAAAATTAGAAACAGGGGAAAAAAAACTTAAGGAGAAGTCGTGTCCTCCTCTTAGAGAAATCTGTAGTCTTTATTCGACCAGTGGAGTCGCCTCCTGCTGGCCTTTTATATAACTTCAGTTTCAGACCAAAGTAACTTCCACTCCTTAAACCCAGTCTGCAGGATGAACAACCTTCAAAAAACTGAATGAATTCAATTTTACTTCAGCCTGTCAGAAATTGTTTGAATGAAACTCTTGGTGGTTATCAGAATTGTTTTGATCTGTGTTTGTACAAAGGTGTAGATTTTTCCGATGTTCCTATTTTTGCTTTTTAACGAGCCAGCACATTTTTGGTGTTGAACTTTTTAATGAACCTTCCGCTCTTCAATTTTCACGGTTAGACGTCTGATCACAAAGGATGAGCCTGGTTTTTCTGAACCTAAAAAGTAAAGTTGCTGCTTTAGTCGTAACTACACCTCTGTCTTTTTGAATTTTGTTGTAAATTTGAAGCTTATCGAGCTCTGTGCTGTGTTTGTGTTGGCTGCAGCACCACAGCCTCTCCTTCAGCTGTCTTCTTTCCAGAGCGTCCATCATAAGTGTTTTCCAAATGGTGCATTAAACTCTCCCACAGGGCTGCAGCCTTGGGCATTCATGTCATGTTGGATTAACTGCAGATTTGACGTTCCAAACATCCAGAATAAACCATCAGGCATGTCAGAGCCCAACACAGGAAATGTGGGACTCTCTTTATCAAATCAGGAACACAAGCGCTCAATTATCTCAAAGATTTAAGCAGAAGTGAATGATTAAGGTTGAAGGTTATTTCTTCAATTTGGAAAAAGTTTAGGAAAAAACTTTAAAGGCTGATGGCATTGAAATTGAAGACATCTTTCATGGTGTGTTCTAATTAAGGAAAAGAAGGCCATGATGTAATTAAACAACACAAAGAGAAATCTCACATCATGGGTCAGCTATTTTAACAAAATGTTCCTTAACACAATTAAATTCACCAAGAAAAAGCTGTTTTTCAGAATCCCTTTTTCCATGACGTGACACACCGTGGCGCTTTACCCATGACGGCGCCAACGGTCGGATTTTTGTAGATATTTGAACACTTTGTTTTCTTTTAGTGAATTTTCACCGTTTTTCAGCTGAATGTGGATTTGTTTGTTTAAGTTTTGAGGTGATTTCTGTAGGAGAAATACTCCCTGACCAAAGACGTCAAAGACTTTAAAGGCCTTATTTGTCCTTCTTGACATGAAAGTGACAGAGCTTTGCTGTTGTTGGAAAGTTGTGAGGTGGATGTTCATGGTAACAATCACAGTACCTTTGTCTGGTCTCCTTTGGAAGAAGAGAAAATATCCAGCTGCAGTCAAATATCTAAAAAGGCATAAAAAAGTAAACATAAAAGTAAATTTGTATTGTTTGATAGATGAAAACTGACTGTGAATGTAAATAATCAGGTGGTTTTGTCTGTAAATATGTGAAATAAAGACAGTTCATAACCCGATCAATGCTTATTGGTAAAATGAGTTTCATACTGATATCTTTAAGGAGTGAAAAGTAAAGCTTTATACCTGCATTGAAAGGGAATTTCTGTGTGCATCATCAGAGAGGCCCAGAATCCAAGTCCAGCATGAAGTTTCCACAGTCTGAGGTGTCATCTGCTGCTGGTGGTCGACTCTGGAGATAGATTTCCTTCTTCTTTCTTTCCTTCCTGGCACCTGCCCACATTGTCAAAACTACCAGGAACTGGTTTGATGACCATGATATCACTAAGCTTGATCGTTCAGCCAACTGGTCTGACCCGAACCCTAAAGAGGATCTTTGTATCATCATCAAGAGGAAGATGAGACACCAAAGTAATCACTTACAAGGATAAATTCAGAATAAAGGCCTTATATTCTAACCTGTTGTTTAAGATGACAGTTGAGAGCCATGGAGCAATTTGTGAAAATGTACTTCAGCAGCACATTATCATTAGTATCATAATGATTTTATAACGACTTTATTCTCGTTAGTAATAATTTAATCTCAAAGTCCTATTTATTTTTTCTTAGTGTGGCCCTTATACTCCGTCATAAATTTGGAGTAATTGAAGGTATTTTACTGTAAAGCTGTAAGACTTTTCACATTGAGGCCAAAATGAGGTTCACTGATATGATCCAGTGTTCTAACAAGTACTTGAAACAGTCCAAAAAAAGTGAAGTAAAACTTTTACTGGCATACTTCTTTAACAGCTGGCAACTCAGACTGTCCTGATGAAAGAAAAATATCCAAAATCAGAGAAATGGAGCAAGAGTCCTGCAACCATAAGCCTGAAAAACTCAAAATAAGGATCAAATCAGTTGAATAATTTAACCGGAGTTATTTCATTCAACATTTTATAAAGTCAAAGCAAATGTTTGAGAGTTAATTCAGATGTGACAGTTGATTCTTTTGCAGAATTCAGTCATTTAGTTCTGAATATTTTTGAAAATTCTTCAAGACGGTGGTACCTCTTGAATACTGGATGAACAGGAGTGGTCTGCCCCCTGCTGGTGGAGATAAAAGGTGATAGATTAGGCCCCATGCTGCCCTCTAGTGTCAAGTTTCGTTAGCGCAGGTGGAAAAAACTCAAATTCAGCTCAGACAGGAAGTCAAATAACCACACAACACTTGTTAAGATTTTGATTTTCTTTCTTTTTGTGGAAATATGTTACAGTTATATTACAGGTATTTAAATGCCCCGAGGGAGAACAAAAACTGTTTGGAGACACCAGAAACTAACACTAAGAAGTAGACAGCAACTGAACCGAGACAGAGAAAAGTCCAGACTGGAATCAACAGACTTGACAGGCAGAGAGAGAGAGAGAGAAAGAGAGAGAGAGAGCGAGAGAAAGGGCTGAACTGACGCCCAACACGAAACCTATGTTAGGAGACGTCCAATAAATACTGCAAATGTTGTTAACACGAATTATTCTTAAAAACAAGCAGAACGAAAAAGACGAGGAAAACAGGTGTGCTCTCCTTCTTGAGTCCTTTGTGGTGTTTTAGCAGCATGTGTGTAGCTTCCAGAAACCAAAACGTTTGTGGTGACGACGTGCGGGGCCTGCAGTCAACCAGAGTTTTTAACACGAGCGAGAACAGATCAGAAACGTGGTTTAAGCAGAGAGTGAAGAAGAGGTGGGAACAGTGCTGAATACGAGAACACACAATGATTTTCCTGGTCAGTGAGCAAACCAGGGAGAGAGAGAGAGAAGGTTCATCTTTTATCAGCTGTTTGAAAGATTTTACAAGTGTCATGTCTTTGCTTTAGCTTCACAATAACATCTAGAATAATGTTAGGGTGTATAAACATTCAACAGACAGATCTGAACATACATTTGGCTGGTGGTTTTAATTCACATCCCTGTTCCTGCAGCGACTGATATCAAAACGTGAGTTTTTGTTGAGGTGAATAACCCGCAGAAGTTATTGTTTTAGGTCGAGCTGTTTTCAAAGTCATTATTTCTAGTAGTCAAAATACAATCTCCCTTCCAGCTGTGTGAAAATATTCTGGTTGAGTGCAGGTCTGCCCCTGCTCGGCTTCTGTTGGTTTTTGACGTGTAACTTATAAAATATCTCATAAAACGTCTTCTTTAAAGGAAACTGGTAAGTCCGCGTACAAAAAGTTCTTTCTCTTATATAAATTACACCAGTCTCTGTTGATGAAGATGATGATGATGATGATGTCTCCGTCGCAAGCTCCTCCCCTCAAACATACACACTCACATGCACGCACACATACACACACTGAGGCTACACGACATGCTCTACACATTACCCATAGTAGAGAAGAAAACAAAAAACTGAAGCTCTATCTGCACTGAAATGAAATCTCTGCACATACAGTAACGCTACATCTCCTCCTCCTCTTCCTCCTTCCTCTTCCACGCTGCATCTCAAAGCAAGACCACAAGCATGGTGCAGTTTCGGGCGATAAAATGGAGGGCGACCCTTCAGCTTCGGCTGGTGACCCTCGCTATCGCCTGTCACTGTAGCTGCCTTAGTTCTGGCTCCGTCCCCCTGCAGGTCCCTGGCACGCCCTGATGGATAACGCCCGGTTGGCAGGGGCGGGGGAATGTGCGTGACGACCGACCTCAGCAGTCAAACCGCATCTCCAGTGATTCCTCAAAGCCCCGGTTGTCGTGCCCCGTCCCTGACAGGAAGGCGGCCGTAACGGGGGCTCCTGTCGCAGTGGTGACATTAAGAAGGGTGTTGCCTGGAGAGCTCGTGGCCGGGCTTCGCAGGGCCGCCGCGGTGATACTGGTGAGATTGATACCGAGCGTGAGGCGAGTTTGTTCCAGGGCTTTCTCCGGCACGGCGAAGGCCTCCAACTTTTTCTCTCCATTGGCCATATAAGAGTTCTGACAGCCGCGGCAGATACAGTCCAGACAAGCCTGAGAAAAACAAACGTTATTAATTACAGCAGGATTGGAGGAATATTTACCAAACAACCAAAACAGCGTGCCAAAAAAGAATTTCCCAGAACAGAAATTTTAAACAGATTTACCACCAGATTAGAGCTGACAACGCTGATTAAGACAAAACACACCAGGAGCAGCGAATCTGACCAAAACCAGTGATGTTGGAACATCTTAAAAGGTGAATAACAGCATGGACGGTTTAACTGAGTTTAAAAAAAAGAAAACACAATTTTGAAACAAGTCAAAAATAATATCAAATAATAATCAAATAATATCAAATTGAGATTATTATGCTGGGAAAAGGCTGAAAATTGAAAACGCAACAATTCCAGCTTCTAATCACCGCTAAAACCACAAAATCCACCGACAGACATGAAGACAGAGAAAACAATCAGACTAATTCGATGACATTTCAACCATGCTACTAAATACTGCAACACAAAAAATGGGGGAAAAAAATGTGTGTGTCTTTTCTCCGACTGTTTCTCTAAATATCTAACCATGAGGCTGCAAAGTGATGTAGAGCAGCTCTAAACACAGAACAGGTTTTATTCTGACACCAGATCTGTGCTCCTCCATTCAGCAGCAGTTTTACTAATGCAGTATTATTGTATTATTTCATTTTAATCGTTAAATTCTAGTCCTGGTTATGCATACTGGGTTTTTTTTTAGGAATAAATGTTGAGTTCACACGGGTGTCGTATGTGTGAGGGAGGTTTCCAAAAATAAAATAAAATGAAAGAGCGCTGCTGTGGTTTGAAGATTGAGAAATTCTTGTGTAGAAGTCTTAACTTCCTTAAAACTGGCGGCCTTTTATGACTGTGTCAACAGAGTGTCAGCCACACGCATAAACTTTGAATGACACCAACTACGGTCAATGTAAACAAACAAGAATTCAGTTCAGTGTGACAAGGCTGAGAGTGGAAATCTCGCTCATCCTGCAGTATAAGATGAAGTCATTTGGATCAATATATCCTCCAATACCAATAATTCAAACAACAAAAGTGTGTGTGTGAGTGTGTGGTGTTGGTCTCTCTGTGTTGGTCTCACCTTGCGGTTGGAGTAGCAGGGACAGCGCTGCCCCCTGCAGGTCAACACTGAGGGGTTCTGTGTGGCTCTGCCGCACTTGCAGCCCTTCTTCTCCACAGGCTTCTTGTACAGTGGCTTCGAGGGGCTCGGTGGGTGAGTCAGCGGGTGAGTGTGGGGGTGAGGGGGGACTCTGTCGCGGGGTTGTGCTCGGGGCTTTGGGGCCCCCTGTCTGGCTTTAGTATAGGCCTTCTTTGGACCCCCGTGATGTTCAACAGTCTTTTTCAGGGCCTTGTTGGAGACCAGCACAGTCTTGCCCACCTTTGGGGGTCCACCGTTTGGCACGGGGGCCAGGTGGGGGTGAGACGTGGCTGCAGGGAACTTGGGCTCCTGTTTGGTGGTGGCACCAGGGTTCGGGTGATGGGGGGAGCTGTTGGCACCAAGGGGGGGCCCTCGTAGGAGAGTTGAGATGGGGAGGGGCTGTACCTTCTCGCTGTCGCTTTCTGAGCGGGAACGTTTGCGGTGGTAACGAGGGGGGACGTGAGGGATGACAGTGGAGGGCTGAGGGGGAGGCTGCATAGAGGGCTGCAGGTGAGGGTGGAGGGGGCGGGGGCTGTTCTCTGGGGGAAGAGAGGGGATTAGGCGAGAGGAGTCAGGGCCTGACGGGCAGTGAGGCCCGTTGAGGCTTGACTGAGGTACAGAGAGGGGGCAGTCCGGCTGGTTGGGCTCAGGGGCGGGGTCAGGGTCGGCGTCCGTCTCTAGAGTCCTGAGTACCTCCTCAACACTCAACAATAACGGCCCCCCGCCATGTTTCAGGTCATCCCCAAAACTGCTGATGTCACAAAGTCCCGCCTCCCCAGCCCCGGTGACGCTCACACACACCGGCATCTCCTCCGAAAAGCTCTCCTGCTTTGCAACACCTCCACCTGTTTCTATGGTGATGGGCTGCAGAGAGTCTGAACTGACCAGGCCATTACAGTCATGCAGTCCATTCACACTGACGGAGCTGGGATCCTCCCTCTTGATCTCCTTACTGGCCAGAGCTTCATCAGGCAGTACAAACTCAGAGGTGGAGGCTGTTTGTGACAGGCCTGCAGAGTCTGAAATGTCCTCCACCTCCGGCTCGCTCTCAGCCAACGTCAGACCCTCATTGAGGATGGCCTGGAGGTCTGGCGAGTCACTTGCAGCGCTGGCTATGTGCGGGGCGAGCGGCGACTGTGTGATGTAGAGACAGAGCTTCCTATAACAGTGAACGAGCAGAGAGAGCTGCCTGTTCTCCTCAAAGCGGGAATAGTCCTTACACCAACTACAGGACGGCTTCAGCTGCATCCTCTGACCTTTACAGCCTCGACAGACGTAGTGCTGACATGATGAGTCTGTGGGAGCGATGGGGTCCTGCAGCAGGTTACCTGCAGATAAGAAGAGTGAATGAAGTCAAATATGTCACACAAGTTTCACAGCCATTACCTGACACAATGTGGGCCTGCTATAAAACTCAGCGTGAGAAGGATTGACGAATTATTGCTTCCTCATTTTCAGAGTTTCACCAGCTTCCTACTCTGATATTTGTCAACTGAGTGGCATCTGGCAATGTTCCTGACTGAATGACAACTACCCTTTCAGAGAGGCTTCCTTAGCAACGCTAGTTGCTAGGCAGTGCAGCTGCAGATACCAAAGGGATGAAGGTGCATTCATGAGAAACAACCAACCCTACACACTTAGCACACTGCCTCAGTGATAGATCCCCGGTAACTGCAGGAAGCCTATATTTAACAGCATGTATTCTCTGCTTGCATATTGAGCTATTATTTATGCAGAGGAGGTGGAGGAACAATCAATATCTGCGAGTTTAATGAAGCTGCTCTTCTTCTCAATATTCCTGCACTCACAGCAGAACAAATAATCTCTCATCCTCAGGAGAAAACCCATTACAAGGGAATATATATTCACTCACGAAGGCAGCGAGGGCTGGTGCCTTCGAGCACTGTGAATTGAACATAACACCTAAATAAATCAGAGGACCCCTGTACAAGCAGACTAACCACAAAGCACCCTTTGATTAAACTACAGCCTGCTTTGCCAGTCACAACCACTAATGTTCAATTTTAATTAAATTCCTGCATTATTTTGTTTGTTGAGGGGTTATGGATGAGCAGAGTGAAGAAATGCATCCTTTTCGCTGTTCGTTTGCACAGTTATTATACACATGACAGAGAAACGTCCCAATGCTGCCAAAAACCACACAGAGGGGGGTGTGTCATGACGGGTGTCGCTGTGAATTATGATGCGTTCACTGCTCTCTGGAAACGGGTATTCAGATGTCATAAACAAGACTTGAATTCAAATGTCCGAGCAGATTTTCTTCTTTCTTTCTGTTTTTTCTTACAATGACATTTGATTATTAATGAAGGGAAAAGCATCCAAGTATTTTACTTACACGAATACATGAGCAAAAGTATTCAAAGTCAGGGAACTGATTTTACAAAACAGGGGCTATTTAACAGTTCTTGGGGTGAATGTTGTCAAATTATCACAACTTATTAATTCTAAGCCATTTTTATGGTTCACATCAAGAATGGATAGGGATAATACTTCATTACTCTATTACTTAGTATGGTGATGCACTTTAGAATTCATTCTATTTTACAGAATTTAAATTACCTCAAACCTGAAAAAATGCCCTTGCCTTTAAATGCTTTACTTCTTATTTATTTGCATTTGTGTACATTTAACAGCTAAATAATCGAATATAACAAGAAATAACAGTTTCATTACCTTATAACTAACATTGTTTAAATTAACTAAAATGCCAAATGACAAGCTACTAACGTTTAAACCTTTACAAGGGGCAATATATTAAATTTTCAGGACAATATTATAAAAATGTATGCAGATACTCTTATCGTGCATAATATCAATATTGTCAGACATTAGCTTAATTTATTCTTCAGGTTTCCATTTGCTATTCTTATTATTCTGTTATTAAACTCTTTATTTTCTGACTATGTTGTAGTTACAAATTTTCCCTCTTTTGATCAAAACAATGCAATCTTAATTTACTACTTTTGTTTACTTGGTTCATTGTCGATTATGATATTTCCGACTGTTCCTGAATGCAGCATTGTTTAAAGGTTCGCTCCCACTGAGAGCACAGCTGACAACAACACACGGTACCCAACACCTCTCTAAAACCACCCTTTACACAGGAAACACTGTCTTAATAAACAAAAACAGTAAAATCCACTCACCACAGACCAGGCAGGACAGGGACTGGCGGAAAAACGGCAGCAGTTTGCAGAGTTCCGCGAGAGCCCGGGGGTCTCGGGGGTCGCACTGCAGCACCGAACGGCTCGCGGACACGTAAAGAGAGGTCGCATTCACCGGGTTCATCTCAGCTGCCTGTCCCGGGTCTCCAGTCCGGTCCGGTCCGTTAGAGGTGTATTAATATGTTAAAAGTCACACAAAAGCACAAATGAAGCAGGCAGCGGCAAAGAGGCAACTCCTGAGGTAAAATCCGCGTTTTTGTCAATGGAGTCTGGTGGCTCTGAGGAAAGCATAGATGGATAAAATCGGTAAATCCCACATATAGAAGAGTCCGCGAAGGGAGCAATCGAGGTTACTCATCCCAAGTCACATCCAATCCATCCTCAATGTGATGTCCCAGCTTGAAAAAGTACTGATGCCTTCGATTTTGAGGTTTCCACTGTGTTCACATTCACAGATAGATCATACATGTAAACGTGGGTTCAGTTTCTTTCCATACGGTTTCTTGAGTTATAACAACACAAAGCATTTCATCGTAAAGTGATCCAGTTTGCAATGATTTCCTCCTAATAAATCCATAGTCCACATGCATGCTTGTCCAGGTCCGGAGTTGCTATCACACGATGCATTTCTTTTTCACACCTGCTACAACACAACGCATTTATTTCTCTTCACAGCGAGGCTCCGGTGCGGTGCTGCACCAGCAGGCTCGTTATGGTTGTGTTATTGTTCGCGGAGAAAACAAAACAGGCCGCCCCGGCTGCAAAAGCTCCTCTTTGGAGGGAAACGCAAACAGTTGCACGCCAATAGAAAATAGGATCCGAAGGCAGAAAGGCCAAGTTTGTGAGAGCAAAAATAATTCCACAGCTATGAAGCCTTTCTCGGTGGAAATTAAAATAAGCCAGTAAAAGCACCGGGCTCTGGTGACAGGACTGGCCGCCTGAGTCGCACCGGGAAGCCGGCTAGAAAAGCAGGCCGCGTCCCACTCCTCGGGATTAGCGGAGCTCTCTCGTTCTCACTGCTCGACTCGGTGGGAGTAACGGAGGAAAAACGGGATTTTAGCAGAAATTACGACCCTCTGCAGCTTTTGGTGGGCGTAGAGGGTGTCAAAGAAGACGCAAAGTGAATTAAATCCCTGTTTGTATATCTTGCTATCGTTAGCCACGGAGTATTCCTCATACCTCCCGTCGTTTTTCCACACACAAACAAGGGGGCGCTCGAGCCGCGATATCGCGAGAACATCTGTGACGCGGTTCATTTAAAAAAACATTGGAGCGCGTGACAAAAAAAAGGGATTTTCATTCAACAAAATTTCCGTCAAATTATTCAGTTTTTAATACAACTTCAAATGGTGCAGATATGTCAAATATTGAAACCGAAAAAGAAGATTTTTTTTTTAATAAAAAATATTTACTTATTTTAAATTTAATGTAAAAAGATTTAGGATTAAAAGGATAAGAACACTGTTGAAGTCGTTAAGTGCTGAGAAAAACATCTAAAGGATAATTTATAAAGTCATTTAGTTAAATTGTAACAGAATAGTAACTTTACTGGGTATGAAAAGACCACCACAGAGGAGCTGAGTCTCTAATTACGGTCCCCATCTGTGGAACAGCCAACCTGCAGACCTGAGATCAACACCTAATGTTTATATTTTTAAAAGTAAACTAAAGACCAACTTTTTTAGTCTGGCTTTTAGTTGAATTTTAATCTGCCTGATGTGATTTTACACTATTTTAGTCCTGGAGTAACTATTTTGTGTTTTATTACCTCTTTTTTTAATTTACTATCTTTTTTTTGTTTGATTTTAAGACTGTTTTATTTAACTAACTTTTAACGCCTTTTCGACTTGAATTTGACCGCCCCAGGACTCCAGGCCTTATTAAAGAGAAGTTCCTGGAATTAGAATTAAAATTATCTCAGCATAAAAATCGTTACAGCTATTAAAAGCTTCTGTATGGAACTTTGCTTGTGTTGATTTTAGCACCCCCATGTGGACAAAATGTTATCTCTTTTATAATTTTATCTTCTGTGTGTTCTTGTAGTGCTTCGGGCAAAAGACTTTCTTCCTGTTTTGTTTGAACAGTGAAAAATACCTTTTTAGTCGAATTTTAATCTACCTGATGTGATTTTACACTATTTTAGTCCTGGAGTAACTATTTTGTGTTTTATTACCTCTTTTTTTTAATTTACTTTATTTTATTGTTTGATTTTAAGACTGTTTTATTCAACTAACTTTTAATGCTTCATCACCTTTATTATATTTTATCATGGTTTTATCGTTTTAGTCCAAGATCCAGTGTTTCCTCATCTTTTTTAAATCAAGATAGCGTTTCCTCAGTCATCTGTGGCAAGTTGAAGAGTCCTCACCTGGTCTTTTGTGTGTGCATCTGTGTGTGTGAGTGCTGTGTGTTAAATGGGGGTTGGGAGGGTGGGTGGGGTTTGGTTTTGTATTTTTATTTGTTTTAATGTATTGTTTTTTAATATCCTGATCCTCCTAAGTATGATTGATTGATTGATTAAAAATGGGAAAAATGAGAGACTATGAGAGGCAATAATTCAAAAGTTTCAGCATCCTGTTCCTCGGTGTAAAACTACAAAGAATTCGAGGATTTTATCAATTGTGGTATCTCATATCTTTAAAAGACAGAAAGTCTGAAGAAAAAGACAGGCCCTCAGGCAGCACTGCATTAAAAATAGACATGACTCTGTAGTGGGAACCCCTGCATGAGCCTAAAATCACGTCCAAAAATTATTGTCATTTCATCCAGGTATGCAGGTTAAAACTGTGTCATACAAAATGGAAACCGAACACAACAGTATGTCTCTGTAGTAGAAGAGTCATGCTGCTAAACTGGCCTGCCTGCAGCCCTGAGTTGTTTCCAATTAAATACATGGATCAAATGTTTAGAAAAATATCAAGTTTCTTTTTTTAAAGCTGTTTTACACAGTGTCCCTACTCTTACAGAACTAGGGTTAGTTATAAAAGACTAACTGCCATTTTTGTGCACTTGTAATCCAGTGCCTTCTTTTTTAGAGAGACCAGCAGACAGCCAGTGAAGAGTGCAGTAGATGACAAATTCCTCTCACAGTGCTGCCCACACTTGTCAGTGAAATAAATGATGTGAACAATAATTCTGTGTTTTCATGAGTCATATGGGAGTAGTTTGGTTTGATGATGAAATGAAAGCAGAGAAGGATTTCACAACAGAGTGTCACCACTGTGGGGTCAATATGAGGTTCAGTGAGGACAGTTTAATAAGACAGGCTAGTAAAGCGGTTTGAATCCCTTGAATCCCTTATTGACTGATAAAGATTTTGAATTAACAGTTCGATGTTTCTCATAGTTTTCTTTTAATAATTAGAGTCAAATTTAAAGTTTGAAAAATGTCAAATATCTATAACCACACTGAAATAGTGCCTCAGTGAAAGCAGCTAATGGTTACCAGGGAAATGTAGCAAAAGTACACAAACTCAGCGCAGGAAGTGTCGCCTGTGGCTGTCAGTATTACTAATGATATGACATATTCTATTTTTAGATAATTACTAATCATAGACAGATGTAGAAATAAGAGTTTTACTGTTGAAGATGTTGGAGGAGGTGGGTGAAATGACTTTGCACTTTGTAATATGTAATATGTGACTAATGAACTTCATTACAGATGGAAAGTCTCTTTTTTTCCATGTGTACTTTTAAATTATTCAAAATTATGGTAAGAAATGTCACAAATCCACAAAATTACCGGAAAGCTCTTGTATGGAAATGTTGAAACAGACTGGAATAAATATTGGTGCATTCACATGACATGCAAATGCAAACTGGACATGTGATGTGACATGATTAATGAGGAGTGATACATTTGACATCAGAGCATGACAGGATGGCAACACTTCTTAGACATGTCCCAGACATGATCAGCCAGGGTACTGCTTTCTCCACAGGGGGCGCCAGAGTCAACACAAACTGAAAGGTCCTCATGGGAGCTTTAAAATTTATATGTAAGGGCACTAAAGTGATTCATTCTGTCTGAACATTTTTAACTTTACACAATTACAGTAAAATTTGGTCCAACGAAAAAAGGACTCAACCTTAAAAAATAACGTAAAATATTTGTGAGCCCCAAATAGGTAGAAATGAGTCAGAGGCCGCTACCCTGTTGAACCCAGCGTGTGTGCATGTGGATATAACGTGGTGCAGTTTAAAGATAGTTCAGTGTAACGATGGAAACTGTGCGAGTTTCTGTCTGTGAATGAGAGAGCGTGAGAGGAAGAGAGAGGAAGAGAAAACTTGTCATGGAAGTTTTCTGACAATTCCTGTTTATCGGTAAAAATAGTGACAAACTTACACCCACTGAAAGACACACTAGGAGGAAAGGAGACACCTCTCCATGATGCAAACCCTCTGATTCTGTGTATCAATACCCTCCCCTTTGGCCTTATTTCCTTTTTTGTTCTCCTCTCTCGCTGTGCCGGACATGAAACTCCACTGGTCATGCAATGAGACGGTGCGAAGCTGCTCATCAGCAGGGACTTTCCACTATGAGGATAAAAATAGCTCACATTTCCAACAGTGTCATTTTGACCGCTAAGATTACTCAATCAATCAATGAGTTCACGGTAATAGAGCATTTGTCAGCAGGTATTTTAGTTTCATTTTTAAAGTTGAAATTTCTACAATTCTCTAGTTTAGCTTCATAAAATAAAATATTTCCATACTCTCTGTGCTGAGTTTTAAAGTTAATTGAATTAGCTCAGAGTTTGGAGAGTTGGTTGCTGAGAACAGGCTGGTCTCAGACTTCCCTGTGGACTTGGAGAAACTATAATTAACTACAAACTTGTGTATTAATGAAAAATGAAACTAAATGTTCGATGCAGCCACACACGTCTTGATAACGAACATTTTTAAAAGTTGGATAAGTTAATTTATGGACCCTGATGTTTGTACTGAAGCATTTGAAAGTACTCAAGTGAACAAACTTTGACTAAAGTTGTATTGAAAATCAAGAGGCACATACCAAAATCAAGTTTTATCTTTTTGTATTTTTTCCTGCTTTAGCACAACTTTTAAAGCTCAAATAAAGACCACATCAAATTATAAATTTCAAGAGTGCTGTTGTTTCCATCATCTTTCCAACAGCTGATTTTTAATTTACAAATACCTTAAAATTTTGTGTTTAAGAGGCACTTTTAGTACTTTTTCTGTCATCTCAACTGTGTGTAGGGACTGAATTTATCTAATAAACTGATGTTGACTGATAATTACTTCACCTTACCTGCTGCCAATGGGATTTGTGACGACATGAATTTGAGCTCCAGGACTCCAGGCCTTATTAAGGAGAAGTTCCTGGAATTAGAATTAAAATCATATCAGCATAAAAATCGTTACAGCTATTAAAAGCTTCTGTATGGAACTTTGCTTGTGTTGATTTTAGCACCCCCTGTGGACAAAGTGTTATCTCTTTTACAATCTTATCTTGTGTGTGTTCTTGTAGTGCTTCGAACAAAAGACTTTCTTTCTGTTTTCTTTGACAGTGAAAAATCTCTTTGTGGATATTTACTTAAAAAGAGGTCTGTTTGTCTGCAGATAGTGAATATGAAAAGTGTCTGGAATATTTTGGATGCCGCTGAATTCCTGGAATGTGAGTAATTCCTCTCTAATCGCTCTCTGCAGTGTCTCATGGCACTGTGACTGTTTTTTTTAGCTCACTATGGTAACAGTGGATGCTAAGAATACTCAGCCTCTCAGTCTTTGAGGCTATTATTAGTGTGTCTCTGACCCATGAGTTTTGGAGATTCCCTACTTTTTGCTCGAAAAGAAAATTCAAAGAAAACTCGAGTCACTCAAATAATCGTTAAATCAGCCATTGAAATAAGGTCATAAAATGATCTGAATGAATAGACTTGTACTTAAACACTCATCTTTTCAGTTCATTAGTGAAGTTTTACACAACTCTTCTCATTCACCCATTCATACCACATCCATGAATACGGGACGCTGGAGTTGGAGACTATCAATATCGACCAAATCTATCCCTCTACATCTCTGTACCTTTTGTCCTCCATCTGGGTTTGTTTACTATCAGATCCTCAACCATATTATCAAGATATGTCAGTCGAACTATAAGAAGTTTGATTGCGTGCGAACTAGGAGCCCTGAAAAGTTACTCAAACTACCAAAAGCTTAAATCGTATCAATAACAGTCTGAGATTAGGTGACAATCAATCACAGACGTGGCTGCGAGGATGAATCCTGCAACATCACCACACAGCACCTGTACATATATGGACAAACTTGCCGTTTCTGTCCTCCACCCTGTCACCATCACCGCAGCAGCACGATTATTCCACCCCAGCATCATTACTCATGCCAGCTGTGGTTCCTCTTTTTACGTACAGCTACCGTATATAAGAACCCACTTCTACATGGATCCACATTATCAGACTTTGAGCATTCAGAAGCTGAAAGGCAAAATCAAAAGTCCGCTTTTAATACCGAGCAGTGTTTGAAGATTCGAAGGATGACTCTTTCTGCGGGCCGCTGGATTTTTCTGCTCTCCCTGGCAGTTGTGATGATCTTCTCGACGTCAGGAGGTAAAACTGAACGCTTGATCAAATCCTGCTTTTAAAGATGTGTGAGGGGACAGCAGCTTTTCTAGAAACAAAATAATAATGCTTGTAATAAATAATGAGCCTAGCAAAATTTTGAGGGATACTTTATCCAAGTTTGCAAATATTTATTTAAGTTATATCTTCTCGGTGATGTCTTGCTGAAAAGTGATTGTTTCTTCTCCTTGTATTAGGGTCAGCAGCCGCCTCTATTGATCTGGTAGCTGAGACCTGCTGCTACAACACCTCCGCCATAAAGATCCCAAAAATCAAAGCGTGCTACGAACAGGTGCCACGAAGGGACTGCAACCGTCATGCCTACCTGTAAGTATAGCATGCCTAAAATCAGGTTATCAGCTGGTGAGGTTATCCTAAAGATTTGAGCTCCACTTGGTCGTATTTGGTGTCAGGAGATAAAAATGTCTGATTGTTTTGTTTCCGTTTTCAGGGTTGTAAGCAAAAGAGGGAAAACATGGTGCATCAGCGACAACGCTCCGTGGCTTGTGAACCTGATAGAGAAGGTGAGCTATGAAACAACACGTTTATTATATTGTGATTCATTTTTTTTAGCATGGAGAATTTAGCATGACAGCTGACTTCTAAACCCAACCTGTGAAATAAGATGTCTCAGGGATTAAACACATCAAATTACAGTTTAAAGTGGTGAAATAATAACCAGTATACTCCTTACTTTTGTATTTTATCTGCAGTTATTTATAGGCTCATTTGTTTCCTACAAGAGTAAATAAACATAAGAGCCACATACAGACAGTATAAAAGCAGGTGCACCGGTGTGGTAGACATTTACAGTTGTCTTATAAATATGGCGTCTCATTTTGATTTCAGGGAGTTCTGGGGTTTAACTTGCATAGTAGTACATCTACCATCCAACACTTTTATGTAGTTTAATTAAACAAAGGTAAAAGGACTTACCCACACTGAATCATGTGTGGAGCTGTCAGAAAGTTGCCCTCTGGCGACATCTAGTGGTTAGTTTGAGTCATAGAAGAAACCTGAAATGAACAAATCACAGAGTCAATTGACGTCTAACTGCACTTCTCTGTCTTCTCTCTGCAGGGAAAAGTGAACTGCACTCAAGTTTAGTCCAACAATCCCGGAAGTTTGATGTGCCACGACCTGAAACATCCCTGTGAAACTGCTACCTGAAGCATATTCTGATATTTACTATTTATTCCTTTTACACAAATATCTATTTAAAAATAAAGTTATTTTTGTATTGAATTTATTTATAACCTTAATCTGGATTTTAAGATGTTATTTTGTTAAGAACCAAAAATAAATCATGTCTGCATGATGGCTGAGACTTGTTCCTTTTCATGTGTCCTGTCTGGTTTTAAAAAAGATTTCTGTGACTGACTCATGCTGTAACCAGACTGAGTAGTTTTAAAAATCAGGGGCAAATGATAAAAAAATAACCTCAAGCACTTTGATTCATTAAACTAAAGAAAGAAGGAATAATGGATTCAAAAAGGTTTTAGTCTAAAGTCACCATTTACAGACCCAAATAAAGAAAAAGTTTCACTTAAAGCTGTTAAACGCAACCCCAACAGTTGATTTCATCACAACTGTCACCTCTGATAGGACAAGAAACCAATCACAACAACTCAGTGGCCAATCAGATCTCAGGGGTGGCCACAGCACACCTTGCTGCAGCTTTTTAAAGTCCAGCGGTGTAGAAGACAGAGCTCATCTCTTCTCTGACTTCATTACAAATTTGTGCCTCCAAAAAGAAGCGCTGTTTTAACCTCTGAGTGCAAATAATTTCAAGTGTTGCAGCCACCACATGATGCATTCAATGACCATGGAAAATGCACGTTACCCCTGGCAGTGTTTGGTGCTTTGATTTAAGTAACAACCTCAGTCATATTATAACAGAGCAACATTTTACAGCTGATTTACATAATGTAAGGTGTTTAATGTTTAAGATGAAACAATTATTTTCTATTAACTAAAAATTATAAAAGTGAAAAAGCCACTTTAAGAAAACTCACGGCTAAGCAGAGGGTCACTGAGATGTTGAATTATGAAACACAATCAGCATGTTTTGGTTTCAAACATTTCTGTCTTCAAATAGGATGTTGGCATAATTTAAAGTATCAAAGTGTTTTTAATTTTCCACAAAGTTACCCTCTGGTATAAGAACAACAAACCTGATCTTCAAACTCCACTTTCTTCTTTGTGGTGTGTGTCTTTCTAGGAACCATACTCCCACAGTTCCTCTTTTGGTGTGAAGCTGCAGTTTATAAGATGCCACCTACCTGGTTCACTTTCTCTCGAACAGTCAGAGACAGGGACGCCACTTTCAACTGAGGTCCAGAGTCAGGTTTGCTGCTGTCCAGCATTCGAGGATGAGGATGCCACTTTCTGCAGGACACTGGATCTGTCTGCTTACTCTGGCTGCAGTGACAATCTCTGCTGGACTAAGAGGTAAACAGATAAATAAACAGATTTTAATAGACTATTGTTGCTGCTAGTTCAATCAAAATAATGTCTCTGCAAGACTCTAGGTAGTTCAGTCTGTTTTTGCTCCTTTTTTATGACGTTAACTACTCAGCTTTAAAAGAATTTTTACCCAAAAAGTGACAAATATACACATAATGGTGAAGGATAACTACTCTGGTGTTTGTACATATGAGCTACGAGAAAAAATGAAAATAACAGAAACAAAATAACACTGTAGGACTCTTCTTTACGACCTGGATGTAAACAAGCACAAATAACAGATGGTTTTCTCATTGAACTTGTATACTAACACTCAGCAAGAGCAATGCATGACCAGCACAGACATGTGGACGTCAACCGGCAAAGACAACCAAAAGCTGGTGGTGCTACCTGCAGTCTTAGTAATCTTGTGTTGAGCTGTGTTGCATAAATTGTATTAATTTTTGGCTGTTTACCAATCTTTCTAACCTTGAGCCTTTCATTATAACCATATTGTTATGGTTATGAATAGAAGGTCACAATGAGAGGAAAAGGAAAAGGGAGTATAGTCCCTGTAAAGAGAGATGGCAAGGCGGTTCAAAAAGCAGAACTGTGGAAAAACACTGACGGAGAGGTTGAGACAATAACTACAAAGTTCCTGGTTCTACTTTAGACCAGACTGGGACTTTAATTCAGTCACTTTAACCTTTTTTTTTTTTTTGCAAGTCATCTCACTTTTTTCCTGTAATTATCCAAAACAGGATGAATCTCCTTCTGAAAAATGATTTCAAAGTTAGACTCTGTTCTTATTTGTTGAGATATCATTCAAAGAAATGAACAAAGGAAGTGTGTGAGATTTGGGGAGCGTACAAACTGCTCCGTTTTGTTTTGATGAGGACAGTCGCATGAAATACAGTCGTATGTTGGTTATTCAGCAGCAGATATTGGAAGGTCCAACTTGAATCAGAACATCAGAAACTCCACCCTGATTCTTCAAACTTGGTAACATCACCAAAATTAACTCTGTGTCTGGAAAAAGTCAATCATGTTTCCATCTCTTTTAGTCCTCCAGCATGAACGTAAAAATCTTAATGCTCAACAATAATGCCTCTCTCTTCATGCATGTGTTTGTTTGTTGCAGTGCGTACCTTTGTAGGTGAACCCTGCTGTTATGAGGCTGGCCCTTGGATAGGTGAAGCAATCATGAAGTGCATCAAACAGACACCCACAAAACAGTGCAAATCCAAGAACTACGCGTAAGTACAGCATGATTTAACCAAGCGTACTCAGTCTAAAATGTCATTTGATCAGCTAAAGCAAACAAAAACACACATGTATCAACAAGAGTTCAGTATGTTACTTATAACCTGTCTAAGAATTTTGAGGAGAAAACTGCTCACTAGAGACAAGAAACAGCCTGATGAGGATAAGGAAATTAAATTGTCTGGTTATTTTTTTTACTTTCTTCTTGCTCCCAGGGTCAAAGTTAAGAATGGAAAATGGTACTGCATCTCATCGGACTCAAAGTGGATGAAACGTCAGGTGACATCGGTAGGAATCAATCTTTCATTCTTCATCCTCGATTCGAAAATATTTAAAATGCTGTAAACTGTGAATAAAATCATTATTTTATGGATTATGAACCATTTTATCTTTTTATTCAATAGTAAAAAGGGGAAAGACAACATTTAACACAATTAAAAACAGCTGGGACAGGGGCATTTTAACCACTGTGCTGTATTTTAACAACACTCTATTAACATCTGAGAACCCAGGAGCCCAGTTTCTAAAGTTCTGAGAGGGAACTGTTGTCTCATTCCTGTCTGATACGTGTTTTTAGCTTCTCGACAGTTCAGTTGAGCAGTTTCCACTTCAGTTTATCAGCAGGACTCTTCCACTGCAGAGCCGTGCTGTTGTAATCCCTGCAGAATGTGGTTTGTCAAATATAAAGAAGTCTTTGTTTGGATGGCTGCAGATGCTGCTCCTAAACCTGCTGCTGTATTAAAAAAAAAAACAAGTGTAGAGAATTGAAGAAACATCATCTCTTTCTCTCTCTGTTCTTCACAGGGTAAAGTGATCTGCAAACCTGGACTTAAGCATAAAACTGTGAAGCAACAACAAGAATGAAGCTGCAGAGGACAACTCAGCTGATGAAATCCTCCTGGCTTTTTAGGTTACATTTGTGTTTAGTTTAGTTTTTCAGTCTAATTCTCTGAAGCCTTGATCTTTGTGTTGAATGCTTTTTGAAATAAACAAATCTGGTCTTTATTTTTTATAGTGGCACTGTATGGATGGGTATTTCAGTGTGACCAAAAGTTAATGTACTCCATTGAAGTGTTTTGGCTCTGTGACTGAAATTTTAGTTAGATTTTGTCTTTTTAACTGACTGTAATTCCAAACAATTGAGTTATGGATCTTTGGTTCTTTCTTTTTCTTGACATGAAGTGTGCTAAATAAACAAACATGTAAGAATGCATATTGTCTATACCTCAGTTTTTTTTGTCTGACTTACACAACAGCTGCAATGCAAAAATGTCTTCCTCAAATAAAAACAAGTTTTAAACTAATCAAATCATTTGAAAATCAGTCTTTTGTGTGAAGTTATTGATGTCTTCAATCAGTAGCTGTCTTAAAAGTGGGGAAACTGAACAATTTAAACAAAATCAAATGAAAACAAAACACTAAAAGTTGTGTCATGCTTAAAAAATTCCTGGAGGAGCATCTCCAAACGAACGAGGGTAATTTCCAACGGGTTAGTGACATGACTGGGTATATAGAGGACATTCAGAGAGTCTCTCAGGAGTAAAGATGGACAAAGTTTCACCACTCTGTGAGAAACTGTGAGAGGAAATGGCTCAACGATTCAAGAGTAAAGTTTCTGTGGGTGAAAACCTGCAAAGAATCTGAGGATTTCATCAACCACAGAAACATCCAGAAACACCTTCTTTGGTCCAGAGACACAGTGAAAAACTATCCCATGTTTTTTTTTTTTTTTTTTTTTTTTTTTAAGCTCATGGATGCCTCATCTTCTGCTCTTAAGCGGAGAGGGACCACCTAGGTTGTTATCAGTGCACAGTTCAAAGTCCAACATTTGCGGTGGGGTGGAAACAACATAAGTCCATGGTCAGGATAGTTAACAATGACTTTGACCCTGAAGATCTTCAGATTACAGAAAGACAACGACATTCTGCACGTTTTGTATGGCTCTGTGGTAGAAGAGTCCTGATGCTAAACTCATCTGCCTGCAGTACCAACTTTTCACCCAGAGGAAATATATGGATACATGAAAAAGGAGACCCTGAACTGTGATGCATTTAAAAACTTAAATCAGAAAAAAAACTCACAAAGCTTTGTCCACGAATATTTACAGGGAGTTGCTAAAAGGATATGTAAACATGTCCCTGTCCTAAATGTTTTGAAATGTGTTGCTGGTAAATTCAAAATTAGATGTATATTTTTTGTATTTGTGTGTCTGCATACAAAACATTTTGTGCTTTACAGGAAAAAAAAAAAAAAAAAATACCCCACTTTTCTCGTTGAGGCGTGTCTCTCCAGGAACGTTACACAGGCAACAATAGTTCCTCGTTTGATGTGAAGCTGCATTTTTATAAGATAACATCTCCTTAGTTAACTTATCATCAGACCTGAGGGAGACCAACTGTCAGAAACACCAAAGCCGCTTCAGCCGAGATCCAGAGTCAGGTTTGGTGCCGTCCAGCGTTTGAGGATGAGGATGCCACTTTCTGCAGGACAATGGATCTGTCTGCTCACCTTCGCTGGAGTGACGCTTATCACCGCCTCAATAGGTAAATACAGAACATATTGATAAGTCAGTAGACAGCCTGAGGGAGTTATGAAATGCATATACTAGGACCACTTTTAAAACTGGCTGTTGGTTGATTTGTTTTTGTTATAATGCAAGAAGTAAAAAACAATTTATTTGACCTTGATTAATCCAAGTTTGAAAAGCCTCCCCCCCTTTTAACTACGAAGACGACATGATAAATTAAAGCATGAATCAAAAATATCTATCTTAATATTCATACCTAGTAGCTTAAGCGTTTGGTATAAAATGAGTGGCTCTCTGAAATGCACCAACCTGAAGACATGGAAGAAGAGAGCGGTTATTGTGAGCAAAAGATTTGTCCTAATAGGCGTTTTTTTTTTTACGGTGAAAACTCGGCAGACTGAGGTTTAATCTGAGCATGCATCACTAAAGTGTCCTCTCCTTGAGCTTGGTGGTGCATGATAGATTCTGTCTCAAAGAAGCAGCGATCTTGTTTAAAACTTAAAAATGAATTTGCAACAATCACCTTTGAGGGAGAATTTTGTGGGAAGAGCAAAACATGTGTTTATCTCTTTTTAAATGTTTTAGATGTTATAATGGCAGTGCCTAACTCATTGTATGGATGTGTGTGTGTACGTGTGTTGGTGCGTTACAGCAGATGTAGGAATACCCTGCTGTTATGAGGCTGCCCCTTATACACCTGATGAGATCGTACTGTGCTTCCAACAGACACCCACGAAGCAGTGCAGATCAAATAACTATGTGTAAGTACAACACGCTTACTCGTGTGTTTGCCAGAAATACAGATGACAAACGAGCCTCTGTGACACAGCTGACTGTTTTTGGTTTTTGAGACCATCAACTCTTTGACCCTTTCATTTTGTTTCTAGGGTCAAAGTTAAGAGTGGCGCATGGCAGTGCATCTTATGTGACTCAAAGTGGATAAAACAACAAATAAATAAGGTAAGACTCAGTCGATCAGCTTTTTTTGTTGGAAGAGGAGTTTCTCTGTCAGGTTAAACTAAAGAGAGAGATAATGTTAATATCCTCTTTGAAAACCCATTTTTACAAAAGTGTGCTTTTATAACTTAACTTTCAATTAAGTCTCAACTCATTTTATTATGAATTAAATTTATTTTATTTCATTTTATCTTATTATGATCATCATAATTCAATTTTAACTTATTTTCAAGAAAACCTAACACAGTTGGGGTTTCATCTTTCATCATCTTTCATTCTTTTATTGAATTCTAAATCATATCTGTTGACTGGCTGTTAAGTAAATTAAATTGAAGTCCTCTGCTGTTTTGAAAAGTGCGATATACATAAAGTTACTAATATGCTAACACACTGAAAAAGGAATAAAACAGATTTCTTTTTGCTGTCTTTCTCCTGCTTCTCTCCACAGGGGAAAATCAGCTGTTCTGAAACAAAAAAATTTGAATTCTGTGAGGAGTAAAAACAGGATGGAGCTCCTGAGAACTCCTCTGCCGATGAAACCCTCACAGCTTTTGGTGCTTTTCTGTTAAATTTCTTTTGCATTGCAGATTACACAATGCAGCGTTATTTACAGTAAGATGGATGAGAACAGTATTTTGGTTTTTGCACTGACAATCTTTCCATTGGTACAGGCTGAACATGTGATAATGATGACAAATTACTTGGTTATAAAACTTTAGTGTGGTTAGTTTAGTCCTTTTTTTGTGTTTTTTACTTGACATGCAAATCTAAAATTTGGTATTACATTGTTCCAATCATGATAACAATAGACGTGTGATAATGAAGCACAAATTACGGAGCGCAAATCATCTTTGTCTTAATCATCTGCTGTTGCCAATTATTTTCACAACCTGTGTTTGCAACATGTTTTTCTGAAATAAAAAAATAAAACTCCAGTTACAGTCTGACTCTTGTCTGAGCTTCACCTGACTGCATCAATCTAGTGTAAGAGATCAGGCAGTAACCCCGGGCCTCTATCCAGCAGGTAAAATGTTCTCCTCAGCCCTGGCCTTTGCAGGGCTGAGGGGGATGCTGGTCTGAGAGGAGAGAGTGATGAGGGTTTCCTTATCTTCTGTCCTCTGAGATCAGCACCATACTGGGTCATGGTACAGGGACACAAGGGAAAAACACCAGTGTCTCCAAGCCCTCCGATCCAGTGACCACTTAATTTCACTGCATGAGTAAAGAAGACAAAGATATTTTCTTCAGTGTGGAAGCGCTGCTGAGCACTTCTGTTTGTGAGAATAATGAGAGAACTCTCATGGCCTTCTTTCTATCTTAGAAATGTGCCCTCATAATGGCTGGAAATGTTTTTGTTGGTCTGAGGTGCAGGTTCTCTTTGTGTCCTCAAGGTAGCGCCTGACTACGCCAACATGGGTGCAAGTTCACTTGATAATTTTAGGTAAGAAAATGATAAGTGCATCGACGGGAAAATAAATGTGCAGTCCAAAACAGTCAGAGTTTGATGTTAAACTGATTGAAAAAAAATATATATTAAAATGCTTTTTACATGTTTTAGTGATTCAGGTTAAATTATAAAGTTAGAGTTAGGGTTAACTTTGAGGGTTAAGAAAGACGGCAACATTTAAAATACCATTTTTGAACTGTTTATAGTAAACTATAAGCCTTTCATGATTACAAAAAATGTTGATGAACATCTGAATTCATATTATTACGATACAGTATTTGTAAAAACAGACTTGGCTACATGTACAGGTTAGTGTTTGTCCTGTTATTGCAACATGTTCAGAAAGTAACTTTTCTTCATGTCATGGTGAGATGAAAAGTGAAGCGATAAGAAAGAGGAAGATGAGGCGGTTGTTGCACGCTAACATTTGTTTGCATAACTGTGTAGTAACCCGACATTTATAAATATGACTCTTATTCACCTGTGGAAAACAAAAGCAGAATCGTGAGAATCAAGCTAAAAAATGTCTTTGCTTCATTCTAGTCCAAACTGATAGATTTATTGTTTATATGAGTGGGTTAGATGTCCTCAACACTTATTTTTGTAGTTGTTTATTCTCAGCAAATATCAAGTCTTTTTTGAGTTGAGCTGCACTGCGAGCTGACACACTTGTTTACATTTGGGTAGTACAGCATTATGGCACTATGGCTGTTAAATTTAGCAATCATCCTGGTTGGGAATCATCCCGCACTACAGGTTAGACATAATATATGATCTACAATATTAAAAATATGAGTATTTGTTTAACCGAGTAACTCTTAGAGCTGACAAGCCAGAGAGTCAATGGTTCATTGAGTCTACTAAACAGACACATTTCAAGTATTAACTCAATAATTTATACATGCAACAACAGATACATTTATCCTGTATTTAATATACTGTTTACCACATCATCATTATTGTAACGTGTCTTTTTATATTCCTTATTATTACAGCATTCCTATTCACTGGAGTACTATTATTTAATCTGACACCTACCTGGTAGGGGCAGAGGTCAGAAAACATTACAATTACTGTGAGATCCAGTTTTGGTCTATAATACATTGATATATGTTGATTTTTCTTTACTTAATTCACGGATATTAAAGTATCTAATAGATGGAAATACTGCAGAACTGCTGCATCATTACAAAGGAACCTCTACAGATGTGCAATCTTGCCTGTTGCATCTGAACTTTCCGTCAACCTTCCTTTCTCACGATTTCCAGCGAAGTAGTGGCTTAATACCACCTTCATGTTGTTTCCTTTGTCAAGTTCTGCGGAAGAAGCAAACACCTTAACACAACCCTCCTGATGTTGCAACAAACATAGAAACAACCACCACACTGTACTTGCCTGCATGAGCTTGTAAATGGTTAAGAATCAGCGCACTTCAGGTTGTTTCTTGGAAATACTGCACACTTGCTGGTAGTTTGAAGCTGCTCAGAGGCTTAAGAACAATTCTCCAGTGAAGAATGGCGGTTTTTAAGTACATATAAACAGAAATAAAAAGACTGCATATCTGCACACAGATGCATTAGGAAGTACGTCATAAGTGACCTTTTACCAACCCCTCCAATGATGGTCATTATCACCGCCACATAAATATCCAGACTTCTATCAGATTGTGTAGTTGCAGTCCGATCAGTCTGCCTCTGGATCAAAATGTCCCTGAAGATCCTGTCCATCACCGTCCTGCTGTTCATGGGGTCCCTTGGGTCCTCTGCAGCCAGCCAGGAGACCCGCTGTAAGTACAAAGTTAGAAATGATGTTTATAAAACTCATTTCTTACTCCAGTCCAACAGATTTTAATTTCTGTTTTTAAATTCTAATGTGCCTGCCTCTCTGCAGATCTGTAGTTTTAAATCTTATCAATTGCCTTTAGAAACTCATTTTTACAGACTTATTTTATGTGAATTTACTTTTTTCAAACACTTTTCCATTTTAACTTGATTAACTTATTAGTAACACTTAATATTGACCAATAATTTACAGTAAATAAGCCACTTACAGAACCTAATAAGATGCTTGTGAACATTACTAATGATCAACAGTTTTAACAAAGTTTAATTGACACATTTATCTCACTCTCAATAGAAACATGTTTATATGCCTGTCTAAAACATCAATTAGGTGTTTATTAACATACTAAGATTTTACAAAAAATAACTTCAAATATCATACACTTGTAACAAATTTTTTTTGGAGTTTAAAAAGTAATAAGATGCTTGTTTACATTCATATAACAATTTGACTCTTTATTAAAAATTCTTTTATATAAATGTTTTTCTGATTCCCTCCTTTACTGTCCTTGTTTGTTTATGCACTCATTTATGATATTTCTTTATTCATTGGTTTGTTTATTTGTATCTTACTTATTCATTTTTTTGTATTCTGTTTTTTCTTGTTTCTTAAAAAGGTGCTATATGAATAAACTTATTATTATTTGGAGGCATTTTCTCAAGACTTCTGGTGACACCTGATGTAACACAAGAATGTATTCCCTTTTCAAAGAACTTACTCCCCAGCTGAAGTTCATAAAAAGGAGGAAAAACTAAAAAAATTAATTTACATCATAAGAAAATGTATAAAAGGATTTTATATATAACTTTCCTTGTTTCCCTCCTCGGTGTGTCTGTGTGTGTTTGTCAGATGAGAGGTCTTTATCTGTGCCCTGCTGTTATGAAGCTGGCCCTTACATACGAGAAAGGATCATCGAGTGCATCAGACAGATACCCACAAGGCAGTGCAACTTCAATAACTATGTGTAAGTAGAGCATGCTTTGCACATGTTTCAGTGCCGATTTCTTGAAGCTATTTGTTCTGCTTAAACCATTAAAACAAGGCCAGTTGAACGAGGGACATTGCTAATAACCCGATTCAGAACAATTATAAGTTTCAGAGGGGAATACTTTTGTTCAGGTTTAATATGCTGTTTAAACTTTGGAACCTATTGATAGAAGAAGACTGATCATCTTGAAATTGGCATCAGTTTAATGAGGTAATGAAAAAAATGAATATTTTCATCGTTTTCTTCTGTTTCCAGGGTCAAAACTGAGTCAGGAGAATGGTACTGTATTCAATCTGAGTCAAAGTGGATGAAAAGTCAAATACAGAAGGTAAGAATCAGTCCATCAGCTTCTTCTGTTGCCACCTTTGCCATTCTAGAAAATATCAATTGAGCTATCCTTCAGTGCTAAAAGTTGTTCATGTTTGGTAGGTTCAGTTAAAAGGACAATTACACTAATCATCTTGATATAAAACCTATAAAGTGAGTCTTTGTTACCTAAGAGGTAAAATAACGTCTGAATAACTCATGCCACCCCAATAACAGCAACAGATTGTATAAAGCCTAAAAGCTCCATCTCTGTGTTATCTGAAGTCTCTTGAAAATTAAAATTATAATACACATGAATAAAATCCTCTAAAACATGCATCCTGTCACTACAGATGCTGGTAACACTGTCAGACAAAATAAACAACATTTTCTTATTCCTGTCTCCTCCGCAGGGAGCAGTCGTCTGTACACCAGAAATCTAATACAAAAAAACGGAAAAGTGCTGTGGAGCAACAAAAGGATGAAGCTGCTGAGGACTGCTCTGCTCATGAAACCCTCACAGCTTTAAATGCTCTATCTGTTATATTTCCTTTCAAATGCAGTTCTTCTACATACTTTTCTGCAGCTTTTAGCAACTTAACTGCAGCGGTACAGTGTTAGTCTGTCTGCTGATACAAAATACTTCCACTGCTGTGTTTGCAACATGTCTTTTCTGACTAAAGAATAAACTAAATACATCTGAGTCTTGCCTGAGCTTCATCTGACGGCATCAATCTGCTGTGAGAGGAAAGACATGACACCAAGGACTCCAATTTAGCAGGTAGAATCCCCCAAAGTGAGTCAGAGGGTTTTGCTGGTCTTCATTAAACAGTTTTTCTATTTCATTGGGGATGGAAAAGAAGTCATAAAAAGGTTAAATGTTCAGACATAAAACAAGTTTAAGAGGAGCACTATGCATTAGTGCAAATAATACTAAATGGTGTAACAAAAACATTCAATACCCTCATTTTTAAGAAAAGTGCCAGACTTACGGCAACAAGTATGACTTTACTGTGGCTGCTTTAACATCAGTGTGGCCTACAGTTCAGTATAACTTTAAAGTTAACTAGTTATTCCTCACAGACCATCCTAAATACGACAAACTTCAGACAGGTAAAAAGGAAAAAGGGGTTAGGAGAGTCCTGAGTCATTACAAAGCGCAAATTAAGCTCATTGGAACATTTCAAGTTTTGGTTATAGGAAAAAACGGGCTTTGATTTGGCACCAAAATATAGCAGTGAAATCATCACTCAATTCTTGAAGCAGCCTTAAATCATCATAGAAATCATTAATCATAGACATTTTGACTTTTTTAAGAGACCTTTATAACTGAGCGTAGTTGTCACCATTAAAATGTTTTATTAAACCCATTACAGTATAATACATTTATATGAACCTTTTAGTAAAATTTTAAGGGTTATGTTGTTTGTAATCATGATGTAAAGCCTTAGTATAAGATACAAAACTAAGCTGAGCATGTGCTGTATAACCACTTTCTCCTTGAGCCTTACTGTTACAACGCAGGGTTGACCAACGGAAAAAAGGATCCAAAAATGCAGACTACAGAAAAATATTCATTTAAGAAGAACTAAATGAAAAGCAACAAAAACTTACTTCAAGTGTCCAACTGACACATCGAGGAACACGGTGACAGGCAGACAACACACACAATGAACCAACCAAGACAGAGGGGAAGACGCGGACTATATACACACACTGGGAAACGAGCAACAGGTGAGGCAGACGAGACACAGGTGAAACTCATGGGTGATCAACAAAGGAGTGAAAACATAGGAAGTAAAAACAGTCTAGAAACACAAGGAATCAAATATTGCAAAATAAAACAGTGTCTGCGTACAAAATATTTTGTGCTTTACATGATAAAAAAAATCCCCCACTTTTCTCTTTGAGGCGTGTCTCTCCAGGAACCTTGAACAGCCAACAACAGTTCCTCGTTTGATGTGAAGCTGCATTTTTATAACATCTCCTTAGTTAACCTATCATCAGACCTGAGCGAGTTCAGCTGTAAGAGACACCGCAACCGCCTCAGCTGAGATCCAGTCAGGTTTGGTGCCGTCCAGCGTTTGAGGATGAGGATGACACTTTCTGCAGGACACTGGATCTGTCTGCTCACCTTCGCTGGAGTGATGCTCATCACCGACTCATCAAGTAAATACAAAATATATTGATAAGTCAGTGAACAGCCTGAGGGAGTTGTTTTAGCTGCATGTTTGTTTCTGTTCTGATTTAAAAAGTTAAATAACTTTTGGGGATTTTTTATTTTTAATGGTTAATACTTGAATACTAAAAACATCTTGTTTCTATAACAAGTGAGTTGTGTTTACTCTTGCAGCTATAAATTACATAAGATTTTGAGATATGGGGGATGTGTTATAGCTCTGGATTTTATCTCTTAGGAAGCACATAAGTTGCCAGATCTTGTTCGAAGGAGGACAACACTAAAATGACTTTGTGACAAGACCTTTAATGAGGATCCGATGAAGGTGTCATAATGTCAAAGCTAGTTCCTTTGAATCCTCATGTGTGTGTTGGTTTATTGCAGTGGAAGCCATGGTAGGTGAACCCTGCTGTCTTAATGCTGAGCGGTACATTGGCGAACCGATCGTAGTGTGCATCAAACAGAAACCAACGAGGGGCTGCAACTCAGATAACTTTGCGTAAGTACAGCAAATGGACCTCAGTAATACAAGGAATGTGTAAACCGTCAACAGAAGAGAAATGAGAAAGCGAGAAAGAGAAAGCAGCAGGGTAAAATCATCAGAATGTAGAATTAACAGTTTTCATTTTGTTTCCAGGGTCAAAGTTAAGAGTGGCGACTGGTACTGTATCACAGCTGACTCACCGTGGATGAAACAGCAAATACAGCAGGTGAGAATGACTTTATCAGCCTCTCTTGTCACCACATTAGTTTCTCTGTCAAACCCTACCTGAGAAATGTTTTTGTCTTTTTCTCTCTTCTCCACAGGGTAAAGTCAGCTGTTCAGAAGAATCTGTTTTTCAGAAGAATTAAAATTGATGTTGGAAAAAAGATGAACCTATTGGGCTCATCTCTGCTGATGAAATCCTCCTGGATTTTGATGCTTCATCTGTTATATTTTCTTTTCAATGCTTTTTTCTCTACAGATTTTTCTGCAGCTTTTACCATCATGTTGAATTCTTCTCAAAATAAAGAAATATGACCAAGTCTTGATGAGCATTTCTGTGCTGAGTACACTATAAACACCATGACACATTAAGGTTACTGTAAGTGAAGCTCTAACATAAGGAAACAACATCACAACTACACAAGTGACAGAAGAATGAAGTAAGTATGGAGAGGGGTCAGGAGAGGATTCTGGTTTTGTTTTTGCAGCACAGCGGTCAAGACTTTTCAGACAATGACCCAACAGTTCAACCCTTTAAGATGTAGTAGAGACGCTGTTCCAGATGTTTCAAAAGAGTCTATATCTTTACACAAACCAACAGAATTTAAAATACCGTCTTTGGACTGTTTATAGTCAAATATGAGTGTCTCATGATTAGCAAATGTTTTGATGAACATCTGAGTTCATATTATTATGATCCAGTATTTTTGCAAACAGACTTGGCTGCATGTACAGTTTAGTGTTTGTCCTGTTATTGCAACATGTCCAATAAGTAACAATTTGTCATGTTACAGTGAGATGGATAATGATAAAGCGATAAGAAAGATAAAGACGCTGATGTTGCTTCATGCCAACATTTGTCTGAATGACTGTGTAGAGATCAGCCTGCCTGTGGATCAAAATGTCCCTGAAGATCCTGTCCATCACCGTCCTCCTGTTTATGGGGTCCCTCAGGTCCACTGCAGCCGGCAAATATGCCCCCAGTAAGTACAAAGTTAGAAATGCTGTTTAGAAAACTCATTTCTTACTTTAGTCTTACAGATGTTAATTTTTTTTATATTCTTTTGTGCCCGCCTCTCTTTAGATTTGTACTGATTTAAATCCTTTTAATTCCCTTTAGAAACTCATTCTTACAGACTTTTTTTTAGGTTTTTTTTCTACATCCACTTTTCTGTTTAAACTTGATTCACTTATTAAAAACAATATTGAGAAGATTATGTGTGTGTTGGTTAATTGCAGTGGGAGACATGGTAGGTGAATCCTGCTGTTATGTTGCTCAGCCGTACGTTGGCGAACCGATCGTAGAGTGCATCAAACAGAGACCAACGAGGTACTGCAACTCAAATGACTTTAAGTAAGTACAGCAAATGGGCCTCAGTGACACAGATAAGGTGTGATTAATGTCTTTTTACTTTTTTGAACTGTCAACAGAAGAGAAATGGTCTGAGGAACGAAGCACCAGGCTAAAATCATCAGAATGTCAAATTTACAGTTTTCATTTTGTTTCCAGGGTCAAAGTTGAGAGTGGCGACTGGTACTGTATCACATCTGACTCACCGTGGATGAAACAGCAAATACAGAAGGTAAGAAGGAGTTTATTACACATTAGTTACTTTGTCATACCCTACCTGAGAAATGACGGAGGTTAGCACATTCAGTAAAACGACACTTTTGTTCACCATCTTAAAACCTGCACAGTTACAGTCTTTGTTAACTGTTACAACAGAAAACTTTATAAAATCACAAACAACATAAAAGCTCAAGTTCAGAGAAAGCACTTAAACTCATTTTTGTCTTTTTCTCTCTTCTCCACAGGGTAAAGTCAGCTGTTAAGAAGAATTTTATTAGAAGAATGAAAATTGATGTTGGAAAAAAGATGAAACTATTGGGCTCATCTCTTTTTCTGCAGCTTCTACCATCATGTTGAATTCTTCTCACAATAAAGAAATATGACCAAGTCTTGATGAGCATTTCTGTGCTGAGTACACTATAAACACCATGACACATTAAGGTTACTGTGAGTGAAGCTCTAACATAAGGAAACAACATCACAACTACACAAGTGACAGAAGAATGAAGTAAGTATGGAGAGGGGTCAGGAGAGGATTCTGGTTTTGTTTTTGCAGCACAGCGGTCAAGACTTTTCAGACAATGACCCAACAGTTCAACCCTTTAAGATGTAGTAGAGACGCTGTTCCAGATGTTTCAAAAGAGTCTATATCTTTACACAAACCAACAGAATTTAAAATACCGTCTTTGGACTGTTTATAGTCAAATATGAGTGTCTCATGATTAGCAAATATTTTGATGAACATCTGAGTTCAAATTATTCTGATCCAGTATTTGTGCAAACAGACTTGGCTGCATGTACAGTTTAGTGTTTGTCCTGTTATTGCAACATGTCCAGTAAGTAACTTTTCTTCATGTCATGGTGAGATGGAAAATGATAAAGCGATAAGAAAGATAAAGAGGCTGATGTTGCTTCATGCCAACATTTGTTTGCATGACTGTGTAGTAATCTGACAGTTATTAAATACGACTCTTATTTTCCGTGGAAAACAAAAGCAGAATCATGAGAATCAAACTGAAAAATGTCTTTGCTTCATTCCAGTCCGAATCGATACATTTATTGTTGGTATGGTGTGCATGTTCAGATATCCTCTACACTTTGAAGTACATAAAAACACAAAAAGACTTCATGTCTGCACACAGATGCATTAGGAAATACGTCATAAGTGGCCTTTTACCAACCCCTCCAATGATGGTCATTATCACTTACCCATAAATATCCAGACTTCTATCAGATTGTGTAGTTGCAGTCCGATCAGTCTGCCTGTGGATGGAAATGTCCCTGAAGATCCTGTCCATCACCGTTCTCCTGTTCATGGGGTCCCTCTGGTCCCCTGCAGCCAGCCAGATTGGCCCCTGTAAGTACAAAGTTAGAAATGCTGTTTATAAAACTCATTTCTTACTCCAGTCTAACAGACTGTAATTTCTGTTTTTAAATTCTTTTGTGTCTGCCTCTCTGTAGATTTGTACTGATTTAAATCCTTTCAATCGCCTTTAGAAACTCATCTTTACAGACTTATTTTTATGTGAATTTACTTTTTCAAACACTTCTGTTTTAACTTGATTAACTTTTTAGAAACTGCATTGAGGAGAATTTCTCTTTTTAAAAAACGTCTTCCACAGCTGCATTTCATGAAAGGGGAAAACACTTAAAATTTTTAATTTACATTATAAGAAATGTACAAAAGGTCCTTATATATAAATAAGTTTGTTTCCCTCCTCTGTATGTCTGTGCGTGTTTGTCAGATATAATGTTTAAAGGTCAGCCGTGCTGTCTTGAAGCCGGCACCTCCATAAGTGAAGAGATCATGGAGTGCTTCTTACAGATACCCACAAAGAAGTGCAACTCCAGTAACTATGCGTAAGTAAGGCATATATACATATATATATAGGTAGGTAGGTAGGTAGACAGATATACAGATAGATAGATAGATAGATAGATAGATAGATAGATAGATAGATAGATAGATAGATAGATAGATAGATAGATAGATAGATAGATAGATAGATAGATAGATAGATAGATAGATAGATAGATAGATAGATAGATAGATAGATAGATATGAAATCAGATGAAGCTGTAGTTTTTCTTTTGCAAGAACATTGGGGGGAGAAGGAGTCCATTATTACCAGGTGTTGAAAAATGAACCTTTTTATCGTTTGCATCTAATTCCAGGGTTAAAGTTCTAGAGGGGAAATGGTACTGTATTCGATCAGACTCGGAGTGGATGGAAGAGCAAATACAGGAGGTGAGAATCAGTCCATCAGCTTCTCCTGTTGCCACCTTTGCCATTCTAGAAAATACAAATTTAGCTATCCTTTAGTGCCAAAAGTTGTTCTTGTTGATGTTTGGTAGGTTTAGTTAAAGGACAGTTACGCTAATCATCTTGATATAAAACCTACAAAATGAGTCTTTGTTAGCTAGGAGTAAACGTGACGTCTGAATAACTCATGTCGTCCCAATCATAGCAACAGACTGTATAAAACATTTTAAAATTTTAACATTTCAATAACATTTTCTTATTCCTGACTCCTCCACAGGCAAGAGTTGTCTGTACACCAATAATGTAAAACAAAAAACTGAAAAGTGCTGTGGAGCGACAAAAGAAAGAGGCTGCTGAGGACTGCTCTGCTGATGAAACCCTCACAGCTTTAAATTCTTTATTTGTTCTATTTCCTTTGAAATGCAGTTTTTCGACATACTTTTCTGCAGCTTTTAGCAACTTTACTGCAGCGGTACTGTGTGAATGGGTATTTCTGTCACATAAGGTTTATGAACCCGGTGAAACATCAAGTTTAATGTGAGTAAAACTTTCATATTCTGACTCCATAAAGGTAAGAAAATCACAGCAGCTCTCATCACATTAGGGGCTGGAAATGACCTTAAGTCCAATTACACTTTGCACAGGAAATTTATCAGCATGTTGTGATTACAAACAAATCCTGTGATGGTTTTTAGTTTTAGTTTTATGAACATTAAAGAGGCTAGGATGTCTCTCTCAAGAATCAAAATTAAAGAGTGCCAATCGTCTTTAACTCACTTTTTTTTTTTTTTTTTTAAATAGAAAATACTGCCACTCCTGTGTTTGCAACATGTCTTTACTAAATAAAAAATAAACCAAATACAGCTGAGTTTTTTTTTTCTCTTCTCTTTCTTTTAAACTCAATAAGGAAATAACATCACAACTACACAAGTGACAGAAGAATGAAGTAAGTAGTGAGAGGGGTCAGGAGAGGATTCTGGTTTTACAACACAGTGGTCAAGACCTTTCAGACAATAACCCAACTTTTCTACAACTGAGGTTGTATGATACAGACCTCGTGTACATACACTTGGCTACATGTACAGGTTAATGCTTATCATGTTGTTGTGACACGTCAACTTTTTGTTCAGTCATGGTGAAATGAGAAATGCAGTGATAAAAAAGAGGAAGAGTTTTTTTTCCCCTTTAATTTGTTTGTATGACTGTGAGGTGAAAACTTGCTTAAATACAGGCAGTATTGTAATGTTTGACTGCTCATTTACTGAGCTTCTCTCTTGTTTGTGAAAGTGATATGTGAAAGTGGCTGTAAGAGTTTTACCCTAACAAGGACCGGGCATGAGAAGCGAGGAGAGTTACTGGAATTGTCACAAGTTTATTCAAAATATTGGAAAGCAGAGAAAATCTCAGGAGAACAGATGTCTCAGAGTCCTTCTCTCATCACACAATAAATATCAGTTTTTTTTCCCTTATAATCTTTTGGAGATCACCATGGTCAAGATTCTCCTGCTCAACTCTGTCCATTTATACAGCTTTAAGATTCAACATTACAAAAGTGAAAAACGGTTTGCATTGATTTTGTCCTTCCTTTCTGCCCTCACACTTTTGCTGGGAGGTTATTCTACAATCCTCAATTCCTCATCTCTTTTTTCTTGAGGGATGTAAACAGCATGTAAAAAACACTCGACCAGATGTGAAAAACCCTCAAAATTTTGCACATGATACCGCCCCGTGTATCAGTGTCCTCTGTTTAAGGACTCAGAATGAGGTCACCCTACTTAAGTAATTGCGTCAGCTTATCGTTGCAGTCTTAGTTTTCAGTCTGATCAGTTGACTATTCACCAAAATGTCCGTAAGGATCCTGACCATCTTTGCTTTCCTGTTCCCGGTGTTTACCTGGTCCTCTGTACAGAAGTTCTACCTGCCAGGTAAGTACAAAATAATCCCCATAACATATAACAACGGAGTGAACCGCATTACATGATTACTGCAGTTTTCATCGAGTTGTTCACAAACTTTTGTCGTAAGATTTTTATCCCTAAACTTTGGGACAGTGTCACCGTTTCAGCTAACATCACCTCAGAGGTTTTGAAATGACTATTTCTCATGGTATCATCTGCTAAAATCTAATAAGATAAAAAAAAGAGGAGTTATTTTCCTTTACTTAAAAGAATGAAAAACAGGAACTATTATTTCATCACTTTTCATTGTTTTTACTGGTTTGGGAAGTCTTCGTACCTCTTCAAACTTTTTGTTGTTTTATTCTTTTGTCATGGTTTTTCCTTTTATCTTTTGCCGTTTTTTTGTCATGTTTAACTCATTTTATTCCTTTTTTAAATATTTTGACAGTCTAGCTTTTTTAATTTCCTTCTCATTTCTGTCATTTCACAGTTTTTAGCTATCTATTCATTCATTTCTAATATCTCTCTTGCTGTTAAATCACCAGTTATTTTGAAATTTAAGATCTTCAGTCTTAGTTTCCTCACACTTGAAAAAAAATTCACTTTATTGAATATGTGAAGCACTTTCAAATAATGATAATAATAATAATAATAATAATAATAATAATACATTGTTATTATTATTATTATTATTTTTAGTATCAGTATTAGTATTATTATTATTATTATTGTTTAGGGACATATACTTGCCCTGGATTTGATCTCCCATTAGAGGTTTAGGCTGATCTGTCTTATTCACATGAGGACAACACTTAAAATAAATAAAATAAAGTCCAGAACCTCAGTGACCATTCCACCTGACATGAACACCTTGTAGGAAGCAGTTCTTTAAAAATATGGCAGTATGTTGGTCCTTCAGCAGCAAACATTTGGAGATATTTAGAAGCTTACTGATGTCAATGAATCCTATCTGAGTTTTACTCTCAAGGTTTGGAAAAAGTCAATCATGTTTTGATCTCCTTTAGCAGCAGCTGCTGCATTCCTGAAGATGTTGTAACATCACTGCCTCTGTGTGTTTGTCACTATACAGATGTTGGTCCAAGCTGCTGTTACGAAGGTGGCCCTTATATACCTTTCAAGATTATAAAGTGCATCCATCAGACACGCATGAGGGATTGCCGCACAAAAAACTATGCGTAAGTACAGCATGCTTTACCAATGTTAATCAAAGTCAAGTCAAAGTCATTTGATCTGCTAAAACACAAACTAACGACTCATATCTAATTACAGGAATTAAAGACATTGCTAATAGCCAATTTTAAAATCATGTTCAATGTGGGAGGACAATAACTTCTTTAGTAAAATGTACAAAATACACTGAATCTGACCATGAAGGTGTTTTTCTTGAGCAAACAGCCCTAATCAAAGCAGAATAACGACCCTTAAGGAGTCTATAACCAGGTTTCACATGTCCAACAAGTCTGTCCTTCATTGAAACCTGATCAAAGATTTTGGGGGTTTTATCCCTCACAGAAGTAAATGTTTTACTGACTAAACACTAAGTAAAGCGAGTACACTCTTCAGCTGAATCCCTAATTGCTTCTGACTCCAATCTGATAACAGGTGATCTATGTGACACAGTTCATATGTGATTAAAAACGCTTGACTGTTTGAAACCATCAACAGAAGAAAACTGATCTTCAGGAGTGAGCCTATCAAGGATCAATGAACAAAGATGTTTTAAAGTTTTATCCTGTCTGTCTGCTTCCAGGGTTCAGGTTGAGGGTGGCGAATGGAAATGTATTGACTCTGAGTCAAAGTGGATGAAACAGCAAATACAGAAGGTAAGAATCAGTCTATCAGCCTCTCTTTTAGCCACATTAGTTACTGTCATACCCTACCTGGGCAGACAATCATGTCTGAAGCAGTCCATCAACATGGTTTGTCATTTGTGTTACAACAGCAGACTGTGTAAAAGCAGACAAGCTCCAGCAAAGGGAAGCAAAAACATCTAGCACTCCCTCTACTGGCTGGCTGCAGTTTAGGTCAATCCCCTCAAACATACTTAGTGTCATTACAGGCAGCTCTTATTCTGTTTATATGTCCATGTAGGGTTTTACAAAACAGACTTTGAATATAAATATGATTCTAGTGAAAAGAAAATTATGTCAATTCTGTTTTTTTAATGCCATGGCAACAAAAATCAACTCCTGGCCATTCAGGGTTGCTTTATTTTGTCATTTTTCCAACCCACACACTGTGTTTGTTCAGAAGAGTTCTTTTAACAAATCTCTACATTAAATAGAAAAATAATAAAATTACTGTAAGACAAAATGAATAATGCTCTCATTACTCCTGACTCCACAGGGAATTATAAACTGCACTGAAGGCAGAAAATACAACTGATGTGGAGAAGCAAAAACAATGAGGACTCCTCTGCTGATGAATTCCTCCTGGCTTTTGATGCTTTATCTGTTTTATTTTTTTTGCAATGCTGTCTTTTTAAAGACTTTTCTGCAGCTTTTACCATCATGTTGAATTCTCTTCAAAATAAACAAATTTGACTAAGTCCTGTTAACTGATTGTACAATGTTATGCTGGCACTGTGTGAATGAGTATTTCTGTGCTGAGTACACTATGAACACCTTTAAACATTAAGGTTACTGTGAGTGAAGCTCTAACATTTAAACTCAATGAGAAAATAACATCACAACTACACAAGTGATTAAATAGGGTGACCATACATCCTCTTTGACCTGGACATGTCCTCTTTTTAGGGTCTGCCTGGCCTGTCCAGGGGGAGTTTAAAAAATCCTCCAAATGTGTGGGTTTTGTATGCAAGTTTTGGGTTTGTGTAGTGTGGACTTGTTGTGGACTCCCCTTTTTTTGGGGATTCAGAATGAGGTCGCCCTACTTAGGTGATTACGTCAGCTTATTGTTGCAGTCCTAGTTTTCAGTCTGATCAGTTTATTATCCACCAGCCAGTATGTTGGTAAAAATGTCTGTAAGGATCCTGACCGTCTCTGCCCTCCTGTTCTTGGTGTTTACCTGGTCCACTGTACAGAAGTTATACCCACCAGGTAAGTAAAAGTTTTTCCCCATGACATATAACAACGGAGTGAACCACATTGCATGATTACTGCAGTTTTCATTGAGCTTGTTCACAAACTTTTGTCGTAAGATTTTTATACCCAAACATTGGGACAGTGTCACCATTTTAATTAACATCACCTCTGAGGTTTTGAAATGACTATTTCTCGTGCTATCATCTGCTAAAATCTAATAAAGATAAATAAAGAGGAGTTATTTTACTGTTTTTTGAAGAATAAAAAACAGGAACTGAAATTTCATCACTTTTTGTTGTTTTTACTGGTTTGGGGAAATCATTTAACCTCTTTATAATTTTTGTTGTTTTATTCTTTTGTCATTGTTTTTCTTTAATCTTTTTTTTTTGTCATGTTAAACTCCTTTTTTTCCTTTTTCCTTTGTCAGTCTAACTTTTTTAGTTTCCTTTCCATTTCTGTTATTTCAGTCTTTTTAGCTATCTATTCATTCATTTCTTATATCTCTCTTGCTGTTAAATCACCATTTTTTAATTTTAGATCTTCAGTCTTAGTTTCCTCACACTTTTTTTTCAAATTTTTTCACTTAATTTCATATGTGAAGCACTTTGTAACCCTATTTTGAAAAAACAAACCATTATATAACAATAATTAAAATAACAACAACAACACTAATAATAATAATAATAATAATAATAATTATTATTATTATTATTATTATTATTAATTTATTTTATTATTATTATTTATTTATGTTATTATTATTATTATTATTATTATTATTATTATTATTATCTAGGGACATATATTTGCCCTGGATTTAAACTCCTATGAGAGATTCAGGCTGATCTGTCTTATTCACAGGACAACACTTAAATAAAATAAAGTCCAGAACCTCAGTGACCATTCCACCTGACATGAACACCTTGTAGGAAGCAGTTCTTTCAAAATATGGCAGTATGTTGGTCCTTCAGCAGCAAACATTTGGAGATACTTAGAAGCTTACTGATGTCACTGAATCATATCTGAGTTTTACTCTCAAGGTTTGGAAAAAGTCAATCATGTTTTGATCTCCTTTAGCAGCAGCTGCTGCATTCCTAAAGATGTTGTAACATCAGTGCCTCTGTGTGTTTGTCACTATACAGATATTGGTCCAAGCTGCTGCTACGGAGCAGGCCCTTATATACCTTTCAAGATTACAGTGTATCAAACAGAGAATCACGAAGTATTGCACCTCAAATAACTATGCGTAAGTACAGCATGCTTTACCCACGTTAATCAAAGTCAAGTCAAAGTCATTTGATCTGCTAAAACACAAACTAACGAGTCATCGCTAATGACAGGAATTAAAGACATTGCTTATAGCCAATTTTAAAATCATGTTCAATGTGGGAGGACAATAACTTCTCAGCTGAATCCCTATTGCTTCTGACTCCAATCTGATAACAGGTGACCTATGTGACACAGTTCATATGTGAGTAAAACTCTTTGGAACCATCAACAGAAGAAAACTGATCTTCAGGAGTGAGCCTATCAAGGATCAATGAACAAAGATGCTTTAAAGTTTTATCCTTTCTGTCTGCTTTCAGGGTCATGGTTGAGAGTGGCGAATGGTTCTGTATTAACTTTTGGTCAAGGTGGATCAAACAGCAAATACGACAGGTAAGAATCAGTCTATCAGCCTCTCTTGTAACCACATTAGTTACTCTGTCATACCCTACCTAGGCAGACAATCATGTCTAAAGCAGTCCATCAACATGCTTTGTCATTTGTGTTACAACAGCAGACTGTATAAAAGCAGACAAGCTCCAGCAAAGGGAAGCAAAACATCTAGCACTCCCTCTACTGGCTGGCTGCAGTTTAGGTCAATCCCCTCAAACATACTTTCTGTCATTACAGGCAGCTCTTATTCTGTTCATATGTCCATGTAGGGTTTTACAAAACAGACTTTGAACTTGAATATTAATCTAGTAAAAAGAAAATTATGTCAATTCTGTTTTTTTTTTTATGCCATGGCAACAAAAATCAACTCCTGGGCATTCAGGTCATTAGTAACCTAGGAGTAAACGTGACGTCTGAATAAATCATGCCGCCCCAATCATAGCAACAGACTGTATAAAACATTTTAAAATTTTAACATTTCAATAACATTTTCTTATTCCTGACTCCTCCACAGGCAAGAGTTGTCTGTACACCAATAATGTAAAACAAAAAACAGAAAAGTGCTGTGGAGCGAGAAAAGGAAGAGGCTGCTGAGGACTGCTCTGCTGATGAAACCCTCACAGCTTTAAATTCTTTATTTGTTCTATTTCCTTTCAAATGCAGTTTTTCGACATACTTTTCTGCAGCTTTTAGCAACTTTACTGCAGCGGTACTGTGTGAATGGGTATTTCTGTCACATAAAGTTTATGAACCCGGTGAAACATCAAGTTTAATGTGAGTAAAACTTTCATATTCTGACTCCATAAAGGTAAGAAAATCACAGCAGCTCTCATCACATTAGGGGCTGGATATGACCTTAAGTCCAATTACACTTTGCACAGGACATTGATCAGCATGTTTTGATTACAAACAAATCCTGTGATGGTTTTTAGTTTTAGTTTTATGAACATTAAAGAGGCTAGGATGTCTCTCTCACGAATCAAAATTAAAGAGTGCCAATCGTCTTTAACTCACTTTTTTTTTTTTTTTTTTTAAATAGAAAATACTGCCACTCCTGTGTTTGCAACATGTCTTTACTAAATAAAAAATAAACCAAATACAGCTGAGTTTTTTTTTTTTCTCTTCTCTTTCGGGGCGGGGACAGGGAATGGGGGTGGGGTGTGTGTGACAGGTTTAATGTTAAGGCAACAGTTTACAAAGTAATTTTCGACCAGTTTTCTAAAATGTTCAAACTTATATGAGAAAAAATGGTGAAGTTTGCTCATCTTTAGACCACCGTATTAACTACTATTGACAAAACTTTAGGATCAGCAGTAGATCATCAAGATCAGCAATTTGTTTGTATGTCTGAGGTGAAAACTTGCTAAAATACAGGCAGTGTTTTTATGTGTGTTCAACTCTGTCCATTTATACAGCTTTAAGATTCAACATTACAACAGTGCTCAATAACAGATTCTTAAGCCTTTTATGCTTCAACTGTTTCTCAAAAAAAAAAAAAAAAATACAAAAAATTTGCAGTGATTTTGTCCTTCCTTTCTGCCCTCACACTTTTGCTGGGAGGTTATTCTACAATCCTCAATTTCTCATCTCTTTTTTTCTTGAAGGATGTAAACAGCGAGCTCAACTGTCCTCACCCAGCACTTCCTGTAGTGTGCTGCAGTTACAGTTGGGCATGAAGCGGTTGGTGAGTGATTTACAACAACAACACGATGAGTTGAATTTTCGCTTCAACTAATTTTTGTTGTAGACTTAACAGTTTAGGGTGACCTCTTTTACCCGAACATGTCCTCTTTTTGGGGGCTGCCAGGCCTGTCAAAGAGGAGTTTACAAAATCCTTCAAATGTTCAGGGTTTTGTATGGAAGTTTTGAGTTTGTGTAGCGTGAACTTATTGAGTTAGATGCATGTAAAAAACACTCGACCAGATGTGAAAAACCCTCAAAATTTTGCGCATGACACCGCCCCTAAAGCAGTGGCCTCTGTTTGAGAATTTAGAATGAGGTCACCCTACTTAAGTGATTGTGTCAGCTTATCGTTGCAGTCTTAGTTTTCAGTCTGATCAGTTGACTATTCACCAAAATGTCCGTGAGGATCCTGACCATCTCTGCCCTCCTGTTCTCTGTGTTTATCTGGTCCTCTGTGCAGAAGTCACACCCACCAGGTAAGTACAAAATTATCCCCATAACATATTACAAGGGATTCAACTGAATTAGATGATTACTGCAGTTTTCATTGAGCTTGTTCACAAACTATTGTCGTAAGATTTTTATCCCTAAACATTGTCACCGTTTTAGCTAACATCACCTCGGAGGTTTTGAAATGACTATTTCTCGTGGTATCATCTGCTAAAATCTAATGAAGATGAATAAAGAGGAGTTATTTTCCTTTATTTAAAAGAATGAAAAATAGGAACTGAAATTTCATCACTTTTTGTTGTCTTCACTGGTTTGGGAAATCATTATACCTCTTCCAACTTTTTGGTTTTTTTTATTCTTCTGTCACTGTTTTTCTTTTATCTATTAGCTGTTTTTGTCATGTTTAACTCATTTTATTCCTTTTTTAAATATTTTGGCAGTCTAACTTTTTTAGTTTCCTTCCCGTTTCTGTCATTTCACTCTTTTTAGCTCTCTCATCATTCATTTCTAATATCTCTCTTTCTGTTAAATCACCAGTTATTTTTTAAATTTTAGATCTTCAGTCTTAGTTTCCTCACACTTAAATTTTTTTTTTTCACTTTATCTCATATGTGAAGCACTTTGTAACCCTATTGTGAAATAATAATTTCACAATAGGGTTACATAATTATAATTATAAGTATAATTATCCTCGTCATCATTTTCTTCCGCCTCATCCGGGTCAGGGTCGCGGGGCAGCAGCTTCAGGAGGGAAGCCCAGACGGCCCTCACCCCGGCCACTTCCACCAGCTCCTCCGGGGGGATTCCCAGGCGCTCCCAGGCCAGGTGAGAGATATAATCCCTCCACCTGGTCCTGGGCCAGCCACGAGGTCTCCTCCCGGTGGGACATGTCTGGAACTCCACTAACGGGAGGCGTCCAGAAGGCATCCTAACCAGATGCCTGAGCTACCTCAGCTGACTCCTCTCAACGTGGAGGAGCAGCGGTTCTCTGAGCGCCTCCCGAGTGTTATTATAATTATTATTATGATTTTTATTAATATTATTATTATTATTATTATTATTATATAGGGACATATATCTGCCCTGGATTTAATCTCCCATGAGAGGTTTAGGCTGATCTGTCTTATTCACATGAGGACAACACTTAAAATGAATAAAATAAAGTCCAGAACCTCAGTGACCATTCCACCTGACATGAACACCTTGTAGGAAGCAGTTCTTTAAAAATATGGCAGTATGTTGGTCCTTCAGCAGCAAACATTTGGAGATATTTAGAAGCTTACTGATGTCACTGAATCATATCTGAGTTTTACGCTCAAGGTTTGGAAAAAGTCAATCATGTTTTGATCTCCTTTAGCAGCAGCTGCTGCGTTCCTTAAGATGTTGTAACATCACTGCCTCTGTGTGTTTGTCACTATACAGATGTTGGTCCAAGCTGCTGTTACGAAGGTGGCCCTTATATAAAACCAAGGATCATAAAGTGCATCCATCAGACACGCATGAGGAATTGCCGCACAAAAAACTATGCGTAAGTACAGCATGCTTTACCAATGTTAATCAAAGTCAAGTCAAAGTCATTTGATCTGCTAAAACACAAACTAACGAGTCATAGCTAATGACAGGAATTAAAGACATTGCTAATAGCCAATTTTAAAATCATGTTCAATGTGGGAGGACAATAACTTCTTTAGTAAAATGTACAAATTATACACTGAATCTGACCATGAAGGTGTTTTTCTTGAGCAAACAGCCCTAATCAAAGCAGAATAACGACCCTTAAGGAGTCTATAACCAGGTTTCACATGTCCAACAAGTCTGTCCTTCATTGAAACCTGATCAAAGATTTTGGGGGTTTTATCCCTCACAGAAGTAAATGTTTTGCTGACTAAATACTAAGTAAAGCGAGTACACTCTTCAGCTGAATCCCTAATTGCTTCTGACTCCAATCTGATAACAGGTGATCTATGTGACACAGTTCATATGTGATTAAAAACGCTTGACTGTTTGAAACCATCAACAGAAGAAAACTGATCTTCAGGAGTGAGCCTATCAAGGATCAATGAACAAAGATGTTTTAAAGTTTTATCCTGTCTGTCTGCTTCCAGGGTTCAGGTTGAGGGTGGCGAATGGAAATGTATTGACTCTGAGTCAAAGTGGATGAAACAGCAAATACAGAAGGTAAGAATCAGTCTATCAGCCTCTCTTTTAGCCACATTAGTTACTCTGTCATACCCTACCTGGGCAGTCAATCATGTCTGAAGCAGTCCATCAACATGGTTTGTCATTTGTGTTACAACAGCAGACTGTATAAAAGCAGACAAGCTCCAGCAAAGGGAAGCAAAAACATCTAGCACTCCCTCTACTGGCTGGCTGCAGTTTAGGTCAATCCCCTCAAACATACTTAGTGTCATTACAGGCAGCTCTTATTCTGTTTATATGTCCATGTAGGGTTTTACAAAACAGACTTTGAACTTGAATATTATTCTAGTGAAAAGAAAATTATGTCAATTCAGTTTTTTTTAAATGCAACAAAAATCAACTCCTGGGTATTCAGGGCTGCTTTATTTTGTCATTTTGGATTTCTTTTAACATGTCTCTACATTAAATATGATAAAAAAAATTACTGAAAGACAGAATGAATAATGCTCGCATTCCTCCTGACTCCACAGGGAATTGTAACCTGCACTGAAGAAAGAAAATACAACTGATGTGGAGAAGCAAAAACAATGAGGACTCCTCTTCTGATGAATTCCTCCTGGCTTTTGATGCTTTATCTGTTTTATTTTTTTTGCAATGCTGTCTTTCTACAGACTTTTCTGCAGCTTTTACCATCATGTTGAATTCTCTTCAAAATAAACAAATTTGACTAAGTCCTGTTAACTGATTGTACAATGTTATGCTGGCACTGTGTGGATGAGTATTACTGTGCTGAGTACACTATGAACATCTTGACACATTAAGGTTACTGTGAGTCAAGCTTTGACATTTAAACTCAATCAGGAAATAACATCTCTGCAGCTCATCAAAACCACACAAGTGATAAAAAAAATAAATACAAAAAAAAAAAAAAACTGAAACAGCAATGCATGAGAGAAGCTTATCAAGATGTTAAAACGCTTTCATAAAAAAGCTGTGTGATATGTTACTGCACAACATGTAAACAACTTTTGGTCAGGTCATGTTGAAAAGGAAAATGAGGCAACAAGAAAGAAGAAGAGGAGGCAGTTGCTTCACCATAACGTATGTTTGCATGACTATAGAGCAAAGCCACAATTATGAAATATGACTTATATTTTCTGGTTGAAGAAGTATTGGTAATGTTAGGAAAATCAAAATGTCTCTTTGCCCTCTACTAGAGTCCAATGTTGATGATTGAAACATATCCAGTTTTGACCAATGACCAATCATGACCAATAGAATAATTATCTTCCTCCATTTCAGCAGCACAACCTGTACTTTGTCAGCAAAGGAGAATATTGTACTTGGTTGCTAATAGACTGCACACCCTGATCAAAGAGGTTTTTTTTTTTTTTAGGGATTTCTCTTGACATTATTCCCAGATGGCAGTCTTGACAACAAGTGGTATCAGTGGCCAACGAGTTGGTCATGCCTTTTCTTTATAAAACAACTTTTTCTTTCTTAACGTTGACATTGTGACTGCAGGTTTTGTATTTCCCCCATAGATGGAGACAGAGTTAAGTTAATAGCTTACCTATCACCTCAATGGCTACTGTATACCTAAAATCACTGTATACCAACAAAGTCTTTGTAAGACACTGAATGTTAATAAACCTCAAAGAGAAGGCAGCATGGTTAATTTTGTACATGGCCTAGTTGGCCTGTCCAAACTCTTTTCATGTCTTCCTCTTTTTTTGTTTTTTTAACAACTTGAAGCAAATTTGGAAGCAGGGGAGGAAGTTATTCAACAATTTCAATATTGTCCAACCTTGTGTGGAAAACATGAAGTCACAAGTTTCCACTGTGAAATGCCTCTCAGTCAAGAATCCCCTTTTTGACTGGAAAATACTATCATTCTTGTTGTCTCATCTGCGGTCTTTTCTAAATAATCCACTTAATTAATATGGCTTTGGACACGCCGATGCAAACCGTACCTATACCTTTAGTTTTCTATCTTTATCGTCATCACACTGAAGCAGATCTGGGAAGCTATTACCCGTAACTGCAGATTCAGAGAAGTTTTAAAAAAGCAGAAGAAATCCCCTCATGGGTAAACTTAGAACTATTTTCATGATTAAAAGTGAAAGATAGCGTGCAGTGTGGGAGAATCACATGGTCTCTGAGAAAGATCAGCAATATGAAGTTAGTGCGGGACTTTTTAAGTACTAACTCTATAAATATATCAGATCTCACAGCTCAATAAGCTAGAGACCCAACAATTATAAAGCAGCGATGAAAAAAAAAAAAAAAAAAGGTTAGGGGTTTTTGGCTAAATTTTCAATTAAATATTTGTATCAGTATCTGTATCTGGACCTTGTCACAATCAGTACAGCTTTGATCATGACTGTCGCTATAAGGTGTTTTTCTTGTTTTAATCCACGAGTGTTGTGTTTGTATGAGTGATTTCTTTCCCAGGTTTACAAAACGGGACAGGAAATCCACTTTGGAGTCCACCTGCCCCTGTGGCATTGAGCTATTGCATGTGGCTGATTAAATTTAACAAGACTTCAAGTCAAAGCAAAAGGCTGTTATAGATATTTCAGGAAAATACTGACTTTAGTTTATCAGTATGAGGTTGGTTAGTGTCTTCATTCTAGCCTTGCTGAAAATAAACCATGACTGAGAGGCAAGAGAGTCACTGTATTCCTCCTAAATGATGTCAGCGTGTATGAGGGGGGTCATCATGGGCTCATAGCTTGCTGCTGGAAACCCCCTTCAAATGAGCCTGTGATGAGATAATCAGCTCATGTCTGTGCGTGAGAGCAGGGAGATGTTTTTTAAGTCACTTTCAGTTTAGTTCTCAGTGTGCCAAGGCTTTTGATTTAATCTGTGTGGTTTGAGGTTGTTCCGTTGTTGATGCACATCAATATAATTTCTCCAATTTCTCACTGAAGGGGCATGCTAAAGTCTTTCAAACAGCTGAATAAAAAGATGGTCTTTGAGGTCCTAGATATTCATTGTAGCTGCTCTTAAATTCATCATCCAGAGTCAGAGGCCACAGGTGACAGTAGGCAGATCTATCCGAGCATCTCCACGACTTTCCTCATAGAAATGTATCATTTCTAAATTTATGAGCATACCTGTTGGATTATTGCACTGCATCAACTTAACTTATGGTGAGCCACAAGCTGAACACAGGTTCTTCATGTGTTAATACACATATGACAGGACAGGAAGTCATGTCTGTGTGGGCACACGCTTTTTGCAGCATGGTTGAGGAACTTCCTCTTCTGGTCCACAGAGACTTCTGAGATCAATAAAACCGTTTCACTCTCGGTCAGTTCTGCCATCAGTTTCTGCCGGCAGTCACTTGGTTACAGATCTGTATACTGTTGGAAAATCTACATTTTGCATAAATCATTATACATTTGGAAACAGAGTATGTATAGCGTGCTCAGATTGGCTTTAATCAGTTCTGCTGAAAGATAGCTGAGCTGATTAAATGAGAGAAGAGGAAGTGGTTAATGACTTCATGCAGGTGGTATTCAACGAAGGAAGAGCAATTTTCACTAATACACTGGAATTAACACCTTTTACAGTATATTTTTGGAACTCTATGTGGTAATAATCTACAGGCTTAGGACCCTTGTAAAAAAAAGCTGGTACGAAACCCTTGGACGAGGGGACTACAGCTTATACACAGCCTACACAGTTATGGTCAACATAATAGAAATATGAATAATTTGCTTCCAGTAATTTTGGGGCTCCCCATTAAAGGTGGAGATGTCTAATCATTACTCATCCCAAATGTATTCATGGTGTGGTTAAGATACTGCAAACAGCTTTATCGTCACTGTGATGATTTAACTATTATTTGCTTTCTGGCTAAAAACTCCAAAATGCGCGGAAATCTACTGAGAAAATTCCAAAGACTTTATAATTTAAAGTCCTTAACAATTTCATTGAAAGAGGACAAGTTGCAATAAAAAGTTCACAAGTAAATGTTCAAATATGATACTGCTGTGTTTGTATGTTTGTCTGCTTCTATTCTGACATGAAGCACGTCATGCTGCAGCTGTGACAAGTTTCTGAGAATTTAAAAACCTCATTTTATCATGTTGACACCCAGAAAAACACATCTCCAAGTGTTGTTTTATCACAGTTTTTTCAACTTTGTTTCCTCTGGTAGATTATGAACACTTGGTGTATGTGTTCGTTCCTTCCTCTTTTCATCATTTCTAGACCATCGTTGTCAAGAAGTTTCTGTTTATTTTCTCCACTCCTGTGGATAAAGCGGAGGGGTGCCAAACCAGTCCTTGCTTATCTCGTCCTCTAAAGTCGTCTTTAATCTTCTGATCAAAAAAAGCTCGCCCTGCTGACTTTCGACAATCAAATAAATCATGTACTATCAACACTTGAAGTGGAAATTGTGACAGGGATGTTTCTGCAGCTGCTCGGCTGACACCAACCCCCTCACAGAGGTTTCAGGTATTAAAAAAAACTACTTTTGTAGATTGTAAAAAATCATCAGTGTGGATTTCAGACCATTTCGAATAAGCTGGAAAATTCCCCATAGAAGTGTTAAAAATATAAATAAAATAAAATCAGCTTTATAACTGAGAAGCATTAAAAAGACTGAAGCCCTCATTTTGCTTCTTTACACACTGAGTTGAGATGACTTGTCCCTATTTCATTCATGCACATATAACTTCACCTTATTTTAAGTATTTAGCAGTTGAAAATATCACTAAACTGCTGTGTCATTGTGGAGGAACTTCAGAAAGTGACACCTAGACTTTTTAACTTCACCCTCTCTTTAAAGTATTTCCAGTGAAGAAGTAACTAAAACCCATCTTGTGACATTTCTGCTTCGTTCAAGTTCCCTGAAGAAGAAATATTCAGAAACTACAAAACAAGAATCATCCACGACCTTTAAAAAACCCTCCTGATGTTGCAAAAAGGTAGCAACACTCACCACATGGTGCATTATCTTTTCACACTTGTCTGAGTGTGAGTGTGTTTTGTAATGTATGCATCAACACATGGGGTTGGTTTCTCAGAAATGTTGTATATACTTGTTGGTGGTTTGAGGTTGCTCAGATGGCTATAAACAGTTCTATGACGAAGGATGCAGGTGTTTAAAAATGTGAGAAAACCATCACTCACTGAAAGCACGTCCATAAATGCATGAGGAAGTACCTCATAAGTACTGCCTTCACCCCTCCCCAGGATGAGTATTGTGCACTTACTAAAAAATTTCCAAACTTCTGTCAGATTGTGTCGTTGCAGTCAGATCAGATCATCATCCTCCAACCTGCCTGTCGGTCAGAATGTCCATGAAGATCCTGCCCATCACTGTCCTCCTGTTCTTGGTGTGCTTCTGGTCCTCTGCAGACAGTAGAAGGCACAATTGTAAGTATGAAAATAACCAAAACAAAAATTAAACTGAGCCAGTAAACCTATTTTAAACTGCTGTCCAACAGATACTGTAAAAGCCTTTTTGAATTTCTGTAAATAGTCTGTTTGGCACTTCCTGCCGTGTTCTTTCAGTGTGTTTTGACAGTTTTTCTCAGTTACTACAACATAACTCTTCCTGCCTCATTTTACATAGCCTCTATATAGTGAGTGTGCTTCATCTTGTTTCATGTTGCCCTCTGCGGCCTGTATGTGTGCGCGTGTGTGTACTATGTTCGGTATTTGTTGTGGTCTACGTGCTGCTCCTGTAGATGATAAGTTTCTTGGTGATTTTCGTCTTCTATGAAATTAAGTTCAAGACAACAAGACCATGTTACCTGTTTCTTGTCTGATGTTTTTAGCATTGAATTTTTTCTCTGTGAATTTTTACAAATAAATATTTCACTATGAGTCACAAACAAAGTGTGAAACTAGGAATGTAATGATTCTTTTAACCCCTAACCTTTTTAAGAAATGAATCACAATTGTTTAATTCTTTGACCACAAACCTGAACATCAAATACATCCTACTATCGTACACGCCTGAACCAAATATATTGGTATTTTTTTTCATGTTTTAACTGATTTGGCATCTCATGATCACCACATTACCGCTTGCTAACCACTGTGCTGTGTTGGATACTTGATCTTGATAGGGCACCACCATCTGCGTGCATTCACTCTTATTTTAGAAGATGACAGTCAGAAAACCTGATCACACATCATGAATATCAAATGAGTACGCAGAAAGGAGTATCAGTACATCTAGTACACTCAACAGAGCAGAAACAGTACATTCTGATAGCATCAGTGGACGACATGGAGAATATGTCTGAATTTGTTTTTAGTGAGCGTAAAACTTTAGAGTGGCAGTTAAAAGCTGCAAAGTGAAAGAGGCTTCAACCAAAATGAGGCAACCACAATACTGTTTGAGCTCTGGCAGTGTTACAGGAGTGGTTGAGTGAAAACGTCTTTCAGTATGAAGAAAGGAGACCTGAAACAGCTGCTGCTGTTATATTTCTATACATAACTACTTGCTAACTATACATTATTCTCAATTTAAGGCTGTTGTAATGCTCTAAATCACATCTTTTAAACTTTTAATAATACCATATACTTGACTGAGTTCTAATACATCAGACGTTATGTTATTTCACAGACTTTATTGTTAAATTTTAAGGGAGGGGGTTAAACCTTTTCTACTTTTTTCTCAACTATCTCTGGTGCTCTCTTTCTCTCTTTAAGTGCGTGGTCCCTCAAAACACCACCCTCCTCCTCCGTGCTGCACCAAGGTTTCTACAGCCGACGTCAGCGCTGATGTGATCGGGGACACATATCAAGAACAAGCAGCCCATCCTCCCTGTGTGAAAGCTTTGATGTAAGTTCATAAACGAGGTCTAAAAGCACACAAACACACAAAGACAATCCTAAATATTTTGCCTTTTTTTTTCTAGTTTCAACACAGAATATGGACAAGTCTGCATTGGTACTCATGTGGAATGGGCCAAAGAACGTGAGTTGTTCAAAAATTATTTACAAATGGTTCATGAAGCAGTATTTACACCCCCTAAAAATACCCATGCTCTTTCTTATCTCCCTTCCTGCCTTCTAGTCGCTGCAAACATGACAAAGCTGTGAAGACTTTGAAACATTTCCCTGTTGCTGATGAAGACGCCCTCCGTACACTCTGAGCAACATGAGCAGCACACACAGTACCTTTACTTTTATAATATCTGAGCATTCACATTTCTAATACCTCATTTCTTTTGACTGAGCTTAAACATATATATCTGCAAAAAGTGACAAATGAAGCAATAAAAATACTCTTTTAAGAATGACTGTTTGGGTTTTATGGTTTGTTCTGTTGGTTGATTGTTCACGCTTATATAATCATAGCAAAGCAGGATTTAATAAAGACACTCAAACGAGGCTGAAATTAACTAATTTTAGATAAAGATGTGAAAAAGAAGCCACTGAAATTACACATTTTAATGCATATGATTCTTGCAGGGTGGGATTTAAAACATCTCTGCTTTAAAAACCAGGAATGGCCATTTCTCTCTGAATAATCTTCACTGGTTTGACACTAATTGAGTACTTAGAGGCAAAATACGACCATCCTACACCCTCCAGCCCCACTTTACCGCCTGTTAACAGTCAGAAAAATTCCTCTCTCACATTCTCATGACCTAGAGCACGACCTTTACAAACATCCAGAAAGAATAAGTTCACTTATCTGGACACAATTTGACACTCTGTCAGTAGTGTTACATTCCCATCTGGTGGTAATACCAGACAGAAGACTTTGTTGGTGCAAATAATCCATAAATCTCCTGTTTTATTTGTCAGCAGACAGGCTAAGATTTACTAAGTTAACAGCCACCAATCTTGAGATTTAAAGGTATAACACTGAAAGTTTAACGGGATTGTAAAAGTGTTTATATAAAATCATGACATGCACAGGTAGTGGTCTTTTAAATGTTCCCAAAGTAAAAACTAAAACATCATTGTTCCAATATCACGGTCTCCATCTGTGGAAAAGCCTACCTGCAGACCTGAGAACAACACCTCCTGTTCATATTTTTAGTAAACTAAAGACCTGCCTTTTTAGTCTGGCTTTTAGCTGAATTTTGTTTTAATCTTTTAATCTGCATTATGTGATTTTACACTATTTTAGTCCTAGAGTAATTATTTTGTGTTGTATTACCTCTTTTTATTTTATTTACTTTTGATTTTAAGATTTTAAGACTTCTATTCAATTAACTTAAACGTTTTATCACCTTTATCATATTTTAACATTTTAGTCTTAGACCCAGTGTTTCCTCATCTTTTTTAACTCAAGACAGTGTTTCCCCAGTCATCTGTGGCAAGTTGAAAAGTCTTCACCTGGTATTTTGTGTGTGTGTGTGTGAGTGCTGTACGTGTTGAAAGGGGGTTGGGAGGGTTTGTTATTTGTATTTATTTATTTATTTTATTTCATGGTTTTTCAATATCCTGCGCGAATAGACAGCATTTTGGCTACAGTCCATGTATGAAAAGTGCTTTAAAAATAAAGTTTGATTGATTGGAGTCTTGGTCCTCAAAAAATTTAAGAATAAATTCTGAAGAACTCTGTTTAACAATTACATAGCGATAAACATGCGTGTTTGAAATACCATTTCAAATATCGACTTTTAGTTCTTTAGTGTCCTCTGCGTGACAGGAAAGAACCGACACAGACCAGACATTTGACTTATCAAGTGGGCTTTAGTGCCATCTAGTGGAAGTATCAGGTGCTAAAAGCAAAACTCTAATGTTCAGTTGCCCATTATTAAAGTGTGACTTGCTGTAATAGAATGCATCCTAAAATGTTCTTCTTCTCTTTCAATCGTTCTCTTCAAGTTTTAACTTTTTTAAGAGCATTGTATATATGGCATAGGCAGTTGTGTCTGTTGTATTTGTACACACAACTCAGACCAAACAATCTAAACTGAATAATACATGACCTTAAAAACACACACTGTAAATCTGACTCACGGTATCAGGAGGAGGCTTCAACATAAAGTGGAGAAGACTAGGAGGGCATCTTTGGTGGTGTCAGGTAAACAACCTGAAAGAGAGAGACGAAGAACAGTTAACTGTTATTTATCAGATGCAACAGTCACACTCTTTGGACATCCCTACATACAAAAAAAATGTGATGGCCATGAAAAACAAGGCAGACAAAACATGGATATAGATCTTTGGTAGAAGATAGTAAGTTGGATTTTTTGCAGTACAAAAGAGATAAAGTAAACACACTGGCACTCAGACAGGTGGGGAAGTGAGAATTATCCTAGAAACCCTTTTAATCTCTGTATTTAGTTTAACTTCCCTGTTTCACCGATTTTTGCCTGTGTCTTTGAGTGTTAAGTTTTTCTATCATCTTTTAATCCATATATGGAAAAGGTGAAAATGTTTTAACATAAATTCTAAGTATAGACTTATCATAAACTCTAGGTATTGACTCATCATTGAATCATTTTCCCTGGGAATAAGTGTCATATCATCACTCACAATTTCCCTTGATTATCAGTCTTCTTACTGGCTTTTCTATTTATACACCAAAACGAACACACCTCTTTTTAATGTGTATTAAATTTGGGATTTCAAAGAGAATACCAAAGATCTTCACCTGACACTCCCCTCTGTGAAATCTCATGAAGCTGCTCTTCAAACACTCTGAAAGTCCCTGTGCCCCATCTGGAGGTGAAACTGGGGATAGGTGGGTGGAGGGCACACTAAAAGGAACAAAAAACGATTAAGGAATAGTGAAAAGGCAAAAAAAGAGATAAAAAGGAGGTGGATAAAATAGCAGATGGTGGATCTGAAGAAACTAATTTAGAGGATGGGACATGAGAATGGGACACAGGTGGACAAATGTCTGTTTTTTTAATTAAGTAGAGGACACTCAGCATGAGGTTGGGTGCTTTCAAATCTCAATCTGATCTCTAAAGTAAAGGGTGAGGACATGGCAGCAGCTGGATTTAGTCAGTCAGAGTTAGCAGTGAGGTTTGAGTATAGGTTAGATCTCAGGAACTCATTTGCATTCGGGAACTCTTTTTTTATTTTTTCTTGTAGGGAAATTAGCCAAAGGATGACTACAGTGAAAACAAGCTAGTAACATATCACGGGCTCTCAGTATGTTGAAGTAAATAACGGTATTCGCGAGTTACACAAGTACCAGTACTGATAAAAACTAACAAAAAGAAATAGAATAAAATAATCAAAAACGTTTTCATGCTGACAGAAATATTAATGAGGCCTCAAATGAAACGTTACTCAGGTTTGCTAACAGATATCAAGTTTCACTCATTAAAAGGCGTCGTCAGCTCATTAGCATATGTGACAGAAACTCGTTTGTTCACATAGTTTAAAGTTTACACTAAATATTGTTCTTAAGGATTTGTGAATGGTATGGTATAAAAAAAACTAAATTTATTCCCAAACCAAATGAAATTCACTTGTGTTCTGTCTTAACAAAGTCGTTGGCGACCGTTGCAGTTAATGACGACGTTCGAGAGACGTTTGAGCGTCTCTATAGCCTCGATTTGATTGGTTACCAGAGCGGCGGTTAATTTGAATGATCCAATCAGGATTCTCGTAGGCAGCGCTGCTGGAAATGACCGTTAGAAGCTTAGTATTTTAAATACCTGATAAAATTTGATTATTTTAGATTGTGTGTGTTGTGTTTTGGGAAAAACAGCTAACAGAGAAAGACTGGATATGTATGTTGCAAAGTTTTTATACGGAACACAAAAATATAACAGCAAAATGAACAAAACTGTGAAAAAATAAGACCCAAATACAAAAACAATCATTCTTTAACATCCATGGATTTACAGGTTACAAGTCTGTCTTACAACAAAAACATAACAACAAAATACACACAAATGTTTAAAAAAACATTCATTCTCTTTAAGGCAGATTATAATATTAAGATTTTTTAAACTCGAGCAGATACCCTGCTGGTACTGTGATGATTCATTTATAAAAAAATCCATATCTAAGGTTAGACTGATATTATTTGCTGTGTTTTGTCTTTTTTTTTTTTTTTTTTACAGATTTTCCTGTTAGTTCTTCTTTTAGCATTCAATTGTGAAATATTCTTGCCAATTAAAAACAGTTATAAAAACTTCAGGTAACATTTTCCCTATTTTTTGGATATAAAAAACTAACAAAAAATACATTCTTCAATAGAATGGTTATTGCTTATTTTTGTTGCAAAGAAAGTCACCCAAAATCACTTCAAATGATATGTACCTGTCTAAAATATCTGCTGCAATGAAACACAATATTTTGGAATGATATTAGTCTTTTGCAGTTCTTCTTTTTGTAAGATATTTCTTCATATGTAAATGAGAATAAAGAGTCTATGATCTGATGCAGATCTCTGTTCTGCATCATTTCTGCACTGTCTCTTGTGTCATAAATAGAGACAACTTTCATGAGAGTCCTCTGGAGGTAAACACAGTCCGACAAAAAGGCTTTCACCTTACAAAATTTTGCAGATCATGAATTCAGTCATAGCAAGGCAAACAGTCTATAAAAGTATCCTTGCTGAGGATATAGAGCAGAGCTGCTCTGTATAAAAGCATCAGCTCCGAGTGTCTTTAAACAGCCTGTCTCTGTCCCCAGTCAGAGCACAGTGGTCTCAGTCTGCAGGATGGACTGAGCTCGGGAGTTCCGGGGAAACTGCACGGAGTTTTCAGTGCCGTTTTTGCTGACAGACGTGGTGTGTAGTCTGTAGTCCCGCCCCACGTAACGCTTCAGAGATAAACTCCTCCACGTCCTCCTCAGCTCACTCTGCACCTTTTAATACAAAAAACAAATGAGTGAATCATGAAAAATCTGTCAAAGTGTTAATCATTGTTTGTAAATTTTATTTTGAAAATTCGACACAATACAAAGTCAGGTCAGACTTAGGGCTTTTGCAAAACACTGGATTTGACGATGACCATCAATACAGATACATTTTGAAAAAATAATAAAATGTTAATATCATACCAAAAATAAGTGTAGAGTAATGCACTCTAGCTATAACAGCCTCTGTTGCAGCTGTTATCATTCAATTTCACAACTTGCAATCTACCAAATGAAGCATTTACTTAAAAAAAAAGCATAGTTTGACCATGCATAAAACAAGGCAACCAATAGGTAAGACAGAAAAATATCAAAATAAAAGCATGTCAAGCAATCTTTTTATCCTCCTTGTCTTGCCTTTCTCAATCTGACTGACTGTGATGGACACTTACCTCACTGTTGAGGAAACAATAGAGGACAGCCACAATTAGACCCTAAAAAACAAACACAATTTTAGAGCATGAGAAGAAAATATACCTTTGAGTTATCATATTTGTCATATTTGCACCATTGTGTCCACATCAGGACTGCCATACTGTTTACATTCACTTTCTTCCATTCACCTTCCTCCTTATATTTATACTGCACACTGTTTATACTGTTATGCTGTTTATATTTTTATCTTTATTTTGTAAATTGATGTGGGTATTTAAGGCAGTATTTTGTTTAGCTTAGTTGTTTATTCTATATTTATACTTTTATAGTTTTATTCTTATAGTTTATTGTTATGCACAGTGGGTCTGAGAGGACTGAAAATTCATCTGTGCTGTATGTTTAAACATGTATAGCATATTTAAAAATAAAGTTGACTTTGACTTCCTGGAAATTAAATCCATAAAATAATAAGACTGACTGGAGTCTTTATTTTAACCAATAATAATTGAGCCCAAGATTTGATTGGTGGAATCAAAGCCCTGATTTGATTTTCCAAGTGGAAATCAAATCAGGAAATCTGCACAACTGTTTGTCTCATAAAAAAAAAAAAAGATCCTTTTATATTATAACCATTAACAATGGATTTGCATTGTGCACTTGGTAGTCTAAGCCGCATCAGGCGTATGATTAGTTACCTGAAAGGATCCGAGGCCGAGATCAAAGAAGATCTTGACTTTCTTCATGCTTTCATCAGCCGGCTCCATCAGGTAGACAAACACCATGTAGTTCACCCCGAACAGAGGGATCAGCAGCAGGGTGGACTTGGCCAACCGGCTGGAAAACACACAGATAGCCACACTTTAGCTGCCAACCTAAGTGTTTTTGAATGATGCATTATGTTGCCTGAAAATTATACAAATGATAAAAAATCCAGTCAATGAAAGGTGAGAGATGTCTTGATATCTTGGAGGTGTACCTGTACTGCGATCGGCTGTTTCCACCGACATCAGTGCAGCGCAGCTTCTGCATCAGGATGCGGATGATGCTGATGAACAGGATGAAGTTGATCTTGTGGAGAAAACAAAGCATGGACACAAAGCTCGACTGGAAAATGTTTGTTTGATCTTTCTGCAAGCATTTAAATAACTGAATCTGTGAAATCATCATGCACAACATCCATCCTTGTGGCTCCTCTTTCAAGACAGGAAATTTCCAAGTGTTCGATCAGATGATCTAAAGAAACACGATACTGCCCTCAAGGGTCAAGATGTCAAAGGTGAGTATCACTTCTGAGCTATCAAACTCTGATGAGCCGCCACAGCTGCACCTCCTAAGCTTTGCACATGAGTCTGATAATATTTCATCACTCAAGTTACTTCTAACTTTGTGCCAAATTTCAGCTTGACTGGATGAACACCTTCGGAGGAGTTGACCCCTGAAAGACCCCTGGAAATCGCCAAAAGAGCTCTGATTTTAAATAACTGATCCAAGAGGTCAGATTTCTTGCTGTAGTAAGTGTTTGGCTCCAAAAGTCTTCTGTGGATCTTATCGAGCCACATACGCCAGTTGCATTTTATACATGGCGGTAAAAGTAAGCTCTCAGTTATCAACTCATCCATGATAGAGCTGTAGGAAATGTAGAGCAAATGAGTAATGCTGGGGGGAAAACTTGACATATGCTTTTATGAGGGATTGTTGTTGCAGAACTCACAATGACAGATGCCATGATGGGCCAGTTGATCAGTCTGTTTGGGACTGGGTTTTCATTCATTTCCCAGCATCTGAAATATGAACAGTTTCTGAATGTTAAAGATCATCCTTAATGCTGCATTCAGTAACAAATGAACCTCCTTAAATTAAAAACGACAGCTGCTGGATGAAAACCTTATCCCTCAAAATGTCACCTAACCCAGAGGGTTTGTCTTTCTGGAATAACATGTTTTTATCCTCTCTCCATCTCATTAACCATATGACTTAACTGTAAATTTTGTGGTGCTACTATTTAAAAAGTCAGGACTCAGACTCACCTTGTGTCCTCCAGGTTGATCCTGCATATGATCCATGCAACCATGAACACAAAAGGGATTCCTGATAGAAGGAAAGAGAGGAGGTTTTTAGTCTGACAGACATTAAATATTCTCACACGAGAATGTCCTCATGATGTCCTCATATGTACATTTAACACCTGGAGCAGGCTGGTGATTAATTAAGGAAGAATGTATGCAAGCAAGTGAGGGAGGAAGGAGATGTCAGCTGGAGGCAGCTGAAAAGGAGCAGAGCGGCGAGAGTTTATGACCTTTTTAAGAAATATACTCGTCCACTTTTTCAGCATGACGCATGAGTGCATGTATATATTTGTCTTTTTAGGATAAATTTGTTCCCTGTAAACTTTTGCACATGGGGCTAACATGAAGCTAATAGAGGTACACCAGCGTCATGTAAAACACATTACTTTTTATTGTTTTTGCACAATAATATCACACAGCAATTTGCCGCCAAATATCAAAAAAACATAAGAAAACTTTTGCACCCTATATTGGTTGTAAAGGTGTCCTTTTTGTTACTAGGACTGAGTGGCGGCACATGTCACACAAAGTAACTGCAAAATGTACAGGCTGCATTTACAAAATATGAAGACAAAAAAGGTAGTTTAAGTATTTTGTAAAATATTCCCAAAGTAAAATAAACATATGATTTGTCCTGCAAAATATACCAAAATGATTCCCCTGGATTTAAAGATGTATTTTCTACTTATTCTGTCTGAAATAAAAGACAGAAAAAGAATATGTATCAATAATTGATTACAAAAGTTAGCCAATATGGTTTAAATAACAAACAAAAATCTTTAGCTATCCAACCAGTAATGTTGCAGCCTACCCCAGCCGATGAGCATGTAGATGGAGAGGCGGGTGGAGTAGTTGTGGATGACGAGCAGCAGTGTGTGAAGGTACAGACCCTCCACCAGCAGCCAGAAGAAGTTGGCCATGATGAAGTAGTTGAAGAACACCAGGCTGGCCTTACAGCCCACCTGCAACAATAAAAACAGAATTAATAACCACATTTTCACACACATACTCATCAACACATGTTTTTTTTTTTTATGTTGTTATTGAAGCTGCTGTTTGAGAATTACACACACCACTTGTGAGGCATTAAACTCTTTGCCTCATAAGACAGTGTCTTTTGGCCTAGTTGTGCATCAGCAAAATTGTCATATTTAGGGTAAATTGTCGACTTGAGAATGAACATGTCCATGTCTGTGTGTATGAAGTCACCAGTGAGGGTTGTGTGCTGCAGTCTGTGTGTTCATCATCTGAGAACAGCAGCGTGTCTTTGGTCAGCACGGCCACGGCTCTCAGCATGAACGATACAAACAAGTTCAGATGGATGTAGTTCCTGGTGCAGTGGAGCCTCCTGGACACACACATAAACACACAGAAGAGAGAAGAATGCCGACAAGAGTGTTTACAGAGTGTGTCGGCGTGTAAATCCAGTGAAGGATGTGGTACCTAAACACGCAGATGGCAGCTGAGGAACATCTGGAGTTGATCCAGGCTGAGCTGCTGCGTTCATTTCTTTCACACATTTCTACAACAAACTGTTTTCACCCTGAGGGTCTGTGTGTTAGAAAACATTCAAACAGTGTAAATGAGTGTTTGTATAGTCACCCAAGGGATTCCTCATGTATAAACAGTTTGATAAACATCAGCTGGAGATGACGCTTCTTCTTGACACCTAATATTTTTAATAAATTGGTGTATAAGTCTTTTTTTCTCATTTCAAGAGCTAATTAAACTGTCAATCATAACATCTGATGAATCTGTTGGTGTAGATATTGGTGCCCCCTTGTGGACAGAATGAAAAATTCAATTATGACAAAAAAATCTCACCTTGTTTTCTTTCACAGTAAGTTTGATCAATAAGTAAATATTTCTTTGTGTGTGTATATCAGAACTTGTTTCACACCAACAATGGAGCCTTAAACGAGGCATTACGACGACTTGTCTACTTCAGGTGTTAAAGCTTTGTCCAAATTAAGAATAATGTAAATTTAATTTTGTAGTGTGTGTGTGTGGTGCAACTTGTTATACACCTATAATGGGACCTTAAACTTATCTTACAGTGGAATTATGGGGACCCGTCTTCTTTAAGGAAACACAATCCCTAAGGGTCAAAGCCTTGTCCAAATTAAAGGTCCTTACACACCGGGGCCCACGCAAATATAGAACGTGAAATTACGAAATATTCTGAGGCAAATTTTGATGCACCTGACTATACACATCAAGCCCGATGCAATTTTGCGACTTTCTCGGGGGAAAAAGACGCATCCCGGGAAAGTTCCACTTCCTTCGCCTCTGATTGGCTAGAAAAGCTGGAAACGTCATCATACGCTAAAGCCAAACGGTCAGCACTTATAGCCAATTGGAGGCAATAAAATAGGCACATGAAACTATGGTAACAACTGTTAGCTTATGTTAGCACAGATGAAAGTTAGAACAAAGACGTTTATCAAACTGTTAAAGCACACAAACCATCGTCATATGAGAAGTCCGACGCTATGACTCTCCACAAGTTGTCCTTTAGGTCGTTATCTTTTTAATGTTTGTGTCTTTTATCAAAAATCACTCTGTTCTCCGACACGTAAACAATCGGCCGGTCGGCGATGTTGGATATACCGGTAAATCTGACGTCGCAACAACAAGAAATCTGATTGGTCAGAAGTGGACACACAGTATGCGAAACTTTAGAAAAATCGACCATGATCCGAAAAAAAAAAAGCCGCAATATCGCGGAACGGGAAAAGGTCGCTGATGTGAATGCTTGTGTTGACAGGATACGGGTTCGAAAAAAATCATTGAAGCCCGAGATAACTGCATGACAAAAACGCTCCCGGTGTGAAAGGACCTTAAGAATGTGAAGGTTTAGATTGTGTGTGTGTGTGTGTGTGTGTGTGTGTGTGTGTGTGTGTGTGTGTGTGTGTGTGTGTACGAACTTGCTTTACACCAACAGTGGGGCCTTTATTTTCGTACACTTGCACTGGAGGGACCTGTCTACCTTAAAGTTTTCTAGAGTTTACGTTTTAACGATGGTAAGGATGCAGCAGTAGATGTAGATGTATCAGGGTTTGGATCATGAGTGTGTTTACCTGAAGAAACAGATGATGAAGGTGCTGGTGAGCAGACTGATGAGTGACAGGCTGTGGCCAAGAGTGGACAGAATCTTCACCACCCTGTAGAAAACCAGCTGGAAACCAAAATAAGAGAAAAATTAAACAAGTTTTTCTGTAGATTCATGAGATTTTAGGATTATTAAAGATGGTTTGCACCCAAGGTAAATTATTGGCTGGTAAAATAACAAGTTTATCAGGGTTTCCCAAAAACAAAGAACACAGCCTTAAATGTCCTGCTCCCATAGAGGATGACAAATATATTTAGGAAGTTAAAATCTGAGAAAAAAAAGTGGTTAAAAACACAAAATTTGCGAAAAGTAGAAAATGGGAGTTTTAATGTTTTCTTTTCTTCTTTCAGTCACAGTAAAAATGTGATGAATTCATGATGCAGATGGTATAAATAGTCACAGCTGTGTATTCTAAGAAAAGGAATGTGTTTGCATACCACAACTCATCGTGTAAACACTCCAAGTTTATGTATAAATTCTGCCTGATGGTGAAAGTTTTAAAAAGAACAATAAAACAATCAGCTGAGGATGTGTATGACGTGTTGAGCTGAGGTCAAACAGTGATCTCTGCTCTCAGCTGAAAGTTTACCAGACGGAAAACCTCAGAGTTTTTGAGAGGAAACAAAGAAGAACTCTCTTCAGGGAGAGTCACGAAACGGGAATCCCAACAGAGGGTCTGGACAAGATCAAAAAAGGAGAGAGGGAGAGGATAAAAATGAGGATGAGAATAAAATGGGAAAATTTGGAAGGAGAAAATCAGGAGCAGATAGAAAAGAAGAAAAGCAATAAAATGAGGCGGAAAATTGAAGTATGATAGCATGATAGAGTGAAAGAGGAAGAATCTGAGGAGAAGTGGAGACTCAAAAACGATAAAAGGCAGCAGGAGTTAAAGGTCTGGTCTTACTTGTTGGGACTCAGTCTAATCTCGTCTTGTAGACCAGCTCTTTGTTTTAAGCATCTTGAGACAACATTTGTTGTGATTGATGCTTTATAAATTGATTGATTGCAAATATAAGACAGCATACAGAGGAAGAAGATGGAGAAGGAGACTGAGAAGATGAAGGTGAAGAAGGCAGGTGAAGACGAGGACAAAAAATAGAGATGAAATTGTCCTCTCTATTAATAAAATACAGAAATTAAAACGTTATGACGACAATAAAAGCAGTTTATCCGTATACATCTGTGTGTTCTTGATGCAGAGCGCTCAGAAAAGCTGCGTTAATCTTCTGGATCAGCCCTTCGTCTCTTTATGTCATGAGAAATTTGTGTGAAATTGTGTCATAACAGGAGTATAAATTCTTGACTCACAAGAATACACAAACCATAATCTCTCGGTGATATTCCCTCCGGCACCAGTAGCATAAAAACTGGTGTAACCAGAGCGGGGTGTGTCTGGATTCAGTGAGGACACAGTAAAGTCCGGGATGTTCAGGTAAACCGGGTCGTTACCTGCTCCTTTCAAGCTCCCAGTAAACCAGCGGTTCAGGAATGCAGCGCTGACTACAAGCAATAACTGCAGAGGTCAAAAAATAAGCTCTGTGGCATCGCAGAGGACGGCTGGAGGCGACGGGGGGCTTAAAATACGCAGAAGCACAGCAGACGGATGACTCACTCTTCAGTACAGGAGGTTTCCTCTTTTCTTCAACCACCTGCACACAGCCCACAGGGTCGGACCTTCAGCTGTGTCGCTCTGCTCTATAATCCGCAGAGCAGTCAGCCAAACAGGGAAAAACTCCTCCAGTTTGACTTCATCTCATAAAAAAACAAAAAGAATCAGTCCATATGGGAACAGACGGAGGCGGATTATAGAGCAGAGAGCACCAAGACCAGAAACTGAACCTTTCAACACAGCTGCAGGAGCTGAGAGTCTGATCCGGGGTCTGAACTCTCCGCTGTCTTCATCTGAACTCTGAATCCAGAAACCTCGCTCTGTGCACGATCTCAGATTCAGGACTGCATGTCTGATATATCTGAATTATCATGCGATGCAGTTTTATGAATGTTTAACAGAAAATTTCAACGCTCTGCTTGTTTAGACTTCACAGGATAAGACGTGAGTGAAGAAATGTCCTTTTTTTCATCATGATGCTGAGCAGACCCTCTAACTTTTACGAGGCCCGTCCTCCTCCGTCTAAAACGCACAAACACGGCGAGGATTCGATGAAGGAAAAGGCAGATTTCACGGTGGTCCGAGGGGAGAAAGAAGAGCTCAGCTGCAGGTCAGAGATCTGTCAGCCAACATCTCTACCTCTTTTCCTTCCTCACATCTGATCTCCTCTCTCGACCTTGACCTTCCTCCTCGTCTGTCTCTGTCAGAGCATCCTCTCTGAACACGGACAATAAAGTCAGCAATCGTCAGCGTTCAATCGTCAGCTGATCTGAGTGATTCGAAGCTGAGCAGCAGAGACGGGTGAGAGTCCTCTGTTTGTTATTCTGTCAGACAAACACTTCATTCACCTGTTGTCACGTTTTCGTCACAGCTGTGGTTTCAAACATTCACATTTCTCAGTCTGGAGAATCAGCCAATAATTAATTCTGATGAACTAGCCGACAGACAGCTGACACAACTCAAAAACCATTCTCAGTCTGCAGCAGCACAGTTTAAAGTCGGCTCAGCTCATTATCAGATATTAAACTTCTATCTCTGCATATAGTCCTTATTAAAACGCCCACACACTCAACAAACATGGAGTCACACAGACTTTGGACTCACCTCAGTGGGCTCGCCCGTGTCGTCTGCCCAGCAGGCGACGGTGATGATGGGGTAAACCTCAGACCAGCCTCTCTCTGTACAGTTCCTGCTGATTAAACCTGAGAGATACAAACACAGGAACACAGAGAAGGAAAGGATATCTGTCATTTAAAGCTGACCATGTAAAGGAAATCTTTGAGGATCCTAGAGAGGCGTTTAAAGGGATATTCCGGCGTAAAATTAATTTAGGGTCACAAACACCGAGACACCGAGTTAGAACCCCCCGTCGAGAGACCAATACGGACTACAGCGGGGTGACACAGCTCAAGGAAGAACATTTATGATCAATTCTTCATGTAAATGCAATCAGACCGAGACGCTAAGGCAGAAGAACTACAGCGTCTGCAGTTCAAAATGATTAATATGGTGATTATTACTTAAGGAAATGTGAAAGAAATGATCATAATTGTTCTTCATTGAGCTGCGTCTGATGATTCTCACGCCTCGTCCTTTCACCACACCGAGACGAGGATTTCCATCTCCATGAAGGGGAGCAGAGAGGTGAATAAAGGCGGCCGCTGACAGATGCAGCTGAGGGGAACCACAGAGAAAGTCGGACGGTGCAGATGCTGTCAGCTAACTCATTAAGTGAAAGAGTGAGAGCGGAGGGATGAGAGGAAAACGCAGTGATGATGAAATGTGGTGGAGAGGACAAAGATGGAGGAATGGTGAGGTTCAAACGATCAATATCGACTGATACGACATAAAAAAGCTTGTTGAGCTGAAGAAATATCCTCTGATGGCACATCCTGATCAAATCTATGTTCCTCTTGAGACTGAAGCTTGTGATACAGTGAGAAATGAAATTTGGAATAAATAAAAACTTCAATTTCTATCGTCAGGTCTTTTGTCATTCTGCTTTTTCTAGTGAGTCTCAGTTTCACAGTAAATAGTTCCTCATCTTGCAATAAAAGGTTGAGAAACATGATATATGAATCATTTCAGACACAAAGCTTTTACAGGAAAACTACCACCTTACCTCACTATCATCTTCATTTCTCAGTATGTTTTTATTTGACACGATCCTCAAACTAGCTACTTTTAAAAGTTCCCAGACTTGGAGCTGAACTTTTAAAAAGTACTTTATGTCACTTTGTTGCAGCAAATCCCTTTTGGACATTAAAACGTTTGATTTTGAGTCTTCAAACTTCTGTTTGTTACTGTTAGTCTGTTTTTAGCAGTGATAATTGGCAGAGACTCTTTAGTTACAACTCCAGTGGGAACTTTTTTTATTACTCACAGTGTTTTTGACAAAATTTTCCTTTAGAGCCGAAAAAAGCGATTAGACTTGAAGAGAGATGCAGCTGAGGGATGTGCAGAGGGTAAGTAAAGGAAGAGCGGGGGAGGAAGCGGTGGGTGAAAGACCTGCTGGACTGTAACGCTTGCACATGACTGAGCGGAGGAGATCAAAGGTAAAAGGACAAGAGGTAATCATCGTGATGGATGAAGCAGAGGGAGCGCACTGAGAGACGAGCCCGTGAAATCAGCTGTGAAGGAAACGGCTGGTGGAGGAGGTCACAGTCAGTCAGTAAAGACCGAGCAGGTTCAATCCAGGACAGGGGAAGGTGACGGGATTTAATTACCACCATTACTTTAAACTCATCCCTCAAACCGGACCACCAGATCTCTCCAAATTAAAAGTAAACTTAATTTGGTTTGGAATGAGGATATTAAAACTGACCGACAACCATCCAAATGTTCCTCGTGGAGTTCGCCAAAAGATTTATCGACTCATTTCATTTTTTTCAGAGAGGAAGTTTGAGGTATTTAAACGAGAAAAGACTCTGAACACAGTTTTTAAACATCTGCTGCTGATAAAGGTGATGAACATTTAACCCATCATAACAACCATCCTTAAAAATATGTATTTATATGTATCTGGATGATTTGAGTTTTGAGAGTTTGAGAGTTTTAAGGCTCACCGTTTTTCCCAAACAGGCGTAGGATGGGGGAGGGGCAGGGGAGGGTCATCACCTCTCCGATAGCGGCGCTCTGCCAACAAGAGACGTTGTCCCACTCGCCGCGACATCCTGAGAGCAAACACACACACACACACACACAAGTACACACACGCAGAGTCATCAGAGGTGTAAATCAAACTGCCCTCAGCTTCCTCTCTGGCTGAACTCCCCGGTCAGACTGACTGATCTTTTGCCCGCTGCTGACGAACAGTCAGGAAACCAATGAAGAGAAAATCTCTCTGAAGTGATGAAGTTTGGCTCTGCTGTACATTTAGGAGAAAACACAAGCCCTTAACCTAACACCTTAGCATCCCTTGGCTGTTTTAAGAACAGATTTAGGACGACTCGATCAGGAATAATGCAAAACATTATCCTCAAGTACAATTAAGTACCATTAAATTAACAGCTAGGGATTTATAATTGATTGTTATAAGCAAGAAAAAGCTAAATTCAGGTCAAAATGTTCAGAGATTTGAAAGACAGAGAATTTTATGTGTAACTTGTAAAAATTTAAAATCATTTGCATGTTTTGCATTTGCTAATAAGTTAATTTTGCATAAAAATTCTTCTGCAATCCTCTCCAGCCACTTGGTTTCACTCAAGTATATATTTTCAGAAACTTTATCTTCTTTTTTAGAGCATTATTGTTTTCGTAGAGGGTGATTACTTTCTACTGTGTTTTTAAAAGCTGCTCGTATATCTGCAGGACCTTACTTTTTAGTAAGTAAAGTTTATTTATAGAGTGCTTTTCACAGATAAAATTCACAACGTGCTGTACATAAAATAAGTGCAATTAGATAAACATAAAACAGTACAAAAAGATAAGTACAAATACAAACGCAAAATACGAATACAGTACAGTGAATATTGAAATAAGTGCAGATATAGAAGATAAGTAAAAGAGACAAACAAAACCCTGTTTATTAAAAGTTTATCTAAATAAAAGCGTCTTCAACCGCCTTTTTAAAAAGTGTCCACTGAGTCGATCAAAAGGAGAGAGAGGGGTAGATCGTTCCAGAGTCTGGGGGCGACGGTCCTAGACCTACGGCCCGTCGGCACCAGACCCGAGACATGGGTTAGAATAATCAAAGCAGGGTGGAGCCAAACACCATCTGTTGTTTTTATCCAACGTCTTATAGGATGAATTCAAAGGCATGTTTTGTTGGTCTTTGCAAACCTTCGAATTAAAAATGTATACACACATGTTCACGTGTGTTTCTATTCAGACGTGAGAAAAAAAAAGCTGCAAACTACACAAATGAAACCCTCTTTTATTATCACCATGGGGAAACATTCAAACCTACATGACCTTGTGAAAAATAAACAGAACAGCCATGCTTTTCCTGACCTATATGCACTGTACTTGTGAAAGTGTGTTTGTGTGTGTTGATCCAGGTCAGCCAAATGAAGCAGAGGGAGTGTGTTGATATTGTCTAAGCCTGTGTTGCGACACACTTGCTATCAATCATTTGTTTGACTCCCCTATCCAAATACCCGAGAGCACATGAAGTTCACATGAGCACACCCTTCCAATCTCCAAGATTCAACCCTCAAATTTGTCTTATTAACATCATGTTATGTACTAACTGTGGCTGTCAAGGTTTAAGCTCCCATGAGTAGGTTAAAACAAATACAAACACACAACCTCCACACACACTATCTCAAACATACTCAGTCTTATCACATCTTTCCCGTCAACTCAGTTTTAACCCTAAAGATGCAAATGTTCAGTTTAAATCTTCAAAACATATAAACGCAAGCACACACATATAACAAACAACACACATCTGCACACAAACACACTCTCTTAATCAAACTGTACCCTAGTTTTCATCAAAACTTGAAGTCTACAGACTTGTGTCCTCATAAGGAAAAGGAGTCCCCTTCCTGAAACCTTTAAAGGTCTTAGTCCCCACAGTGTGTGTAAAACAAGTACTCAAACAAATATTAGTGTTTTGAAGTTTGTTGTTGTTTCTGCGCATACCAGCTGAGTTAGTCACTGCTGAACTTTTTAACTTTGAGCTGATGGGGATTTCAGATCAGCTTGTGTAAGTGTTTGTACAGCGTGTGTGTGTGTGTGTGTGTGTGTGTGTGTGTGTGAGTGTGTGTGTGTGTACCTGTGCTATCAGTGGTCTCTTGCTGTCGCAGTTGTGTCTGACACTCTGTCCTCGCTCTCTCCATCTCCCACAGAAACTGGCAGTGAGGAAATCGTCCATTTATCTGTCGGAGTGATAGGACAGAGACTTTCTGAATATTATCTCGAACCTCCTGCGTCAGAGTCTGGCTCTCCGGGTTCAGGTGTACATACAGGTATTTGTCAAACGTGATTTAGTACTCTTTACTGCGGCTCATGTTTCTGTAATCTGCTTTATCTCCAGCTCACAAATAAGAGGTCTAAGGGGGGAAATTCAGATGTTTGGCTTCATAACTCTTTTCTCTTAAACAAATATTAGTGGAAGTTTCATGAACCGTTTATTGGAACTGCTTTTAGTTTGTTTTTCTAGCAACAGAAATAAAGTTTGCACTTATGGCTCGAACCCAGTAATTACAATCACGCTGGAGTTTCATATCGTTTAATCTTATTGTGAATCAGCCTCGAATTATATGTGCAAAACCTGCAAAAACATGAATGTGTGCGGCTGATAAACCTAAATATTTGGCACTGATGCAAATATTGAAGTACATGTGAGCATGTGTTACCATGGAGACACACTTAAGCACAGAGTAAACAGGGCAGCTTGAAAAATCTGCACTGACAAAACCCACTCAGAGGAGATAACATGCGTCCACTTGACTCTGTACATACAGAAAACTGTGAGTGTGGGCCTGGACGTCTGTTTACACTGAGATACAGTCGCTCTTGACATGTTTCAAACCTATCAGTGTGTTTATATTCCACTCATACTATACGTTTCACAGCTTTAGCAGCTTCCTTCATGACCCTGAACCTGGTGAGAAACACTCAAGGTCAGACGTCACCCAGTGGATCTCTGCGCTTCATTGATGTGCTTTCAATAGCTTTCAGTCAACAATAGATCTCCACGGCTCAGAGGAAGAACATAACTCTGAAAATACTCAGAAGGAGATGCCTCCATTGTTGGGTTCGTGGTTTCATGGGATTTGTAGGCAGTAAGAAGCAAACAGAAAACCCTACATGTCCTTTTTGCTGACTTTGCTCTGTAACTTAAAAAAGGTGGGTCATAAATTCACTCATTTTGGCATGAGTCGCTCCTGGTTTGTGTTGCCTGATAATAAGACAATTGCATGTGAAACTTGCCGACAGTGGATAAATAAGTGGTCAAAGTCAACCCTGCCCCATATGCCAGTCTCGTGACAGCTCAGATAGACTCAGGTTTATGATCCATCCAAGTCTACATTTTTATGTTGCTGCAGTTTTCAGATATGAACCCAGAGAGCAGAGGGACTCTGACCCCATCAGTGAGATCAATATAAAGTTTGAAAATATGAAGCAGGAGTCGCTCACTGACAGATAAACAAACCTGTGACACAGCTGACATACTTCTGAGAGACTGTGAAAGGCTGAGATTTTGAAATGCATCTTTTTGCAGTTCACAGATTTTATAAATGAAATTATTGGTGTTCAAGTTCCTTAAATGTCAATTCTTTTTGCAACTTTATATTTCTGAGCTGCAGATCTTGGGGCTTCAGGAACCTTTACACCTTTTTACTCAACTTTACTTCATCTCACTCTGTAAAAAAATGCTGAAAACACCAAATTACAAACTTTGTAGACGTCACCACAGTATTTTTATCTCTGTAAATCCAGAAAAAAACAGTTAAAGAAAGCAGGTTTTTGATTAAACTTGACTTCCTCTGTTTTTATAGTTTCATTTCTGACCCCAAATCCTAACGTTTGTTCTTCTTGCACAGGATAAGATATAATACTTTTATTGAAACTTGTCTCGGGCTCAACTGCATCCACAATAGTACCAATAATTAAAATAAATGAGTGAAACAATCTTTAAAACTCAACAATAACCCTCATGAAGACAGTCCTGGTTGTAGTCGGCTGTGAAACTTTGAGAAAATCCGAAACGACTCACTTTTTCTCCCACTTGAGTGTCTTTTTTAAACACTGACGTCACCTCTTCAACATCCAGACTGAAGAATTCGAGTTTATCTTCCACTTAAGTTCTCCGCTGTTAAATCCACTCAATCAGATCAGATTAGATTGACTTTATTAAAATTCCAGAATGATCAAATAAGTACGAAATAATTATGCAATAAAGATATAATGAAACTTCAGCTAAATTATGTGTTGACGTATAAAGAGTAAGACATAGACTTGTGATTACTTGCACCTAACTAGTCCTACAACTTTAACTACGATCATTACGACTAAAGAGGCTGTCCTGAGTTTTATGCTTTCTAATGGTCGACGACTTTTCGGTCTAAATTTAGAGCCGAGTCTACGTTCAGACCTGCTGAGAATTAAAAATTAAGCAGCAGCAGATGAGGAGTGAGTGTATTATTCATGTTTTCACACAGAGAGCTGCAGCTGCACCATCTCAACTGAGCCTCTGATGATGGAGTTGATTTCCTGTCAAATCTCTGCAACGATGAATCACCGGGGAGGGAATTCATGCCTAAGGACTCAGATAGGAGGTGAACGTTTGGGGGGATTTTTATTTGTTTCAAGACTCTAAAATGTGAAGAAAACTGCCTTTCTTTTGCATCCATGTGATTGAATCAAAATCTTGTTAGATCTTAAAGGCAATATGTATATCTCCAAAGTTAAAGACACTAACAGAACAGTTCAAACCTCTAAAACATAAAAAAAAATCAGATTACAAGAACCTGAAAGTGACTCAAATGTTAAGAAATCCTGATTTTAAACATTGTAAAAGGGTTAAATGTTCAGTTTCCAGATGAAATGTGGATTATTTATGCAGAATAAAGGCATGGTAAACTGAAAATGTGACTACTTTGGGAATTTTAAGGCTTAAATTTGTCATTTTCCAACTCAAAACTCACATTTGGAGCCACAGAAGCCCAGAGTGATATGACATTTTTGCAGAAATGGAAAATTTGCAGTAAATTAACTTCACCAACTGACCCAAAAACCTCTTTAAATTATAAATTTTTTCAATTTCATTTGATAAAATATTCTGAGTACTGACAGTATGCACTCACCTTGTGGATAGAGCAGCAGAACAGCAGCAGCAGCAGCAGAGTGGACCTGTGCGTAAAGGACGGCATGGTCGCATCATCCACCCAAACCACAGCTCGAGACTCACATCCTCAGGGAATCACGTGCGCTGAAACGCCTCTGAACTTTAAATCAAGACAGAAGTTTGAGCTCAAATGTGTCTGAGTTTTCTTTAGACGCGCTGCTGTCCAACTTTGAACAGATTCATGAACATGGGAGGCGAGGAAAAAGGTGAAAAGGTGAGACTGTTTGTTCGCAAATCCGACTCTGGGTCTGATCCGGATCAGAACCGGGTTGCTATGAGTCCAGTTCACGGAGCTGAAGTGAAGCACTGGTCCGGTTCACTCCCAGTTCACTCTGTGCGCGTTCGCGTCTCAGGCTGCCCTCAGGGGCGCCACACCGATGCGCGCTCTCGCGGACCTGCAGGAGACGGATTCATGACCGTGCGGTTATTATGAGGGGAAACAACGACCTCGTGTGGCTGAAGCTGGAAATGCAGCCACTAAAACCTGAGAGGATAAATGTAATTCAGTCAGTGTTGAACAAGATCTCTTTTAATTCAGTGAGAATGGATCAAGTATTGTGGATGTTTTAGTGGCAAATTCTTGATCTCTCTGCTGCAAGGAGGTCCCAGTTTCACTGTTAATGAAAAGAAGCTGAATATTAGCTAACTGCAGTGGTTTGAAGTGGTAAACCAGATCTCCCTTTGAGTAAGACGTCATGGACCAACTTTGTTTTAGCCTCGAACTGCCTTTTCAACTTCTGCCTGAGGGTCCCAGTTTCACTGTTAATGAAAAGAGGCTGAATATTGGCGAACTGCAGTGGTTTGAACTGGTGAGAGATCATGGACCAACTCTATTTTTGCCCAGAACTGCCTTTTCAACTTATGCCTGAGGCGTCCAAACCGACCCGTTAAGAACATAAAGAGTAGTAAGAATAATCAGGAATAAAAGCAGTCTGAGTTTTAGCCAATCAAAGCACTTTATTGCACTGTATAGTGTGACGGTGAGCCAATAGCAGGCTCTTATAAAAGTGTCATTTAATCTTTTTATCATGTGTACAAAACAAGTCACACACACTTGTACCGTACAAAATCAACACTATTTACATACAATATACACACACACATACACTCCCACACACACCATGCAGTCTCTCTCCCATCCAGTGCTGAACACACAGACGAGTCCTCCGGCTTTCTGATGGGATCTCCCTCCTTAACAAACATCCTCCACCTCACACACACATGCGCACACTTACACACAGGGACTGAAACATGACCGCTACGCTGCTACCCACAAACCCAAACTGCTATGTTAGCCAAACAAGCGCTAAGCAAACGTCTGATATGCATAAAGATTTTTTTTCTTCTGATAAAAAGTCGACAGAAAAATCGATGAGACGAGAAAAAGATGCAAAGAAGAAGAAGAATGAAGAGATGACGTCTTGTAAACAAAAGGTGCTCAAATAATCACGCCTTCAACACCTGCAGGGTCAAAGGTCAGAGACACCCTTCAACAGGACTTCACAGCGAAAACCACGATTTAGATTTCCACACCTGAAGGGATCGTTCTCGCATTTCCTGATAAATATTCATCTTTAATCTGTTTCTATGGAAACTCGTATAAATGATGAAGAGGAGGTTCTTCACTGAGGATTCCTGCTCAAACAACCACAACAGAACTTTTCAAAAATAAGTCAAAACCATAAATTCAGAGATGCAAAAACACATTTAAGAGTCTTTTCTGCACATTTGATCCTTCAGACTTCTCCATAAACGCAACTTTGCATGAGTAAAAAAATGGTGGATGTATCGTGGAAGTACAGCGACTGTTTTGCAGAAATGAAACAGATTTTTGCAGAAAGGTGCAGACACAGATAGCAGATGCAGTTATAGAATATCTCTTTTTGTTTTTTTGTCTGAATCAAGAAAACAAGGAGCTATTTGCAAGAAATCTGGAAACTAAAAATGTGAGGAGGGACTGAAGTTGATCAAAAGTAAAGCAGGAGAGTAGAGTGTATTCAAAAAGTCTTCTCGTAACTTTGAACACACACTAAAGAGAAACCAAACTCTTGTAGAGTTTGCTTGACCTCTTGATTTAGCCGGAAACGACATAAATTTACTGGGAGGTTCATTAAATTTGCATGTTAGACGTCTCAGCTGCTTTCTTTGGTTGCAGCTCTGCAGGAACTTTAGTTTGAAATCACCAAAAAGCTCAACAGTGAAGTTAAAAATGTGTTTTTCTGTTTAAATTCTTCTGCTTGGACTACATTTAAAAAAAAAAAATCAGTGTTCTCGAATCCTGCAGAGAAGAAAGTCCTCTTCAACTTCTTGTGTAAACTTTGTCTTGAATTCCCTTTGGCCTCCAGATGTTGATGCACATTTGCATGAATTTGGACTCGCATCAAACCAGGTGTTCCTGTCCATAAAACACATTTCTCCCGCAAACACCTTCAGGCTTCCTTCGGAGTCTGTCGTCCCCTTTGCTTCCTCATAAAATCCCTTAAATAACACCCATATTCTCTTTCATTCACAGTGCACTTCTGCTTCATGAGATGCTTTGGGGAGTGAATTTCAAGTAAAAGAGCTGAAAGATTTGCACAAAGAAACACGATGACTCCCGACTCTTGTTGAAGTTTCTCTGCACTCTTCTGCTTAATTAGTAACATTGCACTTATGTCTTTTTTTATATTCAGAGTTTAACATTTTTGACTTTTTGAACTTTTCTTCATTTGCATAAACCAAAGACTGTGTCTGAAGAAGCTGACGGAGCCTTCGAGTCAGGTGAGCGGACCAAAGTGAATAAAATTAGACCAACAGTTTTGTTTTAGTGAAGAAGTTCCCTGAATGTGCTTCCAGTGGGTCTCAGCTTCACTGTTAACACACAAAAGTTGCACTCTGACCTGGAGCTGTCATTCAGAAGTGTGAATCAGTTTTTATTTGATTAAGTGTTGAGAGAAAATCTCAGTTTAAAGGGGACAGGTGTCCATTTAATCTTCTGGCAGAGGGTCCTAGTTTCACTGTTAAAATCTTACAGCATTTTAGAGTCCTACAGTGGTCTGTACTCATTAGCCAGGTCATCTTTTGATCAAGTGTTGATGGACCAACTACAGTTGCTCTGTTTTAGTGAAGAACTATCTATTTACCTGCTGTAAGAGGGTCCCAGTTTCACTGTTAAAACATTTACCGCTAACTTAAAAGACTTAAACTAGATCTTCTTTGATTTAGTGGTCAGTGGATCAGCTCCAGTAGCTCTGTTTTAGTAGAGGATTGCTGATTTACCTGCAGCCAGGGGGGTCCAAGTTTCACTATTAATAAACAGAGACTTTAAATTGGCTAACTACAGAAGTATGTAGTAGTAGTAGCTACAGTAGTATGAAACCAAAAGCAAATCATCTTCAGAAAAAATATACTGCTGTTTTTGTATAGAACTGCCCTGAATCTATCGCCACAGGGTCTCAGTTTCACTGTTAACTAACTGCACTCTGCCTACGACTAGTGGTTCGAACCCATTTGCCTAGATTTACTTTTGATTAGTTTTTTCAGGACAAACTACCACAGTTCTTCTTTAGTGAAAATACTCCACATCCATCTGTTATTAGTGGGTCTCAGTTTCACTGTGAACAAACAGGGGCTGCCTGCAGACTAACTATAGTGGTTTTAAACTGTACGCCTGATTCTTTTGATTTAATGAATAATAATGACTGAGATAAAGGACATCTAACAACTACAGCTGTAGATCCAATCCAAATTTATGTTATCTTAGTCCAAGTTGGGTGGCCAATTAGCTTTCAAGGAGGGCTCATGCCACCCCTGCCAGTCCTTTTGCACACGCCCTTGTTAATATGAAGGTTTGTGTTGCATGATGTTTGAGCCAATCTGATCTGAACACACCTTAAAGTGAAGCCAACTTGCAATCTTTCTGATGGGCAGTAGGGGGAGACTGGTTGAACTAGCTTAAATTTCACTCAGTTTATTATCAGTTTCGATTTTCCTGATGATTTTAAGACCAAAATCTTCAGTTTGAAGTCGTTTTTATTAAAGTGACATGATTTTTTAATTGGAAAGCATGTTTGCGTCCAGAGAACAACAGACAACACGAGGAGTCTGTGATCTACAAGCCAAAACAAATGTTCCTGAGAACCAGGCCAGTGCTTTTGTAGGGTGATCACTCAAATCTAGTCCTCTGTTCCTTCCAGAATGGTTATGGCATCAATAGATGGAGTGATGAGGCTCGGTGAGCTTCTTACGCGCAGTCTTTGGCGTAAACCCGACTCCAGCTCTGTTTGTGCATTTCAGTGAACCACCAGGCTCAGAAAGACTTGGACTGAACCGTCAGACTCCAAATACAGATCAGGATTCTGTTATTGCATCGCCTCAGATGTTTCCAGAAACTCGGTCTGATCCCTGCGTTTGTTCGTTCGTTCGTTCGCACCTTTGGACTCTAAAACACTTCTTTTTTTTTTTTGGTCGTTTTCGTGTTTTTGTTTCTCCTGCAGTTTAAAAACTTTAAACTGATAAAGTGTTTCAAGTCTCCATAAAAGTTTCTTATTTGTTCTTGTTCTTGGATAAAATCTGCTCTGTGAATCACATTAAAACTACGTAAAACTGTCCCTGTCGCATCTGAACACAGACAGGTGAATGCACACACACACACACACACTCACACACACATACAGGGTGCAGGTGGAGAGAGCTGCATATAGGGGCTACTACACCTCATTGTGTTTTAGGTTCCTCTCCATATAGATTATTATGTCTATTTACAATATTTATATTTTTACACATATCTGGCTGCCCCTGTTCTAATTGAAGAAAAACCACAAATCTGGAGTTTTAGGTTCGAAACATGGTGACGCACAAGAGTTTGTTTTTTTTTTCATCCCGCTCTACTTTTTCACCTCCTAAAAAGAAGCGACACGGGGCGCCGCGACCTGGAGCCGCCGCCCCGCACACAGTGTTCCCCCTAAGGCTTTCTACAGTGACGAGCTCCTGGTGACGGTCACGAGATTGAACGGGGTGTAAAAATGGTCATACCACCACTGAGCAATCAATCAATCAATCAATCAACAAGCCAATCAATCATCCAACCGGCACAACACGACTTGAAAGAAAACAGACGATTGAAGACCACACCGTACGCAGGTTCAAAAATACAGTACATCTTGATCTGGGAAATAAAGGAACAACAACGGCGATATGCACGGCATACACACGCATGCTAGCTCTCCCTCTCTCTCTTAGACACACACACACGCACACTGACGCACACACACACCAACACACACACTCAGGCTACATGTTGTAGGCCACATAGATGGGGTCTAGCTGGTCTTGTAAGAAGCCGTCGCGGAGGTGCATGCGCTGTTTCTCGCCGCGGGAGTTGATGGGAATGACGCCGATATCCGTCACCACGACCACGCCCACTATCAGGTAGTGCTCCTCCAGCACCGCCTTGGTCACCATGGGAACCAGGTCCAGGGCTTCCTGCTCCGAGCCCTCCAGCTCTACCACCACCACCAGCAGGTTGGTCCAGGGGAAGACGGCACTGAAGAAGAGGAAGAGGAGGAGGAGGAGAAGGAGCATTCATTCATCATCATCACATCACCAGTGTTTTCTTCTGGACCACCAGGGGGCAGCAGAGCTCCACCACAAGATTAAAACACAACTCATGATTGTTATGGATTTCTTCTTAACCCTTAGAACTCCCAGATATATTTTGCTATTTTTGGTACGGCTGTTTTTTTTTTTTGTAAAAATCCATGTAGCAACTCGATCTTTTCAGGCTTAGCAAATATATACACATCTTTTTTTAAGGACAACCTCAGCTCTCAGTTTATCGGTGCAAAAATTCTGTAAAATAAATTCATCAACCAAAAAACAAAAACAGATTTTTTCAAAGTCAGACCTACCACTCCATGATGCTCTTGTGAGCGCGGATCACGGAGGTCTCGATGTCGATGGGATGGTACCTCATTCCCCTCAGCTCCATGGCTTCCTCCAGAGCTCCCACCACGAACAGAGCGTCGTGCCTCTCTGTTCCACAAACACAGAAGAAGAGACGTCATGTTGCTGGTTAAGTCACAGACAGAGAGGAAAAGATGGAGTCGGAGAGGAAACTGACCTCCGTTGGCGTCTGTGAGCTCGGTGCGGCGGAGGAAGCCCAGGTATCCCGTCCTGGCCCAGACCGTCTGAGTGTCTCCGAAACTGAGTCTGGAGTTGAAGTGATCGGACTGGAGGACCTCCTCGCCGTAGCCGCTGTAGTAACCGCTGCCGTTATGAGCGCTGTGAACCCAGATCTGCAGGAGGAGGAGGAGGAGGAGGAGGAGGAGAAACAGAGACAGACGAGGAGAGACGGGTTTGTGAACGAGAACCTCCTGGACCCTGTGAGTTCCTGTTCCTGTCGTTTTTGTGGTTTTCACTCTCTGGTTCCCATGTAAGTGGGCATCCCTGCAGACTTGTGTGAGGGAATCACCCAGAGTTCATAGCACTCCCCATGGGCTTGGAGGTTCATGCACTCTATCTCTTTCAAAGAGGCGTCATTTCAGTCCTTAAGGGTTTAGGGGGGAGATGAAGATTCAGCCTCACTGTCTTTCCTTGATCGTGTGAATCCTGCTGCTTCTCTCCTCTCCTCAGTTTTCTTTTCTTTTCTCTGAATTTGAGTTTAAGTTCTTCTTGAAACAATTTTGTTCACTTTTCACCTTTTCTTTAAAACTAAAATCCTCTCTGAGTTTGTGTTTTGGGTCTTTTTCTCAGTTTAAGTCACACGTGTGTCAAACTTTCAGGTAATAAAACATGTTTCAGAGAAGAGCACACAAGACAGAACACATGACAAGAAAATCCAAAGAGGGATGGACTGAGAAATTATGGAAAAACAGACAAGATGAAGAGTTTGGTAAAAAATGAAACACAAACATTGAATAATGAGAAAAGAAATATTTAATAAGAAAATGACAAAGATTTTGAGGAAGAAAAAGAAAAAGAAAAAGAAGTAGAATCGTACAGATGTGAGGAAAAGACAAAAACGAGGAGCAGGTGAAACCCTGAGAGAAAAGATGAAGACAGAAGCCGAAACAACAGAAAAGACAAAGAGAGAAGAAAAACTAAAAGATGGACAAACTCATAAAAATGAGAGTGAAGACATGCAGAGAAGAAAACAGTCAAATAAAGTCAAACTGAAGGATGTAGATTGAATGACCTCGCCCAGGTGAGAGTCTCCCAGAGGTCCTTTGGTCTCTGGGTTTGCGATGATGATCCGAACTCCAGGTAAGATCTGCAGAGAAACAGAGACAGTCTCAACGTTTGTTTTGTTTTGAAATAAATGAATTCATCATCATCATCTGAGTTCACAGCTTCATCAGGAGCTGAAACAGCTGCACAGATGTGTTTTTATCCTCCACATACAGATCCAACTCAAACACATGAAACTCTGTGTGTGTTCATGAGGCGTTCAAAGACAGGACGGTCTGCCTGGTAAACAAGCATTTCTCCTCCTCCTCCCACGTTCAGTGAGTCAAAATAAACAGCGGGCTGATCGATGACCGGCTCAGAAACATGACGTCTTCTTCTCTTTGTGTGTCAGTGTGGAGGAAGAAGAAGAAGAAGAAGAAGAAGGAGGAGAGACACGAACACCTCATCAAAGTCTAGGAAAAGATCTGTCACTTTAAAACGTCCAGGAGCCGAAACAAAGAGAGATTTTCCTCGCAGATAAGGTCTGTCCAACGGTTTAATCCTCACTCTTTAAACGCCACGAGCTTCAACTCATTAAACTGAAGTTCCTCTGAACTTTTGGTTCAAGAAAAACTTTTTTTATTTTATATAAAAACATCAAACTTTTGTTTTCAGTGATCTAACGTTTCTAACTCTGCTGGAGTTGTTGAACATTTATCACACCTGACTCTCTCTTCTCTGGTCTGACTGCGGTATATTTAGCCTCTGTGCGGCGCAGCAGCTCTCCGCTGACCTCTCTGATGGAGTTCACTCAGTTGCTAAGAGATCTGCAATAAAAGTGAAATCAGAGCCGCTGAGCGATCGGAGGAGTACAGTGTAATTTGCTCGTGGATTAAAGCAGCAGGTTTGAGGACTTTTTAAGAGAGGGATCACATTTCTCCTCTGCTGAAAAAAAATGTTTAAAAATCTTAGTTTTGGGATATTTTGAGACCATCTAGACAACTTTGTCCCTTTACTTTCATTTCAGTGTCCTTCCTTTAGTTTTAAGAATAACTCACACAGATTTTTCATCCTGCAGCAAATTAGTCTTTCACTGGAGCAGATTTCAGCGAGTAATTACATCTGTAGGATTGTTTCAGACGTTCAGTGAAGCGATTATGGACAGGATTTGTAGTTTGTGCCGGCTGGTGGATCCTTCACACTCTTTAAAGGACTGAAAAGTTAAAGTATGAGACAACAGGGCTGTGAGGGGTAACGATGAAGCGACACGTCTGAGTTTGTAAAGTTCAGTCGTAGGAAGCGGATTTAAGCAGCTACAAATCAATACTTCAACCTGAAGATGAAAAGAGGTTTTTAGACACGTCTGTTTTCTTTGGATTAGCTTCAACTACAAATGGATGCTTTGGCTAGAGTGATGGCGCTCATGGGAAATGTAGTTTCATCCCAGAAAAACATCTAAATGGGTCACCAGAATCAAAAACAACAAACCCTTAAAAATGTTTCATCTGAGGACAGAAGTGATGAGAAACAAAAAGGTAAACACTGCAGTCCCACGCTGACCTCCACGCTGTGAGATTGTTTTCAAAAGTGCTCTAAAAATACTCAGGCTGGAATATTTTCACTGAATGTGGGCGAGTCGAACGCTGCAGGTCTGCGGATGTGCTGCTGAACGGTGAGAATATATTCGGTTTTGTTTTCTCCAAATGAAGAGTGAAAAGAGATCTCTGATGTGAGTGAAAGTTCATCAGTTTAGAAAGTTTCAGTCAAATTAAACATCATCATGTCTAAAGGGGCGTTTTTAACCTCCACCAGACCGCTCTAACGTCTCACTGTTCCCTCTGACATCACTGCTGGCTGTTTCCAGGTCTAAAAGTCGTGCACCTGCGTGATGAATGTGATGTGATCCTTCCTGCACCCACACGTCCACGGACAGACAGACAGGGAGGACGGACGCCTCGGGGCTCGTCATGGTCTCAAAAACCTGCTGTCTGCTTTGACTCACTCAGTGTGGGAGGACGTTGGGTCCAAAAACAGAAACAGTCCCATCTCCAATCTGCTGCTGTTTCAGTGCATCCCAGTGTTTTCCTCTTTCCGTCCAAAAAGCCTCAAAATCTTATTCACTCAAGTTTTACTGATTTAATTTACAAAAAGCCCGCACAGATCAGGTCTCTGAGGTAAAGAATCAAAGTAAATAGACGCTCGAGCTGTTTAACTAAATCTGTTTTTGGTTTTCGGATATAAAATTGTAATTTTTTAAACCCCTGAGTGAGGACAGATTTACTCAGGCTGCTGCAATCACAGATGACGTCCCACATTCAAACGTTATGATTGGATTAATGCAGAAAAAAAAAAAAAAGGACTTTGTGGACAAACCGCGCCGTGCTACAAGATAAAACCCGTCGTCTGTTTGTTTACATCCAAAGCGTGAAGAGGACAACGCTCACCTTTCCAGACTCCATCAGAGGCAGACTGTGAGGAGATCCTCTCTCCACCAATCGAACCCTGAAACACACAAACGTTCACCTTTAAACTGTGATCTGTTGAATCTTTTCAAAATAAAAGCCTTCAGGACAAACGGCTGTACCTGTCATGGCGAAGCGCTCTCATGTCCACGTACACAGTCGTCGGGTCGGGTCCTGAAGTTCCCTGCAGCCAATCAGCACACAGATTAGTGAGCATGTGATCAGGAGATACTTCCCTTAATACAAAGTCGATCTAAATTTGATATTGATTATTGGTGGTTTTAACATGTGTGCTGTGCAGCGTGACGGCAGCCCTGTTGCCCTAAATTTCCACCGCATCTGGTCAGATCAGTTTGTGAGGCGAATTTCGTGGCGGATTACAAACAGCGGAAATCGCGAGAACTCACAAGAACCTGTGGATTCACGTGCAATCATGCGATAACAGGTTGTCTCTATAAAGACAGCCACATAGACATATAAGCAGTAGATTGTGTCCTTTTAGAATCAGCATCTCCTCATCCATGGTGTCATCGGGGTGAAATGACGTCTAAAAACCTTTCACTTGTTCGTTTTCGCCTGTTAACATAGTGTAAAATACGATCCGCCTGAAATGCAGAGTGTTTTATTTTGAAAAGAAGCCGGGTGTTTTATTTTGTGTCTGTGCCTGACTTCCTTTCCAGCACAGGTAAATCTGTGCTGAATTTATGCGGCATGCTCCAGTGTCTGGAAAAAAATAGAACTCTTGAGAAGCCGGTGGAAATTGACACGTTAACTTGAATGGTTACGATCAGCTGCGATCGGCGGATACGACCTTTTCGTAGCCGTTCTGGTTGCGGTGGGAATTGGGGGTCTATTCTCACCTGCAGGCAGATGGCTAAGTTGACTCTGCAGCCGAACGCCGTGCTGACGGATCGGGGGTGGAGGCCGAGGTCTTTAAAGAGCTTCGAGAAGGAATGTGTGAGCGACATCCTGGGACGCTCCTCTGCCACCACCACACAGGCCCGAACCCGGGACAGATCCAGACCTCGAGCCTGGACCAGGAAGAGGAGAGAGAATATTAACCATCGCCATCCACCTCACTCTGTCATCATCCCTCCATGTTGGTTTTAACTCTCTTCTGATTGTTCGGAGGCTGCTGAACAGACTCCATGAAGCTCCTGGATCTGGCCTCGTTGGGGGTTTAGGTAAGAACTGGTTTCAGGTTTGAAAAATCAGCTGGAGCCTGTTTGATGTCAGAGACAGATTAAGAGGGGTGTTTGTGTTTTAGTGGAGAAAATAGAAATCGGTGGAGTTGAGAACATTTGTACTTGTCACTCTGTGTTTGGCTTTTCAGTCTCCATGGAAACTTAAAGAAAGAAAATCACTAAAATTAACTCAGCAGCTTCCAGGGTGACCAATCAGAGCGCTGCTAACTCCAGCCTCAGGCTGAGCAGACAGAGACGGAGCGTGAGTTCATTACTGCTGATCTTCTGTGGAGTCTCGAAGTCTGTTAGACACACTCAGGGTCTGCTGTTTGTCTGAGTGTGTCCTCTGCAACTTTACTGATGCATTCTGGGAAATGGGATCATCTGCAACCAGACAAGTCATAGTCAGGCTCTGAGGGTGGAGGAACAGCTGGTTTGTTTAGAGTTGAACCGTGTGGAAATAAGTGGAAACGGAGAAACAAAGAAGTGATTTGGACAGTTTTTAACTTTAAAGAGCCTCAGGTGATCCTCTTTGGTCCTTTATTTCAAACCAAATCCAGGAGGGACACACGTCTACGAAGAAACAAGAGCTGTTTTAATCCTTTATACTGATAACAATGACTCAGTGTTTCATTGCGGTGTGTTTAAAAACTACAAGGAGTCCTCCAAACTCGACTCCAGTAAGTCTGTGAAACCCAAAGAGGGACGATCTTAAAGGGATATTCCAGCATAAAATTAATTTAGGGTCAAACACACCGTAACACCGAGTTAGACACCCCCTCCAGAGATGAATGTTGCCGACCGCTTGCTTCTCTAGTTATACCAACTTTAGTAATGACCACAGATAGCAATACAGAGAGCCACGCCCTCAACCAAAACGCCGCTCTATAGCCACAAATAATGCTCAGAACTAACTCGGTGTTACGGTGTGTTTGACCCTAAATTAATATTACGCCGGAATATCCCTTTAAAACCTGGTTCTACCAGCTGAATCCCAGAACATCTCCAAGTTCCCAGTTTCATGGTCATTAAAAGGTCAATTAAAGACTATCTTTCCTGAAGTGTTCCCGCTCTCCTCCACATGTTCAGCTGTTCTTCTCTAAACTCATAAATCTCACTAATGTTTCTTTATCCTCAGTGCATCAGTGTGTTTCTGACCTTGAGCGCCTCAGTCTGCAGGCCGAGTCCTTTGGTGCACAGCTCCATGACGCTGTACGAGCAGAAGGTGTCTCGCACCCTCAGCTGGCTGACGGCCAGCAGCCACAGTGCCGGGTTCGATTCCAGCTCCACCGGGGGGATCAGGATGGACTGGTGTCCTGAATACACGCTGAAACACAGACAGACCCACACGGTCTTTAAAGATCTCTTTATTAAAACAAATATTTGAGTGATCGTTGCTCTGGAGGAGGGGAAGGTCGTCTCAGACTGAAGGTGATTTACAGTCGGCTTTATTTATAAGACACTCAGCAGCAGAAACCTGCTCTCGCCAAGTTCACAGTTTATGAGCCGAGGATATAAAGCCGAGCCGAGCCCAGGTCTGGATTCACAGAGAAATATTACACAACAGTCCCACCCTGTTCTTGTTCTTAGAAGAAGTCAGAAACCGTCTGTTGGGAGTTTCAATTTGAGTTAAACATCTTCTGGTCTGAAAATGTATGAAGATGCTGCTTTTTTCTCCTTCTGAAAGTTCATCTTTTCGGTGTTAATAATAAAAACTCAGATTTTTCCTCTAAGACTTATTTCTAAGTTGGGAATTGAAGAATATAAACACAGCAGCAGATGAGGCGTCCATAATTTTGTATTTCGTATTTTTGTTCTTATTCACTCAAAAACAGGTGACATTTTTGTACCCGTTCAGGTCCGACAGCTCCAGTACCAGGACTTCTTGGCTGCACGTCTATTACGGGGCTGAAGGTTAATCAAACGATAACATATTTAATATTCTGTCAGAACACAGGGACGCACGAACCTGCAGAGGCACCAGAGGACGAAGCCAAGTCCGCAGTACGGATCCAGACAGATGGCCACTTCTCTGGACGGGTACAACTCACACTGCAGCTTCACCGACCGACAGAACGCTCCAACTGCATTATGGGACATCTGGAGAGAAGACGCAGAGAGAGAGACAAGGAGACGGACATAGACGAAGAGGACACGGGGTGGAGAAAAACAGGATTATTCTTTAAGTGCAAACGTCAAACTTCATCATGCTTCAGTTTCTTGATTGGCCTTCTGGAAAGCGCTCTAATATCATGTTTCTCTAAATTCCCCTCGAGAACGTGAGGAATAAATAGAGGAAGGAGGAAAGTGTTTCCGGGCGGCTGAACAAGAGGCTGTTAGCAGTTTGCTCATGCGATGAGGATTAGCGTTGAGCTGACCTGAACTCCAGCCAGCATGCCGGTCGTGGACACGCTGAAGTCCAGATAGGCCAGACCGTCAGGGTTGGTGGGCTTATAGAGAGCTGGAGGCTTCTTCTTTGGCAGGTCATCTGCAGCGCACACACAGACACACACACACACAGACACACACACACATATGTTTTATAACGCTCAAGAGGACAGTCTGTTGAGTTGCATCCATTTCAGAAACGCTGACCCGAACATGAACCCACAGTGCAGCTCTAGCAGCTTGTGAGCATCACTGACTTAAGTCGTTTTTTTTAAAGGCTGAAACTTCAGATTCATGCACACAGAAAATCTAAACCTCTTTGCACACAGAGCTGGATGTGAAGTCATGTGACTCCGCAGGGACAAACGAGTTCAAACTTCATGTTCATCTTCATAAAAAAGGAAAAAGTCTCCTGCTGACTGAATGTTTACAACAATTTACAGCCATGATCCAACATGAAGATTAAGGACCCCTGAGACCCCGCAGTAAACACAGTCACATCACAGAGACTCTGTCCACGTAGATCAAACTACAGCAAATATTTCAGGCTATAAGTTTAACACACAGCAGAGACAGAGGAAACTCTTCAAGAGCAGAACCAATGATGGACCTGTGCAGGAAACAAACATGACAAAACAAGAGCTGATTCAGGTCTGAAACTGATGATCTGTGTGTGTGTGTGTGTGAGAGAGAGAGGAGCAGGTGGAGGATTTTAAGGGAGGGACGTCAGAAGATGATGATGTCCAATCTGTGATTACACACTCATCCCTGTTAGTCCAACAGTATTTACACTTTTCAGGAGTTCCAGTTTGGCTGCTCTTTCTCTGTTTGGTACATGTCCTCTTAGTGTCATATGTCACAGGGCTCGACAGTGCGACCGTTTCACTCGCATTTGCAACTAAAAATAGATGTGTGTAAAATGTACTGAGGGGCACATGTGCGCATAAAAAAATCAGCCGAGGAAACAAATGTTTTTCATGTAAATACGGTGGTGAAGTTAGTTTAAGTTTGGATATTCAACGGACATTCTCTGTGGATTTACCGGTGTGTCTTCTCACTCTCCATAACCGGGAAAAGCAACAGCAGTGTGGTTAAATCAACTCGGCACCCTCGCTGTCAATGTTGAATTAAGGGACCATCAATAAATTACTGGTTGATGTTCTCAAAAAAAGGCTGTTTTCCTTCAATAGCTTCCTTGTCATGTGACCAATTGACTTGAAATTGATTTCAAATAATAGTACTAAAGTCAAAAATAAAACAAATCTCTTTATTTCCCAAATTTTCTCTCTAAAATTTTTTGTATCAAATTTTAAGGCAAATTTTAAACATTTTCTTCAATAGCTTCCATGTCATGTGGTCACTGTCCATCGTGGTTGTAAGATGGGTTACTTCTGATAGAGATGAATATGTGAATACTGACCGCCCCGGTAAGAAGAGGATGTAGCTAAAATCAACTGTATTTAGCAAAGAGAGCAGATCTGGGGTCAGTTATTGTGGGTTGCAGACTTCGATAAGTTAGTAGATAATAATTGGCAAGTAACTGTGGCCCCAAAAACTGTCTTTAACCCTCATTAAACTCTGTCCATCACCATCTGTTTCCACCACCTTCAGTATATTTACCTTCACAGGTGTCAGGTTGGCCTCGTAGCCTGAAAATGATTCACCTGTAATCCTGCCATCCACCTCTGCTCACCTGTTGTCACATGTTCTGCTTTTTCGCTAACACTACAGAGGTAAACCGTGTCTTACACACTGATGTCTTCGACTCTCTAAATGTGATCATATGATTCTGGTGCGTCTGTAAATCAAAAGCTGTCGTACCTGTGTCGAGGACAGGAGGCCAGTTCCTGATGTCCACAGTGGCCGTGGCCTCTTTTGAGCGCAGCAGCTTGCAGATAACCGCCGTGGTCATCACACAGGCCGAGTGACTGACCTGAAGAGAGAGAGAGAGAAGGTGGAAAATCTGTTCGCTCTACTCCAATAAAAAACAGATTATCTCTCCTGCTAGTCTGATCATAAGAAGAGTAGAAAGATGTGAAATCTCAGACCTCCACGATCATCTTGACGGTGGGCAGGGTGGTGGAGATGTTCTGAGGGTGAGGCGGTCGCACCGTGATGGGAACACAGCCGGCGTACAGGCAGCCGTAAAAGGCCGCGATCAGGTCGATACCTGCAGGACCAAAAAAAACACACAAACGCCGTGAGATCAGAGCGCTTCTTTTAAAATCCACGGTCACAACATCCTTCAGCATCATCCTCCAGACTGACCTGGAGGATAAACCAGAGCCACGTGGTCTCCTTCCTGCAGACCGGCTCGCTCCATCAGGAGGGCCGCTACTCGCTCTGCCCGCTTGTGGAGCTGGAGGCAGGTGAGGGAGCTGGACACCGCCCCCTAAAGGAGAGGAGAGAAGGAGTGATAAAAACGGCTCCAGGACGGATTCGAGTGAAGTTATCTGAAGTTTATATCAGTGCTTAAAAATCAGAACAGTCAAACACAGTTCTCTTTGTTTAAGGTCTTTTTTTTCCAAGAATGGATATTTTTCTTGTAATTTTCGCACTTCAATCTCACAGGATGTGACGTTAACACTTGTAATTTTGCAGCTTTTGTCCCCTAAAAAATCAATCTTCTATTTTAATCACGTACTTAAGTGCATCATCAACATATCAAACTTAGAGGAAAGGTCACATTTCTGCTGCATATATTACAATGTTTTCTAACAGAGGTTATCAGCAGGACAATCCTGAGGTTTATCATCCATTTCATGAGCTATAACTGTCTGTTACGGGGTGTGTGTGTGTGTGTGTGTGTGTGTGTGTGTGTGTGTGTGTGTGTGTGTGTGTGTGTGTGTGTCTAGTTACCCGGGAGCTGAGCAGGGTGTAGAGGACGTGGTCTGGTGTGGTCTGAGCTCTCCACTGCAGAACCTCCGACAGGAACAAGAACTGAAAAACACAGACAGAGTTCAGGTTCTGAGGAAAGATAACAGATTAATTAAAGAGTCATGATGTAGTTTGACTTCATCAGCACATTTTCTGAACTGCACACCGTCTGTAAAAGTTTCATTCAGTTGAGGTTGTGTGTGTTTGAATAAAACTTTCATTTTATCCGTCATATCAAGCTTTGCTGCTGACAGAGCACGACTTTTAACTGCAGCGGCGACTCTCTGCCTCTTACCGGGACATTAAAGAGACGTAATCGATATCAGACAGTGAAATATCAAAGCAGGAAAGAAACGATCTGCTGATGCTTCAATCGGCCGCTGAGAAACAAATTTACGAGCACTTTACCGGAGCCGTCGCTTCGTCGGGCGATTAAACAGTCGTTCTGATTGTGAATCGTTTCGATTTAGTCGTAACTTTTACTCAAAAATGTCAAATTTACAATCAGTTATTCATCAAAACAGTCCTGACATTTACTTTGTTTCTCAATTTCATCTTCCAGATTTGGAAGGGATTCATGAAAATCAGAGGAGACCGAGGAGGAAGTTAAAGAAATGATTTCTGCTGTGTGTAATTTAGTGACTGAACAGTATCTGATGGAAGAGCTGGTAAATATAAGAGATCATTTTCAAATGGATGAGAGGGAAAATGATTATCAAAACTCTTTCTTCAACAGCAGATGGCGCTATCTGCCTCTAAGATCGTCTACATCTGTCACTGCTTCAGAAAAATGAAAAACTAAAGGTTCAGATCAGGGAGTTTCCAGTGACGGTCTAACAGAACTTTGATCTGAAGTACCATGACCAGAACAGACATGGTGGCGGAACATGAAGATTCTGCAGATGAGAGTGTTTCCACTCATGCATAATACCTGGACGGACCACCAGACTTTATTTGATCAGCTGTTTTCTCATTTGTGCACGACTGCTGTTCAATATTGACAAACTAGAGGACAGTTTCTCTGGTCCAACATTTTTATTATCTGTTTATTTATTTTTGCTGTTTTCAGTTTTTCTCATAATTTTACAATCCAGTCAAATCAGGACAAACCATAAAATAAAGGAAGTGTAAAAGGTAAAATGAGAAACTGGATAATAAAGATAAAGACTGACCAAAGTCTAAGTCTGTGTGTCTCACCTGGTCATTGTCATCTGTCTGTCCTAAATCTCTCCCGCTGGCCTGAGCGATCCGTTTCCCTGACACCAGATTCCCCACCATCACAGAGGCGGGTCCGATCTCTGCGACACAAACACACAAACACACAAAAACACACAAACATCAACGAGGTCCAGGAGTCAGGAGATCACACCTCCGTGTTTCTGAATTTTCCTGTTTCTCACCTGGTTGTTTCTGCCGGGGTTTGGGCAGGTTGGTGACGCAGGTGTGGGGGCACATGAGGACGTTGCAGGGGTGCAGCCCCCCCTCCAGGTACAGCTGCTTGATCTCTGACAGGTGGATGCCCCCCAGAGGAGTCTTGGGGAGAGTGTTGGCGGGGACCAGAGCGAGGCAGAACACGCCGACTCCGTGGATGCTGTCGATGGCCTGAAAGAGAGACAGTGTGTGTGAGTGAGTGAGTGAGTGGGGTAAGGTGGGGTGGAGGACAGTCAGAGGACGGGGGGATTACCTGCTGATGAGGAATCATTATTAAATCATGGCTTAACCTTTGTGTTGTTTTAGCGTGACCTACCTTTGCTAAACCTTTAAAATAAAGCTGCTTTATTGAATTTTAAACCCTGAATCTGTTCGGAGTGAACAAACAACCCGTCAGCCATCATCACAGACCGGGAGAACATTCTGGTTCTTTTAGTTACGGTGTCACAACGGGTACAATCGAGTGAGGAATCAACCCCGAACACAAGATCTGAATCAAGATATTAGCTGAAGAGCATTAAAACAGAAGCATGTCAGTGTTCCTGTTATCATCAGGTGATTAAATCCATAAAACCAGCTGATCTACCTGCAGGACGCGGCTCATCCACTGGAAGCTGTCCTCCTCGGTGGAGTCGGGTCTCTGCTCGGCTACGACCACGATCCTCTCATCCCTCAGCACCGTCACAGAGAAGACCGCTATCCTGCAGGACGGAGAAGAGAGTGATCTTCATGTTAATGCACTGCAGATGTCAATCAGCTGATACTGATGGATAAATACCGCTGTAGAGAAGAGTAACCCCCAATTTCCACTGCATCCGGAACAGCTAAGAAAAGGCCGTATCAGCCAATTGTAGCTGATCGTTTACATTCAAGTTAATGTGTCAATTTCCATCGACATCTTTCCGTTCCTCTGCGGATCACTAGACTCCGCAGCTGATCGCAAGAGTTCTATTTTTTCGGACGCCGGAGCATGCCGGATAAATTCAGCACAGATTAACCCGAGGACAGACACACAAAAAAAAATCTGGCTTCTTTTTCAAAATAAAACATAGATCGTATTTCACGCCATGCAAATGGGCGGAGACGAACAAGTGAAAGGTTTATAGACGTCATTTCACCCCGATGACACCATGGATGAGGAGATGCAGAGTTCTCGTGATTCCTGCTGTACGTACTCTGCCACGAAATTCGCCTGATAAACGGACCGGATAGGAAAGTTTGGACAGCAGATGCGGTGGAAATTCGGGGTTAAACTAAGCCTCGGACAAAGGAGCTGGTTAAGGACCTCTGCAGGTCTTCTGACCCCTTTGGTGGTCCATAAATACCCTGAAGAACAACAGGAGGACAGGCTACAGAGGGGACAGACAGGGTCCAGATCTGGTCTTGTCCACCCTGACGATCCAACTCAAGAAGAAATACTTTGACAAACTTTCCCGCTGATTTTAATTGGATGTTTTCTTTTTAAGTCTTTTGGATAATCACCTCAACTTCACTGCTGCTGAGACGTGCCTCATAACTTGACTTTTATATTTATAAAGGCGGTTTAAGAGGCAGAACTACCTGAGTGTTTTTTTATTAATACAGAAATCAAAGTAATCTGTCCCCCCACTCACCCGGTCGGAGTTTTTACAAGCTTTTGTTATGAACCTTCATGATAAAAAAGGTGTTTTTGGACAGAAGCAGCTGGTGTCAGTGTCTGGCTGCACACAAAGGTGCTTAGAACTGAGTAATGAGTAATAACAGGAGTAAGGTGTTTGCTGCTCTCTTCTAACACACAGGTGTGTTATTTCACTATGAGCACAAAAACTGTTCAGTTAAACTCATGGTTAATCTAGATCGAGTCTTTTCACCCTCTTTCACCCTGTCATCTCTGTGATGGATTCAAACCTTCATAAAATGTTCTTATGGTCACTCTGAGGCTGCCGTGTCTGCAATAAAACCTCCAGTTCTCTTGGACGCTCTCCACACTCATGACTCAGCTTTCATACTGATCGCTCAGCTGAGTGAGACACTTGATTCTGATTGGTCGAAACCCCATAGCAACAGTCACTGTATGAAGAGCGAGAGTGATGCCAAGGACAACCACAGCAGAAGAAGGAGTGTGGTGTGTTGAAACCTTAAGGTGCTGAGTGACATCAAGCAAAGTGAAGAAAACAGAAAATGACAACAGCGCTTTGACAAGACTGGCTGAGTAAAATAAAGCCAATTAAAGTAAATAAAGTAAATTAAAACATCTATTTCATGTCAATTCAACCTGCAAGCAGCAAGAAACTTTAATTTAGGGCTGGGCGATAAACCAAAAATTTACCGATACAGAAATTTATGACAATAACTGACGTCATTTTGCCCATATCAGTATATTCTGTGTCAAAAATATAAATAAATAAAAGTTGGTTTTGGATGTGTGTAGTTAGGCTATGGTATAATGTCCCTTTAAGACGCTGTCCTACGTCAGAGACGTGACTCCACCCCATCCAGTCCGTAACAAAGAGGGAAAGACAGGTGAGGAGATGGAGGACATTTTAAAAGTTGTAGCAGCTGAAGAAGACGAAGTTAATGTGGGAGGTGGCGAGCAGCTTGTTGAGTAGTTATCGTCCATTTATCATTATCAAAGTGAACTGATCAATATATTGTGATATTGATTTGAAGCCATATCGCCCAGCCCTAGTTTAACTTTAAAGGTCGGGGTTGGACCAGATGAGCTGTTACCTCCTTCTGCCCCTTCTTGAACGCAGCCGTTTGATATTTTATCTGAGAAGGTAGTTCAGTATTTCTAAGTCTTTTGACATTAAAATCAGTTTCATCTGGATGTGTCTGAACAAAGAGACTGTCACCCTCTACAGCAGCCTTTTCTTTAAATGTCTCACTTTACTTCGAATGTAAAACTTCATCAGACTCTGTCAGCGATAAGATGAATTTCCTCCTCGGCGGCGGTGGACACAATTAAACTTCCCTCCATTACAGTTTCTGGATTCATCCTCTGTGGCTCTGCTTTATTGAATTTATTATGTGCTGCTGGATCGCTCATTAATCACTGTGACAGTAAATGTGCCGGTGCTGGCTGCTGTTCAAATACAGTCAAAGGCAATGATTTAAGAGTGGTTCGACTTCTGGATGCTCCTCTGTAATCTCAGGACGTATCGGCGATGTGGACAGGAATCATAATCACACATATTCTGATTAATATGAATATCTCTGTTATTAAAAAGGATTACTCTTGGTTTGACATCTGCATCACACATACAGTCACACAGATCTCTAAAATCCAAATACTCTGGGCGTTATATTTCACACGTGACACCGTCATAAAGAAGTTTAACGGCCCCTCTACTCACCTGCCCCTGTAGACGAATTTCATTGGCTCCACTGCCAGCGCCGTGGCAACGATGTCATCAGCGTTGTGCCTCCGCCCGCTCACCATGATGAGCCCGTCCATCTTCCCGGTGATGAAGACAAGACCGCCGGGTCCGATGAAGCCCAGCAGGCCGGTCCGCACAAAGGCGTACTCGCTGACCAGCCCGCCAGTGGAGCTCACGGGGTAGACCTGCAAATATACAGGTGTTCAGCTGCAGAGTCGCCACGGCAACTGGTCAGCACCAGGGCAAGCCAGTTGCTTAGGTGGTCCATAAATATCCTTGAACTTAGGAGTATTTATGGACCACCTCTGGCCGAATACTTGGATCAGAGACCAGGGACTGGTTGAGAACCTCTTGTCACGCGGCTGATCCAGAATCAGAACCAGGAGTATTTCTGAACAGAGGGCTTTTATTTTGACATCGTCACACAGCTGCTTTTAGTTTAAGGAGGTTTAACAATCAAGTCTCTGTCTGCAAATCTGGAGAAGTGAAGTCGTGACATCTGTCAGACTCATGTGAGCGAGGAGGAAGCAGTAAAAACTCACCTCAAAAGTGTTCTTGGTCATACCGGTGAGGCCGTAGTAGGAAGTGCCTGTGGCGATGGAGCAAACGCAGAACTCACCGATCTCATCAGTCTGACAGAGCTGAGGGACGCCCTCCGGTTTAACCACACACACCAGACCTGTGGGGCCAAGGACACAGAAACACAGAGTTACTCATTCTACCTTGAATGAACTCAGTTTTTGCTCCACATGCACCTGTTCCAGGGAATGAATCCAGCTAACACCTCAGTCGGAGCTCAAAGCAGGCTCCCTGACCCAAATATTACTCATGTCTGGGCCAACACAAAACCAGGTTACCTGAGGATGTCGGGCACTTCAGCAAAATAACAACTTAAACATACGGCGCACCGATAGAGAAATTGACTTTGGAAAGTGTCTGACAACAAAACAAGCAAGGAGATACTGAAGAAATACGACTTATATAAAGTAAAATGAAGAGAGAAAAGAGCTCAATTATGACACAGTTAGGAAATAAACTAATTAAAATTAACTAAATCACAAGGGGTAAAAACAAAAAAGCACACAAATAACATGAATTTCATAGTTTGAGTTAAATCGATAAAAAAACATGAAAGAAATGAAAGCAATACAAGAAGTTAAATCACTTGAAAGATGTTTCTTTCTCAATAAATCATCAGCCTGGTTCTCCCTGGTCTAGTCTGGGCCCTGGTGTTGCAGTGGTTGTAGTTCCCACTTTGAACACCAGGTGTTGCAGGTTCACAGAAACATGGAGCCTGTTCAGATCAGAGCTCAGAGTCTGTGACGGTGATGTTGGATAATCTGCAGCAGTGCGAGTGTTTCTGCAGATTTACGCATTTTTCATCAACCGCATAAAGAGCAGTATTTCATAAACAGCACTGATTTTCCTGAAGAGTTTTTTTCTGTTAAATACAACTTGGAAAAGTTTTGTGACAGTATAAAGTTCAGGACTGTAGAATCCTTCTAATTTTCTGCACATGTAAACAAAAACAATAAAACCTGAAGTTACATTTTTAGAAATTTAAGTTGTAAAGTAAGCAAAGAGCAGCTCATCAGGGAGTGTAATAACAAAAATAACTTTGCTGCTTTGCTGATGCTCTGTAATGTGAAATAGCTGGCCAATAAATCTTTTTAAACTTGAGATCTGAAGCTGCAGCTCTTCGTCCAGTCAACAGTAAAAAGTCCAGGAGTCAAGCTTTTTATAACAAAGTGATTTTTGTTTTTTTTCCCTACAAATATAACAAAAAGTCCTTATACTAACTAGACAATGAGAAGGAAGTGGAGGCAGCTTCACACCGTTTTAATATGAACATCAACAGGTTTCATTTCTGCATGTTTGGTCCACATAAGAGTTTAAATGAGCTTTCACACCACCTCAATATCTGGAGACACGGACCAGGATTTATAATCACTAAAATTTGCACTTTTTACTTCGTTTTAAAATCTTTTCTGCAGAGGCTGTAGTCGTCTTCCAAGTGTTTGTTGGAGGAGAAATGCTCTCTGGGACTGGTAAGGAGCTTAAATCAGCTTTCTAGTAATCCACGTCTTAATAGTTCAGTGTTCATTGATTTTTTTCTGGCAGTTTAATACACAAAAGAAAAAAAACCTAAAATAATGATAGCCGCTTTAATTCTTTTAAAACTCAACACTGGGTTTAAGGAACAATAACTGCTCACTGTTATGTGATAAACGAGAGTATTTCACGAATTAAACAGGTTTAATTTCAGACCGTTACATGTTGAAATCTGAGGTTTGATATGAAGCCTGATCAGAGCAGGACTGGTGCTGAAAGTCCGCCTCGCCTCGCTGCAGGAAAGTACAAACGGGGATGGAGGAGTGATATCAATCTGCTGTAAATGCTGCAGCAGAGGGAGGAACAGAACTGAATCGATGTTTCAAAGAGGGAGGGACAGAGCCATCAGCGCCCGTGTGTGTGTGAAAGTAAAGCAGATGTAATGCCAGGGCGTCTTTCCTGCTCTCTATCTCTGTTGTGGTTGGATTCTTCATTAGGAGCAGAGCGGATGATTTATTACGTCCTAAAAGCTTCTTTATGTTCCGAATCACCTTGTTAAAACTACCAGACTGACTTTGTCCTCTGCTAACAAAAGATGGCAGCCATATTCAAACTCTTATTTCTTTTGTCTCTCTTAGCGTTCAGGCGCTTAGCTCGCCCGGTCAAGAGGAGAGAGAGCGCCTCTAAAATTGGACGTTGATGAAAAGGAGAGGCCGCACATTTACACGCCCTTAAAACTAATTTTACGATTTGATGGACTTAATGGATTTTTTGCCATTCAGTGCGTGACAGTGCTGAAGGCCGGCTGTTTAACTCTTCAGAGGGACAGAGAGGGTGTGTGGTCACCGCCATCAACTCCAACACACACCAGAAACACTCCCCTGAATCGATAAATGACCCAACTTTGATTCTGACTGTTAGATGACGTTTTATTTTAGCTGTAAAGTTGATGTCTCTGTGATGAGCAATGAGAAATAAGAAGGAGGAAGAGGAGGAGCAGGAGGAGAGAGGAGAACAGGGAGAGGAGAAGGAGAAGGAGGAAAGAGAAAGAGAGAGGAAAGCAAGGAGAGGAGCAGAAGAAGGAGAGAGGAGAGCAGGGAGAGGAGCAGAAGAAGGAGAGAGGAGAGCAGGGAGAGGAGAAGAAGAAGGAGAGAGGAAAGCAGGGAGAGGAGGAGGAGGAGAGAGGAGAGCAGGGAGAGAAGCAAGAATAGGAGAGAGGAGAGCAGGAAGAGGAGAGAGGAGCACAGGGAGAGGAGCAAGAGGAGGAGAGAGGAAGCAGGGAGAGGAGGAGGAGAGTAAGGAGCGGAGCAGGAGGAGAGATGAAAGCAGGGCGAGGAGCAGGAGGAGAGAGGAGAGCAGGGAGACAAGGAGGGAGGAAGAGAGATGAGACCAGGGAGAGGAGCAGGAGGAGAGCAAAGAGAGGAGCAGGGAGGAGCAGGAGATGGAGAGAGGAGAGATGAGAGCAGGGAGAGGAGCAGGAGGAGAGAGGAAAGCAGGGAAAGGAGCAGGAGGAGGAGACAGGAAAGCAGGGAGAGGAGCAGAAGGAGAGAGATCAGCAGGGAGGGGAGGAGGAGGACAGAGAAAGAGAGAGGAGAGCATGGAGAGGAGGAAGAGAGAGAAGAGCAGGGAGAGGAGAAAGAGGAGGAGAGAGAAGAGCAGAAGGAGGAGGAGGAGAGAGGAGGAGGCACACACACACCCATACCTCCAGGAGTGACGGTCCCCACGTCCTGCACTGTGAGCACTGAGAGGCGCTCCTCTGTGTCGACCCTGACGACTCCGTATGACAGACCCTGCATGGAGAGGACGCCTCGCCCTGGAGGCTGACTGCTGTCCTCCACAGGCCTGAACACAACACACACACACACACACACACACACACACACACACACACACACACACACACACACACACACACACACAGGTCCCACTGTCATTAACCTGCTCTGTACAGTGATGCTCAAACAGTAAACAGACACACACCTTCATACAGTGCGGTGTTTGTACCTCAAATGTGTGCACTGACTGTTTAAATGTTTGTCACTGAGCAGATTGGTGTGAGTTTTTGTGTAAACACGGCGAATGTAAACGAATGTGTGTGTGTGTGTGTGTTTTTGCATCATCCTGATCTGTGATTGGTTAGATTAGCTCCTCGCTGTGATCTCAGTCTGAGGGCTGCAGAGGGAAACACTCTGGACCTGTCTTCTCTTTGTGATTGTGTGTTTCCAGTGTGTACTCTGTGGGTGTGTTTGCATGGGTGTGTGTGTGTGCTTGTTTGCATATTTGTGTTCCTTCCTCTGTGTGTATGTGCAGATGTTTGCATAATCAGTGTAGGTAAATCAGAGCTCAGAGTATGTGCATTTTTATGAGTGTGTGTTAGTGTGTGTGTGTACCTCCTGATGGCCACAGTCAGGGCCTCGGGGGAGCTGGCGCAGGGACAGATGACGTCGGCTCTCAGCCCTTTAGTCTGAAAGACGTTGAGGAAGGCATCGCAGGAGGAGATGGACCCTGACGGACAGAAACACAAACAAACTGTCAGAACAGCTTCGGCTCAGGCGGTCGACACTTTCACACAAACCGCTGACGTTCAAAAGACAATCAGAAAACCTGCACCTGGAGGTCTTCAACAAGGTTAAATTATACACGACAAATCCAAAGTCTTTACTAATGAGAGAGCTTCTGTAAATTTATCTCATCACACAGTTAAAGTCAGGATCATCGTCACATCACTCTCACATTTTTTGGACGTGTCTTAAAGTTACGACGCTCTGGAGGAATTTATGTTCGGCTGCAGCAAAGATTTAATACCACTGAATATTAAAAAAGAGCAGTGTTTGAGTGAGATACTGCTGACCGCCTGTAAAAAAAAAAGAGCAATAACACGAGAACGAAATCACCCAGAGCCTCCGAACCTCAGAGAATGGAAGAGTATAAAGAAATCTTTGAGATGGAAAGGATGACCTTTTCTCGAAGACTCAGAGGAGCAGCCTCATGAAAACGTTGTGAAAATTCTCATTTGCAGGGGGAGACTGTTTGTTCGGGTAAAAGTACCTTTAAAATAGTGAAAAATACTATAAAAGGTCTGTGAGTTTAACTGTGAGGCTGAAATTCACAGAGGAGGATGAGACGTCCATGATTTCCAAAAGGATGCCAATCCCTCACCACACCTCCCTTAAATCCATCTTTAACTTCCTCAGAGAGTCACTCATGTTTCTGAACCATAAAACTGTTTAGTTTAAGGATGCAGGGACGAACTCAGTTCACAGACAGGGACTGATTTTGAACCTGTGCGGTGACTTCCACTACAGAGCCATGTCTGATTTTAACGCAATGTCATCTTTTTGTGTAAATTTCTCCAGGTTCTTACATTTTTTAATGTATTATGTTCGACAGATGATAAAATCTCAAAATTTGTTGCATCTTTATGCTCAGTAACATCTTGAAATTGTTGAATTACTGATGTTTTTAGGGGCATTTCACAAACCTTTGGGTTTTTTTTTTGTCCCTCTTTAAACTGATCGGAAACATGTTGCTGGAATCAACTATGAGACTAATTTTCATAAAATATTCACATTTTTCAGTTTCACTCTTTTACATGTTATCTTTGCAGTATCTGAAATCAAATGAGGGCTTTTAATGATATGCAAAACCCTCAAAATGTTTTTTTTAAACAACATTTTAGTGTCCAAACTTTTTTGGAAATAAGGCTGTGATACTTGAACACGATCTGAAAAATAACTACCCTCTACAAAAGTCAATTTTTTTCAGTGGATTCACAGGTTGTAATAAAACAGTATTCAAATCTGTGGTGACGTATAAGTAAATAAAGGTGTACTGTTGCAAAACGTCATGAAAATTAATATACAAGAACATTTGGGTTCTCTTATTCTCAAATTTTAACAACAAACTTGTTAAAATAAATTTAAAGAGACCCGTTAGTTATTCAGCTGTGTCAAAATCTAAAATCTACCTGAAGCTGCTTTACCTCCATCCAGGGTTTGATTTAATTTTCACTGCGAGCGCCTCTCCATTTCATTTGTGTACTTTACGATGATGTGAACACTCCAAAACAATCCAAACTCAAGGGTCCACTTTACGAGGTGATTTTATCGGCATCAGTCTCCATCAGCGAGGGAGCTCAGGTGCAGGTTGAGCGTACTCAAATTTCAAAAGCTGCTTACAGTCAGTGAGGAGTTTATAACTGGGACACACAGCTCTCTAAAACAATTGATGAGCGGACACAGGCGCTCTGAAATGAGTAATACATTAATATACGGGGCTGTTCAAGGCTGAGCTGCTGCATGGTTGAAACTTTTGCGTCAAAACAATGATGCTTCTTTTGGGATTTGGTGCAGTTTTTGTCTTTCCCAGTGTGGATGGAAACATGTCGCCTGTGTGAGTGTGGACTTGCTGGTTAACTCTGATTGGAGAGGGTTTCTGAGGGGCCTTGGCGTGAAGAGTCTCCACTCTCAGCGGGGCCAGAGCTACAACCAGAACCAACTGTTATCTGAGACCAAACAAAGTCTTAAAGCGCAGAGACAGAGAGGAGGTGAAGGGGGAAACATGAAAATCTCCCAGAGCCGATCATAAATCAGAGTTTTTTTTTCTTTGCTGATATATTTCAGTCTTCTTCCTCTCCAGTCGGGCTGAAAATCACCCATTGTACCAAATGTTCGTAGTCCTGCTCTATTCCTGTAAAGTGACCCAGTTTGCTGAATCCCCAGAGACTTTATCCATTTCTCTGACATTCTCTATCCCTCACATATACACCTTTTTTAAACTCTGCTGTTAGAGGAAAACGCTCTGCTGTGAGGGCTGAGTGTGACCTTACAGGGGTTTGATCCATCGGCCACCAGCAGCATGCGCAGCGAGCTCAGGTTGATGTCCTTCTGGTCTTTGTGGGCCACCAGAGCCCAGTGCATGTCTCTGGACTTCACACATGCTACCTTAGCTGCAGGGGACACACACACACACGGAGGAGACATTAGCATTTAATCTGTGTGATGGACGGCTGAATGTGGAGAAGTGACGGAGCAGAGTGGCAGGTGGCGTGTGAGTCTGACCTTTGTACTGGCACACTTTCTGGATCCACGACAGAGGGTTCACCTTCATCAGCGAGTACGGGACGCTGATCACGTGCATCATGTTCATCACACTCTGCAGGAAACACGTACAGAGACGAACTCATTAAAACACGGGATCAGGTAATCCAGTTTACATTTGTCCTGGACTGGATTCATCTGGTCCAAACACAGACTTTTAAGGATTTCCAGAGCTCTAAATTTTGTCCACAGGGGGCGCCAAAACCACAAGAAGTGAATGATCCTGCCAGCTGCTTTTGTTTACACATTTGTCAACCTTCTTACTGAATAGACTCGACAATTCAAGAGCAAAATATGTTAGAAAATGGACAAAAATATCACCCTGACTGTAAAACTGTTCAAGTCTGAATCCAGCTCTCTGCAGGGATCAGAATAATCCTGACTTCTGGATCTTTGTCAAAAACTTTACAAAGTTTTCAACAACACAATCTGGTTTTATTCTGATCTTGTCTGGTTTTTGTTATCCCTTTTTATTGCTGTTACTCTAAAATGATTGTTTTTATTCTTGGTTAGGATTCTAGGCAGCTGCTCGTCTCCCTGGGGTCCAGAAAAAACACCACGATATCTTACCGTCAGGATGCCGTGCCACAGACCCACATCTTTCTTAAAGTCCAGGACGTTCACAATGGTTTCCGCTGCAGACAGAGAGAGAGAGAAAGAGGGGAGAAAACTGTCAGATTGCTTTTTTTACGACCTGCAGACTGAACTGTTTGTGTGCGTTTGTGTGCGTTTGTGTGCGATTGTACCTTCTGTGTAGCTGCAGGACTGGGTGAGAGCCTGGCAGTGTGTGAGCAGAGCGATCCTCGTCACTGTGACTCCCAGCACGCTGCCGTCTTTGCAGGTTTTATACTGAGACACAAACAACAGACGACATCAGAGCAGACTGAGATCCGCTTTATTTGACCACAGAGCACCAGGCCGACCATTAAAAGTGTCTTTTACACATCTTACAATGTCAGCAACTGGTTCAAACTGATGATTTTCTATTAAGAGATTTTTTCTTTGTATCCAGACAAAATTAAGATGTTTTTATAATTCTATAATTATGCTGCAAAGACTGAGTTAGAAAATGTGTCTTTTTAAAGCCAGAGCAAGAACATTTGTGGGATTTTTGCTCAGAAATCACACAAATAATGGATTAATTCTCAGTTTATATCAATTAGGGGAGAAAAATCACATTGGAAAGTGGCGTCTTGGAAATGATTGACACTTTTCCAGGACAATTAACCCAAACAACTCAAGAATTATCAAATTTAATAACCAGCTCTCTCTCATTCGCAGCCTTGGTTTATGTTCTCGAGTAACAGACTTTCCAATTTGCTCAGTCTTTTTCAATATAATGTGAGATTTCAGGTTGGAAACATTTATTTAACACTGATAAGAAACAATCCTCATCCACTCGTTTGTAATTTTGCCGCTTTAGTGATGAGCCCTGCAGCCGCTGCAGCTCAGGATGTCAGCTGAGCGGTCGATAAGGAAACCGGAGGAATGTCAGCTCCAATCATCACACTGACTGAAGTCCCAGCTTGTGTTGAAGCGTCCACAAAGGCGACGACGCGCCCCCGCTGAGCGATTATTAGCTCACCTCTATGTAAGCCGTGTCGTTGTTTGCGTCCTTGATGTGAGGGAACCAATCTCGGGGAGGTTTGGAGAGGTGCTTGGACTCGGTGACAAACCAGAGCAGCTTGGGCCAACCTGCAGAAACACGGAGAGAGACGAAAGTTTGTTTATGTGGATAACTTCACCACGGAAACCTCCTTTAAATACTCATCAGGATAAATATAAATAGTTAGAAATGATCTCATTTAGTGTTCTCATGCTATGCCAGGACATAACATTGACCACATTACAATAACTTAATTTTTAGAGCTTTTTAAAGGACAAGTTACAAAGTAAAATCCTATATTTCTATGATACCAGGTCAAACATGTTCGAGCTTGAGAGAAGTGAGTCATTTAGTGCCCTTATAATCTGTGAACATAAAGTGACAGATGAACAAAAACAAGCAACATGGCGGCAGTGAATGCAACACCATCACATCCTGATACTTGAAGTTCTCGGAGCGTTTCCCTCTTGATGCTGTGAAGAAAAGGGACGTCTGAACCGTCGGTAAAACGGACCGTTCTTATCATGAGAGCATATCAGTAATGTGACAGGATATCGGACGTCTCTCTTCTGAACAGCAGCTGTGACATTCAGCTCAACCGTCTTAAGTTAGAGGTAAACCTTTTCCTTCGAGTGCTTCATCTTTTCTCTTTTTTTAATACATCTCTCTCTTCCTGCAGATACGTAACCGGCCGTCTGACATGAACAGAAGTTTTGTTGGAAAGCAGAGACAAAAGACGGCTGATTAAAGATGATCAAGTTCTCCTAAAGTTGCACCGTCATTTATTTCTCTCTCTTTCTCAGCCAGGCTGCCCCTCCCCCACACAGAAACACCGCGCCGTCACGGTCCGGCTGTGATTGATGACTTTCTCTCTCACCTTTGAACTGTGGGATCTCTCCTGTTGCACTCTTGGGCAGCCCTTTGTGGCAGGCATCACTTGTCAGCGCCACGGTTACTCCACAGCTGCCCAATAGGAAGCCAATCTGCTGACTCCCGGCATCCTATTGGTCGATAAGATGAAAAGAGAGAGGAGACGGTTAGCTCAGCGTTCAGGAAGTATGATGACTCATTAAAAATCACAACATCTTCAGGGTCTTTTTGTTTCATCACGTCTTCAGAATCCTGTTTCACTCTCATGTTTGTCGCTCTCCTGTTTGCTGCACTGCTGCTGCTGCTGCTGCCTTCATAGATACTTTATGGAAAATCCTGCAGCAAAGAAGCAGTGGTGACCGACCTGCAGCTAAAGGCATTTTCTGCTGCAGCAGTAATCGCCGTGAAACCGTGACGACCCTGCGCTCGCAGCGCTGCAAAGGCGAGCTGACATGTCTCCCTCAGAGGCTCCAGACTGAGCAGAAACTGAAAGGTGATACAACTGGCAGCTAGGATTTTGTTTTTCAATCTTCAGAAACCTTTCCTGACAAAGTGGGGGCTTCTACCCTTCAGACGTGTCAGGTCTGAAGAGGTGATGACTCACACATCCACAGCTGTGACCTGAGGGATGACAGGAGTCGGTGTGTGATGGAGGGGCAGACGGAGGGCTTGTTCCTCGGTTGTTGAACTTGTTGGCTCTCTGATTTGTTTTTCTGCTCTCTGTTCAGACCCTTTTTTCAGAAATACTTGAGATACTTGACGCAAGAAAAGAGGAGAGACTGAAGATCCAGAACATGGACTTTAAGACCAAACAAATCTTTAAGAGCCCCGATAGAGGAACTGCACAATAACAGGCTCCAGTAACCTCATGTTATTGACAAACCAACACAGCTGACCTGCTGCCAGCGTGATCTTTTGCATATACTGTGTGTGATAATGGCAATTAAGTCAACTTGACTCTAAAGCAGGGATTATAAATGTTCAAAAGCCGTCTCAGAGTCATGACTGTCCCCAGTTTCTGCAGAATGAATACACAGGGCAGAAAATAGTCCCTACAACAACAAACCTCTGCTCCTTTCAGAGACATTAACTGTCACTCAAATGTCAGGACAAAAGAAACAAACACCGCAGGAGTTTGGAGGTTCTGGAGATTCTGGTTTGAGAGTGATCGCGGCTGAAACAGAGAGGATTATCGACATGCTGCAGTGCTTTAAAAAAACTTAAATTACCTGACCTTCCATCCAGAAACTAATCCTCTATTAGACTGAGAACTATAGGGAGGAACTAGAGAGTCAATGTGAAAACATCGACAAGAGGGGGGATGTAAAGACGCACCTTGCGACTTAGAGGGACCTCTATAGGAACAGGGACCACCTCGGCCAGCAGACAGCCGTAGAAAGCCACCATGAAGGCCACAGGGTCGTTGTTAGGGAACACCAAGGCCACCTAAATGAGGAAGAGGAGAGGAGGGTTAGAGGAGACAGGGGTGAGGCTGAGAGGCGCTTAAAATCTCCTCACTGCTCAGAGCTGAAAACATGAGAAAGAGGAAGAGCTTGTCTGCAGTCTCTGCCACAGAATCAGTCGCAATGCTAAATCCAGCTGGTGTTGATTTAGTTTGCTGGGTGACTCATGCTCGTGTTCTCCTCTGAGTCTTTGACCAACACAGTTTTGGTGAGAGAGCGAAGATAAGATCCTGTCCATCAGCAAAGATGGTGACCTTTAATATTTGTAACTTTGAGGGTTTAACACGAAAGGAAACTCTAAGACACACTTTTGTTTCGCAGATTTATATAAATGTGTGTCACTGCGTTTGTATCAAATACCTGCCAGTCATTTTTCTTTATTATAACATGCTGTCACTCACTTAGTTATGAAACATGTGTTCTTGCTCTGAAAGGAGGGCTGATGCCAAAGCGACGCTGATGATGTCAGATCGGCATTAACCGTCTGACGGCTTCATCAGTCTGTCTCCAGTTTTAAGAGGTTGTTTGACATTTCTGAAAACATCTTTTGTCAGGTTTGAAGCCAACCTCTGATAGATGCAGGATTGTTTCAGTGCGGCCCATACTGATCTAACAATAGAACAATGTCATCAGTCTAAAAAAGGCCAGAAATGAAAACTGCGAGGTGTTATGGGAGAGTGACTCACCCGATCACCCGGCCGCACCATCGGCTCCTGCTTACTGCCCAGTTTGTGGAGGATGTTGTAGGCAAGCTTGATGCTGCGAGACCACAGCTTCCCTGCAGGGAGATGGACACAGGATACAAATGAGAGAGCGAGAGAACGAGCGAACGAGAGAGAGCGAGAGAGAGAGAGAGAGAGAGGGGAGTGTGTGCGTTCTTGGACTTCTATTTACGGACACAGTCAATAAGAGAAAAAACACACACAGCCCAAAGTGACATTTAAGACTTTTAAGCAGTCAGCAGAAGTACCAGGAGAATCGGGCTTGTTTATCTGGATTAAACTTTAAAGTGAGAGCTGCCTAATGCATTTGTGGTGGAGCGACCGCTGCCTAAGAAAAGAAAACGTCGGTATTTCAAAACAGAGTAAAAGTCTTTAATTCCCAGCTGACGGTGTGCTGGAGTTAAGCTCTTCTTCTGTATGATTTAATTTCCCTGCACACCTGAGTACTGACAACACTTAGTCTGATACAGATTATCTTTAAAGAACACAGAAATATGACCCATGATTAACCTGACATGGTAGGTTACCAATGAAGAGAGACAAATGTGTGAAAAGCTGGTCAGATTATCTAAATTTAAAGATTTATCACGCGCCAACAAGATTTACACGATATCTGAATTATCAAAAACTCTTTTCACAGAAACTTGAAATTACTGAGACAAACTCTTTAAGTTTAATGAACCGCTTCAGAAACCAATAAAGTCGATGTTTGATCAAACTGTGGGAGTGATGGTTACCATATGTGAGGACATAGAGGGGCTTCCCTGCCGTGTCCAGGCTGGTGAGGCAGGGGGCTTTAGGGGAAATAGTCCCCCAGCGTTGAAGAGCAGCCTCAAGGGATGGAGGCCAGTTAGTGACCACCCCCAGAGCCTCACCCCGAACTGGCATCATCTCCGCCCCCTCTGGCCGCGGCTGGTTGGGGTCCGGCTGTTGGACTGAAGATGAGGAGATGGATAAAGTTAAGGGGCTGCAGCTCAGACACACCACTTCAAGTTCACACTTTCTCCTGCAGGTGAAAACGCCTCAAAGACACCTTTGTCTAATTACAGAGAGCTGTTAGGAAGCTGTTATCACACCCAGACAGTCTGAGGGTGAATTTAAAGTACCTGCTATCAACACAGATCTATTACAGGACTGTCAAAAGTTTGATTAGACTCAGTCAGTGCAAAGAGACATTAAAGACTCCTTCTATTACAGACAATGTCTACAGAGTCTGCTAAACGCTGCTCAATACTTCACACTGTACCTTTAAAATTAGAAACTGAGCCTGTTAGGAGTAAACACGACTCTGTCTGTGGTTTGTAAATTATTTAGACCCTCAAATATGTAAAAATGCTTCTTAGTTAGCAGCAGAGGGGACATAAAAGATTCAGCCTCAGACAAAAGTCCTAAAATGTGAAAAGAAATAATTTTACTGTGCAACAGATGAAACATTTTCAGAAAAAATAATGCTGCTTAAAAGTAAAAACAAGTGACAGAGATAGAAAACGAGGCCAGATGGAGAGAGACAAGCAAACAGCAGACAGACATGATGATCTGCAGACGTCTGAGATTCCTCAAAAATACAGTTTTTAACACGAGGAACGTTGTTTTCTGTTTGAAGCAGGCTGATCAGTATCTGCTCCGTGCTCAATAATTTCTTTTCTTTTCTATGTCGCTCACATTAAGAGTGCTGGACAAACGTGACGGTGCGTAAACCGAAAGATTGAAAAATTAAGATAACTTCATGCAGAGTAAAAACTCTCTCTGACATGGATGTTGAAGCTTCTGCTGTAAAACCAACACTGTAGTTATCAGGCTGCAGCAGATTAATGAATTTTATCAATAACAACAAAAACTCTATAAGGTGAGGCATTTCTCCTCTTTGCTGCAATATCTCTCTGACCTTCACTGATGCCGAGTCTTTTCTTTATTCAGCCCCTATGCCTCCCCAGCATCCACCCACAGGCTCTGACTTCAGCCCCAGGGGGAGAAACATCCACTATCACCTCTCCACAATCTTTCTCTGTGCTCAGGCTCAGGCTGCAGGGAGGGATGATGTACAAAAACCCTGAGCGTGTTATTTATTCACCTGGAAAATCACCTTTTGTGTGAGCTCACTGACTTGCTGGTGCAGCACATACTGATTTATTTTTTGATTGTTATTTACTGCCGTTATTTTTTTATTAACAGTTGAAGTGGATGTAATTTAAAAAAAATGATTACTAGAATTTTTAACTTCTGATAGATTCAGTTTTTTATGGCGCCCTCTTTTTGCAAAAATACCATGTCAGTTTGTTCACCAAAGAAGAAGACAGATCCGTATGCAGAGCAAAGGTCTCCGTACATTACAGTCATTTATTTTTTGGGAAAGTACTGGGATGTTTCTTTATGATCTACAAAAGCAAACTGGAACATAGCATAAGGACTGGTTATGTCTTCATGGGTGTGCTTAAGATCTACGACCACTGGAAGGAGGGTCGGTGATTGACCTGCACGCAGCTTTAAAAGCTCCTTTATTTTCTGCAGCAAAGATTTTCAGTGTTTGTCTCAAGATGAGAGTTTTAGTGAAAACAATACTTGCTCATGTCTAAGAAAAAGTTAAGGAAGAGATATCACTTAGTCCAGAGGGGGCGCCAAAACCAAAACAAACCAAAAGTTCTTCACTCCCAACTTTACAATTTAACTTACTGATGGCACAGATTTTTATTCTTGGTCTGGTCTGCTCATGTACCTCTTCACACGTTGTTTGTTCTGTTTCTTCATCACGTTCCTGGTTATTATATGATGTGATGAGTATTTTACCGTAAATATAATATTAACTTCTTGTTTTTTTTCCTGTAATGGTCTGTATAATTCTACCTGTGCTAAAAAAAGTTGTCAGAAGAGTAAAGTACAACAAAGAGGGATTCAAACCATGCCCTCGTACAGTAAGATGGATCATGAAGGATCATAAAGCGTTTGCAGATTTGATGTAATCTGTGGATTTTATGGATATCTTTGTTGCAGCAGCAGTGAGAGCAGACTGTCAATAAGTTTTAGTGTTGATGTTAACTTTTGTTTATTATGCAAAGGAATCAGTGGACTCACTTCAGTAAAATCTGTTCCAAACAAGAACATTAAATCAATGTCTTTAAAAAAAAAATCTACTTTAAATGTATCGTTTTTTTTAAAGGTGGTTTTATTGGAAAACTTCATCTGGTATTATCCCTGCAGCTGTAATAACAAAGCAAAGAAGCTGAATGGTCATGTTAGCTTTGGCAGGTCATTCAGAGGCATTATCAATCATTTCAGACTGTCTGAAACTGTTGAATAAGTGAAATCCACCCACCCTTAAAGATCTTTCTTTGTCAAGTCACCACAGCTTTCAGATCAATTTATAGTGCAGCAGAAATAAAAAAAGTAGCAAGAAAGTGAAAAAGTGAATGAAATTAAAAAAACTTTGAGTTTGTAATGAAGTCATCTCTCCAGGTTGGACCGCACCACAGTCACAAAAACACAAACTCATGGCTTTAAGGGGTTGAAGGAGCCAAGGAGCAGCTCATCGCTTCAGCGGGTATGTCTCCTTGTTTTTGAGATTAACAGAATGAGGTGAAGTGAAGCTGAAGGCTTGTATTAAAAGGACCATGCTCGGCTCTCACAGGGTCATTGAAGGAACCTTTCAGAGAACCACTCATGACTCCCATGTATGAAGAGATAGATTGGAAAACACAGTGCAGAACTGAAAGAACTCAGACAGACAGAAAGACGAGTCATGCAGGATCAAAGACGGTTTCTAACCCTCCAGAAGTTCATCAAAGTCATCGACAAAGAACTCCCGGAGCGGAGGTCTGCGCGGCTGCTTCAGCGTGTTCACGAGCTGCTGGATTTTAGCGGACACACGACTGCTGACTGGAACACCTGTAAGAACCCCAGACACACACAGACGCGGTGAGGACAAGCTCTTAGTCTGATTCTTCACAGTGGACAGGACAAGTGGAGGTCTGGACGGCTTGACAGAGAGTCTTCATTATTTTATGAAAGGCATTTTCTTTAAACCTCAAGTTTGGTTGGACTGCAGTGTCCAAGGTTCTGGTCCGAATGTTCAGACAGCTCAGATCTTTAAGAGTTAGAAACACTGGGCCTCATGCAGCAAGTTTATCTTCAGTTTTATCCTCTTCAATTTTCAGTGAACTCCAGTGTCATTCACCACACAGCTGCAGAGATGAAGCAGCTGAACTACATGCACACGGACACTGAGGTGAAGAACTTCCTATGAGACATCTTCTGACGTTTTTATACAGAGGTGACAGACTGGTGAAAGGTTAAATATCCCAGATTGAAGGAGGAGACACGCCAGTATCCCTGACGACCAGCAACACCTCCGCCGACTCACACCCAACCGTGTGGTCATGCTTATTTTTCTCCACAGGAACAAGTACGCAGAAAATCAGACAGTCTGAAACATCTTCCTGTTCCCTTGTTGCAGGAATTCCATATTTGGGCATTTGAGCCTCCCTTTACAGGGCTTGACAGTGCGACCATTTCACTCACATTTGCGACTAAACATAGATGTGTGAGAATTGTAAAATGTATCTAAGGGCACATGTGCGCTTAAAAAAAATCTGCAACACGTGTTTTTTCATGTAAATACAGCGACGAAGTTAGTTTTAGGTTGGATATTCGGTGGACATTCACCGCGGATCTATCAGTGTCTTCTCACTCTCCATAACCGGGAATAGCAACAGCAGTGCGGTTAAATCTATTCGGCACCCTCGCTGTCAACGTCATGTGTTGAATAAGGGATCATCACTAAATTACCGGTTGATGTTCTCAAAGAAGGCTGTTTTCCTTCAATAGCTTCCATGTCATGTGACCAATTGACTTAAAATTGATTTCAAATAAGAGTACTTATGTCGACCAATAAGACAAACATTATTTGATCAATTTTTATTGTGCCCCTAAAGTTCTTCATGTGCTCCTTGTGAGAAAAGTTAGTGTCAAGCCCTGCTTTATCTGACTACACATTCTCAGAAAATCTGTCGTTTGAGAGAAGAGAAAAAAAAATCTATTTATTAATATATTCAGTTATCTGTTAAAATGTTCAAACATCCATTACAGAGGATATCTGTGTTGTGGAGAGATCCGCCGCTGCTGCTGCACTCAACCTGTTGCTAGGCATCAAAACCTGATCAGTAACACAGCATCGTGACAGCTAATGCAATAAAGAGGACCGGATCAAGCCTAATATCACTCAACGAGCCGCTGCCATTAAGTTAAAACGCCTCTAATATCCCAGGATCTTTGATATGAAACAGCACATCCTTCAGGGTACGCCGAGTTTTATTCATGCTCTCCGTTCGCTCTCATCTTCCTGTGAATTGGACGAACGCTGACTGGACTGTGAATACAAATATAAGGAGCTGCTTTTTGTTCTGGAGTTGAACATCGAAGAAAACACCGACCGGTCTTTGTCATTACGAGAGGAAGGAATCGTGGGTACAAACAAAAATAGAGGAGAGGAGGTGTGTTGGTGTATCACTTCCTGCATGAGGCCCATGTGTTTCTCAAGCCCGCCATTCAATTCTCAGCTTGAATGGACCACAGACTGTGGCTGTTGTGATCAGCTCTCACTCTTTTGGCTGTGACTGCGTGATTGTGAAGCATGCTAAAAAAGAACAGGGATGCTCACTCAGCTTTCCTTCAAAACAACCAAAAAAAGAAAAGACCAATCTGTTCATCCAGGGGAGTGACATGAACAGACTCGCTGTAATTGGTCCGTTCTCTGAGGCGATGGTCCAATTTGAGCTCATCTCCTGATTAAGGAGTTTCTATTTTTGTCCGACTGTCTTCTTCCTCTTTATTCAGAGGCTCCAGTTGGGAACAGTTACAAGTTCAACAGCAGGGGGGGGTCAGGAAGGTCGACTCTTACCATCGCCGGTCTCCATGCGCTCTGCGTTGCCGTACTTCTGTGTGTTCCTGGCGATGGTCCCCATGTTGGACATGTGGTGACGCTCAGTGTGGGAGTGAGACGAGTCCGATGAGTAGCCCGTCACATCCGGGGGAGCCGAGTGGTTCTCTGTGGAGGAAAAGAAAGAGAAAGAGAGAGAGAGAGAGAGAGAGAGAGAGAGGGATGTAAACAGACAAACAGCCAGCGGTGACTCATTGTTCAGATCTATGGCTGCGCTGTTTGTGGAGTGCTTTGTTTTGTCGCCATAACGGACAATTGAACCCGTTATGATGATCGTTTTGTTGCTTTTTAATTTAGGTCACATTCCTGGCGCACACAGGAGAGAACGAGGTCTGGCATGATGGGACATCTATTCAACACAATACCTGCTTCAAAACAACCCTCTCTCTGTTTACTCGCGCTAAAATAAAAAGCCCATTTATCACACAAAAGGGTTCAGACTCCACGGGAAACCGAAGCATCTTAAATGTCAGCTGATGTGCAGAAATATCCAGAGAGGGAATCACGACACAACATCAAATGCCCGGGTCTGCTTTGTCGTGTTTGTGTTGGATGTACCGTCTGATTCCAGCGGTGGAGGCCACAGCATGTCGGATCCAAACTCGCAGGATCGTCTCAGAGATCCTCCGTTCTCCGCCACGCTCAGAGCGCCCTTCCTCTTCAGAGACAGGTGGCCGATACCTGCACACAAACAGTAAAAATGTGTTACTATCAGGTCTGGACACTGCAGTATGCAGGTAGTCTAGAGGTTTGTGTCAGGAGCCCAACAGGAGTGATGCCTGCGCACTAAATCCAGAGAAATATACATAAAAAAAATTAAAATACTTCTTCATCAGAGGCATGTTATACAGGTATTATTAAAGATTTCCAGACTAAAGAAGTAAATCTGTGAGGAGAAAAAGATGTTTTCATTGAATTAAAACCTACTCCTCATAAAATAAAGACTCTATCGCTATCCTCAAAAATGTAAAACCGGTTCATTCTCATTCATTTACTACTTTCTTAAGACTTTTGTCTCCTTTCACTTTATTTTGAAGTCTCATTCTTGATCTCCAGAAAAACTTTTTTTCACTTTATTTTAAACACAGAAAATCAAAAACCTCCAGAGTCTCAAGGAAAAGAAACCTTCTTCGGTAACACTTCACAATAACCATAATTTATAAAAGGTAAATAGATAGTTTATTAACATTTAATCATCATTTAAAAACAGACCAATTATTTTAAAAAATTTAAATATATATATATATATATATATATATACATATATATATATATATATATATTATAAAAATAGACCAGTTATAAATGCCAAATAAATCGTTTATTAATGTAAGTTAATAGTTACTTCACCATTAACAAGCAATAAAATTATGATTAATACTTTTCATTAGATCATTAATGGAATATTTATTGGTTGTAAAACATCTAGATTAAAATATGTGTCAGTAGCACTTTGAAAATGGTTAATGTTTGTTTTTGAAACCACCTATAAACATTACTTAGATGGTTATTGTAAAGTTAGGGTTAGGGTTGGGTTTTTAAAACTGTAAAATTAACAATTTATTAATGGTCTATATGCTATTTATAACCATTTATAAATGCTCTATTTACCATTTATAAGTTATGGTTATTGTAAAGTGTTACCCCTTCTTCTTTTTACCTTCACTCTCACATGAACACCCTCAGAGACCGGCGCCGTCTTACCGTGGTGTGACTGGGACAGGTGGCTCTGCTGGTGGTGTGACTGGCCCAGGTGCGTGTGTGCCAGGTGTGAGTGCGCAAGGTGCGAGATGTGTGCGTGCGCCAGCGAGTCGGCCAGCCGCCCTGCGTTGCCGCTGCCTCCGCTCTGCGTGGACGAGGACGAGGACGAGGTGGAGCCCAGGTGGGCGGGGCCTAACTGGGAAGGGCGGCTCATCCAGTGCTCCATGCCCGACATGTCGTCGCCAGGCCCCGCCTCCTCCTCTGAGCCCGACGAGGAGTCTGAGCACAGGGGGGACAGGCCTAGTGAGAGTCAGTGTCAGACATTATTGGTCAACGAAAAGACACACATGAACACAACATCAACACATCTACACAACCCTACCAAGCTTGTATACTGTCACAGAGTATGAAGGTGATATTACAGATCATTTTTTAAAGTGTTTCAAGACAAAAGTTATGATCTAACAATAATAAAGTCTCAGTAAAGTCTGAATATTACGAGAATAAAGATGATTTAAAGTCATATTATAACATTAGTGAAGCTGTTGTGTTATAAAAACAAAGTGATGAGAATAAAGTTGAGGTAGAATCACAACTTTGTGGAGAGAAAGTCGTTTTATATTAGAGCAAAGTGGTGATAAAGTGGTAGTTTTGGTTTACGGTGAGCAGTCAGCTGTCTGGACTAAAATGAGGAATTTTAACATTTCACTCAGAACAAAATACTTCATCTGTAGCCGCCACATTGTTGGAAGTTTCAGGACTCTAAAGTGGTTATGCAAAAATTACTCTTGTGAAATAATGACTCTAATCTTGCAACACAACAACTTTATTCCTGAAATCTTCAGATTTTTCTCTTTTTGTGGCCCTAATACTCAGTTTTCGTGCGCCGAGAGAAAGGTCCCATTGTTATTTATCTTCATGGTCAAAGTTTATAATTATCGTGTGGATTTAGTGGTCAGATTTTAGGCTGTGCTGAAAGTGTGAATGGAGCTCAACAAGGTCAGTCATCATCATTACACAACAACAACAACAACAACAACCCCCTCATTTAAAACCACGAGGGGTCTTTAAACGCTGCTCTGCTTCAGATTGATCGTCTCAAACCAAACTATCAGCGCTCCAGAGTGAAGCAGCAGATCATGATTTTAACACTTCAACATTAAAGCTTCATGATTTGCAGAGCAGACTGCAGAGCTCCGAGCTGGCAGAGCCAAAATGCCAATAATTAGTCAGCTTATGTAGAAGAGCAACAAGAAGCAATTAAGTTTCGACTGGCTTCGGGCTGCACATCAGAACCAGAGCGACAGAGACTGAATTTAATTCTTTAAATAAGAGGTAATCATCTGAGCGCAGAGAGGCGGGAGTAGGGGAGGGGGCACAGACAGACGGACTGACTGAAAAAAAAAAACACTTATTTAAAGAGAAATCTGAACTTTCGGTTGTCTCTGAAAACGTCTCTGACTTGATTTCAGGTTCATGTGACGCGCGGTTGAGGTATCGGGTTCGATTAAGACTTTCCACCAAAGGTTACGAAGGAAATTGCTGGTGAATCAAGTTATTACATTTCCTCCATTAAAATTCAATCACAACCCAAATTATGTTTTCAGCCCGGGTTTTGTTCAATCAGATGAGCTCATGTTTGAGGTAAAGGTCAGATTCAGTGTTTCAGCGGCTCGCCGTGGTTACAGAATGAACCGAAACACTCCAACAAAAGTCATAATCAGTTTTTCTCTCGTTTTTCATGACAGGACACATTTACAGTAGCTGACTGGCTGTCTGCGGTTTGTTTTTACTGTAAATCTGTCAGTAGTGAGCACGCTTCAGGAAATGTGCGTGTTTGCAGTTTTTGGTGAAGCGAGTGTGTTTCTGTGTCAGAGTTAAAATCCATCTGAGGAGCAGAGACGCAGCATTACAAACTAATCCTGTCTGGGCACAGGGCAGCCTCTCCAGGGGCAAATTTTAGGCTTAGGATAACCCAGTTCATGCAGATAACCAGAGTGTGTGTGTGTGTGTGTGCGTGCGTGTGTGTGTGTGTGTGTGAGGGGGGCCTTTTCCAGTGTTCAAGCTTCCTTTTTTAAATCGGCCGACTGATTCAAAGTCAAAGGAAATTTCAGTGATGTGAAGTTCGAGAGTTTTCGCCTCCAAACATGAAGATCCTTTTCAGAGCAGAATCATCTCATTTCCTCACAGATTGACAACAAGTTTTGGAAATGCTCCTGCAGACACTAAAAACCAGAGGCTGCAAGGCGAGCTGGAATAAACTAACTCAAAGTGTCCATTTCAAATACCAAGTAACCTGTAATATCAAGTGCACCATGTTGTCTATGTTCAAAGGAGGTTTTTCTGTAGATATTTGTCATTATAAAAATCTCATTTTCATTTAAAACACATTTTAAAAAACAGAAATAAGTGTGCAGAGTCTGAATTTACAGAGTCGATCAGGTGTCTCCCTCACATTTAACCACCTAAGAGACAGTTCAAGTTCTGTCAAGTCCACAATGTACAGATTATGTGCAGCTGTGTAGACCTTTCTAGCACCAACTGTGTCACAATTTGGAGTCTACAGTCAGTCTATTTTCACCTTTCAATTATAAGGATCTATTTGATTTTTTTTCTTGCTCCTTTTGATTGATTTGCAGTGAATTACTGCAGTTGAAGGGTAGTTAAAGTTATGATGATTGTGCCGGCACAAGTCGTCATTGTTGCGTATTAATGTGATGAAGCCTTAGCTGGATTTTAGCGCCATCTTCTGGGTAAGATACAGCTACTTAACAAAATACCTCAACTTTTAAGACAAAACACACAAAAAATGTCTTTTTTCAAAGCTTTTTTCAACATGGGCTTGGATTGCAGTTTTGAGTGTTCCCGTAAAGAAAGCATGCAGTTAACATTTTGATTTAAGTGCTCTCAACTCGTGTCCTCATCCTTATAATTTTGCCAGAAATCCTGACTGAAGTAAAACCAAGAACTGAGGCTTTTTTAAACCTGAAACTATTACTCCTGTGCCCTTCAACAGCTTTTAAATAAGACATCTAGAGTCCACAGATTAGTGTGTCTTTGACATCTGTCAAACTGAAGGAGATCAGACTTGAAAAAGGACCCTAAAAGTTACCAAAGTCAGTTAATGACACAAAAATGATTAAAAATAAAGGTTAGAGTAAAAAAGTGAATCCTGTGTTTTGTGGGATAAAGTTGCTGTTAGAGTCTGGTGGATTTGAGGACAACGATGAAATATCTGAGGGGATCCACTTCTATGTTTTCAGGCCCTTCTTGGCCTGTCAGTTGTCAGTTGTTAGAAAGTTAGTGGACTTTTAGCAGGCACACTTTCCTCGCCTGGATTTTGTTGCATTCAGCAGCTCCAGCTAAAGCAGTCTACTGGAACAAGTCCAAAACTTGAAGTACCTTTTTAGACCCCAGAGTAGCTCAGTTTTGAAAAACACAGGAGCATGACGATGAGTGTGTTTTTGTATGAGACGAGGGGGAGGAGTGCATGTGTGTGTGTGTGTGTGTGTGTGTGTGTGTGTGTGTGTGTGTGTGTGTGTGTGTGTGTTTATGGTATGTGTCTCGTCACCTGGAGGCGTGTAAGCATCCATGGAGGTCTGCACCACCAGGGAACGTCTCTTTGAAGGCATCGGCACGGCCACCTTCCTCTCCACATGTCGAGCCAGCACGGCTTGCACCGCCTCAGTGTGGACGTCTGATGGAGAGCGAAACAGAGGGATTCATTCACACAAAGGGACAGACTGAATATTTCCTGGCTCCAGTTACAGCCGCACTGATTGTGTGTTTTTGTTCTGAACTCTTTGAATCAACAGACTGGAAGCAGAACTAAACCTGAATGAAAACCGGCCAAATATCATGTGCCACACACCTCAGAGACTGCAACTGCGTAAAAAAAACAGTGCTGAATATTAGAAAACGCAAAAATGTGACTCGTCTTAACCGGGTTCAAAAGTTTAAACATGGAACAGCTGAAGGACCTCTCCAGAACCAGCTGAAGTCTCATAAAGTTCTGGCCTGTTTCTGCAGCTTCCATCAGTTTTGCCACTTATTAAAACTGTCACTCAAATATTTCCCTAACATCATGGAAACGCTTCACTCTGTTAGGTCCTCATATATAAAAGACATCTGGCCATATTAACACATTGATTTTTGGGACAGAGGAGGAGAAAACCTCACTTATTTTCATGGTGTTGAGACCTTAAACAAACATGGAGGGGTTTAACTGCAGAGAACATTTGTTTTAGGGCCTGTGTCCATTTTCCTTTTACTGGCAGCAGCTCAGAGAACATTTGTTTTAGGGCCTGTGTTCACTTTCCTTTACTACTGGAACAGCTCTGTTCTACCTTAGACCAATGCAGTTTAATCCTGAGCAGGAACACCTCAGTGTCTCCTCTTTGTTGTCACGTCAATCACAGCTGAAAATAACTCAGCTTTAAGACGATGCTGTGCTCGTTACTGTAGCTCCACCTCATTAAAATCAGAAAGGGGAGGGAACTCTAATATCCACTTTTTCAACCACAACAGCTTAGGAATGAAACCTCCTAGCATTTTTAAGGGTAGTTTCCACTTCAAGAACTGCTGCTTCCTCAGGACATGATTCACCAGCAAAATGTGCTTTCTAAATTTAAAGTTATTAGTGCTGCCGGCTCAAAAGATCGCTGCTACTGGACACAGGCCCTAAAGGTCATTATGACCAGGCTGTGAAAGTCAAGACATTTACATACATTAAATGCACAGCCCATTGTTTTTGGAGGAATTCATAAGGAAATCGGTGGAAATAAAGTTTTTTACTCATAGGGATGTTTGAATTAGTGCACAGTTACCCGAATATAGGGCTGAGCGATATGGGAAAAAGTTTATCACAATAATTTTACTACCTGAATATAAAAACAGTTTCATTCTAACTTGGACTGAAGCTTTTGTTTCTACAGAGGACCAGGTCCCTCTCCATCTCATACTCCACGTGTCTGTGTCTGGTTGTGCAGGTTCAGTTTCTGTACCTGATCTGTAGCGCTCGTCTCGGGTCCCGGAGGTCCGCCGCCGGTGGAAACGGGCAGCAGAGGGAGGGCCGAGCGGGGCCCGATGGGACATGGGCCCTTCCATACCTACAGAGGCAAGCAGGCAGGCAAGCAGGCAGGCAGACAGACACACATATATATACAGACACACGCACACACACACACACACACAGATATGCACATACAGGTTTCACAAAAGCAATAAGAAGAGTGCAAAAAAGGAAAAACAAACATGGAGATGAATTGGAACGGCAGAAAAATCATATTTTTCTGACTTCATAAAACAAAAGAATTAAAAAACAACATGAAATCAAAGTCGAATAATGTGGCAGGTGTGTTGGTGCCCTCCGACAGAGTGTCCCTGAGTAATTTATGACCCATCCCTGTGATGGAGAATAACCCAGAAAGTGTGAGGGGTGGGAGTGTGTTTTAGTGGCAGTGAGGCGTGTGTGTGTGTGTGTGTGTGTGTGTGTGTGTGAGTGCAGAGGCGGAGAGCGACTGAGATACAGAGGAGCAGGCCCAAGCTGAGCTCGAGGGAGTCTTAACCTACATTCACTAATGGCGGTGGCTGAAGACTGAATCGATTGAGGAGAGTATCATTGTACTGTATTCGTCATGATACCACATCGATCTCCTCGTGGTGTTATGGGAATATTTTAGCAGAAAGGGGAGGGGCTGTGTGTGGGGAGGTCAGAGGTTGCTAAATTACCTCCAGCATGTGGAACATATGCCCTGATCAGCTTTTGCCTCTTCTTCTCATAACCCTTCTGAGTGATGTCCCCTGCAAACAGATAGAGATAATAGATAGAGAGTGAGAGAGCCAGCGACAGCGGTGTGGGCTGATTTTAGTATTTACTCAGAAAATTACTCATGAAAACAGCTTTTAAGGTTGATCAAATCTCTTATTGTGAGGACAGTGCTGGTGGCTTGTTGGACTGTCACCGTATGTAAAGCACATGAACCTCAGTTTGAGACACTCGTCTCCTGTCAGCCAACCTTTTTCTGTCTCTCCCAGTCTTTTAATGTTTCCATCTGTACCGTTAAAAGATAAAATGTGAAACAGAACTGAAACAACAGAAAAAAATGACGCGATGAAAAACGATGGAAATGATGAGTTTGACAAAAAGGATGAAGACACGTGTTAATGAGGAGTGAGGGAAAGGGTTAGTCGACGTCCACCTGCAGCAGCTCCCATCAGAACTTCACCTTTATATTCAACCTGAGCACCAAGAACCCTGGATCACTGAACAACGCAAACAACTCTCAACACAAACTCACAGATTTCATGCTTTCTCCTCTGCACTAGATAAAACAGACTTTGAGCAGACAAGCAAACTCAACTACAGACTTGGAGTGAGGGTCACCATGTAACCGAAAGACAAGGTAAAGGGCCAAATATAAAGGGCCAAGGCTGGCATTATTCTCATGTCCAGAATATTTTATATATTTTAATTCATCAATTTCTCAATTTTTTATATTTTATTTATTTTTTTCTATATTTTTTTATGTTTTTTATTTATTTAGATCATGGTGTGGGAATGAGGGGTTGGGCTGGGGTAGATTTGGGTATTCTTTGTTTCTAATCTTCCTTTTTCCTGTGTAAAACTCTTTGCACTACATGGTTGTGTATAAAAAGTGCTATAAAAATAAAGACTGATTGACTAATTTCTATGTTTTTTATATTTCTATATTTTTCTATATTTTTTATTTATTTCTATATATTTTACTTTTTCTATATTTTATTTATTTATTTCTATATTTTATTTTTTTATATATATTTTATATATTTTTATTTATTTATCACAAAATTTATATATTTTCTAAATTTTTTTTATTTATTTCTTCATTTTATATTTTCTATGTTCTTATTAATTTATTTCTATATTTTTCTATATTTTTTATTTATTTCTATATTTTTTATAAATTTCTATTTATCTATTTCTATATGTTTTATATTTTCTATATTTTGAATTATTTATCACTATATTTTTATATTTTATATATTTGTTTATTTATTTCTACATGTTTTATATCTTCTATATTTAAATTTTTACATGACCCTACAGTTTGGTATCCTGACAGGCTGAATCTACTGTAATCGCTCATACTCAAAATACCCAAATATGTTCAAATGATGAACAAAGACGAGTCAGCAGAGTGCTTCTCTTTAGTCAGAGTGAGACTCTGTCCTTGCGTTTACCATCTTTGCAGTGCAGTTTATGTAAAGACAGAGAGCGGCTCTGCAGCTCGGTTCATACTCACACCGTTCTTATCACAAAACTCTTCAAACTTAGAGGAAAACTCTTCAAATGTAGGTCTGTTCTCTTCATACTCAGCAGCTTCATAAGTCTGTGGATTCATTTAACATCATAAACAACATCAGTAAGTGTTTACGAATGAGAGCACAGCTGACATGGATGACAACAGAGTGTGCCAAAACAACAACCTCTCAGGATTTGCAGATCGTGGGCAGATTCTAATCCTTCATTACAGACCAGAATAAAACGCTTTTACAGCTGCTGATCGGTGTACAACCACATTTTTTCTGCTTCTCTAAAACAATAAAAAGAAGAAAACCGAATACAAGAGTTGTAATGCATTTTCTAACCCCTGTTTAACTTAACTGAAACTTAATTAAGCATGCAACCTCCTCAAATGATCCTCACCTCGATGTCTCGGCTCCAATCTCACTTCTTGATATGATAGTCGGACTGTGAACAACACGGTGCTACAGCAGAGACAAGCAGAGCGGTCAGTGTGGAGGAGCAGTCATGGACAAGCTCATTACAATCCCTGAGGGGGGGCTTTGCTGCCTTGGCGACCACTGCTGCCCCCTCCCCTCTCAATCACAAACACCACCTGCCAATCACAGCACCACAGCCGAGCAAATGTTAGCCGACAAGTCCTTGTTTGCCCGCACTGAATTCTCCTAAACTGCCTGACACCAGTTTTCTAATTATCGATCATTATTTGAAGCCATAAAGACGTCTGACTCGCCAACCACGGGGGATCAAATCAGACACAACAGGGGAAGAAATTCAGCAAAAGACGAGTGGGCACGCTGGTGTGATAATAAGCTACGAGGAAGACAGCTGACAGATGTGCATTGTTTTATCACACTGTGAGAATTATTATTCCGAAGAAAACAACTGACAAACCCCACGGATGAGATCCAAATCTACGTTTTAACGACTGTTTGTGCCTTTTGTCAGGAAGTGCTTAACATGTCGCTGAATCCCTTTATGTCTGATCTTGTAAAAAAAAACGAGTCTGTACAAAAGGTACGAATCACTCAGTGTGGTATTTGTAAAAGCTCAGTAATTCCTTAAATCAGCTGCTCACTGAAGAGGCAACGGTGCATGTGTTGGGGACTATTTTCAGCGTTGGTTTAATCCACATTTGGTGCTCTGGTGAGTATTTGGGGCAGCAGGAGGATGTATGTGGGATGGAGTTTATATATACACTGCAGTGAGAGTGTTTTAATGCCGATACATGAACCTGTGCAACAGTGTAGGACCTGAGAGAGTTATTTATTAGTTTTGGAAAACGTGGAGCTCTACGGCGCAGAGAAGACAGAAGACTTCAGGCTTTAAATACTCAAACAACACCTGTTAGAAGATTTACCCACTGTGGGCTCAGTGGGATTTATTGACAGTGAGTAAAGAGAGAGCATTGGACCAGCTTAACTTCTTAAAAATACTTTCATCTGAGAGCCGTTCCTCATCTCACTCAGTGGTTTTTTAATCTCAGATGAATCTTTTTGCCTCTTTTTATGACCCTCTTGTTTGGTTTTGCAGCTTTTATGAAGCGCTGTAAAACTTCAGGATGAGAAACAGCTTCCATAGTCAAGATGGTGTTATGATTATCATTGTTATTCTCGTTTAAATGTGATCATCGTTTTGTTGTTGTTATTATTACATCTCTCAATCACATCGATTTTATCTCAAAGCCAAACTAGTAAATTTTTTCTGGAATAAAGAGCCAAAATACAACTCTACAATTACTTCCTAATGCATACAAATGTTTAACATCAAATATTCGGCTATTTCTTTCTGTTTCTGATCCCCATAGTGTGAATATTTCCCAAGAGGACAAGACCAAAGCAGTTTGAAGACAGTGTTCAGCAGCCGTCAGGTACATTCCTGCCAACACTTCCAACTTGTGAACACGCTCAACGTAAACATTACCGCCACGAGGAGAAAAGACTCAGGCTACAGTGATCATGCTTTTGGCGTTTTTATAGCAGTGGATCTGTTACGACTGTATTCAGTTGTTGAGAACACAGGATTTTATCATGTTAAGAGGAGGGTATTATGCTTTTCCACATTTACAACAAAAAAATGCAAAGTTACAAAGTTTGGCGTCTGTACAAGATGTATGTAAATGTTCAAATCACGAGGTAAACGTATGTTGACATAATCCTAGAAAATAGATGTAAACTGCTCTAAACAGTTTGCTGGGCGATCACACGAGATCTTAATGAGACTCACTAAAATGCTGCGTCAGCGTGGAAGGCTCTCCTTACTAGTGCCCGACCGATTTATCGGCGAGCTGATTAAATTTGCCAATTTTGGCACGTATGAGACTAATCGCTTATCGGCCAAAACTCGACGATTTTTGCAGATATTTTCAGAAATAAAATATGGAGAATAAGATTCGGTTTCACTTAAAAAATGTTCCGCCATTTGAAAAGTTCCCCGACTTATCCTGTAGATGGCGCAGCGACCTCATGACAATAGTAGTTGAAAACGCTTTTTCTGGTCTGACCGAAATTTTTAAAAACCGTATGATTAATCGGTAATAGGATTTTTTTCGGGCCCAAAATATCCATATCGGTCGGGCCCTACTCCTTATAGGTTCATTTGAGCTTCTAGCAAATCTGAACGGCCTGACTCTAACAGTGTGTGAGGTGACATCCACAGCAGAGCAGGTAAAACTGATTGACCATAAATGATGGGGGAAGGATAGAGTCTTGATAAAATGCACAATACCTCCTCTGAAAAGGTGATAAAGCCCTGATATAAAACTCCCTCATATCAATAAAGTCATACCAGCCATTTATGAATAATCTTGAGCTGCTGCTGTGCTCAACTTGTCTGAGCTATCTGCTGTAGATCTGATACCAGACAGATGGACATCTAGAGAGACCAAGAGCTATGTAACAGTAGGTTTCCCTTACTGTACTGAAAATGATCCGAACTGAGACTTAAAACAGAAGTATGAACCAAACTCCTCCCCTTTTATATTCCTGGTTTAAAAATCTCTCTATGTGCCGCGTCATCATAACACTGCCAACCTGACTTTTTTTTTGCCCTTTTGGGAATAATAATCTCATCTTTTTCCAGTCCTACTTACTAAAGCCATGCTGCACAAAAAAAATCTAAACACAATCCATAAACAGGATCCACCTACGTGAAGAAATCTGCAGACTCTTTTCCAGCATCCATCAGATTTTCTGAAGCGTCTTGTGTCACCTGTTTTATTTGTTTGAAAGTGTTGTGCATCGTCTGAATCTGTTGTTTCATCCCACATTAGAAGAATTATCACACATGAGCGCTGACTCAAATACTCTGTTTTCCAAAAGATGAACTCAGCTGTCTGCACACAGATTGTTGTTTTGGTGCAGGGGGGGGCACAGCTCCAGGGAGCGCAGCCAGCTCTGCATATATAATTAGATATGGCTGTAAACCAATATTTACAACAAAATGAGAGTCGACTCTGAAAAGAGGAAGAGCATTTTTCTGAGCTTCATAAAGAAAATATTTTTGGGGAAGTCTCCGGACTACAAATCAACTCACTAATCTCCACCGAGCACGCTCCGTTACCAATTCATTTTCCACAGTCTGGCTATTTCTGCAAAACTCAATCATGCACAACAGCGCGGCGCAAGAAATAATACAAATAAAAAGAGGGACGTTATAGAGTCAGGCCTGCTGCAGAGAGGAGAGGAGAGGAGGAAAGAGGGAGGAAAACGGTGAGAAAAAAGGAGTGTCCACTATGTGAGGAGGATTTCATGAGCCTTTAACAGACAGACAAGGAAGAGGAAGGAAGGAGAGGAAGGAAAGGAAGGAAGGAAAAGAAGGACGGAAGAAGCATCAAGAGGGAAGGAGGCAAAGAAGAAAGGTGGCAGAAAAGAAGTGATGAAGGAAGACAAGAACTGATGGAGTAAAGGAAGAATGGAACAAGGAAAGGAACGATTGAGGAAAGGAAGGATGGAACAAGGAAAGGAAGGAAAGGGAGAAGAAGAGTGGAACAAGGAAAGGAACAGAAAGGATGGAACAAGGAAATGAAGGATTAATTGAGTAAAGGAAAGATGGGACAAGGATATGAAGGAAAGGAAGAAGTTGTTAGGAAGAAGGGTGGAGAAGGAAAAATGGAAGGGAAAAAGGAACTGAAGGAGGGAAGTAAGGAAGAATTAAAGGGACAGGAAATGAGGGAAGAAATGGAGGTTGAAGGAAGGAAAAGAAGAAAGGATTGAGAAAAGTAGCAATGGAAGAACAGAGGGATGAAATACTAATTTAAAGATAAAAGAATGATGGGAAAAAGAGATGAAGAAAGGTAAAGAATGAAGATAGATAGATAGATAGATAGATAGATAGATAGATAGATAGATAGATAGATAGATAGATAGATAGATAGATAGATAGATAGATAGATAGATAGATAGATAGATAGATAGATAGAGGTGTATTTTTATGCTAATAAGGTGAGAATGAACAGACTTTGTATTTCACAGTCGAACTGTGGAGGACGGCCAGAACATCTGGGTCCAATCTGCTCATCTGTGCTGCTTCTGCTGTGTGTGTGTGTGTGTGTGTGTGTGTGTGTGTGTGTGTGTGTGTGTCTGTGTGTGTGTCTGTGTTGAATATGAGTGAGGCCTTTCTCTGATCAACCGCAGCATAACAACATTCCTGCCTGTTCTCTCTCTCTCTCTCTCTCTTTCACACACACACACACTCTCTTACACTCGAAACACACACACACACACACCATCCATGGGGAGACGCCATCTTCCACTTGCAGCGCAGCAGAGCAGGGAGGGAGTTGCCTAGCAACGGTACTCCAGGAGAAGGCTCGGAGACGGCCATCTTGGATTTGGAGCGTCAGATGTGAGAAGTGGGCTAATGATACCTGCAAGGATGAGTGCATATGTTTGTGTCTGTGATGTGTGTGCGGTGTTGTTTGCGTGTGTGCATGTGATGTAAGTGTGTGTGTGTGATAGCGGTGTGTATTGACAGCCTAATTACTCTGCTCCTTCTCCTCCTGCTCTCTGACTCTGGGCTCTTCTAATGGCACACAGCTGAGAAAGAATCGATAGTGGTCGAGTGCAGATTGGAGTTTTTCCGCCCGCTGAGGACCAAAAAACTCTGAAAACTCATTTTAGCAGGTTCAACCTAAACCTGTGATGTCCCTGCTGTGAACACATCATCCCGGATGCTTCTGGTTTTCTCCAAAACAACAATACAGGCCTGGGAGATCTTCAGGGGAAACAAACAGACTCTCTGTTCAAATCTAATCTGTTTGTTCATATTTCTCTGCAGCAACCCGAATCACAGATATACCCAGGATAGATGTCAGAGAAATCACAGATATACCCAGGATAGATGTCCAAGAAATCACAGAAATACTCAGGAAAGATATCCGAGAAATCACAGATATACTTAGGATAGATATCCGAGAAATCACAGATATACTCAGGATAGATGTCCAAGAAAACAACATTTTAAAGTTGATTAATCTGCTGCAAGAAAAACTCCCTGTCACGGCCCAGGATGTGAACCAACACAGTAGTTTGAAGCAGAGACTCAGAGTCAGAGTTAAATTGTGTTACTGTACTAATCCAGACAGCTGCAGGGGTGTCATTCGTCAACACAGCTGTCAATCATGACAATCAAACCTCCTTGAACAAAATCCAATAACCAATCAAAACTATGATTTTTAGAAACTTAAGAATCAGCATAATAAGAACTAAATTCGTCCCATCTGTTTACACGGAGGAGGCGGGCTTTATCACCAACACTGCAGCCAATCAGCAGAGAGAGCTCCAGGTGTTTTCTCCAAACTTTCAGGATGTCAAACTTCTTATTCGGGCTGTTCCAGCGTCTGTCTGTCCTTGACTTATTTTCATCTTAGTTTGAATTCTGATCGTTTGTCCTCTGCTGCCTTCCTCCTCAACATCTCGCTTTATTCGATCTCTCCCCCTCTCGTTCTTATCGCATCATCATCAGCAGACAGTCCACCCACTAGGCCACCATGGTAACCCAATCTACCTCCAGCAGGCGCGCCATACGCACACACACACATGCACAAATAAAGGACTGCGTCATGTGAAGCGGGGACCTTGAACTGTCACCCTCACATGCAGAGGCCTGGGCTAGGTCCACAACTCTGGAGTCTGCTGCAAGACAACACACACACACACGTAAATACACAGTTATAGTAGTAGCCAAGTGTCTCACAGTGGACTACGGAAAATGTCAGTGAATTTTGGAAAATGACGACACTTTCTTGAGTCTGATTTTGTCTAAAATCATAAAGTTATGATGACTTTGGAACAATGTACTACACAAAAAATCAAAATAACCTCAGATTGAGGAGGTCTTAACCACTAAATAACTTCAAGTTTTGCTTCGAAACTTCTGGACTTATTTTCAGACATTACTGACGAGGAGGATATGTCCGTCCATGGGCCTTAAGTAGATTTTCAACATGATATAGATTATTCTTAAGCTTCTGCTTCACTCTCTAGGTATTCTTCCTTTTTGTTTTTATTTGCATGTTTGTGTTTTCTCTTTCAATTCAGTGAAAATCATCATTTCTACATCACAGTTTTACCAAGTATACAACCCATGGGTCTGATTATTTCTCTGACTTCTGACATGCCTTCTAGGGCTGGGCGATATGGGAAAAAGTTTATCACGATACTTTTTTTTTTCATATCAGTCGATATTTTTTCTTAAATTTTTTTTCTTAATTATTACATTTATTTAAATTATTAATATTAGGACCCTTATTGTTATAACTGCATTTTTGCACTTTTGTCTTGTCTGTGATGCTGCTGTGACAAAAAAATTTCCCCCATGGGGGATCAATAAAGGAATATTCTATTCTATTCTATTCTATCGATATATCACGAAATAAAAAAAGGAACTGAAGAGTGTTTATTGGTAGCATGTCTTTTACAATACAATAAGCTACTGCATCTATGAGGTCTTTGTGTCTCTTTTAGTAGTGGCGCTGCTGAATGACTGTAGGGGAAACACTGAGGTAGAACTATCTGAGATAAAAACTTTTTTTTTTTTTTTTAGATGTGGCCGCTTTTATTTAGCCGTGGCGGCGCCCCACGATCAATTACATGTAGAGGAAACCCTGCATGTTTTATATTGATATTATAGAGAAATAATTTTTTGATATATATCGTTATCATTTAATCTCTCGTGAACATGTTAGCACACATCTGAAGTAGCAAAAACAACCATTTTAAAACAGAGATATCAATCACGCTACATAGAATATTTGATGCTTTTTATGCTTAAGATCCTGTGAAGATTTCCGACATAACCAGGGACCAGTTGACTGGAAACCTGCGTGCATGGCATCTACCTTGTATACATTATAAAGCAATGTCTGGTGCATCTGTCCCTGTCAAATAAACAAGTACATCAAATATCAAGATTGGGAGCTCAATGTTATTACTGATGTCTTTCTTTATTATTTGACACTTTTGTGGCTAAACCTTTCATAAGTCGATCAATAACGATGGTATTGATGGGCTGCTGCAGGTCAGCAAGAGTGCGAGGCCAAAACAAGCCGGCGTTTGGTGCTTTCAGTCAATAAACGACACTGACGATCCATCAATTATTAAAATTAGACTCAATTTTCTGCTGAACGCCAAATCTATTCACTGCTTCAGCCGCAGTAGTGACACCTCCCTGCACATCTCTCCCACTCCTCACTTTGATCTAATTAAAAGGTTAAAGCGTCAATTTGTAACAGACAGAAACACAAACAAACAGAGAGACGCTGTCAATGAGCTGAGAAATGTCTTTTCATTTGGGAAAACCATCAGCACTGCGAGAGCATGAGGAAGATCTGAGCAAGAGTGCAGCAATATTTTGGAAAACAGAATTTAGACGGATGAGGGTGTTTAAATATGACTGATTTCAGGTTAAACATGATGTTTTCATACATTCGGGGCATAAAGCAGAGTTCACGTCCCTCAGCAGCCCTGATGATGGTTTATTTTGTCACTAATTAATACATAAGTTGTGTGAAATGATGATATTGATTTTCAGTCAATCAGGACTCCTTTGTTCTTAGTTTCCTTAGTCATAAAACACAACACACCCACAGATGCAGCCCACAGCGATGCTTCATCAAACTACAATAAGCGGACGTCATCTCCAGCGCATGACTGACAGCTGCTCTCTTTTGATAACACACCAACGCAGGCCTCTCTGAGCTGTCACTGGTTTGTTTCCAGCTCCAAACCGGAAACACATGGCTTTTGTTCTTCTGTCAATTTTAGAAAAACGTTACTGACCAGAACAGGGCGGGACAGAACTTCAGCGCGAGGCAGACCACTGTGATGGGAAAGTTGGCTGTAAATGTCTGAACGGATTCAGTCTTAAACTGTGTTTTAAACATTTGATCCTTAGTGTTTTCATTTTTGTGCTCATCCTTGTTGTTGTTGTGTAGTTTGGCTTTTTTAAACAGGCTTCATGTGAGATTTCACCTGCCCAGGTGAGATTAACACAGGCAAAGTGATTCTGTTTTTTCTGTAATCTCATTTTGTACCATCTGCAGCCCTCCTCTTTATCTCTGCCTTTTCTGAAACATCTGAGTTTACGTTCACACTGCAGGTCAATTCCGATTTTTAATCATCTGTGACACATATTTGATTTTTCATGTAACAGTGCAATTCTGATTCTTTTCAAATCTGACCCAGGCCTCTTTTGTATGTGGATATATATTGGATATGTATCCGATGTGACTGCAGTGTGGACGCTCAGATCGCGTTCATCTGACCTATACGTCATCAATGTGCGACAAACGTCACCATTGTTCAACAACACAAACAGGCGCGGAAAGCAACGGCGGACGAGGGAACGGAGAACAGCCAGTCAACATGCTTTGTGCGCATGCAGGTGACTTCACAAACGCATTCCATTCCCATTAGATGCCGCATTCGTCGTTGTAATGTGAACGACTGCACAAAAAGATCGGATTTAACAAAAAATCCAAATTGTGCATCATAACCTGCAGTGTGAACGTAGCTTAAGTGTTGTATTGTAGGATTGCTAAAAGCTTTTAAACCTTTTGTTTCTCGAAGTAGTGATTCTTTTTTTGTTGAACAATAAATGTCTTGTTTTTTTTGTTTCACTTCTTATTCTAAGACAATATCAAACATCTGAAAATATATGTTTAAAAGTCCAATTAAAGTTTATTTTCTCTGGACTGAAGCATTAGAGAAGGTTATGAGCAGTTCTTATGATTATTTTATTGGATTAAAAACATCACTCTGTCCTCAGACCAAGAAAAAACAGATCCATGTAGCGGTAAAATGGTGCTTAATTTTGGACAAACAAAAGAAACATCTTTGTTTTACTCCACGCGTTTAACTTTTGCTTGTTTAACTCAGTTAAAGTCGTCACTGCTGTTTAGTATCAGAATTACTAATTGGTTATTAAAAGAATTATCAATACTCCTTGGCCTGACGTTGGTCAAATGATGGGTCTTGGTGGTCGTCACTTTGTCTTTTTACTCGTCAGTTTGTTTGAATCTAAATTTGAGTTTAAAAGACTGAGACATTTGTCACTTTGATGGAAATATCGTCAGGATTAAGATTAATTTTCTGACTCAGACTATCTGATGCTGCCACCCTTTGAGGATGAATAATCAGGATCAGATGTGAAATATATCAGCTGATCCTTTACCACTAAAAGAGATCAGCACTGATTTTACTGCAGATACACCAGACAACATATTTCATCATATATAGCTGCCCACTTTTCTCACAGCTCTAGTTAAAGATTACAAAGTCATGCACTTCAGGAAACACTAACACCAATCTGCTGCTTTTTCTGCTTTTTTAACCTCTTAAGACTTTCAATCATCGTTTCTATCACTGATCAAAATAAGAGCTTGAAGTAGAAGGTGGTGCTTTCTGTTCCTGTGCAGAGTGAGGCACTGCAGAAACAGAAAAACAAGGCGACACTGACCTAAAATGCAGCGCTTCAGGCTACAGATGTATATAGTTGTTGTTGTTGAACGTACACACAGAAGCCTGAGAGAGCATTAATGAGGAACACACCAGCGCTGCAATGGTGCTTTTTTTCTTTATCTGCAAAAATCTGGAGGAAGGAGAGGAATGTGCCGTCAGTGTCACACCTGAGCAGCACTTAGTTGATTCAAAATGCACATGTGGAGATTAAAAATCACTTCCTTTTGTTTCTGTTTCATCTTGAACACCTTACATAAATCCCTCAGCAGCTCCATCATGTTTGGACCCCAGCGCTGAGCTTTGTCTCATCAGACCAGAAGGGGAACAAACTTTAAATCCATCCACTATCGTTCGACAATGATATACGCCTCTATGAGATGACACTGAACCTTCTGAGCACACGAGTATTCCCAGCGGTTAGCCAAACACAACTTCAAGCCAAGACATCCTTTTCCCTGACCTGCATTGTTGACAGCGAAGCAAGGTTTGTCAGCAAAATTACAGCTGTCATTTCTTGGGTCATTACATCCCTCAGAGCAGCACCTGTTCATCTGTTTGTGGTGAGTCTTAGATTTGGTGTAAACAGTAAGTCACACAGAGGATTACTACAGCAGCATGGACCTGGAAAACAAACTGAATCTCTTAGATTAGGTTTTAAATTTCTGCAAATAACGTCAAAAAGTGACAGAAAACATCTTTTAAAATGTTTCTTATCAAATGATGGTTTAATCTGATGCATTCAAGGAAGTCAGGAAATCTTAACACTTGTTTTTGTGCCGCTAATTTAAGCAGATTAGCATTTTGATTGTAAATGTCTGTAAACGGAGGCTGAGGTGGATTTCTTTCTACTTCATTTTACCTCCATACAGACTGTTTTTCCTGCACAACATGACTCAGACAACAAATGTAAACCAGATCATTTGAATACTAAAATCCAGACCCCTGCACACAAACCCCACATTTTCTGTCGAGTCTGTAAATACAGATTACCTCTGAACCAACAGCGTGTTTTGGCAGCTAAAGAGGCCATCCTGTAACAAACACCTCGACCACCAACAGCTCTGTTCGTCCCATCTGCATAAGACGATGGGACAAACGGCTACAGTCTCCTAACAGCAGCGAACAGCCTGGAGGTCACAGCCACACGGTGGGGATGATGTGATTTGGGCGACACTAAGCGAGGGAGCAGCACAGAGGCTTATCTGCCACAGCTCGGCTGATTGCTGAGTTTATCTAATAAACAGGTGGAGCGCTGGCTCTCAAAGACCAAGACGGAAAAGTTTGATCCCGAGGCGCTACCCATCAAACCTGACAGGAAATTGTTGCCTGAGGTTTATTACTCTGCATTTCAATAACAGCTGTGTCCTCAGACACTGGGATTATTCACATAAACAGGTCTTTTGCAGTGCGGTCTGAAACTTCCTTAATCCTATTAACACTTTTCTTTCATGACAGAAGTCAATCTGTGAAATGATCTTTGATTTTTTAAGTCAGGACGCTTCCTCTCATCAACTATTTGTACCAATAACCCAAATTATCTTTAAAAAGTAAAGATAATAAATCCTAGTGCACAAACATGCGCATTTGTTGCTCCTCCTAAACATTTTGTTGTTAAACTGTAGACCACCTGCTTCGAAAATGTGCAAACTTGTTGCTCTTCTTGAACAGTTTTTGATTTATCAATGACACTTTGACGATATTTGCCAATACTGGAATTCAATGGATAACTTCCCGATAAATTCATCACTGAATTAAAACAGATCTACACCGATAATAAACCAATTCAAACTTGTTAACAGAAGGTAAATGGACAGTCAAAGCTACACCCAGTGGTCATCTCCATTATAGATTTACCTCCGCTTTATCAAAACTATAAGTTTCTGGTTCTTTCTATAAATCTTCATGGTACTAACGATGCGTTCAGGTTACCTCAGAAGTCAGAAGTCCGAGCTGAAAATGACATCACACTCGAGTTACAAGCATTTCAGTTACCAAGTCAGAAAAAAGCTAAATCGGACTACATCTTCAAATCTTACTTTAGCGCTTGTCTTGTCCGAATAACTTCTGTAGATGTAGCCATCTTGTTTCCGCCTCTGATTTTGCGTTTTTCTGACTTGGTAACTGAAACTGAAACTCGGGTGTGACGTCATTTTCAGCTCGGACATCTGACTTCCGAGGTAACTCGAACGCAGCATGAAACACATCCTCATAGTCTGAGAAAGTTTGACAACCAAATGAAGTTCATCTCACTGTGTTGAAGCTGGAGCATCAGGTGTTTGTTATTTTGTGGTTCTCGTCGACACAAATGAGAAGCAGTTTTTAAAATACTCTATATAATCAAGTAGCTGTTTTAGTATTTGACAGACCTTATATTTTCAGATCTGAAGTATTAATCTGATCAATGATCAACTATCAAACTACTGAACAAAAAAAAACAACTAATGTACGTTTCAAGAATCCTTTCATTTGTGGTGTTTTCAGTGTGTGTGATTGTTAACTGTGGATGTATACTAACAACACTCATGGTAAAGACTGATCCACTCTCAGGTAAAACAAGCTCAGCTTACAAACTGAATAAATCTCCGTCTTAATTCGAAGCCTCTTCAAAAAGCTGTCATGCATTCTTCCTGCACACCAGGCTCTTATTTTGAAGTGACCACCGACAGCCTAGCACTCTACCTAAGTGAACAACACACACACATACAACAGCAGCAGCAGCAGCAGCAGACACACTCTCAACCTCTGTTTTGGAGGAGTGCCAGTGACAGACACACACACTGACACGTCCATCACCCTGTCAGTAGACCTGTCAGGTTGTCCTCCTGCTGTGATCCACCAATAACCCTGCCAGTCCCAACGCACACAACAAAACACACACACAACACCCATCACACACACCTGAGTGTCAGGAGTGTTTCATGCTGTCTGACGTTCGGGCGTGACGTTTCTTCTTCCTCCTCCCGCCGTCTCCATCATTAATAACATCTGTCAGCCGCGGGTTCTGCTCTGATAAACACTCTCAGCTGGATTAGGAGCTCCACTCGGCCTGCAGCTGCCTCACTTTTACCTTCCAGAGTGTGTGTGTGAGTGTGTGTGTCACTGCAGTGGGAGGAAATAAAGGCTTTTATGAATGATGAGTCTGATCAGAAGGAGAGGGGGCAGTTTGATCTGTCGAGGTTTGACTGCTTCAAAGGCTTGTGCTGCTGTTTTTTGGGGGGGATGAAAGCTGCAGATCCCCGATTGTCTGTATGTATAAATTTCACCCTAATTTATTCAGATTTTGCCCCAGAATTTACACACTGGAAGAGTGTTTAATCTTGACTGTCACAGGACTGTATCTACAGCTGCACATCACTGCAGGTGATGCTGGTTTTACTGCAGACCTGACAAGAGTGACGGACGAGGAAGATTTTTCCCACATAATGAACTCTAGTCTGCTGCACCACACCACCCGAGCTCTCACGTACATTTATCCACAATAAATGAAACATTTCAGGCAACAGGGTGGCTCACATCCAGCGTGTATCTAGGCTTCTCCCTTCACTATGTAGGCCTTCCCGAGCCTGTATGAATAAAATATGCCATCCCCATTATATAAGGCAGAAATGCCCTCTTCTTATCCGAGATGCCGAAATAACAGCAGGGTGGATTGCTGTGATTGGGATTCAACGGCCCATAGAAAGAGAGTTTGTGCATCTGTCCATGGTGGAGGAAAAGAGGAAGAGGGAGAGGAAGATGGGAGGGAGGGAAATATTCCCAGGCATCCTCTTCATCCTCAGCTGCTCTGCAGGCCCCAGAAACACAGAGGCAGGGGGCTGAGATCACGGGCATCAAACGGCAAACTGCCTCTCTGTGCATCTCTGTCACGCACTGCTATTATTAACCCCACTCCACACACACACACACACACACGCAGCATCACACACAGCATCACACGCGCACACAGGTAGGCTGATTGTGTCAACATCTCAAGGTCAAACAACGGGCTGGATTCAGACCCAGATCGGGCGGACAGGCCCGGTCGGGTGTTTGTGATTTCTCGAAGCTGCACCTCCGAGGAGACAAAGAGCAGCGGCCGAATCCCGCAGTGTGTTCCCGCTCAGCCCTCACCCTCTCCCGGCTACAGAGAGTTGGCCAGGCCGGTTCCTGGCTGACAAACATCTGGATGGGAGGAGCGGGAGGGGACGAGAGGAGGAGGAGGAGGAGGAGGATGAGGAGGGGGCCGCAGGAATGAACGGTTAGATTCCGTTAGTAGGAAGGCTCCCGGTGTGGATGGTGATGATGATGATGGTGGTGGTGGTGATGAGATAACGGGATAACGAGGGAAAACAGGAGAAGGAGGGGGAAGAGAGAGGGGGGAGGAGGAGGTTTGCGCTTTTTTCGCCTAAATTTAATCATTTCTTACCTTCTGACAGCTCCAGCTCCAGCTCCGCCAGCCGGGCTCGGATCTCCAGCGGTATCGGCGACGCCTCACGGTCCGCCATTCGTCTCGTGCTGAAGAAAACACCTCTCCCGGTTAAACCGCTGCCGCCTCCTCCACCGCCGCCGCCGCTGCTGTTTCTACTCCTGCCTCCTCCTCCTTCGCTCGGAAAGGGAGAGCTGCTCCTCGGCGGCCCCTCCTCGGCGGAGGCGCGGAAAGACTGCGAGGCGTCGAGGGAGAACAAAGAGGATAAATCTGGCTCTCGTTTTTAGCGGAGGCCCGCCATGGCGCCCGGCTCCTCGAATCGTTAAAGTCCCCGGTCACACGGTCGGTTCTCGACGCTGCCGTTGCGGTGTTTGTAGCGGTGGTAGTGGTGATGATGATGATGAGGCTCGCGCAGCCCCACAGTCAGAGCCGTTTGCAGCTTCTTGCCGCTGGTGTCACGTGACTCGACGAAAGAAGGCGGGGGGAGGGGGGATGGCAGCGCTGATCATCAACGACAGGGGGCGCAGCGAGCAACCACACCTACAGAATGTCAATGTACAGCAGTCGATGGAATCTATCCTTAATACAAACGTTTTATACGAAGAAATAAAAATATAATTACCAATATATCCTTACTTTTCTGAATTATTTATCTTTTTACTTTCATCTCTTATCTCTTTTTCGGCTTTACTGTCTTTTTGGCTTTTGTTATACATGTACATTTTTCTTAATTAACCTTTTAGGCCTTTTATTGTTTTATCTCTTGCTCCTTTTTATCATTACTATTATTATCAGTATTGCTGATAGGTTCGATGTAAGGTGGTTGGATAATTCTAATGATGAGAAACAGCAGGATGGAGATCGATAACTTTCTTAGCAGCACTTTGACTCTCCAGCCATCTTCTCATCCACACAACATAACCCAAAAACTTTTAACATCCTGGACAACCCTGATCACATGTCACAGCACTTACCAATCAAAGGCTAGAACCTAAAAATAAATGTAAATGAACCTCAGAAACTCATTCTGCATAATCTGCTAACCCTAACAGAGCTGCAGAGGAAAGCATTTAAACTTGTAAATATGAACCTGTCAACATTTTGTGAATAGTTCTCTGTACGAATTCTATAAACACAATTTCTTAGCTTGACTTAGAGACTGTTAACTGTAGTAGTTAACAGAAATGTATAAATTGACATCATTGTTAAAGCTTACATCTATCTCATTGCTTGTACGGTTTACCTGTCCAACTTTCTGCTCAAAGTTTTCTGAATAAATACAAAAAAAAACATGCGTGGCACTCATTTTTATTTGCAGATCAACTTTCCTGCACCGAATCATGCTAAATTTATAAAATATAACATTAATCCTCTTACCAAACCCAAACAAAGTCTGGAGTCACCCTTCATTAAGCAATATTTGTTCGTCCTCTGTGTCGCCCTGACCATTGCCTCTTAATGTGGTCATTCTTTATTCATCATCTGCATGTGGAAACCAAACCTCAACAGAATAATGTGATTAATGTTAAAGGTCAAGCAGCCTTTAATTAAGTCTAGTATGATTGAAGCAGCTTAATGTGGCAATGACACATAAGTGAGCATCAATTTGTGCTTCTAATTCGGTGTATTTCATTAGTATTATTCATCACATTCATTAGGTCCACAGTCTTCCAGGAATCAAATCATCCTCACTGTAAACAAGTGCAGGGACACGTAATGGAGTAATGGGAATTTTAATGAGACTCATCTGCCACCTGCTGGTCAGCAGAAAGAACTACAATAGAAGCACTTAGGTTTTATGATGTTGGGTGTGATGGCACAGCTGAGAAAGAAAGGTCTTGACAGAAATACATCATTTTATACAGCGTATAACCTGAGGAAAATGACCAGGAGACAAGTAGAGTAATAGCTTTGATTTATCCGTCTCATAGGTATAGACAAAAACTTTGACAAACTTAAACTTTAAAGGCACTTCTTTAATATTTGTTCAATATGTACATCTGTACAGACAAGGAAACAAGTGCCACAACCATGCCAGCTCTTTGTCTTTGACAACATTTAAAATATATCTTTTAAACAAAAGAGCATCAGGCCAAGTACAATTCAAGTTTTCAAATACAGTTTTGAAACAGTGCTCTTTCTGGACATTAATAATGGCCCCACCTTCACAAAAACATGTTTTTAATGGCACTGCCTGAAGGGGGCCAACTTATTTTATGAATACAAGAAACTCGACTGCCTTTACTGCAGGTGAGACCTTCAACACACAAAGGCACTCCTGTTCAAAAGAAATGACAAATATATAAATTAAACTCTAAAAGGAAATAAAAAATCATGCATGGATAAGGTTTTAATAATCAGTGCTTTTCAAGTGGAAGTAATCACTGTTACAAACCAAATTCTTAAATTGAAACAAACTGAGTGACTAGCATCAATATTTAGAATTAAAGCATCATGTAAACTGAAGATTAACACATCTCTCTGCTGAAAAAAATCAAAGCTGAACGTCCTGTACAGCGAGAACACACCAAACACACACAAACAGCAGATAAAGGAGCGCCAGTCCCCCCCGCAAAGCAAGACGAAATCAGAACGGAACCTGGCTCGAAATAAACCTACCTGAATTACGATCTAAGAAAAAAACTGAAATCAAACAGCAGATCAACATTTACAGATTCTTTACAGCTGCCTCTGTGAAAACTGACCTCAGACCCTCAGCAGACCAACACGACGTCTGAAGGGTTAAACTTCAAAATCTACTCCTACATTTAGTTGATTTAAAGGTAATATTTGGTGCTTAATATAACAAACCCCAACACTCCTCCTACACTGTTACATCACGTCTCCCTGTGCACACAGATTACTTCTAATGGCAGCTGTTAGGTGTAATTAGGACAGCACAATAATACATTCTCAGCTTATATGACGCCTGTGGGACCATAAAGGTTGTAAATCAGACTCTGTCACCAGCTTGTACCATCACTGAGGACACACGGGCGTTTGGCCCGGGTAGGTCAGGGGCTGCTCTGCCTCTGCAGGGACAGGATCGGTGGGCTGCGCCGGCTCACTGGTTGGTGATCTCTGGCAGATCTGGGCATAGCTCGGCTTCTTGGGGTCCTGTCCAATCAGAGCACAGGGTGAGGTTAGAGAGTCTCGCACCCATCCCCATCAGCACACCATGAGTTCTTAAAGAGATTCCTCACCTGTTATCAAAACTATAATGTTATAAGTACTGGACTTTCTCTGTTTAACCTCCCTGCCAACTTTTAAGGGAGATTTTTAAAAATGAAGTCGGCAAATTTTAAAGCTCTGAGCAACAAAAGCATGAAGAGCTTTCGAGTTGCACTGCTATGATCTAGAACAGAGTGAGTGAGAAAATGCTATTGTTTTTGTTGCTTATTTGATTTTTCCTCCCTCTGAGGTGAAAGCTTACTGTATTTATTATTTTTTAATCATTTCAGCTCATGTTCCTTCAAACAAAAATAAAAAGACGTGAAGAAAACGGATAGAACTACAGGAACTGTTCTTCCTAAATTGAAGAATAGAAAGAATATAAATGACTCTGCAGTGTAACCTCTCATCTGTCAGCTGCTGAGTCATCTGGATTGGCAGGTCTTTCTATCAGATTTCCTGCATTCAAATTTCTGATTGGTATTCTGGAGCAGCACGACGCTTAAACAACCCGGAGAAAGTGAAGAAGTCTTACTGTGACTGCTTCTTGTGCAGGTTGTGCTGGTTTGGCCTCAGTGGTTGTCTCTGCACACTCCTTCACATTCCTACAGAGAGCAGCAGAACAATCTCAGCACACACAGCTCAGAGCACAGCTGGCACCATGACAACTGGCAAACGGATCAAAGTACACGTCTGAAACATCCCGAGAGCGAGGAAAGCGAGAAGAATAATGAAAAAATAACAAGAAGATGCAGCCGGAGCGAAAGCTTCTCCTGTAATGTTTGAATTTAACGGCAGAGGAAAAGCAGGGCGGTTAACAGAGAGTGTGTGACGTGTACTCACTGCTGTGCGGCTGTCTGAGGCCCTCCTGACTCTGCTGACACTGAGGGACACTCACTGCTGCTTTTGGCTGGACTCTGGGATCAAAGTAGGAGTGGGTCGTTAAGATTTCACAGTCTGGGCCTCATGTATGAGACAGTGTCACCTTGTTGGGCTGGATGCTCTGATAAACAACATGTGATCGTGTGTGTGTGTGTGTATCAGACAGGCAGAGAGGCTCGGTTACCTTGGCGCTGTCGTTAGCTGCAGGGACCGTTGCTATGGCGCTGTTTGCAGGAGGAAGAGGAGGGAAGCTGGTCAGGCCGAGCTCGAGAGGAGGAGACGGTTGACGAGACAGTGACTGATTTGATGCCTTCTGCACAAACACACACACAGTCATGGTGGAGTCTCCACAAAGTCAACTTCAGAAGCAGTAAAAATGCTCGCTGGTGTCTTACATGGTCGTTTGCAGCAGACATGTCCCTTGACCTGGCGTTCTCTCTCCTCCTCTGGTTGGAGTTTCCTCTTCTTTAGAGCAGACACAGACACAGAGCAGAGATGTAACTGCAAAGGCTGCTTTATGATTGGGCTTTAAAGTGACTCAGCCTGCTGTGTTTTAGTGAAACTGAGGGGCTGTATGTGAGCAGGGAGAGGGGGTTCGATCGTAAAGATGTGTGGATGCTGCTGCTCAGAGCAAACTGCTTTAAATGTCATTATTGGTGAATTAAACAGAGCACAGACTCCACAGCTATAAATCACTCCCTGCAGCCCCCTGGCTGTAACTACGGCAACGTCATGAAGATTAATAAAATTCAGCCCTAAACCCTCAAATCCACCAGCTGTTCCTTTTATTGTCTTTATCGTTTCACCGTCTCTGCAGCTCTTATTTGGATGGTTGTCTCCTCTCTTGCTTTCTTACTTGTTCTCTATTTGTGACACCTTACAGATACAGACAATCCCACACTTATTTGGAGACAGATGGAGTCTGGTCTGTTGAGTCTAGATTGATCAAACTTCGGTGCATTTGCCTGTTTTTCATTTGTGTGGGTGGGTTCGGAGGTTGTTGGATGTTTTCTTACCTCCCCTGATCAGAAGGGGCTGACACAATTTGTTTGGGTGGCTCTGACCTCCAACCCCCGCTCTGATGGCGGGGTGTGTTGCCCCGGGACCGCCCTCGTCCTCTTTTTGTTGGAGAGAAGGCACGCTCCGCTGGTGCTTGGTCTGTTGAGTTGGAGGAACCGTTCTGATTGGACTGATTGGAAGCATGCCAGCGGTCTCCTGAGTTCGACCACTTTGAGCCTCTCCTGAGAGGAAATGAAGAGTGAAAACCAGCTGCTGCAGATTCACCACAGCTTATAACAACATGTGATGACAGAATGTTCTTGGATCCAGAGCCCAGTTCCTAATCAGGGCTAAGAAACAAACAAATGCTACTGACATCAAACACTCAATACTGGGATTTTTTGATATCATGTCATCCTGCTGAGCATCTAAAAATACAGTCTGCTCCAGCTTTCTTTCTTGTACAATAACAGGTACTCTAACCTTGCAGAATACGTCAGAGCGACGGGTTTACCTCGGTCTGTGGTGTTTGAAAATGGAAGCTGCTGGTATTTCGTTCATGAAGCTGCCCATCAAAGGTGCAGGCTGCTGAAAAGAAAATCACTTGTTCAATGACAGTGCCAAGAAGGATCTGTGAAAAATCCGTCTGATCAGCTCCTGATATGTTGATCTTTCTGTCAGAGAATTTCAGAGTTAAAGGACTGACCTCGGCACATTCCTGATAACCTGCTACAGCTGGGACCCACCCCTCAGTGGGGAAATCGAACAGTTGTTGTGTTGGCATCTGGGCTGGGCTGGTCTGCTGGAAGTTGCTGGGGTAGTAAGAGCCGTGCTGGTTTTCCAGCTGAGGGGGTCTGAAGCCATTTTTGGGAGCGAATGTGGTGGCGGGCATGGCTTTGGTTTTGACCCTCACCATGATGGGCTTCCCTTTGAACTCCCGGACCTCCTCTCTCAGGAATTTGTAGGCCTGAGGACGAGCAGAGAGCGACTCTTTAAATCATTTTCAGCGACACAGTTCGTATTCTGGTGAGAATGTCTTAACTACAAACAGCTGAAACTTTCTCTGGGATTGAAGTCGGATTTACCTGCTGTGCATCTGCTTCTGATTTAAAAGTGATGTACAGGTGATCATTGTTTGTAAACTCACAGCTCAGGAACTTAGGAAGGTTCTCTCCAGCAAAGAGAGCCTCCACTTCCTGCACAGAAACAAGAACATTTGGAAATAAACCATCAAGACTTTACACTTCAAAGTGTTAGATTTTAACAGCAGCAGGACTCCAGGCAACATCCTGGACTATGAACAAAGAGTCCTCTTCCAGCGTGCACAGTTGGAAGATGTAAAGCAACTGCAGCTGTGTAGTCGGCTGCTCTTGCCTCCTTCGGCGTGTTTCTTGGGATTTCTCTCAGGATGAGGACACAACGACTCTGACAGGGCCGGACCTTCTGTCCACATGGAGCCAGCTGGACCAGTGGCAGCGCTGTCAGCCAATGAGAGAGGAGAATGGTTCAACATGAAACTACAGGACTGATTACTGACTTTGAAGTCCAGAGGGAAATCTTTGTCAAACTTAAACTGTGGAGAAACTACTGACAAAAAATTCCCTCTGATCAAATTTAAAATTCTGTCATTTATGACTTTTAACTGAGAGAACAAAAAAAAATACTGACTTTTCAAGATTTCAGAGATGAGGTCCAGGTCCGTGCTGAGAGACTTGATCTTGTCGAGGCTAGCTAGAGTTGCTATGGAAACATACTTGTCATTGTCCATCTGAGAAATGAGGTACATGTCGCTGCCGAGGTGTTCCCTGTGGAGGAACAGACAGGTGAGGGAGAAGCATTGGTGTCCCACAGCCAACAAAACAACTCCAGTGATTTAGATGCTTGTTTGGTTAGAGTGGGCGGGGCGGCACTCGCTGCAGGATGAGTCATAAATAAATTCATCAGCTAAATATTTGATGAGCGGAGTCGGTGAAGGCGTGATTGGAGATTTTACCTGGTGAAGCAGGACTCCAGAACCATCCTCAGCTCCTGTTTGATCTCATCTGAAATCAGAGCAGAGTAGTTATCACATCAGTCATGTTACTACGGAGGCCCTGAAGGTCCACTGCTCAAATATTTCAAGACTACAAAAAAGATACTAGATGTAAATACAAAAAATATTTAATGAACGGCAAGAAAAAAAAAACTTAAAATACTTTTCAATAATAATTAAAAAATAAACCAAAAATATTTTAGAAAGTCAAAGACTTAATCAAACTCTAAAATAATCAAAAAGAAACAAACACAAAAATATTTATATTCCTCAAATCCTCAAAGACTTTTTTTTTCTCAGTGATTTTTTTTGCATATCATAAATTTTTTTGGCATTTTGCAAAAAAATTCATTGCTGATTTTTTTGTGTAATGTGTTTATGTGTAACATATTTTGCACTCTGAAACGTTTTTTTGTGTATCAAAAGACATTTTTGTATTTCATGTTATTTTGGCGACTCAGATAATGTTTATGAATTTGTGAAATCTTTTTTGCATAAATTGAAAATTTTTCAAGGTCAGCAACAGTTGACACAGTTGACCTTCAGGGCCACCGTAGTTTGAGTTTGAGAAACAGAAATAAAGCAGCTGATTCTTATTGGTACCTTTGACAGCTGGTCTGGTGAGCTCTCCGTTCACCGTTGGAGCTTCTGCTGTCAGCGTCTGGTACTCGAATGTGCTTGGATCTGCCTCAGCTACACCCTCAGCCAGGACTGCGTTCTCCAGCTGGAACTCTGGCATGTATCCTGAAAACCAGTCCAACATCATCTTAACCACCAAACATGAACCATCCTTTACATGCAGACAATAAGCCAATCAGAACTTCACACTGCTTCAAAGAATAAATCACTCTTCACAAATCAAGAGGAATGAGCACTATGATTTAATCAACTCCCAGCGATCCTGGTGTGTTCGTTTTTGAATAACTTGGACCCACCTTCCTGAGTGATCAGATCATTAGGGAGTGCTAGCCATGGCTGCTGGGCCTGCAGGTAGGGGGGGGCAGAAACGTCCAGGTCAAAATTGTGAGTGGTCCACGCCTCGGCATCAGGGTTAAGGCTGGGAGCAGCAACAGGTGCCTGAAACGAAAGGACCATAACATATTTTTTTTAAACAAAACTAATTTGAATGTAAAAGGATGGATCTGTGAGAACGTTTTAAAACATAGAGGTCTGATTTACTTTGAGTTTAGCATCACAGATAAAAAAAAAACATCAAGTCAAGAAAAAACTGTTCTCTTTCACTTCAAACTTCAAACTTCAAACGTTCATTTTCAGATAACAGCCTCTGACTCTGAGTCGAGTTCACTTTGTAACATCAGGCTCTCGCTGTATTTTCAGACACTGTTAAAGGACGTCTGGATGTGAAACATCTTTGGAAAAAAGACTTGCTCTTCAGTCGTGGGTGCTTCATGCTGACCCCATCAGTGCGTCTTTATTCTGTGTGTGAATGTGTCAACATAAAAAAACATCAACCTCTGACAAACACCTTCCCCTCATGCAGCTCCTGCCTGTCTGTCTCTGAACCTCATAGAAACTGAACATACTGAACTTTCTTTAACTTCTGAGGAGAAAAGATTGAGTTAAAGCTCTCACTGAACCCATTTGTCCCACATGCTGAGAGAAAAAACTTACAGACTGGGTGCAGTCTGTGTGCCAGTCCCACACACAGGGTCCCTGAGGCATCACAGTGCTGTAGGGGTACGCTCCCAGCAGAGCCATGGAGGGCTGGAGCTCTGACACAGAGTCTGGGATCTGCTCTAACTGGCTCTCCATCTTGGCCTCTACCTCACCCTGCTCGGCCACAGACGCCCCCTGAGCCCAGCTCGTGCAGTTCTCCCCCAGACCCAGCCTGACCCAGGGGTCGGGGTAGAGGCGGCAGATAGAGGTGTCGGCGTCTTCCCCCAGCAGCTCCGACACCATCTCTCTTATCCCTCCATCTCTTTCGCCCTCCTCAGGCATCGTTGGTTGCTCATGGTGCAGGAAGTGGATCTCGTAGGATGGAGTGGAGGCGTACGCATCAATCTGACCCGGGTCCACACTGATCATGGTGTGGTCCTCTTGGCAGTTTGGAGTCAGACTTTCTCCGTCCACATAGCTAAGATCATAAGGCACCATGTTTGTGTCACAGATGCTGGTGTCATCCTGCAGCTCAACTTCTACAGACGAAGGATGACAGAGTTTTTGAGGAACAGGATGCTCCTCCACCTTCACCTCCACCTCATTGGTCTCCTGGGAGTGAAGTCCACCTGATGACTCTCCAGGTTGAGTGATATAGTCAACAGAATCACACTGTAGGCTGATATAGGCCTGAGAGTTCACACAGTCAGAGGAAACGCTGGCTGTTAAGGATCCTGCTGGTTCAGAGGCGGTTTGCAGGGCGTGGAGCTGCTGTTCAGCACAATCTGAGGGGTTACTTTTGATGAACACGGATGGAGGCGGGTCAGTCCAAGTCTCCTGTGTAGCTGTTGTGTCTCCTTTTTCACACACATGCATGTAATCTTCCTCTGGTGCATGTAACTGTGGTTGAAGTTCAGTACTGTCACTAACACTTTGCTCTGCTTCCTCAGAGGATGAGCACTGTGGTGAGGAAGAGGGGGGAGGAGGAGAAGGAGTGGAGGGAGGCATGAGAGGGAGCTCACAGTTAGTGAGAGCAGGCTGTGAGAGACTTTCATCTTCCCGTGTGCCCTCGGGTTTGTGGGACGTATTTACAGCCGTGCAGCCATCACAGCGCTCTGACAGGAGGTCATATTTTTCCTCTGTTGTCTCTGAGGTGCTCTGAACTGTTCCAGGTACAACAATTATGACATCTCGCTTCTCCACGTGCTGCTCGCTGTGCTGCTGACAAATCTCCAGCTCCAGTTTTGTGACTGCCTGTCTTTCATCTCTGCTCATAAGCACATCCCGAACAGGATCACCTGAGTCATGCTTCAGAGACTCCACACAATCTTCTGGGTTTATTTCACACTGTTTGTCACAGCCATCAATCATGACAGACTCGGTGAGCGCAGGTTTGTTATCCTCACTGGGCGGCTTAACGCTGCTCAGTTCAAACGTAGGATCATTTGAATTGATGTCTAGCCTGTTGGATGTGCTGGAGTCACGGGGATAACAAGTTTTTACATCAGAGGGACTCGTTTGGCAGGAGGAGGACATCAGCTCGATGGGCAGTGATGACGCAGCAGAGAGCGCTGACACTGAGGACACTTCGGTTAGAGTTGTATCTGTCGTGCTGCGGTGACAGACATCGTCACGGTGGCACAGAGTCAGAGGGACGACCTCGCTCTTCTGGGAAGATTTAACCATCTCCATCTCGAGCTGAGGCAAAAGAAAGTCCTCCTTGAGCAGCGGGTGGAAGTCGAGCTTTGAAGGATAGGAGCTCTGAAGGGGAGAGTCCAGACCAGGAGATTCAGCTGCTGGTTGGACATTTTGGATGTTTAGCTCGGTTAGAAGCTCAGGATCTTCTTTCTGATCCAACGCCTTCACTTCATCCTCTGTTCCCTCTGAAATACTAAAGGCCTCTGCACACACACTCTCCTCTGCTACACACACACTCTCCTCTGCCACACACACACTCTCCTCTGCTACACACACACTCTCCTCCACCTCACACACACTCTCCTTCATGGCACACACACTCTCCTCCACCTCACACACACTCTCCTCTGCTGCACACACACTCTTCTCTGCTGCACACACACTCTCCTCCACCCCACACACACTCTCCTCCACCACACACACACTCTCTTCTGCCACACACACACCCTCCTCTGCTGCACACACACTCTCCTCCACAGCCCTTGCCCTTTCATCAGTTTGTGATGTCATCCTGTCATCCTCAGACTCATGTGTGTTTGCAGCGGTCGTCCTGCAGTTCCAGTCCTCACGCTGAGGTGTGTGTTCCGTGGACTCTTGGTTGTGAGTTTGGTTGTTAGAGGGAGGCGGTGGGTCACACACAGAGTCCAGCAGCTGTGGACTCGCAGCAGGATGAGATGAGGCATTCTGATCTGCAGAGAGTGAGCTGTCTGAGTGTGTTTGCTGCAGCAGGATGAGTGATTTATCTACAGGACTTGATTGTGCTGAAGCTGCTTTGTCATCATGTGACTGGCGGGTCGTTTTAGACTCACAGACCGTGGTGGTTTCCCCTGCGTGTGATTGGCTGGAGAGCGGAGATTGGTCTCTGCAGGGCAGAGCAGCTGTTTCTCTTTCAGCTGTGTTTGGTGAGCGTGTTGCTCCAGCTGTTTGTGTTTGGTTGTGGACGTGCTCGTGTTCAAGGTCATCAGCGTCAATAGAACAAATGCTGTAGAAGCTTCGGGTCCTCGTTTCAAAGCCCTGACCTAGAGTCGTAGCAACGACACACACTTCCTCCTCATCAGCTTGTGGAGAGTCCTGCTGTGTCCCCTCACACTCACTGAGTGACGGCTGATCCTCTGACACCTGTGTCACCTGTGTCACCTGTGTCACCTGGTTGACTGTGACATTCTCCTGACAGTCAGGGAAGCTGTCAGGAATCTGTTTCTTTGGCTGCTGTTCTTCAGGAAGTTGATTCAACCACGAAGCCTGGACTGTGGCATTACCCAGACTCCTCTGTTTGACTGGACTCTGTCTGGGCATCTCCATATACGGGGTCGGTCCACAGCTGGGCCTGTCGGTGTGTGTCCCGCCTGTCTCTGTGTCCGTGCTTGTATGTGTGTTTATGCTGCTCGTGTTAATAATAGCCGCCTTCTCCTCGTGAGTGCTGGCCGGTTCAAGATCCTTCTGGCTCCACGTGGTGCTGTTCCCACTGACCACCACTTCCTCTGTCCCAACTGTCTTGTCCAGCTCTGGCGCTCCTTCCTCATCCTCTGCTCTGACAGCCACGCTTGTCTCTTCTCCGTCCAGGCACACTTGAGCCACAGCGGCAGCATGTTGTCTGACCTGCTCTGTCACTTCATTCAGCCCTCCGTGGTTCGAGGGCTGTAAGAGTTCACTCCTCTCATTCGGCGGGCCGGGGTTGAGCTCCTTACTAAAGCAGCACCCCATCTTCTGTGGCCTAGAGTGGGAATAAAACACAAGACTGCTATGGCTGAACGCACAGTGAGTCCACACAACATGAGACAGAAATCATGAGCAACTCCTCACGATGGCTCAGCCACATGCAGAAAGAGAAAAGACCCTCTGCTCCCCCCTGCTTCGTCCCCTCCTCTCCCCTCCCCTTTTTTTCCCTCCCCTGCCCAGAATAGCAAATGTGAGGGAGCTCACATGTTCCTGCCACTCAACAGAGGGCCGCACACCACTTCGTTTGTGTGTGTGTGTATGTATATGAATGTATGTGGGAGAGCCCTAGTTAGGCGACAGTTTGAGAGGGGTCAGCACAAGGCCCAGCAACCACCAATCACAGAGCAGTAATTCAGAGGAGTCCACTCCCCCTCTGCCCTCCCTTAAACTCCCTCCTCTTCCTTGTTCTCATCCAACTATTCACTCCCCTCTCCCTCCCACTGACACCTTTCCCTTTGACTTACATCAGTTTCCCCTCACTGCTTCAGCTCCCTCCTCCCCAACCTCTCCCCTAGTTGTCCCTATAGGCCTCCTTAAACGTGCCTGAACGGGTGTCAGACCCCTAAACTTAATATTATTATTTTTCAGTTGCAAATAAGTACAAAACCAAAAACTTAAATAGTTGGGAATGTGTAAAGTGTTGATTAAAACACTTAACATTAAATCATAATAACAGAACAACAAATCAAATGATGAAAGTTTAAAGTTTGATTATTTTGTGAAAAATACATTCGCTTTAAATTTGATGCAAACAACACTTTCAGTAAAAGTTTGGACCAGGACAACAAAATACTGGAAAAGGTGTGAGGAGAAACATCGCCCAACTAATGAGGTTAACGTGCGAGTGGGTCAGAAACATGACTGACCCAGTAGCACGTTAACCCAGACAAAAAATTCAAAAGACTGAGATGTGATGAAAAAACTGTCCTGTGGTTCGAATCCGGAAACCCTGATCTGTTGAGGAGCTGAAATTCCATATCAGACAAGAGTGGGACAATGTTTCCTCTCATAATTCAGGACTGGTTCATTCGGTTCAAACACATTTACAAAACATCCTATAAAAAGGAAGTGTTGCAGCTCAACAGTCCCCACTTTTTTTGAAATGTGTTGCAGGCATCAATTTTGAAATGAACATATTTTTTTATACAGTCCTATTTTTTTGTTTTAACATTTAATACGTTGTCTCAACATAATCAAATAATTTGCAAACCATCAACTTCTAGGTTCAATTACAACTTCTGTGAACTGGAGGTTGATGGTCAAGGCTGTCTAATAGTCTGTGTAGTGAGGATTCGTCTTACTTTACCTGATAGTAGTAGTAGTAGTAGTATCCAGGACCCTGTTCTCCAAGCGTTAACTGCACCTGTAGATCAGCCGGACACAGTTGATTCTGGTATGACGTCATGTGACACAAGCTGATGGGTAACTCAATGGGACGAGTGCTGCTGCTGTCGATGGTCACCACGGAGACTGGCAGAGAGCGCTGAGGGGAGAAGGAAGTGAGTCACAACACCAGCTGGCACGGATAAAAAGTGCAACAACAAATTTATCACCGTGGACTAAAGGGGGAACTATCTTAACATGCCGGACTTCAGTCAACAGCGGATGGCGTCATTATACTTTATTAGTTAGAGATAATAGATCAGTTTTCCTCACATGCTCACAATGTTGTTTCACTGTTTTTTATTTTCCATCTAGAAACACAAAAACTCACAGACATCAGCTTTTATGGTGATAAGCCACAAGAAAACCTTATTGGATATCAAATGTTTTTTTTAATGGATGTTTATCATAATACTATCAACACAAGATATAAATATCATATCACTTTTAGAGGAAAAAGGAGAAAAAAGCTCATTCAGCAGTGTTCATAAACCTGCTTCACTATACTGTGATCCCATAAATCACATGATTGGAATGAATAAACAAAATAAAATAACACTGACCTGTTTTCATAACAACAAAACAGAAAGCATTTACATTTCAGTTCATCATATCAGAGAATAGCTGCACTTAAAAGTGAGTTTTCCAAATTCTGCTGCACAAACTGACACAAACTGACACCAACGGCTCACTCTATGTAACAGTTACTGATGTTCGCCAACTTAATTTAGAAAAAAGTAGAGGTCAGAGGACTTTTCACTTGACATTTAGCTTTACTTATCAAAAAAAGAGAGAAACTTTTGCAACTAAACTTTGGTCTGGTTAAAAAATATCCAAACTATCGTACGATCTGGCTTGTTTTAGCTAACGCACCTTCAGATGGAAGGTCCAAAAAAAATAATGCTACCGATCGAAATTTGCACCTAAGCGGCTCCGCGCATGCCCAGAGAGTGAACGATGAAGAAATGTAGACTGCTGTGATAATTTTCTCCTGAAATCTTACATACAGATTTTGTAAAAGACAATAAAAATATACCCCACAGAATTTTTTTTCCAAAAGCCTCACACTGCTGTTGGAAAAGAAATCGCGCACACTGACCGACTCTATTAACAAGTGGAGCTACGGTTAGCATTTACCGACAGGGGAGCACAACTCGACGGAACACCGGAGGATACTTCGGTTCTTAGTTCGCAAATTAACAGTTTTACTGATATTTTGTGTTAGAAAAAAATGAAAATCTATCTCTGTTTTTTGGTGAACAAGTTAGCCGAGTTGTTCACTGCAATACCCTAAGGCTAAACGGCTGGAAATCAGCAGCTAGCACCAACCGTTAGCTACTTAACGTCTATTGATGGCATGTTAGACAAGCTAACGGTAGGTGGCTAGCTCAAACTGACAAAATACAAACGCTTTTTATTTAATGTTGTTAACAACTCCTACAGTCTCCAGTGTTTTCACTGTTTGTGACTGAAGATACTCACCTGTCACCTGTCCTCCTCCTGCAGCTGCTGCGTTCAAGTCCGGCTCGGTTTCGGAGCTTTTCTTACGGTGTCTTTGCTGTCCCTTCTCCTCCGTTTCTTTCTTCAAACTGCCCGTTAACATTAACGTTGTAGGTTAAAAAAAGTGAAAACTCCTTTGTTGCCATAGCGACAAGAGTTTCCGCTAAAATAAAACCTTAAAAAAAAAAAAATCTGTAGAGCAACTGCCCAAAATAATGTGCATATATCCTTTTTATTTATTATTATTATTATTATTATTATTATTATTATTATTATTATTATTATTATTATTGTTAATAATAATAATTAGTTAATTTATTATTATTATTATTATTATTATTATTATTATTATTATTATTATTATTATTATTATTATTATTATTTGTATCACACTACCTGCTTCACTGCCTGCTCTGTAAATGATCTCTTCCTACAGGCGACAATAACAAGATGATTTGTTACAAAAGTCAACACCTTGTGTGGACAATATAAATAATATATATTTTTGAGACTTCAGGAGTTGGTGGTCAAAAGGAGAATATTAATATATAATTTGATAAGAAATTTTGATTTTTTAATTTATTATTTAAAAACGAATTTGTTGAATCTCAGCGCTTTTCCTTTAACATATTGGAAACAATAAAATGATCTTTTATTATTTAAATGACTTACATGTCACTTTTATTTATGCAGGCCTGTGTTTTGCTTCTGTACATTGAACTGCCCCTTAAAAATGCCCCCTTAAAGATTTTAACACGGACAGAATGACATGTTATTTCTCATAAGTATTTCTTTTTCCTCAACAAAACCAAATAAAAAAATGTGGAGCCCCAAATACTGTGAGGAGGTAATGCAATATATTAATTCTTTTAAAATGTATGGGATTTTTTAATAAAACTGAACTGTAGTTTAGCTCAAATTATTGTGAATTTTACATTACAGTGCTGTGAGGTCTTTACCTTGGTTAAGGTATGTTTCTTCTTTCTCATTTTGCTCCATGATGATTTATGATAATACAAAATTTAAAAGCCAAAAAACCTCTTCAGAGCCACCATGTGGTATTTTTTTATTACAACATCTTTGCAGGATTGCAAAACTTAACATCCACATGAAGCCTAACGTGCACATGGACTCATTTAAACATCGTCATGAACAAGATAAATGAGAAAACAGGTTAAATATCTTCACTTCTTATTCAGCTCCACTCACATTATTTAGCTGACAGAAAGTTTGTGCTGGAAGAATTCACAAAGATGGACATGAGCAGATAATTAAAGACAATTAGACTAAGATCCACCTCTTTGTCCAGATTCAACCCAGCCTCAATGAGATGGTGGAGAGTTGGAGGTTTCCCACACTGAGAGTGTTTTCATTTCTCAGAGATGAAGCTGGAGCAGAAGTTTCTCCTGTGACGAAGAGTTCAATCAAAGAGGAGTTTATAGACAGTTTTCCAGGTGAGGATCAGGAGTACAGACTCCAGTAGATGATGTTGAACAGCAGGTAGGACAGTGGGAAGGCCAGGCGGGAGTACGAGTCAATCATGTAGCTGTTGCTGACCAGCAGGTCCACGTTCTCCCGCACAGAGCGCTGCCGCCTGAGCCTCGTCCCCTCCATGGGCCGGATGTCAGGGCTTTGCGGTGGGCTGGTGAGAGGGTCGGAGGTGAGTGTGGGCGCCATGCGAGGAAATGGAGTCAGCTCGATGTCGTTGTCATGGAAACAGCCGTCAAAGGCCATCGCCTGGCTGGCATTGTAGGTGGACGGAATCTGGAAAAAGAAAAATAAACAGAGTAGAAACACAAAACTTTTACCACAGAAACAATAAACTGGAGCAGAGAGTTCTATCTGTGAATCTGAGCTGATGTAACGTCTCTGCATGGCCACTAGAGGGAGACTTTTAGCAAAGTGACATGTTCTCTCATCCTTTTTAGTTCCCTCACTGTGCTGCAATGATGTCTGTGTTTTTCTGCGCTGACCTTCCCCCTCTTTATCTTCCTCATCTCCTCCAGAGTGGTGCAGTAGTTCACAGCTGCATATTCAATCACAGAGAGGAAGACAAACAAGAAGCTCGTCCACAGGTAGATGTCCACTGCTTTCACATACGACACCTGAATGAGACGCACATAAAAAAGGTCAATAAAACAGCTAAAACAAAGAAAAATGTGCAGGATCCCAAAGGTTTGGGTTCACTCCCCTGCATCGGAACGCCTCTTTAACCCAAACAGCTGTTTACCTGAGGCATGGAGGAGGAGACTCCAGTGATGATGGTGGACATAGTGAGCACTGTGGTGATACCTGAGGGTGGAGAACAGCAAAACCCATTAGAGTCCCATTAGAGAGGAGTCTGAATCAGGAGCTTTTACGATAGTATGAATCAGACAGGCCTGAAAATATCTGTAACTTACTGGACCTCATTTATAATGATGTTTAAAGGGTCATTATGTAGAATTTAGCATCATTTTCCTAAGTAAACTGAATGTTTTCTGCAGATTGTTACTAAGAATACTTTATATTGAATGTAAACAAACTTTATTACTTAACAGTGGTCTGATCTCTCATGCTGCTTGCTGGTCCTCAGTTTGGGGTTTACTTGTGCAGCTAAAATGCTGAATATTGTGGGAAAAGGTCATTTTTTTCTGTATTTAAATTCCAAAAGTCAGATCAGCAAACCCTTTGGAGGAAATTTTGGTGCTGTAGGCAGGTGCTACATCCTACTTGAATAGGGAATTAGCATGTATGTACATATCTTTGGACAAAACCATCCACTAAATGACGTTGTAAACATGGTAGCTGCATGTCTTGATGATCTGTGAAATTCCTGAAAAGTGCAAATGCTGCCATTTTTCCAGGGATCATATGCAAATGAGAATTTCAAACATGCATCTTTAGAGGTTTGCAGATGAGTGGAGCTTGTTTGGATGCAATGAATTAAAAGTAAAGGAGAAACAATCAGAAAGTTTATGTCGATTTTTTTGTTCGTAGGAGGATATGCTCACTCTGAAAGTTTTCACCCGCCTTGAGGGGCTCAAATTTGGCAGAATTCTGGAGTTTGTGATTGTAGCTGTTTCGTTGTGTTCATGCCAATAAAGACAGAGTGTTAAGGTCTGAGAACCCTGCACAGCGAAGGGGGACCAGCAGCAGGATTTTATACACGCAGGGGCCGAAAACCGAAAATAAAACGTCTGCACAGTAGCTGGCTGAGTGATATCCCATAAAGTGATAGACGGAGAGTCTGCACATATGATAAAAATGCTCAGAGTATAATTAGAAAATAAAAATATGTTCACATCCTCATGGTCTCGTCTCATCTCCGTTTTAGTGCCAGACAGCTGGTCTCCACAGAGTAATCCTGTCATTTTAGGGCTCAGACGTGGTTTTTCTCATGGTATGATAGATGTTAAGAGTTACCCAGAGACACACGAGCGGGGACGGCCCTCCTGTCAATCCAGAAGGACACCCAGGACAGAACCACCATCAGCATAGTGGGGAAGTATGTCTGCAGCATGAAGAAGAAGATGTGCCTCCTCAGGATGAAGTTGATGAAGAGGCGATTGTACCAACCTGACGGAGACAGAGACATGATGATGATTAGCACAAAACTGAGTCATGATCGGCTGTCGGAGGGATTTAAACCCCGGATTTGTAAAGAGGATACGAAATTAAACCACAATTTAAAGATGGAAACACATCAGAGTTTAACATGTGCTATAAAAGACGCTGCAGGCTTTTGCAGCCTCTCCTAATGTGTTACATCTGTCAGGTTGTTAAAGGCTCAAGCAGCGATTATGTTCTTTTCCTTTCATTCAATTGAAGATGCTGATCTGTGTTGGTCCTGAAGGCACAACAACATATAAAGAAAACATATGCAAATAAAAAAAATTATCTGTTTAACAACACGAACACGTGTTTAGAAAAAAGGCTGCAAGAAGCGCAGACATCGACCCAACGCAACACCATGTCTGTTCTCCCTTTATTCAAGAGTCTCCTCGAAGCTGCAGCCCTTTCACTTTGATTTAGGTTATTAAAACACACACAAACACACACTTTAGCACATAGATAACACAAACAGACCGGTGCTGCTGTAGAAGGCCAGGCCACTGGAGGCGTGGAAATGCTCAATGAAGAACTGAGACAAGACGATCTCATCCGTCCTCAGAGAGTCGTTCCCATTCTTCCAGTAAAGCATCAGGTCGTTCTCATTATACGCATCTGTGAGTGAGAGAGAGAGAAAGAGAGAGAGAGAGAAAGGAAGGGGGTGTCAGTAAGTATGGGCGCACCAATAATTCAGCTTTCAAGGCAAACCCTGCACACGTAGGCAGCCTGGGTTTAATTCTAACCTATCTGCCATTTACTAAAATGAGATCTGAAGGTCTGGGCCAGATCCTGGTTTTTCTGCTTTAGGTTTAAACTTCATCCTCTTTCTATCTGTATTATTAACTCTGAACCATCATGTCCCGTTAGAGTCACTAATACTCAGTCTTTTCTTGGTGTCCCTGAACTCCATCACGCTGTAGGTTCCTCTGGATATTTTGCTGTGTGCGTGTTTGTGTGTTTGTGTGTGTCTCACAGCTCTCCAACTCCAGTGAGCAGTTCTGTGTGTCCAGAGGGAAGCTGCTGAAGTCCATGGAGCAGAGAGCCGTCACCGTGACCCTGAAACACACAAAGAGTCACTCCAAACATCTGCTCAGTCTCCTGCTTTTCACCTCCACAGTTATTTTACAGAAACAAAGAACCAAGTTTCTTTCCTCAAATGCAGCTAAAATGTGAAACAAATTCATGTTTTAGTCAATACTCTGAGTCCTCGCATGTACCTGACACTGTAGAGGATGTTTCCGTCGGGGTAGACCCTCAGCATGATGTTCTCCATGGTGGTGTCGTGGATGAAGGAGCGCTTCGAGTGGACGAAGAAGACGTCAGGGACCCAGATCTTCTTCACCAGCCTAGAGTCGAACGTCCGGCTCTGGTTGTTTCTGGACGGAAACGACAGACGCTCGTCTTTCCAGTAGTGACGCAGGTATAGAGTCATGGTGAAGTCCTGCAGAAAGTGTGATAAAGGTTGGTACTGAACCACAAAAAAGTGCAGGAGATTCTGAACTTTGACATTGATGGAAAGTTTCCTCAACCATGAGGTGGTGCGACTTTCATTCTGGGAGAGTCTGAGCTGGTAAGAGTCAGACATCGTTGTCAGAGATGAATGAGACATTTTTCTGAGGCCTGATGTGGACAACAGACCGCCTGCAGATTTTCAGCATTCCACTGAAAGCTGCCGTGACAACGCCGATCCTCCCCGCCATCCATCTCTCCTGGCTGCAAGAACTCGATAAAACACTCGTGGGTAAGAAGAGTTTAAAGAGGAGCCATGGAGAGGTCACAAACCAGGCATAGAGAACTGAGAGTGAGTGATACCAGAGCAGACTGAAGTCCACAGAAAACTTTTTCTTATCTCTCTTCTTATGCTCTGGCTTTTAGCAGCAGAATACTCTGAATTTTTTAAACTGTATGTAGACCTGCAAAAAAAACCCTCAAGCACAGGTGGACTTTGACTTTTTCACTGCTGAGTAAGTAAAACATCATTAACCTCCTAAACAAGTTTGTCAACAAAAAGAAACTCTAAATAAAAGTTTCTTTCATCAGGCTGTTTTTAAAAAGTGGGTGTAGTCTCTGTGGGTCAAAAATGAGCCAAGCAAGAAGTGTATAAACCTGCATTCTTCCGAACAACCAGCAGGGGGCCACTCCACTGATTGCACAAAGACAGCTACAGTCTTAAATCGTAATAGACTGTGCGGCTGCTAAATCAAACTTGTGCAAATTCAGCAAAAACTATCAAAAAGATTGACAGATGCTGATGAATGCAGAGGCGGAAAAACACCAGAACTAACTTGGCGAGCCCTCCAAGAGAACCTGACCTGGACATGTGATCCAGAATGTGACCCATAACAGTTGGAGGCACCTGCTGAAGTGTCACAGTCACATTTGCACATTTGTCTCTGAGTGATGCAGTAATGGGTGTAACTTTATGTTGTCTGGTAAAGGAGGAGCAGGATTGCTTGAGGAGTTGAAACTGTTTTCACAGTTGGTTGGCAAGAAAAACAATGCTGAATCTTTTTTACTTTCACACTCCGAGGATTTTAGGCAAGAAGATGTCTGAAGTTTATGTCTATCGGCAAGGAAAATGTGTTATTCATTGTGTGGGGCCTTTAACAAGTAAACTTTAGCAGATACTTTACTCTTAAACAATTAAAGCCTTATCTTACACTTTTTTCACCTGAAACTAAGACAAATAAACTTATTTTTACCTTTCAAGGGATATTCTGAGGAAAAATTGATTTAGGGTCAAACACACATTAAAACTGAGTTAGACACCCCGTCGAGAGATGAATGTTGCTGACCGCTTGCTTCTCTAGTTATACCAACTTTAGTAACGACCGCAGATAGCAATACACAGCGGTCTGAGGAGCCATAAACAAACCTCAACCAAAACACCACTCTATAGCCACAAATAATGCTCAGAACAGCACCTAACTTCATCAACAGGACATATAGGGTCCCAGCCATAGTACTAGACACCAAACATCTTTTTAACTTTGTCTGATTTCTTTAGCAAAGAGAGTAAACACAACTCACCTACTCTCTTCCAGCAGCCACTTGTTTGTAGCGAGATCTCGGGCAAGTCCATTACGAACTAAAGCGGGGTGACGCAGCTCAAGGAAGAACATTTATGATCATTTCTTTATAAAAATGCAATGGCTGTGACCCTATATGTCCTGTTGATGAAGTTAGGTGCTGTTCTGAGCATTATTTGTGGCTATAGAGTGGCGTTTTGGTTGAGGTTTGTTTATGGCTCCTCAGGTCGCTGTGTATTGCTATCCTGCGGTCGTTACTTAAGTTGGTATAACTAGAGAAGCAATCGGTCGGCAACATTCATCTCTTGAGGGGTGTCTAACTTGGTGTTAGAGTGAGTTTGACCCTAAATCAATTTTACGCCAGAATATCCCTTTAATATACACTGATATTCTCTGTAGGATAGAAAAGGTTTTGCGTGTTGCTGAAACACACAGAGTGTTTACCCTGAAAGCTGCCCGTCTCACAGAGTGAGTGGATTTTACAGTAAGTCACTGTATTGTACCACTTTATTTCTAGAGCTGATATTGTAAACACAACTATTACATGTCATAAACAACAGTACCAACCACATTCATGAGAGCTTGGCTTAGCTGAGTGTAAAAAAGTGTGAGGGCGTGTTAAGGTTTGAATATCGTGAGGGTGAAAGAACAGAAAATACCAGAGTTTATGTTTCACACATGTGTTTCTATCAATCATTACAGGTTTGACAAGGTTGAATATATAGAGTTAAACATTGACTCCTCCTCACCATGTTGACCTCTGAGATGCTGTCGATGCTCTCCACCTGCACGTCAATCCCCACAGGAATAGCTGAACCTGAAACAAGAGGTTAAACAACATCATTGGTTTCCCTAACACTCATAAATCAAAGTGAAGAACATGCCCGAGGTGATGCCATGCAGATCTGAGAGGCCTTCAGGAAAACATTGAACTGAAAGATTCTTTGTCGTGTTTACTCAGGGTGTTATCTGAAAACCTTTCATCGGCAGAGACAGCTCCATTTGTCTTCTGCAGTTTGATGAATTGCAGCAAATTCAGTGTCACTTTTCAGCCTCAAAAGGAAAAAACTTTGTCAAATGTTTGAAAACTTGGCATTTATATCTTTGACTGCTCCACCAAACCTCATTCTGGCCCAATGCTGGTAAAAACATCCTATTCCCTCACCACCACCACCACCACCACCGAACCACAGCCGTTTACATCGGTCCCCCACACTCCCCCGCTCCATCTGCCTCATTAGCAGATTAAGCTTGTTTAACCGCTAAACCTTAACAACCTGATTTGTGCAAACACAAACAGAACAGGAAGAGCCAAAAAGCACAAAAGCACAAATCCTCCTAAAAAAAACAAGCTTCAATCACTGCTTCTCACTTCCATGTTTGCTGCTCTGCCTCCTCAGAGAGACCAGGCCGAATTTACGAAGATGATGTTTGATGGTCAGCCTACCCGGATAATTTCAGGTAATGAGCAAAGACGGGAGTGTTGGTTTAGACTCATAAACATGTGAAACGCTCTAAGCATGCTGTTAAAGTCAGTGTTTAGAGTGTAAAAATGAGGGGAATGCACTGCAAGGGTGAGTTATCATGACTGTCAACATACAGAACTGCTAAATCACGCCTGAGTCTGCTGAACTCTGACCTGACTCGGAATGTTTATTTGGGTGATTTGCAGAGAAGAGAAGTCTGTGTTTGGTTAAATTGAACCACATGAAAGATATTCATACTCTGTTTAAAGCCGATCCTAACGACGGATAAGGAAGAGTTATTTCAGTGCTGCTGAAGGACATTTATATCGTATCTTTACATCATTTAAAGACACAGAAAGCAAGAAAACAAACTTTTTAAAGCTACTTCACTCATAAAGAAGTGGGAAAGTTTGGGTAAAAGTCCAAAAAGGACAAAACAAAAAGCAGAGTTAAGAGTATAAGTGATATGTGCAGGATGGCAGCACCCAGCAGCTCGTCTAGCTCTTTGCACAAGCAACAGCACAACTGTTAAATGTCTTTCAAGCTGTGCACTCGGGAAATTTCTAGAAAATTTCAGGAAAAGTGTATTGCCTGAATTATCCTGTTTCTGTTCTCACATGAGCTCACCTGGACTTACCCAGGGTGACCATATTCTGAATCCCCAAAAAGAGGAAACAACTACGCAGGGCGGAGTTGCACGCAAAATTTTGAGAGTTTTTCGGGTCGAGTCGAGTGTTTTTTATGTGCTTCTAACTCAGTTAGTCCATGTTTCACGAACTCAAAACTTCCTAACAAAACCCCGGACATTTGAAGGATTTTATAAACTCTGCCCAGACAGGCCGGACATCCCCCCCAAAAGAGGATATGTCCCTATAAAAGAAGACGTATGGTCACCCTGCTTTACCTGGACTGATACCTGGGGGCTAGCAGGGAATTTTCAGGTGAAGTGAAGCTTTGCACATACAGCTCACCTACAGGGTAATTTCAGGAACATTTCAGGAACTTTTTGCACATCTGAAGAAGATATGCCATCATTTCGCACTTTGTACTTTCTGGTTGCTTACTACCTCTGATGCTAGCTCAGTCAGTATGTTTACATGACACTTGAGAAAACCGAATTATTGGCTTACTCTGATTAAGACTGGACAACTGAAGTGCATGTAAACACCTTAGTCTGACTATAATCGGAGTCTGAGAACTCCGATTGAGACACCCAGATAATGCGATTGGAATTCGATTTTCTCTACTATGTAACCAGCGTAGTCGAAGTATGATTGGATAACGCATGTGCATGTGCGTTACGCCCCTGTAACCTGGAACAAAAACACCAAAGATGAGAAGTAGTGTGCATCTCATCTGCAGAAAAAGTAGCGCGCACATAATGTACGACAAAAACAGCGCTGTGCGATGCTCCATCCTCTTGCTTGAAAATGCTCAGCAGCAGTTGTAGACACTTCAGACGTCTGGCACGGACAAGTAGAGAAGTCCGACTCGGAGAAAAACACGAACTATGAGCTCAGTCTGATTAAGTTGTGCATGTAAACGCACTGACAGAGTGACAACAGCACTGCTCCACTGCTGCAGCTTGATATCCGGTGGTTAAATGCTTTTATAGCAACTGTTTTACTTCTGTATGTTTTGCATTGAAACAAAAGGTGTAATTGTTTCAGTTTGAGTGGGTGATGTAGAAGCGACTATAAATAACCTTCTGTTATGTTTTCATTCTGTTGAAACCAAAGACATGAAAACGCCTGTAATCTGCGTATCACTAAACCATGTCTGCTGGTTTGTTGTGCATAAACACACATCCTTGGGGTCTGACTGTAACCCCCGTCTGGACGTGGTTTACAAGGTTTTGTTCCTCACCTCGCTCGGAGTGGACTCCACTTCAAAGTGTGCTCTCTGTCTGAGCGCAGATGTAAACGGAGTTAAACCCTAAATGTAGCTGAAAGTTAGCGGCTCTGTCAACCCTTTATTTAATGATCCTCATCTGACAGCCCAGGATGGTTAAACTCCTGCTCCAGGCTCCAGGCTTCTGTCCCAGCATGACTCATGAAAACCAGCAGCAGCAGCAGCACAGACTCAACATTCACCGTAACCTCGACAACGACTGCTGGTGGTGGGAAAAACCTAAAACTGAAGGTCACTCTCTTTCTTTACAGCTTTCCTTTCCCAATGTCACACCCAGTAAGAAAATGTTTAGGGCATTTTATCGTCAGACACACATGCAGAAAGGATGTTGGGCTCAGCTCTCTGGGTTTACAGGAAGGACTGATTCGGCTTCAACCCAAAGTTTGGGAGTTTTAACAGCTTCCAGAAAAGGTTTTTACTCATGACTGGACAAAACACAAAGTACTCATTTGTACTAGCGTAAAATAAGAGCAAAGTTCAGTTCAGACATGAAGAAAACGAGTAAAAAAGCAAACAAGTCTTAAAAACTAGTACATAGAAAGGCCTTAACCCTGTGGTTTATCCAATGATGAGCAGAGGGTAACTGACCTGGCTGCAAAACCACATCTGAATGTGTGTAATTTTACATGAAAACCAAATTCTTCTGAGTTTAAATAGTTTCTCAGTTGAAATTTGTCTCCATGAGTTTGTTTTTCAGTTTCCAACTCCAAGTGTTCTTACGAAGAACCTCATGTACAAAGGCTGAAGTCCAAGATTTGATTTTAACCTGCAACCTTCATGCTGCAAATGAACAAGTGATGCAAAAATCTGAACAAATGCATCAATTTTGTGCAAAAGTAAATGATGCAAAAACTAAAACCAAGCGAAAACAAAGCTGTGAGGTCTAGTCATCATATAGAAAGTGCTCCAAGCCTGTAGAGGGCGCTAAATGGAAAAGCTATGTAGAGATGCAACAAAGCTGTCAAAGCTGAGTGTCTTTAATGACTATCAAACAACTCTTTTGTATGTTTTTTGAATTTGCACCCTCTTCATGAAAAAGTCCAAAACTCGTCCAATAGGGGGCGTCATCAGGGCTGTTTCTGCTGTTTGTATATTAGCTCTATTTCCTAAAAGGATGCACTGAGATTGATGGTACGATGAACACCATAATGATCCACATTAATCACTCCACTCATGTCACTCTGCTCTAACCGGGACCTATGGAAAAGGTTCTCTTTCTGGAAGTAAACATGATCCTTTGCAAGTGCAAGTACTACGTCTGCGGGAGGGTTGAACCCAGGACACGATGGCTTCGATTTCAAGGCTGCATCTTTTCCCAATCAGGACTTGTAAACAAGCTGATGAGTAAGTCACTGCTAAGCTCTTCTCTTGGTTTTTATCTGTTCAGAATTAAAATTTCTGAAACGTATGCTGGAAAACACAGATCGATGTTTATCTCCAACATCAGTGAATAAATACAAAACGCTCCTCTGCTGCACAAAAGAAGAGAAAACTGCAGATGAAAAGTTGGTTGCTATGGATCCTGCTCAGCCTGTTTCTCTATCAGAGAAAATCAGCTAACAGCCTCAGGTGGTCTCATTGTTTCTGCTAAGCAAACATGAGTAACAATGACGCTGATATCCAGTCTGCGCAGGTGTTCAACACTGAAGTGAAGGGGATCTGACCATGAATACCAAGACCTTTTTTGTGCATATGTCTCCAACTGTAATCATTTTCATTCCTGTGTGTGCGCACAGATTGTCCTGCTAGCCACATAATCCAGCTCCAGACTCTTTGGGTGACTCTACAAAATCACAGTTAGCAACCTGCTGCAGATTTAATAACACGTAGAAATCTTGCCTGTTGGAGCTTTCAGGTCTTTTTTTTTTGGTCCAAAATGTGAGTCGTTTAATCCGTGAACACGGCGCAGCAGATGGATCAATTCATGCAGTCATAAGCAGCATAATGCAGCTTTAAGGTCACTGCAGGTTTACAAAGCGTTTTGATTTGACTCCCAATCAAAGGAGGAGGAGGAGGAGAGGTAAGAGGTGGAGAGGGGGGATTAAAGTCTGATTTTCCAGGAGGCTTTTGGAGAACATGAGCATCAGACTCCTACAGGATCCATACTGACTCAGTCCAGCCATGCGGAAGAAGAGCGGCTCGGCTTGAATCACAGTAATGTAATGAAAGCTTTACTCACAGCAGGCTGAGGTATCCAAAGGTATTTAGACGAAACACACGCAGCCTGGATTCACTGAGCCTTTAAAAACACAGCAGAGGTGTCAGTGTTAAAGGGATATTCCGGCGTAAATTAATTTAGGGTCAAACACACCGTAACACCGAGTTAGACACCCCGTCGAGAGATAAGTGTTGTCGACTGGGACCGTATATGTCCTGTTGATGAAGTTAGGTGCTGTTCTGAGCATTATTTGTGGTTATAGAGTGGTGTTTTGGTTGAGCGCGTGGCTCTCTGTATTGCTATCTGCAGTCGTTACTAAAGTTGGTATAACTAGAGAAGCAAGCGGTCGGCAACATTCATCTCTCGACGGGGCATCTAACTCAGTGTTACGGTGTGTTTGACCCTAAATTAATTTTATGCCAGAATATCCCTTTAAAGCACATTTTCAGAGAACAGTAAATAAACTAAATATATCCACGACACTGAAACAGCACCTCCAGTTAAAATGTTATTTTAGCTCAAATGTGAACACAACTGGAAATGGAAAATCATCGAATCAAACAGCACAGCGCTGTGGCAGCAGACAGTATCGGAGACTCAGTCACAAAAGACTTGAAAACTAAAAAGACCTGAATCCCTATTTCTGGGATCATCAACCTAAACCCTGCTCTGATGTGGTAAGATGGATTGACGACAAATCATCAAGTTCGTATGACTTTTGTGGATCTTAATGGATACTGGACGTGGATGTAGGAGACCCTCCTAGCTGCAGAAGTCGGGGGTAGACCGTCTGAAGATGCTGATGTCTGTCTCTTTCTCTGTTGTATTTGGCTACTCAGTGTATTGCTCTGTCCTCCAGCATGGAGAAAGTGTTTCTGTCGGTGGATCGTTTTCACGGACTTCATGTTTGCTGCCTGTTTTTCTTTGTCTGAGGAGAGCATTTACTTCCTATCACACCAAAGTCATAAACAAACCCTCCATGAAGACGACTCTACACATCACTGAACCAGTTTTTCATAGTAGACATCAAACTGTCAATGAGAGCTGACGCTTGTAATCCAAAACTTGGGCCAAGTGAGGTCACAAAACACGCCGCTGCCTGAGGCCGCCAGCAGAGCCCAGACACCGCCAGTTAATCACTTACATGCATTTAGCAGCGGGATGTCAGACTACAAAACATGGGTGGTGTGATGTGAAGTTTATGGAGATAAATTCAAGTTTAGCAGCTGACCTAAATGTAGAAACAGTCGGAGTCATTCTATGATCCGTGGAGATTTTGGTCTCTTTCACAGCAGCTATAGGCTTATCGGAGGAAAAAGCTGAGATTTCCTTCTCTGTTAAATTATAGTCCGTAGAAATGCCGCAGACAGTGGTGCTTTGTCGTCCCCACCCTGAATGACAAGCAGGACCACATAGACTGGATGCCAACGAACCATATAGACTGAGGAGACAGAGACAGAGTCAGCTGTTTGTGAGTGCGTGACATTTACCTAAAAGCTGTGCTGAAACACAAACTTTGAGGTCTGAACTCGGAGCGTTTGCTGCTGCTTTATTTAGCTTGAATGCTTTATAATGGTGCGGTGGTTAGGATTGATGGTTGGACTAACATAGATGGAGGAAATGAGCCACAAATTAAACAGTGAGAATAGGTGCACTCCAACACACAACTGTTCAAATCGAGCACCACCACAACCGATCACAACAACAATTAATCTGCACTCACAGAGTTTAAGGTGTTCTGGTTTCTATTTGTAGTCCGAGTACTGGATTTGATATATGCCTGCAGACTACCATCCACCTCAATGATACCAAGTTCTCATTTTGGGTTATGTTTTGGGTTTGTACAGCCTCTTTGTACCTCACCATATACAATGAAACTGAGACTCACCAGAAACTGAGAAAACGGCTCACATAAATGGTCTTTGTTTTGTTGACATGTATTTTCAGGCTCATGCTGCTGCTGTATCCAGTAAAATCCCTGAGACTTCATATTAACAGTAAAACTGAGACTCTGAGAACACAAAGATAGGCACAAACAAACCAAGTTATAAAAGGTTTATTTTCCAGATGATTTTAAAGGTTCATTTCACTTGGGTTGACCATAGCGAACAGAATCAAGTCTCTTTGTAACTATTTACAATGAAGCTGAGACTCACCAGAAACAGAGCAATAGGCTCAAATGAACCAAGAAATGTCAATGCTGACCATCCAAATATGCTATTTTAGGTTCATTTAACTTTGATAAACCAGAGTAAAGCCTATATGTAACTTATTGTTTACAGTGAAGCTGAGACTCACTTAAAACTTAAGAATAGGCTGAAATAAACCAAAAAATTACTTTTAAAACCCTATTTCAGGTTCCTTTGACTTAGATAAACAAACGTGAAGCCTCTGCATAACTAACTTTCTTCGCTTAAATGAAGACTAAGCAGAAACAGAGCAGCAGGCTCTAACTAACCGAAAAATTACTGTTTATTATCCAGATGCCTATTTCAGGGTCCAGACTGAAGCCTCTGTGTAACTCACTAGTTACAATGAAGCTGAGACCTAACAGAGGCATATCAACCGCCACTACTCCAAGGTGTATAATGATCAAAAACCTGCTATTTCTAACTTCTACTTTATAAATTTACTGAGGTAATTTCTGCTTTTTAATCCACATGATTTCAACACCAACTTTTAAAATTGGACACTCTGTAGATTTAGATTAAGGAACCAAAAATGAGTGTATGAAACATGGCTGGCTGTGAGTAAATGTTGTATCATCTTTCAATCTGCTGATCAGAAAAACAAAATAAATCATGAGAAAGGGAAGGCAGCAAACAACCACACTGACTGCTCAAACTGAAACTGTTGCAATTACACACATGACGAAACAAGATGCACAATGAATTCAAACAGTAAGTTGTAAGAAGTGCAAATAAACTCCTTTTTCTAGAGTTTCCAGACCAAAGCGGAGTCAAAGCCTAGACTAAAGTTTGGATAAAAACTTTAAAGATCCAGTCTTGTTTACAAACTTTGGACATACATCCTCCTGTGGTTGTGCCGATAATGAGGCTAAAAACCTCTTAAATCAGGATCACTAATCTAGAGCCCAAACTTCCAACCACACTCTGAATTCCTGTTTATACCCACAGTCAGCGCTGGTTTCGCCTACCGAATCCTTTCATAGCTGAGTGGGCAGAAATTAGAGCTCTGCAGGGGTTGAAACACAGGGGCCCCATGAAAACAAGACAAGGTGGTCTTACAAATTTGAGACCAGGACAAGCTTGGACTGTAACATGACGCAGCAAGAACACAGTGAAGGTAGAAGCACGACTCTGAGCTGTTTACGACTAATTATCTAGTTTTAGACTGAAAAGACCTCTAGAAAAAACAAACAAAAGTGTCTTCGATATCTTTCCAGTGATTTAAAAAGTGTTTAAAGAGTATTTTTTGCTGGCGTAAAGTTCAAACATTTTATAAATCTTGGGCGGATGGATGTTTAACGTGTGTCTGGTTCTGCTTGAGGATTCTGCCTGTTAAAAGGAGGCTTTGGACGATGTTGCTAAGTACTTTCTCGCTGTGGATTAATGTTTGGTCTCTACATGATACAAGGAAATAAAAGTATGTCACCATCACTGCAGCTGCTTTATAATGACAAATTGAACCTTGTGAAATAAAAATGAAGGGGAAAAAATTACAGTCAATATTTTTTTGTTGAGATAAACTAGAAAAAGGAGCGACAGCTACGACTAGCATGTTTGTTGTCTGGACTATAAATAAGGGTTAGCTTCAGAAACAGCATAGTTTACCTTCTACATTAAATAAAGTCAAATACCTAGTTATTACATTTGTATAAATAAGCTTCTGAATCCTGTAATATCGACTTAAACACACTCGACAACTTCACACCTTCTGCTGTGAGCACAGAGACGCTTAAAGCTCCACGGGATTTATCTCCTCAGGAGCTTTTGGTTTATAAAATGATATTATTTTAATCCTCAAATCAGTCGACGTTCTGCATCATGTGTCTGCATGAAATGAGTGTCTGAATACATCTATTATTGTGCGTTTGATACCGATGATCTTCATTGCAGACGTCAGTTTATTTCCCACCCCTCCATCTGCTCCAGACCTGGAATATAATCCAGATTAATGCCAACAAACCCCTGCAACTCACACACACACACATACGCACACACAGACAAACATACACTCACAGACAGGCATTCGTTATACTGCCAAAACACACACAAGGACACACAATCACTTCTGAATGAGCACACTGAGTCCTAATGTATTCAAATGCATTAATGCCAACACACACACACACACACACACACACACACACACACACACACACACACACACTCCCGTGCCGACACACAATGCTGTAATCTGGGTCAGAGTTTGTGATTTGGGATTGACACATCCGTTGTCTGGGTGACCCAGTGCTGATCATCAAACCGGCCTGTAAACATCATCAGTGCGGGACCGAGAGTAATTTTCTCTGATGGACGGAGTGAAGGAGGGAATTAAATCATCAGGGGAGTGTGATGAAATTAGGTGTGGCGCCTGTGTGAGAGTACTCGTGTTTCTAGCTATGTGGGGGCCAATTTAGGTTTTGAATTGACACAAGTGGGGACACTTTGTTTTACGAGGATGTCTTTACACAGTGAAGTACCCTTGTATTGTGAGGAACATTTTTCTTAATGATTAAAGGACATTTTGACACTGTGAGGACATTTCAGCAGCTTGAGCACAGTTTTGCTAAATGAAAACATTATTGCAACAACAAATACTCACACATAAAGCGCGCTGGATTATAAGGCACATTGTCAATTTTTGGGTGCGCCTTATAGTCCAAAAAATATGGTATGTACAACTTGTCATCTTCCCTTCTGAGTGCAATTCACAATCTACAAGCTGCCTTAAAACTTCTCTAGGCAAACCTTTGTAAATTAAGGCTGCTTCTCAATGACTACCAGACTAAAACAATAAATATCAAATGCCCAAACCGGCAAAAGAAAGACTAAAAGTACCAATAAGATGAAAAAGAAAGGTTTCTAATGCAGAGAAACGATCAAACCCATTGGCTAGAACCTTTTTTTTTCACCTGCAATTCCCTTTAACAGCCACAGGGGGCACTGAGGAAACAAAACTTAAATCATTTCATGTGACGCTTCAAGATTTGACTCCAAAGTTAAATTTTAGGGTTTGTTTTAGATTAAATGTGGGGTGGGGGTTGTGTTGAGACTGAGTAAGCAGTGTTTGTTTTGGTTACAGCAGTGACAGCTTCACAGCGAGGGTCCCCGGTCGTGTACAAAAACAAACACTCTTAAATGTGATTGCGTGTTTTTCTGACCTCCAAAGCCTGGTCTCATGGCGAAGTCGTGCTCCTCGATCCTCAGCAGCTGTTCACTTTTTATCAGCAGCGTTTTGGTGCTGTCCTGCCTCTTCAGTTTGTAGTCAATACGTCTGCAGACAACAGACATACATACACACACACACACACACACACACACACACACACACACACACACACACACACACACACACACACAGATGACAGACAGACGGACAGATTGTTGCGTGATTAGTTGCTTTATTATGGATGTAATTACTTGTTTTGATTAGAGAAAACACAGTCTGTGGTTTTGTGTCTCTGTCCTCACCCGCTCTCTCTTATCCTGCCAAAACCAGAACCAGAACCAGAGTGGGACGGCTCCACATACAAACATACATGCGTACACATGTACAAGTTTTCTATCCTGCACAAAAACAACACTCAGTGCTTTTGCAGAACCGGCTGCTGTAGGTGCGTGTCAATACATGCAGATCATTTTACTTTAAACTACATTTCCCATCAGCCATTTCTTCCCGAATCTTAATTTTAAAGCTTTTAACTGTTTCTGTGTATCATCACACAACAAAATGAATCCGAAAAGCTTAACATGATTAAAACTTAATCTGAATTTCACTTCTTTTGATTCCTGAAAACTATTTTTATTGATTAGTTTACTGCATTTCAAATAGATTAAATATTTCACAATTATTAATTATTTCTCAAAACATTGTTTGATATGATTTTGGGGAAAATAAACACACTTCTTTTTTTTTTTTGTTAAAGGAAAGATTCACATTTTTTTCTCAAATAGTAAACACCAGTTAGCATGCCTGTGCTCTTCACAAATTCCCTCTTTGAGGACATTAATCTACTAAATGAAGGGTATTTTCAGACGGTAATCTATATTTGACTGTAATTATATACAGCTCTGATGTTTTGTTTTCCACCTGTTACGATCGCAGGGAGCCTTGTGGCGGGAATGAAATGTCAAACTCAACCCTGTGACGTAGGTTAGAGTCTTGAAATGTGTCATAAAGAAAATGTAAACTTCATATTGAGTTTTTCTCAGTATGATGGTTTCAGGAAAAGTAAAGAAAACATTTAAACAAAGCATAAAAGAAACACCACGTATGTCTGACATTTAACCAGGGAAACCCCGGCCAGATGAGGGTCAGGATGTAAAAGGTGTAATTACAGCCTCAGCATGGCTTCCTCTCTATAGCAGTGTGTGTGTGAGTACGTGTGTGTGTGTGTGTATTTAGAGGGAGTAAACACACACACACACACACACACTGCGTACAGGTGAGCACACAATTGAAAAAGAGATAAAAGCTGTTGGAGATTTTCTCCCCTCGCAGATGAAAAGCCTCTTTGAAAGTCACACACCTTAACGCAAACAACCTGGGACACACACACACACACAGTCGTGCGCACACATTTGGACACATTTGGTTCCAATCATTGTGAGGTCGGTCAGCGAACTCGAGCCAAATCCCATCTCCATAATCCCTTAAATTAACCTTGAAACAAACACAACAATCCCACGAACGAATCAAATTTTAGGACAAACCTTGACCCTGAAAACAGACTTTAGAAGTTTTTTCTTTAGTCATAATTAAGTTTAAATTTACCAAACCGATGCCTCCTTTTATCCAAATAAAAGTCACACTTTCATCTTAAAAATCCTGTGTTTTTTTTAGTTCACTGCAGAAATTCGAAAGGAGGAAGGACGGCATGAAAACTGTTGATAAGAACATAATTTAGTGGTTTTCAAATTATTTCAACCTCATTTACACCAATAAATATTAATTAAAGACAACTAATCCAGTCATAAAAGTGAAACTAGTCACTGAAGTGTTTCACGAAAATCAGATCATTGGAGTGGGTCTGATCTCCCAGGATGGGTCTCAGTCTGATCCTATCTTTGGTCTTTGTAAACAGTTTGGTCTGGATTGGCTCTTTTGTTAAGTATCTTGATTTTCAAATATAATTTACGACTCTGAGTTTTGAGTTATTCTTGTTGTCAAATAAAAGTTTGTCTGAGGTTGAAAATGTTCAGTCCTGTTGGGGTAAAAATGATCACTGAGGTCTTTTATAAGAGATCCATGAGGTGGTTTTACACCCAAACACAACTTGTCAGAGATTCCAAACTCGCTGAATCCTTTAAACGGCGGCATCTGAGAGCTTTCTGTGGCTTCTCCGCTGCCAGACGAGTAAAAACCGTCTACGGAATAAACTCTCAGTGCCAGCAGCTGAAAGCTTGCCGTGGTCGGTCGTCTGCTGTGAGCAATAAACACAGCAGAGTCAATGAAAAAGACCCTTTTTCCATTTTAACCCACATTCAGAGGAACTTTACTGCAGTGAGCTCGCAGATCAAATAACCTCACGGGAAGCATAAAAGATAATTTTAAGTTGAAATACTGCAGACATAAACAGTCACTTTTTAACCTGTAATGTCTAATTTGGAAGAAAATAAAAAGTGTAAAAAAGGGGAATTCACAGCCGGGCGCTGAGGGTTTTCTGAAGAAAAGAGAAGTGAAAAGGATCAAACCATGAGAGACTGGATCAGCAGGAGTTCACTCAGAGATCACAGGACAGAACATCCTGAAAGACTGACGTTCAAACCTGATTATGATCTGTGCCGCAGACTTCAGTCACCTCCTACGATGACGAACTCTGACCCTGCCTTTGAATAGGGATTCGTGTGTATTAGTTCACATTTCCTAAGAAATGACTCAGTCTTTTGGCATTCTCAAACATGGATGTGTAACTTCCAGCTAACTCTGAATTTATTAAACATTAGTTCATGTTTCACTGATGTTATCGCTTTTTTAGTGGACGGTCAGCCAATATCAATTTGAGTTGTGATCAGTTTTGATGTTCCCATCATCCTCATTTTTCCTCTCTTGTTATGACTTCTCATGTCCTGCTTCCCCAAGTCGTCACTCTACGTTTACATGTTGTCCAAAAAATCCATTTCCCACATTAGTCGGATTGAAACTGAACTTTTAAAGCGCACTTAAACACATTAGTACAAGAAAAGTCACACTCAATTAAACAAAGATAATGCCGTTGGGGATCGATTTCCTTTTGCCCCAATAAGACTCAAACTGGTCAAGGCACGCTCCATAGTTTGCATGTCAGGCTTTGAAGAAGAAGAAGAAGAAGAAGAAGTGGAAGGTGGAAGGTGGATTACAAAAGATAAAGCCGCTGTTGTATACGTAGTAAAGTTACAGTGCCGTAAAGTTCTCTGTACTTTCACTGCTCGACATACAATCATGTTTATCGATTGTTTTGGTCTGTGATGTAAAAGGTCAAGAAGAAGATGGACCAGACTTACTCAGATCCTGTGTTTTAAGTTTCTGTTTATTTCCCTCATTTCTTATTTTCTCTGCTTGTGACGGATTAGCCAATCACCTCGAATCCAAAGTTTTTAAAATTGAGAGTAATGATCGTAACTTCCATGTCGTCTTTCGATGCCAAACTGACCTTTTTGCCACAGCTTCAACAGGCAGAGTGGAAAAGAGAGGACTCATTTACATGGATTGACGTTTTGTTTTTATGGTGATGAATTGGAATCAAGTATTTTACATCCCTGGGATTTGAGTATTGAAACCAGGTGATAAAATGTTTAAAACTTGAAGGTCGTGTTTGTTGTAAAAGTCAAGAGACTCGTTTGTTTGGCAGTATCATCCTAAACAAACACTGACGAAGAAAGAAAGAAGAAGAAAAAGGTGACCTGGAAAACCTTAAGCTGAGTTGGGACGCCAAGATAATCTTCTTCTTCTTCTACATTTGGTCAACATAACAAAAAACCTTTAGTATCCAATCATCCAAGAACAAATAAACATCTTTACAACACAACACAGCCTTTCTTCCATCAGGACCAAACTCTCCGTCTGTGTCTCACCCTCCAAACTTGAACTTGCTGTTCTCTCCCAGAAAGACCTCCTTGTTCTTCCTGCGTCCGGAGCTGCGGCTGCACGCCACCATCACGACGAGGCTCGCTGCAGCCAGAGCGATGCAGGTCAGCACGTCCGCCCTCATGTCTCACAGGTTTCCCCGCCGCCACTCACACGACGGCAGCATCCCAGCCACAGTGAGCCACCAGCTCCCGCTCCCAGCTCCAGGTCTCTGCAGACTAACTCTGGTGGTTTTGGTCAAACATCCCGCAGCAGGTGGAAGTTTCCTCGAGCAGAGAGATCCTGAGAGTTGGAAAAACTTCCGGACAAGGCGAATGCATGAGTGGTGCTCTGAAATGTTCCCTTAAATGCATGTGTTTGTGTTTCTACATGCAAATATTTCTGCGGCAGATGTCTGCGCAGCTCCTCGGTGACCTCCTGAACATCCTGTCTGCGATGATCTCCAGGAATCTTCTGCTTTCTTTGCCGCCTCTCTTCAGCTTCATCCAGTCCACCTGTCACAGTCTGCTCCTGTCCTCTTCATCTGCTGTTTTCGGCATCTTTCCCCTCTCTGATTAAAATCGATATGAATCTATTCTTCGCAGCGATAGAGGAATGACACTAATTCCACCCTAATCCTCTTATCTGCAGCCGCAGCAATCTTTTACTAACCTACAAACAGTCACACACACACACACACACACACACACACACAAAGCCATCAGTAATCAGGATTTTCTCAGCAGGACAATAAAAAAACAGGCACCTGGTGTGATTATGTGAGGTGAGCGCACACCTTCACTCCGAGGGTGAGGGAAAAATGAATCAAGGGTTTCCAAGACGCTCAAACTACAAAAGGTCGTCAAGATTTGTCAGGGTCTGATCTGTGTCGTATCAGTTTAATCCAGAATCATCCAAAGCTTCCTCAGTTTACACCTACGGAGCTCATAATCTCTCTGACACTCTTACAAACACGCTCATCGATCGATCAAGTCTGAACAAGTACAAATTAAATACATGCAGCAACGTGCAAACACACATGCAGTCTGTCCTCAGTACATGTTTCATCTGTGCAGTTTATATGCCCAAGAAGTTTGGAAGAATTTCTCCTCTTCAGCTCAGATTATCGGTCAGAGGGGCTAAAACGAGGTGATCTGAACGGTACAAGATTCAAAGTAGCTCAGGGATCAGGAAATTTAAGATCAACACAAACACAACATCAGCATTTATGTCTTTATCTGAAAGATCACGTGTTAAATCATCAGTAAACAGGTTTATATTTGCTTACATTCATCCATAATACCTCCTTATTACACTCGCCTTTTAAAAAATGTGTGTCATTTGTAATTATTAAGGTTTAGGAGCAAATCATCAACCATAATCTTGGACAATCCAGTCTAATCTGAGGTGGTAATTTGGTTTGAAGAAGGTGTCTGCAGCTAAACGAAACTAAAACACTCAAAGTTTTATTAGGCTGAATGTTTGAGTGAAAACAGAAATCATGTGATCAGATAATCAGTCACAAGGTTACTTTGAAGCCTAATAGTTTCTGTGATGCACGATAAGGAAGATCCTCCGTTTGCAAAAACACGTATCAGTAAAGATTCAATTCTGCACAATCACCGCTCTCTTCTTCTTATTATTATTATTATTAGCAGCAGCCAGAGGGTTACTGGTTTGAACCCCTGGGAGGACCCCCTCGTCAGGTTGTTGTAGACTGAATCACCCTGTGGTTGGTTTGTTTGTTTGTTCATGTAAAGATGATCGTCTCTACATTTAAACCACGGTGATCTGTTCAGGGTGTACCCAGCCCCTCGCCTCATGACAGCTGGGATACGGTCCAGACCTCATGTGACCCTGAACGGGATAAGCAGCACAGATAATGGATGGATGGATGGATGGGTCTGGAGGTCCTGCATAGTAACCTTTGAGTGTGAGACACTTAATTTCCAGCGTTGTCGTGGATGTTTATTCACTATTCTAATTTTGAAATGTATTTCTCATGGGGAGAAATTATTTTATTTATGTAAGGATAAATAGTTTTACTGTCTAAAAGGCCAAATGTTTTGTTTAATCAATTGCTCTTCAGTCATAATGGTCATAATTTCAACACAAGGCATGAATCAAATGGTTATTTCACACTTCCACTCACCAGTACGAACTCTGGACAGCGTACTGTCATGTTCAGAGGTATGAAAGTACGGAATAGTCTTCCTTCTGTTATTACAAGGTTAACCAGTAAACGTGTGTTTAAAAAGGAGGTATACTAATATCTAATGATCCAGACTCGCTGAAATAAGAAACAGAACACCTCGACTAGGCTGTGACAACATACAATACATGCCAATGGGATTTTGATTGATTAGTACATTTAATTTGGCCTTTATTGGTGTTTGTTGTGATTGGAAATCTAATGTCATCATCATCTTGTTTTAGTTATGATTTTAACATCTTGTTTAATTCTCCTGTTTGGACTTTTATCATTTTAATGTATACGGATGTTTAATGTCTTCTTGTGGACCCCAGGAAGAGTAGCTGCTACTTAGGTAAGAGCTAATGGGGATCCAAATGAATAAACAAATAAAGAAATGACATCAGTATGTTTACATTTCAGTCAAAGATATGGATTTAATTCCTTAGACCGACTGATAGCAGACCTTAAAAATACATTTAAACACGTGAATCTGACTAAAATCTCACTAAATCAAACCTCAAAGTGTGACCACGCTTTTGGGATTTTGGACTGAAATTGATTGAAATGTTCCACACATCCCACTGAGTATTTTCTGGTCTAAAAGAGGTCTAATAGACGTCTAAATGTAGCCTCGACGACTGGTCTAAAATCAGGCTACCACAGGTCTAAAAAGGAACGCTTTGTTTAGATGTCTAAATAAATTTAGACTAAATCTAAATCTGGGCCATATCTAAACTACACTGTTTATTGCTCAACGACTATCATAATTATTTTGGTTAAGAACTTGGAGATTAGTTATAACTCACAGTTGCTTTTTGGAATAAAGTGGAACGTCTAAATTCTGTCTAAAAATATACAGAATCTAGACAGTTGAAATTAGAAGTCTAATAGTCGTCTATTACTCAGTGAGATGCTCAAAAGTTTGCACGCCAGGCTTTGACCTGGAAGTTAAACATCATAAATGTGTCTGAAAATAGACAAAGCTGTCGTCTAGTTTGTACAAAAGCGACAGAGCTGTGAAAATTGCAGTGTTTTCATTCTTCGATGTACATCCACATGTGACCACTTGTTGATGCGTTTGTCGATTGTTTTGGTACGTAACACATCGACCAGGAGACGATCCAGTGCTCCTGAGCTGAAAGGAGGCATGTTGCAACCTTCTGTATCTCATTTCAGAGAGAAACCAAAGACTGATTTAACAGTTTTTCACTTTTTAACCTGATTTAAAATCCCGTCTGATGCCAGAGAACGACCAAAAGAGGACACAAAGCAAATCCAGTCTCGCCTCCTGACATTTAAAGACAGAACTTTAACATTTAATGTGCAGCCAGGTTTACCCTGTGTGCTACATGAGAGTCCTTTTGTATATGTGTGAGGTGTGTGTGTGAGCAGGTGTGTGTCAGCCTCCCTGTTGCCTGTCTGACATACAGATCATTGCTCGTGGTCCACGGCGGGAACGAAAACAGCTCTGCTCTTTGAAAGCAAACCCCGCTGACATTTGATGGAGCTGCAGACCGAACACTGACTTAGTCTATGGAGGGTCTTCTGTGTGTGTTAAAGAGAGTTTGCCAATCACAACCAAACTCCACCCACTCAGAGGGTGTGTGTGTGTGTGTGTGTGTCTGTTTGGAAGCAGCCTTACCCTTCCTACAATGTGTGTGTTTGTGTGTGTGTGTGTGTGCTGCCTATTCTCTAAATAACCTGTTGATCCAGTCAAGCTCACACTCAGCCTCAGGAGGCAGCCTGGACTCGGACTCCTCTCTTCTTCCTCTTTCTCCTGGGTTTCATCTGAGTCACTCTGAGTGTTTTCTCAGCTTTCACGCACGTTTCCCGGCATGTCACTGACAGATGGAGCTCATTTCAGCGCACTCACAGCTCCGTGAGCCACCACGGGACTAGACAGAGTGGACGTTAATTTACCAAAAAGGTTTAACATCTGATGACCTGAAACTTCTGTGAGTACTAAGTTTAAACTTTTTTGTGTATAACTGTAGATATCTGAGGTTTTCTAATATTCAGGTAGATTTTTTCTGAGTTAAAGTGACTTAAATGAATCTGCAAGACTGGATAAGACTGTTTTTAACATTTACAGTTACATTTTGTGTCGTCATGATTGAGCTTGAAACTGGAAAAAAAAACTTGTGAACTTCTTTCATTCATTCAGCTGCTTTTACACAAACCTGAGAGACAATTGCTCCCAGACGAAGTGAAGTGCAGCTGTTTTGAGTTAAACTCAAAGAGCAAACAGGGTCAGAGGGCAAACCTTAATATCTTTTTATTGAAACAATATGCTTTTCTTAAGACGGAGAGAATCTGCCTGTTTTTTGTTTCCTGGAGCTCTTCTGTGTGGAGGAAACTTTACAAAACTTTGCTTGTGGTACATAAAGTTTTCAATAACATGCAGATCGATGCGATGGCTGTCTGCATGCAAAACATGTAAGAACAGGCAAACATTTATGTTCTGTTGGTCATGTCTGGGATTTTAGATTTGTTTCTTTCAAGATTTACAGTCCAGTCGTTCTCTGACATATGAGAAATCCCAATATGTTGTTGGAGCTGGGAGATACTGGTCCTGTGGTAGAGTGGGTCATCAGTCATTAGAGGGTTGTGGTTTGGTCCCACATCCTACAGTCACATGTTGAAGTACCTTTGGTCAAGACTCTGAGCTCCAATGGTATGAGAATGGATCAGTCAGAGCTGATGGAGAATTTACATGAAGCTCCAGAAAACATCAGATTCTGGGTTGAAATGCCCCCCTGCTCACCTCTCTAGTCTGTGAAGTTATGGTGGCCTTTTGGGGACAAGAAGCTCCTGTGATGCATGACGACAAACCTCCTCTTTCTCTTGAAACTTTATTTAACCAGAAAAAAACCTTGTTGAGATATAAAAAAAAAAAATCTAATTTGCAAGAGTGTCCTGGCCAAGACAGGCAGCAGTACTTTAACAAAGTTACAGACATATACAGACAATAACCAGGTCAGTCGAAGTCGCAGAGCAGATCATTTTCAGTCAAAGCACTTACAGCCTGCTTCATCTTCCTCTAGGGCCTTTACTCTACATTAAAAAAGATTTAGAGAGACCAGCTCTATCTAGCAGCATATCTGAAACTTATTTTGCTCATTCCAAGACGAACTTTGGGGACAGAAAGCAGAAGTAGATTTTGAGTCTGAGTCGCAGGACGAAGGCTCGAGCTTCCAGAACTTTTATCATGAATACAGTTACTGAAGTTTGGTTGAAGCAGGCCAAGTGTAGCCTTGTAAATGAGGGTGTGCCAATGGTTCAGTCTAGTTAGAGAGGGCCATCCAACTTGTTCATACAGGGTACAATGATGAGATAAAGCCTTGAGGTTTGTTATGAACCTCAGAGCTCTGTGATAAACAGTATTCAACGATTTAAGGCTTGGAGCAGATGCATGCATGTATAAAACATATAAAACATCACCATAATCAATCAGAGACATGTAAGTAGCAGCAACAAGACGCTTCTTCTTCTTCATGTTCGTTTTTGTGCAGCTCACTGAAAACAAAAATGTGCATTTTAAGTTTGTTCGTTTTGAGCTACTATAGAAGGACATTCTGATATAACACCTTCGATTTCACTCAACAAATACAAACATATCTTTTAATTTCTGCCTTGTCTGTTCTGGTAAAAAGCCACACACTGTACCTTTAAATGGGATTATATCTGTTGTAAATTAGGTAAGAGCATGTGTGGAGTGAAGAGGGGCAGAGGCCTGAATACTTGACACCCACAGTGGGGGTATCTTATGGCTCTGTTTTGCAGTGAGGCACAATTTGCTGCATGTTTTCGGTCCACTCAGAGGACAGGGTCAATCTATACACCTTAATAACTTAATACAGCGCTGTTATGATCGACCACCTGTCTCTGAATCCCATCTGGATCTGATGTTTGACAGAACTTGAAACTAGACATGCGATGAGCGAGTGTCGGTGCAAAACCAGGATTGCTGTTTGGATGTCCCGTCTTAGTCTGGTGTTATCTTGATCAACAAAGTGGAGATTATTCTGAGTTAGCGTCCGTATCTGTGACTGAAATGATGTGATTGAACTGATATTACTGCTTATTCGGTTCACTTACAGGATGTTAGAAAATACTTTAAATCTCTGCAGTCATGCTGTCAGGAGGAGGGGGCGTCACGCCGACTCCCTCCCTTCACATACAGACCTTTAAGTGTCGGATAAACTCGGTCTGCAGGTCAAGAGGCTTTTGTCGGTCTGATAATGGCCTCCATTGAAGTCGCTGATCGTTACAATAAGAGTTGAGAAAGTGTGTTAGGAGCAGAGGGAGTATCGTGTTTCTGCAAAAATCTAAAGTGACAAATGACAGCATTTCCTCACACTTGTTCATGCTCACCTTTAGACGTGTTTCAGATAAGAAGGGAGTGTTTCTGAAGTGACAGAGTTATCCTCCAGAGTTACACTAATCACCTTCATAAAACTGTCATTAATACTGATATGAATGTCAAAGGGTGTCCTTGTTTGTAGGGAGTTACCAGCGCGACATTTGAATGAACTTTGATGTTGTCTTTTCTTGTTCTTTATTTCTGTCTGTTTTGGTGTGAAGCAAACTCATCTGAGCAGGATAATGAGGGACTAAAGAGGTCGAAGAGATCTTACTGGTGTGATTTTAAAAGAATAAGGTGATAAAAAGTTATAAGAAGTTAAAGTGTCAGCATATAGTTGTTGTTTTGTTGTTTTAATGCCCAGAACAGAGAGATTAACTGTACTGAAGAGCTAAAACTCCCTTACCTGACCTTAAGTGATACTCAAATATTAATTGTGAGGATTTTTTTTGCAGTAGGATAGAAATGAAAAAGGACTTATCTTGATTTTGTTTAGGATCTTGCATATTTGTGTTATTTCCTAAGGCTTCATCTCTTTACAAACGCAGAAACTTGTTTTATTAGAAAATGAGAGCTGAAACAAAAGTCTTTTCTTTTGTTAAGGAAAGTAGTTATTTGGAAAAACAAACCGGTGCAAAGGCATCAACAGTAAATAAAAGATAACATGCTCCTTTAGAAGGATTTTTCTCTCCAGCTCATCCGTGTTAAAGTCCTCTCCTTCCTCTCCTGTGAGTCTTTAGCACGATCTCCTAATCTTTGATATATCCGTCCAAGTTCAGCTGTGTTTGTTTTGAAGAGCGCTGATAGTGTGGAGATAACGTGACAGGTTTGTATTGTGCGTGAAAAGATGTTTCCTCTTTCTTTTGGCTTATCACGGCACTCCAGAGATAAAAGGAAAGGGCTCGATGTGAAGGATAAGAGGAGCATGAATGAGTGCAGCTGTAAATCTGACTTTTATTCTTTCTTTTGAAGGAGGTTTAGGAGCGAAGGGGGACGAATCCTCATAACTCATCACAAGATCAAACCTGGACCGTCCTCACGTGGCTGCACATGTCATGCTTTACGCTGTAGTTGATTTTAGCAGGAATGTGTCTCTAATTATGATTTTTCTTCTCCTTTTCCGTGCATCTGTGTGTGTTTTTGTGTGTGTGTTTTTAAGTGTGTGACGAAAGCCACCCAGGGAGATCCGAAGGATAACCTGCAGGGGGAAAAAAAATTGGAAAATCCTCGCCTTGTGTCAACGTGGTGGAGGAGGAATCATGGAGTGAAGACGTGCCTGCCTGCATGTGAAGCTGTGCATCATAAACGTGTTAAAGTGAAAGGAAATCATGTCAGCGATACTCACCTGGGCCTGTTTGCTCCTCTGGATCAGCTCTGCCACGCAGGACAAAACTCCAGGTAAGGACACAAACACCTCTTTGTCCTGCAGCCCCAGCTGACCTGCAGGGAGACATTCACAGGGAATAAAAGACTGAGGGTTTTCTTTCAGAGCCTGATACACAGACACAGTTTTAAAGAAAAAAAGAGGAAATAATCTGTGCAGAAAAGTTGCAAGATTGTGGGATTTTTCTCTTTTAATGGACAATCCTCCTTTATTAGTCAGTCAGCTTATTCAAAGGTTTCCTCTCGGTGCTGACGTAAGTGATGGAAAAATCCTCCGGCCACAGAAAGTGAAACAGCGGGGCTTAAAGGAAAAGTCTGTCTGGTTTCATTTTAACACGTCTAACCATCATCGCTGAGAGTCAAGGTTAAGTTTGACTCAACCGCCTGATTGCAAACAGCTGGAGACGAAAAGAACAGAGGAAACATGTCCCTCTTTTTTTCTATCCCAGAGAAAGAAGTTTTGGTTCCTGAACATAACCAAACTGTGACACACTTTGGGTTTGGTTTAGACCACAAAGCTACTTGGACCGGCTGCCACGTGAGACACCAGAGTCCCTTCCACACAGATATGAAACTCTTGAAGGTTCCTCAACTTATTCCAAGGGGATTGACGACAAATTTTGATCAAGACTTTTCTGTCAGCCTGCAGGGAAAATTCAAAAAAAAGTCCAGATTTGTTTACATGCATTAACTCAGAAGCTAATAGCCAAGAAGGAAACTTACTTTTAACCAAATCACCACCTTTAATGTTTGCACCACCAAAATGATGTGGTTAAGCTTCTTTCACCTGCTCCTCTGCTGTCTGCATGTTGGAGCTTTGCAGGGCTACCTCACTGTACACTGATCCAGACCAGGACTGTATATAAAGTGGACGCCATCTGCCTCCTTGCCGGGTGAAGCCACCCTGAGAAGAGCACCCTCTGGTGATGGGCTGCAGTAAAGGTCATAAATCCCGCCTCCTCCAGCAATCCATATGGAGCTGTGGACAAACTAAAAAAATTTATTACACAGAATATAGTTTTTTCTCCCCCCTGGTTGTGATGCTGACATGTAGTTATTGTAAGACTGGTTTGTGCTCAAGTCCTCTTTTTTCTGTGAAGCTCAGTTTTTAAAAGTTATTAGGGGGCTCATATTTTGATGATTGACACTTGATACAGCCTATGGGCGTACGAAGATTGTGTAGTCTGAGCCGAGCGTCTTCACGATGCTACTGCCAATGTTGGTTTCATGAAGTACACATAAATCGTGGAATTACCGAGAGCTTTCCGGCTTCAAATCCGTATACTGTAACCAAGTTGTCCGTAGTATATACAGTCTTTGGTCGCCACATACCGCTGTTTGCATTACAGGATATTCGCAACCTTACTTTTAAGTGATTTGAGACTCAACCAGCAGCAGTGACAGGTGAAATATCACAGGTAGATATGACTCCCAGCTGGTCAATTTAGTCCTTTTCTCTGCAGGGAATCTTGTTGCATGTCATGAAATAGGCCAACATCCTTCAGATCAACAGGGTGTGTGGCTGTTTGAACCTGTTTACATAGACGCTAAACTTACTATCAACAGGTTTCATGACTCACAGAACTCAGGTGAGTCATGTTTTGTTTCAACTTTAGGTTGAAGATCATGTTTTGAACTTCGGTAAAGCATCAGTAAATGGTAAGGTGACCATACGTCCTCTTTTACCCGGGCTGGTCCTCTTTTTTGGGGGCTGTCCGGCCTTGTCTAGGGGGAGTTTATAAAATCCTTCAAATGTCCGGGTTTTGTACGGAAGTTTTGAGCTTGTGTAGTGTGGACTAACTGAATTAGAATGGCACTCAACCCGACCTGAAAAACCCCTGTAGTAGTCCTCTTTTTGGGGATTCAGAATATGGTCACCCTATTGAATGGCTGGTACAAAAAATCCTTAAGGGCTCCAGAGCAAATGGTTCTTGCAAGTCCAGGTACTGCAGTCAGAAAAGGAGGAAAGGTAGAACCCAAATGTAGGGGGTGGAAATCAGAAGATTCAATACAGTTCACATTAACCTAATAAATGTGAGTACTCTGTGTTTGCTCTCTCACCTCAAAACTTTCTCACACAAAGCCACATCACTCTCCGCCAGAAGCCGACTTCACCTGGCTGTCAGGCGGGTAAACGGCTCTGCTGATTGGCTGCAGCGTGCAGGTGTGAGTCACCGATCTGAGTCACGACTCTGTTGCTGTCAAAGCTTTGTATCACCAGAAGAGCAGACACAGCTGTGAACATGAGTAGGCATAACACCGTCAGAGAGGAGGGAGGAGGTGCTGAAAGAAACACTCGGCTTATAAAGTCACATTTAATCCCTCCAGTCATTCAGCTGCTGTCAGGCCGGTAACTGTCATCAAGTCTGACAGACGCACTGATGTGAATTAGCAGACACAGACAGGTACAAACAAGCGTGATCTGACCCCCTCTGGTACAAAACCACTGATTCTGGTTTGACTCAATGTCCTGGGAAAACCCTGTCAGAGACGCGGCGTGATGAGCAGGTTGTGAAGTTATTCTGAAGAAGTGGTACAGGTATGAGGAATTCACATCAGGCGCGTGTGAACACTTTGTGTGGTGTCGCCTGTGGGTTTAAAAAGACATGTTGCACCCGGGTCAGGGTTTTCACAGGGGGGTTGTTTTCCTCTGATGTTACACTCAGGATGCTCAGATGTTCAAAGCAGCAAAAAAGTTAAAGGGGAGTAAAGGGAAAATGGCTCATATTTAAAACTACAGCATGACATATTTGATAACCATTTAGCTTTGTATTTAACTACTTCTGTCACAAAAACATGTTGACTAACATTACCGTATTGACCAGAATATAAGATAACTGATTTTTGTCCCGCTCTTCAAACAGATTTTTGAGATATCCCTTAAAAGACCTAACTTTTTTTTTTAAGTAGAAAGCAACTTAAATTAAAAATAACAATTAAATGGACAAATTAAAGCACTTAAATATTGATACACAGAGAGACTACAGACACTTAAATAAACTGAATCAGGCAGATCTGTTCAATATTGTACAATCTTTAGTATTTCTTCTCTGAGAGCAGACTCTGACAAATGTTTGAGGCCATTATTTCTTCTAACTGGATCTCTCCAGATCAGCTGATCACTGATACAGTCTCTGATTGGTCAACACACCAAAACAAAGACGTCCATCTGTGCTGTTTAGCCACTATTATTAACACATGAATCACAACATATTATTTTTTGAGGGACTGGATCTAGACAGTCTAATAAAGTACAAACTTTCTCTGTGGGGTAAAGAAGCTCACGGATGTCACAGAGACACTCAAGTATAAAACAGACGGTCTCACAAAGTGAGTGGATTTTACTGTTAGTCAGATATATATCACTGAAAAAAGTAGAAACCTGTTCTATGATCACGTTTATGCAGTTTTTCTTAAAAATACTGATCCTCATTTTTAAAATATGTCACCTCTGAAGATTCACTTTTTTTAAAATAGAAGAGTAGTTGGGGGATTACACTTGGTCTAAACATTTGCAAACCTAGATTCCATCTCAAAAATTCTCTAACACGAGGACTTTTGCCTTGTCGGAAAAATCTGCATATTTCTGCTGAAAGTATGAAGGGCTCACCTTTAGTACAGAATTTGACTTTCTGAACTTCTGTCTACGATCTATCATCATACATCACTCTGACAAGAGGATCCTTTTCTTCTCCATCTACAATGACATCTCTGAAAGGGTGCAGTCAGAGGCTTTTTAACAGACTTACAACAAAACCACGAAGAAACCAGTTTTTCTAGATGAAAATCTGTCATCCTGTCCAAACTGGCCCAGATGAAATCCCTTCACAAGCTTGTCCAAAGTTAGCAAATGATCTGGGTCTGTGCAAAATGTCCTGTAGAAACTGCTTTCCTTCGACAGAAAAGGCCGCCTGGGTTTAAGGTTTGCTTGCATCCATAATCCATTGTCTGACTACACCTGTGAGATTTAAATAACCCGCAAAACATCCCAAAACCACACTCCTCAGTGATGAGGATCATAGTCGTAGCTTTAAAACCAATAAAATCTGTTTTAAGTGCTCCCTCTCCTCACTTAATAATTTAACTCATACCTGCAATCAAGAGCTGGGTCGTGGATTCAATCATCCAAATTAAGTTTCTTTCATGGTTTGGTTTTGCCTTTCCTGAAAGATGGTTTAAGTCACTGATTTGCCAAAAAGAGATGCTGCCTCTTTACTTTAAAAAACAAGTTAGGTTTGGTGGTTCATGCATCTAGTCTAGTCACCTTCAAGTTGCCTTTATTTGGGCCTTGGATTCTCCGAAACCCTTGAAAGATACAGTCAATATCAGAGGGATTACATTTCTCACTGAGCAAGGATCTTCATTATCAGAGAGATGTTTGGGCTGACTTGTAAGGCCTTCAATAAACTAGAAGATTCTCAAAAATGGGTCAGAAACTCTTGGAGACTCAGGATTTTGCAAAGACGGGATCACAAACTGCAGGAACAAAAACTTTACATTTTCATGGCTGCAGCAGTTTTGATCCACTACGGCGCAGAACTTTGTCAAAGAGACATATCTGCTCTTTCCACAACTTCACCAGTCACTCCTCTTTCACCAAAGTCCAAGAAATCATCTTGTTCTTTCCCCTTCCATCATGTTTGTTTGGCCTCCTGGTTGGTGTTGGTGAGCTCGATGAAACAGGATATTTGACCTTCAGGAGAATCACTGGGTTTAATGCTGAAAGTGAAATAAAGGAAGTCAGAAAGTAGAGATGATTTGACCTGATTCTGAGGGACAGTATAACACCGTATATTCCTGAGTCATCTTTCCCTTTTAGCCAGCCTGCTGAAGCCACCGTGTTATTATTCTGCAGTCATGAATGTCTGAAAACACATAATGACACAGTTATGACTTCATGATTATCTGCTTTATATCAGCCTGGTCGATCGCTCTCTTAAAAACAAAGATCATGAGGCGTGTCATAACTAAGTTTTTCCTCACTTGTGTTTCCCAAGACTGAGTATTAGTTTCCTGTTATCTGTGATTCACCGTTAAAGTTACACCTCCACCCTTCATGTGAGGCAATAAAGGAAAGTCGATCAGACATGTGTGACCTTTAAACACTAACTTTGGGATCCCCCCCTAGCCAGCACCCTTATTTTGAAATTCCATTACAGCATCATTTCCTCATCAGACTTTCACGATTAAATCTTGTGTTTTTTCCTGTTAGGTTTGGTGATCTGAAACTGTCACTAACCCTGAGACAGTTTGTGAAATTGAAACTTCAATAGCAGAGTTTCCTTACTTGTTAAAGAGTAATCTGAACCAACAAAACCTCACTGAGGTTTCCAGTTATCAGCAAAAGTCAGAACTGATAAACTGTTCCTTCAACTCAGAAGTCTAGACTCGTGAAATAGGACTAAACTGTGGTAACTTCCTGTTTGAGAACCAGCTAAGGTGCTTTTATTTTATCTTCCTGATCTTTATGATCAACATATTTCAGTCCAGAAACAATGCCTGGTTGGTTCTGCAGTTTCTAAACATGTTAGCGCAACTGAAATTAAGTAAAGTTGTCTAACTTCCATGTGGTCTTATTTCGACTCTCCTTGTCCTGTTTCAGATGTCACATTGACGTGCTTCATCTCCGAGGAGTGTGTCCTCCCCTGCAGCTTCGAACCAGCCAGCGGGGAGACCATCAAATGGTCCAAACAAGACCTGGTGGTTTACAAGTTTGAGCGAGATGATGAGGATGACGATGATGATGATGAAGGAGGAGGAGAGGAACACTATGAGCAGGAGCAGCTGGCGGGACGTGCTTCTGTTTTCCCTCACCTGATATCCCGGGGGAACGCCACGCTCATACTGAGGAGGACGAACCCCAAAGACAGGGGGACGTACAGGTGTCATGTTCACACCTCGAAGGGAGACCACAATGCAAAGGTCATCGTTAAAGTGGAAGGTGAGGTTTAATGATAGGGAGGTCTTATGGTGTGTTATACAGTTTAAATCAACTCTGCTGAGGTCGTACGGGTGATTCTGGATTAAATCAGTCTGATGAGAACAAAGCAGAAACATTACAGATGATTTAGGAGAAAAAACAGAAACAGGATTAACCCTCCTCCTGTGTTAGGGTCTGCGCCGACCTGTTTTTTTGTTTTTAAATCTTAAAAGAACCACTTAAAAAAGTTTTTTTGCATGAAGACTTTTTGACTTTTTGACCTCTATTTCAACAAAATAAAATTAAAAAACAAAATTAAATTGACTAAATTATAAAATGCTCTTATTAAAATGATGGCACTTGTCGTGTAAGGGTCACTGTTGACCCGGTTAGATCGATATCTAATAATCAGAGCAAAAACTGAAATCATAAGTGAACAATCAGGCACCATGCTGACAGGCAGATCCCCTCCAATCATGTGAGATTTAGGAAATTCTTATTTTGCCATGTATTTCCCTGCACAAAAAACAACATCGAGCATGTCCAGACATGCAAATCCAGTCCTGCAAAAAGCTCCAACTGAACCCTCCATATTTATCCCTAATATGTAAAACTCTCATTATAGAACCAAAACATATCAGACATAGAAAACAAACACGAATTACAAACGAACGATTGGCTTAACGAAGATCTAAGACTTTACAGCTTTGCCATCATTTTCACTGCACTATAATAAAGGTTAATAGAAAAAATAGAGGCGTCTTGGATAACGTCAGACATGTATATACTCTCAAAGAGGAAAGCATGTTGCTAGCGTGCAGAAAAGACGCGTAGATGTTCACCAATCAAGGCTAACAATTTGATCTTTGCTGCTAAATTAATCTCTTCAGGTTTTCTTTGATGTTTCTCATCTCTCAGATTTTTAGTAATTGGTTCAAGAGTCTTAACTTTGATTTTCATACATTTGAAGTGTCTTCATCCATACCCTAAAGGTTTTGTGTTTGCATAGTGTTGTGTGCTGATTAATGATTGTGTAACAGAGCTCTTGTGTTATCTACATGAAAATGACATGACCCTCTGCAGGGCTAAATCTGGATCTGGCATTTCGAGTCTATCATCAGGGGCTTCTGGGAAACATTTGAGCATACTGTGAGTGTCTTTGTCTGTGTGTGTGTGTGTTTGTGTGTGTTTGTGTGTGTAGCACCCATCCGAGCCCTGTCTCTGGAGCTGACGAGGCTGAGCGGCTACGAGGAGATGAAGTGCACGGCCCGTAATGTCTTCCCGGCTCCCCGTGTGACCTGGGCGACTGAACCGCCCACTTTCGAGGACCTGCGACCGGTCACACGGATCCAGGCGGACAAACAGGGCCTGTACATGGTGGACAGTCGGCTCAGGAGGTTAGAAGGACAACCTGACCTCATCTACATCTGTAGAGTCACCACTTCATACGGTGGTCCAGTCTGGACCGCTTCACTCAGGGAAAGAGGTACGAGACACAACGTGGTCCTTTTGGTGGAAACACAAGTTTAAAATCAGTCAAGTTTGGGATCCCTGTCCCATCTACTCCCTTCCAGCAGCCGTTTGTTTGTAGCGCCAGTCCATTACGGACTACAGCGGGGTGACGCAGCTCAAGGAAGAACATTTATGATCTGTGTCACCCCGCTGTAGTCCGTAATGGACTGGCCCGAGGTCTTGCTACAAACAAGCGGCTGCTGGAAGGGAGTAGGTGAGTTGTGTTAAGTCTCTTTGTTAAAGAAATTAGGCAAAGTTAAAAAGATGTTTGGTGGCTAGTACTGTGGCCAAAACCCTATATGTACGTGTTGACCTTAAATTAATTTTACGCTGGAATATCCCTTTAATAGCTGTCAAGTTTGGGGTCCTTGTTAAGCATCGTCCTCTTTGCTCTTTTCTAGAAATCAGAGGGAGTCAAGGGAGAGACATAACCATCCCCTGCTTCGCCCCTCCTTACCTGAACAACCCCTACCTCCACTGGACCTTCTCCAACAGCGAGGACCCCTTACACATCCTACAGTACGACAGCTACGCCGGTAACAGCATCACTTCGCCGCCTTGGGATAATCACGTGGAGCTGATCGGGATGGTCGTGTTCGGTGACGGGTCTCTGCGCCTGATGGACCCCAAACACTCTGAGCACACGGGCAGCTACACCTGTTCGTTCTCCGTGCCGTACAACACTCACACCGAACGCACCGAGGTCACGATTGAAGCGCCTATCGGTGAGATCACAAGAACAGACATGGAGGTTAAAACATGGTCTGTGGGGGTTCGGTACTGGGACGACTTAAGAAGGTTTTAGAGACCGAGACAACAGAGAAAAAAAGGTTCCCAGAATGAACCCAGAAGAGACGTGTTAAAATAAGTACATTGTAAAAGATTAGTGTTATTGTGTTTTAACTGGTTTGCATCTGTCCTCGTGTGCAGCTGGTCGGAGCAGCTCTAAGAAGGCGTCTCACTGGTGGATCTTCGGTCTGGTCATCGCAGGGCTGGTCCTGACTCTGGTGGGTGTTCTGGCCTACAAGAAGCTGAAAGGTAAAGACAGATTCAGGAAGCTGTGGACATTTACCGATAAAGAGAAGACAGCTTGACTGGACTGAAACAAGACACAAGAGTTTAGAGAAAATCTGTTTATTCAGATCACTGGGAGAGGAGAGAAGCTCTTTGGTATATTCTAAATGTTTTACTTTTTCTGTTTACCGACTGAATTTGAGTCAAAATGTGAAACTAACTGCTTTAAAAAATCCTGAAAGCACATGATAGCTTATTTTAGCACAGCAGATCTGTGACAGTTTGTTCTTACCGAAGTTTGGTCAGACTCTGGAGCGTTCAGAGGCACTTTTAAAAAAGATTTTAAAGATTTAAATACATTACTTGATAGCAGATATTGACTACATTCAAATTGAGGGAAAAAAGCATGTAATTCAGCAAATAAGTTACCATATTAAATATTTCTGAAAGCAGAAAAACTTTGCAGTTCGAGACAATTAGAGAACTTGACTCATTTATTCTAAAACTTTATGAGACTGCAAATTTATATAATTTATATATATAGAACTAACTTAAGTGTAAAGTTAAAAAGCTATTTTAAAAGCCTAATTTCAACTTCCTAACAATGCAAAATCAAATCGACTTGCTGTTCATTTAAAGAGTGGCAGCGTGTTCATGGTTGTGCGCCCTCCTAAAGGCACAATGTGCAACTTTTATTAATATTTACTGAAAGATTCAAATTTTCTGTGAAACTGCGACACAAACCGAAAAACTTAAACAAAAGCAACAATAAAAACACAAAATCAAATAAAGAATATATGGGACGCTGAAGTTTTTGCAGAAGGAAAAAACAGCTGAGGTCGGGCAATGCTTCTAAATAACCAGAAGGGGGCAGTATAAAACTGTATAAAAAACAGTATCAAAATTTGACAAGAGTACGAATAGCAGGCGGAATTGAACTATTTTAAAAAATGAGAAAGGTGTTTTATGTTGTAGAAACATTGAAACAACAAGCAGATAATAACTTTTAAAAGAAACTGTATGATGATTTTATTTTTTAGTTAGTTGGAAAATCTTAACTTCTGGAGCGTCTTTCACATGTCTGTTCACATGTCATCTCACAGATGCTTGTCTCTCATTCACTGAATGTTACCGTGTCTGTCTCTCTGTTGTAAGAATTAAATAAACATCACTGATTTCCTGATGTTGCCGACACTGAAAGTACATCTGCACAAACACAATGAGTGCTTTCATAACAAAAGGTGGACAGTCAGACAATAGAGGAACAGAAATCTAAACATTTAATCCACATCAATAATCCCAGTTATTAATCACACCTGTCATATCGCACCCAAACCTGTCCCACAACATGCGATCAATTGTATCCGGGTCATGGCAGATGACAGTTTTGGAAACTCAGACTCTCTTTAGGTTTGGTTTTTAAGATGTTTACGCTGTTAGATTTTCACTGCTGTCTTCATTCATTCAGTGTGACTTCTCTCTGTCTCCAGGAAGAAACTCGAAACCCAGAAACGACCCTGAAGAGGTGACAGAGCTCCACTCAGTCAAAGGTCAGTGATGAGAATTTCAGAGTATGCCCCACACACACACACACTTCCTTGTGGTTCTATAAGCCAACACTAGGTGGAGCTAGAGATCAAATCTTTACCAGTTTTTGAAGGGAGATTTCCTCTCCATCTGTTATGGAATGTGATAAAACATTTCTTTGTGGTTACTCAATATTTGCTTTATTCTTTCTCCTGTTTTATACATCACAGATTATTATTTCTGAATCAACAACATCTTTGAAAACCTCCAAAAGTGGCCTGTTTATGATGAATTGTTTTTCTACTTTATTTCCTGGTCTTGATAATAATTAATTTAATTGCTCCTGTCATGCAAAGATGCAGTCCAAAGTGCTTCAATAAACCAAACACTGAATAAAAGTCAGAACCATTTTCTGTTTGTTTCAGATCCGACGGCCGACAGTAACCTGAACGACAGCAGCCCTCTCACTGCAGGCGGCACCAACGGACAAACGGGCCCGCAGACCGGCGCCCAGTTAACCTGAGGACGTCTAAAACCAACAACACAAAATCACACTTAGATACAGACCAATGAAGAGTTTACAGTTTTAAATCTCTAAGAGCATTTTTCTTTCCAGTTACTTCACAAACACTTCAAACTTACTTCACCAGACAAAAAACAAACAAATGCTCTAAATGTCTTCATGGAGGGTTTTCTGCTGATATTTAAGACTGACTTCTTTGAGTTTTTATGCCTTTATTGAGAGGACAGAGTCAGAAACCTGCACACAAGAGTGTGAAACGACACGAGGCAAAGGGCCAGCTGGAACCATGGTCTCTGCCTACATGAGATCGCTGCCAGGACAAACCAGCCCTCCAAGAAACTCTTTTACAGAGATTAGATTTCACTGATGCTTGAAAAGAAGGGGAGGAAGAAACCGTGAAAGGAGCTCAGGAGGATCTTTACCCGCCGAGTGACAAAAGGAACAAGGTCTGAATTCAGCTCCCTGACCTGGGAACGGAGGGAACTAACTCGGCAGAGGGGAGTCTGGTGTTCAGCTCTACGTCACAGACATATTTAAAGTTGTTAGAGATGCTAATAGGACATAAAAACCCCTGGAGACTCTCTCTTATCACCATCATCCTCGCTGCTGCACACCCTCGACTAAAAATGTGATGGCACTTTGGAAAACTCTATTTATGAAACACAATTTTTAACATGCAAAACACACCAAAACAATGCACCAAGCTTACAACACTGATTCATCTGCATGAGGGATGCTGGTCCGCACCTATTAGTCCTACTGGTCAACTAATTATTTCTATTTCTATAACTACAGGCTGAAAATACTGGTCATCTGTGGTGTACAAACCCAACTCTAGCTGGGGCTGCTGCTTTAATGTGATAATGCTAGACCCTGATATAAACAAGCACAGATGATGGATGAAATCTTCTCGTGTGGCTGAATTTGTGAGTCTCTTTGTCTAGAAATTGGAGGTTAAGTTGTACGTAGGTTGTCCAGTTTATAACGACTTAGCCAGAGCGATGCCTCACCAACACAGGAACGTGGGTGCAAACTTGCAGAGGACCAAAAGCTGGTGGTGCTAGCTCTACTAGCTTCAGCCACATTCAGCAGCAAACCATTTCATATTGATTACCCGCAAACTCTGATATTGTGTTAAGCCTCGTTTGATCATTTGCTCTCAATTCTGAGGTCATTAAAGTCCCACTCCGATTAATTATGATTATGAAGTCTTTAGCCAAAATTACATTATCTGTGTTTTCTTCTTCTGCAGAGTTCGAGTAGCTCATTAGCAATTCGCCTCTGAGTCGTGGGCGGAGACAGCGCTGCTCTGCACACTTCTCCTCGAGCTAGCTTGCAGTCTAACACACACGCTTGTTCTGCGATCTTCCTCTCGATAGCGGGGCTCTGGGGGCGGAGCTTGGATTGATTACGTAGGAAATCTGACTGTGTCTGAACCTGCCGTTTGGGTATGCCAGAGATTCACACGATTTGAATGCAGAAATACTCAGATGCAATTTTACACTTAATTTTCTCATGATATGTCCTCTAGTATCAGAAAAATGCCATATGAACATATAAAAAACAAGAAAAACAGGATTTTCATCAGAGTGGGTCTTTAAGTTATAATTTACACTAACATTTTTAAAAACAGAAAGCTAATTAGCTCAGAACACCCCCTGTCAGTCAAAGTTGTTGCCATGGCTAAAGCTGTTTTAACCAATAGAGAAAGATCACTGATGCACTGGAAGTCAGAGTTTAGTCTTAATTTGTCTGTCAGCTCGCGGCTGTGGGTCATTGAGCTCGGTTCTACATACTGCAGCATAACCTCAGGTATGTTAGCTCAAGCGCCAAATCTCACACTTCAAGAGTCTATTTCCAGTCAATCACAGTGGGGATACCAACATGCAAAGCCATATTAAAGCAAACACACACACAAAGCGAGTACAGCCTGGAACTCTAAGTGCACCATGTACCAGTAAAGTTGAAGTGTCCCTGTTTGGAGGGTTTAAAGTAGGATCAGCCTGCAGAGGGGTGGAGTCAGAATGGTGACATTAAAAGTGAACTGCAACACCTTTTTTTAACACCGCCTGTTGGACAATATTAACTTAAGTCTCATATGTCTCTGTTGATAAATGATGCAAATGTGTGCAACAAAGACACTTGGATTACCGTCACGCTGCAAGTTTCTAACAAGTCTTGTATTGAAGGAGCACTGGACATCACAAGGACGAGTGGATAACAGTTCATTGTTTAAAGTTTTCTGTTCTCGACTCTCAAGGTTCTTCAGCTGTTGTGGATGAAAACAAGGAGGAGGAAAACTAAAGCTCCTGTTTGTGACCCTGAAGTGTATCAGTCCTTGTCTCTCTTTAAAGACTTACCACGAGGTCAAGCTCCTGCTGGACTTTATAACCTGTCTGGATTATGAAAAGAGAACGAGACTGTGAATCACTGATGTGACCGACTTTCTTCTGATGTGGTGGTCAATATTTAACTCAGCTGCCAATAAATGTGTAATTGGCAGATTAGTTTCTGCACCTCTTTGCACTGTCACACTCGGCTGTCATGTTCCCTGGATTAAACTTTACCTCTGAGTAAACATGTGTCATGAATACTGTGGTGTTATTAAAAAGACTTGTCACACAAGGTTTGTGTCTTTCCCTGCCTCCTAATGACACAGCTTTCTGACTCATGAGGAGGAGAGTAAGGAGAGGAGCAGGAGTATCTGTGTGTGGCTGAAAAGCAAAGGGACGGAGTTTTGAAGGATTAGGTATCTGCTAAAATTACCTTGTTGTGTAACAGCAGCTGATGGGTTAAACAGAGATAGGTCAAGATAAGCTGTCAGATCCTCCATGTTTATGATTTAAAAGGTTAAATACAGTAGCAGGACATTTTCAGAAGCATTTAAGCTTGAAGTGATTGAAAAATAGGACAATGGAAAGATGGCATACCGATGTCAGACTGATCTCTTGTTTCCTGGTCTAAAAACAGGAAATCACTCCCAAAAACACACCTTTTTAAATTGGCTTTTAACCTGTAAACTGTTCTTTTATTCTCTTCTCATAATGTGTCTTTTTTAACCTTTTACATCGTTGGTTTTATTTCTCAAAATTCTCTGTTTTTTCATTTTATTTTCTTCTTTTTCTTTGTGAGGCGTCTTTGAGCACCTGTAAAAGCACGTTATAAATAACATTTATTATTATTATTATTATTTTTATTATTATTATTGCATGAGTTTGACCCACAAACTGAGAGACTGGGTCAGACCAGCATTATATTCAGGTTTATAGGCAGTGGTTAAATTGGCTTTTACCCTTCTTCGCTCAGCGGCCATTATTTATTTATTTAACCAGTAAAATCACATTGAGACGGGTCTCTTTTGCAACTGCGAACTGGCCAAGGGGAGAGGCAAATAAAATGTTACACAGCTCTGCCAGTAACAATACAACATGGAGAGACTGAGAGTACAATACCAACTGCTTAGGCTCAGAAAGGATGGAGAGACTGGCAAGAAATAGAATCAAATAATAGTACCAGGGAGGACTAAAATTGGAATAAAATAAGCTGAAATAAGTTAGCAATAACAACAATGGTTAGTGTGGCCCTGACAATCCTTTTGAAGCTCACTGGAGGGATTGGAAAAGCCAATTTCAATCAAAATATCTTTTTTTACCTCGCACCATCGGCTTAATACATGTTTATCCACTCACACTCTGACACAGCGCTCTAAAAACAGCACTGAGTGAACAGGCTGATGTGTTTATGGGGATCCAAATGAATGAGTTTTGGTAATCTCTATCTTTGAGCAACAGCTGGTTAAAGAATAGCTGTTAGTCTTTCCCTAGAGTTTCCCTAAACACCCAGCATGGGTACTTTTTTCCAGCCACTGCCCTCATTTTGAAAAGATTTTAAAAGTGAAACGAACTCAGACCTGCCCTGTGAATCAGATTACGTGTTAATCATTTTTTATCTACGGTGAAACGAGTTCAACTTTGAGCCTCCCTCAGCGGCAGGAATCTGTCAGATCAGTTTAGCTGCAGTGTGAGTCCCTGAGAAGTCACTCACCTTCCTGTGTGTTTCCACAGAAGAGGTTTTGAAAGGAGTACGACTATGGATAAATGCTCCTTGTTTTTGTTTATCCTGATTTTACCTTGGACATTTGACAGAGGGGGTAAGTTGGATGTTGACAGCTTATCTAAAAATAGCAAACGTTATCAGTAACCGTGAAGGGAAACTCAACAGAAATATTTTTTAAAAGTCTACATGTTACAGCTAAAACTCCTGTGAAGCTAAAGAAAATCCCAGCACTAAACACTAAAGCTTCATGAGACACAGGGCTGCTTGTTTATTAACTGAGTCGCACTTTGAACTCTTAAGTCCAACTTTTTTTTCCACATTTAGACAAAAAGCAGGAAAACAGCGACATGTTTCATGAAGTATTTCATAAAGGAGTGTGTGTGATAAATCCTGTTGCACTGGCTCTATCACATTCCACAGACACACACACACACAGATTCCACACGGCACAAAAACTGACTGTGAGCTCCGGGAACTTTGTATAAATGACAAAGCGAGACGTGACTCTGTTCCCCGAATCCACTTTGGGTCGACTGAATGCTGACTGGTTGACTGTAATGCTGGGAGTCATGTTGCTGCTGGATGACTGGCTAAAAATAATGTAGACGATAGCAGCCAGTAATTTTTATTTTTAGGCTTGAAGGACTCCACTCATATGAGGTTATAATAATAATAATATCATGATTATTATTATTATTATAAAAGTTGTATTTCTACAGCACTTTTCAAAACCAAGTAACTACTAATTAAATCAAATAAAAATCAAAAACAAATAGTTAAAAGTTTCAGCATTTATTAATGTTAAAGTCTTTTAAAAAACACTAAATTATTTACATTTAATTTAGTTAAATTTGAAGTGTTAAAGGGGCGGCAGTAGTTCAGGAGGTAGAGCGGTCGCCCTATAACCAGGAGGTTGGCGGTTTGATCCCAAGTCTGTCCGTTGTGTTCTTGGTCAAGATACTTAACCCACCTTGCTCCCAGTGTGTCCTCCACTGGTGTATGATTGTAAGTGTTGTGTATTGGTGGTGGTTGGAGAGGATGTAGTTGCAAACTGGCAGCCATGTTTCCATCAGTCTGCCCTCCATCAGTTTACCACCACCAAGGTGTGACTGTGTGAATGAATGACGTATCCTATGTAAAGCATTTTAAGGGTCTCTGATAAAGCGCTGTATGAAATCTGATGCATTATTATTATTATTATTAAATTATCACCAAAATTAAGCCAAAGCTTGTGAAGTGAAGTGAAAAACTGATGCATGATCCCTTTCTGTAGTTGTAGATACTAGGGGGCAGATTATAAACGTTGCTAGAACTGAGGGTATGGGAGGTAATGACGATGACTTCAGATCAATCTTAACTTTATTCTTTGTTCCGATGTTTTGTAGACGCAAAGGTGTGCACTTTCATGGAGAACTGCATTTTACCTTGTACGTTTGAGCGGGGCAGTGAGATCGTGATCCACTGGATTCAGCAGCCAAACACAGCTGTCCACTCCTACTATCATGGCAAGAACCAGCTGGACCGCCAACATCCACGCTTCAAAGGCAGGACAGCGCTGTTCATGGACCAGATATCTACGGGGAACGCCTCGCTCATGCTGACAGTGGTGACACCTGCAGATGAAGGGAAATATAAGTGCTATACCAGCACCATCTCCGGAAACAAGGAGTTATTTGTTGACCTAAGTGTTGAAGGTAAGACATGCACACCTTTCCTTCAACAAAATTTGATATCCTCGTCTCTGCCTCTGCCAAATAACTTTATTTTAGCTTCAGTCACTTAGATGTACTTCACAGCTCTCCAGAACACTCCTCCATTGTTGCCAAACTCAATAGATACAACCAAGCTCAAAAATCTTGGATTATCTCTGAAACTTTTATTCATACAGTCTAAAACGAGTCATTTCAGCTTCAGCTCTGATGATGTACTTCAGAACCCTCCTCCGCAGCTGTCATGTTCCAAAGATGTTACTTGTTACTCAAAAATCCTAACTTATCTTAGGCTGGTGTCTCTAAAAACCTCCAATGTAGACTGTCTGAAAAACTTCATTTAAGTTCCAGTTTAGCACTTCAGAACCCTTCTCCACTGTTGCCAAACTCCAGAGGTGTAATCTAGCTGAAAAATCTTGTATTATCTAAGGAGGGTGTCTCTGAAAACCCTGATAGAGACTGTCTGAAATGCTTCATTTACCCTAGAGTTCAAAAGATACACTCTACAGCACTTAAGGACCTTCATCCGCTGTTGCCATGCAATCTTGAACTATCATAGGCTGCTGTCTCTGAAATCCTTATTGCAGATTCGTTTAAAACACTTAATTGTAGCTTCAATCCGACTGATGCACATCACAGCACTTCAGAACCCTCATCCACTGTTGCCATGTTCTGAAGATGTTACTCAGCTCAAACATCTTAAATTACCTCAGGGAATGTCTCTAAGAACATAATTTAGGTCAGTCTAAAATGCTTGATTTTAGCTTTTGATGCACTTCGCTGCACTCCAGGACCCTCCTCTGTTCTGAAAATGTTACTTTGCTCATAAATAGTGGATTATCTCAGGCCGGTGCCTCTGAAAACACTAAAATAGTCAGTAACTGGCTGCATGTTTTGCCACTGACAAAAAAAAACATTACATTTTTGGAGGAGGACTTTTGAGGCCAAAATAAACAGGTAGGACAACAGGACACTCGACAAAGACAGGACCTTCTGACCAAGCATTGGTTTCGATAGCCTACCTCTAAATCTGACTCACTACTCCTTTATAATCCTTGAAATGAAGTCAGCGTTGTCATGTTTTTTCACGTTTAACACTCCCAAACGCCACACTCACACACAGCAGTTTGATATCTGTCTACTCCCAGAGCAGGAAACTGATACAAGGCTGTATGGAAGGTCGTGAAAGAGATACGGACCCTCTATACAGTGAATAGTTTTTCTTAGCTTGGTGGAAACTTCAGAAAAGAAAAAATCAGCTGCTTCCTGTGGAAAAAACCTTCAGCCCCGTCGGATGTCACTGTTTTCTGTAATGTCGATGTTTATAATGGAAAATTTGAGCCCAATCACAAGCAATAAAAAAAATAGGGTTAGCTCATGGTGTCAGCTGAGAGAGCAAAGGTCTGAAGTGAAGAGAGAATGATTGACAGGGTGAATACCTCTACAAGAATGAGAGGGCATGGTCGATTAAAGCCAAACTTGACTGTCAATCAACAAAACACCTGAAAAAATCGACAATTAAAGACAACGGCCTACAAGAAGTGAAGGGGAAGGATGATGAGGCACGGTTATCATCAGGCCCTCATCATCACTCGCTCCTAAAATCTGGATCCTCTGATTTGCAGCTCCGCCTCGTGAAGTTATCGTTAAGCAGGAAGGAAACAGGATCAGCTGCAGCTCAGAGGGGATCTTCCCTCGGCCGGAGCTCACATGGTCCTCCAGCTCGCCATCCAGTCTGACACCGGACACACCCACAGTCCTGCCAACTGAACAGCAGCTCTACAACATCAGCAGTTTTCTGACGGTTTCAGACAGTGTGAGTGATCTGGACTACAGCTGCACCATCAGTAGTGGCAGGAGCAAAAAGACGGCCACGTTATATAAAAAAAGTGAGTAAAACCTGCAAACAGGTGGATAACTTACCGTAAATCATAAAAAGAGAGAAAATATTGATGTATATCACTGTGTTTCATTCTTTCAGCTTCAACAAGCACTTCAGACACCGAGACAACAATCCCCTGCACTTCCTTAAACATTTCCCCTAAAAGCCTGGCATGGAGTTTCAACCACAGTGAAAACATCCTGACCCAGAACCCGGCTGACACCACCTTCAAAGTCTCAGAGAAATGGAAAGATCATGTGAAGGATGTGTCTGAGACTGGCAGCCTCATTCTTAAAGCCTTAACTTCAGACCAGGATGGAGTTTACACGTGTGAACTGAGTACAGCCGAGGAGATACATATCCAAAGTACAGTGTTAACGGTACAAGAAAGCCAAGGTACGTCGCTACAGACTCTGACCAAAAAAATCTGTTTTCATCTGTAATATCCAGTTTAATACTTTAATACTTTCCTGTTTCAGGTTCATTACATGCTGCAGGCACCGCAGTTGGGGTTGTTGTGGCTCTACTGCTTCTAGTCTTTGGGGGTGCGCTCATTTATAAATTCAGAAATCATATACCTATTTTCTCGAAAAAGGTACGTGCTGATGGCCCTAATATTTCCTCAACCTGAACGTTTTTTATTGTGTTTGTTTCTGTGCTAATGATGATGTTTTTGTACTCAGAAGAGACCATCATCTGCAAACAACGGACGTGAACTTGAAGTCCAAAATTTAAAGTAAGTGAGAAAAAAGGAATATGATCAAAAACCTGCAGAAGTGGACTAGAGACCTGAGGAGAACAGATAGTTTGAGAGTCTGAGGTCCACGTGATTCAGGACTGACCCGTGTTCAACTTTGTTTCCAGGTCAAACAATGAAGGAGGTGAAACAGTTTAAGTGGATACCTACCAGACGGAGGAGAGTTGATGAATGTATGCTGATCTCTCTGGAGAAAGATGCAGCAGACGGCTGGACGGTAGGGGAACCTGAAGAGCAAATGACCAAGAATGAAGGATTAAATGAAATCTTCATGTGCTGTACGACTGTGCCGTGACCAGATGACGACGAAACTGGCCGCCTGAATTCTGCCTTTTTGACAACAGAAGAAAAAAGCTCACCAGCTGTGCCTCAAAGTGTCAGGAAGACAACACGGTCACTTATTTCATAAGTACACACAGAGATGTTGAAGTAATGCACTAGACTGTTTAGGAAAGTATTTTTTTACGGGGGGCTTTGCCCGGTCGAATAAGACGTGCCGTCGCTCCTCTACCTCATGGGTGACGTTTCACAGGTGGTGAAACGCAACGCTTGATTTTTACTGTACCTGTGAAGAAAAGTCTGAGTTTATCTGAAGGATTACAGTGGATGAGATTCACAGAAGACGAGGGAATGACGGGGATATTAAAGCTGATATGTTACTTTTTTACACTTTTCATTGAGGTCGGATGGAAAAAAGTGCAGAAAAGTATGACCGCATCATGGTTTCTGGTTTTTACCTTTTTCCTACTTTTTTCTAGCAGATTAAAATTCTGCTTTTTCCTTTAATTTGAAGGTTTCCTACTTTTTTAACACTAAAGAATGCAAACACCAGGAACTGATTAATATTAGAGCTTCATATTGGAGCTAAGGGTGGCACAGTGGTGTTGTGGTTAGCACTGTTGCCTCACAGCAAGAAGGTCCTGGTTTCGAATCTGAGTCAGGGCGTTTCTGCGTGAAGTTTGAATGTTCTCCCTGTGTCTGTGTGGGTACTCCGGTTTCCTCCCACATCCCAAAATCATGCCTAAGTGGGGTTAGGTTAACTGGCCACTTTCAAGTTGCCCATAGGTGTGAATGTGAGTGCGGATGGTTGTTCGTCTCTATATGTCAGCCCTGTGATGAACTGGCGACTTGTCCAGGGTGACCCCTGCCTTCGCCCGAAGATGCTGTAATAGGCTCCAGTCCCCCCGCGACCCCGGGAACGGGAATAAGCGATAGAAAATGGATGGATTGGAGCTAAGAAGATGCTAGCTACAAACTACCGTCGAACACTGTGCCCTCACTAACTTTAGAGGTGCAATTCTACTGAGCAGGTGATCAGACTTTGTCGATGCTAACGTTGCATTGAAAGTTGTCAGAATATATACGACGATGTCTTGAAAATCTAAGCTGTGATAAAATAAGCAGACAGTTATATTATGTGTCATAAAATGTAAGAAAGACAAAAAAAAAGACAAAAACAAGCAGCTGCTGCTAGCCAAACAGCTTGTAGCTAGATTTGAGAGCTAGCATCCTATAGCTAGCATCTCTTTGAGAGATGACTCAGCACTTCTCAAAACTGCCATTTGAGATTTTCTTTGAATCCAAAATTAACTTTAGATTAGATTTCATGTCTAATCAATCAGTTATGCTTTCTAACAGTTCTTTAAATTCTCATTATGATTGGCAGAGTAGCTAACACTTCAAAATAAAAGCATAGTTTTACCATGTCAAAATAAAACCATGACATTTTCCGACTAGTTTTGGTAACACTTTACAATAACCATAATTTATAAACGGTAAATAGATATTTTAATGATGTTTAATCATCATTTAAAAACAGCATAAAGACCAATTATAAATGGCAAATAGATAGTTAATTAATGTAAGTTAATCGTTACTTTACCATTAACAAGCAATGAAATTATGATTTATAATTTTCATAAATTATTAATGGACTGTATATTAAAGGTTTATATAGGGTTTAAATATTGGTAGTAAAACATCTAGATTAAAATGTGTGTCTGTAGCACTTTGTAAATGGTTAATATTTGCTTTATAAACCACCTATAAACATTACTTAGATAGTTATTGTAAAGTTAGGGTTAGGTTTAGGTTTTTAAAATTATAAAATTTACAATTTATTAATGGTCTATACGCTATTTATAAATGATGATTAAACAGTAATAAACTATTTGCTTACCATTTATAAATTATGGTTATTGTAAAGTGTTACTCAAGTTTGGGTCACAGATCTGGATAAATTACAGACTTTAACATCATTATAATTTCATTTGGTCATATCTCTCCTCAATTCGACTGATGCTTTTGTAAAAATATCGTGATAATATCGTTATTGGGATATTTTCGATATCGTGACAGTCCTATAGATGCAACAGCAGTCCTCCTCATGTTGCTGGTCAAAGTGCAATAATTCATCTCACCAACGAGTCAGAGGCAAGACGGGATCACAGTGAGCAGCACTGTTTGTGCCACTCACTGACATTAATGAGAGTGCAAATGACAGCATAAAAACAGCCAGTGTGCAGATGCATCATGGGAGAGCTGCAGATCAGGGTGTGTCAGGCCTGCATGACCAACCTACCTGCTGCATTAGCGATGTATTAGCTAAATCAAGTCTTTATTATGTATTGAGGGTGGTTTTGATTGTAAACCTAATGAAGAAAACAGTCCTCTAATGTTGACGAGGTCTGTTAAAAACATGCAGTATTGATTAAAACTGTATTTGGGCTCCACATGATTCATTTGGACTCCATTCGTGACACTTGTACGGCTTATTTTAACTGACTGTTTTTAAAGCTCTATTTTATTCTGATAATTCACTTTATTGTTTGAATTATGAGGTGTTTTTTTTGCCTTTGTTATTGAGCCTGTGTGTGTGAGGGGGCTTCTGATACTGCCTTTCTGTTTTAATCTCGATGAAAGGAAAACAGAAAGTGTCTGAACTCTGCATGCTCTGAGAAAATCTTGACACACCTGTATTTCTAGCCTGACACTTTGCAGGAATGTTTCACAACAATAGATATTTGACTTCCTGTGAACATGTCAAGTGTTCTTTTTGCTTTTCAGAGATACTGTATGCAGACTTGCAGACCTTTGTTGGATAAAAGTCTAAAGCAAAGGGATTTAAGTTGTTTCAGACTCACTCAGTTTGAGTAAGAGCCTAAAAGATCAAATCTGGTTTCTGTTTTTGTAATATTTAGGGTGAGAAAGTGTTTGATTTTACAGAATATTTTTTATACATCTACACTTGAAAACTGTTTTATGAATGTGAATATTTTCCCCTTTTTTTAGGTACTTGGTGAAAATTTTTGTGTTGAAGAATTTGGTGGATGTACATTTGAAATATTTTATTAAAGATTTGTGGATATTTAATTGTTTTAATACAGTTTTATGAACTGAACACTCTGCTTTATAAAAAGGTAAAACAATTACACACGCAGTCTTGTAAATGTAAATGTTCTTTATTTATACAGCCTTTTACAACAACTCTGTGCAATGCAATAAAATGAAGTGTCACCACACTACTAGGTATTAAAAGCCAGCATAAATAAATACGTTTTCAATCTGGACTTGAAAAGGCCCAGGTCGGAAATAAGTCTCATTTCGGTGGGGAGCTTATTCCAGAGCCTGGGACCAGCGACTGAAAAGACTCGGTCACCCCAGTGTTTGTGTTTTGACCAGGGCACCTCCAGCAGAAGTTGATTTGACGGCCTCAGAGCTCTACCCGGCCCCCGAACGGTTAAAAGCTCAGTTAGATAAGAGCTTTAAAAACAAACAGAAGTTTAAAATCAATCCTAAAAGAGACGGGAAGCCAATGAATGACAACACGCGGTCTTGTCATTCAAAGGAAAAATATTTAGTCTATTGTTCTGGAGTTCAAGCACCTCTGGGTCTTGTTTGTTCGAGTGGGGGTAAAATGGATTGGGAGACTGACAGAGAGATTGGTAAAGCATCTGCAGAAAATGATGAGAGGGCTGAGTTTAGAGGCAAAGTTTTGGATTTATCAGTCAATTTGCATGCCAACCCTCACTTATGGTAATGAGCTGTGAGTCATGAGTGAGAGAATGAGAGTGTGGATCCATGCAGCTGAAAGAGTTTCCTCTGAAGGGTGGAAAGGTGGGTTAAGACTTACAGGTGGACATCTGGAGGGAGCTAAATGAAAAGAGAGATGAGTTGTAATTAATCACAGCGGTTATGAAACTGTCAAAGAAACAACCTGAAAGCAACAACCTCGTATCCTTTTCTACTTTTTGAGCAGCAGATGGAGTCAGAGGGTAAGTTTTGATTTGGACTGGACACTTGTGTCTAACTGAAAGGAAGAAGAAAGGAGCTTTTTTACATACACTGTACATATAAAGCGTGAAAAACAGGCCATGTTGTTGCACCATGCAATTTTGATTGCACAGAAGTATGAAAGTTTATTGCACAAATTTCATATATGCGAGATGAGTGAGTTCATGTTTCGTTTGATCCTGTTTGTACACACTGAGCAATAGACGGCTATTTTTTTTTTTGACCTAATTTCAACCGTCTAGATTCTGTTTATTTTGAGATGGAATTTAGACGTTGCACTTGAACCCATTATTCAATAACTATTTATTTCCAAAAGAAACTGTGAGTTGCGTAACTGATCTCCAAGTACTTAACCAAAATGATTATGATAGCCGTTGAGCAATATACAGTGTAGTATAGAAAAAGCCCAGATTTAGACTTGGTCGAAACTAAATTTAGACGTCTAAAAAACGTTCATTTTTAGACCTGTGGTAGCCTGATTTTAGACCCGTCATCTAGGCTACATTTAGATGTCTATTAGACCTATTTTAGACCAAAACATGCTCAGTGGGGAGGCTGGATGTCCCTGAGTGGGCTGAAGTATCCAATTAGGAGGTAAAATAGTATTAATATCACAGCCAGTGACTAAAGGAGCTGCACAATGTCGTCACAGAGGGATGGAAATGTCCTACATGAATTTCCAATCCCAGCAAAAACACAACCAACAGGAGAAAAGGAAGTCAAACAGCTGATAGTTGATTAAAACTTGTCAAAAATCTCACTTACAGTTAGGAACAAGCTGCCGAGCATAGCAACAAGACAAACAAACAACAATGCGAGCAGTCGAGGCGCTCAGAAAGGGAGCATGGAAAAGTCAAAGCTTCCTGTGCAAAGAATGTAATACCCTCCACAATCTCAAGACTTTGTCAGATTTATGATCCGGATCAGGGGTCAGCTTCTCCCTGTGGAGACATACCAGCTGTGATCTCTGACATGCGTTAACAGGGATTGGATATTTTTGCCACATTGACCTAGAGGGCTGTTTTTTGTTTAAGCTGCAAATTTCCTGATCAGAGACTCAGCCTTCAAGAATGTTTGGATAATGTCAGATGGCTATGAACTGACGGTGAACCGAGCACGACTTAGTCAGCTGGGTATGGAAGCCCTGAGTGGACATGCATCTGTACATTTATTTAATCTCTTGAGTGATTTTAGTCAGACAAACATGTTTAAAAATCTGTTTTCAGTCAGTAAATCAGTTTTTTAAACACACAGATCCTCCTGGGTGTCAAATAGCTACTCTCTCCCTATAAACAAATATTAGACAGTAAATAAACTGCACGTACCTGATGTTTCAGCATTCTGTTGGGGGACGTGACAGACTGTTTCCTGGCTGAGTCATGCGAGCTCGCTCACGTCTAGATTCAGGAGTTGGTGAATTATGTGCAAGAATGCTATGACTCAGTGAGTGAGTATCCCCGGTATGTGGGCGGCACTTATCCCAATAGGTTGTTTATTTCCTCAGCTCTGTCAGGAGAGGAAACACTTGAGGAGATGAATTTCATGTGGCAGCTCGTGTTCCTCTTGGGTCTGTTGTCTCTGCAGGGATATTCAAAAAGAGGTGAGTGCTGGCTTTTTCCAGTTTATGCATCAGAGTTTTATAGCGCTTTTTTTTGTCAGTGACCTCAAAGCGCTTTACATTGGATACATCATTCATGCGCTGACACAGTCACACTTTAGTAGTGGTAAACTAACTTAGTAGCCACAGATGCCCTGGGGCAAAGTGACGGAAACGTGGCTGCCAGTTTGCGCCTACCGCTCTACCTTCTGGGCTACTGCCGCCCTTGGATATGCTTCGATTTGTAACGTGAGAGAGGAAGTGCTGGAGGGATTGTTTAGTGCACAATCTATTTTATCAACTGGACTGAGCCTAAGCTTTAAAACACTGAGCTCAACTCACCCTGAATCAAGATTTGCACACCTTTTTTTCTTTCAACTCCAGTTTCCTTTTTGCATGGTACGGTTCTAACCTGCGTTTATGGATTCAGTGATTAATGTTTGTGGAAGTGATTCAGAGTCCATGGAGAGATTTCCATTACTCTGTCGTGGAAATATCTTCATGGACTCTAAGGGTCTGAAAGATCAGGGGCCTCATGTATCAACACTTGCGTGGAACTCATACCAGAAACGAGCGCACGCAAGGTCCGTCACGCTGAAAAAAATCCGTATGTATCAATGTGTGCGGGCGCCGAAATCCACGTGTGTTTCCTTGATAAATCCCAATCAGCGTGGAATTGAGCGCAGATGTCGGAGTGACTGGGCCCGTCCCCGTTACGCCCTCCTATAAATATGCAGATTTATTTAAATAGGGTCTCCCTGTCCTCGCACGCAGACAAAATGACAAGAAAAACTACATTTACGGCGTGCGAGGTGGAGGTGCTGGTGGCGGAGGTGGAGGAGCGACAGCGTGTTTTGTTTGGCAGCCTGTCCAGTGGCGTCAGTGCAAAACAAAAACGCTTGGAGTGGGAGAAAGTTTGCGAGAGGGTGAATGCGGTGGGTTCCGAGACACGCACCCCCGCGGAGATTAAAAAAAAGTGGTCGGACCTCAAGGTGGAGGTCAAGCGGCGTACAGCTGCCCTCCGGAGGAGTACCGGCCAGACAGGTGGGGGTCCGGGGGAGGAGACCCTCACACCGTTTGAGCAGCGGGTGGTGGCGATTATTATTATAGGGTAAGTGGCGTGTCACACAAATGTCCACATGCTTTGTCATCCCACTGAGCAAAAGACGTATATTAGACGTCTAGTCTAAGTTTATACTTCATTTCAACCTCGGGATTCAGTCTATTTCTAGACGTGATTTATACTTCGCCCTTAACTTCATTTTTCAATAACTTTTTATGCAATAAACAACTGTAATGTGCATAACTGACCTCGAAATACTGGATTACATTACCTATGATACTGTGGAGAGAGATGTAAACGCAACAGATACACAGAAGCAGGAATTGAAATGAACTAATATTTTTATTGTGTCACAGAAATTAATGTGTCGGCCGTGTCGCCGGCTTGCGGAACCCCGGCCCGCGGCAGCCCGTCCGCCGGCTCGGAGTCGTCGGCCAGGACCAGCGGCATTCGGGCCACCCCGGCCCCAGCACCAGCATCAGCACCAGCGCGCCGACAAGCGGTGGAGCGTCCACCAGCCGCGGCGCTTCCGCTGGACCACCCGGACGCGGTGGAAGGGTCCTCGCGGAGGGGGTCCTGCAATCGCAGGAAGAAATCATCAGGGGGATCGCGGGGATCAACGAGCGGCTGGATCGGCTCGTAAATTTCCTCGAGCGTCTGGTGGAGAAAATAAATTAATTTGGCTCATTGAACTGTGTATTCACTTCTTACCCATTCACACTGTGGCGATGAGATTCTCCCGCGCGAGGACGGCGGCCCGGCAGGGATCAGCTCGCATCCCTCCGTCTGCTGCTGGTTCGTCATGTGGGGCGACGTGCTGCCCGGCCACGGGGATGTGGTGCACGCTTGTCACATAGTGAGTCACCAAACACCGCCACACAGCGTCGCCAAAGTGCGAATCACAGTCAACGCAAATATCCAGCTCAACGCCAATTTCTACACCACCTCCTGACTTTGCGTTGATTAGCGCTGGAACCGACGCTCGTTTCGCGATGATAAATCTGGACGTGTGCGCCGATTTTGGCGTACGCAAGGTTTTCTTGCGCCGCAAGCGTTGATACATGAGGCCCCAGGTCCATCGAGTCTTGTTGCACGTAGGCAGCCCTTCCAAGTATCATTCATGCGTGAGAAATACTGCAGGAAACAATAGGAATGGTGATGAAGACACACTGATGCAAACAGAACAAGGTTGAACATGCAGTGTCTGTGTTAAGGTTTTCTCTGCAGGGATTTTCCATTCTCATATTTTACACCAATAACAGTTCAGCCCAGAGGGTAGAAAAGCCGCCATTCTTTAACATCTGCAGCTTTCAGAAGAGAGAGTAGAACAAATGTGGGATTAGAAATACACGTTTGTCAAGAGTGAGATACAAAGCATCAATAATGGTTGACAAGTACGGTCAAAATGGTATGTGGTAACAATTGAAAAACAATAACGCATAACTCAGATGGGTAGAATTATTAATAAAACCTGTGTGGAGGCATTCTTTCACACTGTTATATCAATGAGTAAGCATCGCCAGAGCTGAACACGCAGTTTAACAACCTGCAGAGCCTGTTTTAAACTCATACCTCTCAGATGTTTTACATTCCTCAGTGAAAGAATAGTTGTATGTTAGTATGTTAATCATCATTGACTGAAACTCACTGGGTGTGAATGCTTTCACAGTCATATCTGTTTTTTTTTAATGAGCATGGGAAAGGAGAAGTACGGCCTTGGAGTTGAGACTTTTCCGCTGAAGCCATGCAGCTACATGAATGCTATAATTTCACTCACTTACTAATTTCATAATTTTTCCCGGCAGAGTGACTCTGAACTGATAAGTAGGAACCCGATGATGAACTAAGCTGTCTTTGTTCTCCCTGTAAAGACCACAGCTGCAACCTGTACCCCATTTGGATACTGTTGTAATGTCATGCCACTTGTGAGGTGATGTGAGTGGGCGGGGTTGTCTGTTTCTTCACTGCATAAAGAATGTGTATAAATCTGAATTCCTCCGTCAGAGGAAGCTGCCTTTGTTGTAAGCTGCTGACTCCTTGCAAGTAAAAGATATCGAAGAAAAAGAAATCCACTTTCTCTGTCGTTCTTCTCAGCTGGCTGCAAGTCAGATGCAAGTTAATTTTTTCTGACACTCAGTATGCTATTATACCATCACTGAAACCAAATACAGAAACTCTGACCTAAAATGCAACTGCACTCAACATCTACATCTCAACATGAACCGATGAAACCGGTGCTCTATAGATTAACTTTACAAACATACTTCATCCAGCCTGAGCTCCCTAATGCCATTACACTGCTTTGAATCTTAAGTCCTCTCTGTACACGTCTTGTTTACATAAAGAAAAGTGTGAGATAACCTGTAGTGTTTGTTTGGAGTTATGCACCAGAGAGAATGTACATGTGCGTGTACATGTTTTGTGTCTACACTGTGTGAACGCTGTGCAGGCTCTGGAAACAAACACACATAACTGCAGGTTTAGATTGTACATGTGACTGTACTGAGACTGAACTCTTTATTTCCTGTCTTTGCATGTTGATCGTTTATTCCTCTGTCTCCACACATTGAAATTGAAGCTGCTCAATAATTACTTTTATATCAAATCAAATTGCATAGACCTTTATGTGTTGGTTTCCTTTGGTCTATGTTTCTTTATTTGTATGTGAGTTAAGACATGAGATGTGTAAATCAGTGAAATCAGTAGTGTGTAAAGTGTGCATGAGTGGAAAGTAAGTGTATATGTGCAAGGGTGTTGTACAGAGCAAACATAAACTACAACTAAACAAAGCCAAACCAAATCAAATAAAGCCAAACCAAACCAAATAAAGCTGTGGCGTGTGGTGTAGTTTGGGGTTTCACCTCATCTGATTGGCTAGAAAAGCTGGAAACGTCATCAAACGTTCAAGCTAAACGGTCAGCACTCATAGCCAATCAGAGGCGATTAGATAAGCACATGAAACTATGGTAACAACCGTTAGCTTACGTTAGCACAGATGAAAGTTAAAACAAAGACGTTTAGCAAACTGTTGAAGCACACAAACCATCGTCATATGAGATATCCAACTCTACGTTGTCCTTCAGGTCGTGATGTTTGTAATGTTTGTGTCTTTTGTCAAAAATCACTCTGTTCTCAGACAGGTAAACAATCAGCCGGTCGGCCATGTTGGATATGCCGGTGAATCAGATGTCGCAACAACACGAAATCTGATTGGTCAGAAGTGGACACACAGGATGCGAAACTTTAGAAAAATTGACCATGATGCAAAAAAATTAATGCCGCAATACGGGAAAACGTTGCTGATGTGAACGCTTGTATTGACAGGATACAGGTTCGAAAAAAAATATTGACGTCCGAGATGATTGCACAAAAAAAACAGTCCCGGTGTGAAAGGACCTTTACACAAATCTCAAAATGAGAGAAACTAATTGGCGATGTCACTGAGACCACGCCCATGTATTATGTCGTCTATAATCATACCCTAATGAACCATATATCATGTCTTTCTGTAATACTTGTACTGAATCATATTGTACAATCTTTTTAGGGATGCAAATTCTAAATGTTCTCCGTGATGAGTCTTTAATAAGTTGAGGATCATTTATGGATTACTCAATAAGAACATTCAATTAACAAAAAAATAAAATAAATGATCAATACTGATTTTACTTGAACTCAAACAGATGTTTATTTCTCCAGGTGTCACAGATGAACCGCCAGTTTACTGTAAGTTCATGGAGACCTGCATCTTACCGTGCCGTTTCCCCATTGGAGAGGATGTAGTCGTCCACTGGAAAGAGCTGAAATCAGATAACATGGTCCTCTCCTACTATAGCGACCAAGAGCAACCGGATAGACCAGCTGAACGCTTTAGAGGAAGGACATCACTGTTCAAGAAGGTCTCTGAAGGAGACGCCTCGCTCCAGCTGAGATCAGTGAAGGTTCAGGACGAGGGCCGATACGAGTGCTACACCAGTTCTGCAACTGGTAGTGCAAAATTGAGAGAGATGGACCTCAAAGTGGAGGGTAGGAGAAACACACAGAGTAAACAGGTAACATACAGAGTATAGAGAACAAAAAAAAACATCTTGAAATGTTGTTTTTTTCAGCTCTCCCTGGTAAAGTCAACATTCAGCAGGAAGGAAACAAGATCACCTGCAGCGCAGAAGGAGTCTACCCTTCAGCCGAGTTCACCTGGTCCACCAGCCCTCCAGTAACCCTGAACGAGACTAAAGAACCCACAGTCCAGCGGACCGAGCAGTGGCTCTACAACATCAGCAGTTTTGTTTTAGTTTCAGATGATGTGAGTGATGTGGACTACAGCTGCACCATCAGGACTCAGAACCACAAGAGGAGAGCCACTTTATTCAGACCAAGTACGACCTTATGAGGACCTGCATGTCGTGGATCAGTCTGCCTTAAACAGTTGATACTAAATGTCCCTAATTTTGTTTTCTTCAGCTCGAATCAACAGTTCAAACACTGAAACCATGATCCCCTGCACTGAAAACACCACCGGGACCGCACAAACAAAACTCACCTGGAGGTTCAACCACAGCGAGATCATCCTGAATCAAACCACGGCCAACATCCCCTTGGAGAAGTGGAAGAAACATGTGAAGAGTGTGTCTGAAACAGGAGACCTCATTCTACAAGATCTAACACCAGATCAAGACGGAGTATACAGGTGTGAACTGAGCACTGCTGAGGAGACTTGGGTCAGGAATACCTTTCTGAAGGTTATACCAGGTGAGATCCAGAGCTCAGAAAGCACATCATTACAGAGTGATTTAAGATTTTTGAAGGCCAATAATGATTTTAAAGGGATATTCCGGCATCAAATTAATTTAGGGTCAAACACACCGAGTTAGACACCCCCTCGAGAGATGAATGTTGCAGACCGCTTACTTCTCTAGTTATACCAACTTTAGTAACAACCGCACGATAGCAATACACAGCGGTCTGAGGAGCCATAAACAAACCTCAACCAAAACACCACTCTGTAGCCACAAATAATGCTCAGAACAGCACCTAACTTCATCACCAGCACATATAGGGTCCTAGCCACAGTACTAGCCAACAAACATCTCTTTAACTTTGACTCATTTCTTTAGCAAAGAGACTAAACACAACTCACCTACTCTCTTCCAGCAGCCGCTTGTTTGTAGCGAGACCTCAGGCCAGTCCATTACGGACCACAGTGGGGTGACGCGGATTAAGGAACAACATTTATGATCACCAATTTATCATTTCCTTGAAGTAATAATCATCATATTAATCATTTTTCACTGCAGATGCAGTAGTTCTTCTGCTTTAGTGTCTCAGTCTGATTGTATTTCCATGAAGAAATAATCATAAATGTTCTTCCTTGAGCTGCGTCACCCCGCTGTAGTCTGTAATGGACTGCTGGAAGAGAGTAGGTGAGTTGTGTTTAGTCTCTTTGCTAAAGAAATTAGTCAAAGTTAAAAAGATGTTTGGTGTCTAGTACTATGGCTGTGACCCTATATGTCCTGCTGATGAAGTTAGGTGCTGTTCTGAGCATTATTTGTGGCTATAGAGTGGCGTTTTGGTTGAGTGTATGGCTCTCTGTATTGCTATCCTGCAGTCGTTACTAAAGTTGGTATAGCTAGAGAAGTAAGCGTTCTGCAACATTCATCTCTCGAGGGGGTGTCTAACTCGGTGTTACGGTGTGTTTGACCCTAACTTAATTTTACACCAGAATATCCCTTTAAGATCATTATTGGTTTCAGAAACGGGTCTCCTCAGAGTGTTCGTCAAACAGAGGAGATGTATCGTGATCGTAAACACACACCTGTCCTGACTGTTTATAATGCTGGCAACAAAAAATAAAATAAAATCAATTAAAACAGGATTTCTATCATGTGAAAACCATCAGACTCAGACGTCAATTTATTCTTCAACTCTACCACCAACAGCAGCGAGACTTTATTTCAACAAGCAGAAACTTTATTCAGAGCTGGACTCAAGCTTTTCTTAAATGTCTTCATTACAGTTATGAGCTTCTGTTTCCTAAAAAGTATAATTAACAGACTGTTTTCTGTTTTCAGGCTCTTCACATAATGTTGGGGCAATTGCAGGCGGGGTGATTGGAACCATCATTTTTATAGCAGTGCTGATTGCGGGTCTTTTACTGTATTTTAGAGAAAGGGGAGATTACCGTCCCCCAGCAGATCAAAACCACTAAAATAGGTGAGTACTCGAGTTTATGATCAGCTATGACTTTTCAAAGCCAGTACTGAATATGAAAATGTACTGACAATAGATTTGTTTTGCAAGTTTGTGTTTTTTAATGTTGCATTTTAACTAGCTATGCATTTCATTTTTATGATAAAATTCACATTTTTTATCTCTTGTTACAAATAAATCCCTCCCTTTTTGTATTTTCAGAGAACTTGATCAGGCCACACCAGCCAAGGGCGAGCAAGGAGTTCAGGGAAATGGGCAAGGCGAACATCTCAGCTGCGGTGACGCCGCAGAGTCCTAGCATCTGTACATGGAGCAGCGCATTCTTCACCAGCCGAGGGATCCAGCTCTCGTTTCCCTCTTCTTGAAAATCTAAATGCTGAAGTTTGAACTCTTTACTGGACACCTCTGAGGAAAAGGTGGAGAGTGAAAATGAAGTCAAAGATGAAGTCTCTGACCACACTGTGCCTTTCTAAACTGGGAGACACCTGTGAATAAATAGAGAGGATATAGATTTACAGCTGCCTCGGTGAAAACAGAAACCTCTCTCTGCAGGATTGAAGGTTAAAATGAAGAATTTTCAGTTGTCTAGCAGAGCTGTTTTCTCATGTTCTTAAACTATTGTTCGGGTGAACTGTAGAGAAGAAGGAATAATAAGGATAAACTCACAGAGAAGGAGGAGCAAAAAAGAAGTCTGTTTTTACAGCAAAAAGATGTGATCAATTTTTTTAAAAAACAACCTCAATACTAAATAGGTCATGGCATCAGTCTGTACGTTTACATGACACTCGAGAAAAATGATTTATTTCCTTACTCCGATTAAGACCGGACAACTGAAGTGCATGTTAACACCTTAGTCCGACTATAATCAGAGTTTAAGAAGTCCGGTTGGAGTCGGAGAACTCTGATAAAAACACCCAGATAATGCGATTGGAATTTGATTTTCTCTACCATGTAACCAGCGTAGTTGGAGTATGATCGAACAATTCATTTACTTGATGCCACGCCCCCTAACCTCGGAACAAAAACACCAGAGAATAGAAGTAGCGTGCGTCTCATCTGCAGAAAAAAGTAGCACATACATCATGTACAACAAAAACAACGCTGTACGATCCTCTGTCTTGCTCGAAAATGCCCAGCAGCAGTTGTAGACACTTCTGATGTCTGTCCTGCTGTTGTTGTTGAAGGTTGTATGGGGTCAGAAACAGCGCCGCTGAATCGCCCCCAAGTTTTGGGGAGGAGGACACATTCACATCAATGACTTGATTTTCTCAGCTGCATGTACACACGGGCAAGGAGAGAAGTCCGATTCGATGAGCTTAGTCTGATTAAAGGTGGGGTAGTCAGGATCTGAGGAAGCGCCAGTTTTTGGGAGAAACCTTGAATGTAAACTCTACTCCTCCCAACCAGTTTTCCCCTCAGCTCCTCCTCTCCCCTCCCTCTCTGCTCCAGTAAGCCCCACCCACAAACAGACACTCCTGCTCGCTCGTATCGTTCCAATTAAATTCAGATATAATGCAGATAAATACTTCAGATCATTACAAATGGGGCCCAGTCAAGGTGAAAGTCAAAAGCATTGGTGCTACTGTAGATGCCAACAGACTACCAGCAAACACAATGTTTGCAGGACTTCTACAACTAGGATAAAGTGACATAGTCCAGGACCCGAGGTCAACAGTTTAGTGATGGCGCTACAACACGCTACAGCAGGTCCGTTTGACAAGAAACACTTCTGTTACAGACACTTGGCTTACTTTGTTAAAGCAGTTTACCTGTCCAGCAGGAAGGTTACAGGGACCGTAAGATCCCAAAGCGTCTCCTATTATTGTTGACCCGGCTTTTTTATCTCTTGTCCGGTCTACCTCCGTTTTAAGCGCCCGTTATTCCTCCAGAGTCTCCGGTATTTACTTTGTTTTCTTGCTTGTGTCGGCAGTCGTGGCCAAAGGAGGATTCAGACAATTTTCCGAAACTTTCTGGTTGGTTTCTACTGTCCGAGATCGTAGCACGCTAACTTTGTTTGGGCTCATGAACGACACGGGGGAGCAGCGCCTGCCTCACAACCAATCAGGTTGGGAGGCGGGGAATGGCTTTGTTTACAGTCAAAGAGCGGAGCGCTCTGAAATTTTAAAATGTTGACCACACAGACATAACAAAACACAACGATATCATTACATTTCCAAATGTCATCAATGACTAATAACTATTGACTGATATTAAAAACTTTTTTGTACATTAACCACAAAAAAAGATGCTTCTTTAACGGATTGCTGCCTACCCCACCTTTAAGCTGTGCATGTAAAACTACTGAATGTGAGAGCGACAGGATTTCAAACTCAGCTAAAACTCCTCATAGTGCCTTTAACTTACAGAAGAATACTTAAAAAATGTCAGGGACCTCTGAGGGATTCTCGGTACATTTCTGGACTGTACTGGACTCTTGCACTTTGTTGTCTTTGAATGTATGAGAGTTTTAGTGTCACATTTCAATCACTGAATGTCAAAAAAGAAGAAATTCAACTCTGGCTTCAGTGAGGTGGCGAGTTAGTCAGTCTGCATCTCAAATTTATGTTGAAGTAGATCGCTAGGTTTTATTTTTTTTTTCACTGTATTTATCAAAACTGAGGAAACTTGACCATGAGGGTGTTTGACATCATCTACTGCAGCTCCACATTAAAATCAGAGTGCTGTACTGCTTTACCTCCAGAGAGCTGCTATAAAGTTTACTATCTTTACAGTCTGGTGGTTTTGGTACTGGAGAGATGTGAACACTGTGTTGTTATAAACACGGTTTTTGTCTCTCCGTTCAAACCCAGTTTACACACTAAGAAGCCAGTCTGTTGTTCCGTTTTGAGGTTTGTTCTCAGGAACTGTATCAATGATGTCATGTTGGTTCGACCTGCAGTAAATTTTGCTGTTTGAAGTTCAACTGTTAAAACTGTGATGGTTTCGTTATGTGACTGCGGGTTTCCCACAGCTGTGAAGTCTCAGTGAGTAACACTGAGAAAGCCACAAGTGAAACACCGGTCATTCACTTCAGTCACTTTTGTCTTGTTTGAAGGAGTTTTTGTCTTTAGCTAATAAAAATGTTACTTTGAGTTCAGGTCTGGTCAATTTTGCAGCTTTACCTGAAACATTTCAGCACGATAAGTTCATTACAGGGATGTCTGATATTTTAGTAAAGACACTGCAAAAATTCACCTCTTTTGTCATTCCTCAATTGTTTTACATCTGTCTGTCTTTCCGTAATCTAGTTTCCTGACTTCAAATGAAACAGCACTTACAAATGATCATATTTTTGTTTAGTTTTATCTGAAAATAATAAAGTTTTTAACGCTGTAGTTTCAGAGTTTGTTTTGGTACGAAGATCACTGATGTTGACCATGAATTGGATGAGTTGGGGGGAAAAGCTGAAGGTTAAATTAAAGTGTTTTCTTATATCAAAATAGAAACTGACTCAGTACATTTACATCCAGCTTTTCCCGGTGTCTTTAACTGTGCAGGGGTGTTTCCATACCCACACTAAACTTTTTGCTTTTGCTTTCATTTTACCTTCACTCTTAGTCATGGAGATGCTAACAAAGAATCCTTTCACCACATAAAGTACAGACATAGAGACAGGTATAAATGTCACCAGGTTCAAGACTGAATCATTAAAATAACGTTGGTGGGTGGACAGCGCTGAAATCTCTCACATGTTTACACAAAACTGACACTCAGAGAGCATTTTTGGGCCTGGAAAAATAGCAATGCCTCATTGAGTATCTGGGAGAAATGTAAGCGAACTCCAGGATGATCTGTGAATAAGATCCTGTTGTAAGCTCAGTTATTTGTTAGACGAAATAACTGAAATCATTATGGGCAAAATAGTGGACTTGTTATGAAATTCATGTGGGTCTTAAAGACAGTGAACCCTGTTTTTAATGTAGATATTTAGTTTACCTGTTGAGTGGTGAGGATATCTTCAGGTATCATGAAACAGAGGAGACAGACAAGCTCTGCAAACAGCGTAAAAAAAGAGTCCAGTCCCTGAAATAAGAAATATATTTTAATTAAGAGATGGTTGATGTGGAGTTAGACACAGCAGCTGTTCAGGTTACTGTCGAGTGGTGGTTACACACAGCAGCGCAAAAATTCATTTAAATATAAACAGTTGACTAAAGACACTGCAGCTCCTCATCAAACAGGTGACAAATATGTGAGGTAAAACATTAAACTTTCAAACTAAAATCACTGTCAGCTGTATCCAGATGAATTGAAGATAATATAACTCTGCTAGATTTCAACATTTAAGTGTAAATCAAAACAAAGTATGGCATAAAATTAAAGGGATATTCCGGCGTAAAGTTAATTTAGGGTCAAACACACCGTAACACCGAGTTGGACACCCCCTCCAGAGATGATTGTTGCCAACCGCTTGCTTCTCTAGTTATACCAACTTTAGTAACGACCACAGGATAGCAATACAGAGAGCCACGCGCTCAACCAAAACGCCACTCTATAGTCACAAATAATGCTCAGAACAGCACCTAACTTCATCAACAGGACATATAGGGTCCCAGCCATAGTACTAGCCAACAAACATCTTTTTAACTTTGACTAATTTCTTGAATAAAGAGACTAAACACAACTCACCTACTCTCTTCCAGCAGCCGCTTGTTTATACGGAGACCTGCGGGCGAGTCCATGGACTGCTGCGGGGTGACGCAGCTCAAGGAAGAACATTTATGATCATTACTTCATGGAAATGCAATCAGACTGAGACGCTAAGGCAGAAGAACTACCGCATCTGCAGTGCAAAATGATCATTATGGTGATTATTACTTCAAGGAAATGATAAAGTAATGATCATAAATATTCTTCCTTGAGCTGCGAAACTCTGCTGCGCTCTGTGATGGACTCGTCAGGGCTCCCCCACAAACAAGTGGCTGCTGGAAGAGAGTAGGTGAGTTGTGTTTAGTCTCTTTGCTAAAGAAATTCGGCAAAGTTGAAAATATTTGATGTCTAGTACTGTGGCTGTCCTGTTGATGAAGTTAGGTGCTGTTCAGAGCATTATTTGTGGCTATAGAGTGGCGTTTTGGTTGAGGTTTGTTTATGGCTCCTCAGACCGCTGTGTATTGCTATCCTGCGGTTGTTACTAAAGTTGGTATAACTAGAGAAGCAAGCGGTCGGCAACATTCATCTCTTGTCAGGGTGTCTAACTTGGTGTTATGGTGTGTTTGACCCTAAATTAATTTTATGCCGGAATATCCCTTTAAAGTGTAAAGCATATATTACTGAATACTTATAAATTATGCCGAGGCTGTGACATGCTCACCTGTGTTTTCTGTGTTTCAGTCACTGTTAACTCCTACATATGTTAACATATGATACTTGATATCCAAACACATTCTGAGTCTTTTACAAGAGCTACATTGGATTTTTGTGCCAAAACAGCAAATTTTTAGAACTTTTAACCAAGCAAAAATACTGTATTTTGACCCAGTGAACCTAATGCGTCTGATTCGTCTTCACAGCTGAAGACCTGAGTTATCACAGTGGAAATATTAAAGCCAATAGGTTTCATTCCTGAGCATCAGTGAGCCTGACTGTGCTTCATGAACCAGTATGACTCAGCAACAACCTATAAGAAATGAGCAGACAGAACAAATATGAGTATGCACAATCGTTTTATGGCACATTAGTCGAGAGGGGCCAGTCTCAACATCCATTAAACTCTGTGGTTGTGAATATTACTTAACTGCATTACTAAAATGGTCTGGCGGTGTTATCAAAAACCTTACCTCCCCATCTCCAGGAATAATAGCACATCTTGATTCGTCATCCCTTAGACAATCCACTGGCGAATCAAGGTGCAGCACCAGCATGTGACCCAGCCCAGTGTCTGTTAATGGGGCAGTTGGTTCCCCTGCATTTCATTTGTGGCGTGGACAGAGGAGAAGGAAGGAGCATGGCATGGATGGAGCGGATCTTGTTTTTTTTAGCCCTGCAGGGATTTGCAAGAGGTGGTGAGTACAGTCTGTTTATTCTTGCGTCAACACAGATAATCTTGGAATACAATAAACCAAAAACACAGAAGGATTTATTCACAACTTAAAGACGGGTTCGTCCAAAGTTAGAAAGAAAGATGCTTATTCATTCAGACAGATTTTCTGTCGTGCTGCATGTTAAAAAATAAAAAAATATCATTGAAACAAAGAAGTTTTTGTGTTGATGTGGGCCACTCGAACATGAGGACGGTTCAGTGCGGAGTGTAAAAAGGGTCAGTTTGGGTTCAGAGATGCTGTTTGCCTGCATGAATGTGAAGGAGGAAAAGATTGAAATCTTGGCACTGAGCTCAAAACTGTAAAAGCTGGAGACCGGCTGTTCAAACGCGGACTCTGTGATATAACCGTTGTTGTTGTGAGAGGAAACACCCAGTTTATGTCTGCAGAATACCCCACCTGAAACGAGGTCCTCTCTGTTTGGACTAATCAGTATCTCCTCTTGAGTTTATGTAAAGTTATGTTTGTTATCTGCGATGTTTGGCTGCACAGAGCTATGAGGAGGTTTGAACAGGCTGATGAAGTTTAGATAATCAGCTTTGAGGAGGCTGAGTTTTTATTGTGTGCATTTTTATCTGGCCTCAGGCTGGGTGGAGGGCTGGAACAGAGAAAACCGGGAATTCCAGACAGACAGCCGCTGTAGTAAAGAGAGAGGAACCCTCTAAACCCTTCAACTGTTTATATTCTGTGTGAATTCTACAGCTATACGTCCTCATTCGACCCTGAACTCCTCTCACTATTCTGCCTGGCTGTAATTTCCCATAATTCTCGGCCCTGTTGAGATAACGTCTCTAAGTGTTTTCCTGTGTGCAGACAGGCCTGCTTTGTGGCTGATGTGTCACCATGACCGGCCTCCCTCTGTTTATTTAGCAGCCTTGAATTTCGTTTCTTTTCTCTCATGCTCCTCCGACCCCTCCTCTTGTACAAACATAAAACTTTCCACTGAGCTCACAACATTAAAGAGTAAAGCTAATCGTTTTAAAGATGCTCAATTTTCCTTTTCTTTCATGCTGCACTAAATATTTTCAGTGGGGGACTGCAGGAAGTTGTCAGTTTAGCAGCAGGACTCGTCTGTTTTAGAGTCGTGCTGTTGTAATCCCTGCAGAATGTTTTGATTGGCAGCAATTCAATGGCCTATCTCCTCTCCAAGGCGAAGGATGCGGCATACATGATTCCCAAAATGAACATCCAATCTCGTCAGACAGAAGTTACCAGTTTATCTAGATCATGTTAACAAAGTGTTTCCTTTCTGCATGGTACAGTTTGAACTGCGTTTGTGGATGCAGCAACAAAAGAGAGACACAGATTTGTGAAAACCTACGCAGTGATTTCCACTACAGAGTCACATCTGTTTTCCACATAAATACTGGGGGGCCTGCCAGAATAACTTTCCAGTACACTGTCCAAAAGGCTCTAAGGCGGGGTTTCCTTTGTTGGACGTTTGTGATTGGTCAGGCACTTGCTGCATTTTATTTCAGCCTCTATTCTCAGAAATCTGATATCAGCTCCTCAAACCAAGGTGGTCATTTTATGAGGTGATTTAACAGAAACATGAGCTGGAGGAGGAAAACTTAACTTCTGTGGGGGTGGATATAAAGAATCACAACAGATTCAAACTGGTCTGGAGCAAAAGTAAGTGTCTCTGACAACTTAAAGTGGGACATTAGATTAAGAGGAGACATTCCTGCTGATTTACACACGATAACTCTCACGTCCACAGGAAGTACAAGTAATCGAGAGCTTCCTCTGACAGTTTCCTACTGGAACTCCTGAAGGGTTGACATGACACTGACCCAGGGACAGAGGTCACCAAAACTCCTCCAAAGAGGTTTTGAAGAAATAAATTAGGAGGATAAAATTCATTTAAAAAATTCAGTTTTAATGCACAAACTTATCATAACAGGTCGTTTTAAGTGATGTTGGTGCATATGAATTTGGTTGTGACTCCTCTGAACTCACACAGATGTTTATTTCTCCACATGTCACAGATAAAAGGACAGTTTACTGTAATTTCATGGAGACCTGCATCTTACCGTGCCGTTTCCAGGTTGGAGAGGATGTAGTCGTCCACTGGAGAGAGCTGAAATCAGGAAACATTGTCCTCTCCTTCTACCACAACAAAGAGCAACCGGATAGCCCAGCCGAGCGCTTTAGAGGAAGGACATCACTGTTCAAGAAGGTCTCTGAAGGAGACGCCTCGCTCAAGCTGAGATCAGTGAAGGTTCAGGACGAGGGTCGATACCAGTGCTACACCAGTTCTACAACTGGTAGTGCAAAATTGAGAGAGATGGACCTCAAAGTGGAGGGTAGGAGAAACACACAGAGTAAACAGGTAACATACAGAGTATAGAGAACAAAAAAAAACATCTTGAAATGTTGTTTTTTTCAGCTCTCCCTGGTAAAGTCAACATTCAGCAGGAAGGAAACAAGATCACCTGCAGCGCAGAAGGAGTCTACCCTTCAGCCGAGTTCACCTGGTCCACCAGCCCTCCAGTAACCCTGAACGAGACTAAAGAACCCACAGTCCAGCGGACCGAGCAGTGGCTCTACAACATCAGCAGTTTTGTTTTAGTTTCAGATGATGTGAGTGATGTGGACTACAGCTGCACCATCAGGACTCAGAACTACAAGAGGAGAGCCACTTTATTCAGACCAAGTACGACCTTATGAGGACCTGCATGTCGTGGATCAGTCTGCCTTAAACAGTTGATACTAAATGTCCCTAATTTTGTTTTCTTCAGCTCGAATCAACAGTTCAAACACTGAAACCATGATCCCCTGCACTGAAAACACCACCGGGACCGCACCAACAAAACTCACCTGGAGGTTCAACCACAGCGAGATCATCCTGAATCAAACCACAACCAACATCCCCTTGGAGAAGTGGAAGAAACATGTGAAGAAGAGTGTGTCTGAAACAGGAGACCTCATTCTACAAGATCTAACACCAGATCAAGACGGAGTATACAGGTGTGAACTGAGCACTGCTGAGGAGACTTGGGTCAGGAATACCTTTCTGAAGGTTATACCAGGTGAGATCCAGATGAGTTTTACATTGTTCATCAACTCTATTATCTGATGTGACCTTGAAGAAGCATTTCTTGTTCTCATTGCTTTTTTGGGTTGGGTTTGTAAAGAGTTTAACGGACAGTCTCTTTCTTGTTTCAGACAACCCACTTTCCGCCACAACAGCAATTGTAATCGGGTTAGTCGTATTCATCCTGGTTTTGATTGGAGTCATCGTGTTAGCATGGCATTTATGCACAGGAACACAGCAACAATAATCAGGGTGAAGCTAACCGAGTGTAAGTATGAACATTTATCATATCAGTATAACAGCACTGCTATACTGGACTCTAAAACGCTGCTTTTGTTGCCTTTCACTACATTGCTTCCAACAAAGTCCTAAAAAGTAGACTCTGAGTGTGGCTTCTTCAGTGTACTTATCTTTGTTTGTGGTGTATATACAAAAAAACTTTTAATATCAGTCAATAGAATATTAGTCATTGATGACATTTGGTAATATAACGATATCGCTGTGTTCTCTGTAGCAAAAACTACAGGGTAAAACAAAAGTCTGTCATCTGCATATAAATGTTTAAAGCATGACTTTTAAAGAGAAATAATATCATAAATATAGATTCAAAAAGTACCTAAGATGGATCCCTGTGGCACACCATTGGTTTTCATCACTGATTAGCTATCATTGTCACATATTTTCATTGCACATTGGTGGGTTTTGATGATATTTTTCACTCTGTGGTTCGAATATTTCTACCTGCTATTCTCTGACCAGTTTCAAGAAATGAACTCTTTCCATGTTTTTTTTTCAAGGCGTTTTCAAGGCCAATAAAGAGTGAGGAAGTGAGTGAAGACATGCACCTGTGAAGCTGAAACCTGATGGGATGATGTAGGAAAGATCCAGCATCTGTACACAGCGACTTCCTACTTCAGAATCCACCATGAAATGACTCTATCTGGAATACTTTTATGAATTTCAGGTTTTGGTCATGAATTCTGGAGACCTGGGAGACTATGAAGACGAGGAGAAACACCCTCCCATCACTCCATGATGAAGAGGACTGTCCACACTGAGATCATATGAAACGAATGGCTGCACAGATCTGAGATGGCTGGCCTTTATGAGGAGTTTTCAGCTCCCCCTCCTGGAGATGTCGGGGGAAATGGATCTACAGTTTCAACAAATAAAGAGACTGTGACGGCTCTGTGATCTGCCTGCTTCGTCTCAGTGCCCCCCAGGAGGCAGGGGGCCATCCTGAGCAGACCACACCTTAGGTTGTGGCTTCATCAATAAAAGGCTGCCTCAATCAGTCTGCTCTTTCTCTCTGGTGGTTGAGCAGCTGACTGCTGCTAAGGCCTACAGTCTGTTGCTAAGGCCTACAGTCTGCTGCTAAGGCCTACAGTCTGCTGCTAAGGCCTACAGCCTGCTGTGTTTTGGTGGTTATTTCCTGAGATACATATATACCGGTACACATAAACACACACACACTGCACTTGATGCAACACAAACACACGTCATGTTCCATTTGGGTTATCTTAGTTCAATAAACACTGAAGATCCTCAGAGCCTCTGTGTGTCCTCTCTGCTTTGTTTCGACCTAAGAGTCAGGGTTGTAACACATGGGGGCTCGTCCAGAATCCTTCAGAATCCTGGATGGTAGTGTTGCTTGGTCGGCTACAACTCTTGTGTTGTATTGTTGGATTGGATTCATCAGTGGTCCGTTGTGGTTAAGGAGCAGTTAAGTTGAAGTAAGGCCCTCAAAGACTCCATCTTGAGTACAATTAAAGACTGTTTGGTGCAGGTTGGGGTGTTTCCTGCGACTGTTGAAGGCGGTGATGCTGTAAGTGCATCAACTCCTGCCTCACTTGCAGTTTTTTTCTCAGGTTAGTCCCTGAGTTGTGTCTTTGACTTTTGAGCAGCAAAAAGAGTTGTTGACCCTGCAGCATGAGTTGGAAATATAACGTGAGGATAAGACTCAGGAGAGGGCCCAGGTTCTGCGTGCTCAGGTCTATGCTGTTGAATTGGAGATACTGAAACACACCGTCAGTCTACATGAGGCTGAATTACTTCAGCAGAAGAAACAGCAACAATTTGAACGCTACAAACTGGATTTGTTAAAGAAGAGAAAGATGGTTTATCCAGCGGGGGTCCATGGAGCTGGTGGGTCACCATATTTTGATGTGTCTACTTGTTTACAGTTGGTACCAAAATTCTCAGAGCGGGACCCCAACCCTTTTTTCATTTTTTTTATGTTTCATAACAAAAAAAACAACCTGTCTACACAACACTAAAGCACTTCTGTTCTGCAGTGGGAATGTAAAACTGAAAAAAAGGGAGTGGAAACCAAAACATAGCCCTCTGTTCTGGTTTTAAGCCTCATCCAGTCTGATAAATCTCACACTTCAGTACTGGCAGCATTATTTTTTTTTTTGTTTTTTTTTCAGGGACCAGTTTATGCACCGTGTTGTTGTTGTCCTTTAACTCTTATTGGAGTAAATGGTAAAGAAGCAGAAACAAGAATTTAAGCAGTAGGAGCTGAATTTTGCTTGTAAATATCTGAAAAGTACGAGTTAGATGAGACAGTGATGAATGTTAAAGCCACAGCTTCAGGCTTAATGGATGTACAGAGCATCACGAACAAGAGAGTGCACGACAACAGCTGATATGGGAGTTTGTGAAACACGCTGAGTTTACAGAGTCGACATGCTGGTTGTCTTCTGGGACAGCTGGACCAAAAACCAAATATATCTGCACACAACAACAACAACAACAACAACAATACCTGCTCTAACTCTGTCCTCTCTCTCTCTCCTACTATCTCTCTTAGCTGCTGAGTTATTTACAAAACTTGTTTGGTGCTAGTTTGTCTGTTCTGAGCTACTGTAGAAATATGGCGATGCAACACAGCAGCCTCTGGAGCGAAGTGAAAGACTTATTTTCAGTCTTCAGAAATGAAAAGATTATGATATTCTTTAGTTAAAGCAGACATTTCTTTCCCCTCTCTGGTACGAGGGTATCTCTGGTGTCACCTGCTGCAGCTTTACATTAAATTCAGGAACCTGGATGAACTCGGTCAGTTTCCAGTTTGAATTTGTCAGTATTTAGAGATTTTTTATTTATATTTTCATACAAAAATCTACTGTGGATTATTTGCTTTTGTTCTGTATGAATACAATAATTGAAATCATGTCAGTGTGCGTCACATGAATCTCAACAAATGAAAAAAATAGTTCCGTTGACTTTAATAATAAATTTCCTCTCATCTTGTTGTGGGATAAATTTAAAATTTCATGAATTAAAGTTCAATTCTTATAAGAGTATCTTTCTCTATTATTATTGATGACAATAATGATGGTGTTAAATCAGTTATTATAATAGTTTTCATGATTACTTTTAAGGGGGAGTTGTTTTTTTCATGAGATGAGTCATTTTTGACTGATTAATCTTCAGGCCATTACATTTTTATCGGTAAACTCGATCCTTGATACTTGAAAGTTGCTTGATGTATTTGCTTTTACTGTAAACGATGTGTTAGGAATATCAGAAAAAAATCGAGGTATCTGTTTTATTTATATCTTTATTCAAACCACACAAAATAAAATCAGAGTAACAATAAACTTCTACTATTTTCCACATCAAATTTAAGTTAAAAAAAACAAACAAACAAACGAGCACAGCTTTTGAAAAGGTTGGCAAACCAAAATACTGTGAAGTTTGTTATATAAGTCACACCATTATGCTGCTTTGCTTCAAGTTCACAATGTGCCGCCTGTGTTGTGCCACTGTTATTTTTATAAAAACAGTAGATGAGTAGATGGTGGTTTAAATGGACCCGCTGTCTGTGACCAGTTCATCTGCTGGTCAAACAACTTGGATTAAAACAATAATTTCAATCAAACCAGCACTCTAAATGTACTTTTTGTTTTACCTTTTACCTCTAAATGTGAGATCAGGAGGGGAAAGATGCCCCTCAACAAAGCTAAGGCTAGATTACAGCGCCATCTTCTGGACACAGCCCGCTTTTAGAGTTGAAAAAGTACAAAGAGCACTGTGTTTAACAAACTGATGATAAATTAAAAGCAATAAACTTCATGATTTCAACTCCAACATGGATTTGTGTGTGTTTGTGTGTGTTTGTTTGTGTATGTTACACCAGGCGGGCGTTCTCCTCTCTGTAGTTGTGTGGGTCTCCTTTAAAGGGCAGGTGTGGAGGGTGGTTACAGATTCCCATGAGGAAGATGATGATGGTGCCGAGGGTCATCACCGGGGTAACCAGAAAGAGACAGAGGCGGTCCACCGTGCGAGCGATACCGCTCCAGTTATCTTTCTCCTGCAGACACAGAAGTCAGAGTGTCAACAGAAGGGCTGAGCTGACCAGGATCCTTATGGGTCAGACACTTAAAGGGATATTATATTACGCCAGAGCATCCCTTTAATACTGACAAATACAAATGAACACCACTACCCTCCACGGTTCATCATGTTTTTCCCCTCCCTCTCACCTCATTGTAGTCGTTCTTGTTGCGCATGTGTTTGATGATATAGTTTGCCCCGTCCACAGCCGGCTTGATCTCCCCGTACAGCTGATCTGTCACACCTCCATCCTCCTGAGGCTTCACAACTGCACAAAAACACACACAACAGAGAGAGTGGAAAGAAATTAATATCTGGATTATATAAAAGTTTTCAAGACTCCTCGAATTCCAACGCCCCTCATATTAAATGTAGACGGGAAAGGGAGATTTGGTCATATCTGAGGGGGAACGGGAAGATATCTGTAAATCACAGTGGAAAACCACAAATTCACATAGCTGATGGAAATTTTGGATTGAAAAACATCATGAGATTTTTTATAACACCGGCTCAGAAGAAACATCAAGGTGGTGGAGCAACTTATCGGAGGATGTGTGGTTCGGGTTTAGCTAACTATTACCATTTATTTTGGGATTGCCTGAAACTTTTGTCTTATTGGTGTGATATTCATGATTGTCTGGAACACATATTTTAAAGTACTATACAATTTGATGTCAGCTTATTGTATTTTGGTACCATGGGAATGCATATTCAAGGAATAGCAGACAAATATCTAATGAAGATATTACTGATTGGAGCAAGGAGACGATAACAAGGAAGTGGTTACTCGGGCCCGACCGATATGGATTTTTCGGGGCCGATACTGATTATTGGGGGGGGGGACAATTACCGATAATTGGCCAATTTTTTAAAATCTTTTATGAAGTTAAAAGAAATACATATATACTGTAGATATACTGTAGGCTACTGCTCTTCACGCCTACAGGAAGACCGACTGATCAAACTCAGACCAGAAAAGCGTTTTCAACTACGCCATCGTTTTCGCTGCGCCATCTACAGGATAAGTTGGGTAACTTTTCAAATGGCGGAATATTTTCGAAGTGAAACGGAATCTTATTCTACGCATTTTATTTCTAAAAAATAAAATGCTCGCTGATAAATCGGTCGGGCCCTAGTGGTTACAACCCAACTCACCAACCCTGGAAGACTGGCAAGAACTGTTCACGAAATTTACACAATAGAGAGACTGACATTCGCTCTGAGACGCCAGTCGGAGACATTTAAGAGACGTCGGTGGAAATGAATCAGATATATAAGAGCACGGAGACCTGAACTGCTGTAAATACCTCTGATACATGAAGTACCAGACTATTAAACTACTCGGACAACTGAAAACTGATATTGGTAGATCCTGTGGAAAAAGAGGAAATGTGACATCCATTGTTCAAATGTTCTTACTTTACATATTATAGAATGAAAGGGAGTGTAATAGACTGGAGAATATGTTAGTCTAATTGGGCATGTTGAATCTGTTGTCGAATCTGTTGCCGTGACAATGTCCTTGTTTGGAAAAATAAAAGGAAGAGCTGAACATGGGCTACAGTTTTCAGGAGAGCCAAGAGGTTGGGCCTAAAAGAGAGCCTAAAGACTGTGAAGACTAGACTCGTATTCTTTAGAGTGACGCAGATTTTGTAAAAAGGATTCCAGCGAGTCTTCACATCAGAAAAGATGACAGAGTTGATCCAGTACTGAGACGAATGATGAGACATACTCGCTGCGTGTGTGGGTCGTGCCGTCAGTCCGTGTCTCACTGATTGCCTCTCAAACATCAAATCGCTGCGGGACTTGACGCTGTAGTACTCCTCTGCCGAAGCAATGTAGCCCACTGAGCTGGATCGCCGTGGCAACGCTCCATCCCAGTACGGCTCCGCCTCCTCAGGGCGGGACATACGCAGGAGACGGGGCAGTCGCTCCAGGAAGAACTAAACAGAGAGCAATCGATATCAGGTTTAAAGCTGCTATCTCAACAGTCTTTCGGTTTAAATGCATGTGTGCTGACTTTTATCATGAGTGTGTCTGTGTGTTTGTTACCTTTTTGGTCCACTCAGACATGACATGTGTGCTTGGTGTCCTGAAGTGCAAGTTTAGGACGACCACACAGTTCAGCACCACCACTGTCACCAAAACCATGATGAACATCAGATACCTAAAACACACAAACACAAACGCCTCAGACTTCTCTTCTCCCTGTTTCTCATATTTGTTCCTAAAATACTCCACAAAGAAGAAATTAGAATTGATCCAAAATCACCAAAAAATATTCAGTCAGAATATCCTCCTCAATGATTAAAAACAACCCTGTTCTCTTTCCTTGAAAAATCCAGTTGGTCCTCTGTCACTAGGGCTGGGCGATATGGGAAAAAGTTTATCACGATATATATTTATTTACATCAGTCAATATTGATTTGTATCCCGATATAAAAAAAAAACACCCATCAATCTTGAATATTCTTTGTTCCGGATCCGATGCGCCGCCACCATCGGAGGAGAAGTGCTCGCAGGATTACAGATATTTCTCGCAAGACTGGACGAGATCTCACGAGCTCTCGCGTGTTTCCCCGGGAGTCATAGAATGAGATCCGCCAATCGGTGGATATAAACAGCGTTGTATATAAACACCCACATCCCACAACCCTGGCCTCTTCTATAATCAAGTTAAGAACAGTTCGATGGATTGACTTTCTTTTATTTTGAAAATTAACCGGATATTTTACTCTGTAACCGCTTACAACTTCCGCTGCTGCTCGTGCTGCGCTGCACTGAATTGATGCGCCGTGCTCCGGCATCCGGCAAAAATAGAAGCCTTGCGTATCTGATCTGGCCATCAGAGTCGTGCCGGAGCGGAGCCGTTCCGGATCCTGTGGGTGTTGCCCGTTACATGTATTTAACATAATTTGCAGCGCAGATTACTCTCCTTCATGTCTGACTTCAAAAAACCAACATTCCTCCACACCACCAACATTTTTGTGCCAGTGTTGCCGACGATGTCATCTTCTGTTGAGCCTTCAGTTGCATTTCTGCCGGGGGTAGCACTCATTTTCTTTTTTTCCTCACCAACAGTGCTGTAGTTGCGTGTAGCTGCAGCCTGCTACGGCGCAGTTGTTTGCTACTCGGTTTAAATTCAGCACATGATTGGTTCAGCGCAAAGCAGCTCCCCTTTGCATTTGCTATTCGTATAGTCTACCAAAACATGGGAGAATACCGACAATCAAAAAGTATATTGACCATGTTTCATATCAATAATGAGGAAAATCTATCGTTATCGTTTTATCACCCAGCCCTAACTGTTAAATCAGGATTTGATACCTACTTGACAATAAGTGGAACAGACATGGACGTTTCTGGCAGCCTTTGGGAAATCAGCAGCAGGAAGACAGACTGAGCCAGCAGCACTGAGATGGACAAGGTCATCTTCTCACCACCTAAAAGGCAACACATGTACTACATGTTAATAAAGTTCTGAAAGTTTGTTAAGTCGTTTACCAATAACTGTGTCATTAGATTGGTTGGAAATGAATTTACTGTCAGGAGAGTAGAAGTTAAAATGTCACATCTCAAAAAAGAATATTTATCACAGCCTCAGGAGTTATGCTGCGTTCCAGTTGTACTTGGAAGTCAGAATTTCCGAGCTCCCAGTCGGAAATTCACCTGAAATGCCCCCCTAAAGTCGGGTTTCTGACTCGGAAAGTCGGACGATCCAACTTTCCGAGTAAGAGTAACAGTAAAAACTCTCGTAATGTATTGTTTCTTATCATTTATTAGCGCCTCTGTTTTGTTTTCGTGAAATTAAATAAGTGTTCTATGATGTACTGCTGAACATCTAACTTTGAACACGGTGCTATGGTGTTTGTAAGAGTAAAATACTGTGTTGCACATTGTTTACAACTGGTATTGCTAACAACAACTAACAACAGCTGACAACAGCCAACAACAGCTGACAGTTGTAAACAACAGCTAACAGTAGGCATCCATCTTGGTTTTACGACTTGTTAACTGGAACACCATCAACTCGGGTGTAGCGCCATTCCCAACTCCGACATCCGACTTCCGTGTTTACTGGAACGCAGCGTTAATCCCAGTGTTGCATCAATGAAGATATTGCAAAACGTCTACACAGAGAAGCTAGTCCTCGGTAGAAAGGTTGTTTCTCAACGGATGGCCCTCACATGTACATGAAGACAAACACAACGATGTTTACATGACATTGTTCTACAAGTTCTTAATGAAGACTACAAATTTGGTTGCAGCCATAATGTTGGAAAGACATGTACAGGTGTACAGGTACATGTAGAAAACTAATATACAAAGTTTTCGATGAGAATAACAACATTTTTCGCAGCTGAAATTGTGCTTAAAAAATAAATGAATCCTTGTGACGGTAAAGGAAACTCATCCTCATTTTTGATGAAATGTCCACACGAAAAGATGGTCCTCGCAAAATCGTCCATCAACGGTAGGTCCTCACAAGTATGAGAAAAAAATCATACACGTAATATATACACTAACACACACACACACAGATACTTGTCTTGTGTGTAATTTGAGGACAGCATTCTCTAAATTCTCCATGTGGACAACCAAAAAATCATCAAAAACACAAATTCTTGTAACTTTTCTGTCTTTTTTGAGGGTATAAATGTGCACTGACTGTCAGCAGGCAGGTAGTAGACGAGTGAGGCCAGGAAGGAGATGAGCACACACGGGATGATGATGTTGACGATGTAGAACAGAGGTTTGCGTTTGATGACCAGGTAGAAGGTGATGTCCTGGTGCTTGTTGCTCTCCATGGGGATGTGCTTGTAAGTGTTTTTCTTGGCAGGCCGGTGGATGATCTCCCACTCGCCGTTTTCTGTCAACAGAAACAGGAAACAGACAATGAGGTCCGTCACTGAGGTCATGTTCTCTATTTACCTTCTAGATTTTCTTAACTTTCTGGAGTTTTTTAATTCAATTTGAAGGGACGGGGTTAAGGTTGCTTTTAACAAATTTCATTTAAGGAGCACGAATCAGAGTGAATTTAAAATTTGGATATTAGACACTAATTGTTTAACGGACTTTTGAAACAAATCAGACAAAAAAAAGAGTCTCCAGATAGATTAAACAAATTCGAGGACCGATAGGAACAATATTTAAGGCCAATTGCAAGGGCTGAGACACTTACCAGTGAAGCCTTCAGGGTCGATAATGATCCACTCCACTGTGTATGTAAATTTAGTTTCATCATCCGTCTCTTCCTTCAGCAGCAACCTGATCTCTTTGGCGTTGTAGGTCAGAGATCTGCAACAAAACGTGTACGGGAGTTTGCTTTTTGATACCACATTTCAGTTATGATATCTTGGCTAAAACACAATTTGACATAATCCCACATATGTCTTTATTTCTTTTTGAATTCCTCGACAGTGAAATATGAAATATTATCAGGTTTAAGTTTCTCACACAAATTTGAGTGAACAGTTCTGCCAGTCGAAGGGGAAGTAGTTGACGTTGATGGAGCAGGAGGAGCGGAAGATAGCAGGGGGTAACCAGTAACAAAGACCGCTGGGATCCACCAGTACGTTACTGTAGTACGCCACATCAAACTGGGCGTCATTACTGAGGAGAAGACAGAAGACAGGGAGGATTTACAGTCATACTGTCAACATGGACTGAGCTGTTCAAAGGATAAGATCAGAATAAACCAGATTTGGATTACACGAGCCACAATTATACAGTGCCTTAAAAGTATTTTATTGAGATTTTTTGTCATTAAGACATTAAATGAAAATAATACATAGTTTTCAAAAATTTACACAAATAAAAATCTGAGTGTGGTGTGCATTTGTGTTCAGCACCCCCCCCCCCCCCATGTCAATACTTTGTAGAGCCACCTTACAACTGCAAGTGTTATGGGGTATGTCTTGACAAGCTTTGCACATCTAGAGACAGAATTTTTTGCACATTCTTCCTTGCAAAATAGCTCCAGCTCAGCCAGATTGGATGGAGAGTGTCTGTGAAGAGCGATTTTCAAGTCTTGCCACAGATGCTCAATGGGATTTAGGTCTGGACTTTGACTTGGCTTTAAATAAAAACAACAAAGACCAGACAAGAGCTAAAAAGCCGGGTCAACATAAAAAGATAGGGGACACTTTGAGATCTTAACTTTTCTGCTGGACAGGTAAACGGCTTTAACAAAGTAAGCCAAGTGTCTGTAACAGAAGATTTTCCTGTCAAACCTGCTGCATGTTGTAGCGCCATCGCTAAACTGTTGACCTCGGGTCCTGGACTATGTCACCTTAACCAGTTGTAGAAGTCCTGCAAACATTGTGTTTGCTGGTAGTCTGTTGGCATCTACAGTAGCACCAATGCTTTTGACTTTCACCTTGACTGGGCCCCATTTGTAATGATCTGAAGTATTTATCTGCATTATATCTGAATTTAATTGGAACGATACGAGCGAGCAGGAGCGTCTGTTTGTGGGCGGGGCTTGCTGAAGCAGAGGGGGAGGGGAGAGGAGGAGCTGAGGGGAAAACTAGTTGGTAGGTGTAGAGTTTACATTTAAGATTTCTCCCAAAAACTGGCACTTCCTCAGATACTGACACTTTTAAGTCCTTGCAATTGATTTTAGGCCTCCAGCTTTTAAAAACAAAACAAGGAAAATATAGTTACTTTCCTGGTTTCAGTACCGACCACAACAAAAATGTCCCTTTGATACAGATTTGGGGTTTTTAAGTGAATTATTGAAACCGATTCTCACTTGTTTTCCAGCACGACCTCGGGTAGCCACACCATCCTGGACGGCAGACGAAGCATCTCGATGCCGTCAAACTCCGTCACATTCCATGACAGTCGGTAGTCCGTCCACGTCTAAAAAAAAAAAAAAAGAACAAGTAGAAAGTCAGAGAAGGTAAAGTGTCAGGAACAAACTTTAAATGGAAAGGTTCAATGTTGCTCTCTTACATGATCCATCCATACGTTCGTCAAGAGCGTCTCATCCTTCTCTTTCTGCAAAAAGAAAACCATTTTTGTTCAATGTCATGAACATCATCCTGTTTTAATATGTATAAAATCAAGTTTATTAACTATACTTATGTATGTTTATTGGAAGAGTTTGTCAGATATAGATTCATTTAATAGTTTGGAGTGACTATGTACCAGAGAGATGAGGTTGGAGAGTGTGCAAGCGAGATAAACATCCACAGCATCCTGCTGCCTCAGGACGGGTCTCAGCTCTTTGTTGTATCCTTTTTCTTTGAACAGGTAGTGGATCAGACGCTCCTCCTCGTTCCTGCCCCAACACCCTGAAAACACTCACTCAGTCAGTGTCAATGTGACAAAGGATATGTACGGAGCTTTAGCATGTACGTTACCTCCTCACAGGAGCTTTAAGGTCTAAAATCAATCCTACTTCTAAGTGACAAAAAATTCACCTCTGAATCCATCGTTTGTTTTCTCTAAAGCAACATAAATATTCTGTAAATGAGGAGTAGCATGGCGCACACACACACAGGAAAACAAACATGGCCTGAGAGTGTGTGAATGCTTTCATGCCGGTCATATTTCAGAGCATGATGGCAGCTGCTCTGTAACCTACAACTGCTGCTCACCACACCAACGGCTGTCCTCTCACTATGTTCAAACTACAGACATTTCCCCTCGAAACTTTTACATGTATTCACACATCAAAGGTGTAAAATTACAACTTTGATTAAAAGGGTTAGTAACGTGTGGGAATAAAAAGGGTCTTAATAAAGAGAGATTCCCGTCTCTGCGAGAGAATCAATGCTTGACATTCCTCTTGGAAATCATCGACACACCTGTCCTTCATTGTCAAAATATACAGTTTTCGCACTATTTTTGATATACAGAACAATTTCTGTAAGGGGGTTCTTATTTTAATGGAGTAAAGAGTTTGAATATTTTTATTTTAGCAAAAACATGTCAGCAATCCGGTCAAAAATATTGAGTAAAAAGAAAGTGAAAAAGCGAAAAACCAGTGATAAGGTGACAGAAAAGCTCTCAAAGTATATGAAAATGGTTGACGTGTCACTTTTGTAACTCATCTTTACAAGTGACACTAAACAATTGGTTCTTTAATATCCAAATATTCCCTGTGGGCCTTAAAAATCAGTCAATCTCTGTTTCCTCTGATCTCTGACTAATATAATAAAAAGGCTAGAAAAGTTTTCAGTTCAGGTAAAATTAAAGTTGAGATTTAATCAACCAGCGATGACTCACCAGGTGAGAACAGAGCGAGCAGGACCACGGTGACCAAAGCTTCAGACAGCAGGAGCTTCATGATTTCTGCTGCTGCTGCTGGGAAGTGCAGCGTCCTTTTACCCGCCGACCTTCTGCCAAAATCCCGGAGAGAGAGTGACAGGCAGCAGCTGCAGAAACACAGAGGACAGAAAATAGAAAACAGAGAGGGAGCGAGCAGCCTGGCTCTGTTTCTGTACGGGAAACAGACACAGAAGAGGAGGGGGAGGGTCACAAACATCAACATTTGTAGATTTACAGAAAGATACAATATAGATTCAAATGTCCCTAAAAAGTTCATTTTTTTATAATAATTCACTGCAAAAAATTCAACTTCTATGTAGTTAATATACCACGCAAAAAGTAAAATATTTGAATATAAAGGCTTTATAATCCTATAATCCACCCTTCAAACATGCACAGGACAAGAGAAAGCAACAACTTCTTTGTCCATAGGGGGGCACCAAAATCAACCCAAACCAAAAGTTTCTCAAAGGAGCTTTAAAACCTCAACAGTCAAAATTTTGAGAAATTAAATAAAAATTTTCAATGTTAACTCTTTTGATTCTATTATTTAAAATATTACATATTTTTTTATAAATTTTAGTAATTTTAAATGGAAAATAAGACATTTTTAATGGAAACTTTAATCAATATAATGTAAGACATTTCAGTGTCTTAAAACGTTACTGGAATCTTTGACAGTAACTTGTGGAGATTTTTAAGTCAATCGTTTTGGATTTTTCAATTAAAACTTTAAAAACATTGTCTTGAATTTTATGATAAAAAAAAATAAATCAGGATTTCTAATTTCTAACATTTCAACACTTTTTAAACTTTGTGGAATTTCAAAATGATAATTTGAGATTTTTTCTTTAAATTTTGGCCAAAATATGTTGGAAACAGTCAGGGGCCCAAATAAATATCAGCATAGACAGAAAATTCAAGGAGCAACGTCAAAGTGAACGTACACACACGCAACTGGAGTCAGGAAGATTACAGATCCATAATTTATTCTCCAAACATTTAAAAACAGACACAAGAATATCACACAAAAACATTTCATCAAGACACTGGTTTTTTAAAAATACAGGTGTAGTTAAGAATAATTAAGTGGTTTTTTATTTTTAAAAAATTAATTAGACTCAAGTTTAAAAATCAGAAAATAGTCCATAAAGTTTGTTTTAAAAATCTCTAATATTCTGTCGCCACTCTCCTGCAAAGTGACGTGTTTCTCAGAGTGATAGGTTGACGTCACTCTTCTTTATTTCACTGCTGAGGCTGTGGATCATGGCCATTAAGGCTGTGTTTTTGTTCCACTCCTCTTCTTTCTCCTTCAGCTTCGTCTCCAGTTGGCTCCTCTGCAGCTCCAGAGATGAAGCCTTGGAGAAAACAAAAAAAAAATTAAAAAAAAAAAAAGGAGGAAAGACTGATGATAACCAATTCACTGTGGATAATTTCAACCTTTTTCTGTTGATTTTTTTAAAATGAAACAGATGCTTTTTCTGCATTTTTGGAGGAATTTTCCCAACAAATTCAAATAATCTCTCTTTAACTCTAGTTGATGCTTTCAAGTAGTGTTGTGTTGTTCACGAATGATTTGTTCAAAGGAATCAAATCTTTTAAGTGAACATACTGAACCAAATCACTTCCTCGAGTGATTCGTTCGTAACTGAAGTGAGAAACAGCATCGCCAGTGGAGCAACCGGTGAACGAGGGACCGCATGCACCGACATCTGAATCACTTGGTGAATGAATCACGTATTGAGCTTCACTCTCTGGAATCATTTTTGTCAGACAAAACTACCTTTTTTTTTTTTTTTAACTGCTAAATTGCCACCACAAAAACTTGCATACAATAGGACACAGCATGTAACAAGGTAGTGCATTAAACTCGCAGCATCATATCATTGCAGCAGTTTGTGAGGGAACAGTGTATGTTAAATTTGAATACACTTTAAACATCATGACTTATAAACAAGTTCATTTTTACAAACCTGTTTGTCAAAGCAACACAGCCAAACACTCTCTTGTCTCTCGGTCCCAGAAGCTATGAACTGAACTGAATCCTGAAACGTTCAGCTGTGTATCAGTTCAGGAGGTCGGAGTCGCAGGCTTCTCCCGCCAAGCGCTACATGATTCGGTGATTCGGTGAACGAATCTTTTGAACGAATCTTTTTAGTGAACTGATTCTATAGTGATTCAGTAGATCTAAAAAAAACTGCCGTGCCCGTCTCTACTTTCAAGCTCATTATAAGAAGCAAAACAGCAAATATTTATTACCTTGATACTTGCGTCTTTTCTGGCCTGCTCCGTCTTGTTCAGTTCCTTCCTCAGAACGTCCACCGTCTCCTCCAGGTCCTTCTTCTCCCGATCCTTTGCTTTCACTTTCTCCTCTTTAGACCGAAGCTCAGCGCGCAAACCTGACGAGAACAAGACAAAGTGTTGGAAAAGAGTGTTGAAGTCTTATATTTTTCTCAAATGGGTTTTATCTCTTTGGCTTTCTATCTATCACACAAACCTGTGATGTCGCTGTTCTTCTGTTTCAGGTCTGAATCGAGGGACCTGATCTCCTCCTCTCTCGCCTCCAACTCTGCTGCGGTACTGAGAAAGACAAAGACGCATTTCTTCCTGAAACCTCAAAACATTGCTTCTGTCTGTATTTCTTAAAAATAAATACATAAATAAATAAAGTAAAGCTCCTGAACAAGGAGAGCGTAGATTACTTCTCGTGCTTTTGCTGCAGTGCTTCATAGTTCTTCTTCAGCGCCTCATTTTGTTTGTTGAGCGAGTTGTGCGCTGCCTGCAGCTCCTCCAGCAGACGCTCAGTCTCACTGAACCTGCAGAGGAGGTCAACCAGCTCTTATTAAGATCAACTTTATGACGAGAGCTCAATTCATTTTGTGGGTAATGAGAAACACAGGAGACCTAAATGATAAATTGTGTGTTTCTGACCTGTTGAGCAGGGCGTTGTAGGCACCTTTGAGGTCCTGGTGCTCCTCTGAGCCCTTCTGCAGCCTGGCGTTGCGATGCAAAAGCTCCCCCATGTCGGCTTTCAGGAGCTCCGCCTCCAGCGCCTGATTACTCAGCTCCACCTGCAGATCCTCACGACGCCGCTCAGCCTCCTTCAGCAGAGATCCCAGCTTACAGGCCTGCGTGAGAGTGAATATACTGAGAGTTTAATTCATGATTCTGAGCGCTCTTCTCGCTCACTGCGCTGAGGATGCTCGCCATATTGTGGAACCAGAAAATGAGGACATATTTCGATACTTTCTCAACTAAAACCACGGTGTAAACTAGTCTTAAAACTCCCTCAGATAATGGTTTGAGTTTCACAAGTTCATAAAGTTCGATGTTTAGAAGTCTTAAATCTTACAGCTGTAGTTCAGGGTGATGAAACGGTGTAAATGTTACCTCAGCCTCAGCTTGAGCCTGTTGGAAGCGATACTGAGCGATGAGACGATCAGCCTGAGAGAGAGCCAAAGCCTTCGCCTCCAACAAGTCCTTAAGTCCGCTCTCCTTGGACTGACAGAGACACAGGGACACGTTGAGCTCACCTGTTCGACTAAATGAGGAAACATTTCTGCTGCCGTTTTATTGATAAAACTCTAACTAACTTTGCAAACATACTCACCGCAAATGCAGCGAGCTTCTGTTCGTAAACGTTGATGATCTCAGACACGTGTGAACTCTTTGAAGGGTCCTGTAGCTGAAAACAACGAAACGTCAAACTCCTCCAACAAAGTGCATTGGTAGCAGTTTTCTTCAGCACATTTAACGGACATAACGATCCTGAGAGTGAAAAATCTAACCCAGAGTTTAACTTCATACAGTAAAGACCACCTGAAGGGAAAAATCAAGATCATAAAATCACTGCACCTCTAATCCGCTTTGCATCTTCTCAGCCAGACTGTGCACACTCCTGCGGGAACCGCTGGAGGAGTCCAGGATGCTGGGGGGCGGGACTTCCTGCACTGCGACACGTTTAAAGGACAGCTCTGCCTCCCGATGGCAATAGGCGTTATTGGCGGCGATACTTTCCCCCAAACTACAGACGTGATTGAACGAATAAGGAGCCTGTTTGTTCATCTCAAATCATCATTTACTGTAAATCCAATCCCTGAAGATAAGTGATGTAAACTCACATCAGCAAAGGGAAGTCTGGGAGCAGTGTGGCTTCAAACAGCAGGGAGAGTCCCGTCTGCACACGCTCTCTGTGGTTGGACGTCAGAGCGAGTGAGAGCGGCGTCACGATCCTCTGGTCCTGGAAAATACAACCGCAGATGGAGTTCATTCATAGGTTTAACTACCAGCTCATGACGTGTTCTTGGTTGGTTCTGATAGAATTTGTTCCACAGAATATGGAGAACGAAGAAATGACGGCAGTGAGCTCACGATCGTGGGCAGGGAAAAGCAGAAGCAGATTGTGTGTGTACCTGTAACACCCTGTAAAAGCTGGTCTCCATGTCCTTCACCTGCTGCCTCAGTTTGCTCATCAGCTCCAGAGTCTTCAGTAGAGCGGCTGAACACACTTTACTGAAAACAAATCAGAGGCATGTTTACCGTAGGGTTACATCATGTTTGAGGACTCAGGAGACCCGTTTCTAGACTTTTCACGGTGAAACATTGTCCCATTCTTCAAATTTTGATTCATCAGGTCGATGAACAGTTTCACACTTTGCCTCAGTTTCTCTTAAAGGAATACTCCGGCATAAAATTAACTACTCTCTTCCAGCAGCCGCTTGTTTGTAGTGAGACCTTAGGCCAGTCCATTACGGACTACAGCGGGGTGCTGCCGCTCAAGGAAGAACATTTATGATCATTTCTTCATGGAAATGCAATCAGACCGAGACGCTAAGGCAGAAGAACTACCGCGTCTGCAGTGCAAAATGATCAATATGATGATTATTACTTCAAGGAAATTATCATAAATGTTCTTCCTTGAGCTGCGTCACCCCGCTGTAGTCCGTAATAGACTGGCCCGAGGTCTCGCTACAAACAAGCGGCTGCTGGAAGAGAGTAGGTGAGTTGTGTTTAGTCTCTTTGTTTATTGCTCCTCAGACCGCTGTGTCTTACTATCCTGCGGTCGTTACTAAAGTTGGTATAACTAGAGAAGCAAGCGGTCAGCAACATTCATCTCTCTCGGGGCGTCTTAACTCGGTGTTACGGTGTGTTTGACCCTAAATTAATTTTGCGCCGGAATATCCCTTTAAATAGACTGTTGAACTATGAGCTCACAGTCTCGCACAGAGTGGTGAACCTCTTTCCTTCGGAGAGACTCAGCCTCTCTGAATGTCCTTTTCATTCACAGTCATGTTACACAACTTTTCCAAACTTTTTTGTTCTGTTGCCTCAAATAAAATAAAAAAACTGATTTTCATAAAACAAAACAAAAACAGTTCAACGTTTGATCTGTAGTTTTTGGAGTATTTTCAGTCACTTGCAAGGTTTGAATGTTTCATGAACTGTTAAAATCTGTTTTTACTAACATTTTACAAAGGTGCTCTCACCACAACATGATCACAGCATCGTCAGGACAGTGCAGAAACATCGTGGTCATAACTGCAGCATGTACTCACCTGAGGTCGTTGTCGGTGCCGGAAGGGAGGCCGGTAAGGGAGCTGTTGCTATGACAGCAGGAGAGGAGGGTCTCAACCTGCGAGAGGCAGAGCTGAGCGCTCACCTGCTGTGACACTAAAGACCTGGTGGAGTCCTCGGAGCACAGGAGTGGAGGAGTTAAGGCTTCATAACAGACACACAGGCATTTCAGACAGATACAGTGAGTAAAAGGGGATAAAATCAGACCAGGTAAAGGATATTTAGGAGTAGACCGGTGACGTGTGTGATGCGGTGACATTGTTTTTTCAAGTGAGGGGCCCCCCGAGCAGGATCGAGGCCTTTCAAGAACACCAACAGAACAGGAAGCAGCATTTCTATGAAGCTCAGCACAAAGTCAGATAAAGTTTCTGCTCTCAGAGACTCCTGCAGAGAGAGAAAGAGGAGAAAATAGGTGAAGAGTAAAAGGTTAAAGCAAATACAGCTTTTTCCTCTTTTCTTTAAACCTACTCTGAACTCAAACTAATGTATGAATGGACAAAACAATTCAAGATTAATCTGTTTGAATCGGTTTAAATCTGTTTGTATCTTCAGCTCCAAGGTTTCATGGTTAAGGTGTGTGCCGTACCTCCAGCAGCTCATTCAGCAGCTGCAGAACCTGAAGAGAGCAGGACTCGGCGCCCTCTACAGGGGAGCTCAGCCACTGCATCAAAGCGATCCCCCCGCCCACTGCCGCACACTGTCTGTGACCTCCTGCCCTGAGTTTGGGTCTTGCTGGCCTGAAGACCACCTCACAGAGGAGTGAACGCAGACCTGAGACGCTGCTCATGGCGAGGAGAAGCTCCAGCACCTGCAGACAAAAGAAACAAGACAGAGAGAGTTTATTAAGAAAACCTAAAATGCAGTTCTTTCCCTGATGACATTTATTATTATTCATATTTGTAATGAGTAAAAGTGTCTCTGTCTTCTTACCTTTGCAGCAGAGTCCGGGTCTTTTGACTTCAGCAGTCCTAAAACTTGATACATACATGCTGACAAGTGTTCGTATCTGGAAACACAGAAACGGTTTTCATCGTAAATGTAAAGATCCGCTTCAGTTTAAAGGCTCCAGGTTAGAAATACCTGTGTGTTTGTACCTGATGAGGTAATCTGCGATCTTTGGGCTCTTCAACAGGTTAACCAGAAGGTCCACGGAGTATTTTCGAGTCAGAGTACCATCACCGTTTACGATGATGTTGAACACCAGCTGGAAAGTCTGACAGATGTTTTTTGCTTCAAAGAGCTGAGGAGAAAAAAACAACCCCACAGATGTCAAAATAGAGACGCATCGACCACAAAGTCGGTCAGTCAGCTATTTTTTTCAGTGTGAATAAAACCTCAAATGAGAAACTTGAGCACCAGAGTTAACCCAAACTAAAACTGTCTCACGGGAGTTTTGATGTTGTTTATTTTGATATCATTTGCTGGTCTCCATTAAAGCTTTTCATGTAAACTAGATTTTAAAAAATCTAAACTAGGCTTCGACTACTAAGAAAAGGTGACCCTGTGACCCCCAAAACACAAGTCCAAATCAAGTGGTTTACAAGGTCTCTGCTGGAGTGAATGAAGACCAGTTTCTGCAGACTGTGTGCGTAAAATGTAACCAGACTGGAGTTCAGAGGGTCTCCTGCCCACCTTTTCTCCGACCTTCTCGTTCAGAGTGAGGCTGGCCAGGATGGACAGCGTGAAGACCACCACAGTCAGACTGTTCTGAGCCATTAAGTTGATCAGGGTGTGATAGAAAGGCTTCACATTGTCCTACAAAAAACACACACACAGGTATATAAACAGGTCATAAAGTATGTTTTTGTCTTTAACTTGCATAAGCAAATATATTCTACAAATTTTCACAGGTTGCAAATTAATTTGTAGATTAAATCATTTTATTTATTCGGTTTCATTTTCACTCTCAAAATTTTGATAGAAACATCCGGTTAACCTGTGATGCTATTAAACTGAAATAACTCTTGAGCAGACCCACCAAAGACTTGATGTGACTCTGCACTGAGTGGTTGTCCCGGCACAGGTTAGCCATGAGGCCGAGGCATGGCAGGATGATGCCATCATTGTGGGACTGGCTGTGGTGTTAAACACATGTTAGTACGGTTCATTAAGTCATGTAAAAAGACAAAACAAAACAAAAATCACTTTTTTCAGCTTCATTGTACCGCCATGTGAGAGGAGAGAGGAGAGGAGAGGAGAGGAGAGGTGATGTTCTTACATGTTGGCGATGAGGAAGGCAATGAGCTCGTGGATGTAGTTTGTAGACGGGAAGACTTGGGTGTTGTAGGTCAGTTTCTGTAGAACCTGCAAACACTGAAAGACATACACAAGACAATGTTACAGCAGATCAAATCCTCACTGGATTTAGGAGCAAAGGTCAGAAAATAAATGAATTGTGCCTCAATCATGACACACTGTATCCTGTTTTATTTGACTTTTGGACTTGGTGAATTTTAGACAGGATTTGGTGATCATAATAATAACAATGATGGACTTACCTGCAGTACCAAGGGTTCTCCTGGGCTGGCGCTGTGGCAGTGAATGACAGAGGCCAGGACGCTGGTGAGGTTGTAGCTGTTGTGAAGAATTTCCCAGCCGGCATCGTCATAGGCTGAAAAAGATGAAAGTTTTCCTTCATTACAAACGTTTTTTTTAATTTGTACACTAGTAATGCGAATTCAATGAAAGCTTTGTTTACAATTAATTAACAACTATAGAATAAAACTGTCAATAAGTAATAGAATGGGATAAAAAGAAGATGAGCTCTCTCGTGGATCTTTTTACAGAGCATTGGTCATCAAGTTTTCTGCTGCGGTTATCAAACACTGAGACTAGATAATAACGGTTTTGTTTATTACTATCAAGTGGTTTTTGAAAACCCAGAAGAAAGGAGGATTTTGTTGACAAACTTCAGATCAGTATGTAGGTCAAAGTTGTAGGTCAACATCTCTCTCTTGACTCGATGTAACTACATTCATTTGTTTTAATCAATCTTTTTCTAACACCCAGCTTAAAGGGATCCTAAAATATCCTTTATGATGTCAACTAGGGCTGAGCGATATGGGAAATTTAACTGTGCTTATTGGTTGCATGTCTTTTACAGTACAATAAGCTACTGCATCTGTGAGGTCTTTGTGTCTCTTCGACGTTTTGGCGTAAGGCGTTGCGCAAGAGAAAGCGGACTGAATGGTCGGCTGTTTCAGCTGCACAGGCGCCGTGGGCTCCTTGCTCCTCTCGTGGTTTGCAACCTTTTGCATTGCTCTGTTGCATGGCGCTGCTTCAGGTGGAGAAAAAGATTTGAGGTATTCCCCGACTTTGCCAGAACATGTACTCGGCATAATTTGCAGTGCACATTACTCTGCTTCATGTCTGACCTCAAAAAACCAAAATACCTCCACACCACCGACGTTTTCATAACGCTAGTGTTGTCAACAATGTCACCATCTGTTGAGCCTTCATCTGCATTTCCGCTCACTCTTTTTTTCTCACCCACAGTGCTGTCAGCTTAACCTGTTAAAGTGTTATGGTTGTGTGTAGCTGCAGTTCTCTGCTACATGGTTATAATTCAGCACATGATTGGTTCAGCGTGAAGCAACTCCCCTTTTCATTGGCTATTCGTATAGTCTACAAAAACATGACAATATGCCAACTATCGAAAAGCATATTAACGTGTTATCGTCCAGCCCTAATATCAACATAGATAACAGAAGATCTGTCAGTTTGCCGCTAACAGTGCATGTCTGATGTGTGAGGGGTTGTGCAGCGTAAACACAGGTGTACTGTACCGAGCTGTGCAAGCAGAGAGATGATGGAGCTGGTCAGGGTGGGGCTGGTGTTCTGGTTTCCAGCCAGCTCCACCAGCCCGTTCACACAATCCCTGGGCAGAACCTGACCTGAGGTCAGGAGCTGGTCACATTTCAGCCTGGAAACCTCCTGCAAGCAAACACAACATGCATATGTAAGTAACCTCAAGTACAGCATCCTAACTGAGTGCACAAGAACCACTCCACAACCCCTGGGCAATGATCCTCTTTACCATATTCTTGTCCCTAATGGGGGGCTGGACTAACTGAAATCCACTGACTGGTCTATAGAATCACTGTAGTAGGGGAGACCGGGGCTTGTTGTCACACTTTTCGCACTCATATATTTCTTGGAATCATTACATCATATACAAAATCTGTACCAGATGAAAGACCAAAGTCTCAGGTATATATTTTGCCCATCGGGTAAGTTGTCTCACGACATGGGGTAAGACGTCACAGTGGATTTTGCAGCTAATAAAACAAAGACAAAATTATTGTTGTTCTCATTTTTTGACATGGAAGTGAACATCAAAGTCAGGCAGAGAAAATGTTTATCACTAAGAAAGAAAAAGTCATTGAACAAACGTTAACCAGGGTTTTTCCTGGCTCAAATTGAGGCAGAGGTGGCACCATCCTGACCATGCGCCACGACGTGCATGTATTTGTAAATTCAACCGATTCACTTTCTTTTACAGGCAACATACTTTAAGTTAAGAGTTCAAAAAAGAGTGTGACCATTATTATGTTAAAGCATTAATTTATTAAAACTATATACATACACAAATCAGCTGGCAACTTTAAATTGAAAGTACACTTCATCCACACATCTCGCAACCAGACAGAACATTTCAGCCTCCTCTTTTTCATTCTGTAGAACCTCCTCATGCACCCCTTGTAGTCCAAGGCCTCCTGGTCTGGTCCATCAACGGCCACCTTACAACAGACATCCAAGTGCCTCTCCTTCAGTCTGTTCCGCAGAGGTGTCTTCACCTTAAACAAAACAATTCATCATGCATTAAGTATTTTTGTTTTTATTCTGATACAGACATGAAGAGTGATAGTGTTTTCAATCATATATATGTATACGCTGCAGTGTCCTCCCTAAAAAAAAAAACGACAACCAATTATTTCTTAAACTATCTAAACTATGTTTTTTTTTTTTTTTGTAACTTTATTAGTTGAGTTTTTTTAGGTACAACCATCTTTAATATATTTCTCCTTCTCTTCTGCTGCTTTGTGAATGGCTGTCACCTCATGTCTTTTTAATGTGTCCAGCCTGTAGTTGGTTGATGGCTGTCTCACTAAGGAGGCAGCAATTACCTGCTGTGTTGGGGCACAGTGCTTTTGGCATAAATAGCAGTGCATGCCTTCCTCAGTATGCCTGAGCCAGGCAAATTGATTGAGCCACTGCTTGTCAAAGCCACTGGCTCTGTGTTTTTGAGAAGATCTGGAAAGAGGAATAAAAACCACGTACACGTTGGTTTTGCGTTGTTATGCTCCTAATTGGAAACTAATTAATTAATTACCCTCGCCTCGCCGACTCGTCCTGTCCTGCATTCTGACCCTCGCGATCACCAGTCCCTTGTGGAGTACTTTTAGACCTGACACAAATTTCCACGTTGTCACCAACATGAATTATAGCATTTTAACTGCCTGTTCCTTTTTTTTCTCTGCTGTGTTTCACCTGGACTCTTGACTTTCCTCCTCGCGAGGTCGCTTTTTAAAGTACTGGCTGATTTTGCCTGTCATAACTGCAACGCTAAAAACAGAGTAAACTTTTTTTTTTAAATAAACACGACATGCTTGGATGCCAAAAAGAGAAGCAGTATTTACCTGTTTGTACCATCCGCCAGGGAAAATCAGGACGCCGACAGCACCAACTAGCGGGAAAAAAACTTGAAAAAGCATGATTCGATCCGTTTCTTCTTCGGTAGATGCTTCAGGTCTTTCCGGTGCACTGCTGTTGATATAGCGCCTCTATAGTGGCGCAACCCTGCAACTGCAGTTAAAATACGTTGCTGCTGCATCGGGACATCAATCGCTCAATCAACACAGCTGGAGCTTTACGCTGTGTTGAGCGAAATCAATCGCTCTGGCTGGGGGCGGCACAAAATTAGGTGGAGGCGGCCGCCACGCAATTTTGAACGCAGGAAAAACCCTGTTAACATAAGAGATTATGCAACATGCTCTATAGTTTGGATGTTGTCTGACTCTGTATTTCAGCTGGGGTGAATGTTTTTGCAGTACTGAGCCAAGGTATTGTAGTTGACATTAAAGTCCTTTATTGTACTCCAGATTGACTTATTAGCGAGGGTCACCTGCCTGACTGCCCTCAGCATCACGTCAGGTACTGCACTGCCATGTTCTGTTTTTCTTTAGTAATTCCTGACCATGTCTTCTCGCCTTCCTCTCCTTTAAACCACTTTTCTCTGTAAACAAAATGTCAAAATTTCAATGACAACTGCTGATAAGCAGACTCTCTATGTTTATTTTAATCCCTTTTAAACATGTGATAACTAAACCCAAAATGACTGAGACATGTTGCCCGAAACTACCATGTTTGCTAATTCTAGCTCTAGTTTAAAACAGAACAATCTCTCCTCTAACAAGTCCACATGTATCACTGCCAGGATTTTTATCTGGAAGAAGCTTATTTTAAATATAAAGTTATTTCTTTTTACTTTGGGTTGTGTGAAATGGTTAACTGGCGCTCATCTCAGCTCACAACGTTCTCTTCTCTTCTCAGACAGGACACGACCCCTGACCATGTAAAGGAATAAAACTAGTGTTCCACTTTTTAGTTGCGCCCTCTGGTGGAAAAGATAATTTGCAATGTGACAACAAGCCCCGGTCTCCCCTAATAGACAAGCACAAAGCCAATCATGTTTAGGTATCCTGCAGATTCTAAGGGTCATTTCCAGGCTGTTTTTGTTACTTTGTTACTAATGGCATTCATGAGGTTGACAGTAGTACGACGTTAATGCCATAAAACACAATAAAACAGGAATATTTGACAGCAGGACTCACCTCCAACTGTTTCTCAAGCTGAGCTGCAGTCTGGGCCGTCCGGTCCTCTCTGTACTGCTGGATAGCCAACAAAAGAGACTTCAAACGGGAGGTCGTGTCCATCTTACGAAATGAAACTCGTTTATTAATTATCCAGCAGTGAGAAACCTGTCATTGACCACAAAACACAAACAGAAATCAACGCTTTTCAGTCGCCATCTTTGACCGTTGGTTAGTAGGCAATACAACGCACAAATAAACCTCTCCGTTTCATTACATGAAGTTAAACAAACTAACTGTGAAGAAGCTTTGTCTTTTGAAACTTACTTATAATAGTATATACGAATAATTGAGATATTGCTCTCATATGATTACCTGAGGGGACTTTTCCTCCAGAAACATCAACGTCCTCCTAAAACCTTCATGAAACTTCCTCCCGCCCCGAATTGAAAACGGACAAGGGAACGTACCATGTCGAGAACAGGGGGAGAACCAAGTGGAGTATTCATTAGCGACACTTTTATCGGCTTTGTGGGACGTGAACGGAGAATTAATACGTTTTCTTTTGTGATATGTCTCATTCTAAATAAAAAAATACAGTTTAAAATACATTATTAACTAGATGGAGGGGAAATATAATGACAGTGCCCCCCTTTTAAAAGACACGGTACAACCACGCGAGAATCTACGTGATCTGAGGTGAAAGGGGGCAGGAGCAGCCGTTAAAGGGGCGAAACTGAATCAATTCTGTCATAAATTGAATTATTCTGAATTTAGAAAACTAAAACATGTGTATAGTTAATGTTTCTATAATTGGTATATGCTTTTCATAATATCTGTTCATTTAATTACACCTTGAAGTTCCTTTCTTGCATGTGGAAACACGTTTACATCACTAATGTCAGTGAACAAAACAAACAAAAGCATCTAATTGTCAAAGCTGTGTAAAAAAGATCAGAACAGGTTACACTGGGTGAAAAAAACGAAGATGAGTAAGTTTGTACATTAAAGTTTACCCTTCGGGCCTCATTTCTGTCAGATGTTAGCAGATGGATTGGTAGTGTTTGTTTTTTCTTTTACTTGATCAAAATCACAACACGGAAAAAAAGGTCAAATAAAGACTAATGTTTATTAACCATTTAACATCTTTTATTTACAAATTAGCCAGTGGCTGGTGGTGTTAATCTGAAAGTCTGTGAAAAATGTTAAATATCAACCAATTTGCTTTGACTACAGGCGTCTATTTCAGCTCTTTGGTTTTTGAGCATGTCATGAGAACTAAAACAATATAAAAAAAAAAACATAATCTGAGTTTGGTAAAACTCCAATACAAAAATAACACTCTTCAGCAACAAATGAATCTCACAAAACATAACATGTCGAAGAAAACCCTTACTACATAACTCAAAATGACATAAACAGAACAGGAATCGGCCACATGAAGTCGTGCTAATAACAATTTATCCCAATAAACACGCTCCACACATACCTGGCGTGACGTCTTCAATCAATGTATCATGAGCAACTGCAGGTGCTCTAATCAGTGGGGGGCAAACCCTGGATGTGTCCCAACAAAAAACAACCAGACCCCCCCTTATCATCACATCAGTTCTCATCCAATGCCCATGTGATCAAATAATATTTATCTATTTATTTAAACAACACAGGATTTTAAGTCGACCAAAAGTGTCTGACGGCAGCTACATGGTGGTTTCTATCCAAATAAAACACAATGAGTTAAACTCACTGAGGACTGCCTGCTTATCTGAATGGATGAAAACTTTATTATTAGTTTTCCACTGCTTTCTATCATGAAATTTGGACAGTGATTAATATTTGACTTTGAATGGCTGTATTTTTGTGATTTTGTTGTTTTCAGCTGTTATGTGTCTGTGTGTGGAAACCACCCATATAATCTCAAAACCCACAGCTAAAATTTTCTTTTTGTTTCTTTTTAATTTGTCTTTTTTTTTCTTTTTTCATCTGCACAGAAATCAGAAATTCTTGTTTCGATTATGCAAAAACAAAAGCAAAAGACTGTCCGAAACAGACGTCCTTCTCGTGATAAAGTCGATGCATAACAAAGACCAATGAGAAAAAAAACTATTGTGGCTTGTGCGTGAGTGATGTGTGAAGGTGCACAGGATGTGTGATGGTGTATGTCCACACAGACAGACACACAGAACAGTTTTTTAATGCAACACATTACACCAAGAGTTTGGTTTCAGTTTGACCCCTACTTCTTTTCACAGCAGCTTCCTGACAGCAAATACAAAATACTTTGTGCAGTATCAAACTCAAAGCCCGCCACCTCTAACATAACAGGCTTCAGGACCAAATACTGGACTTTAGCTCCTTCTCTTTCATGATAAACCTAAGGGAGAACTTTTAATACCACAAAAGCTGCAAGTTTGTTTAACCTTTGCTAAATAATGATAATGACACAGCTAAGTGCAACAATTGTGACAGAGATTTTTAATGCACAAGAGGAAGCTCGTCTGATATGAAGCACTTACTTCAAGAAGGATCGAGTTACAGGCACTGTCATTTATGTAGCATCTTAACACACTCAGGTAAAAACAATTGAGCTCAGAGCTGGTAACAGAACGATCATGTTGTTATTTTGTCATATTCCCAAGTTATTAAAAGTTATGTTTTGGGGTATTTCTGCCCGTAATTGGTCAGCTTAAAAAAGAGGAAATATGGTGAGAAGTGAGTAAACAGAGGAGTGATGTGAGCTCATTGCCTCTTTTCAATTGAAAAACATTTAACAAACATACGTATGACTTTCTCAGATCTGTTTGGAGGAAAATAAACCTTTACCTTCCAGACGCTCATCTTCACAACTGAGCTTACCTGTTGGTAATATTCAAAAATATGATCAAAAACAACACCAACTTTCTTTACAGGACGAAGAAAACATTTAATGCCATCTAGCAGACCTGGTTTTTAAGTAATTTCTGTTTTCGTCTGCGTCCATGATCTAAAGTCTCTCAGACCACCCAATAAGGCTTTCATGGCGTTGGCGTTACTTATCTCTTGACAGAAAAAACAGCAAATCATCTACAAAGCAACTGAAAGAGAAACTATGTCCTCCAAAAACAGAAACCTGAGGAGGTAAATGAAAGGAGAAAACAAAACAGGACCTGAAATGTAGCCCTGAGGGACCCCATAAGCTAGTGGGGCGAAGGATTCTGGACATGATGGATTTATATACGCTTAACAGGCAGTAAGAAGGCACAGTGTCACCTCAAAGCAAAAATCTAACATCCATGTTGGCATTTGTAAAAATTGTGAAGAAAATTCAGTAAAGATTGTTGAGATGTTTCAGTCCGGAGGAGAGGGAGGGACTCATGTAACAAAGAAACTATTATAACTACAGGAGCAGAAGCAGAAGACAAAATTTGTTTTCAGTCCATTTTCCTTCACAATTATGTCCTGGTAATAGTTCAGTCTTTATTCCTCTCGAAGTCTTCTCATGTGTTTGGTGATTTACTGTCTGAAGTTATCAGGTAAGACTTCTACGTATTCTGAAGCTGGAGCATCTGGAAAAGGAAGGAAAATATAAATCAAAACAGATCCTGAGACACAAATAGAAACTGTGTGGAGTCTGACATACTTTCATAATCATGTTCCTCGTCCTCCTCAGGAAAAAGCCTCAGTTGTCTTTCAGGCGCAGGCGGCTCAGGTGCGTGTCGAGGCTGGATTAACATTGCCGTCTTTCTTTTGACGGAATGGCGCAGGTGTATTGCTAGGCCCTGGTTCCTCCTCTTATAGTGACGGATCAGCTCGTCCAAAGTCTTAAAAAATATCTCCTGCGTACCCCCTGAAGTCTGAGAGGACAACAGCATCATAAAGTTAACAAGGAGAGGGAAAAAAAAGTAAACAGAGAAAATGGGCTTTGCAGCTCTGTGCTCAGTGTTCGAGTTTAATCCAACTGCAATAAGAAACATCTTTGTTATAGTGTGGTTGTTTATCTCTAGGTCGTTCTACATTTTAAAAGCTTCGACTTCATTTTGGTGATCAGACTCATAAAACTACATTTCAAACTGCTATTTATTATAAAGTAGAAATCTTACACTGCTTTTTAAAAAACACATGAGCTCTTACACTTCTAACATTTTCTCACAACCTGCAGAGCCGACAAATCATTCAGCCTTTTCAAACCTGCATGTAGATTATATTTTATCGCGATACAGAACAATGTCATTGTTTAGTCTGGCAAAGCTTAGCTCGTCGAAATACTCATTAGCGTCTCCATAACAACATGCCGTCCCTTGGCTTTTCAGACACATACAAACACACCTATATGTATTACACTGCCACAGTAAGAGCAATGGGTAAATTCCAGTAGAGGCCGACCTACTCATTGGTTTGACATTGAGTAGCCTTTTGAAATAATTGGCATAGGCCAGTTTTTTAATAATAATAGTAATAGTAATAAGAATTTATTTTAACTTTATTTGTATAGCACTTTTAAAATCAGAAGTGCTTTGACATGTAGTCATAAAGCACATGGAAAAAGACAGATAAAAACAAAAAGCTCAATTTTTAAGTCCATTTTCATGTCATAAGGAACCCAGACAATACAAGAACCATGCAACATAAAATAAGACCATGAGGACCAAAATAAAAACGTAAAATAGTTGAGAAAAAAGAAAATGCAATTAAAAGGGGGTCAAAAGTGGAAACAGGATAGTAAATATAAAAGGCAATATCAACAATGATAATAAAATAATAACAGGTAATACTGATAATAATAGTAATAAAATAGAGCAAGAGATAAAACAATAAAAGGCCTAAAAGGTTAATTAAGAAAAGAGTACAAGTATAACAAAAGCTAAAAAGACAGTAAAGCCGAAATAAGATAGAGATAAAAGAGATAAAAGAGAAGACGGCATCACATTAAAGCAAGTCTGTAAAAGTGAGTTTTTAAATTTGACTTAAAAGAAGCGACTGTCTCTGCACACCTTATTAGATTAGATTTTTCTTTATTCATCCGTCCGTGAGGAAATTAAGTTGTTAGCAGCAGCGGTACAAACAACTTACCCATTCATACTGGGAACAAAAACAAATAAATAAGATAAAGAACTACAGTGAAAAAAGAAAGAGAAGTGCAAGGGAAGAACAGTATTAAAGACAAGTATAAGAAAAATAAAAAAGAGAAAAAAAAAAAAGATCAGTGCAAACAAACAAAAAAAAACAAGTATGGATGTGATGATGGTTATCTTCTCCTGTGGCAGGTTGTTCCAAAGTCGAGGAGCTCTGCTGGAGAAAGATCTATCACCTTTAGTTTTGAGCCTCGACTTTGGAATGACCAGGAGGCCTTCACCAGAGGATCTGAGTCCCTTGAGTGCTTTAAAAGTAATCAATAAAATCTTAAAATCAATTCTAAAACTGACAGGAAGCCAGTGAAGGGAGGCTTAAATTGGAGTAACGTGATGCTTTCGACTAAAACCAGTTAAAAGCCGAGCTGCTGTGTTCTGAACTAGTTGAAGGCGGGAGAGTGATTTCTGTTTTACTAGACTAGATCACAAAATCATTAAATCTAAGACAGAGGGAAGGTAATGAAACAAGATGTTTTCACAACTCTACAAACAGATGGAAATCAAACCTGCTGATGAGACTAGAACAGAGTACAGGAGGTGCAAAAGTGGACGGTTGTTATCAGAGATGATTTCTATTTTGAGCGATTAACCATCACAAGTTCTCTTCCTATTTCTGTGAGACTACAAAAACAACAACCCACAAAGTCTAAAACTAGAGAAGCTAAAACAAACTTAAGTTGATTCCACCATAAATGCTACATGTAGTTTTAATACACAAATAGACATTCAGTGGTGTGTCTGCTGTCTGTTTCTCACACTTCCTCAAAACATCGTAATTGCGTCAACTGTCATTGCACACGCACAAAAAAGATAGATCTGCTAATACCAATATCATGTTGACATATATATTGTGTATTAAAACACATTAAAATATATATTTGCACAGTGGGATTGCACAGGAAAAAAGGTTCTGCTAATAAAAACAAATCTTAGAAACAGTTTTGTAAAAATTGGGGCAGTTGTAGCTGCACAAAATTTTCATTTATCCTGCTCACAAAAAGATGAAAACAGAGAAACAGAAGCTCGAATAACAAAACCACAACCCTCAGAGGCAGGGTTATCACATGGTAGCTACCTGACCTCAAAAACACGTCGGTCTAACAACACGCAAAAAAGGGGAAACATTGACGGCATGGAAAGACTTCAACATGTAGGAGGATAAAAATAGATCTTTAGGTAGAAAGAGTCGGAAACAAGAACGCAAAAGACAAAAACTGGCACACTCATTGATATATTCTGGAAAATGTCAGATGACAAAGTCCACCTCAAAATCACACTTGCCCCACTCTGATATGAATGTTTTTTTTGACAGTCAGAGTTGTTGGCATCTGAGCTGAAGTGGAAAAAGTTCTCCCTAATAGTCTGTCACATCAGAGCGCAGGCTGTTTGTGTCTCCACTCTGACGTCAGAGCTGAGGAGTTTCCTCTGATGTGGGGGAGATCTGAGAAATGTCAAGTTTCCATTATTAGGAGTGAAATCTTCCTTTAGAGGTACCAACAGGGCCTAATCTGTGGTTTTACAATCGGGGGAAGACTGCTGACCTGACAATCATTCAGAAGACCATCATGGACCCTCTCCACAACCACAGAGGGTCACTCCTGTAAAGCCCGGCTGTTCCCAGAGTCTGTATGGAAGCAGATTCATGAAAGTTGACTGAAAGGAAAAGCAACAGCTCAGCCTTTACAGGATGGTCAAACAGAGCAGATTCAAGAACTTGGAGGACCCCCACAAGGACTGGACTGAGGCTTGAGTCAGAGCATCAAGAGCCTCTACACAAAGACAGGTCCAGGAAATGGACTACAAGTGTCATAGTCCTGCTGTCAAGACCCTCCTGAGCTAAAAACAACGTTATCGGAAGAAAAAGAACTGGACTGTTGCTCAGCAGTCCAAAGTCCTGTTTTCAGATGAAGGTCAGTCTTGAATATCAAGGTCTTTGAGTCTGTAGGAAGATCAGAAAGGCCCAGAATCCCAGGTGCTTGAGGTCCAGCATGAAGTACGCACAGTCTGTGATGGTTTGGGGCGCCATGTCATCTGCTGTGGTTGGTCTGCTGGGTTTTATTTAAGTGATATTCCGGCGTAAAATTAAGTTAGGGTCAAACACACGAGTTAGACACCCTATCGAGAGATGAATGTTGCCGACTGCTTGCTTCTCTAGTTATACCAACTTTAGTAACGACCACAGATAGCAATACAGAGAGCCACGCACTCAACCAAAACGCCACTCTATAGCCACAGATAATGATCAGAACGGCACCTGACTTCATCAACAGGACATATAGGGTCCTAGCCATAGTGCTAGCCACCAAACATCTTTTTAACTTTGACTTATTTCTTTAACAAAGAGACTTAACACAACTCACCTACTCTCTTCCAGCAGCCGCTTGTTTGTACAGAGACCTCCAGACGAGTCCATCGACTACAGCGGGGTGACGCAGCTCAAGGAAGAACATTTATGATCATTTCTTCATGGAAATGAAATCAGACCGAGACGCTAAGGCAGAAGAACTACCGTGTCTGCAGTGCAAAATGATTAATATGGTGATTATTATATATATATGAAAGGGTGGATTTTTGATTTCTGTGAGCTGTAAGCTGAAATCATCAAGATTCAAACAAAGAAAGTCCTGAAAGGTTTCACTTTGTGTGTGATGAATTTGGAAGTTTCACCTTTTCATTGAAATTATGTTCAAAACTAGATAAAACAGCCCGGTCTACGGTCTCCTCAGTTCTGTTTTCAAGGTGGTTCATCCACCAGGTATCATTGAAGCAGAATCTGCACTGACAGTGCCAGGTTTCATTCTGGCAGCAAGGGTTTGATTACACAACTGGGAGAGCCCACATCAGCCAGAGAACAGAAGGTGGTTTGGGCTGATGGTGAGAACTAGAGCTTTTGAGAGCATGATTGCCAATCAAGATAGCTCATAGAGTAGTACTGACCAATCATGTTTCAGCAGGTTGTGATGAAGCAAAATCCACACTAATGACACCCGTACTCCCATCAGATATAATCTAGAGGTGGTTTGACACTGTGAACAGATACAATCTGTTTCTATTTATATCTTATCTTAAGTTTGCATTTCCACACTTCAAACTTCTGCCCTGCATGGTCTGATGATGCAGAAGAGCAAAACACACAAACTGAGCATCACACAGTTTGATGTGTAGACCAGTCAGGGTGTCCATGCTGACTCTTGCGCACCAGAGTGTAATGGGTGGAAAGCTGATCAATACAGGGATCAGGTCTCTGTGTTCATCAAACTGAAGGATTTAAAGGATGACTTGTGTTCAGACTGAACAAAAAACAGTTCTCAGTATGTGAACAAAGAGGTTGTTTTTTTTTGAAAGACAGTTTGCAGCTTTTTTTTGTACTGATGTAGGTGCATAATTTGTTTGATATGAATGATAAAAGATGCTAAATTCAGACTGTGAAACTGTGTAGGTGTTTTAGCTACCAGTTATGTGTCATGCACAGTCATGTACTTGTACTTTTTTGTCTCACGTCAGTAAATTGAAGAGTGAATCAGTGTGGGAGTGACTTTTCTCAGCATGGTTTTCGGTGTTTTTTGTGTACAAACCTGTCAACAAACTGAGGACACAGGTATCGGCTGGAGCTGGTTTATGTTATACAGTTAAAATCGTATTACAGGTAAGATTCAATTAAAGTCTTTTTAGGCCAAATTTGTGTGAAACTTGTCTCTGTTTTTGATATCTACAACTTTACAACCTCTCTTTTATTCAGCTACATTCAAACAGTTTTATTTTGCAATCGTTTCATTTGTGCAGGTTTCCTCTGTGGTCATGCAGTCTACTCGTGACTCTGTAATTTAAGCATCATATTCACACACATTTTGCACAGTTTATCTCGGGAGCAGCTTTGGCCTCTCATGTTTTGAGATAAAGTCATAAAAGAAAAGGTAGGATGGCGTTTCAGAAACAGCTTACCAACTCATGCATGCATGCAACAGACTTAAATGGTGAAAGCGTGTGTTTTTACCATGAGAGTGTAGTGTCCATTGTGTGCCTGCAGTAGTCTGTAGGTGTACACCACCCTCTGTTTACTGCAAAGACAGAAAAAACACACTTTAATGATGATATCTTGATTATTTTAACCATCCTAACAACACCAAGAAAGATTTCAGCTGCTGTCGTTCGCTGTGGACGGTTCAGAGTCTGGTCTGCTTCTGCAGCAACATTTGAAATATGACAAACTTTGTGGTCTTTGCTGCACGACTATCACCTAATCGGTCTCATGCACAAATACTGTCAAATGAAATGGAAAATGAATGACAGGTAGAGGCAATAACTACTAACCTCAGTGACACCTCATTAGCCACAGCATCCGTTAATGAGAGACGAGTCAGTAAAGTCCTCATGTACAGAGACACGCTGCTGTTTACCACACTGACACTGTTCAGTGTTTATTCAAGATACCTATTTTTACCCAGTAAATATCACCGTACCTCCAATATTTCACATGAGTTATTAGTTTCACTCCACTGTCACGAAAAAATTTATTCACAGATTTCTGACTGTGCAAAAACTTCTGTTGGTGCCATTAAATTTTATCTCTTTATATGAGGTGAAAACTGTTATACTTTAAGGCCAAAATGCTTGAAATCATTGTTGGGGCTGAAAAGGTTTTATAATATAGCATGTCAAAAAAGTGGTCTCCTATGGTCAACTTACCCCAGAACTACTATTATGACTTTATTAGCCCTCTAAGCTAAAATGGTGGACTTCTATGCTAGGTTTTGACCTCATGTTGTAGCTCATAGATACCAAAATCGATGTGTAAATCAAATTTAAAATGATCTTTTTTGGTCTGAACACAATTCTAATAAAACTTATGACAGACTAAATTCACTTTCAAGAGTGAAAAATGTTTTTTTTTTTGTAAATAAACGTCTAACCCCTTCACCCGTGTGCTTCTAACCTTCACAGACTTCATGATTTGATGCCCATCTCCGAAATATTTGGTCACATGATCAATTTCTTGAAAAAGAAAAACAAAAGCAGCGAGGTCAAGTAAGAACAAAAGAGACATCAGCCAAATTGAAGAAAACGGACACAGTATGGGCTTTGGTGATGTTCTAGGAGTGGTTGGAAAAGGTCAAAACACCTTCAAAGTGGCAGGTTTGAAGACCTTAATCAGGTGTCGCTGTAATTTCACGCATCAGTTCAAGGTGCCAAAAGACAAACGTGAATGTTTCGAATTAACTGTTTGATGCCAATTTCAACCTGATGGTAGGCTGACGAGAAAAGAAAAGGAAACGCTAAAATCTGAGAGACAATTATCTCCACAGTTTGATTAAATCATTCTTTAATCAATAAAATAACCAGTAAATTAGTTGTATCCAGATAATCAGCATTAGTGGGCTGTTATAACAGATTTGAACTCCTTCAGGGTTTTTGTTTTTTTTAAGCCGAGGCGTCTGAATTTTTCACCGGTGACAGAGCGCCGCTTGTAAATAAATTTTGTTCTTATTCTGGTCCACCATTAAGAGTACATATAATATTCACACCATCACTATCACCAATACTGATAGCAACAGGCATACAAATACAAGCAAATATTGGAAAATATGTGACACTAAGAGTAGTAAATCTGAAATTATACATTAGGTATTTTTATATGTTATATTCTGTATGTTCGGTGTAAAAGCAGAGCTGTACTGTTGTGAATATACGTGTAAGAAGAGTATGAGTGTAAAAACTGAAGGGTTGAAGTTGTTCTGCGTTTTTGCACGGCTATCATAAGAAATTATTATTGTTTATCCCTTTAATGCCTGAAACCACAAATTATGGCCAGAAAATTCTAATTTTTTTGGAGCTGAAATGTTTTTTTCACGTATTGCTGAAAACCAAAAAAATCAAAATGTCCTTAAAATTTTACAAATTTATTAATTTATCTTGTTTAATACATCAGATTTTTTTGGAAACTTACAAACCACAAGAGGAAATTTTTATCATTTATCGGACTGTGTTAAGGTGTTTTTTTAATAATTTTTTGATCATATTGATTGATAGAAGTATCATAAAAGTATGTATTAAATATGATACAAAAAATAAAGAGTTAAATTTCATCTTTTAGTCACTGATCTTTATCAATGTTGACATTCATTTGTACACGGATACATGTGTGTATTCTAAGATGATTTAGTCGTCATGTATAACTCACCATCAGGGTCATTTTAATGCTTGTTTTATTGCTTCATGTTGCAGGATAAGTGAATAACCAGAAACAACTTTTCCACGTACGGGACAATAAAGTCAGTTTTATCTTATCTTCAGATTGAAATAAGTATACAGACAAATGTGTATTAACAAAAACTGAATATGGCCGAAATGTGAAGTATTTAAAAACCAAGGTGGCAGTGAGAATCAGCAGACAAAGAGGGTTTAGAGTTCAGATTCAGAAGTGAGTACTCACTAAACACACAGACACATGGCCCCCTGGATGGTCTCGCTGTCTCGGATCAGGTAGGCTCCATCCTTGTTTTTCTTCCCCAGCAGATCCTCACACTCCTTCTTGCTGATGGCTCCATGGTAGTACAGAGGCAGAGCTGCTGCCATGCTGAGGAGAGACGACAGTGAACAGAGACATCCAGCGCACCAAACTCCTTCTGCTCTCTCAAAACTGCTTCATTTCTAAGAAGAGGAGCAGATCAGACCTGTCCTCCAGAGATTTAATCCAGGCACCATGAACCCAGACCAGATTTGGTGCTGGTGTTGAGGATTTTGAAGTATTTAATTTGATTGCTTTTTCTCACAAGTCTGATGAGTGAAACAAGACAGTCAAGCTCTGAAGTGCTGAACAGAGTGAGAGAATTCAGAAGAAAACCACAGAGCTGCCCCGGCATTTAGACAGGAAGTGTGTGAGTGTGAAAGAGTGTGAGAGGACAAGAAAGGGTGATATGCATGAAAATCATTTGAAGGATTAAAAACAGAAGTATTTTTAGACGGTTTACTGTCTGATTGCAGTGGTTGACGCCAGCACACTGACTGAAAATGGTGTCATGCTACAAAAACAGCTGGAGGAACATCTCCTATCTGATGTGGCTACTTCTGAACAGGCTGAGAGGGTCTGATAAAAGTATTCAGAGAGACTGTGCTCTCAGAAGTAAAGATCAGACTGAGTTCACCACTCTGTGAGCAAATAATTTGTCCCTTTGGACATTGCACAGTAAAAAATAAAAGAAAACTACTTTAATTTGTCATGTATTGTCCTATTTTGATATATTTTGATGAAAAGTACTTTTTCTTGGGTAAAAATCACCCAGCGATAGTGATGGTGTTACTAATTTTAGCGATAGTGTTCTAGGGTTAATGTTAGGTCTTCTCCAGCTCTTTTTGTTTCATATCTTGTTAATAGAGTATAAATAAAGATTGATTAATTGATCAACTGTAAATGGAAGAAACAGGTGATTGATGACATTTTATACAATTGTGTGTAACTAATACATCAACAAAAAATGGTTTAGAATAATAGGCATCTTTTTTTTTAATTATTATTTTGTTTCATAAATGTATTTTCACCTCAGGTTGCCGTTGTGAATTTGTGCTTTTATTGTTTAACTTCCGGTAGGGGGGGAACGGGGCGGGGTCGTGATGTTGCCTGGCAACGTGCCATAGATTCTACAGCTAATCCGGGCCAAACAAACACATCTGAGGGCTCATCCTTACTGTGACAAATGGGTTAAAATGTAAGACTTTTCTTCTTTTGGTATCGTGAAATTTAACGTTTTTGATTCATTTACAGTTAAATTTGAGCTGTTGGTGAGCGTAATGCCCGACTTTAATAGAGTGGGAGTTATCTGTGAGGATGAATTTGCTCCTGAAAACAACCAAAACAACAGGAAAGGTCAGTGAATCCACCTTGGATGTGTGGTACTTTTCCCGGTCCCGTTGTTTATTTTAAATCTAACCTGGTGCTTGTGTTCGCCGGTAGATGAAGGGAGGAGCAGCGGGGTGTCGGAGGTTTTCGGGACGGTGCTGACTTTGCTGTCCGTGGTCTTCATCCTCTTTACCTTCCCCTTCACGGGCTGGATGTGCGCCAAGGTGACCTGATACAAAACAAACCTTTAAGTGTTTTACCTGAGCATATAATCTTAGTAAAAATGCAGACAAAGCTATTGTAAACTCTTATGAAGAAAGGTGTTGCTAATGAGGAAGGATTGGTCAGGTAGTTTCAGTGCAGATCCACAAAGTACAACATGGAAATAAGGATGTTTAGTGGGGGAGACCAGGATGGTTGGAACATTTCTGACATTTCTGTCTGTATCTTAGCGTTGTTTTAAGCCAATGCATTCAAACTGTGATACAAACTAAGTATATGTGTCTGCTATTAAAGGCTGTAGAAGTTACCCCTGCAACACAAACAGACTACTCATAATTTAGTCTCAAACATTAGTAGTGAAATGTTACAATTCACCCCATAGTCTGGGTTGTTTGTAACACACCCTGGGGTGAAATGTAACATTAAAAAATCAGGATAATGACAAAACTTTATTGATTGGAAGCTTTTTATTGACCAATTTAAAGGCATTTTAACATTACTGGTGTGTTTGAGCCTATATGTTAGTTACTGCCAGTCCTAGAAGTGATGGACAACGTGATGAGGTACCCCCCGGTCAGTCTTTCTCCTTCAAGATGAGACATACTGAATTTTAAAGAAAACATGTAGATAATAAAAAGTTTGCTTGGAGGAGGTTTTAATACTTTTCATTGTTGTTACAACTAACCCAGACTCTTGTCACCAGGAATGAGCTTACTTTACAGCTAACAGCCAAAACTTTGGCATGAACAACTTGCAGGAAAAATATCTACAGACACACAAAAAACGTGATTTAAGTTTGATGAGTTCAACTACAAAGCAGGCAATGCTATCATTAAAGTGTCTGAATTAAAAACGACTTTCTTATCTCAAATTTAGATTTTGTTTCTCTTAAAATTGGTGGAGTCTACCAAAGGATCCTATATGTACACATGTGGAACAAGAACTAAACTAAGCATGTGCAGAGTGAGTCAGGTGATTTGTAACTTGATCCTGATTGGAGAAATTGGAAGTGTTACAATTGACCCGTGTTACAACCATCCCCGGTCTCCCCTTCTTGAAATAATCTGGTTTGAAAAAATAAACTGTGAACTGATAAACTGGAAACAACATTCAGAAAAATCATGTCTGCTTCAGGTGATCCAGGAGTATGAGAGAGCTGTGGTCTTCAGACTGGGACGTGTCCTCAAAGAAGGAGTCAAAGGACCTGGTACAAAAAAAAAAAAGAGAGACCAATCTGATTTTTTTATTTCCTTTAACATCAGTTTGGATCTTAGTATTTGTAAAAATCTACTCAGAGATTCTGTGTCACTGCAGGTTTGTTCTGGATCATCCCCTGGATAGACGTCATTAAGAAAGTCGACCTGCGGACTGTTTCCTTCAACATACGGCCACAAGAGGTCAGCAGCAGCTCAGCCATGAGTGACTCAGCACTTCACAGTGCTTTACCACAGACTCCTGGTTCCTATCATCCTCTGTGTATCAAATGTATGTCCTGAAGTGAGCCACAAAGAGCAGCACAGAGGCCTTATTTCTTCTGTTTACATCCCCCTCCTGCTCAGGTTTTGACTGCAGACGGGGTGCCATTAAAGGTGGATGCTGTGGTGTTTTACCGGGTGGTGGACCCCTCTCTCTGGGTGACACGTGTTGAAAATGGTTACAAGGCCACAAATACACTGGCTCAGACGACACTGAGGGCTGCACTGGGGGCACACACTCTGACGGACTTACTGACTCAGAGGACGAGCGTCGCTAAGAGGATGGAAGTGAGTCAAATATTTCTATCCTCGTTTTTTCAGGTGTAAAGAAACAGGAAAGACTTGGAAAGCTAAAAGTTTATCTACAGACTTCATCTCTGTGCAGGTACCACTTACATCCAAGATTTTTCTGTCCATTTGTAAGGATTATGTCTCCACTGAGCTCAACTCCGCATGACAACAGGGGAGATGTGGAGGTAAAAAGTTTGTGTGGGGATTCATTTTACCTGCTTTGTCCTGTAGGTGGTGCTGCACTCTGCGTCAAGGCTGTGGGGGGTTCAGGTGGAACGGGTGGAGCTCAAAGACCTGACCCTGCCTGTCACTCTGCAGCGCTGCATGGCTTCAGAGGCTGAGGCCGCCAGGAGGGCCAGGGCCAAGGTACCTAAACTCAAACGCACTTTTTGAATCTCACGAGTTCAAGTTCAGATCAAAGATTGTTCTTCTCTCTCCAGATGATCGTGGCTGAAGGAGAGGTGAAGGCTTCTCGGGCTTTGAAAGAGGCGGCGTCTGTACTCTCACCTCTGGCTTTCCACCTCAGATACCTGCAGGCGCTGAGCTCTGTTCAGAGCAGCGCGTCCATCGTGGTCTTCTCCCTCCCTACAGAGCTCCTCAACATGTTCTTCTCTAAACACTGTAGCTTCACACAAGTGAGGGAGCTCAATGTAAGAAAGGTCGACTGAGACATACACCAGAGTCCTAGAAACATGGTTATTATCTTCTTTTACAGAACTGTTTGTATTTGTTAAAAACAGTGAATTTCTCTTGATTTATAAAGACACGCTGTTACTGAAGAAGAATTTATGTTTATATCCAACTTTTAACATTTCTTTTGGATTTTTGTCGCATTTTTGGGTGTTTCAGAGCTTCACTTCCCAAAGAAATGAAAAGAGATAACCTCTTAGCGTCCTCTAGTGGACAAAAAGTAAAATTCAAAGTCTGTTTTATCTCCACTCTGCTGAATCCCTAACCCTATCATCAGTTTTACAGCTTTGAGGGATCGGATGCGATCAGAAACTCATCATACAGACTCCAACTGTCTGTAAATGGAAAAGTCGCTCCTCCTATGATCATTACCTAATAGTGCAGACACATGAATATGGTCAGGTTCAATGGTTCAGCCGCGATTATCTCTGCAGCTTTGGCTGAACCTTCTTATTATAGAATATCCAGAGCGCGCTGACCCCCTGACCTTTTGACCCCAGCTGCGGAAGCTTCAGATCGTCTTGTCCGCAGAGCTGACTCCTCTCTATCTGAACCAAAAACGGACCACATTCCCACCTTTCCTTCCCCTGACCTAGATCTCAACAAACTCCAACACCACACCTGCAGCTTAGAGCGACATTAAACCATTTAAGTGATTTTATTGGAATCACGTTTGGCTGATGCAGCGCTGATGTCAATAAATTCCTCGTGCTCAGATTACAGATTACGGATTACGAAGAAACCTCTGGTACTCTTTGTAAACCTCCAATCTCCTTTACAGTAAGTCACTCTTACTTTCACTGACGTGTCATGAAGAATCCCTGACTGTGACTGTGAACTGATGTGGAGCTTAATTGACGGTATTTGTCTCAAAGTATACTAAAAAAAGTGCTGATCATTCACATCAAAATGTATCAAAATGTTATGTGTAAAGTATTATATCACCAAGTATGATCTTAGCCTTTATAAGAAGTATTCACGCTTTTATGAAGTTCGCTGTTTCATATCATCACTTTAAAGTTCAAGCGTTGAAATTACAAGAATTTACTCTACAGTTCATGAGAAACCTCAAGTCGAGTTAAAGATGAAGTTGTATTTAAGACGTTCAGTGTTTCACCCGACATGTGAAGTTTATCGGCCTCCTTTGCTCTCTTGGAGCTGGTCCACACCCTTGTCCATCACCAGGTCATGTGACCAATACGAGGGCGTGACCTAACAGGTAAGCTCGTTAACAGGCCAGAACATAATGACCTTTTGCTGACCTATATCCCAACTTGCCCACCAGCCAATCACCACGCAGGACGCTGAAATACATGAGAAACACCACGAACGAAGAAAAACCTCGATTTATACTTTTTCTCTGAAGTTCCTCATTTTTATGAAAATTTTCCTTCGTTCTAGGAGCGTTTTGTTTACTTCACTGATTTCAGTGTAAAACTCAGTTTGCCAATTTATGATTACTCAAGTAATATACAATAATATATGTTGTAATATATAATGTTTGTATCACTAGGTCTATATAATTAAGAAATAAAGCACTGATGAACGATAAATGATTTGAATCTGTTTGTTTTATTGACTTAAATGTCACTTTTTAATTATTTTTTCTTTAAGTTTTCCTCCGTTATATTTATTTCTGACCTTTATATCCTCCGTTTTGTGTCCTCTGTGGAGCTCTTTGAATTGCCTAGTTGCTAAAATGTGCTGTGTAATGAAAGTTGAGTCCTTTCCAAAATACTGCATTTATGAAAAATCTTACTGTAAAAGAAGCTGCGTAGTTATTCTGGTTCAAATCAAACAAGTGAAAAAGTGTCATTTAGGGGAGTATCATTGTTTGTGTTCACTGACTGTTGGTCAGTCTGTTAACCTCTTACTGCCTGTGTGCTGCGTGCGCGCTCGCATTACTGTAACCCAGCTCGGCTCAGTTTCACTTCTTTTGAAGTGTTTACAGAGTCTGCCGCTGGTGCCGGCTCACTGGATGTTAAATTACATGTGTTTATGTTGAATTCAGTGAGCACAGGGCAGGATGGGCTGGGTACAGTGTGGTCAGAGTCTGAGGAGCTATTAATAACCATCTCCAGAGCAGCTCCCACTTTTACTGCACGGATTACCCACAATCAGAGATGAGGAGGACTCACGAACAGCTCTCTATATTTTCTCTCTTCACGCTGGTCTTTGTTGTGATGGAAAACGCAGGTTTGACAGTCTTTTATAGAGCCACTGTATCCTCATCCTTTAAAAGACTTTTACTCCAACATTCAACAACTCTTGAAATGAAAATCAGTGCTTTCTTCAAATTAAAGAGCAAAGAAATGTGTCATTCAAGAAAGCAAGAGAGACGGGATGAAGGCGAAACCTAACAAAGTACTTTTGATGCATCAGGCTGAAAAATCTGCCTCTATTTCACAACTTCTTGAACAAAGAATATTATTGTGAAAAGGTTCAAATTAAAAAGGATGGGTGATTATAATTTGAGCTTCATTTTCTATAAGTGGGGCTGAAATTTGTGTCAAACTGTGACGTGGAGAGAGGAGAGGAGAAGAGAGGAGAGCTGGGAGAGGAGCAGGAGGCAGGTGCGTTCACTTGTGTGTCTGTGAGTGTCTGTGTTTGTAAGTTGAGGGACAGGTTGTGATGATCATGAACACTGATGCGCTCTGGTCTGGACAGTTGTGTTCAGCCTGGCTCTGATGTTGAAGGATTTGCACAGATGGAATCAAACGAATCTTAATGAACATCATACCTGTTCACTTCTCTACAAACTAAAGGCAACTCCTCCCCTTCTTCTCCCTCTCCCTCTCTCTACCTCTCTCTCTAACAATCCCTCCCTCTTTCTTGCTCAGTCAGTCCCTCCTTCACTCTGCATCCAGAGCCCTTCGCTCCCTCTCTCTCTCTCTCTCTCTCTGACTCTTCACCTCGATCATTCGCCCGTTGTCTCTGAGGTTGGAGGAAGGATGCTGCCCCGCAGGCTCCTGGGTCTGCTGGGTCTCCTGGTGCTCTGCAAAGGTAAGAAAAACACCAACATTTCTCCTCACTTTTAAAGAAAACACAAACTTCTGGTCAGATTGAAAGCTCAAATCTGCTTAGAGTTCAGTTCTTATCTCAGAGGGGGGATTGATCCTGCAAGTAGCTGAGATAAAATAACTGCGTGTGTGAGCTTAAGAGAGAGTTAGAAGGGACCAACTATTTCCAGTGAACCCCACGTTGGCTCCACTTTGAAGTTAAAAATAAAGCCTGCTTCTGTTTTTGTCCGCTGGTGTAAAAATAAAGTCACAACCTCCTAACCAGTTACTCAGTTGTCCATAGGTGACTAATGTGTGTGTTGAGGTCTGGATTGAGGCCATTTCACCCTCTTGTTTTCACAGCGGGGCGGGCGGTGAGGGGATGAGCTGTTTTTTATAGCAGCCTGATCCTATTGAGGGCGGTGTCGGACTCCTGTGTGAGCTAATTGCAGAGCAGGAATCTCCTGCGGCTTCAGGGGAATACTGTCAGACTTTTTACTGAGGGGGAGGTTTCCTGTATCTGTGTTCAACAGCACGAGCCTTCGATCTGAGAGTCTGACTGATTGATTTCAACTTTAGGGTTTTGCAATGCTTCTTTCTGGTTGTCATGCTTTTAAATAGACCCTGCTTACACTTGAAACCAAGGTCCAAAAGTTAGGAGACTCTAAAATATTGATAAAAATAGATTTTGATGGTTTGCAAATGCTTTAAATCAGAATCAGAAATAGCTTATTGTTACAGTAACTCCAGTGCAAATTAAGTAGAAAGAGAAGATAAATAAATAGATAAATGAGTAAAAATAAATAACCAAAATATGAAATGTGTGTACAGTTTTACAATATACAAGTATGTACATATATGCAACACAAAATAGTAAAACAATAAAATAAAAGTTGATAAATAAACCTCATAAAGTAGATAATAACGTTAAAAGCTTTAAAGAAAACAGAGGAAACTCTGACTGGAAACCAATACTGGTCGTCCCTCTGGTAGCACTACATAAAAAACAGACATGACTCTGCGGTGGAAGTCACTGCATGGACTCAAATCCCTTTTTAAGAACCATCGTCTGTGAACACAGTTTGTTGCTGTGTTCACAACGCAGGTTAAATCTGGACCACGTAAAAAGGAAACCAGAAATATATACATGATCCAGAAATAGCAATCAATCAATCAATCAATCAATCAAATTTTATTTATATAGCGCCAACTCACAACAGTCGTCATCCCAAGACGCTTTTCAAAGAACAAGAGCAGGGGTCCGTTTCACGTAGGTGGTTCAACAAACTCTGAGTCAAATCCTTAACTCTGAGTTGATCTACTCTGAGATAGGAAACTCTGAGTTTCCGGTTTCACAACACCTGGTCTAGACCACGCTCATTGTTTGATGATCAAGAACCAACCTAATATGGGATTTGGACCATCTCATCCAACATGAGTGACAGTGGCAAGAAAAAACTTCCTTTTAACGGGCAGAAACCTTGAGCAGGAAATACAGGCACTTCTCTGTAAAAACTGTACCTTGGACACTCTTTTTGGAAATCATGGACTCTTATAAGTTTACAGTTTTCAGGAGAGACTTTGCGTACTTCAGCGAGTGAATGCTAAACAAAATCCTGCAACTTTGTGCCTCAGTTTCAACAGTTAATTTGTTTTCTTTGCACTAATTCCAACTGATTTAAAGGTTCAGATAAGTAACTAAAATCTGTATTTATTTACACTTTACAAAGTGTCCCAACACTGGAAATGGGGTTGTATACGACAGAATATCAGGACCACATTAAAGCAGAGGAGAATTCAAAGATTGAGAAAGTCCTGATGGAGATTTAATCTTTTTAGAGTTTTATTTTTGTTCTTAGTCATTTTCTCAAGAAAATAAAGTGGTAAGAAAATAATTCTCTCATGAGGATTAAGCCTCAAGAAAATCGAGCTGTACTGTTACACTTAGAAGTCATATCAATACAGAAAATAAAGTCGTAGTTTAGTCATAACTTCGAGAATGAAGTCGTCATGTTTGGAGAACTGGTGATAAAAATGAGGAATATGGAGCGTCTGGTCAGCTCCACGTTGTTATAAGTATCAGGACTCTAAAACATCTGAGGAAAAAGCTGAGACATGAGATATCCCCCTTTGACGCAACATTATGAGGTTAATCGTTGACTACGTTAATGACTTTAAATAAATCTGTACTAGGACTTCATTCTCCTGTCCTAAATTGCCATCAGCCAGCTTGTGGCACAAAGAAGAGCTGATTATTTTCCCTCACGTCAGACTCTGGACATCTGTGAGACCAAAAAAGAAAACCCTCTGGGGACACAAACCATGCAAACATGAGTCAGTCAGACTGTTTACCTTTGACCACTCACAGACTAACACTAACTAACTCCACTTCCCAGACAGTCTTTCCTAAATCTTCTTTCAGGAATTGAGTTTTTCTTTAGAGCAGCCTCTCTTCAGCCTCAAACCAACCATCTCCAGGCTGGAGACACTTTAGACAGGATCAAGTGACTCGACATATTACCTCGACTGGCACTTTAATCCTCATTGAGCTAAAGACGTCTTACTCAGCGTCATTTACTGGACTCAGGATTGATCACGGTCTGACGGCATGAATCTTAACCTCAATGTTGGATCTGTAACCTGCGTAAACAAAGAAGTGTCCACTCAGAGACATGTGTGCAGATATTTAGATAAAGAGCAGGTACATCAGATAGACTCTTTGCTTTAATTTAGGACTAAAAAACTAAAGACTAAAGCACATCCAGCTTTTATCATCCATGACTGCTGAAGTTTGCCTTCAGGTTTGAGTTGTAGAGAATGAAAATGAACGATTTCAGTCTCTTCGACAAGCTCCTGTCTCTTCTTCTGACATGAATATCTCCTGTGTTGTACATTCAGGTCAGGAGGAGAGTGGGGAGAGCGGGGAGGGCGAGTCCTGCGATAACTTCACAGACCTGAACCTGTCCCACTGCTTCATGGGAACCAGCCTGTACGTCCGGCTGCTGCTCTACACCCGCTCCAACCTTGACTGCGGCCGGGAACTCGACCACCACCACCCGTCCTCCCAGCCGCTTTTCAAGCTCCACCTTCCAACCGTCTTCGTCATACACGGATACCGGCCCACAGGAGCGCCCCCGATCTGGATCGACCACATCGTCCACCTGCTGGCCGAGCAGGAAGAGATGAACATCATTGTGATGGACTGGAACAAGGGGGCGGCAAACCTCAACTACTTTACAGCGGTGACCTACACCAGGGAGGCTGCGCAGAACCTGACCGGCTTCATCATCACCATGCAGGTGAGTTTTCAGCGTTTCAGCCTCTTTTGGCACATTGTTTTGGTTTTCAACTCACTTATTTTAGACAGACTTTGAACCTCATGAGCAGGTGGTGGAGATCTAAATTCATTGGGTGAGCACAAAATAGGCCACAGGTGGATGATTTGGTTTGTTAACAATCATCTTACTTAAATGGAATTGAATTTATTGAAGGAGAGACCCTGGAGATGTAGCATCTCATTTTCAAGGGGGTCCCTAAACTAAAATACTTAGAACTCAGGACACATTACAATACATTAACAAACATCACATTTAACAAATACAGACATTTGCTCACCCTACTACCACACACAACCCCAACCAACATAAGCCAACATACAAAGTAGATAAAACCTAGTAACAAGGAAAAATAATGTGAACATAAATGCAAAAAAGTAAAGAAAATAAATCAGATGAGAGTATAGTGCCATTCTGAAGTGATAAAAATAAGTTATTGAAGGCAAAGAAAGAGGTTATTCCAATCTGATGAGGCTTTATACTGAAATGATCTTTTGCCAACTTCTTTAAAGATTGTAGGAACAAAGAAAATGGGTATTTAATATGTCTAAAAGAGTATGGGCAGTTGTATATGAAGGGCAATGGAGATAAATACATTTAAAAAGGAATTAGACAATGGTTTTCATGTAACTTAAGTTTTTCCGCCTGCAAATGGACAAAAACATTTATACCGTTTACGTGAAAGGTATTATTTTGACAATATTAGCATAAAAATAACTGCTTTGGCTCTCAGTAAAAAGTTAAAATAGGTTTTTTGTTCATTTTTGTCTGTAAAGGTGCAGAAATTATGATTAAAACATTAAGAAACAATAAAAAAATTTGCCCCCAAATGAGATTATTTTGATTTCAGATGATTAAATCCATCAGTGAGCGAAGACAATGAGAACAAACTGTGTGTCCTTGACTGTGATGATGATGATTTTTTTAACTCTACATGTCTGCAGGAGGAAGGAGCTTCTCTGAGCTCGGTTCACCTGATCGGAGTCAGTCTGGGAGCTCACCTGGCGGGATTTGTGGGCGCCAACCTGAAGGGAAAGATCGGACGCATCACAGGTAGAAATAACTTTTACAAAAAGACCATCTAAAAGTTTAGGATCACTTATCAAAGAGCAGATGGAGGTTTTAACGGGTAAATTAAGTATTTTATATTTTAACGGTTTATTTTTGTGCTCGCAGAATCCATGAGCTTCTAACGGCTCACTGTTGCTAGGTTACTAACGTTCACCTGCGGCACTTTTGACTCCATTAGCGATATTAGTTCAGAAACTCTTCATGTTACATATTTGATGTAAAAGAAAACATTTGTACCACTGTAGAAACACAACATTTCCCAGAGAATATAACCCAAACTAATTTATCAGCAGCAGCAGTAAGTAAGTTTAAATCGACCTCTGACCTTCTCTTCCTCTCCAGGTCTGGACCCAGCTGGACCGATGTTCACCAGCGCCACAGAAGAGGAGAGACTGGACCCCTCAGACGCCATGTTTGTTGACGTTCTTCACACCGACATGAACTGTGAGCTTCAAATTCTTGTGGCGGTTATTCAAACTAGATGTCCTGACCCCATGAAGCTCCACTCTCCCGATCAGAGATGCTGTAGTAGCTCCTCCTGAGACACTCACGTTTTTGCCACAGTGTCAACAGGCAAAGTTTGGTTATCGTGTTATGGAGTTTTAGCCAATCAGAATCAAGTATTTAATCAAGCTGGGTTTTAACAGGTGGGAAACAATGGTCACACTCAAGGCTGAATCTGTATGTTTTTGTGTTTTTCATGTTCAGCTTTTGGACTCAGAGGAGCTCATGGTCACATCGATTTCTATGCGAACGGTGGAGCCGACCAACCAGGCTGTCCCAAAACCATCTTCTCAGGTAAACACACACACACACACTCAGAGGTGTGGAGAACATCTGTAAACACACCAAACATCTTTCTTCTCCTCTGGATGCGCAAAAACACCAAACAATGACTTCTCATCCTCTTACAGGTAAATCCTACTTCGTGTGTGACCACCAGCGCTCTGTGTTTCTGTTCCTGTGCTCTCTGAACCGGACCTGCAGCCTCACAGGTTATCCCTGCGCCTCCTACAACGACTTCCTGGACGGTCGGTGTCTGCAGTGCGAGGCCTTCAAACCCGCCCCCTGTCCTGTGCTCGGTAGGTAACGAATGTTAACGTGATCTTGAACCAAGAAATGAGACTTGTCACATAGTTCTGGAGATACAGGTTAAGGTTTTGTGTGTGGTCACCTGCAGGTTACGATGCCAGCAGGTGGAGAGAAACTCTGCTGCAGCTCGGACAGACCAAAGTCTTCTTCAGCACCACGGCCACGCTGCCCTACAGGAGTAAGTTAGAAATGACCTCGTATTGAAAACAGGTCGTCTTTATCACGCCTTTCACTGTTCCTACAAGATCAGCTGCAACAGTTTGGCAAAAAGAAATGACAACAGCTTCTTTTTGGTTTTGCGTAATCGATTTTTTTCCTGTCCATGTCCTCTGTGTCCCCTCAGAGCTGAGCTACAGAGTAGACATGGTCACCTGGAACCAGTACCTTCGTTGGGGGGTCGTCTATATCCGGCTGCACAGTGGCAGAAACTTTACAGAGGCTCGAGTCGACCAGTAAGTACAACACATGTAAACACAAGTAGCTTTTCTTGGGTGTATTATTTCACGTAAAAATCACCCGGCGATCGTGATGGTGTTACTAATTTTACCGATCGTGTTCCAGGGTTAAAAACAGACAGGTCTCTGTAGTGGAAATCTCAGCACGGGCTCAAAATCCCAGTTTCTGATCCACTAATGCAGGTTTAAACCGAAACCAGATATAAAGACATTTTCCAGAGCCGGTCACAAAGCAGCAGGAAAACTCCCCCCTGAGAGTTTCCTTTTGTGTTTTTCCATGATGGAGCGATAAGAGTCTTAAAGAGGAGAAAGTGCACGTCAATTAAAGCTTTCTTCTCCTCTGGATGATGGGATTAGTCGGGTTAATTTCTAGTATAAACATCTTTAAAGGTCCAGTGGAGGTAAATCTACTCCTTTAATCTGAGCCGCTGCATGTGATCGCTCACTCCTGTGGAAACACCTGGCCTACTTTCAGGGATGTCTTAAACTAAACTGAACTGTTCTTTCTGATTTGATAAATTCACAGTTATCCCGACTGTAAACCCTCCACCAGTTCAGCCTGTTCTCTCTGTCCTCCTCTCGTCTCACAGTAAGCTGCTCCGCTTCGAGCAGTACACCTCCACCCGGCTGTTGGCTCAGTTCGACGAGGATCTGCCGCAGGTTCAGAAAATCTCCCTGAGGATCAACACGGGGAACGTGATCGGACCTCGGTACAAAATCAGACTTCTGAGGATACGGTTCACCCCGCTGGACCGACCTGAGAGGTCAGAGCTCCACAGACACAGGACATGTGGATGATATGATGCTTCACTGTTGTTAAATACATCCTAAAGACTTTCTTCTTTCTGGAAAATGAAAAATTAAAACACTTATTCATGAACTAACGTTGCTGTTTTTTGTCTCTGTCAGGTCCACAATGTGCCGTTACGATATCATCATGGAGGAAAACATGGAGGTGGCTTTTCGACCTTTACCCTGCGGGTCTCGTCTTTGACTTCCTGAAAGGGCGCACCTTCTCTTCTTCTCTTTCTTCTTCTGCAGAAACACCTCAGACCGACCCAGACACAGCTGACCACCTGCTACTACAGGGTCTCCCAGCCCCTGGTTGGCCCTCCTGGTTGGATGACGACGAAGACAACCTGATTTGTACCGTGAATTACCCAGAGTACTGGAAAATTCACCTGTGGTTATGGACTTTTGAGGCCACCTGTCTGCTGCTGACGGGGGGATTTTTGGCCACGACTTAACCGACGGGTCGTGTCAGACTGTGAGATTCACGTCACGCAAAGGTCAGGGTCTGTTTCTGTCTCTGTCTGCAGATTAAGAGACTAAAACACAATAAATCCCTGTAAATCTGCAGTAATTTGCATTTTCATAAAATGCATTTCCTGACCCCATGAAAGAAATATTTCTAAATATTTTTATGTTTCACCAGGATAAAAAAAAGTCATGATCTGTAACTTGAATGAATCATTCCAGAAAGTTTATACTTTAACTTTTGGAGGACCGAAAAAGCAGCTGTGTGTGTGTGTCGAGTTTCTTTCCACGACTTTCAGAGAAAAGTGACACGTTTTTATAAAAGAAACATTAAAGTGCTTTAAAACATGAGCTGAAGTGATAAACATGCAAGAGAAATGTCAGACATGCGTCTCAAAGTGAAGAAAATGTGAAGATTTTGAACGTTTTTCGAGTTCTCGCCCCGCTCACAAATGAATTAAAATAAGAGTTGTTTTTGTCGATTTACCTGCCAAACTTTGGCCTCTGAGGGCTTTAGAAGTCAAAGAACTTCTGAAAAGTCAAAGGTAAGAGACACGGAATAATATGGGAATATCATAGATTCTTAACAAAAATGCCAGGATCGTACATGTTTGACCTGAAAACATCTGACCGGACAGGCAGGAGACGGGAAAATGTTGCAAAGTTTTGGTGCTGTAACAAAAGCCGTAATGCAAATGTTCGACTTTGTGCCTTTAAGCAGCAGCAGCTCTCAGAGTTTTCAGTTTCAGCCTGATAAAAAAAACGATGAAACGCAGATTTTCTGTCATTAAAGTTAAAGTTGAGCCTCTTTTAGCGGCTGTGACTCCAGACTGATGGCTGCTGATTTGTCACTGCCGTGATGTTTGTCCTCAGAAATAAGAAATAAGCTGTTAAATCAAAGTGTTTCTGTGTAAATGTGTAAAATTGTGAGTTTTGTATTCAAACACAGAAGATTAATGGAGTGTTTTTGTAGGTTTTTGACTCCTGAAGAAGAAGCAGGGACAGGTTTACCTTTGAGGTATTTGAGAGTTTAGGGACTTGTGTGTCAGTAAATTTGAGTTTGGACAAACTGAGCAGCTCATACTAACATTTCCTCTGATGTAAAAATGTTTTTTTTGTATCGTGTATTTTCACACATGGTTGAAATAAACTCTAGGTTTGAATCTTCGTCTGAAAAGTCTCTTTTTTTATTCTAACTTGTTAAACTTCAGCTTATTTAAGCAGCTGATTTATTCCTGTTTTTTAGTCAATATGTTGTAATTGTGTTACATTTATTCATATTTCTTGAGAGGAGAAACTTTAAAAACAGACTGGAGGAAACTTCAAACCCATTTTTGACAAACTGAAAGTCAGAGCTCGTGTCTCTGATGTTCAGTCGTCTTCTGTGGGCTCGTTTCAAAGATTTGGACCGTCTCTACATCTCATAATTACAACTTTTATCATCAATATCATAAAATTTTTAACTTTAAACAAAATTGAGTGTTTTTGCCTTATCCTTGACAGTGACATTTCATCCAGACTGCATCAAATCATTACTTGATGTTCCATTTTTAAATACTTGATCATTTGAGCTCTTTATAACTTTAAGCTCCTGTGAGGAACATTCCGTTCATCAGGTCTTTGGCGCCCCCCTGTGGACAGTCCTGGTTTATCTTGTACTTTACAAGCTTTAACTGTATTATTTTTATTAATAACCCTTCTTTTTCTGACCTCTGATGGTGATATTTATAGAAATTATACAAACTGGGCTGTATCTTCAGCTGCCTACTCTTTCACTCTAGATTCAGGTATCATGATAATCAACTATAATCAAGTCAATTTCATAAATGTCAAATCAAAACCATTTTAATCTTCTGCTGGTGTTTATTTTACATTTTTGTTTCCTTTTAATTTGTACTTCTCTGGTTATAGAAGCCAAATCTTGAAGGTTTATGAAATAATTAAGAGAAATATAAAGGAAAATTAGAAAGAGGCCATAACACTCATATTTTATGACAGTTTTTTACACTCATTAGTTTTTGTTTTTCAAAAAAATAAAAAATAAAAATTATAAAAATAATAATAATAAAATATAATTAAAAAAAGAAAAAAAATTCAAGAGTTTTTGTTTTTCTATTTTAATGTTTATCAACGTGTCTGGAGCTCCACTTTAAGTCCACAAAGAGTCCAAAGAGATGATCCCAGTATCAGTTTGCCTCATGAACTGTGTCACTGTGAGTTTAGATCCACTCCCACTGAGCAAACAGCTTCACTTAAAACCACAAATGACTCCCACATGAAACTGAATTATTGAGTCTTTTATTTATTTTGCAGCACCATCATGTCTCTAAACAGAAAGAAGGGGGACAAACTGAACTGAACTGAACATGCTGAATGGAAGAGAGTGAAAAACTAAAACAGCAACAAAAAAAAGTCAACTTCAATATCTGCACAGTTACTGATGGCGCCTCCCACATGTGAGATTCACACGCAGAGACAGCTTGGAGGATTCAGTCAATGTTTGGTGAAGATGATCAAACTCTTCATTTTCAGCGACACGTGTCAAAGTCCTGGTCACAAACGTAACACTTAGGGGGTGTTACAGTCGACGTTAGTTACAGAGAGAGACAAACAAACAAAGATGGAAGCACAGAGGAGGTGCTTCGGTAAAACCGTCACTCTCTCAGGACGAGAAATGCTTCCTTTTAAAGTGTCTGTTTTTTACTTTATTTATTAAAAACCGTCAAAGAAAGAGCAGCGATCCAAAGGTGGTACCTTCAGGGTCCGATTACCAGCTAGGACCTGCGAACAAGAGAGAGAGAGAGAGTCGAGGTCAGAGAAGAAACAATAAAAGCAGATATGAAGGATGAGAAGGGAGAAACAGAAGGCAAAAAGGAGGAAGGAGAGGAAGCAAGGAAGCTTAAAACATCAACAACAGCAGGTGAGAGGAAACATTCCTCTCCTCCTACAGACTCATCCAAAGCTTTCCTGCTGTGAAGAGCAGGAGGGCTGTTACACAACGGGAGCAAAGAGAGTTCAACGTGAGAAAAATCTGTCTAAATATGTCACCCTGAGCCCCGGATAGTCTCTGAGGGAAGGACGGGACTGAGCCGACAGCCAGGAGAGGCTTTTCTCCCTCAATTTGACGCCGTATTTGAACATTTCTCAGCATTAAACCACAAAAACAAAGTGAGTCGGCTCTGTATGATCCCTCTTTTTTAGTAAGAGTAGATAAACAGATTTCCCCTTCAGCCTTAAAATCAGACGAACAACATCTAAATTCAGGTCTTATCACAAGGATCTGCTTCTACTGTCATTTTTGGGATGTTTGCCAGTTTGACGATCACGTTTAAAAGTAAGAGTTTGAGTGTTTTTATTATTTTCCACTAAAACCAAAATCCTAAATCACTCAATGAATAAAATGTTTGATAAATAAATGGAAAAAAACTGAAAAGTTATTCCTTTAGAAACAAGTTAGATTATTCTTAAACTCTAATATTCTTATTTTTATTTCTTTAGGATCTGATTAGTTAAAACCACACACTGGTGTCTTAGTTTATTCCCCGTGGAGTATGTTAATTTTGGAGCTTTTTTTACCACCCTAAAAAAAAAAAAATTAAAAAAAAACTTTTCTTCTTGTCCACCAGGGGGCAGTAAAGTCAAGTTATAAACAGACTCATACACTGCAGTTCTGGAAAAACTGGAACTCCAAAAATTTAATGTTTAAGGGACTTCAAGAGATAAACCACAGAAATACATGTTCTGAAAAACACTTTCTTAGTGGATCAGTCTGGTAATTGTCAGAATAATCGACAGAATAATCCACCATCACAGTCTTCCTAAACTACGGTTTAGAGACGCAGTGAATACAGGTGTGTTTTTAAGAAGTTGAAATGACGTGATATATTTAGCAGCTGCTTTAATTCAGCCGGTTTTCGTTTACCTGCTGGGTTGTTGCGGAAGTTCTGTCGCCTTATTGGTCCAAGACGGTTACCGAAGCGATTGTTCCTGCGCTGATAGCCTGTGTTCTGTCTGTAGGGGGCGCCTCTTCTTGGTCGCTGCTGGATGATAAATGTCACAGACTTTCACCTCTCCTTACTGTCTCCTGTTTATAAATCCCATGACTGAAAGGTCAAGAGTCCAAACTTGAAAACTCACCATGTTTCCTTCTCGCCTCCTGTCCGGCTCATCGTTCCAGTTACAGAACTCTTCGTCCTCCATCTGAGCCGAGTCTTCCTGGTCGCTGTACTCTTGACCCGACTCACTGAAAGAAACAAGAACGAATCTGAAACTGCTACGAAAAGGTCGTATCCGCTGATCGCAGCTGATCGTAACCATTCAAGTTAATAAGTCAATTTCCACTGGCTTCTTTCCATTCAGTTTCCGTACTGTTTCCGGTGAAAATTGGTGGTGATAATCTTTAAAACAAACTAAACCAATCCAGATATTTTAAGATAAATGAAATAAAGACTGATCGTGAAGGAATGGACGTCTATATTTATGTTCTTAAAACATAAATTCATTTGGTCAAACCTCGATGTGACTCTTATTTTCTTCCCCGCTCTTATTGTGGATTCACCCCAAATCACTGGGAAGTTTGAAACCATAAAGGGGAGAATAAAACGAGTGTAATCTCACCTGACTGGGCCTTGGGGGCGCTGTGATGAGTTGCTCCCTATTATCGTGACTTTGACCCCCTCCAGCCTCTCCTGCCTCCTCCTCTCCAGGTCGTGTCTCAGATCTCCAGGGCCTCGTGCTGGCTGTGTGAACACGAGCGATAAGGACAAATCTTAAAATCTGTTCAGACAAAAAAGTTCTGGGAGCAGAGGAAAAGTTTGTTTACTTACCGGTAGAGATCCCAGTCTGGAGAAGAGAGGCTCATCATCGTCGAGCAGCGAGTTCACGTTTAGACTGAAACCTCTGAAAACCAGAAGAATAAAGTTATTACGCATCTTGAATAAGTCAGTAAGTCATTGAACAACTGTACTCAAACTTCAGGATCTGAGGCAGGAATCAAAAATCACTCCAGTGCTTCAAACTCTCACATTGAATGGTCTAAATAGTCTAAAAAATAGTTCTCTCTTCTCTTATTTCGTGATGTTTTCGACAGGATTATGAGCAGCAGATGGATGCCTGTGTTATTGTTTACGCCTGAGAATAACCATGACTCTGACCGGTTTGAACTGAATCTCTCGTCCAGCGTCAGCTCCTCCGTCTCCTCTTCAGGGAAGCCGCCTTTCTGAGGAGCTGAGAAACGCTCGTTCAGGGTGAGCCCATCGGTTCTGAAATACTGCTCTGTGAAGGCAAACAGGGACACTTTCAAACCCTGATATGTCCTGATACTTGCGGCTCATACGCAGCTCGATAAATCTCATTTCAAGGTTTAAAACTCCAGATTCATGTGTTCGCAGCGCTGACCTTTGACACTGTGCACCAGCGTGATGATTTCCTGGGCAAAAGTCCCAGTGTGCACCGCTGTCTCTCTGTACGTCCCAGAGTGCTCCAGCATCGGCAGGAAGTCCAGACGCTGACGGCCGACGTTGACCAGGTCTAGAGAGAGCTGTCTGTCCGAGGAGTAACACAGCGGGCTGAGGGAGGACAGAGGAGGTGAGAAATTACATCAGAGCGGCGGAAAAACTGGCGTCTTTTAAGGTGAGTCTCAACCTGATATTAGAAGACGAGGAGAAAAGGACTTTATCTAAATAAATAAATCAATAAAAAGACTTTTTCATGCTTTGCTGTGAGGCAGAAAACAAACTCAGTTTAGCATGTATTTTACATTTTACTAACTGAATGTCTTTGAATTAAAAAAGCTCTTCTGCCGGTAAAAGAAGTGGAATAAAAACAGGTTTACCTTCACCTGCACTTACCTCTCGAGTCCCACCACTGACAACGTTAACAAACAAAATCACATCCTGTATTCTCACTAATAAAGGGATGCTCCCCATGAAATGCACAGATACTGTTTCTTTAGAACATTATGTAAAGGGTTACGCTCAGTGCCAAAGAGATCAGATACTCAAAGGTTAAAGGTCAGGTGAAAGTTCACACTTCTTCTCATATTTGATCCGTTTAGTCTGGACTTGGATTCTCAGGTCATCAGACATGTTTCAGCTGCTGAATTGGACTCAAACCATCTTATGTTCTTGTTCGGTCGATGATTCTGGAGTTTTTCGTCGCCGTTTTGTCCACTCTTGGTCTGAAACGGCTGATCAGTCTTCTCGTTTCTTCTGCTTCAGTCTCGCTCTCTTTTTGTGTAAAATCCGAGGCCTCAGTTCCTTCTTTATGAGGTTCTGTTCAGATCCTGCAGTCTCTGTTTCTTCCTGTGATACTGCACCACCTTATACTTCCTCTTGCAGCTTGATTTGGCGGACTATTTTTCCATTTAAATGACATTTGAGGCTTCATATCCTTCTCTTTCTACTTCATCTATTTCACTCCTTCTGTTACTGGGATTATTTCTTCTTCTCCACTTCTGATGTTGTAACTTCTCCTTCATCCACACTTTGCTGTTACTCAAGGCTCCATTTTTTCAGTGGCATCAATATTTCTGTTCAGTTTCTTCATTTTATTTCAGGTGGCTTTGATTTCTTCTTCTCTGAGACTGTAGTGTCTCAGTTTATTACCATGCCAACAACCTCCACTTTTTTTTACTCCTCTTATGTTCCTCATCTTTATTTCTCCCAATACAATTATTGTTTCTCTTTGAGACAGAATTGATGTTTATTTTCATTCACACAGTAGCTCATAGATGATGTTCCTCTTCATCCATCCATTCCTGTAGCCAGTCAGACCTGAACACTGTCCTCTGGTTGTTTAATAACTTGGATGATACCACAGTGGAGAATAGTTTGAATCCTCTTCCTGAAAGACATCCCACTCCTCTGTGAGTGTTTGGCCTTATAAGGCGAGGACCGTGAACACAAGCACTCCCGACTTATCTATACGAGGCTTGATAACATGTTCAGGCCATAGTTGGAGTCTTCGTCTCCTCCTCCTCCATCACAGTAGGGGAAAGAAGTCTTCTCTGTATTTTCAGCTCCAGTTTATATCTGACACACGCACCAATCGCCTGCCAATCCAAGAAGTGCACTCATCTTGATTTCTCTCTTCATTGGTCAGCCTGTATTTTCTTCTTTGGGCCACAGATTCCTTAATTTTGGTGACATATTCTCTCCATGAAATTGATGTTTCTTGGTCGTAAAAGAATGCGAATCTCAGTTTCCACTGAGCACTATCCCCGTGAATTGTTTGGCTTCCCTCCTGAACAAGGACCACAAAGCAGATGCTTTCTCTCTTGGTTTCGGCAGCCTCCAGTTGATCTTTCTCGGTGTAACATCACAAATGTCGAGGGAAACTTCGCAAAGAAAATCCAAAACCCCAAACTGTCAGATATCAGCCCACCCAGAGGCAAGGTTTGGAGTATTCATCTGGAGAGGAGGTCCTGTGTATGTGCAGTTTTATTTAGTGTAGTTGAAGATAGTTTCAGATGTCTCCAGACAGGTCTTCGCCCTGATATGATCTCACTTAATAGAGTGACGATACCGGCAACATCCATTCAAAGGAAACAATGAAGAATCCATGTCTGGTTCAGACGTTCTTGACTTTCTTTGAGAGAAGAAATATCCACGTTACCGTCATGAGGGTCCAACTTCTCCAACCAATCCTCTCACAGCATTTAGCATTGTTGACAAATCTGCACGTTGAACAGCTGGTGGTTAAATTCAGACTAAGTCGTACATTCTCTCCAGTATTATGTCTCCTAAATATACTCTGAAACACCCCCACTGTGTTTCCAGGCTGTTCCCTTTGACTCCAATACGTCCAAATAATCCTCGTGACTTCATGTTGATCCATCTGTGCCGTAAGTCGCACTTCTGCTTAAGCAGGTTTTGTTTCATATCCACAGATCCGTTTCATCAGTGTTTCCACAGCAAAGTAACTCCACAGAAATAGTTTATCCTCAGACGAGTTTCCAGGTGGTGAGTTTCTCCTCTCTTTTGAGAAGAATGTGGAGCAGCTGGATTTTCAGGTGATGACGAATTGATTTATGACGAGGGGACATGCAGGATGATACCTCATGGCTCCTCGGTACATGAATACTCCCACTGAGGTTTGTTTTTCTTCAGCAGAAGTACTTTAGTAAAAGCAGCACTTACTTCTTCTCGATGTGGTCCCATGACTTATCGAACAAGGACGACTTCATGTTTGGATCACAAAGTTCCCATTCTTCGACACATCTTGGTCACATGATGCATCAGCTGGTACACACGGTAGATGTTGAGTCAGCAGCGGCTTGTAGAGAGGACACACATGAGGCAGAGGTCCAGATCTTGAGCAGTTTTTCCCGATAAATAAAAATGATTGTCAGCAAAGCCGCTTCCATCCGCTGAGCGTTTTCTTCTCTTTCTGCAGCTTTTCATGAGCATCAAAAGAGAAGTGTGAACTTTCACCTCTCACCCTTGGTAATTTGTGAAAAAAATACTCTACCTGTTTTTGTGAACGGGCTGGCTCATGTCCACTTTGATGGTTAGCGTTTCCTCCGATACGGCAGTCGAATTATTCATTTTCTGATCTTTCCATTCACGTAAACGCTGACGGGGCATTTTAGGGTCCAAGTCAACAACCGGTGGGTTTCGGTCCAAACTTCGAGGTCTCTCCTGCTTCCATACTTGAACTCTGTCTTCTTCCACCCAGTTGGGCTCTGCTTCGACGGGGTCCTCATAATCGTCTCTGACAGGTTGGTACCCAGGTCTTAAATCTTTCTCTGGGTAATCTTTGTATCCCTGGGAAGACTGGTGTAAATGGAACTGATTTCTGGGAGGTCCAGTTTTTCCAAATTGACCACGATTTGCACGCCCTCTTGCTGGGCGGAAACCGCCCCTCCCCCTGTGTTTCATGGGACTATCTCGAGCGCCATAACTCATGGGGCTTGGTCTTTTTTCGGGGGCCCTCCTACTTTCATTGTAGTCAGAATTCCTCCAATCAACTTGAAAATTATGTGGTCTGGTGTCCACTCGACTTTCCAACCTTTCCGACATCCTCGACCGCTCCTGAGAGGAGCTCACTGGACGTGGACTCCTCTGGCGATCAAAGTCCGAGTCGTGATCTCCACGCGTGTTGAAATGTTCCCAGTGTGACGGCTGTCTTCTGTCCGAGATGCCGTGATCGTGTTCGATAACGACTGGTCCCGAGAGCCGTTTATCTCCATGAGGGAGGCTTCCCTGCGGCTCTCCTTGAAACCTATTTCTGGGCGAGTTCATTGGGTAACGCTGTTCCCCAAAGTGCTCCTCATTCCTGTACCTGTGACAGCATAAGAGGAAGTGACACGGTTCAACAATCATTCATGCAACTCATGTCTTTACATCTGGTTCAAAACTTACACTGAAGTGCTTTAAGGAGACCTATTTAGCTGATTTGTATTTAATATTTTTAAAACAGCAGATACAGGGAAGCTAACTCCAAAATGTGCAGGAATTTGTCAAATAATACAGAAATGAGTGTTTTTTATAGATGCCAGTGTAAAATAAATTAAGAGTTTTGTAAATCATGTGAAGTCTGACATACTGAAAAATGAAGATTAACAAAATAGGCCTCCTTTAGAAAAAATGTCTGATTCAGCATTTTACACAGCGAGATGAACAAATACTTCATTTAGACCTACAACTTAAACGCGTTTGTAACACACAAAGCAGGAATTTCAGGGACTGAAAGAATATGAAATGCGGGAAAATTTTTAACCATGCAACGTGCTTTGTTTCGGATAACGCAAATTAATTTTTGACCAATCGGGGAAGAAATTTGCGCTACAGGTGACCAAAAAAAAGGGACGAGAATCGTTTCAGCTTTCTTCATTTCCGTTATTTCACTGTGACAGTGCAGTGCAATTTACCCCGGCTGATCGTTGTCCTCCATTTCTCTTCTTTGCCTTTTAAACTGAGGGTTCCTCTGTTGATGTGAATCCTCCCAGTGTTTGTCTCGGTTAAAACCCTGAGTGTTCCTCCTTCCTCTTTCCCTACCTGCTCCTCCTCTTTGGTCATCTGAACTCTCACTGGGACTGAGGTCTCTGAACCTCCCTCGGCCTCTGCCCTGCCCTCCTCTTCTCCAGCCCATCCCTGGCTCTCTCTCTTGGTGGTCTACGCCTGACCTTGGAGTCGGCGGCAATCTTTCTCTCTTCAGCCTTAGAGGTGAGTGCGGTGACCTTCCCCTGTTGTCGTAGTTTGGGTATGCTTCTCTAAACCCTCCGACACGTCTATCTACATCTCCTCCGCCATGTGATGGGGAAAGCCTCCTGTTTTCATACTGTGATACATCATGATGGGGTGATGGCCTCCTGTGATAAAACTCCTCCTGGTTCGGATGATGGTGATGCCCAAACTGTCGATCATCTCGGAAGGAGGGGGATCTTCTATGGTCCTCTGGGTGCATGTCCTCCCTGGTATACTTCCAGCGTTCTTCAGGAGCTTCTCTGGGATGGTGGTGGTGGCGGTGGTGTTGTCTCGGATCCATCTGTTCCCCGTCCAGTTCTGCTACGACTTTGTACGGATCAAAGCCAGGTTCCTCCCACGGAAACCTCCTGAGAAAGTAAACATTGTGAAAGAGATATGTCAGACGTGGTATTAAAAAGCGTCCACATTTCATTAGTTACAAAACACACAAAAGCATATCAACAAATATAGATGTGAAAATTAAAAAACCGGGATGTCTTTACCTGTAGTGTGGCGACCGAGAACGTGGTCTCGACATTTTGTTAACCTGTAAAGAAAGAAGACTGCTGTTTGAGATAATCACCATGATATGTTAAAGATCTTATACAGATTAGACTGTAATTTACCAAACTGTTAGCAAGGCAAAGAGTTGAATAAGTGTGCCTTCTGTTGGCACTGAGTATTCATTTAATTTTAACTAATTTTGAAGTCCTGTTATGTTCAAAATATTAGGAATGAGTGCACCAGCAGGCTTAAAACGAAGTTCATCAAATCTCTTGCAACGACCCACTCTGGCTCAAACTAAATAGAGTTCACAAAGCCCACGAAAGCTCATAGCTGTGCCCAAAACAAAACTAAACACCAACATAAACAAAAGCTGGAAACAGGGAATCTGGGAGGCCTGTTCATGAATCGTCATAAAAAAGCAGTTCGGTCACAGAAGTATTTAAAGAGAGTCGTCGTCTCCCCTCCTTTCACATAGCACTGACAGCTCAGAGCTGACAGCTTCATTTACAGAAAACCTGAGAGCGATCTTCTCCTGCAGGGTGAGGACAGGAGGACTCTTCAGGAAATTCAAACCAGCTCTGTATCTGAGTGGTATCTGACCACGACTGAGCACCCTCACATCTTTCACACTTTTATCACTTATCTTGTAAAGAAGCCGTCCTGACATTTTATGTACTGGCTTAATGACAGTCCTTTTTCCTGTTTATACTCCCAGCTGTAATTTTCAGCTTTGAGAGGAGCACAAAGTTACACCCAGCTGGTGCACTTTGCTCCTATGAACTCAATATTTAACAGCAGAGAATTTAACCTGCACAGGGTATCATCTGAAACAGCTGACTTTGAACAATAATTGACAACGAACAGGGTTGAAGGTTAGTACAATACAAAAACAAACAACTCGTAACACCGAGTTAGACACCCCATCGAGAGATGAATGTTGCCGACCGCTTGCTTCTCTAGTTATACCAACTTTAGTAACGACTGCAAAACGCCACTCTATAGCCACAAATAATACTCAGAACAGCATCTAACTTCATCAACAGTACATATAGGGTCCCAGTCATAGTACTAGCCACTAGGGCTGCAGCTATCGATTATTTTAGTAATCGAGTACTCTATCGATTAATCTGTCGATTAATCGAGTAATCGGATAAGAAATGTTTTGCTTTCACTGTAATACTTTGCATTGAATCACGTTTGCCTCATTAAAAACCATCAGTAACACACAAAACTGAAATAGGCCAGGTCTTTCAAATGAATATTTTTACTGCATAAATCAGGAACCAAAAGTTTTACATTTTACCATGTAGTTCACATGAAACTACTGAAGGCAAGGTCTGCAGATGGTCTTTTAATTGCTATGGTAATGATCTTTGCAGTTTTCACTAAACCAGTCACAACTATTTCCAGGCTTTGGATCTAATTTTACTTGTTTAATTAATAGGCTGAAATAATATAATTCTTGGATACTAACATAATTTGACAAGCAAATGTACATTTATTCAATATATAAAAGTGTTACATTTTTATTTACATGTTGTTGTGTGTTGGTCATTTTGCAGCCCTCTGCTGCTCATCACACGCCTAGCAGGTGGTGTATAGCATTATCACCATGGATACACGGATGTTTGTGTGATTTTTTTCATCCACTGCCGCCCGGTTTGTGTCGTGTAGATGTTGATTATGAAAACACTTCGCAATAATTTGGAAACGTGAAGGGGGAGCTGCTGCTGCCCGGTGTTTACGGTAAATAGACGCAAACACTGACCAAGTGGACGCTTCGGTCTCCGAAAACGCCGAGACAAATTTACAAACAGCCACTATTTCAAACAACTGGGCTCATAATCGTGATGTAAACACTTACTTTCTCGCTAGAAAAAATATTATTATTGAATGAATTTATATAATTTGTCCGGTATGCAGTCGTTCTATGTAGCTTGTGGTAGGACTATTTAAATTTTCCCGGCGCTGCGTCCGGCCGGCACGAAATGCATTCTGGGGTATTTAGTATGTATGTGTGTAAACGCTCGGGCAGCCGCGGCATTCTCAAATCATCTTTGAGTAGTCAGTAGGCAGTAGCTACTGCTTGAGTAGGTAAGTAGATAGCAGGCAGTATGCCATTTCGGACACAGCTTCTGTCTGTCCTCGTTTCCCTCCATGATTGAACCAAACGCGCGGCAGCGGAAGGAGCGGAAAGAGCACGCTTCTGCGCAACAGAAATAACCGTCCGTGTCAAACACCGTGCGCTGCACATGGTTCCGGATTTAAACGATTCCTCGAGGCATATAATTTGCCTCGAGGAATTTTATTAATCGAGTTACTCGAGTTACTCGAGTAATCATTTCAGCCCTACTAGCCACCAAACTTTTTTTTAGCTTTGACTAATTTCTTTAACAAAGAGACTAAACACAACTCACCTACTCTCTTCCAGCAGCAGTCTGTTTGTTTGAGACCTCAGGCCAGTCCATTACAGACTGCTGCGGGGTGACGCAGCTCAAGGAAGAACATTTATGATCATTTCTTTATCATTTGCTTTAAGTAATAATAATCATATTAATCATTTTACACTGCAGACATGGTAGTTCTTCTGCCTTATTGTCTCAGTCTGATTGCATTTCAATGAAGAAATAATCATAAATGTTCTTCCTTGAGCTGCGTCACCCTGCTGCAGTCTGTAATAGACTGGCCTGAGGTCTCGCTACAAACAAGCTGCTTAAAAAAAGCTTTAATATTCTGACAAATCAGCAGCATATAAGAGTTAGCTTGCAATATTTGATGGGCTGCTACGTCTCCCCGCCTCCGACAAGGCAAGTAGCCAATCAGAGTTTGGAACCTATGACTGACACGTACAGCGGCCAATTACAGTTTAAAGAATCCTATACAGTCTCTCAGTACACACCCCTGTATATCAAAGTTATTATTTGTAGCATTTAACCTGAAATTTTTCAGTTATTTGCTCTTATTCCTCCGTCCACGTAAATCAAACTCTAACGCAGCACACACCCCTTTCTCCTGTGTCAGAATTAATAAACGTTGTTAGCTAAGACCTGCAGATAACTGCTGTGCACACTCAGTTCTCCGAACTAAACGGCTGAATCCCTCCAAAATATTCCGACAAAACAAAGTTTACCTATAAAACTTAATTCCTTTAAATCACCACCAAAGAAAGCCCCCCTGTCTACCCCACAGGAACACCCTGAGCCCGGCTAACGCTAAAGCTAACATGCGCAGAAGTCTTCTTACCTTCGTCCAAGGCACGCGCCCGTGACCCGCAGCTAACGGTCGCTAAATTCGGATAAAACCAACGATTAAATACCGCAGTAACGAATATGTAATAAATATGTAACCCAGTTTTTCTGCTAGATATAACAAAAGTTAGCCAATTGTGTCTTTTTCCTTTAAAAGTCAGCAAGAAAATGGCTGAGTTCATTTATGCTAACAACGTTTCAACAACCGCCGTGATTCAGATGGAGCACTTCCGCTTTGGGGTTTCAGAATAAAAGTACAGTCTCTCGACAAAGTTATCATACTCGCTAAAGTGTAGAATTAATATATCGGATTACTATTTATATGCAGGATTGTGTTTAAATTTATAGTAACGTACACGTACCGTTATTTAAGTGGCGGATCTTTTTTGTGTCTAACAGACGAGACGTTAACTAAAACCGTTACCACTACGGAAGCCTTAAACGGCCATGCATCCAAATGTTTGATTTAATTAAATTTAAGCGATATCAGGTAACAAATGTATCTTTTTTTCCTGCCATAACTGTGTTACTTTTCCCATTCAAATCAATAAATTATAGTTTTTGTGTTTATTTTTTGTTTTTCTCAAAACGTTTTTCTCCACATGACAGACTGTATTATGTCATGGTGGGTTAATTATTATTACCTGGAAATCCAGCCTTTTTTTTCTTTTCTTAAAGGTACAATGTGTAGTATTTAGTTAACAGAACAGACCTTTTATGAATAAAATATGACCAAAATATGTTTACATTTGTTTGAATTACTGGAATATGAAAATTTATTTGTTTTGTGTTCTGAAAATGAGCCTTTTACATTTATACATTGATTTTTTTTTTTTTTTTTGTAGTGGGTGGCCTTGCAAGATATGTGGGTCGAAAGGTGCACTGGTCCAAATGACTAAAAATAGTCTTATCCCCCATAATTTTCATACCTCATTTACCCTACTAACTTAACCTCCATTTCATACATCCACACTCAGCACCTAGTGCATCGCTTGTGCACTTTGTAAATATTTCTTTTACACTTTTGTCTTTAATATTTTGTTTTTCATCCTTATTTCATTGTATTCCTCTCAGTACTTATTGTGTGTTTTATCTGTACTCCTCTGAGTCGAGCAGTCCTCCCATCCAGGGAATTTCATTGCACTGTTGACCTTGTTTAACATGCACATGACAAATAAACAAATCTTGATCTTGAATGTTGAATTAAAAGTCTCTTTCTCAAGCCCCTGTTCCCTTCACTATGCATTGCTCAAGTACTTCTCCATATGCCTGCACGATATGAGGAAAGTACGACGTGTAAAAACAGGGCTCAGTGTATCAAAAGAATGCAAAATGCACTCCAAGTTTTGCAGATCAGTTTTAATTTCAGTGCAGCATAAAGTCAACACACAGTGAGATATGATAAATCAAAGTGGCTGCATTGGTTAAGCCCTGCACTACACTTCTGTCATATTTCACATATCATGAATGTCAAAGACTATACATCTTACACGGGTTTGTCTCTTTAACATCTCCCTTCAGTTCCTATCTGTTCACCTTTATTATTATTTTACATTTGTTCATTCATCCAGCTCACTGACACAAATGGCTTGATGAAGTTTTATTGTTTCTTTTTCAGCAGTTATCCATGCACCACATCTACAATGATATATTCCACCAAGCTGCAGTGTCACAGAGTTAAGTACTATTAGGATAAACGTTATGTCCTTTATTTTGACTTCATATACACGGGGACCCAGGAGACCCTCTAACAAATGAGCTTCAGCAGAATCTGGAGGAATAATAATAGTGAATATGAAGAGAGGTGAAGCCAGCAGGAGGGTCAGAACTGAAAAGAGTGCAGCAGTCAGCAGCAGTGAAGCGTTTTCTGGATTTGATGTGGCACCAAAGAGGAGAAACAGAGATGCTTTCCATACATGAATGAGATTATAAGGAACAATCTGTGCACCTGGACTTCTGCCCCACTGTTCCTAACCCACAAACAAGACTCGAGGGGACTTTCATCGGCCCATTTAGCTTAGTGTTGAACCTGGCACAAGACCCCAAAAAGGACTGAAATAAAATAAAAAAACCTCTGAATTCAGAAAAAGATAAAGTCCACCTTCTGGGGTTAAATTATAAAAAATCTAAGTTTTCAGAGTAATTTGTTGACTCTTAGAACTGGGAACACTTTGATTTTTTTTAACGCCAAAGGTCAGAGCTGAAAATTTTAAGTCTTTGGCTCTTCTCCTCTCGTTTTAGACCAAGTCTGACATGTCAAGCACAAACAGAAAAATTCAAAATAAATAACTCATAACTCTAACGCATGGAACAGAAGAAAATATCCTGAAATACTCAAAAAGAAAATCACAGTTTGGTTGGTATATGACCTTAAATTTGAAAAAAAAAAAAGATTAGTAATGAACAAAACAGCATAATTGGCACCAGACTGAAGATATGGCGATAGTGAAAATTAAAAAAAAGTACAGAACTAAGCATTTGAGATTGAAATTGCTCTGAGTTTGGTTGATGGCTGGTTTATTTTTTAGGCTCTCTTCACTTTTTAAAACCTGGCTGTGGCTCAATTCAGTGTTTTGGGGCCCCACAGAGTCTGTGGAAGCTTTTCCTTAACGGTAACCCAAACTTGCTTTAAGAATTCCCAGTTCCCCTGTCACTTGTTCCCACCCCGCAGAAAATCAAACACAGACTTCTTCACTTCTCTGCTTCTGGAGTGAGGGTCTTTTACAGGCCAAAGTGCACATGCTGGATGACGCACAGATGGGACATGTTTGACTGCACAGAGGTTTAAGGCCTCAGAGGTGATGAGCTGTGAGGTGGTGGACGCCGTTTCACACCAGAGTCTGTTCTGAATCGGTGAGGTATATTCTAGTCGGGGGGATGAGCTGAGGGGGGAAAACAGGCGTCATCAGAGCAGTGAAACACATCTAATGTTAGTGCTCTCTATAAACTGCAGCTAGCGTGGTTACAGTCAGTGCCAGACAAATACACAACACACTGTGTCAACACGTTCCTGATACAAACGCAGGACATTTGACTTTTCTTCCCCTCCCAGGTTTTCTTCATATTCTTGCTGTTGGTAGTTTCACCTCCACAAAAACGTCCACGATGAGCAGCAGAGAAACAAAGCAGGAGGCTCAGAGTTTGGATGGTGATTTCAGATGTTCGTAGTTTTCTCCAGAGTCATGACGACAGAGAAAGAGTCGCTGTCAGCAGTAGAGCAGGTCAGAGGTGAGATAAAGACACAGGAACCATCAGAAACACCGACAGAAAGAGAGAGAGGAGCTCTCACACACTGTTCAAGTACACAGCTACAACCATTGACAGCTCTACTAGCTAGTCCTCACTGAAGATGCTACACAGGATTTACACCACAGTGTCTCTTTTTTTTACAGCGTCCCTCCAGATTATCTGCTACAGAGCCGCCCACACTCCTCCATCCAGGCTGATCTATTTACACTTTTACAAAAGCAGAGATGAGAGATTGAAGCGGATGATACTGAGGTGAAGTTTGAGGCAGCACAGCGGGGCAACTCTGGCTCCAACATCTGCAGATATGGAGGAGGCGAAATCCGAAAAAGTCATGAGAAGATGTTGCCATGACTCCGGGGAATTCTGCGTGATGGTTTCAATGCAGATTAATGCAGAAGTTTTATTTAAATAAGTAGATTAATATGCACACATTTGAGCCTCTAGCCTGTTTAGTGCACTCATGCCTGTTTCACAAGTTTCGGCACCTGTGTTTGAATCAACCGTCACACTTCTCCCCTCTTTATCTTCATTTTTAAAGCTAACAAACATGCATGAAAGCTAATCCAGATATTCGCATGGTTTAGTCAGGACGTGCTGTGTGTGAGAGTCAAAAAGTCCCGTCTGCACTGCCTCAAAGAAGAGCCAAAAGCTTTACTGCTATGCAAGTTTAGTTTTACAGGTGTAAGGTGAGTTATTCAGCATTTGTTTTCTCGTGACGATGAGTCTTGACGTCATCGTTGTTGCAGACAGAAGTGATGATTTCTTGGTATTTTTCTCCAGGCCCCTGTTTCGACTGAACTGGGCAGCTCTTCTGCTGAGAGAGAAAGAAGAAGAAGACAGTGAAAGTCAGATGTTTGAAGTTTTAGGGGTGGCGCATGAGTTACAAAGTCTTTTAAAGCTTAAAAAAAACACCTAAAAGTTCACAGACACAGCAGAGTCGGAGGTCTCTACCTGGCTACTGGACGTCCAGTTTGCTCGGGCCGACGCTGTGGATGAGCTGTGAGGATTCAGAGGCGGCGCTGTACGCCTGAATCAGCAGGTTCTTGTTCAGATCTCCGACCCCGCTGCCGGCCTGCATTTTAGGGTACGGAGGTGTTTCTGCAACCGGACGCTGACCTCGTCCGTGGGCGTCCAAGTCCATCAGCTGGTCCAGGGGGCAGCCGTCCGTCCCCTCAGTGACCGGTGAAAACTCGTGGGCACTCGCCTGCTCGTCCCTGGACACAGGACTGATGGAGACAGATGGAGAACTTAAAGACACAATGATGACAGAGACAGGACATGTTGTTTATTTGCACTTTTCAAAACACAGCTTCAGTGTCAGTGTTCAGGTTTGGTTATGGAAGACGTGCCACGAAGACGGATCTGGATGAAGACAAAGAAGGAGTACTCTGCTCATTTTCAGGCTTTAAATCGACCTCGTTATACTTCTGCAGCAGCTTTACATGATTTTCTTTTCTGACTGATGTCTGATGTCATTTCAGCTACTGTTTATTTCAGCCTCTCCAGCTCTCAAGTAGCTTTATCCTCTGTTGCCAATGCAGCAGCAAGTCTCGGGTCTTTTCCACATTTTCTGCAAGAGATGGCTGTAAATATCTGAGAGACAAACACAGACGTCTCACCTGACATCCATGGACTGGACTCCGTCTGACAGCTCGTCCATGCAGCTCTTGTTCTCCAGGGGTCCCAGCATGATGACGGGGGCTTCAGCCGGAGTCGCTGCCTCCTCCTCAGAGGGGACCGCAGCCTCTGCTCTCATGTCAGGCACTGAGGAGAAGTAAATTTCACAGTTAATTTATTCTGATGTATGGTACTGAGGATACTGACGTGTTTCATTTCCTCCCGTGCTGATCCAAATGTCCTGATACGACCCACTTTCTGTCAGAGTTCGACGAGTGCTGCAGTGGACTCAGTGTTTGTCTCCCTGAAGATTAACCACAAGGAGGCGCTGTTCTCCTGCCTGTCTGACACTGCTGAGTCACACTGCAGCTGAGACGCTCATCCGATTCAATTTAGGGGAAGCCGATAATAACGGAGGAGGAAATGAAGTTTTACCATAACCAAGAGCCATAAAGCTGAAAAAAGGCGCATGAAAACTCCATCTGTGTGCGACCTCCACCCTGACACAGCTGCAGAAACTGAACACACAAACACACAAACACACTAAAGACCCCGCCTTCAGAGACGAACCACGGCGCACTCATGCAAAGTGGATCTTCTGAAGAGCTTAAACTCTGCTGAAATGCACATCCGCTCCACATAACCTTTAACTGCTGTTTGAAAGCGCCTTCTTAAACACCGTGAGTCTTAAATAGTGTTTTGATTAAGTCGGCTCGGTTTTGAAAATAAAGTCGTAATGTTGTAAATAAACAGTCACTACTTTAGTCAGAGATTAGCGTTTATGTTACTGCTGTTTTAAAGGGGCATACCCAGTGAGTCGCCTGTCACCTCTTTAAAAAATGAGGAAGATGAAGTGAGAAATGAAGTTCGGCTTAAATTTAACAAGCATCTCCATGTTAGTTATCATCTTATTATGAGCGTCTCCATGTTCATTATTCTGGTGAAGGCTGCTGGCTGCTCTTCTGATAACCTATCCTCTTCAAAACAGGTCGACTGGTCACCAAAACTACGACTTTACTGCGACTTAACTCTCATAACATTATGACTTTATTCTCGTTCACTTTTCGTCTTTTGACCAGGTAGTTCTTGTAATAACAACTTTAATCTCAAAACACCGTCTCTCTAGTTATATTATGACTTCATTCTTGTAATGTGACAACTTTTTTTCTTAAACTCTTCGTATTTTACTCCTCTGCTGTGGCCCTGCTTCTACCTCACAATAGTAACACTTTTTTTTTTTACTCACTGTTGAATTTGAAAATCTCCTAACTCCAGAGTTATCGTATATTTCTGTGGTACTGTGGTGGAGTGACAGTTTCATCCTGATCTTGATTTTGTTCAGAAGATGGTTGAAAATTAAGTGGAAGTCAAGGACTCCTGATTTTGGTTTTTATCGTTTAATTTTTAATTTTATTTTTTTACCCTAAACTCTGAAACCTTACTCATGATTAAAATGCTTCAATTTCAAATATTTGACTCTTTGGTATCCCTAAAAGTTTGCCTCGTTATAGTGCAGCTCTAAAAATAAAAGTTTTCATATTTTGGATGATTTATTTAAAAACTGGGTTCAACTGTTTCTCTTTTTAACTTTATGTTTACAGTAAATAATTATCTTTTAGCTGTAAGTTTACATTTTTCTGTTTCGTTGTGCTGTTCTATGTAAGATTCCTATTTGCCTTAATGAAATCATTAGTAAACAGGATGTTGTGTTGGAGGACGAGGACGTGTTTGATATTCACCTGCAGCAGCAGACAGAGGCTCCACTTCACTCTTCCTCGTCCTCTTCATGATCTCCTCAATTCTCTGTGAAAATCAACATCCCTCAACATCAGTCAAACACGCTCAATGTTTTTCCTTCACTTCAACATTATTTCATCCAAGTTTACAGACGTCCCATTCACTCAATCCTGCAGCATTGCTCTGATTCCATCTTTAGTGTCTGATAAATAAATCATCCATAATCAATAAAGAGGGTCTATGTTTGGATCTCTGGTACCTTCTTCCTCTGTTGCCTCTCCTGCTCCTCCTGGATGTGCATCAGCTCTCTCTCCTGCCTCTTCCTCTCCGCCTCTTTCTGGGCTCTCAGGAAGGCCTCCTCCCTCTGAAAAACAGAATTCATCTTTCTCTCTCTCTTCATATTTTTCTGTTTTTTAGTCTTAAGAGTGGGTTGGTTTTATGCAGCACCTCTTTAATTTAACACAGGGCGAGTGTTGTTGCAGTCTGACCTCTTTGTCCAGCTGCTCCTGCATGTCCTTCCATCTCTGCTCCTTCTGCCGTCTCTCCTCGTCCTCTTTGTTCCGCCTCTCTTCCTCCCGTCTCACTCTCTCCTCCTCCGCCTGCTGAGCGGCTCTCTCCTGTCTCTCTCTCGCCTCCTCCAGCCTCTTCTGCTCCTCCTCGGCCCTCAGTCTAGAAAACAGAAAGCTAAATGATCAGGGACATCGCCCATTCTTTATTATATCATTCTTTATATTCACAGACATAATTCGGACACAGAGAGATTTGGGAATATAAAGAGGTTCCAATAAATAACTGAACTGAACCCGGTCTTGTTCCTGACCAGTTTTACTTCAAACCCCTCTGGTCGGCTCGAACACACACCTCTCCTCCTCCTGCCGTTGTCTCTCCTCCTGCTCCTTCTGTATCCGAGCCAGGCGCCGTCTCTCTGCCAGCAGTCTGGACGCCTCCTCAGCGTCCATCGTCCCACCCACGCTCCTGCCTGTGGGTGTTCCTGGGGACTCTGGGGGAGGAGGGAGATTTAGATGGAGGGGTGAGGCGCTGGTGCAGAATGACTTAACAGAAAACACGTCTGGACACAATCCTCCAGCAGTGGGAAATAAATAATGTGCGATTATCAAATACTGACCAGCTTGTAACACTGAGAATCTGTTTCTTTTTCATCCCCTATGGAGACTCAGGTCTTTGTTTTTCATCTTCCTCTCCTCCACAGCTACATTTAACTTTAAACAGCTCCTGATTTTTATAAAACCAGATGGCTCATTAATGAGAAATCTGTATCTACAGCATCATTGCTGTGTTACCATGACTTATTGATCTCTCTGATGGCTGCCGGGACAAAGCGGTTATTTATATCACTGTGCAGACCAGAACTTTGAACCGAGGTCCAGAGAGAAGAAGCTGAAATTGACTGTTAAATGGGTGAGAGCCGTCGTTCACCTTATGAATATTCAGTTTGCTCCCAGCTCTAGTTATAGTGAGCTGGTTGTTGTTGCAGGATGGTCTTGCTTACCCTGTTTGGATTCAACACCTTCTCACTGAACAAAACCCTGTGTTTGTACGATGTTTATACGACACGGCCTGTGACGAATAAAAAGATTCAACACTAACATCACTCTGCTGCACCGCGATCAAACATGCTTACAGGACAAAGTACAAAGTGTCCCACAGCTGGATGCTATCAATAAATTCACACACACTAGACAGCACAGGACACCTCATGTTATGAACAAAATTGACTCTGATAGATCAATGTAAGTTAACAAATGGAACATATATACACACTGCTTCTGGAGCTGTCCAAGAATATCAAAGTTCTGGTCATGTGAATCTAAGGAAGTGACAGCAATACTCAAAAACAAGATCTGTGAAGGTCCAGGACAGTTTCTATTGGGGCTGTCACCTACAAATAGAGTTATGGTGTGAGAAGATCAAAATTACTGAATAAACTCTTATTTTTGGTCAGAAAATGTAAACGATTTAATTGGACAAACCTCCAACTGTAACTCAGTGGTACAAATAAATTTTTAGAGTGGAATGACGATATCTTTATGGACACATTTCGGCCCCTTATGGATTACTTTCCTAAAGGTGTAAGTGAAACTATACAGAGGGGAGATGGTGGTTTAGGAGGTCCCAGACTGAGCTAATGATAAAAATACTTTATACTTTAATTGATGACACACTGTTGTGTTGTTGTTGTTTTTCTTTGTTTATCCTTCTTTTTGTTTTGTTTTCTTTTTTTTTCCCTCATGTTTTATCCTTTTCTTGTCATTTTCTACCTTATTTGAATAAAAAGGAGGTATGTTTCTATGTAAATCCTGAAAATAAAATAAAATCTGATGATTAAAAATAAAATATTCACACACACAAACACAGACAGACACACACACAAAGGTACAGGTGTGTTGACACAGAAAGAGCCGCTCACCTGCGTTCAGTTCTCTGCTGGTGGATTTGGGGATCTTTTTCTCTGATGTCTCCGATTTGGTTGATTTCCTCTCCAGAGTGCTGTGACCTTTGACCTCAGAGATGTGGTTCCTGTCGTCATGGCCTGGGGTGGTGGCCCTGTGACGGAGCGGGGATGGTGGGTACTGTCCGGGGGAACAGGGCGACTGTGCGCGACTCCTGTTGGACCTCACCCTGAAAAATAACAACACAAACACATCAGGTCATCTGTGCAATAATGGATGTGTGTGTGTAATTGTGTGTTAGTGTGTGTGTGTTTATTGTGTGTTTTGTACCGTTTGGGCGTGGCAGGACCCTTGCTGTTGGACCTGAAAGATGAGCTGCGGACCGGCGTGTTTGGAGTCTCACCCTGCGAGACATTTTTAGAAACGTTACGACCATGATAAAAAAGAAGCAACAAATTATTCTGTTTCTGATATTTTCCTTTGACCTTCAACAGCTGAGGCTTCTGGGAAATGTGGTCTTACATAAAGATAACAACACCAAGAGCTAAAATGTCCCACTAACACTTTCTTCCGTGCCCTTTCAGCCTCAAACAGCTCTCCGTGAATAAGGTCATGTGTGAGCGTGTGTGTGTTGGCGTAAGAGCTGACCGTAGGTGTTCTGGCTTTGGATGTCTCTTCAGGGAATCCAGCGATGCTCCTGCGGTTAGAGGAACTTCTGTAAGGTCTCTGGTTGCTGGGGGAAGCTGTTCGTTGAGACACAAAAGACACTGAGGGGTCACGGAACACAACACACGCAAACATCGACACAAACCCACACAGAGACGGCAAAATGCACAAACACCACGACAGAAAAATCAGACAACATGAAGAGCTGTTAGGATGCTGATTCCCTGCAGACAGACGGACAGGTTTACTTTTGGAGTTAAATCTAAATGACCAAACCTGTGTCATGCAAAATGCTCATGTGTACAAACACGACATGCAGAGGCTCCAGTTCTTGGCATACTTTCAGTTTCTTCTCAGCGTCCTTTATGATGGTGAAATTCCCCAAAATGTAACAATACTAAAACAGATAACAGACTAAAAACCGCCGTTGTGTTTATTCTCTTGCACTCAAAGTAATAATTTAATCTAAATAGGATTAAACTACCAGATTAACATCAGCCTGTTTTTATACAAAACTCTGAAGTTAGATTAAGTTTCCTTTGCTCTCACATTGATGTTTGTGCTCGAATTGTCCTGTTTACACTGTTGTGATGCACTTTTTACCAGAGCACCCTCCCAGACACAAATTACTTTCACATCGCTCCTGTCTTCGCTTTCATGAAATCAATTTCTAGATTTTTAAGATCTCTTTAGACAGTTTTAAAGCAGTTTTAAAGCTTTCAGGTTGTGTTGATTTTAGTTCCTCCTATTGATGAAGCAGCCCCTCTTATATCTTTGTTTATTCTGTAGATGTAAGATGTGTTTGTTTGCCCTCCCCTGTTTTATTTAATCACTCAGCTGAATGACTAATAAAAGAAAACGCAGCAACAGACACTTTAATGAAATTACAAAGCTGTTGTGAGTCAAAGCTTTTCTGACTGATGTGTGTGTGTGTTTGTGTGTGTGTGTGTTTGCTCTGTCTCACCTCTCTCTGGTGAATGCAGGGTGGCTGAAGAGTTGGAGAGCTGTTTGTTGATCTGCTGCTCCATCGCGGACGGGGACAAGAAGTCCCCGACTGATTAAGAAGAAACAACAAAAATCATTCACATGGACATAAACATGACAGCGAATCAAAGCCCTGACTGCCGCTGCTGCTGCTGCATTAAAAGATGATGTAAATGTCACAAACGGATTCAATAAACCAATCTCACAGCACAAACAGAAAAGTGCAGGCTCACACAGAAAATAATCCTGCCGATCGATGAGCCGTGCAGGCTGCAGAATAAATTAACCTTGGTGATGTAAGACAGAAATGAAGCAGCAGAACGGAGAGCAGAGGCAGACTCAGCCCGGCTCTCTGCAGCCGAGCTGCTTCATCATGAAATGGAGGATGGTGATACAGAGGAGATCGCTGCAGAGCAATGAAACTACACAGCACCTGAAGGAGGCACCGTGACAACCAAAGAGGCACAACATCAACTTTCAGTGCACTTTACATCCTGATCAGCGTGAGTCAGTGCTGGGGAAGTTTCTGAGTCTGTTACTTTTACCAAATTTGCTCATACCACACCGACCACTCATACTCTGTGCCGAGTCAAAGTTCTGCCTTTTAAGTGTGACTTCAGTAAATGTCAAACTTTAGGTTCAGAATTGATTTAATTCGGAAACATGTTTAATATGCCCATTTTAAAAATATCGTGATATAAGTAAACTGAAGAAGAAAATAATTTTTTTTCATGACAGCCCTTTTCCTGCAAAATCATGTCAAAACTGACACTTATAAAAATATGGTTCTGACCCAAAAGGAACCAAAAACTTGAAAACTTTGTTGTTAGCTTGACAAGATGCACCACACACATCATATAAATGCATGTAGCTGACTCCCCTTTCCCCTTCAAAATAAAACAGGCTAAATAAAACACCACAACCTAAAACTACGACTTTGGTCATGAAGATTGATTCATTAAGATTTAACGTAGTCCTTATTCTCAGTCCTCTTTTTTTTTCCCGCTGTCTTTATTGTTGGTGAAATATTTTCACAGTGGTATTTATAATGTTATGGATTGGATCTGAATACTTCCTGGAAAACATCTCTGGGGTTTCCAGTAAAATTGGAGAAAAACAACGAATAAAAACATTTATTTCTGCAGGGGAGGAAAGAGGAATGATTGGGAATGTCTGGTAGATATGTGTGTGTGTGTGTGTGTGTGTGTGTGTGTGTGTGTGTGTGTGTGTGTGTGTGTGTGTGTGTGTGTGTGTGTGTGTGCGTATTTTGATCTTATTGCACTCCTTTGTGAGTAGGTGAGGTTGGGTCTAATAAGTTTTCTACACAGCTGGAGGGTAAACGTCTGGTGTGATGTATGGTGTTTCTGTGTGTCTACATTTGTGTGCGTATGTGCCTCTGTGTGCATATGTGCCTGTGTGTGTGTGTGTGTGTTAGTGGTGCAGAGGGGTGTTGCACAGACTGGGCTCCCTGCTGAGAATAAAGTGTGTGCATCACTAAGCACGGCTCTAGGCCGGGAAAATGGGAAGTGGAGCAGCTCTTTGTTGTGATAAGGGCGGGGTACATGTGTATGCATGTGTGCATATATCTGTGTGTGTGTGTGTGTGTGGGAAGGCGCTCCAAACCAGACACTCATTAGCCACAAGAGACCAGAAGACGAGGTTCTGCATGGGCTGTAAACTGTTAATGAGAACAAACGCACAATAACCGCACAAATGTTTTGCTCATTTTCAGAACAAACACAGATAAAAAATGTAGAGACAGTGTTGGAGGTCATTTTCCTTCTGCATGGATGGAGATGAAGATTGTTTTGCTTTTTTTAAGACTGGATACAGAGTGTTTCCTGGAAGCTGGGTCATTTTCTCTCAGTGATGGATGTCTTTGTCTCGAAACATCATTTTCTGTTTGTCCTCTTTGTGATTCAGTCGACAGAAATTCACCCAAAGAAAGGGAAAGAGGTGTATTTTATCAAACCTGTATGAGCAAGTCACCAACTAATGTCACAAATTAAACCTAAACAGATATTTTTTTGATTCCTACATAAACAGGAGATCATATTTAAAATCTAGACCCTCATCATTTTGAATCAGCACTCTCCTCTTCTCGTTGTTTTCTTTTTAAAATATATATCTGTGATGTTTTATAATCATACAATTTAAATTTTTGTCTGTTTTATGGACTTTTTCAGTTTTCAGCGACGTGTCTACATTTGTATTTCTCTTAACGTACAGTGGTTCATTTAACTTTTTCTCTTTTTACTTTTTATTCCTCAACATCTTATATAATTCAAGAGCTACAAAACCTGAATTCCAGCACTTTTTTTTCTTTAAATTATTTTTGTTTTAGCTCCAGAATTTGTTATTTAAGGAGAGTAATAGGAACATCCAGCAGTAGACAGGGTTTTGAGGGAAAGGGGGTGTTTGTGTTGTGTTTCCTTTGTATAATCTGTATAAAACTAATAAAAATATTGAGTAAAAAAATCTAGACCCTCACCTAACTCATCCAAGCCAATCGACAGAAACACTTATTATCTACTGTTTGTGTTTATTTAGATTTAAAGTAAGAACTAGAAGTAGTTTTTGCAGCTCAGTTCTTAAAAACACATTAAATAGAAGAAGTCATGACCAGAGGATTTTAGTATCTAGTTTACCCAGATTTTGAAATTTGCAAACACAACCTGCAGTCATCTGAGACAGAAACCTGCACTTTGAGAGGCTGCAGATATATGTCTATATCTGCAGATCGACTGATCTGCATGCTTTCACTATAGCATGATTGTTTCCGTTGCATCTCTATAAAATAAAACACCAACTCCATATTAGGTAAAAATTCAGGAAGAAGAGTTTAAAATCGAGCTTCCCCAACACTGTCATAAATTAATCAACAGACACAGAACACACACACGTCACAAACACCCTGCAGGATCACAAAACAGCTGCATGCAGACGGACGAACAGCTGCGGGTGAGACAGTTTATGGCGGTGGGGGAGCGGTATGAGCGTGACAAACACACACACAGTCATGTGGTCTGTACCGTTGCGGGATTTGCTGGCACTGGAAGAAGCAGGAAGCTCATTGGGCTGTGCAGAGCCAATGGCAGGGCAGGGCGGGGTCTTAGGGTTACCTGGGCAGCAGGTGAAGCAGAGCGGAGAAAGCAAAGCATTACACTCACTCAGCGTCCACGCACAGCTGGGTCGTAGACATGACACACAAACAGGAATACACTCCAACGTCCATGAACACACACAACAACAGCAAAGACACGTGTCTCAGCAGAAGGTGCCACATTTAAACCCAAACATGTCAAACGATCTTCAGGTCAGACGAATCGAAGCCTCAAGATGCAGCATAGCGGCACAGAGTGAAACATCATGCATTAAAAGCAGTGAGAACAGCGCTGCCTTCAAAATAAAAGCTTAGAAGCTCACACTTCATGTCACTTGAGGAGACTGAGAATGAAGGTCGAGAGAGCCCAGACTGAATAGTCCAGAATGTCTAAGGATCACCAAAATCCAGTAACACCATTGAGGTCTACACCAAACTTCATGTTTACACGGCAAGAACAGAGAAAACATCAACGAGAGGACTCAGAGTCAGCAGGACAAAGACTGCATTTCCCATGAGCACCATCACCCACTGTAGCAAAGCTGTAGTTCTCAAGTAAAGGTGCATTTATCATCGGAGCAAACGAATGGCACACAGATCCTCTTTTTTAACCACTTTTCTTTGTATCTTTTCTTTGCATCCTCTCACTATTTCTTTATTTTACTTTATGCCCTCCATGCTGACCAATAAGAGTACAGAATTGGTGGTGAAGAATGTAAACAAACAAAAGGTTAAAGTGAACACCAAACGCTGGTAACAACAACAAACTGAAACAAAGACAAACACACACTCAGACAGTTACTCCAAGCCCTTCTTCTCCTCAACATCCTCATGATTGGTAAACTCTAATTGGCTGACTCAGATTTTTTGTGAGTGTACAGATCAGAAAGGGTGATGTCAGGCAGCTGCTCACCACTGGTGCATCATGGGACATGCAGGCAATGACTGGAGATGAACTCTGCTTTCTTGGTCTGGTACTAAAATGTTAGTGCCTCCACAGACTGCCTTAAAAGGTTCAGAGTGGAAATACTCAGTGATACTCAAAGGTCAGATTAAAGACGGATATGCTCCCTTGCTCGACCCTCCTACTGGTGAGGAGATCGTGACCTTCAAGGACAAGAAGCTGCTGTGATAGATAGTGATTATCGTCCTCCATTGGTCCAGTTCAATAGCAGCAACTACTTCTCTGTCTTCTCACTCAAAACAAAAATGCATTTGTTGCAAGTTTGTCCATTCTGTGCTGCTGTAGGAACATGGAGGTGCAAGATGGCCGCCTCCGTGGAAGAGGACCTGCCTCGTTGAAGACATACAGGGTCATTTTGAGTAAACAACAACCTAATGAGTTTTATATTCACACACTAGTCTGAACAAATCTATAAATATTACATTAGAGATCTGCTGAGTCTGTTCTGCAGAGTCCTGCACAAAACTGCGCACTGTAACTTAAACTCCAACAGTAATTAGACACCAACATAAAACAGGGTCCATCAAATACAAGTACTTCACATCTTTAAGATCTCCTTAAAACAATTCTGAGCTTCAGATAACACAAGTTTATCTTCCCAAGTTTGGTTCATGGAAAAACTTTGGTCTCAAGTTACAAGAACTTGAAATAAACCTCAACTTTCAATCTTCACCATATTTACATCAACACACCTGAAGCAGTCCATCAAAGCTGACTGATTTTTAGCCAGTAAATCCAGATTAGTATTAGTCAGACCATTGCCACCAGATTCCTCAGAGTCTTCACAGCATAAACCACGTGAACAGAGTGAGTCAGCTGTGATAAATCCCTAGTTAAGAGGAAAATAAGACTGCTGTCCTGATGGAGTGATTTTAGTCAGAAAAGGCAGCTGTGCAGGATTTTGCATGAGCCATTTGGAACCAGAGAAAAATACGCAGCATGCTCAAACACACACACGCACACATACACACACATACACACACATATTGCGTCTTTAGTGAGTCTCTGTCCTTTAATCGAGAGGGGCTGTAAGATGAGATGCTGCTGTTTCTGCTGCAGTGAGCGTTCTGCTGGGCCCAGCTGATCCCAGAGCAGCCTCTTTGCCAGTCAGCCAAGCCGGAGCCAGACAAGCTGATCCCGGGTCAGTGCCAGAACGACAGCGCCTGATGGGTATTGTGAATAATTGATGGCGTTATGAATGCACCGCAGGATCTGGAGCCCCGGCTGGTGGCGCTGAGGCCTCCTGCCGGCTTGACGTGTCGGCAGAAACGTCTCAAAGATGATGTGATCCGACAGAAAAAAAAGACGTAAATTAAAGAGGGATGGATGCTGACAGAAGGACCCGCCTCATGTCGCACTTTTTCCTGTGTTTACGAGTGTGGCCTTGGTGCGTTCAAGGTTGATGTGTGACTCCTGCTCCTCTGGGAATGAGACCTCCCCGCACGGAAATAAAACAACAGAGCAGAGACACACATAAACACACACCTGTGGCACATTTACAAGCGGCTCCATCAGCTAATACACTCCTCTGATTACATACGTGACTGTAAACACACTCCGAGCCTCCTCCAACCTCCAACCCTGATGAGGTTTTCAGACAATGCAGCTCCTGCATTGCAGCCTCCACACCCTTTTCCACCCGCTGTCCTTCTCCTCTTTACCTCCATCACTTCTCTACCTCCTCCTCCTCACTTCCCCCCCTTCTCTCTTTTATCCTCATTTCACCTGCTCTCTCCTCCCACAGCTTCTGCGTTGTCGTCCCCACCCTTTCATCCAAACACCACCGACCCCCCTCTCCCGCTGACCTCCAGACCTCCCCCAACACCTCTCCTCCCAGCCCCCCGTCCATATCCACACCTCAAACCAGCCTCCCACTGACATCATCGCTCTTCTTCTTCCTCCAGCACTTCCTCCCCCCTCTCTTCCCCGCTGTACTCACCCTCCACTCCGTCAGGCGGTCCTCCCCACGTCCAGCGTTTGGGCCTGTTATCTGGGTGGTCTCGGGCCTCCCCCCCTCCTCCTCCGTTTCCTCCTCCACCACCTCCGTTTCCTCCTCCACGTCTCTCGGCGCCGCCGGTTCTCCGGCGCACCAGGGCCTCCAGCCGCTCCTGTTCGTTGCGTTCAGAAACAGGGAAGAAGAGACATTCTCTCACTGAGCCATCGCTACGGCGACGAACGCCAGGCGATGCACAGGGAGACGGTTGCGCCATGGTTACCGCATCCACACCACAGCGGCCTCGCCCCTGCGTCCTCTGTGATGAGTCTGCCGGCGGTCACCAGCACTCGATCGCTCAGTGATACATAATACAGCAGCTCTGCTCCTCTCTCTCTCTCTCTCTCTCTCCGTCTGCTGCTCCCTCTAGGTAGCTCTGACTCCCCCTCTCTCTCTCTCTTTCTCTCTCTTACCTCACAATTACTAGCCCCACCCTCCCTCTCTCTCTCTTCTCTCTATCTTCCTCGATCTCCCTCCTTCTCTCTCTCTAGTGGCTGACTCTATTTCACAGAGCAGTTTAATCAGACAGGAAGAGGCTAAATGTATCCCGTCACCACCCCCACCTACATGCATGAACACACACTCACACACACACCTACACACACACTTACACATGCACACACACAGACTGAGTGGGTGGGCTGGATATCGATACTGACTGAATGCTTTTAGTCTCAAATATTCCTTTTTTTCTGTCTTTAATTTAAATTTCTTGTCTTTTTTTAAATGTCTAATGACTTAATTTGACGTTTCTCTATCAGTCTCTTTTAATTGTCTTTGTTTTGGTAAAATTCTGTATAAATTAAGGTGTTTTGTCTCCTATTTTTCTCCCCTTGCCTGCCTTGTATTGCACTCTGTGTAATCTTGAACACTTGGTACAAAAGAAGCCAACACATACAAATAAATCAAGCCCCCCCTTTCAACATCTGCCTCATCTTTTGAACTGATTTCTATTAACGTGATTATTTTATGTTTTAATATTTGGTGAGACCTACAGCAGCAGTCCGGCAAAACAGTCACTCAAAAATGACGGATTATCTCCAAATGGGCTTATTTTTGTAGCCCAAGAACAGCAGAATCCTTTTCTGTTCACTTTCTCGGCTTAGATGAGTGGCAGACGTCTCCTTTGTTTGTTGACCGATGACATGACTGTAGAGTTACAGACTGTAGAGATGCTACTTTTGCAAGAGTGGACAGAGAAGTGCACCATTTTGGAAATTGCAGGAATTTGCGTGAAGGAGGTGGATTATGTACTTCCTAATCCAATTTCCTCTTTGTATAAGAATACAATTTTCTATCCCCTTAAACTTCTATCTGACAAATTTAGAAAGCATAAATACATATGTACTGATAATGAGTGCTAAACAACTTATTAATGGATACTGTCTCACTAAACAGAGACGTGACGACCTAATAAAGAAAAGCAGGAGTTCACTGTCAAGAAGAAAAGAGTGAGACAAGTTCAGATGGTTTTCTGGCATCAATTCGCTGTAATTTGGCGTCTCATTTGTGATGCTACTTGTGCGGCTGCATCAACTATTTATAAGTAAATTGCATTTGTCAGGCCGCCCCCCCGTGGTTTCACCTGTTTACTCCATCTTGATTAGATGAGTGCGCTTGTCAAAACGTATGGATGTGTTTTTTTTCTTTCTCAGCGAACAGACTAACTGAGTGTGTAAACTTTAACTCTGCATAAAAACATAGATGTAAAATATACATGTTAATACATGAAGATAAAAATGAAATCGAATCTCTTATCTCCTGCTCTAGATTCAGGTATTCATGATTAAAGAGCAGCTCTTTGTCTGACACCAAAGACACCAAGGTATTGTCAGATCACAAATGCACAGACGTTATGTATTATTCAGTGTCAGAGATTTCTGCAGGCTTTAATATCAAATTGAATGAAACTTGATATGTCTGTCATGGTTATTATGAATAAAGAATTAAGTATGATGAAAACTCTAACAGTCTAGACAGAGTAATGATTACTTGTAGGAATTTCTCAGCTCATAATTAATCCCTGGGATGTTTTTGATCGAAGTAATTAAGTTGGAGGCAGATAAGCATCAGAAAATGGTCCAGGGTTTAACAAATAACTCGTTTTTTCACGAATCTTCTCCTGTTCTTTATTAAGACACTAAGCTTTGTAGCTGTTATAATAAGGAGTAGTGACAGTGTTTGCTGCAGGTCTTATAGCGCCGTCTGAAACTCTATAGAAAAGGAAACACGGCCTCTTACAACATGGTTCTCTGTCACAACAATCCCACTGTTAGTTTGCAGGTGTAACATCTCCTGACAGGCTGCAAACACACGAGAATATTTTTAAACTCGTACATTTCTCAGAAAGCCAGAGGAATTCACAGAGACTTTTGAACGTGACATTTCAGTCTCATCAGAAATTCTGTTTTTGTGTGCTTTTAAAAGCCTGCAGATAACGTGTACAACATCTTCTAACCTCTGCATCCTCTTTTCTTTGTGTCAGCGCAGAATATTCATTGATTTCTATGTAAATATCTGATTACCATGCTTTGAGCAACATTACACGTGACATTTTAAGATATTCAAGTTTTTAGAAGAGACATTTGCATTGCAGGGCATGTTCAGGGTATTTAAATTAATGAGTTATGTATGAATACAGACAAACATATTCGTTATGTACATTAAAGGAAATACATTTAGAACTGATTCATGTTTGTTGTTATTTGTATTTATTTTTTGCCTGATTGGTATTCCTGTTCACATTTGTAGAAACTCGTTTGTAATTCAGAGCTAACTCTCTTGTCTCTTCTGCTTCATTGACGTTCTCCTCGGTCTAATTTTAGATCTACTTTCTATTTAAAACCACATTTCATACTGGATTTTCAGCCAGACACAGTCCATACTGCAGTGATAGAAAGCAGACACATACAGCAGCTGCAGAGTATAAAGCTGATCCTCTGCTCCAGTGTACTGTCTATATATAAAGGATGCAAATGCCCCGCCTCAGCACTGTGGGTGTGTTTGCTGAAGGTGCATGCAGAGTCACGCACAGACTGCAGGAGGGGGAGACTATCGGACTGGAGATGAGGGGGTGTCAAGAAGAGGGTTTGAAGGGAAAGAGAGAGAGAAAGAGATAGAGATCAGTGGGATGAGAGGAGGACTGATAGACATGGATAGAAACTGAAGAGTCAGATCAATGACTGCAGCTGCTGCAGTCATTTTCTATGAGATTCAGGATTTTTCTCCACAGCAACATCACTGGTTTAGCATAGCGAGTGTGTGGGACCCGTCCTACTCATGAAACAAAGCGTTTCAGCGTGCGGTGCGAGTGCCACTGTTATTTTCTCTCTGATGCAGTCGCCCTCGTTCTGTATATAATGAGTGAACTTCCTCCAACATCAGCCCCAGTGGGTGTGCTGGTCTTAAAATGAGGTGTGGTTCAGTGCAAAGACAGTGCATCTCGTTTCTTAATTTGAGCTTTAATTAAAGAATGAAGTTACGCCCCATGTCTAACTGTATACACATCTATTGGTTTGATCCATGAGTGTTTCTGCAGCTCAGTGGGTTGTTCCAGTGACCTGAACATCAATCTTGGCACTGACATAACTTAAACATTGATCTGCGTGTGTTTTTTTTCGCACAGTGTTCGGAGAGAAGTGGAACAGGCCTGCAAGAACATGGTCTGTTGAATTAGAAAGGCTAACATCCGCTGTGTACATTTAAAGGGAGTGAAAACAGGCTCACTGGTTGGTTTGGTTTTAGTAAGCAGTTGGCCACTCCTGGATATATGTTGTATATAAAAATACTATATTACAAACCTGTAAGATCAGATTTTGTCTAAATTTGTGACGAACCCCCTTTTTTTCTCTTTGAAAACTAAGATACGATATAACACGATACGATATAGACATATAAAACTTGAGAGGCACCATGAATAAAGACATTGAGACTTTCTGCAGTTAAACATTCAGGATCAGTGTGGAAGGAATCGTCGAAATGTGATGTGAATACTTGTAACGAATCTTGCGATGTTTTAACAGTCACAAGAGATGTTTTGTGCACTGTGCATGTAAGGAATCTAAGTGCCTTTCAAATAAAATGTGAATAAAAAAAATACTACATTATATTAAAAATCTGCATTTTTTTCAAGCAGAATGTTTGAATTTGAAGCACTTCCTTCTTACTTTAGGAAACACGGGAGTAAAATCAATCTTTTTAAAAGACTTTGACGTCTTTTTTAAACCCTGATTCGTTAATTATTTTGTGATTTGAACAGATGCTCGGACAGAACAGATATTTGCAGATGCCACCTTAGACTTTGGGAAGTGTAAGGAGGATTATATGTCTTTTTTTTTTCTTCTTAGATGCAGAAATCCTCAGTGCAGTTATTTTCCTACCATTCAAACACTAAATCAATGTCCAATCCTTTATTAAATCTTCAGTTTCTTTGTGTAAAAGGATATATTGATCCTGTGTGTTATCTCTCTCCCTGCTCAGAGTGAAACATGTCCTTGTCACCGCACTGCGAGGATCGACTGTCTGTTCCAGTAAACGGCACATGATACGCCGGCGGTGATGTCATCGCCCCGTGAGACTGACCAATCATTATGTCATTAAGTTATGCATATGAGCGCGTGGAGGGGAAGGGGGAGGGGCTGTTAGCATGCAAACACTGTCTTTAAATCAATAAAGTCACTGACTCCCCCCCTCTACTTAACTCTCTGTGGATCAGGCTGTCGCTGCCTCGTTAACCCTTCGTGTCCTGCTTAGCACTCACACACGCACTAATAATTTATAACCGACCTCCAGCTGAAACGGTTATCACACAAACACAGGAGGCAATTTATGCTGGACTCACAAAGAGATGATTATTATATGAGTCAATGGTTCTTCTCTGTGAAGTGCTGCCCACTCATGACTCATGCAGAGCAATGAGATTTATTTACTGTCCAAAAGTCGAAACCAGGACCAGAAGAGTCTGACTGTATATCAGATAAACCAGCTCTGGGAGCGTGACAGTCATCTCTATCATTAAAAACGTGCTTTGAAATAAACGTAGACGTCTATCCCCAGAAGTTTAGCAGTGAGTTTATGATATTTAATGATAAAAGAAATTTTATCAGTCTGTTTTTTAATCACTTCCTTCATTAACTTTTGATCAATTTTCTGTGTGAAAAAAAAGAGAATTTGCTCTTTTTGATTATTTTTTGTTATCTCAGACAGAGGGCGTAAGCGAACTAAGCGCCTGCTTAGGGCCCCGCAGCCAGTAGGGGGCCCCCAACAGCAATCCAAAAAAAATGTAATATTTTTTTATTTTTCGCATGTATGAGTGATGCTTTCTGTATGATCAAATATACATTATTGTAAAAATAAAATCAAGTAAAAACATTTTAGTGCTGCTGCTGATGTAGGCCTATGATTCTTACTGACGATGACACTTTAACAGTAAACACAATTCTTTATCACCTGGAATGTCGTGAAAATCAACCCCAGGCCGCTCTTGTAGCTGAATGAGTTAAATTTTGAGAATAAAATCCATATGTGGCACCCTGAACATCATTCATCAGTCATTCATTGGTATTATTTATGTTATTACCCAGGCCACACCCTTAAATGTGTAAAGACATGTCAGGTGCATTAAATTTATACTGTAGTAGGTGTGTGAATGATCAACAATCAATATTATTGGCAGAGATAGAGGGCCCCAAAATCAAATTTTGCTTAGAGAGCTGATCTCAGAGAAGATTCACAGTCAAATGGAGTCATGCATGTGGATAATCTTAAGAAAAGTGTATTGATCCACTGTTATTTCTTTGTATAAGTGGTAATGATATAGTGCTTACGTAGACTATCACTCAGACAGCAGGCTGTATTAGATGCAGCTTGAAAACCACAGCTGATATGTGTATGAATGTGCGATGAATCCATCAACACAGGCAGACCACATCTTCTGCTGCACAGACTGTCTGTTTCTGTTTGAGCTACATAGTTTTTTAAGAGCTTGATTCTGACCAGGAACACATTTCTGCACACATTTATGTAAAATAGTTCCAATTCAGAGCCACTGCATTGGAGCTTTAATTCTGCTGAAGAAAAGCAGACAAACTTGTCATGTTTCACCTGAATGCACACAATTAGTCAGCCGACAGAAAGTCATTAAAGACTCTACATTAATTACTCGGCATTCCCTTAAACTCAGGTTCAGTCGAACAACAGCTGGAAGTACACTGACTAAGTTATGGATCGACAAAATTAATTCAGCAGCACAGAGCGAAAATGGAGCGAGAGAGAGTAGTCGAGTGGAGAAGAGACTGCTGATCACTGTTTGTTTGTTTGTTTTGGGCCATAGAGAGAAACAGACTGATGGGGGGACTTAAAAAAAGAGAGGATGATGGATTTGCAGACAGAGGGGAACACATTGCATCATATATTGTTGCGTTAATGATCCGTCAATCGCAGTTTTCTAAGTTGCAAACTTAAGTTAGTTCTGATTCTTTTAAATTTTATCTTCCTACGCTGTCAGTTCAAAAGAAAACTCAGTGTCAGCACTTTCTGAATAATTCTAACTTTTTCCCAACGTGTAGTGAATGCATCATCAGTGACCTCTGACCTTCTCTGCCTCCTTCTGCTGCTTCCTCTTCTCCTCGGCTGCAGCTCTTCGTTTCTGCTCTTTCTTCTTCTGCTCTTGCATCTTCCTCCCTCGTTCCTCGGCACAGCGCTCCAGCTGCTGCTGCACTCGACGCTCCTTATCCCTCAGCAGCTCGGAGACCTCTGCACACACACATGCACAACACAGTGTTTTAGCTGTAATGCTTGAACACAAAGCCTACAGAAATACTCAGAGGATTTTCTGACGAGTTTCTGCACAAACTAGTCTATTTTACACAAATTTAGTATTTTTTATCTTGAAACTAACTTGGCTTATTTGCTCCAAAAAGGACAAAAAGTCGATTTTTTACACATGCACTTCCCAAAGCGAAATGCATTTTTTATTGTCATGAGAATAAAATAATAAAGTATGAACTAATTTGACTCAACCTAACATGTTTACATTCATAGGCATGCCTCTAGTTGTTTGCATATTGTTAGTTTAAGGCATGATACTTGCTCCACTGCGCTGCCTCTACACAATATGAGTGTCACAGAAGTGTGGTGGTTGGTCAAGTCATGTCACCGCTGAGCTGACATTAAATAGCTAGCAGGACCAGGACAGCACTATGTGTGTTTGTCTGGATGCAGACGGATAATTTATTGATCTCATGGGAAATTCCGTCAATGTTTGCCTGTCATACTTCGATAATAATGCGACAAATTATTAAATCCCACACTGGGATATATTTGATTGATGCAAAATCAATATAAAAATACAAAGGAATGACGAGGGAGGAGATTTGAAACAGCACTGAGGTGATGTAACCTTTGAACTCGATAACTAATGTCTGTTGTTGATTTTTAATTCATGATAGTCTTACAGTGCATCTCACTAGATGTCTGAGAACCTCACTGGCTCTTTTTAGGTTTTATAAAGATTTTTCCTTTCCACTTTTACAGCCCAATGGTTCAAAAATTGGAGTCATTCCACAGATGATTGAATCCCTTGAAAAAGCAGCTGACCAAAGTTCCCTGATCACTGTCCTACAATAAAAATAATTACATCTGATAAGCATTAGCTCTGAATTATACTCATACAGTCCTCAAAAGCAACATTAGTTCCCCGAGTTGTCATGGAAACAAAGATGTTTCCATGATCCAGACAGCCTCTCTACTCCCATCTACATCTCCATGGCAATAAAAGGAACTCGTTCTCTTCATGGGAACAGGGTTTAAGAGCGGTCAGCTTCATAACAAGCATATAGAGAAACATTTAGTGAAGAATATTTAATTATTACAAATAAAAAGGTTTGATATGATGCTTGTAGTCAATACTTGTGACATTTCAGTTTATCTTTCTGTAAGCACATCCTCTAGTCTCGTGGATTGTAAAGGATGTTTCCTCTATACGCACTCACACCGCATACACTCAAACATTATGTGCTTGTGTGTGTGTGTGTGACAGATGAACAGTGCAGACCACACAGAGCTCCACCAGCTGGAGAGTTACTCATACCTTGTGTCTTCTCTCTGTCGTCCTTTCGCTCTTTCGCTAAATTATGTCGAGACCCTGACGAAAAGACAGAGAAATTATCAATTATGCAGAAAATGCACAAGTGTGCTCAAGTCCTGTATTTAAACCTTTGTCTGAATAAGCAGGTGGGTATTTTCATCAGCAGCATATGTAATTATAGTTATTATTAAATCCTTTGGTTGTATTTTTCTTTACTTAAATTTTAAACCAGTGCCACTACATAAACTTAGGTGTATGTGAATGTAGTGGTTTGTGTTTGGGCTTTTATCATCAAATACTATTTCAAAGAGATGCAAATAACATTTATATTTTTCTCTGTAAAATGGCAAAAAGGCCATTTCCTCTGGTAGAGGAGAAGGAGAGTTTAACAGCAGATAGAGAAACACGTAATCTGTTTTTTCCCGACCTAGAGATGATATTATTCTCCTCCCTGCTATAAAAGAGTTGGAGTACAAAGTTGTATCATCAGAAATACTTAAATAGGAGCACTTTCAACTCATTTGAAGCACAGTACTTGCTGTCATCTTGTTCAGTTTCTGTGTGCATTTTTGTGAGGTTTTTATTAATAAATAATTTAAAAAAACAATAAAATCTGCTAAATAAAAAGTAGTTTATCACTTTCTAGGTTATTGAACATTAAGTCGTTGCAGAAGGACACAAACATGTATTTGTAGATGTAAGAACAATAAGAGGTAGACCAAAATAGAATTGGTGCAGCATATGCGCTGGCAGAAATGTCATTCTGTCTGCTTTTTCTTCATCCTGTCGTTGTCCTACTTTCAGTTTTTCTAGTCCTGGATTATGAGGATAATGGCAGCGCATCAAAGCGTATGAAGTGTGATTAGAAGTTTACCTGTAGGACTCCTGTGATTGGATGGTGAACGACACGGCGATGCATTCCTGCTGGTGATCAGCTGCGCAGAAGGAGGAGCCAGTGCTGTGTTTTGGAGAGAAACAGTCAGACATGATTCATGTTCCAGCTGGCCAAGAGGCAAATACGGCTAAAAATATTAACGCTCGAGTGGAGAACGTGACTCCTGCATTTATCAATACGAGGTAGACTATGACACTGGCAGTCACAGCGTGCAAATGCAATAAATCTGCTGTCCGTCACAGCATCGCCTATGGCGTCAGGTGTCAGCGTGCGACCCCTGAGTGTGACCCTCAGTCCTCTTCCTGTGATGCTGTTTCTCTTCAATATGTCAAACTGGCATTAAAGCTGCCCTGAAGATGACAATGGACCAACGTCTGTGTACACAAACACACACGCAAGGGGACGGCTGCTCTTTTCAACTAGTGATTCACCCATCATATGCTATTAGACATGCAAATACATGCAAATCCAGGATAAACTCAAGTGTCCCAGGGGTTCTTCTACTTGGTTTCATCCTTCTGGGATATTACGTCAAATGCAAAAATACATCTCTTAAAGATGGTAATGCTTTCTCTCTGTGTATAGCTTAGGATCTTAAAGCTGATGATAGGAATTAATTGCATCAATGAAGGGAGCACTGAGCCTTTCAGTCACTAATCGGGGAATAAATGGGGGTAGCAGTAGGAAAATGTTACGTAATACTTTCTAAGGAACATCTGAATTCATATGGAGTGTCTACATATATTTTGCACTATATGCCAGCAAAATATACAAAATTTTAGTAAAACTACTGACTCCAGAATATTGCATTATTTTAGAAGGCTACTTAAAGTCAAGATTTAATGTATTCTTTACAATCCTTACACATGCAATAATGGGACAAAATGTGTATAATTATCTGCATGGATTACAAAAAACTGCCCATCCCAGTTTGTACTTGAAAGAACAAAAATATCAAGAGTACAACAAATGAAATCTAACCACAATATTATGTTTTAACATACTCTTGTAATGGTAATCTGTTTTAATTCAGTCTCAACATTAACTTTGACTCATATAACACACTGATGGGTGTTTTCTCACCAATCCAGCCAATGAAATCAGGTGTCTGTTAGCACATTTAACAGAAATTCCTTAGCATCTTTGGAGAAATGTCTATATAACATCATATCTCACTCACCTGTCATCTCAGAGCAGCTTGAGACCACTTCGGTCATCGCAATGGTCGTCGAATATTTTCACGGGACACACCTGACAGGAGCCAGAGACCGTTAAAAACACCGACCGGAGACCGTCCGGTGCCGCACAGTGACTCAGGGAAAGACGAAGGAAAATATGATGCTAGGAGTGTGGAGCCTTTGGAGGAGAGAGGGGGAGGAGGGGGGATCATATGCCTCACAGATGGAACAAATATATACATCTATATGTTCGTTTTGGACGCTTAAAGCAGACGAATATCGATATTCACGCCATGTAAGAGAATTAACGTTCGGAACTACTTTCTCTTACCTGAACAAGTGCTGTTACAAAGTAATTTCGGTAAAAAAATAAATAAAAAAAAAACAATAAAAAAACAATGATAATACCCCCCCCCCCCCCTTCTTAGTTTGTTCTGTCTATGGCTGTAAATATAATTTCCTAAAAATGTGACTCATCAGTTATTTCACTTTCGAAAATAAAATTCAGTCGCTCCTGTGACCGTATCACAGTTGGCTAATTTACATATTAATGCGCCAAAATTCGCCACTCCCATCGTCATACGTCGCCTAGCAACTAAATTGGCCGTTTGTCGAACGAGCCCCGTACACTAGCGGAAGAATAAACCAAACTATCGAGTGTAAACGCAAGAAAAACGCCTTTTAAACGAATTTACTGTTTTATTTGCGATTTTAAAAAGTGTTGAGGACGTTTCAACCGTTATGAATGCCTTGTCCAAACCAAACCCTCACGTGCCTTTTTTTTTTTTTAGGGAGGGGTGGGCTGCTTGGCTCGTGCCAGAGTGATGGCGCACGTGCCAGGCACAATCCGAGCCCCAGCGGCGTGTTACGTCATCAATTCAACAAACAATATGGGTCACCACACACACACACACACACACACACACACACACACACACACACACACACACACACACACACACACACACACACACACACACAGGAGGCAGTCTACTGAGTCACGTCAGATGGCAGCTCTAAAAATAGCTGCAGTGTTTTATTCTGGAAATAAACCAGAATGAAAACAATGATGAACACATGATTGTTGACTGTGTCTATAGCAGAAATACACACAATCAAATACTGAGCGTAGGCATAAATCTGAAATCCTCTTGCTATACTCCATGCATGTTTCCAACTCCATCTACCTCTAAATCCTAACACACTACATAAGTATATTAAACTTATCATGCCACTACATTTACACCAACACTTCAGTTAACTACTACATAATTGTACTGATGAAGGGGTATCACATCAGGCTTCAGTATGTAAAAAAAAAGGGTTATTTTTACATATTTTATAATTTTATAAAAGAAAGAGAAATGTGCTTAATCTCATGGTGGTTGAACAAGGTCTGAACAAAGTTTTCATGTAGCAAAATCTGCGCCTGTCTGTTGTTTAGTATTGTTCTACTAGCACCTGACCGAGGCAAAGTTAAAAAGATGTTTGTTGGCTAGTACTATGGCTGGGACCCTATATGTACTGTTGATGAAGTTAGGTGCTGTTCTGAGCATTATTTGTGTCTAGAAAGTGGCGTTTTGGTTGAAGTTTGTTTATTGCTCCTCAGACCGCTGTGTATTGCTATGGTGCGGTTGTTACTAAAGTTGGTACAACTAGAGAAGCAAGCGGTCGGCAACATTCATCTCCCGAGGGGGTGTCTAACTCGGTGTTGTGGTTTGTTTCACCCTATATTAATTTTACGCCAGAATATCCCTTTAAGGACAAAGAATTTGGTCATATCTACTCTGCTCTGGCACGGAGCAGGGATATGGACTCACGATGAGGGCTGACTCCTGCTAATAATATGTCTCCTATCAGCACATACATATTGTTCCCTGTCATCACTTAACAGTCATAGTTGCCCTTGGGCTCTGAGAACAGAGTACCATGAAGCTTTTACTTAGTTAGCTCAACCTCGCCACCTTCAGACTGACATAAGAAGTGCATCCAGAGTCCCAAAAACCACCAACAGAAGTCAGTGGAGTTAAGATCTTTATTGGAAACCCAGCCTTCAAACATCATAGTACATTTTTTATTTATCAGTTACAGCAACAGCAGCAACAGGGCCCCATGTGGTCTGGAGCTGCGGTTCCCAAACTGAGGTGCTAGGCCCCACTCAGGAAACATGGGGGAGTTTCCAGAGAGGAGGGGGGAGAAAGGGGAGGAAAATAAACTTCTGTATTTGGCTGTTGAGAGATTTTCTAAAGGTCCAGAGACCAGGTGAGCTCTAGTCTGAGGTTTTACTGGTGTGCAGGTCTGTGAAAGAGAAGGTTTGGGAACCGCGGCTCCAGCACGAGGCAAGAGTGGCGGACCTGGCCGAGCGTCACGCTGTGTTGAAGCCACAGAGCGAGCAGCCGAAACAACATGGAAACAAAACAAGACAAAAACACAAAAAAGGGAAACAATAGAAAAATACATTTTGATTCTTCTTTGAGTTGAAGGAGCGGGATCGCCTTCATATTCGGCCATGGCTGAATCTAAAACAAGCAGATAGTTCATTGAAAACAATGCCAGTGGAGCAAAAGGTCATAGTGAAACTCCTACAGAGACACAGAGCCGTACTCAGTGATATTATTTTATCTTCTGTCATTGATAAACAGCTTTCAAACTGTCTTACAGGCTACAATGATACAGACTGCCAAAGGAAACAAAACAAAACCAAATGTTCAATCTTTTTATTTGCGAATCCAGAGATTCTGTTTTTGTTACTAAATTCCACATAGAGTGAAATCAATATAAATACATTTTAAAAAGATGACGCACTTGCTGTGAGATATTTTGCAGTCATTTTATCGGCATGAGCCTCTAAGATTAAACGAGTGTTTCTTGAATACAGAGAGAAAAAATAAAGATGTTGTGTCGATGTTATGAAAGCAAAATAAAAAGGGATCATCTAGCACTGCTGCGGATATTCATCTCTAATACGGTGCTGGTGATCAGCCTACTCTGATTCTCCAATCCTACTGCACACCAGAGGAGAAACTTACTGTCAGTGTCGACCTCCAGCTGCTACAACTGATAAGTGAGACAGTCTCTCTAAAGCAGCATCTCATGTTCATTCATGTTACAATATAAACTCAAAGTACTGATGTTACTTATTCTACTTCGGTATAAAATGCACTTTAAGCTCTCCAAAACAACAAAGACGCCTACGGATGTAAAACAAACTGGAATCAAATGAAACTTTTTGTATTGTAATTAACTGTATTGGATTGGCAAAGGCTGATCTGAATAAAAATAATCATAACTGGTGCGGTGTGTCGGCTCAAAATATCCCAATCGAAGCATCTTTTGTAAAATCCCACCTTCCCCCTCCAGTGGCAGGTCTTTAGATCTGGAAAAGAAAGAAAACACAAATTATTTCCACCTCTGTTCTTTCATTATCAATTTCAATCATTGAAATTTCTGCTCATTTCCCACACTTGTGATGTATTTTCACAAAATCTGTCATTTTACAGGGTTACAACGAAAGATTTCTTGAAATCGTGTAAAAAAACAAAAAAATTATCTTAACATAAATATTCAGTTTACTTCTCAATAATGGTGCATCATGACACAAATTTAACTTTAAATACAAGATTTAGCAACAGTGCTAGATAACACTCCAAGCAAGGTCTCTCATAAAACAAAAACAGGTACCAAAATAAACTGATCAAAAGACCAACCAGACAAAATTAGGAATAAAAAAGGAGACACTGGATATAAAATATCAGGATCTTACATCATCAATGTCCTCATCATCATCACCAATGTCATCGAACTGGATCTCATCATCGTCTCCGGGCCCGAAGGTGTCTGTCTCGTTGATTTTGGCTGCAGGATACAAAAAAGTGTGTTACAAGGAAATATTGATCTATTGTTCTTAAAATGGAGACAATATGTATGTTTCTACATCCCCTGGACCATCTATCAATGAAGAGGGAGCAGAAACGAAAGTTCAAACGGTGAGTCTGTCCAGTATGTCTCCACTCAATCACCGTCATATTCCACACAGAGTACTGCTGATAAATTAATTCTGGACTTATTTCACACTCTTGTCCAGTTTTTGATCCACTACTTGAAGAATAAGCATGTGGAGTGCACTTGAACTCACCGTGCTCTGGCAGCTCTCCGTAGGCTTTCAAACTGCGAGCCTCATCTGCGTTATACTTGAGGATGACATCAGCTTTGTTATCCTGGAACACAAGTTAAGATCGGTTAAACAGGTACCAGCTCAGATCCTTCAAAGTTTGTATATCAGAGATTTGGTGCTAAGACAGCAAACAAACAGTCCTCTTCGTCAGCAAAACTCATCTTAACAGCTTAGTCAAAGACTTAAAGCATGAACCCTTGTGCACATGAGCTTAGCAGGTCATAAATCAAACTGCTCCTGTCATGTGTGGGCTGCAAACTCACCTGGTAATCTCTCAGTCCGACCAGGATGATGTCTGACGTGTTGATCCAGACCTAAAAGAAAACATAAAGACATTGTCTCATCATACACAGAAAACTCTCATTTCCTTTTTGACACATGCACTCTTTAGAGTTCAGGACAACCTGCCCCTGAAATTTTCCAGTGGGGCTGCTGATGAGTAATGTGCAGCTGAAACTAAATGAACGTGAATTCAATGATTTTTTTTAGACTGTGAACTTAATACATGATTAAAAAAAAAAAAGAACTGTAAATGTGATCTCTTTCATTTTCAACTGCGTGAACTCAACTTTGAAATAGCTCACTTTCAGTGTATACTTGTACTACACTGATACCTGAGCAGCTGAGAATATACTTGACCGGCTTGCCCAGGTATCGTCTATGTGTGGGAAACACTGTGAATCTTAGACTTAAGTAGATAAAACCACAGTATCGGCAAATAAGAGCAAAAAAACTAACTGGAGAGAAAAAGTAGTCCCAAAACTTGTCATGTATTAAGAGTAATAATCACCCTGCCCAGTCACTTGCTGTGAAATTTCCTGAAAAATTATTCACTGCATTCAAACATCGGCTCACTCTGACTTCATGTGGTAGATTTATTCAGGAAACCAGCAGAAAAAATCCAACTGTTGAGGAGGTTTTTAGGGGAAATTTCAAGGACTTCAGTACATGTGTGAATGCAGCATTTCTAACCCTCACAATTACACTCAATTGAGTCCATTCTGCCACATGAACAGTGGTTGACTGACCACAGAGAACATGCTGATGCAGCACTACATCAGGAGAGAGAGAGGGTCTCTGTGCGCTGGAGAGAGCAAAGGTGTGAGAGGATGGTCGGGACATTCCTACCTTTTTCCGGAGCTTTCCTCTGATGTGGCAGAGCCGCTTGGTTCCATCGAAGCACATGGCCTCCAGACGTCCGTTACCCAGCATTTTAATCACCTGAGCATACTCTGAGGGGTACGAGAAAGCAGAGGATGGGTTATTTTAGGGTCTAAATGAGGCAAAACAGATTTAAGTGGTGTTCCTGCTCCTAAAACCTGTAAAGCTATAATACAGTTACAGAGGCATTTTGAGTAAATAAAGAACTTAAAGGTAAACAGGAAAACAAATGCATATAATGTAATATAAAATGTGATTGAATAGTTATGAATAAAGGCAAAAAAAAGTCTTGGATACAGAAACATTTGAGGCTTCAGCATTTACATAAAGAAGGTTCTGCTTTCAGTTTCATGAAGTGAAGACAGAAAAGGGGAGCTTATAAATAAAACAAGTAGAAACTGTGTTCATATATTCTTAAATTTCCATTCACATGACTTCAGTGAGAAGCTTTATTCTATGAACTAAATATACTAGAGCAACTTTGGCTACTGTTAGCCTGTGACTGTGAGGACTAAAAACAGAAGTTAAAAGACCTCACTGTGTCCCTGAAGCTCACTCTGCCATCACCACCTGAAGGTGCTCCTGAAAGCATCAAAGCCTCCTCCACACATCAGGCTCAGTTTATAGCCAACAGGGATTCTGGCAGCACTGAGTCCTGCAACTCAAACTGTGAACACTGCCCACTGTAGGATGATACCACCGACCCAGTAAGGCACTCAGAACCAACCTGCTCATGCTGCATTCCTTCAGAGGGGATATTTATTTCACTGACTATCTCTTTACACAGTTTATGTAATCACATTTTGACTTACAGTTCATTTTCTTTGAGTTTTTGTTCTTGGCAAAACATAGAAACTTTGAGTACAGAAACAGAGTGGAGGTCTTTGGTTGGCTGTGTGTTCCCAGCTGACCCCTCTGACCCCAGAGAACTGCACCAGATCATGTACTCACCCTGTCCGTCCTCTTTGAACACCAGTTCTCTCTTCTCAGACTCATTCTCGTTCTTACCACGTCGCCGATTCTTTCCTCCCTTACCTGTACAGAGAGAGGATATTAGGTAATGCTTCTCGTTCTCGTTCTACCTCTTATCAAGTCAGTTTTGGCACTGGGATACACCAGCCACACGCCAGATCAAACACAGACTAGTTGTGAGCTCATTTCTGATACAGGACAGAGTTTATAATCGCCTAACTATTTAAGGTTTCAGTCGTTGAGACGGTTTCAGGGTAAGGTGTACTAACACTGAGATCACTGCACCTGCACAATTAATGAGTAATGCTTCATCAATGTAGGAAGTAGCTGTTGATTTCATGACTCAGTGTCATATTTTATAAGCTCTAATATCACTAGTTGTGAGTTAAAGGAAGTTGTTTACAGCCATTAATCAGCCTGTTTTGAGGTAATAAGATGTAGGAGTCTTAAACTCTTGTAGGGCTGCAGCTATCGATTATTTTAGTAATCGAGTACTCTATCGATTAATCTGTCGATTAATCGAGTAATCGGATAAGAAATGTTTTGCTCTCACTGTAATACTTTGCATTGAATCACGTTTGCCTCAGAGCGGACTTAATGCATGGACCGGGTGTTTTCTTTTAAGGTGCTGCAGCATTGACGACGTGCTGTTGTGAAACGCCAACTCCGCCTTACAGTGAACGCACTGCACGGCGTTTTCTTTCCTTTTCAGTGTGTAATGGTCCCACACTTTAGACACTTTCTGCCGTTTCCTCTGCGTGTCATCTCTTTCTTCCTCTCTCTGTCTGTCCTCGTTTCCCTCCATGATTGAACCAAACGCGCCATAGACATAATAAAAGATAGACCCCGCATCGGCCGCTACCACGAATGGGCGCTGTCGAGAAATGCGGCCGCCATCTTGGTCCGGTCATCCGCCTCACTCTGCACCGCTGTTTAACCGGCGGAATGACGTCTGAGCGCATTAATGAATCATAGTTCCCTCAATACTACGTAATTTTCTTCTCTGCAAACGCCATTCAAAGAGGCATGATAGAGGCCATATTTTTTTTTGGCGTTTTCAAATACTCAGAATGAATAAAATGATATTTTAGAACATGGCAGCAGTGGCTGTATTATAGTATAACAATTAATCAAGGATATATTTAGGTTTAGAGCTAGGTTCCTGCTATGTCTCAATAATTATTAATAACTGGCGGTATTAATAGGCCAATTCAATATATATTGATTTGATTATAATTTTTTATATAGTTTAATTTTATTTATCCATTTGTAGACACACACAAATAATGTCATATAGAAGCACTATTTTAATAACTGGAAAATACACACAAATATATAGCCTACATATCAAAAAGATTTAAACACAAGAACAGCATGACAGGACAGCATCTAAACTACATATCAATTTGCTTGTTGGCTACACAGCACAGAGGAATCACTTGCTGCGAATTTCTCCCTCTAACAGCAATCTCCCACTTCTTCCTCAAGTTTTTGTCCTTAGGAAATCTTCAAAATGAAACAGGAGATCACCACAAAGAAATCTTTAATAAAACAGATAATAAAACAGAGCTCACTTTCTTCCTTTTTCTTTCTATTTTATTTCTTAACGTTTCTTAGAACCTCTCTCAAACAAAAGTTTTTCAATCTAATGCAAATCTGTTGATAATCGACCAAAGTTGCTATTATTGTGAATAAGCTAGCTGTTCGCAAATGCTGTTTCCTTTTTGGAGTTGACCGATAGTCTTCCTCTTTGGCCTACAAATGACTCTACAGTCAAGTGTAATGTTTAAAAAACGTTTAATCATAACTGTGAAAAGTTATTTCTTGAGCCCTGTTCTCTGCTGTCCGCCTGTTGGCACAGGAATACGCCGCACAGTGCTCCGGCATCGCTGAATGAATGAATATGATTGACCGGAGCGTATGGGAAGCTTGACCTGACCAAGATGGCGACCGCATTTCTCGCTGCGCAGCACCCCCAGCGGGGTCTACCCTTTTATTATGTCTATGAAACGCGCAGCAGCAGAAGGAGCGGAAAGAGCACGCTGCTGCGCAACAGAAATAACCGTCCGTGTCAAACACATGCGCTGCACATGGTTCCGGATTTAAACGATTCCTCGAGGCATATAATTTGCCTCGAGGAATTTTATTAATCGAGTTACTCGAGTTACTCGAGTAATCGTTTCAGCCCTAAACTCTTGAGCACTTTAACACCTCATTAAAAAGAGATTTTACTCAGGAAAAACTTTTTTTTTGTGACAATATTTTGGTAGGTTTGGACTTTGAGATCCACTAGTTCAACTAAAGTCCACAATATGCGACCAAAAACTCGAGTTATAAGGATCCCACGGTTTCATGGGGATTTAACACTTGCAGGATACAGGTATATGAAAGGATGTGAGCGCTGAAAGCAAATAAATCCCTCTCAAACATTTTCATGGTGTTACTTTATCAAAGATGACATACATCTCTTTGACATGCTGCATCAGATGTCCACAAAGCAGATGACAAATAACCTACAAAATCTCTTCAAACTAAGACGATATATAATAACGATAATATATTATATCTATATAAAATAACTATATTGAATTTCCCTTTGGGGATTCATAAAGTTTTTCTCATTCTTATGTTTTTACCAGAAAAATAAACATGAGTGGGCTGATGGGTTTTGCAATGTCAGGCTGATATTAATTATCAATGATAGAGAAATGTTTAAATTATGAGAATATACAATTTGAGGTGACTTGTACAATAGTACAGAAGGTTGACCCTCAAAAACAGACTTTATAGGCAGTGTAATATTGTTGACTTCAGGAGAGAAAAAGCCCTTAGCACCAACCTTATGATAACCATTCATCTTGTTGTGGTTGTTTCACCTCATTACGCTTATTTCTGACTATTTCATTAAATTAAAGTGCTTATTTGTGGGTAAATACGGAAAATACGTTGTACATTTAAGAAACAGCTGTCTGAAATTAGAAGATATCAATCACAGATACAAAGCATTTCATAGTTATTTAATTTCAAGCTGTTGTAAATATGCAAAAACAAACTGTGAACTGTTTTAATCTAATATTTAATGTCAGCCTCATCAGAGATAAGGAAAAGTCACAGCTGTAACGTTAGCTTCCAGACAGGATGGCGTTACTTTGAAAGTTCACCAAGTCTAAAGGCACCGGGGAGACTGTACACTCAAGATAAACTCAGATGCGATTTTCACATCGCTTTAATAAGCTGTTAGAAATTCCTGCGGTAATATATTCACTAAAATAAAGTCCCAGGTGTCACGGGCCAGACCGGGGTGGGGTTTAACTAGCAGCTAGCTTTGTAGCTGCGCCGGTGTTCCGACGAAGAGTGCTCCCTTTCTAGATAGCAGCTTCGCGCATGCGCGTAGTAACATTTGAAGCGCTTGTCACCACAGGGGCCCTGCGAGAGAACAGTACCCTTAAAAATACACCTTTCATGGCACTTTATAAACACGATTCCGAAATAGGAAATAAACACATACTCCTACAACTCTTCTTATACAGAAAGGGTGATAATTGGTGTAATTTAAAGCGATTCTGAACTGCGAGCTTTACTCGGAAAAGACTCATGGTTCATTATGGGGCCCTTCCCCCGACTTCGACAATTAAAGTTAACTTGGAGTACCAATACATACTCGAATTACTCCTTAAGTCCAGTTTCGCTTGTTTTCAATTTAAAAGAAAGACAAATATGAAGAACTGAGAGCCTGATATCGATTCGCGCTAACATTGTATTTTTCGACAAAGAAACAAAACTTGCCATAACACCTACAGTAGTCACGGAATTACACTAAGTACGCCAGCTGGCCGGTTAGCATTTACAAGCTGTTGAGCAACTTTCTCCGGCCTTTTCGCTGTTGATAATTCACTCCGTTACATCCATGTCAAGCCCTGTACATGATCACAAACACAACAGACGGCTCTTTAATGACGGATTCATGCGGCTAACTAGCCTACTAGCTTTAGCTGGCCGGTGTCACGTTTTCACGGCGGGCTCGACATCAATGAGACATCTGTGAACGTCTTCTTCCGCGTCTTACCTTTATTTTTGGGCATATTCTTTTACACCTCGGTCACTTAGATTCCCCTCTATGGAAACGACTCACGGTTAAAATGTTAGTGTTTACAACAGACTGCTAAAGCACAGATCTAAACTGACTAAACCGTACGAGAAGCTAGCTGGTCGCCGTTGAGTCTCCCAGACAGTTTGCGCATGCGCGAGCTACGACATTCAAAACCTCGTTGCTTTATTGTTCAAGTTGTTTGCTGCATGAACAATAGCCTGTTAACGGACAAACGGCATGTGGACAGTGAAGATTGTAAATGTGATGAGTAAAGGAGAGTAAGTAAGGAGGAGTAAAAATAATTTACTTAAGATATATACATCAGGCCAAAAGTTTGGAAGCTAGATCATATTTGTACAAAAAAAGATCATAGTTTCATTAATATAATTTGCAACACAATAAACATGATTATCGTGTAAAGAGTAACTTATCAGAAGACATTTTGACTATAATTATTAGGTATTTGAGTTATTGTTGCATAGACCTTGCTTTCTTCAAAGTAACATCCTCCAGCTTTGACAACAGCATTCCAAGCTTTTTTAAGTTCATTAAAAAGAGACTGTTGATTTGTGGGACGCACTTTTCATACTGATCGATCCAATTCATTCAACATAAGCTCTATTGGAGAAAGGACTAGAGACTGAAGGGGCCAAACTATCTTTTTAAAGAAAACACCTTCCTCCTCTTCTTTGTCTCGGTAACCCTGACAGATCTGTTCCTTCTTCATGATACCCTTTACTTCAAGCAAATCTCCTACTCTATCACCTGCAAAATATCCCCATACCATGGAAACAACCACCCCCTTGCTTAATTGTGGGTGTAGTTTTTCTGCGGACACAGACTCTACATTTTGAATCATAGATCATCATAGATCCAATTTTTGTGAGCCTTTGCCCATTCATATCTCTTTTTCTTGTTCTGTGGATGAAATACTGACAGACCAGCCTTTCTCAAACGTCTTTTCACAGTTGTCAGCAATATGGGTTTTGACCTTGTCATGCTGATTTCCCCCCTTAATATCAATCACTCTTTATTTATATTGCACTTTTAATACACGACCATCTAGCACAAAGTGCTTTACACAGAAAAAAGAACAAAAGAAATAAAGAATACCTAGATCTACCCCAAACCAGGAATAAAAGAAACTAGGGCCCCGTTGGGGCACTGGCGGGCCCGAGCCGTGTCGCGCCCCCCCCCCCCCCCCCCCAAAAGCGCTGCCTCCCCGTCCCATTCGCGTCCTCTGGCCATCGCCCTCTCTGGTAACGCCCATCACTGCAAAGACCCTTTTCCTTCATCGGCGTTTGCTGTTCTTCCTGCCAGTGCGTGTTGCTTTCACTTACACTTGCCACAGCCAACCTCGTGAGTGCCTAGCCTATTGGATGTCACTGTCACCTACACAGGACAGTCATTACCTTTCTATTAATACTTTGTTTTTTAATTTCACATTAATTTCCATATTGTATAAACGACTGGAAAAAACTTGAGCCCCTGCCCCTGTATAATCATGTGCACGTCTCTGTTCTAGCTCCAAGGTGAATCTTCACTGCTCATGTTCTCCTCAGAAGCACTCACCTCACTCCCCTCAGGTTACTGTACACATGCACCAACTGCCTGCTTCAGGTTTGGATGGAGCTTCATGGTTGTCTTTTGGAGAAATGAGCAGTCAAGTTGTGTTTGAAATTTGATTTTTTTCAGGGGCAAAAGGAGCCTCTGCATTCTTGTCAAATATGTAAATAGCATGTTTTTGCAGGTGCTAAAAACCAGACTCTGAGTGTGTGTGTGTGTGTGTGTGCGTGTGTCTGTGTGTGTGTGTGTGTGTGTGTGTGTGTGTGCGTTCAAGTCACATGACATATTTAACCGAATGTAGCTGCAAGACGGAGCCTCGTTGACTCTCCGTTTCAACTTATCTCAAAAGTGAGGACCTCAACCTATATACCAGTTTTTAAATTGTGTTGATAGGCCAAATAAAACCAGAGTTATGATAAATTATGTCCGCGATACTTTTTTTCTGCTTATTTTGATCACGTTCGGCGCTCGATCGCGCTGTATGAGACAGGAAAACATAGGCTGTGTCTCATTTCAGAGACCGCATCGACCTAAGTGCCCTTCTGCACCGTCGAACGGTGCATTTGAAGTGTGCATGACGTCACGACGGTGCGAACGGTGTCCCGTTTGGCACGAGATGCTAAAAAATGCTAAGCGCGCTTAGCATGTTTTCAAGCGTGCATTTATCCACGCTTTCGTGCCGTCGGTATCCCAGAATCCTTTGCGTGCCGCTGCACAGCTGCGCATTTCAGGTGAGAGGCTGGACTCGCTTCAAAGAAATTACAAGCAATCCAAAAACAGCAGACAGTCAGCTCAGGCTGTATGAGAGCATGATCTCTGAACTCACTAAAATCTGTTAACCAAACATTATAGATTTAGAGACGAACTGATCCGCTCTGCTTCAACAATCAAAAACATTAGAAATAAGAAAGCTGACAAAACTACAGCAGAGTATCAGGACAACATTGAGGTTTTTTTCTTTTAAGATTTAGAGATTAAAGTTGTAAATTTAGGAGAATAAAGTCATAAAGTAAATAAAGTCATAAAGCTGCTTTTGTGGAGGGGGAAATGACTGAAGCTGGTCATCTGCAGGGTTATCTGTGGATGTATCAGCGGGTCATTCAGAGAGATTTTGTGGTTTCTGAAGAAACAATCAAACTGATGATGATCAACATTTGTGATCCAGAGGGAGTCGAGCTCCGACGAGCACCACGTCTCTGACACCGGCCGTAGCCTACACCTGCAGAGACACCAACACCTTATTATGGCATATGGATTCATATCATAAATTAAAGCTCAATGTCATTCACAGATATTTACGGCTGCATTGACAGATATATCCTCAGCATATTCATTTCTGCCTCCACAAAAGCAGCGATTTCCTTCAAGTACACCAGTTTTTTTCCCCGTGGAAAAGACGTATTTCTCATATATTCTTTTTTAAAGTCTTTATACGTATGACAATGTGATGCTGATGTGCCAGAGGATGAAGTATCTCCTATCCTCCTTCTCAATAGGGCCCTCATACTCCTTCATACAAAACAATCATTGGATTAATTTTGTGGGAATGATCTGGGCTTGTATGTATCTACTATTTTGTGTCTGTGCAAGGTCGCACAATTAAAACAATACATGCTGCGCTCCGCAGCTTTTTTTCTAATCAGTCGTGACGTAAGCCTGAGGGCGGGGACATTTGGAGAGCTTCGGAGGACTTCCTGGTGGAGTTGCCAAATGTCCCCGCCCTCAGGCTCGCGTCACGACTGACTTAAAGGAAACCCGCGGAGCGCAGCATTTATTGTTTTAATTGTGCGACCTTGCACAGACACAAAATAGTAGATACATACAAGCACAATTCATCCAATGATTGTTTTGTAAGAAGGAGTATGAGGGCCATATTGAGATTTAAGACTTTAAGGACTTCGAGATTTAAGTCGTGAATTTACGAGAATAAAGTCATTAATTTATGAGAATGAAGTCATAACCTGTTATTTCAGAGAGACTTGTTAAAATTAGGGCCATGAAGCATTTGAAGGAACTGTGCTTCAGTATAGGTTTCACAAACAAGGAGATTCTTCATCCTCTGGCACATCAGCATCACATTGTCATAAGTATAAAGACTTTAAAAAGAATATATGAGAAATACGTCTTTTCCACTGGGGAAAAATATTGGTGTACTTGAAGGAAATCGCTGCTTTTGTGGAGGCAGAAATGAATATGCTGAGGATATATCTGTCAATGCAGCCGTTAATATCCGTGAATGACATTGAGCTTTAATTTATGATATGAATCCATATGCCGTAATAAGGTGTTGGTGTCTCTGCAGGTGTAGGCTACGGCCGGTGTCAGAGACGTGGTGCTCGTCGGAGCTCGACTCCCTCTGGATCACAAATGTTGATTATCATCAGTTTGATTGTTTCTTCAGAAACCACAAAATCTCTCTGAATGACCCGCTGATACATCCACAGATAACCCTGCAGATGACCAGCTTCAGTCATTTCCCCCTCCACAAAAGCAGCTCTATGACTTTATTTACTTTATGACTTTATTCTCCTAAATTTACAACTTTAATCTCTAAATCTTAAAAGAAAAAAAAAACCTCAATGTTGTCCTGATACTCTGCTGTAGTTTTGTCAGCTTTCTCATTTCTAATGTTTTTGATAGTTGTAACACAGCGGATCAGTTCGTCTCTAAATCTATAATGTTTGGTTTACAGATTTTAGTGAGTTCAGAGATCATGCTCTCATACAGCCTGAGCTGACTGTCTGATGGTTTTGGATTGCTTGTATTTTCTTCGAAGACGCGCTGTGTCTCCAAGCGAGTCCAGCCTCTCACCTGAAATGCACAGCTGTGCAGCGGCACGCAAAGAATTCTGGGATACCGACGGCACGAAAGCGTGCATACATGCACGCTTGAAAACGAGGCGGGGGTAGTGTGGTTTTGAGACCGAATTTGAAGCGCGCTTAGTATTTTGTGCCAAACGGGACACCGTTCGTGCCGCGTGGTGACCTCACGTACGCGTCAGATGCGCCGTTCGATGGCTGCTGTATCTGAAATGGGACACAGGAAGGGCACAGAACGGCGCAAAACGGCGTAAAACGGCTCAGAACGGCAGTGCACTCAGCTAAGCGCCGTTAAGCGCGCTTATCACGATGCGGTCTCTGAAATGAGACACAGCCATAGCATGCAGACATTAGCGACAGGTCTTACAGGCGGAAAAGGCTTGCCAAAGGAAAAAAAAAAACACACCACAACATCTCTCCTATTGGTGGAAAACTTCACCACAACAACCAATCCAAAATTATATGGTGACTGATTGACAAGGGGCGGGCGCTTACGTTCTTCCTGCAATATGAGAAGGGAGGGAGGGACTCTCAGCAGGGATGCAGTCTGGGACACGTAGTTGCAAACCTAGCGACTTTGTTGTTAGATTCAATGACTTTTCAGACCCCCTAACGACTTTTTTTTAGAAAGAAAGGGACTTTTATCGACTTCTTCTGGAGTTTAGAGACTCTGACATGAAGCAGGCTTTCCTTACTGAGGAGTTAGCAACGCTGCTAAGGGTGCAGAGCCACACATGCGCTCCGAGCTCTGCATGGGAGACTGAAGCTGACAGAGCTGCAGCAGTTAGCAGGTTTCACCCTCAGAGACCACCAGGGGTTCATGTTGAGGCATTTTCAGTTTTTTTTTTTTTTTTTTGCCATAGACACTGTCAGCACAATCTGCAGTTACACTAACAAAAATGCTGGATAAAACAAAGAATTATGGAAAAATTACACATGGACTAACATAGAGGAGGATCTACACAAGTTTTTTACATCATGTTTTACATCATGCATCATTTACATCATGTTTTTTTGTAGTGGCATAAATAAAAAGTGACATTTGTGAGACTATACAGTGTTTTGTAAATAATTTTACAAAGAACGCCTGGGCCATTGCCTGCATTTTGATGTAAATAGAGGTAAATTACTATGTTCTTTGTTAAAAATTTGCATATGTTTTGAAGTTTACAATTTTTATTTGAAGTTAAAGTTTTAAAAACAGTTCATCACACATATTTGTGGTTTTCACAGTAAAAATGTTACTTTTTTCCACTCGGATTTTATGTTTTGTGTGTGAATTTGGGTCCATTGTGTAAAAACAGTATGTCAAAATGATAAAATAACTGTAAATTCACACAGGTGAGGTTGTGCTGAAAAAAATGATACCAGGCAAGGCAAGGTAAAAAATTTTAAGAGGAAATATAAAGGTAAAATCTAAAGTAGTCAAAAACGGCCAATAGTGACTCCCAAACTTCATAGACAAGTCCCTTTGGCGCCACTCAGTGGGCAAAACTACTTTGTCTGCTGTAATGTATATTTGGGTCATCTTTGGCACCCCCTAGAACGTAAACCGTGGGGTGCAGCGTCATGATTTGAATAACTTTTAATGGCCATGGGGTGTAGATTGGCCTGAGCAAATGTGGTGTCAGTGGAACGAAAGCCTTAGGAGGAGTTAGCCACATTCCAATGTGTGCGAATCGGCAAAAAATGCAAAAAAGCCCTTTAACCGTACATTTGACAGATACGCGCTCTAGATCTTATTGAAATACACGTGATTGTCAAATTTTGTGTCAATATGACAAAGCGTACAGGCGTGACACTCAACATTGTGTATTTTCACCTTAGGGGACAAGAAAAAATGGACTTTTTTCTCCTGCCATGGGGGGGCGCTCTTTTGGGGAGTAAAAATTCCTTCACAAATGTGTTGATGGCTGGACATTGCATCATCCTAGAAAACTTGGAGGCCAGTGAGGACAAAAATAAAAAGTTATAAGACTTTTAAATATGTGGATTTTAGGGTTATTTTTGGCGCCCCCTAGAACGTAAACCGTGGGGTGCAGCGTCATGATTTGAATAACTTTTAATGGCCATGGGGTGTAGATTGGCCTGAGCAAATGTGGTGCCAGTGGAACGAAAGCCTTCGGAGGAGTTAGCGAAATTCCAATGTGTGCGGATCGGCAAAAAATGCGAAATAACCCTCTAACCGTACATTTGACAGATACGCCCGCACTGACTTTTTTGTAGATCTTATTGCGATACATGTGTGTGTCAATTTTTGTGTCATTTTGACAAAGCGTACAGGCGTGACAGTCAATAGTGTGAATTTTCACCTTAGGGGGCGCTATGGAGCCATTTTGCATTTTCTTGTTTGGGCGACTTCGGAATATCAAATTTTTCACCAGGCCCGGTCGTCCTGCCAAATTTCATGAGTTTTCGCCAGTGGGAAGTGGGCCATTTTCCAGTTCAAAGGGGAGGAAAAAGAAACTAGGGCCCCGTTGGGGCACTGGCGGGCCCGAGCCGTGTCGCGCCGCCCCCCCCAACGCGCTGCCTCCCCGTCCCATTCGCGTCCTCTGGCCATCGACCTCTCTGGTAACGCCCATCACTGCAAAGACCCTTTTCCTTCATCTGCGTTTGCTGTTCTTCCTGCCAGTGTGTGTTGCTTTCACTTACACTTGCCACAGCCAGCCTCGTGAGTGCCTAGCCTATTGGATATCACTGTCACCTACACAGGACAGTCATTACCTTTCTATTAATACTTTGTTTTTTAATTTCACATTAATTTCCATATTGTATAAACGACTGGAAAAAACTTGAGCCCCTGCCCCTGTATAATCATGTGCACGTCTCTGTTCTAGCTCCAAGGTGAATCTTCACTGCTCATGTTCTCCTCAGAAGCAGTCACCTCACTCCCCTCAGGGTACTGTACACATGCACCAACTGCCTGCTTCAGGTTTGGATGGAGCTTCATTGTTGTCCGTGGGGTGCAGCGTCATGATTTGTACAACTTTGAATGGCCATGGGGTGTAGATTGGCCTGAGCAAATTTGGTGTCAGTGGGACAAAAGGCCAGTCAGGACAAAAATAAAAAGTTATAAGACTTCAAAAAATGTGGATATTTGGGTCATCTTTGGCGCCCCCTAGAACGTAAACCGTGGGGTGCAGCGTCATGATTTGAATAACTTTTAATGGCCATGGGGTGTAGATTGGCCTGAGCAAATGTGGTGCCGGTGGAACGAAAGCCTTCGGAGGAGTTAGCGAAATTCCAATGTGTGCGGATCTGCAAAAAATGCGAAATAACCCTTTAACCGTACATTTTACAGATACGTGGCCATTGACTTTTTCGAAGATCTTATTGAAATACACGTGTATGTCAAATTTTGTGTCATTTTGACAAAGCGTACAGGCGTGACACTCTACAATGTGTATTTTCACCTTAGGGGACAAGAAAAAATGGACTTTTTTCTCCTGCCATGGGGGGGGGGCGCTCTTTTGGAGAGTAAAAATTCCTTCACAAATGTGTTGATGGCTGGACATTGCATCATCCTAGAAAACTTGGAGGCCAGTGAGGACAAAAATAAAAAGTTATAAGACTTTTAAATATGTGGATTTTAGGGTTATTTTTGGCGCCCCCTAGAACGTAAACCGTGGGGTGCAGCGTCATGATTTGAATAACTTTTAATGGCCATGGGGTGTAGATTGGCCTGAGCAAATGTGGTGCCGGTGGAATGAAAGCCTTAGGAGGAGTTAGCGAAATTCCAATGTGTGCAGATCGGCAAAAAATGCGAAATAACCCTTTAACCGTACATTTGACAAATACGCCCGCACTGACTTTTTTGTAGATCTTATTGAGATACATGTGTGTGTCAATTTTTCTGTCATTTTGACAAAGCGTACAGGCGTCAGGTGAATTTTTCACCTTAGGGGGCGCTATGGAGCCATTTTGCATTGTATTGTTTGGGCGACTTCAGAATATCAAATTTTTCACCAGGCCCGGTCGTCCTGCCAAATTTCATGAGTTTTCGCCAGTGGGAAGTGGGCCATTTTCCAGTTCAAAGGGGAGGAAAAAGAAACTAGGGCCCCGGTGGGGCACTGTTGGGCCCGAGCCGCGTCGCGCCGCCCCCAGTGCGACCGCCTCCCCGTCCCGATCGAGTCACACTCAAGAACCAAAGATGGTGTGCGCACTTGTCTGTGGTCATTTCCCATTATAATGAATGGGAGGCGCAGTTTCTACCAAAACACTCGCTGCAGACAAACTTCATGTCCTATTTGAAAAAAGTCTGGACCATGAGTGAGGGCACAAACACAGCTATGATATATCGAAATGCCAGGTTGCTCCTCCTTACGGTGTTGCCTGGAGAGCGATGCGATTGAGCCATTGAGCGATGGGCAGGAAAAACTTGACTTTTTCTCCTGCCATAGGGGGGGGGATGTGGATTCTTTTAAGAATGTGGATTTTTGGGTCATCTTTGGCGCCCCCTAGAACGTAAACCGTGGGGTGCAGCGTCATGATTTTTACAACTTTGAATGGCCATGGGGTGTAGATTGGCCTGAGCAAATTTGGTGTCAGTGGGACGAAAGCCTTAGGAGGAGTTAGCCACATTCCAATGTGTGCGAATCGGCAAAAAATGCAAAATAGCCCTTTAACCGTACATTTGACAGATACGCGCGAATTGACTTTTTTGTAGATCTTATTGAGATACATATGTGTGTCAATTTTTGTGTCAATATGATAAAGCGTACAGGCGTGACAGTCAATAGTGTGAATTTCCACCTTAGGGGACAAGAAAAAATTGACTTTTTTCTCCTGCCATGGGGGGGCGCTCTTTTGGGGAGTAAAAATTCCTTCACAAATGTGTTGATGGCTGGACATTGCATCATCCTAGAAAACTTGGAGGCCAGTGAGGACAAAAATAAAATGTTATAAGACTTTGAAATATGTGGATTTTAGGGTTATCTTTGGCGCCCCCTAGAACCTAAACCGTGGGATGCAGCGTCATGATTTGAATAACTTTTAATGGCCATGGGGTGTAGATTGGCCTGAGCAAATGTGGTGCCGGTGGAACGAAAGCCTTCGGAGGAGTTAGCGAAATTCCAATGTGTGCGGATCGGCAAAAAATGCGGAATAACCCTTTAACCGTACATTTGACAGATACGCGCGCATTGACTTTTTCGTAGATCTTATTGAGATACATGTGTGTGTCAATTTTTGTGTCATTTTGCCAAAGCGTACAGGTGTTACACTCAACAATGTGTATTTTCACCTTAGGGGACAAGAAAAAATGGACTTTTTTCTCCTGCCATGGGGGGGCGCTCTTTTGGGGAGTAAAAATTCCTTCACAAATGTGTTGATGGCTGGACATTGCATCATCCTAGAAAACTTGGAGGCCAGTGAGGGCAAAAATAAAAAGTTATAAGACTTTTAAATATGTGGATCTTAGGGTTATCTTTGGCGCCCCCTAGAACCTAAACCTTGGGGTGCAGCGTCATGATTTGAATAACTTTTAATGGCCATGGGGTGTAGATTGGCCTGAGCAAATGTGGTGCCGGTGGAACGAAAGCCTTCGGAGGAGTTAGCGAAATTCCAATGTGTGCGGATCGGCAAAAAATGCGGAATAACCCTTTAACCGTACATTTGACAGATACGCGCGCATTGACTTTTTCGTAGATCTTATTGAGATACATGTGTGTGTCAATTTTTGTGTCATTTTGCCAAAGCGTACAGGTGTTACACTCAACAATGTGTATTTTCACCTTAGGGGACAAGAAAAAATGGACTTTTTTCTCCTGCCATGGGGGGGCGCTCTTTTGGGGAGTAAAAATTCCTTCACAAATGTGTTGATGGCTGGACATTGCATCATCCTAGAAAACTTGGAGGCCAGTGAGGGCAAAAATAAAAAGTTATACGACTTTTAAATATGTGGATCTTAGGGTTATCTTTGGCGCCCCCTAGAACCTAAACCTTGGGGTGCAGCGTCATGATTTGAATAACTTTTAATGGCCATGGGGTGTAGATTGGCCTGAGCAAATGTGGTGCCGGTGGAACGAAAGCCTTCGGAGGAGTTAGCGAAATTCCAATGTGTGCGGATCGGCAAAAAATGCGGAATAACCCTTTAACCGTACATTTGACAGATACGCCCGCACTGACTTTTTCGTAGATCTTATTGAGATACATGTGTGTGTCAATTTTTGTGTCATTTTGCCAAAGCGTACAGGTGTGACAGTCAATAGTGTGAATTTTCACCTTAGGGGGCGCTATGGAGCCATTTTGCATTTTCTTGTTTGGGCGACTTCGGAATATCAAATTTTTCACCAGGCCCGGTCGTCCTGCCAATTTTCATGAGTTTTCGCGGGTGGGAAGTGGGCCATTTTCCAGTTCAAAGGGGAGGAAAAATAATAACTAGGGCCCCGGTGGGGCACTGGCGGGCCCGAGCCGTGTCGCGCCGCCCCCAGCGTGACCGCCTCCCCCTCCCGATTGCGTCACACTCAAGGTCCAAAGATGGTGTGCGCACTTGTCTGTGGTCATTTACCATTATAATGAATGGGAGGCGCAGTTTCTACCAAAACGCTCGCTGCAGACAAACTCCATGTCCTTTTTGAAAATAGTCTGGACCATGAGTGAGGGCACAAACACAGCTAGTATATATCCAAATGGCAAGTTGCTCCTCCTTTCGGTTTTGCCGGGAGAGCGATGCGTTTGAGCCATTGAGCGATGGGCAGGAAAAACTTGACTTTTTCTCCTGCCATGGGGGGGCGCTCTTTTGGGGAGAAAAAATTCCTTCACAAATGTGTTGATGGCTGGACATTGCATCATCCTAGAAAACTTGGAGGCCAGTGAGGACAAAAATAAAAGGTTATTAGACTTTTAAGAATGTGGATTTTTGGGTTATCTTTGGCGCCCCCTAGAACGTAGACCGTGGGGTGCAGCGTCATGATTTTTACAACTTTGAATGGCCATGGGGTGTAGATTTGCCTGAGCAAATTTGGTGCCAATGGGACGAAAGCCCTAGGAGGAGTTAGCCACATTCCAATGTGTGCGGATCGGCAAAAAATGCGGAATAGCCCTTTAACCGTACATTTTACAGATACGTGCCTATTGAGTTTTTCGTAGATCTGATTGAGATACACGTGATTGTCAAATTTTGTGTCAATATGACAAAGCGTATAGGTGTGACACTCAACAATGTGTATTTTCACCTTAGGGGACAAGAAAAAATTGCCTTTTTTCTCCTGCCATGGGGGCGCTCTTTTGGGGAGTAAAAATTCCTTCACAAATGTGTTGATGGCTGGACATTGCATCATCCTATAAAACTTGGAGGCCAGTGAGGACAAAATTAAAAAGTTATAAGACTTTTAAGAATGTGGATTTTTGGGTTTTCTTTGGCGCCCCCTAGAACCTAAACCGTGGGGTGCAGCGTCATGATTTGTACAACTTTTAATGGCCATGGGGTGTAGATTGGCCTGTGCAAATGTGGTGCCGGTGGAACGAAAGCCTTAGGAGGAGTTAGCAAAATTCCAATGTGTGCGAATCGGCAAAAAATGCAAAATAGCTCTTTAACAGTACATTTTACACTTACGTGCCCGTTGACTTTTTCATAGATCTTATTGAGATACACATGTGTGTCAAATTTTGTGTCATTTTGACAAAGCGTACAGGTGTCAGGTGAGTTTTCACCATAGGGGGCGCTATGGAGCCATTTTTCATTTTTTTGTTTGGGCGACTTCAGAATATCAAATTTTTCACCAGGCCCGGTCGTCCTGCCAAATTTCCTGAGTTTTCGTCAGTGGGAAGTGGGCCATTTTCCAGTTTAAAGCGGAGGAAAAATAACGAAAGAAGAATCCATCAGGAACAAGAGGGCTCTCGCAGCTGCTTAGCAGCTACGCTCGGGCCCTAACTAGGGCCCCGTTGGGGCACTGGCGGGCCCGAGCCGTGTCAAACCGCCCCCAGCGCGACCGCCTCCCCCACCCGATCGCGTCACACTCAAGGTCCAAAGATGGTGTGCGCACTTGTTTGTGGTCATTTACCATCATAATGAACGGGAGGCGCAGTTTCTACCAAAACGCTCGCTGCAGAAAAACTCCATGTCCTATTTGAAAAAAGTCTGGACCATGAGTGAGGGCACAAACACAGCTAAGATATATCCAAATGGCAAGTTGCTCCTCCTTTCGCTTTTGCCGAGAGAGCAGTGCGTTTGAGCCATTGAATGATGAACAGGAAAAACTTGACTTTATTCTCCTGCCATGGGGGGGCGCTCTTTTAACGAGAAAAAACTCCTTCACAAATGTGTTGATGGCTGAACATTGCATCATCCTAGAAAACATGGAGGCCAGTGAGGACAAAAATAAAAAGTTATAAGACTTTTAAATATGTGGATTTTAGGGTTATCTTTGGCGCCCCCTAGAACCTAAACCGTGGGGTGCAGCGTCATGATTTGAATAACTTTTAATGGCCATGGGGTGTAGATTGGCCTGAGCAAATGTGGTGCCGGTGGAACGAAAGCCTTCGGAGGAGTTAGCGAAATTCCAATGTGTGCGAATCTGCAAAAAATGCGAAATAACCCTTTAACCGTACATTTTACAGATACGTGGCCATTGACTTTTTCGAAGATCTTATTGAAAGACACGTGTATGTAAAATTTTGTGTCAATACGACAAAACATACAGGCGTAGCACTCAACAATGTGTATTTTCACCTTAGTGGACAAGAAAAAATGGACTTTTTTCTCCTGCCATGGGGGGGCGCTCTTTTGGCGAGTAAAAATTCCTTCACAAATGTGTTGATGGCTGGACATTGCATCATCCTAGAAAACTTGGAGGCCAGTGGGGACAAAAATAAAAAGTTATAAGACTTTTAAATATGTGGATTTTACGGTTATCTTTGGCGCCCCCTAGAACCTAAACCGTGGGGTGCAGCGTCATGATTTGAATAACTTTTAATGGCCATGGGGTGTAGATTGGCCTGAGAAAATGTGGTGCCGGTGGAACGAAAGCCTTCGGAGGAGTTAGCGAAATTCCAATGTGTGCGGATCGGCAAAAAATGCGGAATAACCCTTTAACCGTACATTTGACAGATACGCCCGCACTGACTTTTTTGTAGATCTTATTGAGATACATGTGTGTCTCAATTTTGGTGTCATTTTGCCAAAGCGTACAGGTGTTACACTCAACAATGTGTATTTTCACCTTAGGGGACAAGAAAAAATGGACTTTTTTCTCCTGCCATGGGGGGGCGCTCTTTTGGGGAGTAAAAATTCCTTCACAAATGTGTTGATGGCTGGACATTGCATCATCCTAGAAAACTTGGAGGCCAGTGAGGGCAAAAATAAAAAGTTATAAGACTTTTAAATATGTGGATCTTAGGGTTATCTTTGGCGCCCCCTAGAACCTAAACCGTGGGGTGCAGCGTCATGATTTGAATAACTTTTAATGGCCATGGGGTGTAGATTGGCCTGAGCAAATGTGGTGCCGGTGGAACGAAAGCCTTCGGAGGAGTTAGCGAAATTCCAATGTGTGCGGATCGGCAAAAAATGCGAAATAACCCTTTAACCGTACATTTGACAGATACGCCCGCACTGACTTTTTTGTAGATCTTATTGAGATACATGTGTGTGTCAATTTTTGTGTCATTTTGACAAAGCGTACAGGCGTGACAGTCAATAGTGTGAATCTTCACCTTAGGGGGCGCTATGGAGCCATTTTGCATTTTCTTGTTTGGGCGACTTCGGAATATCAAATTTTTCACCAGGCCCGGTCGTCCTGCCAAATTTCATGAGTTTTCGCCAGTGGGAAGTGGGCCATTTTCCAGTTCAAAGGGGAGGAAAAATAATAATAACTAGGACCCCGTTGGGGCACTGGCGGGCCCGAGCTGTGTCGCGTCCCCCCCCCAACGCGCTGCCTCCCCGTCCCATTTGTGTCCTCTGGCCATCGCCCTCTCTGGTAACGCCCATCACTGCAAAGACCCTTTTCCTTCATCGGCGTTTGCTGTTCTTCCTGCCAGTGCGTGTTGCTTTCACTTACACTTGCCACAGCCAGCCTCGTGAGTGCCTAGCCTATTGGATATCACTGTCACCTACACAGGACAGTCATTACCTTTCTATTAATACTTTGTTTTTTAATTTCACATTAATTTCCATATTGTATAAACAACTGGAAAAAACTTGAGCCCCTGCCCCTGTATAATCATGTGCACGTCTCTGTTCTAGCTCTAAGGTGAATCTTCACTGCTCATGTTCTCCTCAGAAGCAGTCACCTCACTCCCCTCAGGTTACTGTACACATGCACCAACTGCCTGCTTCAGGTTTGGATGGAGCTTCATGGTTGTCTTTTGGAGAAATGACCAGTCAAGTTGTGTTTGAAATTTGATTTTTTTCAGGGGCAAAAGGAGCCTCTGCATTCTTGTCAAATATGTAAATAGCATGTTTTTGCAGGTGCTAAAAACCAGACTCTGAGTGTGTGTGTGTGCGTGTGTGTGTGTGTGTGTGTGTGTGTGTGTGTGTGTGTGTGTGTGTGTGTGTGCGTTCAAGTCACATGACATATTTAACCGGATGTAGCTGCAAGACGGAGCCTCGTTGACTCTCCGTTTCAATTTATCTCAAAAGTGAGGACCTCAACCTATATACCAGTTTTTAAATTGTGTTGATAGGCCAAATAAAACCAGAGTTATGATAAATTATGTCCACAATACTTGTTTTCTGCTTATTTTGATCACGTTCGGCGCTCGATCGCGCTGTATGAGACAGGAAAACATAGCATGCAAACATTAGCGACAGGTCTTACAGGCGGAAAAGGCTTGCCAAAGAAAAAAAAAAACACACCACAACATCTCTCCTATTGGTGGAAAACTTCACCACAACAACCAATCCAAAATTATATGGTGACTGATTGACAAGGGGCGGGAACTTACGTTCTTCCTGCAATATGAGAAGGGAGGGAGGGACTCTCAGCAGGGATGCAGTCTGGGACACGTAGTTGCAAACCTAGCGACTTTGTTGTTAGATTCAATGACTTTTCAGACCCCCTAACGACTTTTTTTTAGAAAGAAAGGGACTTTTATCGACTTCTTCTGGAGTTTAGAGACTCTGACATGAAGCAGGCTTTCCTTACTGAGGAGTTAGCAACGCTGCTAAGGGTGCAGAGCCACACATGCGCTCCGAGCTCTGCATGGGAGACTGAAGCTGACAGAGCTGCAGCAGTTAGCAGGTTTCACCCTCAGAGACCACCAGGGGTTCATGTTGAGGCATTTTCAGTTTTTTTTTTTTTTTTGCCATAGACACTGTCAGCACAATCTGCAGTTACACTAACAAAAATGCTGCAAAAAACAAAGAATTATGGAAAAATTACACATGGACTAACATAGAGGAGGATCTACACAAGTTTTTTACATCATGTTTTACATCATGCATCATTTACATCATGTTTTTTTGTAGTGGCATAAATAAAAAGTGACATTTGTGAGACTTTACAGTGTTTTGTAAATAATTTTACAAAGAACACCTGGGCCATTGCCTGCATTTTGATGTAAATAGAGGTAAATTACTATGTTCTTTGTTAAAAATTTGCATATGTTTTGAAGTTTACAATTTTTATTTGAAGTTTAAGTTTTAAAAACAGTTCATCACACATATTTGTGGTTTTCACAGTAAAAACGTTACTTTTTTCCACTCGGATTTTATGTTTTGTGTGTGAATTTGGGTCCAATGTGTAAATATAGTATGTCAAAATGATAAAATAACTGTAAATTGACACAGGTGAGGTTGTGCTGAAAAAAATGATACCAGGCAAGGCAAGGTAAAAATTTTGTAAGAGGAAATATAAAGGTAAAATCTAAAGTAGTCAAAAACGGCCAATAGTGACTCACAGACTCCACAGACAAGTCCCTTTGGCGCCACTCAGTGGGCAAAACTACTTTGTCTACTGTAATGTATATTTGGGTCATCTTTGGCGCCCCCTAAAACGTAAACCGTGGGGTGCAGCGTCATGATTTTTACAACTTTGAATGGCCATGGAGTGTAGATTGGCCTGAGCAAATTTGGTGTCAGTGGGACGAAAGCCTTAGGAGGAGTTAGCGAAATTCCAATGTGTGCGAATCGGCAAAAAATGCAAAATAGCCCTTTTACCGTACATTATACAGATACGCGCTCTTTGACTTTTTCGTAGATCTAATTGAGATACACTTGATTGTCAATTTTTGTGTCATTTTGCCAAAGCGTACAGGCGTGACAGTCAACAATGTGTATTTTCAACTTAGGGGACAAGAAAAAATGGACTTTTTTCTCCTGCCATGGGGGGGCGCTCTTTTGGGGAGTAAAAATTCCTTCACAAATGTGTTGATGGCTGGACATTGCATCATCCTAGAAAACTTGGAGGCCAGTGAGGACAAAAATAAAAAGTTATAAGACTTTTAAAAATGTGGATTTTTGGGTTATCTTTGGCGCCCCCTAGAACGTAAACCGTGGGGTGCAGCGTCATGATTTGAATAACTTTTAATGGCCATGGGGTGTAGATTGGCCTGAGCAAATGTGGTGCCGGTGGAACGAAAGCCTTTGGAGGAGTTAGCGAAATTCCAATGTGTGCGAATCGGCAAAAAATACGGAATAACCCTTTAACCGTACATTTGACAGATACGTGCGCATGGACTTTTTTGTAGATCTTATTGAGATACATGTGTGTGTCAATTTTTGTGTCATTTTGACAAAGCGTACAGGCGTGACAGTCAACAATGTGTATTTTCAACTTAGGGGACAAGAAAAAAATGGACTTTTTTCTCCTGCCATGGGGGGGCGCTCTTTTGGGGAGTAAAAATTCCTTCACAAATGTGTTGATGGCTGGACATTGCATCATCCTAGAAAACTTGGAGGCCAGTGAGGACAAAAATAAAAAGTTATAAGACTTTTAAAAATGTGGATTTTTGGGTTATCTTTGGCGCCCCCTAGAACGTAAACCGTGGGGTGCAGCGTCATGATTTGAATAACTTTTAATGGCCATGGGGTGTAGATTGGCCTGAGCAAATGTGGTGCCGGTGGAACGAAAGCCTTTGGAGGAGTTAGCGAAATTCCAATGTGTGCGAATCGGCAAAAAATGCGGAATAACCCTTTAACCGTACATTTGACAGATACGCGCGCATGGACTTTTTTGTAGATCTTATTGAGATACATGTGTGTGTCAATTTTTGTGTCATTTTGACAAAGCGTACAGGCGTGACAGTCAACAATGTGTATTTTCAACTTAGGGGACAAGAAAAAAATGGACTTTTTTCTCCTGCCATGGGGGGGCGCTCTTTTGGGGAGTAAAAATTCCTTCACAAATGTGTTGATGGCTGGACATTGCATCATCCTAGAAAACTTGGAGGCCAGTGAGGGCAAAAATAAAAAGTTATAAGACTTTTAAAAATGTGGATTTTAGGGTTATCTTTGGCGCCCCCTAGAACATAAACCGTGGGGTGCAGCGTCATGATTTGAATAACTTTTAATGGCCATGGGGTGTAGATTGGCCTGAGCAAATGTGGTGCCGGTGGAACGAAAGCCTTCGGAGGAGTTAGCGAAATTCCAATGTGTGCAGATCTGCAAAAAATGCAAAATAACCCATTAACCGTACATTTGACAGATACGCCCGCACTGACTTTTTTGTAGATCTTATTGAGATACATGTGTGTGTCAATTTTTGTGTCATTTTGACAAAGCGTACAGGCGTGACAGTCAATAGTGTGAATTTTCACCTTAGGGGGCGCTATGGAGCCATTTTGCATTTTCTTGTTTGGGCGACTTCGGAATATCAAATTTTTCACCAGGCCCGGTCGTCCTGCCAAATTTCCTGAGTTTTCGCCAGTGGGAAGTGGGCCATTTTCCAGTTCAAAGGGGAGGAAAAAGAAGAAAGAAAGAAACAACTAGGACCCCGTTGGGGCACTGGCGGGCCCGAGCCGTGTGGCCCCCCCCCCAACGTGCTGCCTCCCCGTCCCGTTTGTGTCCTCTGGCCATCGCCCTCTCTTGTAACGCCCATCACTGCAAAGACCCTTTTCCTTCATCGGCGTTTGCTGTTCTTCCTGCCAGTGCGTGTTGCTTTCACTTACACTTGCCACAGCCAGCCTCGTGAGTGCCTAGCCTATTGGATATCACTGTCACCTACACAGGACAGTCATTACCTTTCTATTAATACTTTGTGTTTTAATTTCACATTAATTTCCATATTGTATAAACGACTGGAAAAAACTTGAGCCCCTGCCCCTGTATAATCATGTGCATGTCTCTGTTCTAGCTCCAAGGTGAATCTTCACTGCTCATGTTCTCCTCAGAAGCACTCACCTCACTCCCCTCAGGTTACTGTACACATGCACCAACTGCCTGCTTCAGGTTTGGATGGAGCTTCATGGTTGTCTTTTGGAGAAATGACCAGTCAAGTTGTGTTTGAAATTTGATTTTTTTCAGGGGCAAAAGGAGCCTCTGCATTCTTGTCAAATATGTAAATAGCATGTTTTTGCAGGTGCTAAAAACCAGACTCTGAGTGTGTGTGTGTGTGTGTGTGTGTGTGTGTGTGTGTGTGTGTGTGTGTGTCTGTGTGTGCGTTCAAGTCACATGACATATTTAACCGGATGTAGCTGCAAGACGGAGCCTCGTTGACTCTCCGTTTCAACTTATCTCAAAAGTGAGGACCTCAACCTATATACCAGTTTTTAAATTGTGTTGATAGGCCAAATAAAACCAGAGTTATGATAAATTATGTCCGCGATACTTTTTTTCTGCTTATTTTGATCACGTTCGGCGCTCAATCGCGCTGTATGAGACAGGAAAACATAGCATGCAGACATTAGCGACAGGTCTTACAGGCGGAAAAGGCTTGCCAAAAGAAAAAAAAAAACACACCACAACATCTCTCCTATTGGTGGAAAACTTCACCACAACAACCAATCCAAAATTATATGGTGACTGATTGACAAGGGGCGGGCGCTTACGTTCTTCCTGCAACATGAGAAGCGAGGGAGGGACTCTCAGCAGGGATGCAGTCTGGGACACGTAGTTGCAAACCTAGCGACTTTGTTGTTAGATTCAATGACTTTTCAGACCCCCTAACGACTTTTTTTTAGAAAGAAAGGGACTTTTATCGACTTCTTCTGGAGTTTAGAGACTCTGACATGAAGCAGGCTTTCCTTACTGAGGAGTTAGCAACGCTGCTAAGGGTGCAGAGCCACACATGCGCTCAGAGCTCTGCATGGGAGACTGAAGCTGACAGAGCTGCAGCAGTTAGCAGGTTTCACCCTCAGAGACCACCAGGGGTTCATGTTGAGGCATTTTAATTTTTTTTTTTTTTGTGCCATAGACACTGTCAGCACAATCTGCAGTTACACTAACAAAAATGCTGCAAAAAACAAAGAATTATGGAAAAATTACACATGGACTGACATAGAGGAGGATCTACACAAGTTTTTTACATCATGTTTTACATCATGCATCATTTACATCATGTTTTTTTGTAGTGGCATAAATAAAAAGTGACATTTGTGAGACTATACAGTGTTTTGTAAAAAATTTTACAAAGAACGCCTGGGCCATTGCCTGCATTTTGATGTAAATAGAGGTAAATTACTATGTTCTTTGTTAAAAATTTGCATATGTTTTGAAGTTTACAATTTTTATTTGAAGTTTAAGTTTTAAAAACAGTTCATCACACATATTTGTGGTTTAATTTCACATTAATTTCCATATTGTATAAATGACTGGAAAAAACTTGAGCCCCTGCCCCTGTATAATCATGTGCACGTCCCTGCTCTAGCTCCAAGGTGAATCTTCACTGCTCATGTTCTCCTCAGAAATAGTCACCTCACTCCCCTCAGGTTACTGTACACATGCACCAACTATCTGCTTCAGGTTTGGATGGAGCTTCATGGTTGTCTTTTGGAGAAATGAACAGTCAAGTTGTGTTTGAAATCTGATTTTTTTCAGGGGCAAAAGGAAGCCTCTGCATTCTTGTCAAATATGTAAACAGCATGTTTTTGCAGGTGCTAAAAAACAGACTCTGAGTGTGTGTGTGTGTGTGTGTGTGTGTGTGTGTGTGTGTGTGTGTGTGTGTGTGTGTGTGTATATGTGTGTGTATCCTGCAGTACTCTGTACTCCTGCAGTGGCCAAAAAGACTTTTAAGAATGTGGATTTTTGGGTCATCTTTGGCGCCCCCTAGAACTGCAGTACTCTGTACTCCTGCAGTGGCCAAAATGACTTTTAAGAATGTGGATTTTTGGGTCATCTTTGGCGTCCCCTAGAACGTAAACCGTGGGGTGCAGCGTCATGATTTTTACAACTTTGAATGGGCATGGGGTGTAGATTGCCCTGAGCAAATTTGGTATCGGTGGGACGAAAGCCTTAGGAGAAGATAGCCACATTCCAATGTGTGCGAATCGGCAAAAAATGCGAAATAGCCCTTTAACCGTACATTATACAGATACGCGCTCTTTGACTTTTTCGTAGATCTAATTGAGATACACATGATTGTCAATTTTTGTGTCATTTTGACAAAGCGTTCAGGCGTGACACTCAACAATGTGTATTTTTATGTAAGGGGACAAGAAAAAATTGACTTTTTTCTCCTACCATGGGGGGGCGCTCTTTTGGGGAGTAAAAATTCCTTCACAAATGTGTTGATGGCTGGACATTGCATCATCCTAGAAAACTTGGAGGCCAGTGAGGACAAAAATAAAAAGTTATAAAACATTTAAGAATGTGGATTTTTGGGTTATCTTTGGCGCCCCCTAGAACCTAAACCGTGGGGTGCAGCGTCATGATTTGAATAACTTTTAATGGCCATGGGGTGTAGATTGGCCTGAGTAAATGTGGTGCCGGTGGAACGAAAGCCTTCGGAGGAGTTAGCGAAATTCCAATGTGTGCGGATCGGCAAAAAATGCGAAATAACCCTTTAACCGTACATTTGACAGATACGTCCGCACTGACTTTTTTGTAGATCTTATTGAGATACATGTGTGTGTCAATTTTTGTGTCATTTTGACAAAGCGTACAGGCGTGACAGTGAATAGTGTGAATTTTCACCTTAGGGGGCGCTATGGAGCCATTTTGCATTTTCTTGTTTGGGCGACTTCGGAATATCAAATTTTTCACCAGGCCCGGTCGTCCTGCCAAATTTCATGAGTTTTCGCCAGTGGGAAGTGGGCCATTTTCCAGTTCAAAGGGGAGGAAAAATAATAATAACAAAAGAAGGAAACTACAGGAACAAGAGGGCTCTCGCAGCTGCTTAGCAGCTACGCTCGGGCCCTAAAAAACCACTTGGGGAATAATAGGGCCTACGCCCGGCTGCTCTGCAGCTGGCTCGGGCCCTAATAATAACTAGGACCCCGGTGGGGCACTGTCGGGCCCGAGCCGCGTCGCGCCGCCCCCAGCGCGACCGCCTCCCCCTCCCGATCGCGTCACACTCAAGGTCCAAAGATGGTGTGCGCACTTGTCATTGGTCATTTCCCATTATAATGAATGGGAGGCGCAGTTTCTACCAAAACACTCGCTGCAGACGAACTACATGTCCTATTTGAAAAAAGTCTGGACCATGAGTGAGGGCACAAACACAGCTAGGATATATCCAAACGGCAGGTTGCTCCTCGTTACGGTGTTGCCGGGAGAGTGATGCGATTGAGCCATTGAGTGATGGGCAGGAAAAACTTGACTGTTTCTCCTGCCATGGGGGATGGGGGATGGGGGGGGGATGTGGATTCTTTTAAGAATGTGGATATTTGGGTCATCTTTGGCGCCCCCTAGAACGTAAACCGTGGGGTGCAGCGTCATGATTTTTACAACTTTGAATGGCCATGGGGTGTAGATTGGCCTGAGCAAATTTGGTGTCAGTGGGACGAAAGCCTTAGGAGGAGTTAGCCACATTCCAATGTGTGCGAATCGGCAAAAAATGCAAAATAGCCCTTTAACCGTACATTTTACAGATACGCGCGCATTGACCTTTTCGTAGATATTATTGAGATACATGTGATTGTAAAATTTTGTGTCAATATGACAAAGCGTACAGGTATGACAGTCAACAATGTGTTTTTTCACCTTATGGGACAAGAAAAAATGGACTTTTTTCTCCTGCCATGGGGGGGCGCTCTTTTGGGGAGTAAAAATTCCTTCACAAATGTGTTGATGGCTGGACATTGCATCATCCTAGAAAACTTGGAGGCCAGTGAGGACAAAAATAAAAAGTTATAAGACTTTTAAATATGTGGATTTTACGGTTATCTTTGGCGCCCCCTAGAACCTAAACCGTGGGGTGCAGCGTCATGATTTGAATAACTTTTAATGGCCATGGGGTGTAGATTGGCCTGAGCAAATGTGGTGCCGGTGGAACGAAAGCCTTCGGAGGAGTTAGCGAAATTCCAATGTGTGCGGATCGGCAAAAAATGCGCAATAACCCTTTAACCGTACATTTGACAGATACGCCAGCACTGACTTTTTTGTAGATCTTATTGAGATACATGTGTGTGTCATATTTTGTGTCAATATGACAAAGCGTACAGGCGTGACAGTCAATAGTGTGAATTTTCACCTTATGGGACAAGAAAAAATGGACTTTTTTCTCCTGCCATGGGGGGGCGCTCTTTTGGGGAGTAAAAATTCCTTCACAAATGTGTTGATGGCTGGACATTGCATCATCCTAGAAAACTTGGAGGCCAGTGAGGGCAAAAATAAAAAGTTATAAGACTTTGAAATATGTGGATTTTAGGGTTATCTTTGGCGCCCCCTAGAACCTAAACCGTGGGGTGCAGCGTCATGATTTGAATAACTTTTAATGGCCATGGGGTGTAGATTGGCCTGAGCAAATGTGGTGCCGGTGGAACGAAAGCCTTCGGAGGAGTTAGCGAAATTCCAATGTGTGCGGATCGGCAAAAAATGCGCAATAACCCTTTAACCGTACATTTGACAGATACGCCCGCACTGACTTTTTTGTAGATCTTATTGAGATACATGTGTGTGTCAATTTTTGTGTCATTTTGACAAAGCGTACAGGCGTCAGGTGAATTTTTCACCTTAGGGGGCGCTATGGAGCCATTTTGCATTGTATTGTTTGGGCGACTTCAGAATATCAAACTTTTCACCAGGCCCGGTCGTCCTGCCAAATTTCATGAGTTTTCGCCAGTGGGAAGTGGGCCATTTTCCAGTTCAAAGGGGAGGAAAAAGAAAAAACTAGGACCCCGTTGGGGCACTGGCGGGCCCGAGCTGTGTCGCATCCCCCCCCCAACGCGCTGCCTCCCCGTCCCATTTGTGTCCTCTGGCCATCGCCCTCTCTGGTAACGCCCATCACTGCAAAGACCCTTTTCCTTCATCGGCGTTTGCTGTTCTTCCTTCCAGTGCGTGTTGCTTTCACTTACACTTGCCACAGCCAGCCTCGTGAGTGCCTAGCCTATTGGATATCACTGTCACCTACACAGGACAGTCATTACCTTTCTATTAATACTTTGTTTTTTAATTTCACATTAATTTCCATATTGTATAAACAACTGGAAAAAACTTGAGCCCCTGCCCCTGTATAATCATGTGCACGTCTCTGTTCTAGCTGTAAGGTGAATCTTCACTGCTCATGTTCTCCTCAGAAGCAGTCACCTCACTCCCCTCAGGTTACTGTACACATGCACCAACTGCCTGCTTCAGGTTTGGATGGAGCTTCATGGTTGTCTTTTGGAGAAATGACCAGTCAAGTTGTGTTTGAAATTTGATTTTTTTCAGGGGCAAAAGGAGCCTCTGCATTCTTGTCAAATATGTAAATAGCATGTTTTTGCAGGTGCTAAAAACCAGACTCTGAGTGTGTGTGTGTGCGTGTGTGTGTGTGTGTCTGTGTGTGTGTGTGTGTCTGTGTGTGTGTGTGCGTTCAAGTCACATGACATATTTAACCGGATGTAGCTGCAAGACGGAGCCTCGTTGACTCTCCGTTTCAACTTATCTCAAAAGTGAGGACCTCAACCTATATACCAGTTTTTAAATTGTGTTGATAGGCCAAATAAAACCAGAGTTATGATAAATTATGTCCGCGATACTTGTTTTCTGCTTATTTTGATCACGTTCGGCGCTCGATCGCGCTGTATGAGACAGGAAAACATAGCATGCAGACATTAGCGACAGGTCTTACAGGCGGAAAAGGCTTGCCAAAGGAAAAAAAAAACACACCACAACATCTCTCCTATTGGTGGAAAACTTCACCACAACAACCAATCCAAAATTATATGGTGACTGATTGACAAGGGGCGGGCGCTTACGTTCTTCCTGCAATATGAGAAGGGAGGGAGGGACTCTCAGCAGGGATGCAGTCTGGGACACGTAGTTGCAAACCTAGCAACTTTGTTGTTAGATTCAATGACTTTTCAGACCCCCTAACGACTTTTTTTAGAAAGAAAGTTACTTTTATCGACTTAATCTGGAGTTTAGAGACTCTGACATGAAGCAGGCTTTCCTTACTGAGGAGTTAGCAACGCTGCTAAGGGTGCAGAGCCACACATGCGCTCCGAGCTCTGCATGGGAGACTGAAGCTGACAGAGCTGCAGCAGTTAGCAGGTTTCACCCTCAGAGACCACCAGGGGTTCATGTTGAGGCATTTTCAGTTTTTTTTTTTTTTTTGCCATAGACACTGTCAGCACAATCTGCAGTTACACTAACAAAAATGCTGCAAAAAACAAAGAATTATGGAAAAATTACACATGGACTAACATAGAGGAGGATCTACACAAGTTTTTTACATCATGTTTTACATCATGCATCATTTACATCATGTTTTTTTGTAGTGGCATAAATAAAAAGTGACATTTGTGAGACTATACAGTGTTTTGTAAATAATTTTACAAAGAACACCTGGGCCATTGCCTGCATTTTGATGTAAATAGAGGTAAATTACTATGTTCTTTGTTAAAAATTTGCATATGTTTTGAAGTTTACAATTTTTATTTGAAGTTTAAGTTTTAAAAACAGTTCATCACACATATTTGTGGTTTTCACAGTAAAAACGTTACTTTTTTCCACTCGGATTTTATGTTTTGTGTGTGAATTTGGGTCCAATGTGTAAATATAGTATGTCAAAATGATAAAATAACTGTAAATTGACACAGGTGAGGTTGTGCTGAAAAAAATGATACCAGGCAAGGCAAGGTAAAAATTTTGTAAGAGGAAATATAAAGGTAAAATCTAAAGTAGTCAAAAACGGCCAATAGTGACTCACAGACTCCACAGACAAGTCCCTTTGGCGCCACTCAGTGGGCAAAACTACTTTGTCTACTGTAATGTATATTTGGGTCATCTTTGGCGCCCCCTAAAACGTAAACCGTGGGGTGCAGCGTCATGATTTTTACAACTTTGAATGGCCATGGAGTGTAGATTGGTCTGAGCAAATTTGGTGTCAGTGGGACGAAAGCCTTAGGAGGAGTTAGCGAAATTCCAATGTGTGCGAATCGGCAAAAAATTCAAAATAGCCCTTTTACCGTACATTATACAGATACACGCTCTTTGACTTTTTCGTAGATCTAATTGAGATACACATGACTGTCAATTTTTGTGTCAATATGACAAAGCGTACAGGCGTGACACTCAACAATGTGTATTTTCACCTTAGGCGACAAGAAAAAATTGACTTTTTTCTCCTGCCATGGGGGGGCGCTCTTTTGGGGAGTAAAAATTTCTTCACAAATGTGTTGATGGCTGGACATTGCATCATCCTAAAAAACTTGGAGGCCAGTGAGGACAAAAATAAAAAGTTATAAGACTTTTAAATATGTGGATTTTAGGGTTATATTTGGCGCCCCCTAGAACCTAAACCGTGGGGTGCAGCAAGATGATTTGTACAACTTTTAATGGCCATGGGGTGTAGATTGGCCTGAGCAAATTTGGTGCCGGTGGAAAGATAGCCTTCGGAGGAGTTAGCGAAATTCCAATGTGTGCGAATCGGCAAAAAATGCAAAATAGCCCTTTAACCGTACATTTGACAGATACATGCCCTTTGACTTTTTCGTAGATCTTATTAAGATACACGTGATTGTCAAATTTTGTGTCAATATGACAAAGCATACAGGCGTGACACTCGACAATGTGTATTTTCACCTTAGGAGACAAGAAAAAATGGACCTTTTTCTCCTGCCATTGGGGGGCGCTCTTTTGGGGAGTAAAAATTCCTTCACAAATGTGTTGATGGCTGGACATTGCATCATCCTAGAAAACTTGGAGGCCAGTGAGGACAAAAGACAAAAGTTATAAGACTTTTAAGAATGTGGATTTTTGGGTTATCTTTGGCGCCCCCTAGAACGTAAACCGTGGGGTGCAGCGTCATGATTTGTACAACTTTTAATGGCCATGGGGGGTAGATTGGCCTGCGCAAATGTGGTGCCGGTCGAACGAAAGCCTTCGGAGGAGTTAGCGAAATTCCAATGTGTGCGAATCGGCAAAAAATGCAAAATAGCCCTTTAACCGTACATTTGACAGATACGCCCACACTGACTTTTTTGTAGATCTTATTGAGATACATGTGTGTGTCAATTTTTGTGTCAATATGACAAAGCATACAGGCGTCATGTGAATTTTCACCTTAGGGGGCGCTATGGAGCCATTTTGCATTTTATTGTTTGGGCGACTCCAGAATATCGAATTTTTCACCAGGCCCGGTCGTCCTGCCAAATTTCCTGAGTTTTCGCCAGTGGGAAATGGGCCATTTTCCAGTTTAAAGCGGAGGAAAAATAATAACGACGGAAGGAAACATGCAGGAACAAGAGGGCTCTCGCAGCTGCTTAGCAGCTACGCTCGGGCCCTAAGAAACAAAGAAAAACCACTTGGGGAATAATAGGGCTCTCGCAGCTGCTTAGCAGCTACGCTCGGGCCCTAATAACAAAAGAAGGAAACATGCAGGAACAAGAGGGCTCTCGCAGCTGCTTAGCAGCTACGCTCGGGCCCTAACTAGGGCCCCGTTGGGGCACTGGCGGGCCCGAGCCGCGTTGCGCCGCCCCCAGTGCGACCGCCTCCCCCTCCCGATCGCGTCACACTCAAGGTCCAAAGATGGTGTGCGCACTTGTCTGTGGTCATTTCCCATTATAATGAATGGGAGGCGCAGTTTCTACCAAAACACTCGCTGCAGACAAACTACATGTCCTATTTGAAAAAAGTCTGGACCATGAGTGAGGGCACAAACACAGCTAGGATATATCCAAACGGCAAGTTGCTCCTCGTTACGGTGTTGCCGGGAGAGCGATGCGATTGAGCCATTGAGTGATGGGCAGGAAAAACTTGACTGTTTCTCCTGCCATGGGGGATGGGGGATGGGAGGGGGGGGGGGGAGGGATGTGGATTCTTTTAAGAATGTGGATATTTGGGTCATCTTTGGCGCCCCCTAGAACGTAAACCGTGGGGTGCAGCGTCATGATTTTTAAAACTTTGAATGGCCATGGGGTGTAGATTGGCCTGAGCAAATTTGGTGTCAGTGGGACGAAAGCCTTAGGAGGAGTTAGCCACATTCCAATGTGTGCTCATCAGCAAAAAATGCAAAATAGCCCTTTAACCGTACATTTTACAGATACGCGCGCATTGACTTTTTCGTAGATCTTATTGAGATACATGTGTGTGTCAAATTTTGTGTCAATATGACAAAGCATACAGGTATGACAGTCAACAATGTGTATTTTCACCTTATGGGACAAGAAAAAATGGACTTTTTTCTCCTGCCATGGGGGGGCGCTCTTTTAGGGAGTAAAAATTCCTTCACAAATGTGTTGATGGCTGGACATTGCATCATCCTAGAAAACTTGGAGGCCAGAGAGGACAAAAATAAAAAGTTATAAGACTTTTAAATATGTGGATTTTAGGGTTATCTTTGGCGCCCCCTAGAACCTAAACCGTGGGGTGCAGCGTCATGATTTGAATAACTTTTAATGGCCATGGGGTGTAGATTGGCCTGAGCAAATGTGGTGCCGGTGGAACGAAAGCCTTCGGAGGAGTTAGCGAAATTCCAATGTGTGCGGATCGGCAAAAAATGCGCAATAACCCTTTAACCGTACATTTGACAGATACGCCCGCACTGACTTTTTTGTAGATCTTATTGAGATACATGTGTGTGTCAATTTTTGTGTAATTTTGACAAAGCGTGCAGGCGTGACAGTCAATAGTGTGAATTTTCACCTTATGGAACAAGAAAAAATGGACTTTTTTCTCCTGCCATGGGGGGGCGCTCTTTTGGGGAGTAAAAATTCCTTCACAAATGTGTTGATGGCTGGACATTGCATCATCCTAGAAAACTTGGAGGCCAGTGAGGGCAAAAATAAAAAGTTATAAGACTTTGAAATATGTGGATTTTAGGGTTATCTTTTGCGCCCCCTAGAACATAAACCGTGGGGTGCAGCGTCATGATTTGAATAACTTTTAATGGCCATGGGGTGTAGATTGGCCTGAGCAAATGTGGTGCCGGTGGAACGAAAGCCTTCGGAGGAGTTAGCGAAATTCCAATGTGTGCGGATCGGCAAAAAATGCGAAATAACCCTTTAACCATACATTTGACAGATACGCCCGCACTGACTTTTTTGTAGATCTTATTGAGATACATGTGTGTGTCAATTTTTGTGTCATTTTGACAAAGCGTACAGGCGTCAGGTGAATTTTTCACCTTAGGGGGCGCTATGGAGCCATTTTGCATTGTATTGTTTGGGCGACTTCAGAATATCAAATTTTTCACCAGGCCCGGTCGTCCTGCCAAATTTCATGAGTTTTCGCCAGTGGGAAGTGGGCCATTTTCCAGTTCAAAGGGGAGGAAAAATAACTAGGGCCCCGTTGGGGCACTGGCGGGCCCGAGCCGCGTCGCGCCGCCCCCAGCGCGACCGCCTCCCCGTCCCATTCGTGCCCTCTGGCCATCGCCCTCTCTGGTGACGCCCATCACTGCAAAGACCCTTTTCCTTCATTGGTGTTTGCTGTTCTTCCTGCCATTGCGTGTTGCTTTCACTTACACTTGCCACAGCCAGCCTCGTGAGTGCCTGGCCTGGTTTGACCTTTGCTCACCCTGATTGTGTGACCTTGGTATCAGCTACTTGGGAAGTTCAACCGTTGTGGCAAAGCTTTGTTTGCGTGCTGTGCTCAACCACCTATTTTCTATGGATGTGTAAGTAAACCACTTTCTTTCTTACACAATGACACACTCATACTTATCACTCACTGCTACTGATGTGCTCTGTTAGTATGCATGCAGGAAACCTGATGAATGAAGAAATGCCCAGACTAGCCAACATCTCAATAAATTATGAGGTATGACATCACTTGAATGGTTTCCTTGGACTATGCTTCCATTATTCTAATTCTGTAATAAAAAGAAATTTTGTCCAAAAGGACTGTTGTTGTTTTTTCTTCTAATAATTAACATATTTAACATAATTAACATTCAATATGCGCTCATTACACACGTGCACACTCTTTGATGATCTGAGAAGCAGAGCTTGAAGGACAGTAGGAGTAGCTGAACAAAGTGTATTTGTAGGAAAGCCGTAAGAGCTATTGAAACGCCGTTTTCGCGGGTTGAAAGGTTAGGGTGTCCACCAAAGGTCAGAGGTCAAATAACATTTGTATCTCAAACTGTGACGTCAAAGTCAAGGTCCAAAGATGGTGTGCGCACCTGTCTTTGGTCATTTCCCATTATAATGAATGGGAGGCACAGTTTCTACCAAAACGCTCGCTGCAGACAAACTACATGTCCTATTTGAAAAAACTCTGGACCATGAGTGAGGGCACAAACACAGCTAGGACATATCCAAATGGCAAGTTGCTCCTCCTTTTGGTTTTAGCGGGAGAGCAATGCGTTTGAGCCATTAAGCGATGGGCTGGAAAAACTTGACTTTTTCTCCTGCCATGGGGGGGCGCTCTTTTGGGGAGTAAAAATTCCTTCACAAATGTGTTGATGGCTGGACATTGCATCATCCTAGAAAACTTGGAGGCCAGTGAGGACAAAAATAAAAAGTTATAAGACTTTTAAAAATGTGGATTTTTGGGTTATCTTTGGCGCCCCCTAGAACGTAAACCGTGGGGTGCAGCGTCATGATTTGAATAACTTTTAATGGCCATGGGGTGTAATTTGGCCAGAGCAAATGTGGTGCCGGTGGAACGAAAGCCTTCGGAGGAGTTAGCGAAATTCCAATGTGTGCGGATCGGCAAAAAATGCGAAATAACCCTTTAACCGTACATTTGACAGATACGCCCGCACTGACTTTTTTGTAGATCTTATTGAGATACATGTGTGTGTCAATTTTTGTGTCATTTTGACAAAGCGTACAGGCGTGACAGTCAATAGTGTGAATTTTCACCTTAGGGGGCGCTATGGAGCCATTTTGCATTTTCTTGTTTGGGCGACTTCGGAATATCAAATTTTTCACCAGGCCCGGTCGTCCTGCCAAATTTCATGAGTTTTCGCCAGTGGGAAGTGGGCCATTTTCCAGTTCAAAGGGGAGGAAAAATAATAATAATAACAAACTAGGGCCCCGTTGGGGCACTGGCGGGCCCGAGCTGTGTCACGCCGCCCCCAACACGACCGCCTCTCCCTCCCGATCGCGTCACACTCAAGGTTCAACGATGGTGTGCGCACTTGTCTGTTGTCATTTACCATTATAATGAATGGGAGGCGCAGTTTCTACCAAAACGCTTGCTGCAGACAAACTACATGTCCTATTTGAAAAAAGTCTGGACCATGAGTGAGGGCACACACAGCTAGGATATATCCAAATGGCAAGTTCCTCCTCCTTTCGTTTTTTCCAGAGAGAGCGATGTGTTTGAGCCATTGAGCGATGGGCAGGAAAAACTTGACTTTTTCTCCTGCCATGGGGGGGCACTCTTTTAGGGAGAAAAAATTCCTTCACAAATGTGTTGATGGCTGGACATTGCATCATCCTAGAAAACTTTGAAGCCAGTGAGGACAAAAATGAAAAGTTATAAGACTTTTAAGAATGTGGATTTTTGGGTTATCTTTGGCGACCCCTAGAACGTAAACCGTGGGGTGCAGCATCATGATTTGTACAACTTTTAATGGCCATGGGGTGTAGATTGGCCTGAGCAAATTTGGTGCCGGTGGAACGAAAGCTTTAGGAGGAGTTAGCCACATTCCAATGTGTGCGAATCAACCAAAAATGCGAAATAGCCCTTTAACCGTACATTTTGCAGACACGTGCGCATTGACTTTTTCGTAGATCTTATTGAGATACACGTGATTATCAAATTTTGTTTCAATATGACAAAGCGTACAGGCGTGACACTCAACAATGTGTATTTTCACCTTATAGGACAAGAAAAAATGGCCTTTTTTCTCCTGCCATGGGGGGGCGCTCTTTTGGGGAGTAAAAATTCCTTCACAAATGTGTTGATGGCTGGACATTGCATCATCCTAGAAAACTTGGAGGCCAGTGAGGACAGAAATAAAAAGTTATAAGACTTGTAAGAATGTGGATTTTTGGGTTATCTTTGGCGCCCCCTACAACGTAAACCGTGGGGTGCAGCGTCATGATTTGTACAACTTTGAATGGCCATGGGGGTTAGATTGGCCTGAGCAAATTTGGTGCCGGTGGAACGAAAGCCTTCGGAGGAGTTAGCGAAATTCCAATGTGTGCGGATCGGCAAAAAATGCGAAATAGCCCTTTAAACATACATTTGACAGATACGCCCGCACTGACTTTTTTGTAGATCTTATTGAGATACACGTGTGTGTCAAATTTTGTGTCATTTTGACAAAGCGTACAGGCGTGACACTCAATCATGTGAATTTTTCACCTTAGGGGGCGCTATGGAGCCATTTTGCATTTGATTGTTTGGGTGACTTCAGAATATCGAATTTTTCACCAGGCCCGGTCGTCCTGCCAAATTTCATGAGTTTTCACCAGTGGGAAGTGGGCCATTTTCCAGTTCAAAGGGGCAGAAAAATAATAATAAGAAGAAGAAGACTAGGGCCCCGTTGGGGCACTGGCGGGCCCGAGCCGTGTCACGCCGCCCCCAGCACGACCGCCTCCCCCACCCGATCGCGTCACACTCAAGGTCCAAAGATGGTGTGCGCACTTGTTTGTGGTCATTTACCATTATAATGAACGGGAGGCGCAGTTTCTACCAAAACGCTCGCTGCAGAAAAACTCCATGTCCTATTTGAAAAAAGTCTGGACCATGAGTGAGGGCACAAACACAGCTAAGATATATCCAAATGGCAAGTTGCTCCTCCTTTCGCTTTTGCCGAGAGAGCAGTGCGTTTGAGCCATTGAATGATGAACAGGAAAAACTTGACTTTATTCTCCTGCCATGGGGGGGGCGCTCTTTTAACGAGAAAAAACTCCTTCACAAATGTGTTGATGGCTGGACATTGCATCATCCTAGAAAACATGGAGGCCAGTGAGGACAAAAATAAAAAGTTATAAGACTTTTAAATATGTGGATTTTAGGGTTATCTTTGGCGCCCCCTAGAACCTAAACCGTGGGGTGCAGCGTCATGATTTGAATAACTTTTAATGGCCATGGGTGTAGATTGGCCTGAGAAAATGTGGTGCCGGTGGAACGAAAGCCTTCGGAGGAGTTAGCGAAATTCCAATGTGTGCAAATCTGCAAAAAATGCGAAATAACCCTTTAACCGTACATTTTACAGATACGTGGCCATTGACTTTTTCGAAGATCTTATTGAAAGACACGTGTATGTAAAATTTTGTGTCAATACGACAAAACATACAGGTGTAGCACTCAACAATGTGTATTTTCACCTTAGTGGACAAGAAAAAATGGACTTTTTTCTCCTGCCATGGGGGGGCGCTCTTTTGGCGAGTAAAAATTCCTTCACAAATGTGTTGATGGCTGGACATTGCATCATCCTAGAAAACTTGGAGGCCAGTGGGGACAAAAATAAAAAGTTATAAGACTTTTAAATATGTGGATTTTACGGTTATCTTTGGCGCCCCCTAGAACCTAAACCGTGGGGTGCAGCGTCATGATTTGAATAACTTTTAATGGCCATGGGGTGTAGATTGGCCTGAGAAAATGTGGTGCCGGTGGAACGAAAGCCTTCGGAGGAGTTAGCGAAATTCCAATGTGTGCGGATCGGCAAAAAATGCGGAATAACCCTTTAACCGTACATTTGACAGATACGCCCGCACTGACTTTTTTGTAGATCTTATTGAGATACATGTGTGTCTCAATTTTGGTGTCATTTTGCCAAAGCGTACAGGTGTTACACTCAACAATGTGTATTTTCACCTTAGGGGACAAGAAAAAATGGACTTTTTTCTCCTGCCATGGGGGGGCGCTCTTTTGGGGAGTAAAAATTCCTTCACAAATGTGTTGATGGCTGGACATTGCATCATCCTAGAAAACTTGGAGGCCAGTGAGGGCAAAAATAAAAAGTTATAAGACTTTTAAATATGTGGATCTTAGGGTTATCTTTGGCGCCCCCTAGAACCTAAACCGTGGGGTGCAGCGTCATGATTTGAATAACTTTTAATGGCCATGGGGTGTAGATTGGCCTGAGCAAATGTGGTGCCGGTGGAACGAAAGCCTTCGGAGGAGTTAGCGAAATTCCAATGTGTGCGGATCGGCAAAAAATGCGAAATAACCCTTTAACCGTACATTTGACAGATACGCCCGCACTGACTTTTCTGTAGATCTTATTGAGATACATGTGTGTGTCAATTTTTGTGTCATTTTGACAAAGCGTACAGGCGTGACAGTCAATAGTGTGAATTTTCACCTTAGGGGGCGCTATGGAGCCATTTTGCATTTTCTTGTTTGGGCGACTTCGGAATATCAAATTTTTCACCAGGCCCGGTCGTCCTGCCAAATTTCATGAGTTTTCGCCAGTGGGAAGTGGGCCATTTTCCAGTTCAAAGGGGAGGAAAAATAATAACTAGGACCCCGTTGGGGCACTGGCGGGCCCGAGCCGTGTCGCGTCCCCCCCCCCCCACCCCCCCCAACGTGCTGCCTCCCCGTCCCATTTGTGTCCTCTGGCCATCGCCCTCTCTGTTAACGCCCATCACTGCAAAGACCCTTTTCCTTCATCGGCGTTTGCTGTTCTTCCTGCCAGTGCGTGTTGCTTTCACTTACACTTGCCACAGCCAGCCTCGTGAGTGCCTAGCCTATTCGATATCACTGTCACCTACACAGGACAGTCATTACCTTTCTATTAATACTTTGTGTTTTAATTTCACATTAATTTCCATATTGTATAAACGACTGGAAAAAACTTGAGCCCCTGCCCCTGTATAATCATGTGCATGTCTCTGTTCTAGCTCCAAGGTGAATCTTCACTGCTCATGTTCTCCTCAGAAGCACTCACCTCACTCCCCTCAGGTTACTGTCCACATGCACCAACTGCCTGCTTCAGGTTTGGATGGAGCTTCATGGTTGTCTTTTGGAGAAATGACCAGTCAAGTTGTGTTTGAAATTTGATTTTTTTCAGGGGCAAAAGGAGCCTCTGCATTTTTGTCAAATATGTAAATAGCATGTTTTTGCAGGTGCTAAAAACCAGACTCTGAGTGTGTGTGTGTGTGTGTGTGTGTGTGTGTGTGTGTGTGTGTGTGCGTGTGTGTGTGTCTATGTGTGCGTTCAAGTCACATGACATATTTAACCGGATGTAGCTGCAAGACGGAGCCTCGTTGACTCTCCGTTTCAACTTATCTCAAAAGTGAGGACCTCAACCTATATACCAGTTTTTAAATTGTGTTGATAGGCCAAATAAAACCAGAGTTATGATAAATTATGTCCGCGATACTTGTTTTCTGCTTATTTTGATCACGTTCGGCGCTCGATCGCGCTGTATGAGACAGGAAAACATAGCATGCAGACATTAGCGACAGGTCTTACAGGCGGAAAAGGCTTGCCAAAAAAAAAAAAAAACACACCACAACATCTCTCCTATTGGTGGAAAACTTCACCACAACAACCAATCCAAAATTATATGGTGACTGATTGACAAGGGGCGGGCGCTTACGTTCTTCCTGCAACATGAGAAGGGAGGGAGGGACTCTCAGCAGGGATGCAGTCTGGGACACGTAGTTGCAAACCTAGCGACTTTGTTGTTAGATTCAATGACTTTTCAGACCCCCTAACGACTTTTTTTAGAAAGAAAGGGACTTTTATCGACTTCTTCTGGAGTTTAGAGACTCTGACATGAAGCAGGCTTTCCTTACTGAGGAGTTAGCAACGCTGCTAAGGGTGCAGAGCCACACATGCGCTCAGAGCTCTGCATGGGAGACTGAAGCTGACAGAGCTGCAGCAGTTAGCAGGTTTCACCCTCAGAGACCACCAGGGGTTCATGTTGAGGCATTTTAATTTTTTTTTTTTTTTGTGCCATAGACACTGTCAGCACAATCTGCAGTTACACTAACAAAAATGCTGCAAAAAACAAAGAATTATGGAAAAATTACACATGGACTGACATAGAGGAGGATCTACACAAGTTTTTTACATCATGTTTTACATCATGCATCATTTACATCATGTTTTTTTGTAGTGGCATAAATAAAAAGTGACATTTGTGAGACTATACAGTGTTTTGTAAATAATTTTACAAAGAACGCCTGGGCCATTGCCTGCATTTTGATGTAAATAGAGGTAAATTACTATGTTCTTTGTTAAAAATTTGCATATGTTTTGAAGTTTACAATTTTTATTTGAAGTTTAAGTTTTAAAAACAGTTCATCACACATATTTGTGGTTTAATTTCACATTAATTTCCATTTTGTATAAATGACTGGAAAAAACTTGAGCCCCTGCCCCTGTATAATCATGTGCACGTCCCTGTTCTAGCTCCAAGGTGAATCTTCACTGCTCATGTTCTCCTCAGAAATAGTCACCTCACTCCCCTCAGGTTACTGTACACATGCACCAACTATCTGCTTCAGGTTTGAAATGGAGCTTCATGGTTGTCTTTTGGAGAAATGAACAGTCAAGTTGTGTTTGAAATTTGATTTTTTTCAGGGGCAAAAGGAAGCCTCTGCATTCTTGTCAAATATGTAAACAGCATGTTTTTGCAGGTGCTAAAAACCAGACTCTGAGTGTGTGTGTGTGTCTGTGTGTGTGTGTGTGTGTGTGTGTGTGTGTGTGTGTGTGTGTATGTTGGCGTGTGTGTATATGTGTGTGTATCCTGCAGTACTCTGTACTCCTGCAGTGGCCAAAAAGACTTTTAAGAATGTGGATTTTTGGGTCATCTTTGGCGCCCCCTAGAACTGCAGTACTCTGTACTCCTGCAGTGGCCAAAATGACTTTTAAGAATGTGGATTTTTGGGTCATCTTTGGCGCCCCCTAGAACGTAAACCGTGGGGTGCAGCGTCATGATTTTTACAACTTTGAATGGCCATGGGGTGTAGATTGGCCTGAGCAAATTTGGTGTCAGTGGGACGAAAGCCTTAGGAGGAGTTAGCCACATTCCAATGTGTGCGAATCGGCAAAAAATGCAAAATAGCCCTTTAACCGTACATTTGACAGATACGCGCGAATCGACTCTTTTGTAGATCTTATTGAGATACATATGTGTGTCAATTTTTGTGTCAATATGATAAAGCGTACAGGCGTGACAGTCAATAGTGTGAATTTCCACCTTAGGGGACAAGAAAAAATTGGCTATTTTTTCCTGCCATGGGGGGGCGCTCTTTTGGGGAGTAAAAATTCCTTCACAAATGTGTTGATGGCTGGACATTGCATCATCCTAGAAAACTTGGAGGCCAGTGAGGACAAAAATAAAAAGTTATAAGACTTTGAAATATGTGGATTTTAGGGTTATCTTTGGCGCCCCCTAGAACCAAAACCGTGGGATGCAGCGTCATGATTTGAATAACTTTTAATGGCCATGGGGTGTAGATTGGCCTGAGCAAATGTGGTACCGGTGGAATGAAAGCCTTCGGAGGAGTTAGCGAAATTCCAATGTGTGCGGATCGGCAAAAAATGCGGAATAACCCTTTAACCGTACATTTGACAGATACGCGCGCATTGACTTTTTCGTAGATCTTATTGAGATACATGTGTGTGTCAATTTTTGTGTCATTTTGCCAAAGCGTACAGGTGTTACACTCAACAATGTGTATTTTCACCTTAGGGGACAAGAAAAAATTGACTTTTTTCTCCTGCCATGGGGGGGCGCTCTTTTGGGGAGTAAAAATTCCTTCACAAATGTGTTGATGGCTGGACATTGCATCATCCTAGAAAACTTGGAGGCCAGTGAGGGCAAAAATAAAAAGTTATAAGACTTTTAAATATGTGGATCTTAGGGTTATCTTTGGCGCCCCCTAGAACCTAAACCGTGGGGTGCAGCGTCATGATTTGAATAACTTTTAATGGCCATGGGGTGTAGATTGGCCTGAGCAAATGTGGTGCCGGTGGAACGAAAGCCTTCGGAGGAGTTAGCGAAATTCCAATGTGTGCGGATCGGCAAAAAATGCGAAATAACCCTTTAACCGTACATTTGACAGATACGCCCGCACTGACTTTTTTGTAGATCTTATTGAGATACATGTGTGTGTCAATTTTTGTGTCATTTTGACAAAGCGTACAGGCGTGACAGTCAATAGTTTGAATTTTCACCTTAGGGGGCGCTATGGAGCCATTTTGCATTTTCTTGTTTGGGCGACTTCGGAATATCAAATTTTTCACCAGGCCCGGTCGTCCTGCCAAATTTCATGAGTTTTCGCCAGTGGGAAGTGGGCCATTTTCCAGTTCAAAGGGGAGGAAAAATAATAATAATAACAAAAGAAGGAAACTACAGGAACAAGAGGGCTCTCGCAGCTGCTTAGCAGCTACGCTCGGGCCCTAACTAGGACCCCGTTGGGGCACTGGCGGGCCCGAGCTGTGTCGCGTCCCCCCCCAACGCACTGCCTCCCCGTCCCATTTGTGTCCTCTGGCCATCGCCCTCTCTGGTAACGCCCATCACTGCAAAGACCCTTTTCCTTCATCGGCGTTTGCTGTTCTTCCTGCCAGTGCGTGTTGCTTTCACTTACACTTGCCACAGCCAGCCTCGTGAGTGCCTAGCCTATTGGATATCACTGTCACCTACACAGGACAGTCATTACCTTTCTATTAATACTTTGTTTTTTAATTTCACATTAATTTCCATATTGTATAAACAACTGGAAAAAACTTGAGCCCCTGCCCCTGTATAATCATGTGCACGTCTCTGTTCTAGCTCTAAGGTGAATCTTCACTGCTCATGTTCTCCTCAGAAGCAGTCACCTCACTCCCCT